AGTAAATAAAGTAATCTAGTAGGAGAGAAGGTTAAGACCTACTTAGTAATTCTTTATAAAAATAAAAATAGATCTCTTAAACTAATAGTAGAACTTAACTAACTCCTAGTTATTAACTAAGAAGTACTAAAATAACTATAAACTAAGATTATTAAATAATACCATAATAACCCTATGTATAGACATCTAGGTATTATAAAAATAATAGAGCTTATATAATAAAACTACACCTTTAGGGGAATAAAAGAAGTAGTAACTAAGTATATTTAAAAATGCGTAGAATACTAGAAGAATAAATATAGCATATACCTTAAGTATAGAGAAATATAACTAATTAGAATACTAATAGCACCTTTTAAAGACATTACTATAGACTTTATTACTAGAATACTAAACTTAATTAACCTAGCTACGAAAACCTCGTATAATAGTATTTTAGTAATTATATATTAATTTATAAGCTATATCGAATTAATTCTATATCTAAAAAATATAATAGCTAAAGAGCTGGCTTACCTTTTTTAAGATAAGTAGGTTAGGCACCATAGTATTCTAAAGATAATTATTAGTAATAGAGATAAACTCTTTATATTAAACTTCTAGATAATATTTATAGTACTTATTAGAATAAAATAAAAACTATCTATGGTATATTATCTATAGATAGATAGAAAAATAGAAAGAATAAATTAAACTATAGAAATATACCTATAAATATACTATAATAAATAGAAAAGTAATTAGGTTTTACTACTACCTATAGCATAATTGGCACATAATAATAAGGTATTAATAATAATAAGGTAAACACCTTACTATACTATATATAGAAAATATCTAAATCTCTTTAATTAATAACTACTAACAAATATTAACGTAAAAGAAGCCATAGATATAGTAGATAATATAAAAAAAAATATATAATAAACTCTAAGAAAACCTTAAGAAAGCTTAATAGTAAAGTATTTTATATATAAACTAGAAACGAAAAATAGTACCTTAGCTAAAGAAGGGGATAAAGTATATCTACTTATAAAGAATTTTTAAACTTAGAAGGAAAGATATAAGAAACTAAATTATATTAAGGTTAGACTATTTTACATTTCTAAATAAGTATTACTAGTAAACTATAGATTGGAATTACTACTAGATATAAAGGTATACCTAGTATTCTATATATTACTATTAGAACTAGTAGATCCTAAGACACTAGTTAAAACCACCTTCTATTATAGGGCTAAAGAAGAAACTAAATTTAAAGTTAAAAGAATTATATATATAAGAATCTATAAAGGAAGCCAATAATATCTTATTAAATAGAAAGGATACCTAGATAGCAAAAATACTTAGAAACTAAGAAGTAACCTAGATAACTATTAAATAAAAGTTAAGGAATATAAGTAAAACCTTTAGAACCCTATCTTATAATAGAAGATATAAAGACGTACCTATCTACTAGATATAGAAGAAATATTTTTCTAGAAATTAGAAGGAAGATTATCTATTACTAACTAAATAGAGGGGTAAAGCTCTATAGGACTAGTAGGCTAGGTAGGCTAAGTAGGATTTTTATTTAACTCTACTAATGCTATACTTTCTACTATAATAACTTTACTAGTATACCTCTTATTCTATAATAACTATTTCTTTAACTAATTCTCTTTTACTTAAGCTATATATATAGCTTTAAAAGTAGTATTCTACTTCTTTTACGCTTTATCTAATTACGCTTCTAACTTCTTCTTCTTAGTAACTAACTATAAGAACTTATTCTAAGTAATAGTAATATTATATTTTAAACCTTACTTCTAACACTTACTATACTTTCCTAAACTAATATAGACCTTACAAACATAGGTATATAACTAATAGAATAAGTATTTTAATACTATAATAATACTATAGTTTTTAATAGTAAAGATAAGGTTATAATAACGCTTTATAGAATAATAGTTAGTAGGTATAATTCTTTAGGGGCGAAGAATAAGAAGGAAAGGAATAATATTATAAACTAGATAATAGTAGGGAAGTTTAGGCGCTTATAAAGGTAGAAGATATAATAACTAGAGTTATAATAAGATAAAGATATACTAAGTTACTTAGATAGTAATTATATAACTTACTTAGCTACTTAGGGTTCCTAAATAACTAAGTAGCTAAGAGCTATTACGTAACCTACTTAGTTATTTAGGGCTCCTAAGTAACTAAGTAAGATTTCTATATAGAAATATAAGAATAAACCTTTATACTTATATTTAACCTAAGTTTTAATCTATTATTTAGATTTACTTAGGCCTCCCTTATTAACTTATTATACTTTATAAGATACTTCTATATTAATAAGAACCTCTTCTTCCTCCCCTTAGTAAGTCTTACCTAAGAACTAACCTTAACCTATTTAGGACTAGCTACCCTTTCTAGATTTAACACTTCCTTATATACCTATATTATACTTAGTATCTAACCTATAATTATATTCTTCTCCTATATAATCTAATTAGTTACTACTATTATTATTATAAGTCCTATAATTCTATTACGGCGTAGTAGCTATAATAAAACCTTTTAGAACTAGTACTACTAGATACTCTAATTAAGACCTAGCTAGAACTAGAAGATAATAAGTATTAGGTTAAGAATATTAGGGACCTAGAAATAGTTAAAGGTTAGTAGAGATACCTAGTTAAATAGAAAGGGTAGCTAGAATAGTATAATATATAGAAACTAGAAAAAAACCTTATAAACTATAAGAAATTACTAAGGGACTTCTAGGACTACTAGAAGAGAGAATATTAAAACCTAGTAGGGAAGAATTAGATAAGAAACTAGAAAGGTTAAAAAAGGAAGAATTAGCCTATAACTAGCCTAGGTTAGTTATAGGTAAGGGTAGTAGTAGAGTAAATAAAGTATTAGTAATTCTACTCTTTAGGGCCTCCCCTTTAAAACTCTCTATTATATTAGCTATATAAGTATTATATATAGTAAAAGCCTACTCCTCTTTCTCTACCTAAGTAATCTTAAAGTAGAGGTAAGTAACCTTAGCCTCTATAGAAAGAAGCGTAAGCTTCTTTTAGTACTTTTTAAACTAGATATACTTCTACTCTTTCTTAGGAATCTAGAGACTACACTCTATATAGATAGTAATATATATAGTATACTCCCCTAATAAAGTATCTATAAAATACTTTAGAACCTTCTCCTTTATATAATACTTACACTTTACTAGTATCTCTAGGCTACGCTAGTATACCCTATTAGTATAAGTATAGCACTATTTAGTTAATAATTATTTTAGTACCTTAGACATGGTTAGGAAAGCTAGAAAGAGGTTATAATATAATAGAAGTACTAAGGGAAGTACCTACCTTTATACCCTATAACTATACTACTAGAGATTATAGAATTACTATAGAATATTAGAATAATAACCTTAAAGAAGGGGATAATATTATAATCTTATAGAATAATAGTAGAAAGATAAAGATACCTAGTAGAGTAGAACTAATAAGGCTAGGAGCTAATATATCTTTAGATACTAAGGAACTAGAAAGGTTAGATTAGTAAGTATATAATTATAATTCTACTAAGATAATAAGATCCTAGGAGTAAAGGGACTTAGTAGGAGTAGAGAAACTACTTCTAGATTAGAACTATACTCCCTAGGAATAGAGGTTAAGTAAGGGATTATAATAACTAGGAAGAATAGTATATAGTCTAGAATAGTGCCTAAGTATTTCCTATTCTTTATAGTTAACTTCTATAGTTAAAATTAAGGCATATCTTCTATATAAGATTTATTAGTCTTCTCTTATAACTATTACCTTACTTTCCCCCCCTAAGAGTAAGGTTAGGATATTTACTTACCCCCTTTTATTATTTATCTGCTCTTAACCACTAAATACCCATAAGGTCTAACCTAGGTTAGGTACGTAGAAACCCCTTATAACACTAAGGGCGAGTTTATAATCGAGCACGTTGCGTCTAAGGATAATCTTGCTAATATTTATACTAAGGCGTTGCCCTTACTGCTGCTCACAGAGTTAAAGTTATAAATTGCTAATGGCGATTGATTATAATAATTGCCGCCGACGAGTTAGTCACTAATTAATTATTGGTTGGACGCTGTCTAAATGGCGCCTCTTAACCTCGCTCACTAATCAATCACCCCGAAACTACTTTCCAGATTAACCCGCTAATTAGCGGTTCTTACGACTATATCATTAAAGGACAACGATTAAGGACCATGATAAAGGACCTATAGATTGCATGCTTATGCCTATGTACTTATAATGTATTCACGCTGGCACCGCCAGCTGGGAGGACTGTTGGCGGAAGGTGTTCCGCTGCAGCTGGCAGGTGCCGCCCTAGGCACTAGCCCTATATAGAGGCTCCGCCGAGCCTACTCAATTCATCACTCTTACACTCAACTTCATGTTTCCTGTACGTTTCAAGCCTACTTTTAACATAGTTTGCCTGCATAGATGTATTAACTACCTACTTTAGGTACTATAACATATAGATAGGTACAGATTTTGGCCATAGTGTGATCATCAAGATCTGGAAAGTGGTCACAAGCATGTACGATAATCTCCGAGCACAGCACTATCCTTATGAAACGGTTCCTCATCGAGAGGATATTCTTGGATCTTTGTGACGTGCTGGAGGTGTCTACATTGCAGCATCTGGGCGAGCGTGACTTCCGCCGCAGGATTTTCGAGCCAATCCAAACGAGTCTCATTTGTCGGCCTCGCCACGTGCAACCCGAAGGCTCAGCAAATCCACTCTTTAGTTGTTACATAAATTAAATTATGTCACTTGAAGATGGCGCTTAGTGTATATACCTAGGTACAGTGGCAATAATCTATCTGTAGGCTCATCATAGAGCTCAAGTACCATAGGTAGATCGTCTACCCAGCCACGATGACCCTTTCCCACAGTCCTCGTCGCACTCAGGTTTTACCGCCATTCTCTACAACGCCATTTCTGATACAATTCTCGTCCTAACCCCGCATTCCAATCTCGATATCCTGCTTCATAGGTGTGATGTTTGGATCATACCAAGCAACACAAACAACAAGCGTAAGCGCCATCATTAAGAAGTCGTAAATATACAGCGGCCACTCGTGCGTAATGAGATAACCGTCCTAGCTCACTCGTTAGACCCATAACAATGCATGTGAAGGGGGGGAAACTTACCCTTCCAAGCGCGTACTCCACCACACGGCAAAAGTTACGAATGGTGATCAGCGCACTTGCCGCATACAGCAACCAGATATATCTCGTCCACGGCAGATCCGCGCTCTTCGCTGTCGGCCTAGCACTCAACCGCTTGTGCCATGTCGCCGCCACCGCAACGAAGAACCCGAAGATGAGAATCTGCAGGACCAAGCCCCCGAGAATGATATTCTCTCCTCGTTTGACACCGTCTTTGTCATTGGCCTGAACAAGCATTCCTGCACCACCGGATTGCACGAAGAAGCAGAGAATATCGCCGGTTACGAAGATCTTGGTGACCCAGTTGGCGCGGACGATGGAATAGCCCGTGGAATTGGTGCGGAGGATGAGGCGACCAAGGATCATGTAGATGGATGCTGCGAAGAGAATGGGCGCTATGAGAATGAGGACCGACTGGATGATATAGGGGACCTTGTCATCAAGGTTTGTGTGAGCAGCTGCGCGGGCTCCGTAACCGATGGTCTCAAACTGCGGGCTTGATTAGATCATACTGCGTGTTTTGTAATATCCTTTGAACTCGGCTGGGATTTCCTCACTTGGTGAGGCGCGGTGAGGCGGGATGCGTTCGTAGATCACGATGGTACTTACAAGACCGCCGACGACGAAAGGAATACAGAACCATGTTCGGTTTTTGACAAGTCGGAAGGTGTGTAGTAATGTAAGGATACAGAAGACGATGCAAGCAATGGCACCTCCTGCGGTTGACGGCGTGTAAGACCAGAGTTTGTACTCGATCTTCCCAGAGTCCGACATGGTGCCGTCCGTAGTGGAGATTAATAGTCCTTGTATTAGAAAAAGGGGCAATTGATTTATCCGATCGACGAGAGATGCTTGTCCAATTGTAGTGGAAGTAATGGAATGCTAAGGTGATCTTCTATTGGTAACGAGCGAATGGACTGGCGGAATACAATTGATGGCGAGTGCAAACCAACTATGTGGTCGACTCCGAAATGCCAGATCGTAGTGGATGTTGTCTAGTGGCAGACCCATGATATTTATAAGATCTTGTGCCTCTGCGTCGTAATGTGCGTTTAGCAGAATCTCTCTCTTTCGCAGAATCGTTGGGGTGATACGATGAACGGCAGATACGATAAGCGAGTACGACAGTACGACGATACGGTTTGGCGCAGTGACGTGAAGAACGCGGAACGGATCAGCCCGCCCGCTCCAGCTAATTCCTGCAGTAGAATTTCTTGCGAATGTTTGTAGGACAACCGAGTGACCTTTCAATGCACATCCTGGGCGGAAGTCACAGTATAATGCAGCGCTATATCTCTTATTGCGAAAGCGGGGCCAAGGTAAGGTTGGAACCTTGGTTATTCGGCTGCTAGAAACAAAAGGCAGCGCTCAGGTATGTCAATATCGCAATCTTCTCAACCTAGTCGCAGTACAACCCCCAAATGTCGAGATTCTTAGCTATAGTCATCCAGATTTCTCAAATGATTTCTTTCTCTAGGTATCATATGCGCGGTGCGACTATTATACTTCCACAATATGGTCAATTTCACGCAATTGTATGGCGACCTTGGCGATCCAATGCCGCGATCCTAGCGCAAATTAAACGCCTTCTACAGGGGACGGTGAGCTATGATAACTTATTCGTGCGCCATGGGATAACCTACAGACGATCGCAAAGCCAAAGCGAAGGATTGCTTAGGGTGTCTCCCGTAATTCCAGTCCCTCGATTCATGCTACTAATCAACAAACATAGTCGGAGGCTTTTCCCTGCTGTACGCCGAGCCGTGTTCGCAAGGTCTCCCGTAATCGTCCTAGTGCAGCTGTGGCTCAAGTTGACGCTGACTGGGAAATTGGTGTGCGACAGGCACGTATCTGCTCTTTCGGCCAATCGAGCCAGTTCTTCCATTCTGTCGGAACGAATGCATCGGCAATGGCTAGAATCAACTCATCGATTCCGTCCAGGAACCAATATTGTCGACCTTTTCCCAAGATGACACCGTAGTGCGCGAAAATGATCAACGCTCCTGGTTGTCTCTCAGAGAGCAGTTCGACAAAGCGAGATGGCACGAAATGGATCCAAATCCGGAGCAGAGAGTCTGATGGAGGCTTGGACAATCGACCAGTTGCATCGAAAAGTAGTTCTAGCAGGCGAATGGCTTCTCTATAGGCTTCGTTAATCTCAGGATGGTAGATGTGGTGAATTACGTCGGCAAATTTGCGGAGCTGAACCAGTTCTGTCTCATCCGGCGCCTTCGCTTTGTCCCATGTGACCGAATGAACATCTTTGGGCATAATGCGTCCCAGTTCAGATTGTCGCATGTAGTCGTACCTTCCGCTGGCTTGTATGAGCGGACCCACCATCCTAGTCACAAGCAGATTCGAAAAGATACTCTCAAAGGCATCTTCAAGATCGGTCGAGCTCGCAGACATGGCACAGGTATAGGGGAAAAGGAAGGCGTTGAAGATAAGCACTGCAGGGAGGTTCGTTTCTGAGATGTCTTTCACTTCACTCCGAAATTGGGTGAGTGCGATTTGATGATGGCGCCTGGCTCGAAGTAGGTAATCAGCTCGTTGGGCCGATTCCGACCTGCTGAGATGAAGAGCAGTGAGAGACAGAATCGCATGAAGAACAAATGGGTTTTCGAAAGCGATCTTCGGAATGTAGCTGATGAAAATATCCGCTGCCTCTGGTTCGTGTGCCAACGTCTTCGCAGTAACGGTGGTGAAATGATGCAACAATCGCATGTGCGCAATGTCGGCGAGTAATTCTTGACTTCCAATTCCATCGTTGTGTAGCCTGCCCACAACAGAGCTCTGCGTAGATGAAGGCGTATCCAGGGCAGTGGGCGAGAGTGCGACCTCGGGAGCAACCGCGCTCCTCAGCCGAGGGTACTCGCAACTTGAGCCATACTTCTCGCAATTCGAGCAGAATGGCTTTTGCTCATCGCACTATTTACAGTCAGCCCAGGGAGCTCAACTGCTGTTGTAGCTATATGCGGCAAGGGAGTCACACTTTGACGTGTCTTGCTTTGCATGGTATGCACCCGCTACGGGATTTTTTATGTGGCTTCCGGGTTTTCGTAGCATTCATGTCACCTGAAGGCATCGTGACGCATCATTTTCAATCAGTGTTTGATGGATGAAGCGCAAGTGCGTACTGTGAGGTGGGAAAGCGCGGATGAGCTCCACATATGGTCTGTGCACAACATCGCCCATTACGGGCTAGCGAATCATGGGACTCCGATGGATCCATGGATGGTGTACCTGAAGCGTTCACAAGTGTTGCGGAAACTCCTTACCTGGAGCATTTCAACGCTGGCAAATAAGTTGCAAGACAATCTAATCTCCACCTAACTTACTTTTGCTCTATGAAAGATAGAATAGCAACACATCATCGGGCGAATTTAAAGCAAATGAGATTTTGCCTAGCTAATGGACGGGGCAGATGGCGATGTGCACCGAGTGGAAGCCAGGCAATGCTCCCCCCGATAACAGACGCTCACAGCGGGCTCAACTATCTCCCTGGAGCTCATATCGTGGAGCTGTAGGCACCGCGGATCAGCGCCAAATTCAAGTTGTCTTCGCGGGGTATCAAACACTTAGCACCCAGATGACAAGCAAAACCAGGATCACATCTTATGTTTGACATCATGCCTCTGCACCCGGACTGGGGAACGAGCTGTCTCCTTCGGACATGGAATCGGGGGGCAGCCTGTCCGCCGCTATGTACTCTGGGTAATCGCCAAACCCAGCAGTAGCAACACCGTATGTCGACCCGACTTGAGCCTGAGGAATATCCCATCCTTTCTCTGGCACCAGTACACCCTGTAGCCCCATGTGCGACGATGCACCATAGGTCATAGCCTTCCCAACCTGCGCATACCGCTCGTACACCATCTCTGCACGGTACACGCATTCGTGGCAGAAGATGACATCGCCTTGCTTCTTGTTCCCTAGGAAAGTCCTGTTCTTGCACTCCGGGGTGTCTGAGCAATTAGCAGCGCAGGCTCGGGCCGGTTGGGCCCATACCTCGTGGCCGCAGCGCAGGATATGTGGGAGCTTCCAGTCGTAGCCGAGTTGGTTGGGGTTGTAGAAAGGTTTGCAGAGCCGCTTGACAATCTGCTCGTTGGTGAAGCCAGTATAGTGCTCTATGACGGGGCGGGTGAAGGCGAGTGCACGTTTGACCTCCCGGGGAATGACGAAATAGCTACTAGCGGGGATTCCATGGCAGATCTCGCAGAAGATGTTGTCGTGAGACTGATGTTGATCAATTGCGGGCAAAATGGGATCCTTGGTGATTCGGAGAGCCGCGGTGCTGGTCAGGGCTTGTCCGAGCGATGTACCAGTCCGAAGGTCGATGTGTTCCAATGGTGCGTTCATGGTTTGGTGCTTGACCCAGCTAGCAACGTGCAGACAATTGAGGCCACAGCGGTTGTCGACAGCTCCGCCCAGACTGTCGACGGCGACAATGTGACCGCAGGTCAACATGTGGACAGGTAGACTGTACCCACCCTGGAAAACGGAGCATGGTTCGATGCCGTTCGCCTCGAAGGCGTGGTAAGGGTAACCGTTGGGTGGGACTTTTAGCTCTTCGTAATTGTTCGAGGATTCGGATTTGAGCGCGCTCGAAGATGGCTCCATCTCGGACCTCGCGAACGGTTGAGCACCGTCAAAGTGGTCATGGGCAGGGCGTCGTGAAGTGCGCGAGTCTATATAAGGAAAGCGCGAGAGGCGGTGGTGAACGCACGTGCGAATCGGGGTTTGTCACCTGGAGTTCAACCTGCTGCTTCACCATTGCCGTCACTTCATTCCTGCGCAAGACACGTCGGCGAATCGAAGGCGTCAAGCAACTTCTACAAGGCCGCATGAAAAGTTCCGGTATCCTGTGATACGGGCCTGAACGGTCGGGGGCAAGCGGCATATGCGCCCTTCACTACTCTGGTATCCGTGTTCTCCCACACTGGGGACGACGTCCTCGCTCTTCATCTGTACGCGGAAAGCTCCGGTCAAGCCGCAGAGTCGACGCGGTGGGCCACGGGATCTGTGCATGGTCGTCGTACGCATGCATGAGCGGCATCGCCGTCGAGTCGGAGAAGCTCACGGGTGATGAGGGGATGTGATAGGGACAAGGTTCGAGGGAAGGCCAGAAGGCCGTGTCGATGGGCAGAGGGTGAGGACATGAGGTGACTAAGCGGTGCAACCGTCGCAAACACATGGCGCTTGTCTGATAGGCGGCAGACAGACACGCCTTCTTTCATCGCCCGTTCTTTGGATAGCTCGAGTGCGCATGCCCATGGAGACGCGGCTGCCCTTTACTTGTGAAGCAGCAGGAATAGCCGCGGGGTGGAGCCCACCGTCCAGTCGCATGTGCGGGCGTTTCTGAGGTACTCTACTCCACTTTGGCCGCTATCGACGACGTCCGACCCGCCCGCCATGCTGCGCGGTTTGGGAGACGACGACTTCGCACAGCGCCCGCCCGCGTCGCGATGCCAGGCCGACACTGTGGGACAGTCAATTGACATGCTGCCAGGAACCCACCGGTCCCACGTACGCGCCCACTCGAGCCCGAAACCCTTCGCGAACAAAGCAGACGTCCTCGGCGCCGACCCGCTGCCGCGTCCCTCCCCGCCGCTGGCGCAACAGCAGCAGCCACATGCGAGCGCCTCTGCTGGTTCCGACACGACCACCAGCGCCCCCCTCTCCGAGTTGACGTCCTCGTCGTCCTCGCGGGACTCGATCCCCACGCTGGACCCGGCTGCGGAGCTGCGCCGCGGTGAGACAACGCCTCAGAAGCAGGGCAAGAACACAAGACGCGCCAAAACACACAACAAGACGAACAAATGGACTAGGAACGGAGCCGGGTCTTCGGATAGCACAGGCTCTGAACGCAAGACGTCTGTGCCGCAGGCTCCCAGACACAACTCCCAGAGCGCTGCATCGTCGCCTCAGAGCACGCGCTCGCTGCAGAGACAGCAGTCGCACACCCACGCCGCCCTTCACCAAGGACGCTCCATGGCCACGACGTACGGGGGCCCGGCGGGAGACTCGCGGCGGGGAGTAGCCTCCCCCAGGCCCAAAGGTCGCGGTATGCTTGGGCCATGATACAGTGTATTCATCCATCTCTGACACGCAGCTCTCAGAAGCGAAGAACACCTTCTGCCGCAATGTCACCATATACGGTCACTGCCGCTATGAGAACAGTGAGTGCTCGCTACTTTCGCTGTGAATTGCATTGTAACGTGGTCAGCCTGTCCATACATTCACGATTCTACCAAGCTAGGTCAGAACGAAAACAAAATGAAGCGCTTCAACGTAGATTCTCCATCCTTCACACCGCTACAGGCCAGCACCAATGGAAGCCTCACCCCCTCATCCCGTGGCGCCGCCATCTCTCCCAAAGCTGCCAGTGCCGCCATATTCACTCCCAAGTCGCAACGTTCAGGTAGGTGAAGCCATTGATTGCACCTACCTTGTTTACTGAGTTGTCCAGCTGCAAGCACCCCCAGCCTGCAGACGAAGGAACCTGCGGTGGAATGGCATCCGCAGCAGCAAGACTTCACCGAGTTTGTCCCAGGCCAGACATTTGAAAATCAGATGGTAGGTCTGATTTCATTTCACCTTTGTACCAGCCCAACTGCTTTTGGATGAATCATCTGGACCATGTGAGACACTGCATATGCTAAGCGAACAGGTGGACCCCAACGCGCAGGCGCAGGCTTTAAGCTACGACCCTTTTACTGCATCTTCCGCAATATCCGCCATCACCAGCTCCGGCCACCAAACTAGCGCCATCAATCCGTATGTCCAGGACCCTTCCCTTTCCGGCGCATCATATTTCGGGAGCGCAAGTGGCTTTCAGTCATCGCCCGCTTACCACCTGTATTGGCCTGTCGGTCCTCAGCCAACGGGCTTGCTGGCCTACCAACGCACAGCACACGACTTCTTCATTCCAGATTCTGTGCGCGAGGATCTACAAAAGAAGGCAGAGATATCCAGGCAAGTCGCGTCAAATTCCTCGATACCTCCTATAGAGCAGTTCCATTCTCTTTTCTGCTTGGACACGTCACCACAGAAGAATCAGTCGATTTTCGGCTACACAAATTGGGTCTACAAGGCCGTCTCCAGTAAGGATGGAAACATGTACGCCTTGCGTCGCTTGGAGAATTTTCGCCTCACCAACGAGACCGCCATCCGTTCCGCTCAAGCTTGGAAACGGATATTGAATGGCAGTGTGGTAACGATCCATGAAGCCTTTACGACGCGGGCATTTGGAGATAGCTCGCTTATCTTTGTTACCGATTATCATCCAAATTCGAGAACGCTTGCGGAGGAACATTTCAAACAGGTGCCGATGCAGCGCTATCACGGCAGGCAGGCGGCAACCTCACACGTGCCCGAGCAGGTTCTTTGGGGCTACCTTGTACAAATTGCATCCGCACTAAAGGCTATTCATGGTTCTGGTCTGGCTGCACGACTCATATCACCCTCAAAGATTATACTAACATCCAAAAATCGGATACGACTAAACGCCTGTGGCATTTTGGACGTTGTGCAACACGAGACTGCACGACCTCTTCCAGAAATGCAAGCAGACGATTTGCTTCAACTCGGTCGATTGATCCTTTGCATTGCAAATGGAAATTTGTCTGCACATTTGAACATGCAGAAGTCTATGGAATACATCACGCGGAGCTACACGGCCCGCTTGAAAGAGTGTATTCAGTGGCTCATCAGCCCGCAAACAAGCGCTAGTGCGCCTTCCTCACCCACAACGCCTGGGACCTCCCACAAGGATATTGATACATTCCTGGGCGGCATTGCAGATCAGATGGCGACAGTCTTTGATAGTGAGCTGCACGCACAGGATACCTTGACCAATACCCTCGCTCGCGAACTCGAATCATCGCGCATTGCGCGTCTACTCATCAAGCTGAACTTCGTCAACGAACGTCCGGAGCTTGACGCATCACAACATGTACCCGGCAGCACAGGACCGGCCGCCTCGTCCTCGTGGGCGGAGACCGGAGAGAGATACTATCTCAAGCTCTTCCGCGATTATGTTTTCCATCAAGTCGATGCGAACGGGCATCCCGTTATGAATCTGGCGCATGTGCTCGATTGCTTGAACAAGCTAGATGCTGGGACGGAAGAGAAGGTCATGCTGATCAGCCGCGACGAGCAAAATGTGCTCATAGTCAGCTACAGAGAGTTGAAGCGAGGACTTGAGTCCAGCTTTCAGGACTTGGTTCGAGCGGGCCGGCAGTCGGGGAAATAGGGAATCGTCGACTCAAGTCCGCTGAGCGCAAGGCTGTGGCCAAGGCCGAGATCGAGCGATTAGAATTGGAAAGGAAGAACGTAAGAAAGACTGCATCGCGAGTTGTATCGAATTGCGATTACTTGCTTATGTTGTCTTGATGAGGGTTGGGTTAGGGCTCGGTTCGCGAACGACGAAGCTATAAATAAGACTATTCTTTACTTCATGATCTGGTATTCGCTCAAGTTGGTCCCGCTGCCTCGTAGACAATTCTCAGCACCATTCACGGTTTGACTTAGACGTTCAGCCTGAAAGATCGCCAGAGCAGTGGAGAAACGGTGAATACGCGCGCAAGAAACGCCATTTCCAGTGGTCTCTTCTGGAATTAGGCTTCAGTAAGTGCTCATATGACCTAGGTCAACTCGAATATTGATTCCGCATCACTGCTGGGATGGGCGACTAGCATAGGCGTCCTTTGCAATTACCCGGTAAAACGGTCCGTGTTCCTCTACGCTTGTTAGAAGCCTCTCACTAATCAGAGCAACAGACGCAGAAGAATGACGACACATGACATGGTATCTTGCGCCTTACGAACGCATACCCCATAGTGGTTTGCGTTGCACAGCGCCATGTCGGTGAGGTGAAACAGCAGCTGTGCAGGCGAGGGTTCCGACTCCCTTCCTTCTACATACATGGCAACGACTACCACGATTGAGGTGAGTTTATTTAGCCTTTCTGCATACGCGATTGATCTACGGGTTTTCTCTGACCATATTCCTATCCTACGACTCCTCCAAGCATTCCTGGCGGCAAGGCAAAGTCTGGAGCCGACTCGCATATACCCTTAGCCGAGCATAGATTAATCTCGCCGCACAAGTTGCCCAACGGTCACGCCGGACTACACATATTGCAACAGATTACAATTCTCCGATAGGCCGACCGTCTACTTGACTTTTCCTCACTCGTGGAAGACGTTGCCCGAATTGCGCGTCAAGTGACTTTGCATGGCACATGGTTCCCCCGACCCACAACCCAATACCGGTTCGCGGTCGAGGCAGCCAATATACGAGAACAATTGGGATGGTGTGGAGGTCCGGGCAGCGTCAACAAGCAAGGACAGGGGGGTTTGCGTGCTATATAACCGAATGCAAAACCTGGGTCGAGCACTGCTTATCTTTCAGTGCGGTGTATGTCCCTTCCTGCTCTCACTATATCCCCTTATACCCAGATCAGCTTTCCATCTACTCCACGCGCGCCGAGACCAGCTATGCGCTCCATTATCCTCGCCGTGCTACCGGCGCTCGTATCTGCACACGGGCACGTCGAGCAGGTCAAGGCTGATGGCGTTCTTTACCAAGGTTGGAATGCTGCGTTGCAGTACCAGAATCCGGTGCCTAAGACGGTCGGCTGGAAGGCGGATAACCTGGACAACGGATTTGTGAGCCCCGATGCTTTTGGCACTGATGCGATCGTGTGCCACAAGAGCGGAACGAGCAATGGGGCGTACGTCAGCATCAAGGCGGGGAGCACAGCTACGTTCTACTGGGACACATGGCCGGTCAGTCACAAGGGGTAGGTCGTTCTTATGAAGTCCATTTCTGACCTCTGGATGCTATTCACATGTGCAATGAGCTGACAGGCTACAACAAAAAGCCCCGTGATCGACTACATCGCCGACTGCAACGGCGACTGCGGCGCCGTAGCTAAGACATCCCTCTCGTGGACAAAGCTCGACCAACAGGGCTGGATCTCAGGATCCAACCCCGGTACCTGGGCCACCGACAACCTGATTGCCGCAAACAACACTTGGACCATCACTATGCCGTCTAACTTGGCCGCTGGCAATTACGTTGTCCGCCATGAAATCATTGCCTTGCACTCTGCGGGATCGACCAACGGCGCACAGGCATACCCTCAGTGCGTTAACTTTGCGGTTACCGGAAGCGGAAGCGGAAAGCCGACGGGTGGCGTGCCGGCTACGAGCTTCTACAAGGCAACTGGTAAGCGCTTACCTTGAGTGAAGTTGATAAGATCATGCACTGACGCGATCCAGATCCCGGAATCTTGTTCAGCTTATATTCTTCCTTCTCTTCCTACACTATTCCCGGGCCGGCGCTGGGCAAGATTGCGAAGAGGGAGCATGCCAGGGAGTTCCAGTAGGTGCTGAGAACATCATCAGCTGATAGGATGGATTCACTACTTGCATATAGTGTGAGATGAAAGGACTACTGCATTGGTGCACTGCACACGATGATTTGCTTCTCAAATTTGTAGTGTTGCTACAAGACTGCGACAACACTTGCGTTACTTTTGCTTGTTCTTTTCCCGTAAGCCCAGCCGGTGTTATGACCGAACACCATCGGGCAGAACGCCCCTTCTAGCGTCTGTGATTTTGTTTCTATCTTGCAGGCAATCATGGTTGCGCGAAGCATCAGTACCGTGACTGACCTTCGCGGTATCTACAAGCTCTATTACACAGGCGCAAAGAACTTGATTACGGAGCATGTATATGCACACATTGAGAAATCTGGACTTTGAAGATTTACTACTGCTCACAGTGGCGGACTTAAATCTGAATTGGTCTCGGTAAGGTCTTTTGTCAAGCTGAAGGTCGGCTACAAGCATGCTAAACAGTGAACCAAGAATTCGACAGCTATCCTAGGGTGACGCGAGCTATAATATATCTTTAGAGTTTGGACACTGTACTATTTGGTAGTATTAGTACTTACGTGTCTAGTCCTCAGTGTGGGCACTGTGCTTGTATATCTTTTTGTGTTGTGTTCATGCCTTCAGTCTAGCGATTGATTCGGTGCCAGAGTTCAATGCCATGTGATTGACTTCAGGCAACACAGTCCTTCTAGAGAAATCGACGGACAGGTCTTCGATATTACTCATTTCACGTAGAGGGGCAAATCACAGTGTGTCCACAATTGCATGAACGCACTAGGCCGTATGCGTAAGTTTTCGTACAACACCCTGCATGCCCAGCCGGACTAGTCCCTCACCACGGCGATGCAGTCCATACTGTGTGTGGTCTTTATCCGCCTCTTGAAGCAAATCTCCGAGCTGTGATTGGGGGAGAAGACCATGGTAGTGCTGAGGAAGACGAAGGATTTGACATCTCGGCCTGGAAAAGCTTCTACATGCATTGTGCCTTCCGCAAACGTTAGCGCCCGCCAGCCAGTTCCGTCCGTTCAGCTTATTGTTGATTGGCTACACATAGGATACTTCTGCCATGTCCACACCAGAAAAGCCAACAGCGAGCGAAGCATGCATTTAGTGGCACTTGTTGTACGATATAACAAGCTGATCCACTCTAAAATACTAGTATCATAGGAAAATAGTGGAAACATTTCCACAATATCTTTGTACGAATGTCGAGTATGCAATCTTCATATAAGAGCCTGTATCGATACTCTATGTCGAGATCCTCCAGCTACGCCTCAGTCGTAAGAGATGCGTACCTTCCTTCCGTTGTTGGCCCTGACCCTAAGTGCGCACGCCCGCCCTGGCATACAGCAGCGAAGTAGCTGCCCATACTCTGCTTCTGCCGTAGAACAACGCTCAGCGGGTCCGTATGCTAAACAGGACGAAAGTGGCTTATTGCCTCGACATGCACTGCGCCGGGCAGAAGGAAAGAAAGGTGCATTCTTCATGAACCGCATTGCTCCTGGGACGTCCGAAATATACATTGCAAATGCTGATGGCAGCAATGAGCGGAAGCTGTTGGGAAATGAATCGACCTTCGACTATCAGGCCAGCTTCTCGCCTGACGGACAGTGGGTTACGTTCACAACCGAGCGCAATGGGGACGGAAATTCTGTGAGTGTTTTTTTGCAGCTCGATGACCGGAGCGAGCTGACACTAGATTGAAAGGATATCTATCGAGTCCGGCCAGATGGCAGTGGCTTGGAGCAGATCATCGCCACATCGTCCTACGAGGCCCAAAGCGTGCTTAGCCCGGATGGCAACATGATTGCTTATGTTTCTACTGCGAACAACTACAAAGCGAATGTATGGGTCAAGGACCTCATAACGGGCGAAGAGAAGAACCTTACCAACACTGTCTTGGTTGCGGGGAATTCAAGCTTACCCGAGGGTTACTATCGGCCCGCATGGTCACCAGATGGTGAATGGATCGCTTTCTCTTCCGCTCGTAACACCCAATGGCGAGGCCACGGCAATGGTACTGGTTGGGAACACACCCAGGAACTCTCGATATACGTCATTCGACCCAATGGTCGCGACTTCCGGCAGCTTGCAACGAAGCAGGATTATTGTTTGGGATCACCTAAGTTTTCTCCCGATGGCAAACGCGTCATCTTCTACGAGATCACCACGGAGGCTACTTGGGACTCTCATCGCCCTGAGTCGGTCAGTGCCGTGACTGGACAGCTTGTGTCGATTGACTTTGAGAGTGGCCAGGATGCTATCGCACATACTTCAGGTCCTGGACTGAAGATGAACCCACAGTGGGTTACCAGCAATGTGATCGGCTATCTGGTGAAGACTCCCGCTAATGAAGGTCTCAACTATACAGCTGATACGACCATCGGGAACGGCACGACTGGGAACGGTACTTATGCGCAAGTCAAGGCATCACTGCGCTCACCATCCTGGTCGCCCGATGGCACACAAGTAGTCTATGAGAAAGTAGACTTCAAGGCTGTCCGCCCAATGGGCAAGCAGCTGTACAGCTGGGATGCTGATTGGGAGTATCGCTTCACAGATGTCTTCCCGCAGCTCTCACTCCAAGGTCGCCTCGCCATTACACAGAAGCAACTTGGCAACTCTAGCGTTGTCACAATGAAACCCGATGCCACAGACCTGGTGGATGCCTTCGATGTCTATGATCATCTGAACGACACCTCGGCCATCGGAAAAGGTCTCACAGGTGCCTTCCAACCCTCGTGGTCCCCCTATGGCGATCTGGTTGTTGGACTGGGCTCGTGGTTCCAATCTCGTGCCACAGGGTCAGGCACATTATGGCAAATCAGCGCCAATGGCTCTACCGCTGAGCAGCTCACCTTCGAAGACGAGGCCAACACGGGCTTCCCCAGCTACTCCCCCGACGGGAAGTCCATTGTGTATCGTGTCTTCGGCAAGGAATACGGGCTCCGCGTCATGGACCTTGCCACCCGCTCCGTCCGCGTACTCACCAACGGCACCGCAGACGTCTACGATAATACACCCATGTGGTCCCTGGACGGCGAGCGAATTGTGTTTGCGCGCCGTCGCTCCTACACGAACTTCGACGTTGCGACTATTCGACCCGACGGCACAGATCTGCAGATCTTGACGACCAGCGGCGGCAATGACGCGCATGCAGTGTGGAGCCACGATGGGAGAATCATGTACAGCACGGCCGAGTATGGGTTTCGCGATGAGTGCGCAGGTTATGATCAGACATTTCAGCCGTACGGGCAAATTGTAATCATGGATGCGGATGGGTCGAATAAAAGATTGGTTACGGACAGTATGTGGGAAGACTCGATGCCCCTTTTCGTGGGTAGTGAATATCTGGGCTAGAGGCGAGAGGTATGGTGCGCAGATTGACGTAATAAAGCGGATCAAGGCGCATTCAAAAGCCTGACAGCCATGGTTCAAAGATGGACGAAATGACCAGGTGCCGTGTATGAACAGATTATGGAACCCACCAGAGCAATCACTCCAACCTTAGCGTTCGTGCACACGTGGAGGTACGGAAAGGAAGGATGAAGGTCCATAGTTGGCCGCCACGGCAAGTGGGGTCGTGGCTGTGATGGTGGCTGTGACGGTGGCTGTGACGGTGGCTGTGACGGTGGCTGCAAGATTGACCCGTCATGTCGAATCCCCCTCGCTTCCTCCAAGAACCACTCCTCCGACACCGCGTTTTCTGGTCTGGATGCCATCCACGGATCTTGCGTGCAATGTGTTCGACGTGCTGAGCGTTCTAATGAGCCGCAAGGGAGCATCGCACAACACTGCCGCATGTCGTCATGCAAACACCTGATCGGAAACACATCCAAGCATCGTGCCTCAGCCCTGCATGTTTTTCTAACCCATTCATCCCTTCGGTCCCTCGAAACCGCGAATTGCACCAGGCACCGCTCGCAGGACGCAGGAATGCGCAGCGTACCCTGCATGGCGTCCTACACAATCAATATGAACTCGAAACGATAGCGCCTATCGAAAAGTAGGACACACGAGTAGAGTTCTACGTATCGGACTGTGCGAACCAATCAGCGCCCTTCACATAACCTATCGGGAGCTGAGCGGGCTGACAGGCATGCATGTCCGTGCTCCTCACCGGCATTCGATTGCTTTTCTTAGAACAAAATGCGCAGATGCGTACAACACGCATCGTGATGGAGAAGACCCTTTATGTGGTGGCCGCTGGAAGCTCCAATGTTCGCCGCATGCCCACGTTTCTGAGCGACCTTGACGGCTGTGCCAACACGGCCTGTTCTTGCCCATTTCTGAATATACAGCGCCTTGCCGCTTCCATGGTGCAGGAACGATAGCTTTGTCGACTAGTCCGTACTAACCCTTCATCACACTCGTTCACCATGGACCCTCTCCAAGAGGATGTCTATACCGACTTCGTTCGACCAGAGAGCATGGTTGGCCTGGAACCAAGTAAATCACCGCCGATACCCACCAGACAATCCGCGACGTCTGCTCGCCGATATCGCTTGAGTCTGTCTCCCTTAGACAGCCTTCAAGCCGAATTCAAGAGGTACAACAGCACAGAGCAAAGCGGAAGTCTGCGACTATCGCAACCCTCAAACCAGCGGGTTCTTGTAAGTGCGAATCTCATATCAAAGTTGTCAACTATGGCTATGTGCCAATGGCTAAGAGACCATGCGGCGGTTGGTCCATCTCGGGACATCCGAATCGGTAGCCAGACTCTGGACCGAGTGCCATGCATGTGTCGGCCAGTAGTTGCGAAAGGCTGAAGTCGAATCTTGTCTCTCAATCAGCAATGTCAAGCGAGTTCCACCGGCTGTATCGATGTGAGCCTGCGGGCAAGGCTGATCTTCAACAGAGTCTCTCGCAGAGCGGTGCGCCAGAACGCACTCTGAGTCGCAAACAGGCACGTCAATTTGCGTTGCCCTCTAATCCAGGGACCTTCACAAGCTTAGCAGACGTCGATGAGCTGCCGGACTCAATCTCGGATGTGCCCGATTGGGACTTCATCCTCAAGAATCCGGTAGCCGCGGAGCGTCCCCGAAATAGCGATTGCCCAAGCCTCTTCACCGGAAGCACAATCAGCAGTCGGAACTCGTCAACAAGGTCCGCAAGGTCGATCAAATGGGATGCCTTGGAGGCACAGGACAAGGGCGTGTGTCCATACCCTGATTGTGGTCGAGTTTTCCGTGACCTTCCCGCACACCTACTCACTCATCAAGCTGAGCGGCCCGAGAAATGTCCCGTTGCGAACTGCGAATATCGCATCAAAGGCTTTGCTAGGGCTTACGATCGGGTTCGGCATACACTTAGCCACTTCAAAGAAACCATGGTGTGCGGATTCTGTCCCACGACTACCTTCATCGCAGAGAGAACTTTTAATCGCTGCGATGCCTTCCTCAAACATCTGGTCACCGTCCATGGTGTCGAGCAAACACTAGCTGGTCGAAAGGATGATGTTTATGGGGAGAGGAATAGGACACAGAAACATCTGACTAGTCAGAGGGTTGCAACGTGTGGACTGTGTTCGGAACCATTCGATGCCCAAGGGTTTTATGAACACCTTCGAGGATGTGCCCTTCGCCAAATCACAAGAAGCTGCACAGTTGCCCAATTAATTGAGGGCCATCAAGAAACAAAGAGCCCCCCAAAAGGAAATGAACTTGGCGACGACCCTGTTCCTACTGCATCCTATGGATCTCTACAGATTCCCCGCACGCCAGAGCAGCTATATGCCCCTTCCACGCGACCACGGTCGCCCCTGGCTTCGATCGAGGGTTTAGATTCCCCTGTTGCGCCAAAGTCGCAGTATCACGATCCAGAGAGCAAAGAGATAGCTGAACTCACGGCATCATCACGCTGCCTGTCTCTCACCTCTTCGCAGGATGAAGCTGTGAAATCTTCCGACGAGGAGACGGACTGGACCGAAGATATGGGTTCTCCAGACAGCGTAACAGATGCCGAGAGCCTCCGGCCAATGCTGTCTCCAATCAAGCAGCAACTTGTCAATCGCCTCATGAAAGAGTTTCATTGCATATGCGCCAAGATGTTTCGTACGCATCACGGTGCTGGCACTGCCGGCAGCGCGGGCTCGGGATACTACACAGGATCGAGCGGATCGTCAACCTATTCCAGCTCGTCTTTCGTCTCCCGTAAACGAAGTCTAAGCGGCGGCAGCTCACCTCCTCCGGATGACAACGGAGATGACTCGAACAAGCGTAGAAGACCTGACCCCAAGCACAGCGCTGGCAAGCACAGTGTGCCCGAATTAAGGTTCGCGTGTCCCTACTACAAGCGAAATCCTGGGCGGCATCAGACCTTCACATCTTGTCGCGACCCTGGGTTCATTACCGTCGCACGACTCAAGTAAGTCCGGCTTCGATAAGTCTTTAACTTGGCTCTGTACACGTGAAATGATTGCGCGACTGATAAACCTGCCAGAGAACACCTCTACCGTCGCCATCTTCTACCAATTCAGTGCAACCGTTGTTGCTCGACGTTTGCCAATGAGCCTACCCTCCGCGAACATCAACGCGATCCTCGTGGCTGCGAGATCAAAGAACAGGTACCACTTGAAGGCTTTGATAAGGATCAAGAACGGAAGTTGAAGAGCAAAAAGCGCAGTCTGGTTTACCAGAGTGAGGAAGACAAGTGGAAGGGTGTATATCGTATCCTGTTCCCAGACGACAACGATGTCGATATGCCGTCGCCTTGTACGTATAACTCATATATCCTTTAGCGAACGACCGTTTGACTCTCTACTATAGACATTGAATACCAGCCTTGCGCGAACGGCGGGCCGACAGGAGAGTCGCCCAATATTGCACGCTTCCAAGAGTTCTCCCGACTTGAACTACCGCGTTTGGTCCGTAGAACACTAGAAGTGACCATCGAAGAAGAAGCGCAGCCGTTGGAGGAGAAGCTGAAAGAGCGTCTCGTTGACATCGTGCGGGATTGCCAGACGCAACTCATAACTCTATTCCAATCTACCATGACTCGAAGTGCAAACTCGTCAGCGCTTTCGCTTTCACAACTCCGGATACCAGAAACCGAAAATGTCGTGGAGCCTTCAATTGCGACGAGGATCGTTCCAGTGCATGGCACACAACAGCATCCGGGTCCAGCGGCACCTTTCCACAACTTTGACTCTATACAGACATCTGATACGGCAGACTACATGGCTATTCCTGCGCAGTACCCAGAGCATGAGCCAATGGTCACAAAGCACGAGGCATCACCACCCGTCGAAGGCGGAGGGAGCACGCCCGACTCAGGGTACGATTCCACCTGGCATGCTGCACCTTTGCCACCAGAAAATTACATCCAGAATCAGGGCAACTTCACGCATACACTTCCGTTTGCACCTACGGCACACCTTCCGCAGCATCAGGCCCAGCCTGCATATAACTCTGGGCCTATGTTTGTAGAGTCGGACTACGTTGATTTGGGAGGGTACTACGGGTTGTTCCAGAGTCGGAATGCTGGGTTTGATGCGGGCATGATGGATCCGTCGTGGGCGTATCTGGATAGTGCAGGTAGTGATGGAAGTGGGAATGGACTGGGGCATGAACATGGCCATGGCCATGGGCGCGGGAATGGGGCGGTAATATAATGTCAGCTAGATAACACGAGCGCTCTGGCAGTGCCGTTTTCCTGACCCATCTTGCCGCACCAGCGATGTCATGATGTGTCGTTCAGAAAATATAAGAGGCATGGAACCGATCGGCCATAGCACATAGTAAGCTTTTATAATAGCTACCGGTAGCCTTACGAAAGATGCTCGAAACGAAGCCCAGTTGCTTCAGCTGCACCATCGCAGATATGCGGCGAAATTGTGAACAGCATACTTGCGGTTGTTGTCCTGTCATCGCACCGCTTCGGCGGCTTCTTAGTTTGAGGCGTTCAATAACAGCGATGGATGCTGGGAGCGGTACAGAAATGAGACGTAGTATGGTTTATCCCGTGTAGCCGGCGCATCTCCAGACGTTTTGACGTGTCGCGCGATGAGGCCTTTTGTAAGGATATATGAAACAACAACGCTGCTGTTAGCTTCGTGAGGCATCCCAACAGCGAGACTCGTTTGCGATGGTGGCATGGCTATCTCGAAGTCTACCTCAATATCGGGAGAGTCTGGATGGGATCACAGTACCCTGCAGAGCTGAACGTACGTATACCAGCACCTGTGCGTTGTGAACCTTGCCCTGGGCTGAAGACATCATTGGTCTGCTGCATGGACATAGTCCCATATCGGGTGTCTTCTGCTCACCATAGCGAGGCCATGGATAGACACACTGTATGCGCCACATTGCGTGCGACGACGGCGACCTCGGACCATAGTTCTCGCACTGCATCGCCCGACGTGAAGCCGGATGAGGGTAGGCGTGCTGATTGGAGCAGTGAGGCGAGTCCAGACTTGCGAATGTGGGGAAAGCATGAGCGCTCCTAGGGGGTTTGGTGTTGGTTGGAAACGCACTCTGCAAGGGTCACCTCAGCCATGCGTTGAAGCGTTCCAATGTGTGCCATGTTGCCAGGTATTTCATGCAGACACTATCCGACAGCGTGAAGTGAGCAATGGCTGCCGTATGCTCATCCTGTATTTTGATCTTTTACTCGATGCGCAGGAAAGCATTCGACTTGATGTCATGTATTGATCGAAGTGAGCAGCCTCAAATTTCGCAGTTGGATGAGGGGGGTCAGTCTACCACGGGGAGGAAGGTCACGGTGTAATAGCGATGGTCGCAATGTTCCCATTGTTGGAAGATGCTCTCCTAACTTGGACAAGGTCGGGAGGGCCCGAGCGATGTTCAGATATGTTGATGCGAGTCGCGGCACAGTTACCGCAGCGTGCGGAAGCAGCCGATTTTAGCAGCGCCGAGACTCGCCGTGTACAAATAGACTTTCGACTTCTGGTGGTTTTGGAGTCTGGCCGATGAGATGCCTTGATGAAGCTAGGACAAGTGACCGGAATCGCCCTAGCGACCGAATCCATTGACAAAACTGCAGGCGCAGCTTCAGCCCTCGACATATGGGGCAAGCGGCTCAGAGTCTGTACGCATACGGAAATCCGCATCGGATTGCAGTAAACACTGGGAGGCGCAGCCAGCGTACTATGTAGATGCTCGGGGTCGACAACGGTGTCAGGCATCAGCCTCGCGACCGAATTTTCGGTGTTGGTGGTCAACATCACGGTGGAGGAATCAAACTACCGAAAACGGCAATAGGCGTAGAGCTGAAGATTCGCACTCGGTTTCGTGGCGCAGCCTGGCAAGCTTCATTCGAACACTGTTCATTCGTCGGCGGAAGCATGCCGGCACATGACTGGAGCTTCGGGGCATCATCGGGACGTGGAAGCACTAGGGCAATGGGCATGATGAAAACACCACGAGGTCAGCACGGAGCCATGGCCTGGAGCTTCTCGTGGCCGTTGCGCCGGTAGTGAGATGAGGTCGGCAGTTTTTTTTTGCCCGAGGTGGGACAATCGTCGACGGCGCTTGGTGTTTCATGAGCTCCGACGCCCTGAGGACCCACTGCGAGACAGCGGCCAGTAGTGCAACAAACCGCCGGATGAGGGAGCAGCGTCAAGAAAACCACGTCGTCAGAAAAGGACATCTGGAGCGTTCAGCAGAGGCCCGCGATCAATCAGAGATAACAAGCGTCCGGACGAATACCGTCAGCGATCGCAAGCTGTTCCCTTTGAGGGGAGGCGTTCGCGTGCACAGCCGCCTTGTGCTGGGAGGCGTCGGCGTCGGCGCGTTGCGGGCGACCGACGGGTGCAGGCGACGCAATCCATTCCTGCCCGGCAACCGCCATTTCTCGTCGCTGGCGTCGCTCTCCAGGCGGCGGAGACGAGCGACAGAAGTGCGCTGGCGGTAATGCACCACGGCCAAAATAGATGGCATTGCACCCACCGTGGAGACAGGATCTGAAGAGTGCTGGCGATCAGGGGATCCGTCGACGCCGAAAGAGGAGCAGCGGCCGAGCGCTTGGCTCCCAGCGGCCCCAATGCCTTCTGGCGTGGGCACCGCCTCACCCTGAAACGCCTCCGAGCAAAAGCCCTCCACCCTCCGTCTCCCTTCGTCTTCATCTTCAGCACCATATCCTCATACCGTCGCGACAACGCAACCGTTCCCTATTCGCGCCTTTCCCTCTCCACAACCATCCACCGCGGCAGGAGACCAAGGTACGTGAAGCCAAGCCACACCGGCGGAACAACCGGGAAAAGAAGCGAGCTGACGACGACTTTCAGACGCCTAACCGCTCTGGTGGCCCAGACTCGTCCCCCGACTTCAGCACCTCGCAACAACCCTCTTGACGCCTAAGGAGCCCGCCCTCGTCGTCCGCAACACCCACCGGCTCGAGCACTCCCACCACGCACCCAAACAATGGCGACAGCCGTCCATCATGCCATGACCATGCCGTCAAACTTCGGAAACGCCAACCAGTGCTTCGATCCCGACACGGATTCGCTCTTCGACTTCAGCCAGCTGCCCTCGCCCACGCCCCCCACCATCTCCAGACAGCCGTCCAACGCTGCATCCGCCATCACTAGCCCCACCAACACCGTCCTCGATGGCGAAGACATGCAGACGCCCGCAAAGCCCAGCCACGAGTATGAGCGCTTCAAGCAGCAAACCGGTCTGCCCACCGGCTCTATTGCAGGCATCAACCCCTCATACAGCTCGAGTCACTCCATGTACTCATCCACAGGCATCGATGAGATGAGCCTGATGGGTGAGTCCTCCATGATGGGAGGCTGGAACAGCGGTATCCCCATGGATATGGACGTGTCCATGTCGCAGCCCGCCTTTTTCTATCCCTCCAACGGCGCCTCACAGTCATCCGACTTCGTGGACCCCAGCGCTATTACCCAAGAGGAGGTACAGAACGTCCGCGTCTGGCCTGGCATGCATCAGCAGCAAGCCCAACAGCAGGCACTTGCCAAGGCCCAAGCACAGGCTCAGCAACAGAGGGCCCAGCAGCTTGCCCAGCAAAGGCATCAGCAGGCCAGTCAGCAACAGAGCCGCCATCACCATGGTCGCAATGCTTCCAACAGCCCCTTGAGCGACGCCCGCACAGAGGAGACCATAGCTCGCGTTGTCAATCAGATCCGTCAGCAGAGCCAGAACAGCGCCCTCGCTGGTGCCAATGGTCAAGGTGACCTTCTGCCTCACATCATCCGTGCGAAGAAGGATGAGGAGGACATGGACGAGGATGAGCGCCTGCTCGCCTCCGACGAAGGCAAGAAACTTAGCTCCAAGGAGCGTCGCCAGCTTCGTAACAAGGTCTCCGCTCGCGCTTTCCGATCGCGCAGGAAGGGTAAGCACCATCATCACCATCAAGATGACACCAGCTAACGCAGAACAGAGTACATCGGCCAGCTTGAGGGCGAGGTTGCTATGAAGACCAATGAATGCAACGAGCTTCGTACCCAGAACCGCGCTTTGATGGAGGAGAATGCCCGCTCCAGAGCATTCATTGAGCGTCTCCTCCGCCACCAGGCTTTCACTCCCTTCCTGGAGGAGCTTTCCCGTGACGAGAGCCTCGAGACCAAGCCTGCGATGCCCACTCTCTCCGGTTCTACCACCCCTACCCCTGCACCCGTTCGCAAGGACGTCAGCGCCTACCAGAGTCAGCAATTTGGTGCTATGTCGCAGCCTCAAGTCGGCATGACCCTCGTGCCCGAGACCCCTCTGGACATGTCGATGCTCAACTTGAACTCGAACGGCTGGGCCATGAACAACGGCAGCTCCTCGTTCAACTATCAACAGCCGCAGGTCTTTGCCGTGACTCAGCTCCCCGCCGGTCCCAGCCACCCTCTTGACATGGATGTCCTCTCTGGCAAGGGCTACAGCTCTATCTTTGCTGCTGAAGATGATGCCTCAGCTGAGCAAGCCAAGCCTGACTACCCTGTCGTCGAGCGAGCCATGCCTTCTGAGAAGCCTGCTCCGGTCGAGGCCGAGGATGAAGACCCAGAGTTCGATCTTTACAACTCTGCGCCTGCTTCCAAGTCTGCCGTTGTCATCCCCAGCATTGAGAACCACGAGTCTCTCTTCGGTGACGTCAGCTCCGAAAAGGTCTTCGCGCACTTCCAGCTCCAGATTTCCGATGAGGTCGCTGATGAGCTCAAGATGGCCCGCTTTCAGAGACAATGTGCCAGGATGGAGGCAGTTTTCGACCGTGTTGCGGCTTTGACATCGCACCTCGACTCATGAAAATAGTAGCCAGTCTTTTTCTTGTCTTCCAGGCCCAGACTGCGGGCTCTGCACTTCGGGCTCCCGGTCGCACATCGACACGGGATTCCATTGACCTGTCACTTCAAGATGTGGATCCCCTACTTTACTGGCTTTATAACCGCTATGCCTACACGGCTCTCTGTTAGATTGAACGCATGACTCACGATTTCCTTTGTTAATCGCTGGCCAGAAAGGCTTCAGCGCGGGGTTGGCGTTTTACATAGTATTACTAGGAAGGGCAATTGGCAGGTATTCGCTGTATATTGGTTTAGATAGACGGCAACGGCCGGATTTGTGAATGATAAATAAATTTAGTTGAACAACCTACGTCAATTGGCGCGTGATGACAATACCTTCTCCGTTTGCTCTATTGCTTTGGAACGGCATTTGGTGTACAACAGCTTTCCAAGGTTGTGGAGTCTTCGCAGGCAGGGGCCATCGGCAGCTAGTAACAACGTTTCTCCGACGAACCAAAAAAGTGATGCTTGCTCGTGCAATTGACTTGACTACTAGGTCGCGCATCATACCCGCCGCCTGTACATGTGCCCCTCATCCTGTCATTCCTCCGAACGTGGCCACATTGGCTATCATCACGACCGCCGTCCGGCGCTTTACGACCGTTACGACCGTTCTTCGCTCCGCGCGCAACTTTGGTAGCAGCAGCGCTCGCTACTCCGGGGACAGTTCTAATCTAAGCATACTATTCAAGCTCTCGACGAGGCACGATAACGGCACGAAGCCTGTAATAACATATACGCCAGTCCGATCGGCCGGTCCTCCCGAGTCAGGCGTGCGACCGCGACCAGAAGCGCAACCGTTACAAGCACAACCGCGTTCAGCTTCATGGAACAAATCTGGACTGTCCGATGACGTCCAGTTCTTAGCGACCGGACTACCAGCTCTTCTTGAGCCACTCAAGGTACCGCCACAAGATAACAGAACCCCGCGTCCAGAAGCGAACAAGGGCGCGAGTCTTGTTCGTCGCGATTCAAGCAAGATGGCCTCCTCTGTCCAGATTATAACGTCGCCTACAGCGGACACACCGGGCACAACGCTTATGCTGCAAACTCAGAAACAACACTACATCTTTGGCACCCATGCCGAAGGTACGCAACGGGCCATGGTGGAGCAAGGTTTGCGGATGACCAAAGTCCAGAACTTCTTCATGACAGGAAAGATGGATTGGCAAAACGCAGGCGGATTGATTGGCATGACTCTGACGCTGGCTGATTCGGCTACGTCTGCGTACGATATGGCTATGGAGGTTTATCGCAAGGGCAAAGGCACGAAAAAGCTCCAGGAGCCACAGCGGCCGAAGATCAACGTTTACGGACCGCCGAACTTGAAGCACGCTCTGAATACATGTCGCCGGTATATCTTTCGGAAGGGTATTCCGGTGATTGCGACCGAGTACAAGGATGTACCAATACATAAGAATGACCAAGGCGCTATATTGCCAACATGGCAAGACAACGCGATACAGGTCTGGGCTTTGTGTACATCTCCTGCACGGAAATGTGTAGATCCAGATCGTGAGCAGCAGTTGGCTAAGCTACAGGATGCTTATGAACGATATGCAAACAACTTCGAGGAACATCAAGCACCCGAAAATGAGTCTGCCGAGCAGAGGGATGCACGCTATGATCGCATCAGATCAGCGGTCTTGAACCTGATGTTCAACTCCAAATGGACTCTGGACACATTGGTGGAGCGACACATTTCAGATGTCGAGCCGCCTGCCGCGATATTCGTTCGCAATTCTGAGACGAACCGTATCGAAGCCTACCGTGGACCGAAACCTGGTAGTGGAGACCCTTTACCAGATATCAAAGTTCTCACGCGTACACCATGGCCAGGTGCGACAATTACTGGTCTTCCGCCTACAGCACCAAAGGCAGAATCGCTTTCGTATATTGTGCGCTCGCAATCAACACGAGGTACCTTTGATGCAAAACGCGCAAGAGAATTTGGGTTAAAACCTGGACCAGACTTCGGTATGCTAAGCAAGGGCCAAAGTGTGCAGAATAATAAGGGAGAAACTATTACCCCACACATGGTCATAGGACCTGACAAACCAGGAAATGGTTTTGCTATATTAGATGTTCCTTTGGTCGATTATCTGGAAACCTTGATACAGAGAGAAGAGTTTATGTGCGAAGATCTTACAAAAGACATTAAGATATTCTACTGGGCTCTTGGACCCGGTGTTTCTGGACATCCTCTACTGCAGCAGTTTCTAGAACGGTTCAACCATGCGGAACACTTTTTCTCCTCTGTGGATGATTGCCCGAATCGTATATCGCTCGATTCTGTGGCAGCTCAGACGATTCGACTTTCGGCCATCGACCCCGCTCGCTACCGCATACCCCAGCAGGACGTTAAGACCCTTCCCCAGACGAGCCTTTACGGTCTAGGATCACCCGGAAAAGCAGCCAGTATGCAAAATGTAACTCCTGCTGTGAAGGGGATCAAACATATCCTAATGCCCAAGTTTGAGCGGAAAGTAGATGAAGCAACAGAAGAAGAAAAATTCCGTAGTAAAGAAGAACAAGAGACACCTGATGTTTTTGAAATGGAGGTGCGAGCGCAAATGGATCCAAAGGTTTTGAAACTAGCCGAGGAAGCTCAGCAAGCGGTGAAGAACGACCACGAGGCTCTGTCAAGGTGGCGGCAGCTCATTGCACGGCCCGATACGGAGGTGGTTACTCTCGGGACGGGCTCAGCTTGCCCTTCAAAATATCGCAATGTATCTGCGACGCTTTTGAGGGTACCGGGCGTTGGTAACTATCTGTTCGATTGCGGCGAAGGTACCTTGGGCCAACTGCAGAGGGTCTTCAACACCGACGAGCTGGTTGGCATCCTCAAAGACCTGCGCATGATCTGGATAAGCCATCTTCACGCAGATCACCATCTCGGTACTGCTTCTGTGATACGCGAATGGTACAAACTCAAGCACAACAGCGTCCCACAGGTCGACCATCCATCAGAGTCAACTGTACTCGCGGACAACGCGTCGAAGTATGGCCTTTCCGTTATTTCACACGAAGGAATGATCAAGTGGCTCCGGGAGTACTCATTAGTGGAAGACTTTGGACATAGCCGCATATTGCCGTTGGAGATCTCTGCCGTTGGACGGTTCGAAGACTCCGGATCTCGACTCACTTTCACTTCCACCGCCGCCTCAGGACAAATGGAAAACCGTTTAGTCCTCCAACAAAAAGACTACGAAGCCATCCTCGGATTGTCCGACATGCAAGCATGCAGAGTCTCCCACTGTCATGGCGCGATGGCAGTATCCCTAACCTTCCCCCGCGCATCTGCCGACCCAGAAAATATAAAGCCGCTCAAAGTGTCGTACTCGGGCGACTGCCGCCCAGCTCATACCTTCACCCTCATCGGCCGCAACTCCACCATCCTCATTCACGAAGCCACCTTCGACGACGAGCTCAAAGGCGATGCCATCGCAAAGAAACACTCGACTACCTCAGAAGCCCTCGGCATCGGTGCCCAGATGAATGCGAAAGCCGTTGTCCTCACACACTTCAGCCAGCGCTACCAAAAAATTCCCGTCTTGCAGACCGTCCAGGACGGCGAACAAGACGACCTGCCCGACCCCAACGCCATGGAAGATGTTCAACAAGATGACGGCGACAATGCGCAGACAGCTCCTACCGATGCCGCGGTCGGGACCTCCGCTCTGCCCTCCGACTCTGCGCGCCCGCCAGCTTCACTGAGCAAGGCGGAGGGCTCGACGGCGCACGAGCAGGTCATCAAGGTGCGGTCGAAGGACATGAAGGTCGCCATTGCTTTCGACTACATGCGTGTGAAGATTGGGGAGATTGCGCAGCTGGAGAAGTTCAACGAGGCGCTAAATCGGTTGTTGACCGCGGAGGAGGAGGCCGAGGTTCCTGGTTCAGAGGGCGTTGTTGAGGGGGTGCCCGTGATTAATAGTAATGGGAAGAAGACTAGCGGCGATGAAGGGGGTGGTTGGATGAAGAAGAAGAGTAAGAGAAACAACTAGGGTGGCAGACGAGAGGTGTATGAATAGCCATATGCATAGGGTGAAGTTTGTGCTGTCAGATAGAGCAATGTGAGCAACAGCTGCGAGAAGATCCCGAGCGCGTACCGAATGGTCGCACCGAGTAAGCTACATTCCTACTTTTGTACAAACAATCCGTACTATACATATACACGCTCCTCTCTTACATGTTTATGAAACAGACGCGCCTCATATGCCGCAAAGCTATGCTCCTTCTTCGATATTCGCCTCTAACCCTACCTATTACCTGGTTGCCAGCTGAATTTCACCAGTGGCGTGGCGCCTGAGATTCGTCCGAAAGATATCCGTCATGCTCTGCGTTCACGTACTCGGTGTCCACCTCTGGCGTCTGTTGGTAGCGTGTCTGCCCATTTGGCGCCTGCTGATATGACATCTGGGTTTCCTCGGATGGCACTTGCTCATGCCCACTTTGGTCGTAATGCTGTTGCTGTTGCTGGTATTGTTCGTACTGCTGTTGCTCGTACAGCTCATGCTGATACGGTGCCTGCGGCTGCTCGTAGCTAGCATCACCTTGCATGGCCTGCGCGACGCGGTCACCTCGTGCACTCCCCGGGGCGCTGAGATGTTCGCCAGCCAGACTCTCCAGTAGCTCAGGGGCGAGCGCCCGAACAACGTAGAAGAACTGGTCGCGATCAACCTGGTGCAGGTTCGTCGGCGCGTCCTTCGCAACACCTGTTCCTAGCTGGACATCACGCACAATGGCCCTCGCGCGGTCCCATTTACCGGCCTTATATAGCGCTTTGACAACCTCAATGAGTGCAACGAAGCTGGGCCTCTTGCCGTGCGCGCCCATCTTGGTGAGTACCGTCATCATGGACGCGATTTCGCCGACCCTCGCATACCCTTCGATGAGTCGGTCAAAGAGGAATCTGTCCGTAGGCGCCGCGGGCGGCCCCAGGATGCGCGTTACGAGACTATCAATCTCTCTGATGGCTGGCGGATCTTGTTGAAAGTAATGTGTGACTAGCGAAGTGTATATTTGCGGCGAGACGGCGAAGCCGCGACTCATCATGTGATCAATGACAGCGCGCACGCCTTTGTAGTTTTTGAAATTTTTCAGTAAGCGGTCCACAGCGATCTGGTACACGTAAGTGTTGGGCTTTAGGCCACCTTGTTCGAGTTGATCGAAGAGACCAAGGACACGATCTGCCTGCTCCTGGTGTGAGAGGTCGTCAAACTTCTGGTTGTCGAAGGCCGCACGGAGGAGCATGGTGTGCGTAGCAAGATCACCTTCTATACCCTCCTTCTCCATTTGTCGAAGTAGCTTGAAGGTGGTCGGAAAGTCATTGCCCTCGAGGTAGAGCTTGATCAAAGCGTTGTAGGTGCGAGCATCAGGTTTGATGCCAAAGTTGCCAGCCCACTGCAGGATCTTATGTACGTATGACAATTTTGTTTCGAAGGTGATGCCTTTGCTCCGATGACTTAGGACCTTTCCTTTGAGGGGTAATTGGGCGATAGCGTCGACCGCGCCGTTGATGACTCCAATAGCTGGCTTCGTGAAATTGTTGGCCATCTTTGCACTAGATTGAAGGTTTCTAGCACCTTTTGCTTTGCCTGCGTCTTTGATTGCGTTCTCAGCCGACAGCCACCTCTTGCCCATCTCGTCCAAGATGACCAGACCCGCCTCAACTTGCACATGAGTGCCAATAGTTGAGTGGACCCGCGTTGTCCAACAACGTTGGTCAGGCTCGAAACCAGAGCGTAGCATTCGGTCCCACACAGCATTCATGCCGGCCAGGTCTTTGGCTTTTGCGCAGCCCATTAACATTGCGTTCCACGTCTCCAAATCCGGTTTGACGCCGTGCGCAATCATATGGTTCCAGACTTTTACAGCGTGGTCTGGTTGAAACAGAGTCATGAAACCCGATAGAAAAGCGTTGTATACTGGTGGGGGTATCAGCGGCTTCGCATCAGACGCTTTATACGTAGTTTCAACCTCTCCCCAGATCTCCTCCAACCCGCGGACGTTGGCTTGCATCATCACTTGTCTATAGATGCGTTTGAGAAAGGACTCTTGCAAGTAAGAGGCCTTCTCTTCTGGAGTCACTGATGGGTCGAGACCATTTATTCTCCTGGCTAGGCTGGGAGCCAGGTCCATCTGGGCAGCGATGGACCGTCGATACTCTTCGCCTAAGCTCTTGATCTGAGCATTGACTTCTGCGTGTTTGAAAGCGACCACTATGTTTGATCCGGCCAACGTCGAAGTCAACAACCGAAGAAATGGCTGATTTTGTTCTCGGAGAGCGTCTGGAATAGTACGCGGAGGCTGCGTTTCTCCATAGAAGTAGTTGAAGATGTTTATAGCCGAGTACTGTAACTCGGGACCAGTAGGGTGCGTACGATGAAACTGCTGAAGCCGTGCCCCATAGTTTTTGCCTGCTTCGAAACGAACTTCTGATTCAGGGATCGTCTTCCATTCAGAGTTGATGGATTCAAACGGGTCTCTATCTTGCTGTGTCCCGTGGCGCTGAAAAAAAAGCTTCCAAAGAGACAGTAGCTCGACCAAAATCGCCTCTGTGCCCCGTTGTGTTGTGGAGATAGATGTTGGAGCCCCGCGTTGGTCGGCCGGTGCCATTGACAACAGGAACTCGTATGTGAGTTGTGCTATCGTCTGTTTCCATATGCCTTTTGGTGCTATGTCCAGTTGTTCGTATCGAAAGAGGACTTCGGTCGGTGTAGGGACTTGGTTGTTTCCGTGGGCGAATTCCATACTAATGCCCTGAGCAAGCCGTGTAAATATACCGCCGCCCGTGAGAACGGGGATGTCGCTGAGCGATGGATCGGTCAGAGCTGGTACGTCTCGTGAGGAGTAGGTTTTGTCGAAGAGGTCCCAGGCTGCTTTTACGTTGTTACGCTTCAAAAACCCATTTATGGTTTGCGCAACAGACGTGACTGCGTCTGAACCAAACGCGGATTTTGTCTCACGATACTGCTTCTGCCGGTGCTGCCCAGGTGGGCCTGTAGGCTGCGCGCTTCGGGAGTACCAACCCGCTGCTCCATTCCCTTCACTGTAATTATTATGATGACCCTGAGTGAGATCCGTCTCTTGGCCACGTCGTTCGTATGGTATCCTAAGCCCTTGAGACTGTCCCTCTTGCACCGCAATATCCTCATTTTGGGCCTCTTCAGGCGGTGGTTGCGCCTCATGGTTGGTTTGCGGCGCATTTGGGTTTTTGCGGAACGAGACGATGGTGGCTTTGGACTGCAATTGGGGGTGCCGCGGAGTTGGTAATCGTCGCGAGAGCTGCAGCCTGCATTGTTGGCAGACATGTGAGCGCATCATGGCGCTGCACGGGGCCGACGAAGGCGTTTGAGTCCGGTGAGCTGCTGTCTCTCTTTCGCGTCTTCCGTCGCGCGATCGATACGCAGGCAGGCGCTAGCTGCGAACGGCAATGCCGCTCCGGCCAAAGCTCCTTCCCACGTGCGACGCGATGGCGGTGACGCATGAGCCGCAATCTCCATCCAACTTCTCTTCTTTCGATATCGACGCAATTGGAGGGAGGAGAAGCTGCTGTTTTATTGTAATCCTCGCAATTCCGCTGTCATGACAACGTTCGTTCCGCGTGCGCCGTATACGAAGGAGGAGCTCGCCCAGCTCTATCCGCAGGAACTAGAGCTACAGCTAGTTCAAGTTGTGAGTACCTCCAATCTGAAAGAGAAATGGCATAATCCACTGCGGTTCCTTGAATCTAACTTCACTCTAGCTACTTCGTCATGGTCCGGCATACAATCCCGACCCATCCTGCATGACAGCCACAGTTGACCAATCCGTCTAGGTGAACGCAGCCCGGTGTCACCAAGGTTCCAAAATGTAACATCCAAACCTAACCACTGCTCGTGTCGACAAGACTGATTATGATATACAGGCAGGCCTGCGACCATGTATGCTTCGTAGCGCGGTGGTCGAACATGAATGATTAAACTATTACAGATTGGCCGTATTGCAACTCCGCCCGCCAGTTTTCCAGCGTTGTGATGGCAACCACAGACTGGTCAAAGTGGGATCAGTTGAAATACAGACGGAGACTGGAGACCTTTGGCCTCGACGATGGCCCTGGTACACCGCCTATCAAAACCAGTATTTCCAAGTTCTAAATTAGAGCAGTAATCGCTTCCGGTCCGGACGGAGAGTTTGATGGTATCTGGTATGGTGCTCTGTCTTTTCTTAGTACTACATTGCAAGGTTGAACGCAGGCTGCCAACAGTGTTCAAATCCCGATGCGGCGTTGTATGCAGACATGCACTGACGAGCAACGATGTAGCCAACCCGGAGAACTTACAGAGAAGGGACGCGAAACGACTCTTGCTCTTGGACAACGTCTGCGCCGTCTTTATGTAGACCAACTCCACTTCATGCCAAAGCTCATCTCCGACTCGGACATGATCTACCTGCGAGCAGCTCCGATCCCGCGAGCTTTAGAATCCGTGCAGCAGGCCTTCTATGGTCTCTATCCTCCCAGTGCTAGGACAGCCGACTTTCCCGCCCCAACCATCATCACCAGAACACCTGCAGGCAAGTCTCACGGGTACAAAGTGGATGCGTGTTCTCTGCTAAGCAAAAGAAAGACCATTTTTATCTCATTACGACATAGAAAAGAGTCTTTCCTTCGCTTAGCCAAGACACGAGGCAATGTACCATTCCCTCTTCTTTGAAACATACACTGACTTTGTATCTTCGGATTTGGCAGACGAGACACTCTTCCCTAACGACGGCAACTGTAGACGCTTCGCCCATCTGAGCCGCGCATTTGCCAATCGTGCGGCCGAACGTTGGAATGAGACGGAAGATATGCAGTATCTCTCCAAGCTGTTTACCAAATGGATGCCAGGAAACCACCCTGTTGCTGTGGACTCTCACCCCAGGCTTTCGGGTATCATGGATACGATCAATGCCACGGATGCCCACGGCCCAAAGACCAAACTGCCAAAGGAGTTCTATGACTCCAAAGCCCGCGCTGTCATTGATAAAATCGGCGTAGAAGAGTGGTTTGAAGGCTACAAGGAGAGCGCCGAGTACCGCATGCTAGGCATTGGTGGTTTGATGGGCGACGTCACGAGCCGCATGACGGGCAGCATAGAACGCAATGGCAACGACGGGCTTGTAGAAATTGGTGGCAATGACGGCGACTTGGGCCATGGAAGAGGCGGCGAAACTGACATCAAGCTTGCACTGTCCGGCTGCCACGACACAACGCTCGCAGCCTGCCTCACAAGCCTGGGCGCTTTCGAAGGCGAGAAGTGGCCACCGTTCACCAGCCACATCGCCTTTGAGCTTTTCTGCAAGAAAATCGCCACCACCGCAACGCAGCGTCTCTCCGACGTACCAGCCTCGGCAGGTACGCTTAACATCTCAGATAAAAAGCCACAGAGCTGGTGGGCGTCCCTCTTTGGCAACAAAAAGGCCTCCAAACAGTCGACCGAGCCGGAGCGCATCGCACGGAAACCGTTGGCCGACCTCACCCCAGAGCAACGGAATGAAATGAAAGACTACTATGTTCGCATACGGTATAACGACAGGATCATGCAGGTGCCCGGGTGCAAGCCGGAAGGGAAGCATCTAGATGGCGACATGACATTTTGCACGCTAGTAAGTGCTTCCTTACATGCGAAGCGATAGATGAAGGAGACTGACGATGCCATAGGAAGCATTCAAGGGAATCGTCGATAAGTATACCCCTAAAAATTGGAAACATGCCTGTGCGAGCAACGTCGATGCGCCGTCCTTTCCGAAGGAGGTGGAACCGGCTGGGTACGAGTGAGAAGCCAGGAACCACATCTCTGTGTATCATGAACTTTTTACGATTCAATTCAGGTAGATTACACATCCGGTTCCCGCATGTCCCATATCACTCTACCCATGTCGGCCATATCATCATCAGTTGCACCACCCTCTCGAACCTTTGATAGCCCATCTGATAACTTCGATTGCCATTGCCTTCATTCCCCTTCAATCTGCGCCTTCCATCCCTTACCTTTGCCCATGTTGTCAACTCCGCCCTACAGCCACTTTCCCCACCTGGAGTTTACCTCCTTCACGCCCTTCTCCCTGTCCTCGGCATGCTGTTTCACTGCATCCTGGTTCTGCGCCGCGAAAGTAAGCTTCGGGGGCATCTTCGAAGCGTGACCGACGCACACGACGGGGGGGCGGACGCGTTCCTGGCCATCTAAGTAATTGGGTTGGTAGCTACTTCTCGCTTTGGATTTACAGAAATGCAAAGGGCAGATAGTGTTGCTTGCTGTCTGAGAAAGACAACGACGAGGGGCGTGCCCGCATCATATATGTTCATAGGTAGAGAACAGGAAAGCAGAAAACGGTAGTCGAAGAGCCCAAATAGCACGCGGTCTAGGTTTGCATTGTCATTTAAGCTTGGAGTCGAAGCACGTGGGTCAGCGGACAAATGGTTCGCAAGTCGACCATATCGCTACGAGATCGTACTCATGAATCACATCTCCTAAACTCTTGTCATGGAAATCTTGTGTGCCACGATGCTGGCTTTGATGGAGGAATGGGCGAGCGCATACCACCTACTCGTAACAAGACCTCAAGTACAGAGCCGGCAAGGAACATCACCATGCACACTAGCAGATCCCGCATTCGTACGTATGCTGCATCCGTAAGAGCTTCTTAATCCATAAGTGTATCTCGTATACGCAATCATGTTGATTCGGACATTGTATCCCTCAAATCAATCTGAGCAGAGAGGGCTTATCCTCCTCACAAGAGAACCCGCAGCCTGATACTTCTAACACAAGTTTTCCAAAAGGAAGAAGCACACTAAAAGTCGTGGAACATGACACAAATCCTCATCATGTCTCCCGTGCAATCAATGTCCCCAAAGAAGTACCCACTTAGGAACGCCACCGCTGATGAATGTGCCTAGAGATAATTATCACAAGAAAAACCGAGAAATCAGTCGGTAGAAGAGGATGTCTAAGTAATCCTTCACCGTGCCGTAGGCACGGCAATGGCCCGTGGCCGATCCTCAATCTTCTTCGCATCCGTGTCCCAGCTGCGCATACGTGCTACGATCTGCACAAGCGCTTTCCGCTCTTTGCCGTCCGACTCGAGAACATGCACCAGGTCACGAAGTTGGATCTTCGCCCCTTCTTCACCATTCTCGAGATCGCCGCCCTGGAACACTCGCTTGTTGGCCAGTAAGCCGCGATCCGTCTGCTGCGCCGCCGGCGTAGCTGCGCCACTTGCTCCACCGCCCGTACTGGGGTTCCCTCTCGGTGTAGCTGCGCCAGAGACGCCGCCGTTGCCAATGTCCATCCAGGAGTATTTGGCCTTTTTGCCCTTTTTCATGCCAAGGGCCATGGCAGCAGTCTCGTTGGCTCGTTTATGTACGGCCTCTTCGGTATTGCCAGCTTTGGTGATGCGATCACGCTCCTTCTTGGTTATGGGTTTGTCCGGGAATGTTGTTGGCGTGGCAATAGGCGCGTCCTGCGAAGCTAAGGTGCCTTGCAACCGTTTCTGACGCTTGGCAATGCGAGCTGCTTCGAACTTCTCATCCTCCTGCATCCTGCGCTTGAGGGCATTGACTATGGGATTGGCGGTGAACTGTATTGTTGCTTGCGGTGCTGGAGACACATCGCTGGGAGGTGTAGGCAAACGTGCCGTTGGACTGGAAGCGCTATCTGGTGCTTCCCATGCGGTCTTTGATATGTTCGGAACAGCAGCTTCTGTGCGTCGGGCCTCTTCATTAGCGACGGCGAGGTCAGCTAGGTTAGGAGGCACGACGCCTTGAGCGGTGTTCCGACGGCCTTGTGCTAGTGCGAAGGCGTCTTCGATCACGGTGCGTACCCGTTCTTCTGCAGCGAGTGACACGAGGGAGACAAGATCCACAAGTGGCGCTCCGTTGTTGAGCAGGCTGGTCGCCTGGAGTTCTACGATCGATTCGCCATTAGACGCAGGTCCCATTTCGCGACGAGAAACATTTTGAACAGCACTGGGGATTTTGTCAAACAAACCTTCCAAGTCCAGTTTGATGCCGTGCTCGTAGACCTTCTTGGACATACGCTGGCGCACGCCAGCAGCGAGGAGAAAAGGGTCCGTCAGAGGGTGTGAAGCTGCTTCATTATGTATACGGGCAACATTGGCGTGCTTTTGCCGCAACTCGTTCTCCTGTTCATCCTTCGTTTTGGGTTGACTTAGCGGTCCGGTTCCTTGGAAAGCGCCATGGTTGGACTGTTGGGACCACTGATTGAAGCTTCCATGCGGGGAGATGGTCGACGCGGAACCTTGCGAGTTGTACGAGTTGTACTGCAACAAAGCCTCCTCTTCTCGCTGCAGATCGATGCCAGAGCCTGTAATGACGTCGGCAAGCGTGTTGGGATTTGAGTCCTTGGCAGTGCTCTTTTCCAACTCGTCTTCCTTCTGAGCCTTGCTAGCAGGAACTTTTGGCGGCAACATGGCTCCAGGAAAGGGTGGTCGCGAGTCTCCTGCCACGTGCGGCGGCTGATATGGCTGTGGCTGGTGAAATGAAGGGGTCGAAGGCTGTGACGCGACGGGCGACTGGGGCAGGGAGAGATATTGTTGCCCCGGCGGCGAGGTAGCGTACGGCGAGGTGTGGGTCGAGTACTGCGGGTTCGAGTTGGAGAAGGGCGAGTTGTACTGGGAGCTGTAAGGCGACAAGGGTTGCGGCTGCGGTGACAAACGTTGGCGCTTTGCGGGAGGGATGCCGCCGCTCGTTGGGGACATGGCGCCTGGCGACTGCTGGTACGGCTGCTGCGGTGAGAAGGGACGCTGATGGTTGGGCATGTTCCCTTGCGTCTGAAGCGGCGGCATGCCGTGCATGTTCTGCTGATACTGGTTGTAGTGCGGGTGCGCCATGATGGGTAGCGAGCGCGGTGCTCGTTCCCTATCGCGGTCTGGCGGCGCTTCTATCGGTTGCTCACCCGCTGAGGACGCGGTTCTCGACGATGGCTCGGTAAAACTATGAGGCGATTGAGCGGGAAAAGGCGATTGTTGCGGGCAACTGCGTGTTTGGTGGAGGAGCAAGAGCAGTCGCAAACGAGGGAAGTCGCGGGCGCACGGTCCTCGGCTAATTGTCGGCGTCGCGAACAATGAAGGACAACGGCTGCTGCCTTTCAATCACAATCATCACTTGCACCTCGCGTGTCCTCACTTATCCACCCGTCTCACCTTCACCGACGCTGCTGCTGTAGGGGTGCGGTGAAGTGTCTGCGCTTTCCAACCGATGACCGCGACCTTGTAGACCAGCCTTTGCGACGCGTAAAAGTGCGACCACTGACGACGCGCCGTGTGCAACTTACAACTTCTTTGGCTTTCAGACTCCCATAACCACTTGGCAGAGCTACAATCATGGCGACAAAGCGGAAGGCGGCCGCGATGGCGCCGGTCGATGAGGACCCAGTAGACCCCTCCGACGAGCTCATGTTCCTGTGTTTAGGGGGCGGCAATGAAGTCGGGCGATCGTGCCATATCATACAGTACAAGGGCAAGACGGTCATGGTGCGTAGGAATACGTCAAGAGAAATATATGGCATTGCTGACGCTGCGTAGCTCGATGCTGGCATGCACCCAGCTCACGAGGGGTTACAGGCCATGCCCTTTTACGATGACTTCGATCTGAGCACTGTAGATGTGCTCCTCATATCACAGTAAGTACTTCGGTTCCTGTTCGCAATCTTTTGGTACTTGGGGGACAAGCGTGGCGCATCACTGCAGTCGGACATTGCGGACATCAGGCTACATGTATACGAGAACCAATGGAATATATTTGCATTATACTGTTCGACTCGGTGATGTGCCTCTTACCACCATCAACCACTAGCATGTACATAGTATCTGCATCAGCGAACCTACCCCAGACACTAGAAGACCGCTGCAGACTGCTAACAACGGGAAGTTTTCATGTCGATCATGCCGCCTCATTACCTTATGTTCTGGCGAAGACTAACTTCAGCGGCCGTGTTTTCATGACGCATCCCACAAAAGCCATCTACAAATGGCTGATTTCAGACTCCGTTCGAGTAGGCAACATGTCCAGCTCAGCAGAGAACAAGATACAGATGTACACCGAGCAAGATCACACCAACACATTCCCCATGATCGAAGCGATCGACTTCTATACAACACACACAGTCTCTGGAATCCGGATAACGCCGTACCCGGCAGGTCACGTCTTGGGTGCAGCAATGTTCCAAATTGAGATTGCAGGCCTGAAGATCCTCTTCACAGGTGATTACTCCCGAGAAGACGACCGACATCTGGTGTCAGCTTCTATACCCAAGGACGTCAAGATTGATGTCCTCATCACCGAATCCACTTTCGGTATCTCGACGCATACTCCACGAGTCCAGCGAGAAGCCCAATTGATGAAGTCCATCACGGATATCCTCAATCGCGGCGGTCGCGCCCTCCTCCCTGTCTTCGCTCTTGGCCGTGCCCAGGAGCTTCTCCTGATATTAGACGAATATTGGGCTAAGCACCCAGAATATCAGAAGATTCCGATATACTACAACTCCAGCTTGGCGCGGAAGTGTATGGTTGTCTACCAGACGTACGTCTCCGCCATGAACGACAACATTAAGCGCCTCTTCCGCGAGCGCATGGCGGAAGCCGAAGCAGCAGGCGATGTGAGCAAAGGTGGACCGTGGGACTTCCGCTTTGTGCGCAGTCTGAAGTCGCTTGAGCGCTTTGACGATGTGGGCGGATGCGTCATGTTGGCTTCGCCTGGTATGATGCAGTCTGGTACGTCACGAGAGCTGCTTGAGAAGTGGGCCCCCGACCCTAGGAATGGTGTCGTTATCACGGGTTATTCCGTCGAAGGCACCATGGCCAAGGAAATCGTAAAGGAGCCCGAAGAGATTCCTTGCATTACGCAACGAGGCAACCAGTCGCGTCGCCCAGGGCAAAATGAGAACGAGCAAAAGAAGATCCCACGGCGATGCACTGTTCAAGAATACAGTTTTGCAGCGCACGTCGACGGCAAGGAGAACATGGAATTTGTGGCAGAAGTCAATGCGCCTGTAGTTGTAAGTCTCAGTTTCTTCATTGGCGGATTACAGCGTGACACGCAAACGAATCTTACGCTGACCGCTTTGATCCATATAGATTCTAGTCCACGGCGAGAAAGGCAACATGAACCGCCTAAAATCCAAACTTCTCGGCTTCAACGCGCACAGGAAAGACCCTGTCAGGATATTATCCCCTGCTAATTGCGAAGAAGTCCGCATTCCCTTCAGAACCGACAAGATCGCCAAGGTCGTTGGCAAGCTCGCATCCATATCGCCACCTATACCTCGCCTCCAGACCGATGGCGAAGAGAACGGTAATTCAGAGGAGCAACCGAGTTTGATCAGCGGCGTCCTCATTCAGCACGAGACTGATTTCAAGCTTTCTTTTATGGCACCTGAGGATCTGAAGGAGTACGCTGGCCTGACGACCACGACGATCGTGTGTCGGCAGCACATGAGGCTGTCGGCCGCGGGTGTAGATCTGATTCGGTGGGTGCTCGAAGGCGCATTCGGCGCTATCAAAGAGGAAGAGATTACAGATGCGGCCGTCAACGGCAAGGAGATAAACGGTAATGGCATGAAAGAATACGCAGACGAAGAAATCAGCAGGTCGAGTACGAAGTACGTCGTTATGGACTGCGTGAGCGTGCTGTGCAAGCCGAACGGTCTCGCTGAGGTCGAGTGGGAGGGCAACGTCATCAACGACGGAATAGCGGACGCGGTGCTCGCCGCGCTCTGTACAGTGGAAAGCTCACCTGCGGCCGTGAAGCGTAAGTATACAACCTGTTGTGACCCCAAACGGAACACATGCTAACATCCACAGAATCCTCTCGCCAACACTCCCACTCCTACGCAGGCGACCTCAAGAACCACGACGCCCTATCTCACCGCTTCAGTTCCCCGCATCCCCACCGCACCACCGACCCCTCTACCCGCCTCGACCGCCTCTTTCTCATTCTCGAAAACCAGTTCGGCGCTGACGCCATCATACCACTCTCCCTTCCCCGCACATCCACATCCCTCCCACCACTCGTCCCCTTAGGCGCCACTGCAGATGCCCCCAACGGCACAGCCATGGAAATCAGCGAGCCGTATTCTGTCGCCGCAGCGCCGAGCGTCACACCTACGATATCCGCAGAGGACAAAGCCGAGCTGCGACGTCTGCATAACCTAGGCATTCCGGTGCCCGGAATAGAATTAAAGTTCGATAAGTACGTGGCACGCGTGTGGTTGGAAGATTTGGAGGTCGAGTGCGCCAACAAGACGCTCAAGGCGAGGATCAAAGCCGTAGTGGATCGAGGCGTGGAGACGGTTAGTGGACTATGGGCGTAGCGTGAGGCAGAGCTTTGGTGGGGAGGGTATGGCAAAATGAAGGAAACTGTGGAAATGGACGAGGTGGAATAAACGGTATTGGTGTTTCTGAGACTGATTGGGGGGAGTGGATTGGTACGATTATTGCGGAATTAGTCGAAACACACCATGATGGGCGTAGTTCCGAGTCTTTTGGTGTTTCGTCTCACTGTTACATTTGTATTCGTAGGATACCTGTTACGAAAAGCATGTCACAGTAAAACACAAATGTCATGGAATTGCCGTGAGCAATCGCACTTGTCGCAGTATCAATCGGTTTCGCTATTCTACATGGTCCGCAGCAAATCCTTAAGCTCAATGACGAGCCGAATGACGAGCCTCCTCAGATTTTCCCAAGGGAGCTAGAAAGGCTGCAGCGTACTTGACATATGTGAGCAGTTCCCGGCTCTTTATTGCCCCAAATCGCAGAGGCTAAGAAGGTCATCGAGGTGCTGCTAGGCAAAAAACAAAGAAGAAGAAAAAAGGAGAAAAAGCAAAGTGGGTTGTTGTAATGTAGAATCTGGAGCACGAGAGCCGAAAAACAAACCAGGAGATTGGACGATGGAACTTTGTGAAGTGCTTTCCTTGCCAGGTAGGTGACGACCGAAGCCCGCAGCTTGCCATGGAAAAGGCTATAACATCCCAAACCCTCAGAGAGGCTGCCCCGGAGGGACACTAGGATCGATGATCTCGCTCGTCTCGTGCTGGTAGATAGTGACGTCGATGCTACAACCGTTAGTATCGTATTGGGATCCACAGATAGACAGTAACATACACTTTGCCATGCTTGTAACCCATCTTGAAGAGGTGGCCAGCCTTGCGGAATTTGAATTTCCTCATAAAATCGGTCATCCAAACCATGTCATCGCCTTCCTCGTGAGGAACATTACAGTTGATAACCTTGACGACCCGGCCGAGACCATGCTTGAGGTACTCGCCGCAATTGATCCAATGATAGCCTCCTTTTGCGGGGTAGCTAGTGTTGGCCATTTCAAGAATACGGTCAAAGAGACACTTGGCTATGTTCTGGCGCACAAAGTCTGGATGGATGTAGCATTCAAGCTCGAATGTGAAACGATACGTGCTGCCCCTGTCGACGAAGTCATCAATGTACGCGATACCGACAATGCGCTCGTTGACGAAATCTTGAGGGCCCCTGGGATGAAGGCCTTTGTGCACAGCAACGATGTACGGGAGGCCTTCGTCGGTGATAGTGCGAATTCGCTCTACAATATCCTTGCGAGCTCGGGGCGTGAACTCCGGCGCGCTGATCGTCCGCTCAACGTACTGGTTGTAGAGCTCCTAGGTAACAAGTCAACATCGCTGAAAGTTACGAAAAAGGTCATGTATCCCGAGGTAATACAGGACATAGTTGAATGGCACGACTCACTTGAATACCTTTGGCGTCAGCCGCGATGACGGGCCGCAAGTATACATTGCTAGTTGGGCGATAGCCAGGATCGCGCGGCGGCTGCTCTTGCATCGGGCGCTCCCTGTTCTGCCTTGCCAAACGCCTTTTCTTACGCGCTTGGTTCTTCTGCGAAACGTCCCTTACATGTTGCGTTGCTGACTTCGTTGCACCCGGCTTGCAGTTCTCTTCGTCATTCAAATCGAGTTCTGACTTAGCCGGATGCTGGAGCGGGTTGAGGAAGCTATCAGTGTTGTCCTTTGAATACTCCTCCCAAAAAGGGCGATGTTCGGTAATGTCGATGTCGCTGAGTGGTGAAGGAGCACGGGAAGGAAACGCCTGCCAGAAGGACTGCGGCGCATCGCCCTCGATCTTGGTGGGGATCCAGCTCCGAGGGGCTATTTCCTTGTTGATAATCCGTTGGGCGACCACCACGCCATCGATCGAGACCACGCCTCCTTCGACCTATATACATCGTATTAGCAAGGCCCTCATAAGATGGATGCACACTCTCGAGTCAAAAGTCCCGGGCGGAATCGTCTTATGTTGTGCCAATCTTAGAGTGCCATGTTGTGTAACTCACCTCAACACCGAGGAAATCAGGCAGTGCGAGCAGATCGGCCAGATTCACGGTGCAGCTCGCATCGTGACCGTTGATCCATTTCTCGATGCCTGGTCCGAAATGGCGATCAGTGAAGGCGTGGCGAGCCGACCAGCTTTCTGGTGGTGGAATCCAGTCTCCGTTCCAGTCTACAAGCTTCTTTACATCGTAGTCTGGATCACCGTTGCTGTCCGACCTGAACTCAACGCCGCCTTCGTCCTCATCATCTGATACCGGCTTCATGTCTCGATTTTTTGGCCAAACGTGACGACCCTTACGCCTGATATCTGCCTGCGGTGGAGGCTCTGGGTTTGGTTCGTTGTAACCCCACACCGCGTTCGTCTGCGACAGAGGCTCATGATCTGGTTCCTCGTAGCCCCATGCCACGTCCGTCTGCGCTTGCTGCTCTGCTGGGGAAGAAGGGGGCGAAAGCGGCGCCTTGGGCCGGTTGTTCACAGTCGAGCTGAAGACACATCAGTTCTATGGAGCAGCTAATTGCCCACACTAATGTAAGGCGTAGGGAATTATAGATAGAATTGATCAACTTACAGCTTTCGCTGCGCGGATTGTGCTTGTGAGGGCTCGGCACCCTTCAACTCCAGTGCCTTCATGTCCATAGTCAGGTCCGCAGAATCTGTGTGTGCTGGATTGACGTTGCGCTGCTTCTTGCGCACATGAGGGGGAACGTAGCGAGAAACCATCGTCGTCTTGCTTCCGCAATCTTTGCGAGGCCCAGGATGGTGTTGAAAGTCTTTGCCGTTGGGCGGTGGAGTACCATGTATCGATTCAGAGGGTGATGGAGTGGAAGGCGCGACTTGGTGAATGGGAGAAGGCGCCAAACGGGCAGGTGAGTCCAGGCCGCGGGCATCGTCTACTATCATGTCGGCGTGAAGATCGAATTTCTTCCACTTGCGATTTGTGGCGAGGTTCTGTAGTATGTTAGTGAAAAGGGTGGGTGCATGCATAAAGGAAGCCTAGATCTGTTGGGACTGACCAACTAGTGGCCTGAATCCACATACCTTAGACGCTCCGAATCTCTGCTCCTGCTGCCAGGTCGGCTTGTCCGTAGCGGGAAGTTTTGGGTGGACCATGTTATGTTGCAACAGTCGGGTATTCTCATCGACTTGAAGCGGAGGTTGTGCTTCATAAATCGTCTCGCGGGACACCCTTGCGAAGTGTGCCATGGTAGCGACTTCCTCTACCAGTGGGTCCAGCTTTTCGAGGGCACGTGAGGCTCGTACGCGCGAGGTCCAGATACACTACAGGTGCAGGCCGGACTTGCATACATGGAAGAGAGAGCAGAAGATGTAAGAGCAAAGTATATTGAAGAAGCTCGAAGGGCAGCCCTTATAAACACATGGGCGCTGCCTGGGCCACAGCTCCAAAGCAGGTGAGAGATTCCGTTTGAGCGATGGCAGAAACGTATTTCTCTTACATGTGCCGGTGCTCTATAGGAAGCCTAAAGAGGCATGGCTCCAAGTTGAGTGAGAGGCGGACGGGTCCGCATCCTACACAGGTCAGCTGTAGGGATGGCACCTAGAGCCCATCGCCAGTAGACACTCTCATATGGAGAGCTTGTCTTCAGTGTCCGTTGTCGAGATGGTGAACGCCCTTTCGTAGTCCGTGTGTGGAAAGTTTAGCCGACGCCGGCCGAAGGACTCGACTCGAGACCCTTCGATTCTGCCTGGAGGCCGGTCACTACGACACCCAACAGCACAAGATGCTATCAATTCTGCGAAAAGCACGTCTGAAGGACAAGGAGATGCGGATATTGATGCTGTACGGATTTCAGCTATTGGAGTTGCTAAAATACTGCTGCTGATTGGGACTAGGGGGCTGGACAATGCAGGAAAGACGACCATCGTCAAGAAAATCATGAATGAGGATGTCAACAGTGTCAGTCCGACTCTGGGTTTCATTATCAAGACAATTGATTACGACGGGTAAGACGAGTATACGAGCGACTAGAAGGACTGGACACTGACGATGAAGCTACAAATTGAACATCTGTATGACCTTTCTGAGCTGCTTCGTCTCAGCAAGCTGATGATAAAGGGGACGTGGGCGGCCAAAAGACGCTGCGAACATATTGGAAGAACTACTTCGAGAAGACAGACACGCTCATCTGGGTCGTTGATGCTACAGACCGTGAGCGGATCGACGACTGCCGGCGTGAGCTAGAGGGGCTGTTGCTCGAGGAGGTGCGTGGAGACAGCAAGGAGGTGCACATTCCACACTAATACATGCAGCGGCTTATGGGTGCAAGCTTGCTCGTGTTCAAGAACAAGAGCGACGTCTCGGGAGCCATGACAGAAGACGAGGTTCGACAGGTACGTGCTGTGTGACGTGCAAGGGGCCGGTTGTCAGGCCAATAACGCGCGGTGCAGGGCCTCCGGCTCGACGCTATCAAAACGCACAAATGGACCATCATGGCGTGCAGCGCGATGACGGGCACGAACCTGCATGAAGGGCTGCAGTGGGTGGTGCAGGACGCGAAAAGCAGGCTGTTCTTGTACTGACTCCAGCTGGAGATGGCGTGGGTATGGGCGGCTGCAAGGGGCAACCCGTATGGTTCCCTGGCACAAGCGCGGCCACGGTCTCGGGCGCCGTCGGCTGGGAAATCGTGAGAAGCAAAACAAACAAGTAGCAACACCTCCATCGAGGCAAATCCCTCCCTCGACTTGCACATTTCCCACGCTGGTGTCGCCCGCTTCCTCCCTCCGTCCCTCCGCGATCTGCGTTTCATCAATTTCGAAACGACCAGGGTGGCCGCCGGCCAAGACGCAGTGAACCGAGCGTTCGTGTAACTCTGCGTCCGTGTGTTTAGCTTCCATCCACCCCAGCACTACATTCATCTGGAGGTTTACGCACGCGAGGACCTGCGGTTGGCCCAAGTCGGAACTGCGGTTGGCCCAAGTCGGAACTGGTCTTCATACTAGGGCCCTCACAATGTCGAATCCAGACGAGGTCGATCCTCGTCAGTTCCTTGAGCGGATGCGGACGCTGTCAGAGCAGCGAGACCAGCAGGACGCCGAGCGGGTCAAGAAGCTGGAGGAAGAGCTTATACAGGGCCGTAGCGAGCGACTCGCGCGCAGAGCAGGTATGCCCCCGTCTTCTTGAATCTGTCTGCGCGTCGCACGCCCTAAACAGCACAACAGAACGAGCACGCTCTCTGTCCCCCGACAAGCCCACCACGCCCCAATCGCACCGCTCCGTCGCCGATACACCTCCAAGTGTGCAAGAAAAGCCCGCCGACACGCCAACGCCAAACATGGCGCCGCCGTCGCTGGAGCATGCCCGCGAGGACTCTCTGCAGCAGCTGACGGGCTCGCCCGCGCAGCTCATCGACGACACTGAACCGAAAAAGCCCACCCCGAGCGCGGCAGCACTGGGCCGCTCAGGAACCCTGTCGTGGCAACAGCGAAGGCCGCAATCGAGCAGCATACGGAGGCCAATCTCGGTCGCATTGAGCTCTCCAGACAAGGCGACTGCCACCTCACCTCGCACCTCCGAGCCGCCCTCCCCAGAACGACCCGCATCGCGAACCCAGATAGCGCAATCGTTGGGTGCCAAAGACCCATCCTGGTTTAAGCAAACGGCAGATCGGGGGATCGGGTCTGCGGCATACAGGAAGAATCAGGAAGACAATGTCTCTGAAATAGGCTCCACATCCGGGAAGCAGCTACCCGGCATGTCGCGCGACTCGACAGCGGAGCCTGGAGCAACATCTCCGCCGCTGGAGAGCCCTCGTTCGAGCGGCTCCATCCGTAGCAGCACTCTTCTCGCCAACCGCATCTCCGCCACTGCATCACTGTCTGGCTTAGACGAAGAGTCGACCACAAAGACCAAATCGCCGCTACCTGTGCTAGAAGCACACAAGTTCGCGCCTCCGTCAGAGGGCGCATCTGTGGATGGAAGTGACCGCGCTTCGATGCGCGGTCTTGCAATGTCGCCAACGCAAGGGCGGATATCTCCCGAGCGGCCTGTGTCTCCTACCAAAGGCATGGGTGGCTTCGTCCAGAGTGCGATAATGAAGCGTAGTGACAGTGTGAGCAAGAGGTGGAGCGCTCAAGCACCACCAACCTTGAGTAGACAGAATTCTACCTTGAGTAACAGAGGTAGCACCTACGGTACGCTGCCTAGGTCGGATGCGAGACCAAGCACTCTGAGCCGAGATAATTCGATCGAGCCTTCGTCGCGACCAGGCTCTAGCGCTGGTATCGGGGGCATCACCAAGGACGCTACGGAGAGCGCACAGAAACCAGAGTTCGCTAAGCCTGCGTTGCCTCGCCACAGCCGTAGCAAGTCTGTTGCGTCAACGTTCAGCGAGGGTCAGCCGCAGCAAGATGAGACTTCACCTCCGAGTCCATCGAAGCGGTGGAGCCCCACAAAGTCAAGCTGGTTAGAAAGCGCGCTGAACAAGCCAGAGTCTCCGAAGCCCCAACAGCCACCTCCACAACAACCCGTTTGGATGAGTGAGATAAGTCGCATCAAACAGCAGCGCGGAAGTGTAGATTTTGGCAAAGTGAGCCCGTTACAGAGCCCACCTGCTGGGTCTTCAACAATTTCTGGCAGATCATCGCCGATCAAGGAGGTCCAACTGAGGCCTGTAAGCTTGCGAAGCAGACCTGAAACTCCTAGGCAAGGAGAGCCGCCTGTTCTTGAAAACCCCACAAAAGCATTGCAGAGCTTGCGTGAGAAGCCTGAGTCTTCGAACGAGGAGCCGAGCGCGGCCGAAGACGCCAAACCAGCACAACCAGCTCCGAAACCGGAACCTGTAGTAACTGCAAAACCCACCGTGCCTGCCAACAATGATGCCAATACCAATGCAACGAATGAATCGATATCTCCGAGTGCACAGTATGATACACCAAAAAGCCCACCTGTCACGACGGGCACGAAGCCTACGATATCTTCCTCTCGCTTTAGCAAAGACCCTGCTCTTTCCCCTGCTGCAGTAAAATCGAAGCCTGATACCCCACCGAAGAAAGACTTCCGTGCAACCCTCAAATCACGCCAGCCCGTTGCAGGTACAACTAAGCATGAGGAGGTGAACGAGTTACAGAATGTGTTCGGCAAGTTGAGACGAGCAGAGACGAAGAACTACGTTGCTCCGGATACGTTCAAGAACAATATCGTCCAAGGAAAGAACGCTTTGAACATTACAGGGGGTCCTAAGCCTTCTGTACGTAGGAATGAATTCCGGGACAGCCTGGTGTCGCAGAAGGCTGCTATGTTAGCGAAAGCTCAAGAGACGGGGTCTGCCGCCCACCAAAGGACGGGTAGCTCCGCCTCCGCCAAAAACGCCCCGCCTCCCGAGGTCACAGCAGCCAGAAAAAATCTGGGAAGATCGGACACCATCTCCCAGCCTCCGCCTCCGCAAGAGACAGGTGCGACGCCAGAGGCAATTGCGCGCAGAAAAAGTCTTCGTGCAAGCAAACCGCCAGTTATTGAGAAATCGAGTCAACCGACTGTACCTTTCGTAAACAAGGAAGCATCCTCGATGAAGTCCAGCAGATTTGCAGACCGATTCAACCCAGCTTTAGCGAACATGTTGGCGAGGGGACCACCACCCATGGCTGGATCTGGAGGTACTACCAAGGAAGACATCGGAGAGACTCCAGCCAAGCCAACGCAGGAGGAGAGGACTGGGCCAGCTCCGGAGTTAACCCACATTACCAAGGGGAGAGCCCGAGGACCTAGGAGACGAGCACCGGGCGCAAAGCAAAGTGAGACCAAGTCAGCTGACACCCCGCAAAAAGCGCATACAGAAAAGGTAGCTCCAGTTGCCAAGGTCCCGTTGGTCAAGACTGAACAAGTGTTGCCCAGCTCTGATCCTTCAGACGATGCTCTAGTGTACCGAACACCTGTCAAAAATTTACTGAAAGACAAGCCAATTACGCCAGCAAAGTCTCCGGACCTGTCCAAGAGGCTCTCACAATCTCCAACGCCGGAACCGCCAAAGAAGCTTGCATCTTTGGAGCTCGAACGGGAGGTTCCCTCCGAAGCTAAAGCAACTCTGCAAAAGTCGCCTTTTACACCAGCCGCTCAATCTCCTAAACCTGTATCATCGCCATCATACTCTTCCTTTAAGCCGATCCCAGTCCTCCCGTCACGACCACTGGCAACAGCTCCATCCAAACCGGTAGGCCAGGCTTTGAAAGAAATTGCACCTCCCAATACGGATAGTGCAAGAAAGGAAGAGCGATCGCCGGACAAGCCGTCGTTCTCCGTAAAAAGTGCTACAGCTCTCTGGGGTAGTCAATCTACTTCGTCGTCGCCTGTCCCAAGCAAGCCGAAGTCGCCTATTAAGCTTCCCACGAGAGCAGATGAAAAAGCAGCAATGGAGGGTGCTGGTCTAAGCAGTCCTAATAAGGCACTGGAACACTTAGAATCTAAGCCCCTCGCAGCAAAGCCAAAGCCCGCTGGCCTTGGTTTGGGCAGCCTGGGAAGTCTCGGAGGCCTAGTCGCAGCACGATCGAGAGGATCGACACCTCCAAAGCCGTACTCAGCTAAAGTTTCGCCTACTTCACCACCGATGGTGAGCAACAGACCTCAGTCCGAGCCTTTCAAGGAGTCTCCTGCATCTGAGAAGCCTGCCGGCGTCTTTACAGAGTTCTTTGACGAATCACCGGTAACCACAGGAGTTCTGCCCGAGAGCATCGATACGGTCCGTATTTTGAAGACTCCACCGTACGACTTGAGCCCTAATGGAAAGATTAGGACCATTAGGAAGCAAATCCATGAAGTGACCGGGGATGGAAAGCTAACACCCATCCACGCACACGATGAGCATGTCCTGTTCCAGGACTCCATATACCTGTGCACTCACACCTTCAGCAATGCTAGCGGCTCCAAGGCTACCGAGATCTCTCTTTGGGCAGGCAATGGAGTGGCGGAACCTACCGTTGAGGATGTTCAGCTTTTCGCAAAGAACTACGCCAAACAGAACCAAGGAACATTAGTGCCGATACGACAAGGGAAGGAGACACCAAACTTCCTTGACGCGCTTGGAGGCATCATCATCACTCGGCGAGGGACATTTCCGCCGGCCAAGGAATATATGCTCTGCGGACGTCGACATCTAGGACGGCTTGTGTTTGATGAGGTTGATTTTGCTCTTAAGAGCCTCTGTTCGGGATATGCCTACATCATCACTACTTTACGTGGCAAGGTCTATCTTTGGAAAGGTCGAGGATGTTGCGCAGAGGAGCTGGCAGGAGCACGTCTAATGGGCATGGATCTAGCACCAGGAGGCGATTATCTCGAGATCGAAGAAGGTGTGGAGCCAGACGAGATGATCCAAATGTTCCCGCCAAGCGTAGGTAAAGGGCCTGCCATTCCTCGATCGGCGGACCACTGGCGTTACAAAGCCTCCTCGGAGCGATACCAAACACGGCTCTTTAAGGTCGAGCAACAGCAATCTTCAGGATGGGGGAGCCTCCAGGTGAGCTCTTACCTTCCAGCCATGTTACGCCGGCCATCGTGGCAGTTTAACAGAAGGATGTCCACTGAACGGGAACAGACGCCAAGTCCTCCCAAGTCTCCGCTTCCGCCGGGGATGAGCACCAAAATCGTGGAGATCATGCCGTTTTGTCAGCGGGACCTGGAGGCTGAGCATATTTACGTCTTGGACGCCTTTTTCGAGATGTATATGTAAGCAAACCTCATGACTCCTAATCTTCCGAAACTAACGGGAACTCAGTATCGTTGGCTCCCTTTCACGTTCACAACATCATGCTTTCTCTACAGCTCTCATGTTTGCGCAAGAGTATGTTATCCTTGCAGTTACGGAAGAAGATCGACCGATTAAACCTCCTACAACGATCCTCCTCGAAGGGGTACCGCGAGACATGCGAGCCGTCTTCCGACACTGGGACGACTCCATAGTACCCGCTGCAGGGCTCATGAACGGAAAGCTTGGTCGCGGTAAAAGCCTTAGAATCGTGAGTATGGAGAAAGCCATAGAGGCGACGCGGCAACAATGAGACCTCTTCGATACGCTTTAGAAGAAGATTGGTATGAGCATGTGGGAGCGATCTTTGACGACTTGCATACGCTGTTCATGTTGATGATAAGGACGTGGGCTTGACCGATGCCTGGTGCTATAATTCTTCCTTGTGTTAATGGTCTCAGACACCTTGTCTCTTCTGTATATACGTAGCATGGGTGGAATATAAGCGGCGGGCCGGCTTTGGCTAAGAGGTAATGAGGACTTCGCTGTACACGTCTATGATACATTTGGTAAACATCATGATCGCTTCATTCGACATGTAACGTACACTCATCATTAGCGATAATCAGCGGGAATAGATGTCTGTCCTTAAACTCCGCCATGGGCGCAGACCCGCGACCTTCATGGTTGCAAATGGGCCATGCCACTTGGACCTTCCAACCATATCCTTTCCACCGTTCAACCTACGTTCTGTGTCAATCAAACTACTCTAACATCCCACTAAAGAACTTGAACATGATGCTCGGACCGAGACGCTCAATAGCGCTACCAGGTTGGAAGGTTACGGAATGAGAAGCCTTCCACTCCTTCCGATGGCGGTTGTAATACTTCTGTCCCATGTATTTTCCATCTTGGTCGACATCAATCTTCTCATGTTTCTCGGGCGTGTCATGAACCGATGACCTACTAGAAGTCGGAGATGAATGATCCACATCGATGACAGGGAAGACGGGCGTGACGGGGAAGCTATGTATGCCAATGGCTTCGAGCCTCGTCTCTGGATCTGAGGAGATACCGTGGTTTGCATCATCTAGCTTACCGTCTTGTGTCTGGATGTTGATAGTCTTGCGCGTATCACCGGCAGATGAATGGCCCTTGGCCTGTTCAAGGGCGCTATCGGGTTTCTGCTCCTGTGCTGCGGAATGCGTAGTCGTAGTTTTGAGCTGTTCAGTCTGGAGTTCTGGGGCTAAACTGGAGTTGTCAGTGACAACAACGGGAGGGCCTAAAGTCCATGCGTCAAGCATCTCGGCGTCGACTGTCTCTTGCTCCTCAGCATCACGCCATGCTGCAAAGCCCTTATGGCCGTGAGAGCTACCGGCCAAGGTGGTAGTAACTGCATCATAGTGACTCTCTGGAATAGGATCTTGACCGCTAGCGAACTGGTAGGATGCAGCATCAACAGCATTGCGAAACACCTCAACGCCAGCTTCAAGAAACTCTCCAGGATCAGACTCTGTGCTGATGTTTGATGGCAAGGAAACGATTTTCTTCAACTCAATCAAAGCATGAACAGTATCGGCAGTGTTTCGCACCGAATCAAGAAACTTAGCAGTGTAATCGAAGGCAGGCGTCTCCTGGGGATGCTGCGAAGAATTACGCACAAGCGGTGCTAGGTTTTCGAAGTCTTCGACGGGGTGATTGATACTAGATAACGGCAGCCGATAGATGGGGGAGCCAGCCGCGTCTGGCGTGGAAGGGATCTGAGTTGTGGTGGTCGCGGTTTCATGCACCAAGGAAGTGCTGCTCTTCTTAGCAGCATGTTCAGGACAAGGTGGATCCTGACGATACTGCAAAGCTGCAAGTTGAAGCTGGTTTGGTGCTGGAAAGTCTTCGACGGGATGAGCGAGGATAGACAACGGCATCCGATAGCTTGAGGCGCGATGTGCCTTTGTCGCAGAGGGAACTTGACATGTTGTCGTCGTGGTATCCTCCTGCTTCGGTGAAGCCTTGCTCTTTCTAGTAGCTAGGCGCTTGCCGCGGGCTTTCCGGCTCTTAGCCATCTCGAGCTCGACCAGTAAGTCCTGGGTAGACCGCGTGACCTGAAATCTGGTTAGCACGTTGTGAGTGCCTAGTTGCGCGGTGATGCTGAGCGAGGGTATTGGGAGAATTTGTCATAAAGGGCTCGGGGAAATCTTATATGCCGTAAACCGTGCGAGGGTGAAAAGTGTTCATGGAGGTCGATGTGCGCCAATGATACTTAGGGTAACTGTGAAAACTCAATGCCACGTGGAGAACACATAGTGTAAGCACATGCCCTTAGTAAGTAAAACCTTGCGAGTCCCGACCCTTCTACACAACGAACTGCTTGAAAGGACCCGGTTACTATAGTGTGCACCAGTACTGCTTCGTACTATGCTGTTGGCCTCATTGGGAGGAGTAAAGCGAGAATTGCGAAGGTTCTAGCTGAGTATTTGCTGCGGAGTTTTAGGCCAGACCCATGGAGCAGAGTGCAGTTATTTGACACCACTATAAAGGCTGGGATTGATATTCAAGGCATGGAGAATCATGGCCAGCGGCCCCAAGACATATCTGAAATTAGCAGGATAAAGATGTAAGTGGAGAAGGGTAATGGCACAGCATATGGCCGCCATATGGCCGCCACCTGCACTTCATGACGACGACAAGCTAAATTTTAACATCTAATAGTTTGCCTCAAAGCTCACACAGTACGCTAACAGCGAGACAGAATTGCGCTCTAAGCGTGTAATCGTACCAAAATTACTTGAGCCAAAACACAAGGCATTTGGACCAAATGTGTAGCGAGTCCTGGTTGAAAGAAAGCACCGGGTGAAGACAACGACAAGATTCCGCAACAGACAACATTTGAACAGTATGCTGGTTGTTTGGTAAGTTTGAAGTAACATAAATTGAGTGAGATTAACTTGTCCTTTGTGAAATTTGGTCGTTGGTAACAGTGTGTAGCCTGTGAGCATCCGGTTTTTTTTTTTTGAAAGCTGTGTATCCTACTGCCCGGGTTCTCACTGCCAGGTACGGACTACATGCACAACTACTTCGCCATGAACACGACTTGTGAAAGATGGATAGGCATTGTCAACTAAGAAAAGAATGCTCAATGTGGTGTGGCAATTGCGTGTGTTCACTATTTGACCGTCACAGCCAAGCTTCTTCTATATCAGGTCAGCTTCATCGCCTTCCGAAACACTCCCAAAGGGGCAAGGTCCATCAGCATTCCACATCTTAACAGTTTTTGCCCACTTGGGCGACAATTGATTTTCCAGTCTCTCGCTGCTCTTTCCTTTTTGCTGGGTGCCGAACCATTTCATCCCAAGCGACACAGGTGCACGCGCCTGACAAAAAGCCGCATCCAAGATGCACTGTACAACCATGCACGGGCGCGTTGAAAAGGAAGCTCAATACATACAGATCGAGAGTTGAACGCTGAAAGCTCATCTTTTAGCCCAGGACAGGCATATCTCGACCGGCCTGCTAATCCATGACGCACCTGACAAAGCTAACATATCTCCACCAAATTGACCCTACCAGAACCCGTTCATGGAGATTTGCGATTGCACATCCATCTCGCATCCAACATACCGGCCCACGCGTCCCCACTGCCCCATTGAAGCGAACCGCCGGTCTGAAACCCTACCTGCGGCAAGAACCGACCCGGATCCTCACCACGAACGCATAACGGCCGTACATTATGCGCTACGCGGCAAATTGATAGATTAGAGTTGAGACGGAAGAAATGTGAACGATCAACGCGTGGCAACCATAGGACGTAGTTGGTGGAACATGATAGACTTTGGCGACGTGCTCCTGTCATCAGTTTTAAGGTTGCGGGAATGGAAAGCGAATGCCTATTTTAGAACCCGACGGACCGGAATGATAATAGCGATGTATCTAAGGTAGGCGACTGTGATGGATGTGCTAAGTTCTTCGAATCTCTTGTGCCTCAGTCTTGTGCGACTGCATGCACGATCAGATAACTTAGCCTGAATTTTGAACACTATGCAGATGAAAGCTTGGACGCTGAATGTTCGCTAAGCTGTATCGACCTACTCAAAGAAGATGACGTCCGTACAGGATAAGGCTGCTTCGACGAGCTCCACCTACAATCGGAGATATAGAATACGACATCAAGATCACGACCACGATAAGTTGGGATTTGAGTAAAGCAGTTGGGGTGAAAACAACAAGACGCCATTTTTCGATTCGGGGTATTTCCTAGCCTATCTACCCTGGAACTCTTTAAACCACGAAACGCTAAAGCTCGAAAGAAGAGCAAGGTGCCAACTATGATTCTCCAGTGATCGAAGTCCTCTCGTTCATTCTTCCAACGATCCAGCTCATGTCTACTGAGTGTAAGAATTGGATAGTACAACGAGGGCATCATATAAACAAGTGTAGAGCCGCCAGCGTGCGATGGTCTGTATCTAGCCGATCACCGGGCCACGGCCCGCCTGAAAGCTGGGTGAAAGGTGCGATAAGGGATATATTGTGCCAACTTGTAGGTGGGAATATATCTCCGTTTGGCCCAAGTTATTGAGAACGTGGGTTGTTCACCATCTCCGCGTCAACGTACCTCGGCCAGGTGTTGGTAAAGACAAGGTATTTGATGCTTTCGAATGCCGGGTCGAAGACCCCTTCGGTGAACTGACTGGGAACAAGGCTTTTAATGCTCGAGGTACTCGACACGCTCGCTCCACTGATGTTCGAATCGATACTGGCTGGACGGTCTAGCGTATTTTCCCACGGACATACAACGTACTCTCGTTCGGTCGGCGACATTGGGTCTGTGGGACTTGCGCTGCGCTTGGGCATATACGGATCATATTCCATGCCTTCGAACTGCTCTTGCAGCTTCTTGAAGATTTTGTATTCAATGTTGATAGGTGTCTCTGCAGTGAAAGGGTTTACGAGGGTGAAAAAGATGAGGGAAGCTTCCGTGTGCATCCGGCGCCTTTGAACGGTTGTTACGGTACGCAAAGATGACCATTTCTTCTTGAAGTTACGCACTTCGCGAAGGAAGATGGTGTTTTCGGCAGTGAACTCCCGCGATGCCGTCCACTCAATAAGCGACTCAATGTTGTGCTCGATGCTGAACTCTAAGGCTTGCATGCTAGCCTTGGGCTTCAGCTCTCGGCTCAGTATCGAAGCTGGGGACTTCTCGGAGATATTTGAAGGCGTGGATGTTAGTGAGTCTGTGTAGGTTGACGAAGAAAGGGATCTTCGCTGCGTGGTCCGATCCTTGGAGGCATCTCGCAGTGGGATTAGGATGAGCACCTGCTGACAAACAACTAGGGAAGGAATGAACCTGCATCGGACAATTGTTAGCGATACACTCCGTTGCATAGCCGCCTAGCCCCAATAAGAAACGAGATCGTACTCGCTATTCTCTAATGTGGTCATTGCTTTTCTTTGCAATCGTCACACGGACAATAACGCGCATACGAGGGCACCCGCAAAAGCAAGAATAGTCCGAATCTAGGCCGAACCGATGCAAGGTGTAGACTTACCAGCCTGCTGCAGGAAAGTACTTATTTATGGACTGCATTCCGAGAACATCTCCGTGAGTGAAGGCGATCCACAGAGGAGTGCCGGGTAAACTAGAGCAGTTGTTAGCCCATGCAGGTACAAGAATAGAGCAGCCACCTACCCCGCGAAGATAGCGAGCCTTGTCTGCCATGCCCAATAGTGAACATCGTTCACATTTCGGATCTTCCACAAGATCCAAGGGCCGACGATCGCCGTCCAGAATAGTTGAACAAAAATAGACGGAACCCTAAAACTATCAGCTACCGGAATAGTCAATGTCCAATCCGAAGAACCTACCATTCAGCTCCCTTGCGGCACTCGCGTGGGCCTGCAATGGGGCCAAAAGAACCGTACGAGGCGTGGAAGCGTCTAGAGCCAAAGAAGAGAGCTATTGCGGGAAGCAACTGCTGCAGTTAGCAGGTGGAGTTTTGAACGCTAGAGTAACACGCCCAAAATCGGAATCATGTCCAACTTTTGACGCTTTACGTTAGTGTAAGGAGGGACATACCGAGATGACGAGTCCTACGATTGTGCCTACGTGAACCTTTGCTGCAGCATCAAGGTCTAGCCAGGCTTCAAAGAGGCCCTTTGGTGTCCAAGCGAGTCGCTTCTTGCGTGCACCGGCCAGAAAGTCTGTTTTCATTCGACGCTGGCTCTCGTATGCCTTGAGGACTCTGGCATTGCAGGCTGTAGACGATCAGAGACGGGGTGGTGCCGTATGGAGGAGGCTTACCTTGAAAGATTGCCATTCCCAATGGAAGGAATATGGACATGACCCAGAACTCTGCGGCACAAGGCCATTGACCGTTCAGCGGATACACCAGTAATACCAGAACCAAGTAGACATGGAGCATAGACACAGAGGTAAAGACAATGTCGAGGCCCCGAAGTCGAACGCAAAAAGCAGAGCGTTGGCGGTAGAGAAGGAAAAGCTCGACAGCGAGAACGAGGGTGTAGAGGATGGCGGCCACGACGTAGATGATGCCAGCAGCATCAAAATTGGGAGCACCTCCATCAAGAGAACGCGGAAGTCGAAGAGGAGCCATGGTGAGCATACCGAGGTGCCTCAGGCAAAGTCGAAAAAAGAGAGTTAAGGTGTCGACATGCAGGCTCGGCGCTCCTCATAAAGAGAAGAAGAACAGTGAAAAGACAGGATGGACCGAGACAGCGGGAGTGCGGTGAACAAGGTCGTCACATGAGCTGGAGGAGGGTGGATGCTTGTCCAAGGAGCGGCTCGGTGTAAGAAGTTGATGGGGCTCGGTGTCTGAATGCATGCATAGAGGGGGGATTGGGACGGTAAAGAGGGCGAAGCAGACAAGTATAGCAGCATCACAGGCGGCAAGGGAGGCTTCGGCTGCTGCCGAGCAGGTGCGTAGCTTGTGTCACATGGCCGGGTCCCATTGCGCCAGGCGCGAGGCCAGGAAGGGCGCCGAACGCGTGAAGGAGAGAGCGCGCGGCGAGGAGGTGTCACAGATACGCCACGGGGCCACAAGCTGCTACGCTGCCATCCCAATATTGGAGGCAGATATGCAGGTGCAAAGGGATAGCCCATTGAGTCGCTGGCTTGGGGGCTCTGTGGCGGGGGTTGAGGTGCGCTCGGGACGATGCTTCGAACAGCAGCGGGGCCGCCGTCGCCATGTGGCCGGTGCTTCTTCCGGCTGATATGCGCTGAGGCGCATCGAGTTTCGTCCAACACGTCCAGAAAGAAGCATCGCACACTTCGATTGGCCAGCCCTGGGCATGCGAGGAGGCCATGGGCACGTTTCAGCACCGAGAAATCCAGGCTCATGCACTTGCTTCTTTCTCGCCAACAGTTCGCACCGGGCTGCCGGGACGTCCCAGCACCTTCGCATTGCTGACTACGCCTGTCACTCACTCCAACGGTTTCAAGTCACCTTCTAGAAGCCTTGCTTCCCAGATTTGAACCCTCAGACAGGGCTGTTGCCACGTACCTGGAAGCGATGCCTCTTTGCAATTTATACCATGTTACAGTCCAGTGAAGGACCCCAATCCATCGTACGAGTGCACTCACTTCTTTCGTAGCGGTACTGTTCGCACTTCTTGACCCGCTGTGATGACGACCGATCTACCTATACCAATACGAGCCTGTTCGATGCTCGTTCTGCCGTTCCACGGTTCATCCAGTTCAAGGGAGCGCATGGAATGCCTTGAGGTCTTAGTCGCAACAGTTGTTAAACCTATCACACTCTCTGTATCTCCGACCCTGGTGGTGGCCGTTGTCCACGGCATGGTCGGATCTTGCTGTGATGACTTTCCATACTTTTCGCGTACGTCCGTATAGATCTTGCGGAAGAGCGGACGAAGGATGGCAGCGGAGGCGGCAACGATGCCTGTGCCAGGTTCGGCAGTGGCCCATATGGTGGCTTTTATCGAGGCAGCTAGCTCATGGTGAGTGTTTGGTCATTGTGTGTGTACAGCCACAAGTCGGAAGCTGCGAGACCGTATCGTGGTTGCGTTCACCCAGAATGCACGATCCAGTCTCGCAATGTTTCACATTTTGCGGTAGGGTAGACTTACTAGAGACGTTACCTTCAAAAAGAAGACCCTTCAGGTACACCATACGCATGATGCTGGATATGGATCCTACTGCGGCAAATCCCATGACTATGGCTACCGAGATCTTGGAGCGACGGTCCATGGTGCTATCCTTCAAAATGACGATAGGAATGAGTGTGAAGATCCAATCCGCGATGACATTTATGATGCCATAGATATATCCGGTACTGAGGACGAACCAAATAGGGGCGCAGTGCGTTGTGCGAGCACCTAGAAGACTTTCTGCAAGCTTGGAGGGGTTTCCGCACACAAAAACAGTAGCAAAGAAGTAAAAGATGCCGTAGACACCGGAGATAACGAGGACGGTTTGGAAGAGACGCGTTTGCCAAGGTTTCGTAAGAAGCCGCAGGAAAAAAAGACCCAGGGAGATCTTGAGGAACGTTGTGGTGAGAATGTAAAAGATTTCGCTCAATTGAACGTACTGTGCTTTTGTCAAAAGCTGTCATGTAGATCGAAGGAGTTTGCCTACAACGAGTGTTTGCAATACTTCCATCGCGGTGAATTGTCGATGTGCTGCACCTGCCATAGTGATCACTAAGATAAAGGCGCAGTAGCACGTGAACAGACACTGGATAATTTGAGATGGAACATTGAAGATGGCTTGGTGGCGTACCATTGCGATGACGATTGTAGCATCGTCCCATCCAGGTGATTTGGTGATGCCCATTCGTACCCACATTCGAAGGGCGACGGTGGTCCATGTAAAGAAGAGGAGCACAATAACCAGGGCGAAGGTCAGCTTGCCCAGCTCAAAGATTTCCTCTGGATGTGCCATATCTCGTGGGTTGAAAAAGGTCATTTGCAACGCGCAGCGTGGAGTGAAGAGTTCGACAAACTGGCTCGTGCTATAAACATTTGCGACGCGATATATGGATGTCCGCAGAAAACAAAGCCCCACGGAATTGATCAAGCCGTGCTCTCTTCTAGTAATCTATAGCAGAAGAGCCAGACCTTAGCAGCTTCACAGCGTTAGACGATCCCACGTTATATTGGTCACTGTACCGACCAAGAGACTGTAAACTTCCCGATGCATGGGTTCAAACAAAATTTGTCGAATGATCCACATGGGGTTGGCGCATGGTCCGGCATTGCTTGTTTACATCCCATACAGAAGCGAGGGAAATCACAACCTTGGCTGAACATTGAGAAACGAATGTGACACTGTGCTGCTGGTTCATGGTCAGTTTATGAAAGGCCTGCGATTGAAGCAGGCAGCCGTGAACTTGGCATTGGACATCTTGTAAAATAATAATACGTAATTGACATGTCCTACCGATTGAAAGACTAGATGGCCACGGAATGGTAAGACTTCATGATTAGCGAATCTTTGCGAACCTCAGCGTAGCGAGGATCGGTTCCGTAGGATTGCCGACCAGCAGAATGGAGGTTTCTAGGTTTGCCTAGTGTTGCATTTCTCTGTGATCAGAACCATGGATGTAGTGCCGCACGAAGTATCTGAAGGTATTCACGTTTCGGCAATGTTCCTAGGGTTGCCGATATGACGTTTCGAAAGCCGTTTGGCAACGTTCGGAACGTGGTGTTTCCCTGTTTCACACGTGGTCAATGAAGTAATAACGGAAGGCGGATCGGGTTATTCATAGTTGCATGTGCTCAGGTTGTTCAGGCCAAAATCGTGAAGGGTAAGTGGAGTGGGAGTGGTTGCAGTGTGAAGCGTCGCGCCAAGACCCTTTTTATCGATAAGGGTAATAGTTATTCCGAACATTTGACGAGTTTTCTTGTCGGTTCACTGTTCCTTCCATCTTCCATCCAACCCTCCGCCTTCAACATGTTTACAGTCGCACCACAGTCTTTGACTTTCGATGCATCGGACTGCAACCTTCCATTTGGTGCTTGAAATGATGGACAGCGTAGTATAGTCTCCAATCACCACTTCGCCAACGGCCCGACGGAAACCACCGCGCTCACTGTGAAAGAGGACCCTATGACGGTGAACGATGACGCTGTCGCTCGGTTTCTTCACGATGCGGGAGAGTGCATTATGGGTCTTTGCGATCGAGCTCCGTTTTGCCGTTCTACAGTCTCATCGAACAGAGATGGCACTGTAAATTAATCGTACTGCAGAGACTCGTAGCAGAGCTCCAACGCAATCAATGGGTACGTACGCACTGTGCACCCCTTCCTTTCAATGATTATCACACACAGCAATATCACAGACCTGTACCGTATTACCCATGTGGATACAAGCTTGGAGACCTTATGATGAAACTCTTTCGAAAACGTTGAGCAAACTTGTCAATGAGCTGAAAGCTGACCTTTTTCAAAACAGATCCAATGAGTAGCAGCCTCTGCGGCCGATCTTTCGGTGATATCCCTGGCAGCCACAATGTCATCTTTAAACAACGCCATCGTATCGCTTTGTGAACTTCATTGTCCACAACCTTTGTGCAGGGCCCGACTCTATGGTCCTCCCTCCTTGGTGGCATTGTGCCACACTTAAATTCATTGTTTAATCCCAATTAATCCTAATTATATCGGCTCGCTTCGTTTTCGTGGCTGTTATTGCACAAAGATCTCTACGTGACCGTTGTGAGCGGGCGTTGTGTTTTAACATGTATCTTCCCTAGATGAACTCTCTTCCAGTATAAGAACCTAGCTGCGCATGCTGCTCTTCAAGTGGACAAGGCTAGACCCGAAGACGAAGAACGCTTTGATAGTGTTAAAGTGGACAAGCTACACCCGAAAACGAACCCTTTGATAGAGCACAAGTGGAACAGCTGCACTCGAAGCCGAAGAACACTTTGGTAATTACCAACATGGCAAACGGTACCTCTCGACAGCAACCCACTTCCACGCCGGCGTCGCAGGCTCGACGCTCGACCAGGTTGTCACTCCGGAATTCTATAGTTGGGCCCGGTCGAACTTTGCGGCAGCCTAGTAATCGTCGTTCCAGCAGGCTCATCGACCCAAGCCTGATCGACAATTTCAACTGGGGCGACGAGTTTGATCTCGATCGTTTCGGTGCAGACAACAAGCCACAGAATGGGGACGAGCTGACCTTCGACGAGTTTGATTTCGAGGACCTGAACCCTGACTATGCGAGCGGACAAGCCCCCAATGGGTTGGCTGGTGGGCATGTTTCAACGAATTATTACGACAATCCAGGCGTTGCGGTGCCGGGCACTCCGCGTACTATGTCGTTTCCGTTCGCCAACCAACAGATGGGTTTGCCGATGGCCCATCGGCAAGCGACCGTTCCGCTCACTCCCGTCGTAATCAACGGTCATACTATGCTGTTGTCACAGGATCAAGTCAATGCCATGAACACAGCGCTGGCTGGACCGCAGGCGATGCTGACGGACGGGAAGCGTACTTCTGTGCCCAAGTCCCCCCAACTTCGGAAGCATCGTCACAGCCAGCTTCAAGGACAAGTGGCATACAACGATCCCTTCGTGGGCGCAGAGCATGTCGATCCGGCACTGCTTGAGTTTAGTGCGCATGACTACTCCACGTACCCTGAGCCTAATGCTCAACACGGTAGTTTTGCCGCAGTTCACCCACCGCAGCCGTACTATCAGCCCACACATTGGCAAGGCGTGCCTTCGCCTGGCGGTAGACGCCTCCACTTCCAACCACCCGAGCCTGAATACGTGCAACCGGCTCCCCAGCAGAAGGTGAGCGAGCCTGCTCAAGACTTCGGTTTTCCTGATTGGTTTGCTAACGAGAATCAGTCCGGCAGCACTACAACATATGCGTCCCGCAACAACTCTTCTGGGCACGGTCGTAGAGATTCTCCTGTGAACCCCAAGAAAAGTTACCGCCAGGATAAAGCTCATGTAGCTGATAAGCGGGTCTCCGTATTCGATCGCGATGCGATCCACCAGTATCAGAAGCCTAAGGTCGCCGCCTTCAATCCTGAAGTTCGCATCAATAAGACTACCAAGGGCCTTACGACGCGTACCGCCAAGATCAATCAGTATGACCCCCGCAAATTCTATACATACTCGCCCCACCCACTTGGTACTCCGGGCCAGCCGCATGGTGCTCCTTGGCATGGTCGATACGAGCACAAGTACCGGGATTCCTCGTTGAAGGAATACGAAGGCGACGATGAAGTCGCAATCTACGAGCTGGAAAACCGTGCAATGACTACGGACCAGATCCAGGACTTCATCTTGAACTACCCTTCCAGTCGCAACATTTTGACGCTGCGGATCCAAATCCAACCCGGTGACTCTGGACGCCGTTATCGAGGTAACGCTGACAAGTGCCGCTTTGAGGAATGCCCGCTACGCCAGGGTCAACTGCCCGCTACAATCAAGCACGGCTGGTACCGCGTCGCCTTTGACGAGCGCAACGACGATACCTATGATCCGTTCGCCGCCTGTTGCGGCTTTGCGCATCTGTACTGCATGGAGCGTTTCCTGGACTTTGAGTACATTTGTCGTAAGGCTAATGTTGTCGTCGATTTCCGCTCACACATGCGAGGCGAACCCAAGGGGACTTTCGCTGCCGCTTTTCAGGGCAAACAGAACTACGCAGGTCAACTTGCCGACACCTTCATTCACTTCGCCCGGGAAAAGGCGCAGGGCAATGTGCCTCGGCAGCGTGGTGACAAATCTGGGGTTCGCCAGATCTCCGAGTTCGCAAACTACCCTGTTCATGAGCCTTACTCCCAGATGGTGTGGGACCCTTCTTATGCCTTTGAGAACACGCTAAGCTACCATATGATGCTCATCATGGAGGCCCACCGTCCGGCTGCCCAGCTAACTCAATTTGCCGGAAAGGGCCTTGGGCCTAGCCAGATGAGCGTCAATCGCGGTGATCTGGCCATGGCAGCTGAAGCCGATATTCGCGAAAAGAATCTCAAGAAGATGAACAAAGCAAAGGGCAAGAAGAAGGGCAAGAATGTTGCCGAGACATATGCTTTTGATGGATACTCCATGTTCGACATCGAGGTTCGTAGGCGGGTTGAGCGGGCTGAGCTCGTGTTGCAACAGAAGGGCCTGCTTAAGCGGACCGACAACAAGCCCACGTTTGAAGATTACGAAGACGACGAAGAGCAGAACGTCCCTCTCAATCAAACTGGGAAGAAGCCGTGGGAGGTGGACGACGATGAGAGCGATGTTGAGGACATTGGCCGGCCCTTCCAAACCGGCACGCGCCGCAGCGAGCGCAACGCGGGCAAGCAGCCAAACTATCTTGACCAAGCTGATATTGGCCGAGACCATGAGCGCCAGCCCGGGCGCCCACTCAAGCGTAGTTTCCAGCAGTACGAGTACTCGCAGCACAACACCGGCCAGGCTCAGCAGTACCTGCAAAACACCTACGTGCCGTCTGGATACGCCCAAGACTTTGTAGAAGAGCATGTCCCCAAGCGCAAGCGCTCCTCTATTCCGCCTTCAGGCTATGCTCGGGCTCATTCGTACCGCCCCGAGCCAACCCCTGAACTGGCCGGTCATGACTATCAGGTCGGCTTGGATCACCTTGGCCTAGACATCAACCTAGCTCCTTCGCCGCGCTCGCCAGAGTTTCAGCGCAAACGCTCTTCACGCATTGAGGAGCTGCTGCAGCAGCAGCTTTCGGGATCGTCTAAACGTCGCCTCTCAAGCAACGCGGGTCCGGCCCGCTCGAACAGCATCATGCGACACTCAGGCTCTCGTGCGCCCTCGGCCACTAAGCGTCGCGCGTCCTTCAACAGCCAGCCCGTGAGCCAGCAGAAGATGTTCAATTCCGATGCGCCGCCGCATAACGTGCAGCCGCGAATGGTCAAGGAGCTTGAGGGCGACTCCCACTCGCTGCGGAGCTCGAAGAAGGGCGATTATGCTGGACGCACTCTGCGCTCAGGTCGGTCGTTGGGCGGCTCAACCTCTGAGTAGGGCGACGAGGCGGCCTCGTGGCGATAGATTAGGCGTTGAAGACAAAGGCAATTTGGCTGGTGGCTGGTGGCTGGTTGGTGGCTTTGACTTCCGTTTTCGTATCGTTTTGCGCCTTTGGGCTTGAGGTTACTACCTCAGATTACCCCTGCTATGTGGGACGAGCTGGTTTCGTACCCTAAGTCTTAGCACCTAATCTATTCTTTTCATAAAAGCCTTAGGCCTATGCATCAATTCTGATAATGGGAAAGGGATCGCCTTCTATCCCCGGTGATGTCTTCACTCGTGTGCTTCACTAGTGTACAGCTGCAAGATATCTTGCGTGGAAGCACAAATAGTGAAAGTGAAGTAAAGCGAAAGAACAGCCTCTGACTCAACACGCGTCTCTCCATGCTTGATCCAAGTTAGTTCTATATTTCTTAATGAAATTTCAGTCTGTTGTGAAGCCTCTCAAACCAGCGCCGTCATGAGCCTGGTCGCCAAAAGCCCAGCTGAGTTCTTTGTGTCGCGACTCACCTTCGAAGCGATACCTTCGATACCCGTGCAACGAATTACTGCATCAACACAGAAGTACACTTTATATCTCTGTATATACAAGCTCCTCAATAACTATGATAACACCTTAAACACGCAAAGCTCGCTCATTGTCAATGAGGGAAATCAAGTCATGCGATCTAGAGTTAGCAAACAATCGAAACCCAAACCTTGGAAGAGATATGCTCACGTGCCATGGCGGGTTACAATACGTTGCTCTGGGAGATGTAGACTGCCAGAATTAACTCAGGATTCAGGACGAACACCTGATATGGTGTTTAAAATTGCACTGGGGCATGTATCGATACGTACAGAAAGAAGACACTTTGATTACTCCCCTCATCGGCTGATATCCAGAAAACATATCACCAGTCGTCAATCATGTCATTCGTATCCTCGCTCTCAAAGTCCATGATCTTCCTGGCAGCCTCACTGCCCGCAACGGGCAGCATTTCCAGCCCTTCCCTTCTCGCGTCTTCTGGCACCTGATCGGGATCCAGTAACCCTACCTGAAACAGCACGCTCGCCTGATCCCAGTAGATCCTCTCGCTCCACACCTTGCCTCCTCTCATCCCGACAACGCTCACAACCACAATCTCTACTTTCTTACCCGTGGGCTTTACAGAAGGGAGAACCCACGGCATGTGTATAGTGTGCTTGAATTGGATGTAGAGTTCATCGACGATGCGATCTACGCCAATGGTTCGAGAGATCAAGCGCAAGTGGAAAACAGGTGATTTATCGGCCATGAAGTATTCGTTGTAGAAGCGGGATATCTCTTCTCGCCCAAGGCCGCCGGTCAGGGTGGGGGTGTAGTTTACGGAGGGTGTAGGCTCGGTGGTGTAAGTTTCCATGATTTTCTTAGCACTCCTTTTGTGGAACTTCTCTGATCAGTCTTGTTAGATGGACCCGTTGGTTGGGCGTGAGTGAACAATACGTACGTTCCTCATTATCCTCCCATACTCGTTCCAGGTCAACTTCAGCACCGAAGCCTCGTCGTACCATACTAAGGCTTCGGCTCCATGCTAGTGCATCAGCCACGCCGTCGTACTCGTCAAGATCGTGCTCGGCGAACCCCGCATCCACGCCTTCATATGTGTACACTGGGTACTCGATTCTGCTCTGCAAACCGCCGGTCCCTATTCCTGGCGTGATTCGCTTCTGCACTGTCCTCCGCTTTCCCTGTATACCCAGCACTTCCGGCCTTCGCGTAACTCCAACAGTAGATTCACCCTCTCCTGTCCCTTGAGCAAGATGGACCAGGACCCGAAAGGACGATGATAGGCGGTGTCTCGGATCGGGTATGGAGCTCGGGTAGTAAGCGATCAGCGAGCACAGTTTGGAAGTGCTTGTCTTAGGCTCGGAGTATACATCGAGACAGATTGCGGCTGCGTCACCGAACGCTTCGCCGTGAGTCGTCAGCCGGCGTTTTCCACAATGCTACGGACGATCTCTACGCGGCGAGTGACTGAAAAGGGTAATGTACCTACGATCGCATAGCGCTCACCGATGCCCATGCCGTCGCCCAGATGATGCAGTGTGTTGACATACGTCTTTCCGCCTTTGCCCATGGGGATATACTTGACATTGAACCCTTCGTCGCGCCATGCACGTAAGGTTTCCACATCGAAATCTTCGTCCTCAGCCGTTACGTAGAGTGTGGGGGTGCTGTGGTTGAAGGATAGCCAGCCCTGGCTGGTCGCGAGGTATTGAAGCGCCATCTAAGGCCTACTGACGTGCACGGCCTCGCAAGTGTACTGTCTGCGTGCGCAAACGCACTCAGTGGCATACGATGGTAATGCGACGGCGATGGAGTCGAGGGTGCGGGCGGTGATGGCTACGCGTGCGCGACGGACAAGGCGGAAGGAGCGATCTGGTTGTCGGGGCGGGAGCTTGCATAACGGGCGTGTTATATGCGGGTGCGGCTGGCATCACAGGAGCAGGATTCCGGTGCTGGTACACCACAGAGAGGGGTGGTGGGGTTCTGAAGCATCCACTCGAGTCCGAAAGCCATGACGTAGCTTCCCGCCAGTGGCTTGAACGGCCACTCAGCACTGGCGCCTATTCTCGCCCTCCATGCGCAAGCGCCAAGTTCTTAGATGCATGGGGGACATCGCGAATGAGCATGTCCATGACTGTACACGGGGCGTGGCGTTGTCTGTGGGCGATGGATTTCATCTTGTGGAGACTCTCCTGCGATGCCGGGAAGTGTCCGAGGTTTCCTAGCGCTTCTCTACGAACAACCGCATCGTATGATCAATCTCAGCCTCTCTCGGTGTGCACCGAAGCCAGGTCCACAGCTTTGCACGGCGACCGTCATCTATGTAGGATTCGCACGGTAATATTGATGAGTAACAACATGACAGACAGAAGTCCAAAAGCCCTTGCCACCAGGTAGGCCGGCAATACATCTTCTCAACGCAGTGAAAGCCTAGAAGAGCAAGGCATTAGGGTCAGACGATCTCGTGTTTGATTCCAGAAGGCAACAATATGTGTTTGTTTTTCAAGTCGAAACACCATGGCCCGCAGTATTCAAACGAGATGAGCGCACTTCAAAGGAGTCCGGCTGTCCTGTAGCGACACAAATCGGAACAGGAATATGATGGCATACTTGTTAATGGCCGGTCGCAAGTATGGCCAGCAGTACCCTATTACACCTCTACTTTCATTTCTCCCGTATAGAATGAACCCCAGCCTGCCACTCGTAAGAAAGCGGCAGGCCAAAGGTTTGAGCATCATGTGTGGACCTAAGATGGATAATGCAGGGACCGTTGATTCTCAACTTCTAGCTTATTATTGTGCTCACAAGAGTCAATATGACAAGTGAGAGACGTAGCAGTGAAGGCTGTCACTTACCTGATTGGCCCTCACTCGCTGTCCTTGGGCCATGCGCAAACGCTCTTCGGCGACGACCGCGGTTCCCTCTCCGTCAAAACTTGCTATCCCCAGCCCTCATCTGCTCCACACTTTACTGAGACCTTGGTGACTTTACACTTCTTTACTGTGACCGCTGGACCACCTTTATCAGTTCCATTCCATCAGCAACCCGCAATTTTCACCTCACCGCAAGGTCGCAGCTTCAGCGTGGACCAAATTGACAATGGCTCGCCCAGCCACCTCTTTCTCGCCTTTCGTGCAAGACATACGACCGTCACCCGAGAAATATTCAACACCATCGCCACAACTCGACGACACAGTGGCCACAGATCAACCCGCATACCACAGGCAAATCCTCTCGCTACAGCCGGAGCAGCAACCTGCCATGGCTTCGCCAATTCCGCCGCTGCGCGCAGAACAGCAAGTGTTCAGGTCCGGCTACCAAGGCCAGTATGCTGCGCAGGTCGCCGCACCGTGGCTTGAACACATGGACCCCGCATTGAACTCACAGAGTCACAACTCTCCCCTCGATAGGCATGAGTATGGGCCCGAGGATCAGTACATCTTTACTGAACAGCATGCCGCGCTTGACTACGGCTTACCTGCTGACTATCGCACCGCGGCCGAGCCCTTTCTCACATATGCCTCTGTCCAGGACCAGGGTCAGCTCAGCGTTGAGCCGGTTAGGGCTCTGATTGGCAACGGTATGCCTACGGTACAACAGCAAATCGGGCTGAAGTTCGCGATGACGGAGCCTCTTGAGGTGATTCTCCCAACCGATGAGGAACTGGCTCAGGATGTAGATGCCGAGGGTGAGACAGAGGACGAAGAAGACGCTGAGGTGGGCAAGAACAGTACTGCTACGGAAGTACCTTGCAGTGACCCTGGTTATCACAGCCAGACCGAAGAGCAGCAACCTGCGCAACCTCAGCAGAAACTCTATATCCGCTTCTCGGCCAGAAAGAAGCAGGTGGAGGAAGACGCAGAAAGCAAGAAGGGTGACACAAACACACTTGAAAATGAGCGGAAGCGACCAAGCACAACGTCCATTGAGGAGTTGACAAACGAGATTGTAGGCGGCGCTTCACACAAGAGGACAAGGTTCGAGCGCGGACCCACCGAGCCGAAGATTTCGTCGTCGCCAGCACCAGCAACCAAGGGCAAACAGAAGAGGCAAAGCGAAACGTCTGTTGAGCATTTGAGAAACGAGCATGTGGAAGGCGGTCCGCGGAAGGGTGCGCGGAAGGACTCGTCGCTGTCTTCACCGTTGACCGAGCCAGAGGCTGACCATCCTTTGATGCAAAATACTCAGCAAGGTGGCCGTATCCTTTCCATGCAAGAGCAGTACGCTTCTTCTCCTCCTTTGCCCACAACTGACATTGCTCCGCCGCCACCGCATCGCTTCAGCGCAGAGATTCCGGAATACATCATCGAGCTCTTTGAAGGTCTGGAAGGTCAAGATTACCAGGTTCTCCCAGATATCGAAGATCGAAACGGCAAGGTCCTACCATGGACAGCTGAGCGGCTCACGCTTCTCTATATCCACAGCTACACCCAGGACAACATTGAGCTTTGTGATCTCATTACCGATGTGTGGATCCGCGCCTTTCAGGAACGCAACCGCACCATGGGTCTTCCTCCCATGTGGCGCCCAAACAAACATCACTCAGGGCGCGATCTTACTAGGGACAAGGATGGTTATATGAAGGAATATGGTCAAGTCGGCCTGCCTGACGTGCCGAGATGGCAGCAGGAGCTCGACTTGCCCACCCTCGGTAAAGACGTTACGAAGTTCATACCGCGGCTCCTCAACCAGCTCTATGACCAAACGGCGGAGAGTAACGGCGCACGTATGCTCTGGGCGGACGCGATCGCGCTGTGTGGTACTACAGCTGAAGATTTCTTCACTGAATGCAAGAAGCAGAAGATTGAGGTCCATGAGGGCCTGATCCACAACGTCATGTGCACATCCCTCCGTGGGCTCCGGCGCAATTTGACTCTGAAGATCGAGGAGGTGAACAAGGACTCTTGGTGCCGGCGGTATCACCTACACTCCAAGTGGGGCATGGAGTGCCATCGATCGAAGGGAAAGAAGGACAAGGAGGAGAAGCAGGCAGCTCAGTCGCCGACACACACTGCTGGTGGAGATGGAGAGATGCTCGCTGTGCAAGACGATTTGAACGCAGCGATGCTGCAAGGATTCGAGCAGGAAGAGGACGATGGGAACCTGGCGCAGGAGGTTCATCAAAGAAAGCACCTCCAATGCGCCGGCGACGCTCCTAGCAGTGTTCACGATAGCGCCGTGGACGTCGAAGGCGGCGACAATGGCGACAGTTCAGAGGAAGAGTGATGCGAATTACATCGTGGTGTGAACGCTGCTGTCTTTGGTCATTTTGGATGCTCAATCAGCAGTAAACTACAGGTATCGATTGGATATGTGGCAAGGAAAAGGGTACATTGATAGTTTGGAGCTGTGTTCGCTCACAATCTCTATGAATGCTTGACAATATTATTCAATAATTTGGTCAATGCAGATCGGGCAGGGATCTCCCGAGGTCCTATATGCGGCGCGTGCACTACAGCACTGGAAAATTTGATCTCATGAGCAGCAGTCGACAGCTATTGTGACGCATAACCTCCATCGACACCTCCGAGTGTGTGTTCTCTCCAAGCATCCTCCGTGCCTCCGTAGTCCAATCTACGCTTGAGACGCCACACGTACGCCACATCGGCGTCATCGGATGGCCGCAACCACCGACTTCTAACTTCCTTCATGGCACACGACGACGCGCAAGCCTCGCCTGCCTGGCCAGACGCAACCTTCATCAACGCCGCATGCAGTGTATACCCCTCTTTCGCGTCCTCGAATCTTCTCGATTCTTTCCATGAACAGGCATGATTGGAGTTGCTGGCCGCGGTGGCGCGTTTCGGCGTTTACGTAGCGTGTGGCGAGATGTGTAGGCGTACGTATGCCCGCACGTGATAGCTGATGCCTGCGAAGTGCTGGTGAGTATATAGGGCTCAAGAATCTTGCTGTGACGTCTTTCTTCACTACAACAGCAAATTTTCAAGATGCCGTCAGTACAATACATGAACAATTCTGCGCCGTTCTGGGACTGGGTCGCCAGCCTAGAGCAAGATGGTGGGAATCATCCCTGGTTCTCTCAGTGGAACCAGAACCGAAACAACGAACACGACGACAACACTGAGCATAGCGAGGAGGAGCGTGGTGGACCTCACGGGCGTCCACCATCTGGACCTTGGGGATGGGGCTTCCCAGGCTTTGGTGGCAGGGCCTTCCCTCACCGTGGACCGCCGCCGCCTCCGAGTCATCACCATGACCATGCTGAGCATGCTGAGCATGAAGGCAAAGATAGCGGCGTGAACGAGAAGGATGGTGACGGGGACATGGAGGATGCCAACGATAACGGCGAGGGCCCGTCCGTCAGCGGTTCCGAGACCGATGGCCGCCGCCATCGTCATGGTCGCTGTGGCTCTCGTCGTGGCCGACACGGCTGTGGTGGACCTCGAGGTTTCGGTGGCCCAGGTGCTCACCATGGCCCTCACCATGGCCCTCCCCATGGCCCTCACCACGGCGGCCCAGGACGTCGCGGTCACCATCAGGGCCGACGAGGTGGCTTTGGACCATGGGGACGTGGTGGCTTTGGACCGGCCTTCAACCCCTTCGCCTTCGCCAGCTCATTCCTAGACCCTACCTCCAACAATAAGGACGAGAACGCAGACTTTATCCCGGACGCAGACATCTTCGACACCCCCAACTCGTTCGTGGTACACATATCGCTCCCGGGTGCTAAGAAGGAAGACGTTGGTGTGAACTGGGACGCTGAGAAGTCAGAGCTCTCGATCGCCGGTGTGATCTACCGCCCGGGGGACGAGGAGTTCCTCAAGACGCTGGCGATGGACGAGAGAAAAGTCGGGCCCTTCGAGAGGAAGGTGAGGCTCGGGACGCGGGCCAACCCTGCCGCGATCGATGCGGATGGAATTACTGCCAAACTAGAGGATGGAATTTTGAGAGTAGAGGTCCCGAAGATGGGAGATAACGGGTTCGTGGAGGTGCGCAAGGTAGACATTGAGTAAGGTGGAAAGGTCAATATCGTGTAAGGAAACAGTATTTTCCATGATTTCGGGCACGGGAGTATTACTGGACATATGGCAGGATATACAAGTAAAAGAGAAAAACGGAAAAAAAAAAACATTGCTTCGAAATTTGTGCGCAATCCGAGGATGAACCAAGGATGGCGTCGTGACACTGCTAGTGAGCCTGCTCCGCCAACAGAAACCTAATCGTTCGTCACCTTGACATGAATCCCTGTGAGGTGGTACAGTGCCTCAGAGAGAAGATTAGTTCGGCAACACCTCCCACGACATCGCCAGCCCACAACTCTTTACTCTACATCTGCTGGCTCAGTGACACCGACGCGTACATATGGGGCGAAGCGTATGTACCTCCACCGAGGTACCCAAGGCTCGCAACTACTTGTCGAGGTTTGCGCTGTGGTCATCGATCGCTGTTCTCACGCCTAGTTATGGAGCTTAGACTCGGAGCGCGGGTGAATATGAGGAGCGACGGGGATGGTTTAGACAGAGGATGATGCTGCATCATAGGCTGTCTAGCAAAGAAGGTGTTGGACATACAGGTGTGCTGCAGGCGGAACAGATTTCGGCGCGGGTGCATAAAAAGCGACGCGGAAGAGATGCGAAGGTGAGGAGAGGTGATAGGCGCCACGGCAAGTCTTCGAAGTTTAGGTAAGGCGCACGAGCACGCTAACTCATTGTGGTTTACGCGTGACAGAGCCTCACTGAGGAATCGTCGAACTCCTCGTCGCGGCCAAAATTGTAGAGCAACGTTTAGATCTTGGAGTGATCCAATATGAAGTTGAAATCAGATTATGATTGATGATACATACCGATGAGGCTTCATATACCCGTACTAGTTTGCTCAAGTGGTTTGGGATGAAGACAATCCAACATTAGAGCAACGTTATTATACATGATGAATCCAACCAAAAGTACGCTCTACTGGAGAGCTTGCTGCCGTGGACGAACCTACAGCATGTATCTCAAATGAAGAGTTGGTCACTTCAATTACATCAGTCCCACGAATCGTTCGCTAATGCGTGAAACTCTTCGACTTCACACGCGACCTCATCCAGCAGCGGCAGAGACTTGGCGCGGTTCTTTTCCACTTCGCCAAGGACGCACGCGAAACCGCGAATCAACGATGTCTTCCGTTACGTTCTTGCCGGTCGTATACGCAAATTGTTGGATTGGTACAATTGAGTGATTTAGTAGACACTCTTTCCAGCCTTGAAGATCGGGCTTCGTCCAGTCGCCGTACATGCGGCGCACGCTGGCAGTCCCAAAGTTTGCAATTTCGGCCATGAGGCCAACAATGACCCCAGGTGATTGAGACATTGTCACCATCAATCAACAAAGCTAGATTGGAGTTGGTAGACATTTGTTTTTGCGGGAGTAGTAAAGCATAGATAGTTATTGTCGATGTTTGTTTGGAGTACGAACAGGGCGGAGAGTAGTGGTGGTTTTATGGTTTGACAAGAGCGACTGCTCGCTTTCACTCTAAGTTCTGGAGGTGCCATAGTCATGGTATGAAAGCGAATATTCGAGTGCCGTCAACGAACCGGGGTTAGCGTACTCTCGTCTGCTCTTGCCCCGTTATATGTACTATCAACGCTGAGAATCATATTTCGTTTCCTACATGCCAAGAGACGGACTAGCAAAACATACTCACACGAAGTGATCGGGTTATCATGCAAACATCATCCTTTTAAACCAATGAAGCGACAAGAACACTCATATTTACTCCCTTCCGCCGACTCTTCTCTCGTAATCATCCGTGAGCCTCGAAGCATCAACAACTTCGACGCCCTTGCCGAGCCCGACCATATCCGTGTTCTCCCACCATCTATGCCCATGGCCTGAGTGCTCAGACTTGCCCTTTCCGGCATGGCTCTCGTCGTCAGTGTCGATGAGGCCGCCGAGACCCGTGCCGTCGCTGCCGACAACAACAATGGTCTGACCGACCCAGCGGGTGATGTCTTGGATGTTCTTTCCGCTGGAGCCACTCAACGCGTCAACAATGTAGACAAGATCCGGCGCGAGGTGGCGAAGCATATGCACATGACCAGAGGGCGTAGTGAAGGGCATGACCATGGCGGGATTCTCGACGAGACGCAGGGCCTGGGGGCGGAGTGTGTTCCAGAGATGGTCATCAGTGCTGCGGGTCGAGAGAGCGGGGGGTGTAGGGTTCCTCGGGGTGGGGCTCGACGGTTGAGAGACCTTCAGGGCCGCCTTCGCCTGGTGTGCGCGCAGGATTAGAGATGGCATCGTAGGAAGAGCCGAGGGAGGCGGTGCGGTTGGGGGAGTTTGGTCGGGAGCGGAGGGAAGGCGTGTAGACGAGGACGAAGAGCTTGGTGCGGCTGAAGTCGGTATCGTGGAGGTGAGATAAGATGGTCTATGCATGTTAATTTAATCTTCGGGTGATGCTCTTGAGGACATACAGCATTTTCGGAGCGATATGGGCCATGTTCCTCATGGAAATCGTCCACGAGCGACTCGGCAGAAACCACGATAGCAACGGTCTTCCTCCTACCACCGCTTGAAGGCCCACCTCGCACTGAAGCAGCAAAGCTCTTCGCATTGGCGTCGACGGCCGACCTGCTCTGCTCGCTCTTCGCCTCCGTGTTCCGTCTCAACGACGCCTCCTCAGACCATCTGCTGTGGTCGGGGTAATCATCCTTGCCCTCCTCGCGAATGCTCGCCAGCGCAGCACCAGCAGCAGCCCCCCGCAGCAGCAAGCCCTGCGGCAGTCTTCTTGCTCACACTGTCAAACAGCTGCTGCGGGCTGGGTGTCCGGCGCATCACGCCCTGGACGCGCGAGTAAATCGTCTCGTCCTCGCGCGCGGCGCCGTCGCGCGGCTCAGGCATCCTCTTGTAGTCTTCCTCTCCATAGCTCAGATCATCATCGTTGGATTCTTCATCGTCGCGGCGCTCACTCCAGACCCAGGCGGCAAGGCCTGCGGTCGCGACGGTGACGGTGAAGACTAGGGGCACCCAGTAGCTGAAGGTGCCGCGACGGGTGGAGCTGGACTGGCGGCGGTCGTAGCGATCGTAGGAAAAGGACATGCTTTCACTTCATCTAGGCTGCGCAACGTGGAGCAGCGAGTGGGGTAGCGTGGATACGGGCACGGAGGCGAGGTGTTGTTGTTGTCCCTCGGGGGCGGATCACTGCGTGGCTGGGAGCTATGATGCACCCCTGCCAAAGAATCATGGCGCCGAACCGAGAGCGGGCCGAAGAGTCATGCACATGCAAACAAAACTTTGGCGGGGCGCGGCTTCAACCTCACGCACGCCAACAACATATTGTATACACCTTGGCGACAGAGCTCTGGAGCTCACATTTACCTGCCCAGCTTAAGCTCGACGGTGTTTCAGGTCGTAAAACATACATCCTTTGCTACATCCGCGTGCTCTTAAACCACCATGCCGCACGCTACGCTGCCCTCGCCGGGCTTCCAGGCCGTCATATTGTGTGGCCCTGGAGCTTCGTTGACCACCTTTACCTCGTCGCCAAAGGACATACCGAAAGCGCTGTTGCCAATTGCCAACAGGCCTATGGTGTGGTATCCGCTTGAGTGGTGTTACCGCATGGGAGTCACAGGTAGCAATGACCCACCCTCCAGATCCAACTTGGGCTAATAAAACGCCAACTATTCAGATATCACCATCATATCTCCTCCAGAGTCTTTGGAAGCCATAGAAGCCGCATTGTCGCGCGACCCACATCTCACTTCGCTCCCTGCGCCCAAGCCCGATCTTATTGCGCCCAAGGACCTCACCCACGAAACAGGAACCGGGCACCTCTTCCGGCTACCAGAAGTGCAAGATGCGATCAAGAGCGATTTTATTGTTTTGCCTTGCGACATCGTTTGCGAATTGGACGGCACAGCGCTAGCCGATGCCTGGATGGTAGAAGAGGCCGGATTCGGCGCAGCAACTGGCGGCGTCACAGAGAATGGGAAAGTACCTATCGCTATCGGTGGCGAGAAGCTCGGCAGGAGAGGCGGTCTAGGTGTGTGGTATCAGACCAAAGGCGAAGGCAGCAAGAAGGGTGAAGAGACGGACTTCATCGCGACCACCCCGCTCCACACGCCCACCGTACCCCCACCAGCCGACTCGTTGCGCCGCAATGTTTCGAACCTAGTCTACACTGCACCAACCGATACCCTCAACGACATCACAGAAGAGAACAAGACATTACCGGTGCGGCATTCGCTCATTCGCAAACATGGCCGCATAAAGATGCTGACCACCCATCGCGATGCACACATCTATTTCCTTCCCTACTGGATCATCGAGATGATCAAGAAGAACGAGAAATTTGAGAGTGTTGCGGAAGATGTGCTGGGCTGGTGGGCAAAGTCTGGCTGGCAAACTGGCCTGGGAGATAAGCTCGGTCTGCGCTCAATACTCCAGCCAGAAGACGAACCGGGCAGCGACCACGGTTCGCAAGTTATTGAGGAAGAAATTGACGTCGCGAAATTTAGCTCCACCTACGTGGGCGCAAGTCAAGCACACAACACCGCCCCAACCCTTGCATCACGAGTCCGCGATTCTAACATCCCCGAAGGCGTTCAGTCTTTCTCGAAATCGAAAGTCAACGTCCCGCCATTACTATCATACGTGCACCCCTCTACACCAGATGCGCCACTGATTCGTCGCGTCGACACCGCACACCTCCTCCTGACCATATCCCTCCGCCTCGCCAAACTCTCATCCCTCGAGGAGACTAATGGCAATCCTGTTTCACCTTTCTCCCACCAGTTCAAAGTCGCCCACAAGAACCTCATTCCCCGAAAATGCCGCGTAGAAGCCGAAAACAGCCTCCTCGCGGAAAACGTGTCCGTCGCCGAAAAGACCAACATCAAAGAGTCCTGCATCGGCGCGAACTGCAAGATCGGGGAGGGTGCTCGATTACTGCGCTGTCTTCTGATGGAGGGCGCTGAGGTCGGCGAGAACGTGCAGTTGACGGATTGTATATTAGGCCGGAGATGTAAGATTGAGGGTGGGGAAGTAAAGAGTGAGGAAAGGACCGTGTTGAAAGACTGCGAGGTGCAGGATGGACAAGTGGTTGAGTGGGGTACGGAGAGTAAGGGGGAGAAGTTCATGCGATTTGAGTTGCCGGACGGTGACGAGGGGGACTTTGGTGATTTCGGTGATGAGGAGGCGGATGATGAAGTGGGCGTTGCTCTGGGAGTGATGTCGTAGTAGGAAACCCATGAAAGAACAGGATCATGTTTGATATCGCCGTGAGAACTATCCAGTGTTCGCACGTTCACTCAAACTAAAGCTATCGCTCACTCACTGGATGGCACCTTCATCCTATGCATGCTCTACGGCTCTGCTTACACGTAGCATGCCGGTCGTGCTCAATCGGGACTTCTCTTACTCTTCACCAACTTTGGCGGCTGCGGAGGTGAGGTTACACGCAATCCCGTACGACCAAAGTACGTGTGCCTACGTCGGAAGGACTCCCCAGATACCAGGGCCAAAGCGATCAAGGTCGAAAGGGCAGGCCCTGGACGAATCCAAGTAGAGGATTTTTTCGTTTCCATGGCTTGAGAGAACTCCCTTCGAATGCTCATGAATCTGGCGCTCCTAGACGGAGACTCCGGGGGAAAAGAGAGAACGTATCGCCACGAATCCAAGGATGCGTGAGATACCAGGCTTCTGCCGCAGTATCACACTGGCAACCACGTACCGAACGAACTCGTCCAGACCGTCGATGTTCTTCCCGAGATCCACAGGCTCGGCATCTTTTGCGGCTTTGAGAATCGCATGATCACTTATTGCTTTAGGCGAGGTGTGGCATATATTCTCGCTCTGAAGGTGACAAACACGACTCGAAGATTTTCTTATGAGACATTCAGGCAGTAGAGCCTACCGGGAATACCAATCTAAGATGTTAACGGTCGATTTTCCTGCACTATTTCGCAACCTACCCTCAAGGCCGGTTATCGTTCAGACGAGCATTTCTCTCGAACGAAATACGACTGCGCCGATTGCCAGCTCAGAGGCAGGCAACCAGGAGGCACTGAACGACAGCGAGGCACGGGCTGCCCATGCAACGATCGAAGCCCTCCGCACAGCAATCCGCCAACATCACGCAAGTCTGGCAGCGGCGTTCCGAGCGGGAGATCCTTTGTGGGATCAGTTCAACAAGACGCATCAGAAGTACAGGGATACGCCATTTTCGGTACAAAGGCGAATCTTGAAGGTCGAACATAGGACTCACTTCAAGACAGCCGAACTGCGACGTGATGAAGAAGATGAAGAAGATGAAGAAGATGAAGAAGATGAAGAAGATGAAGAAGATGAAGAAGATGAAGAAGATGAAGAAGATGAAGAAGATGAAGAAGATGAAGAAGATGAAGAAGATGAAGAAGATGAAGAAGATGAAGAAGAAGGTTTTTCGCTGTTCGTTTCCGGGGACGAGGAGACCGAGACGCCCCGTAGCGACGAAATTATCAACAAAGCCTTGGAACTCATGCACCCAGATACAAGCCTCGACGCCGATGACGACGACCTGTTCGATGATATCAAGGACCTCATAGAAGAGGCATAGAGGCATAGAAGACGCTATAGATCACGCTGACGCTGCCGAACTATATGCAACAGATAATAAGCAGTGCGATACGTCTGGTGGTAAGGACACCGCAGTCATGGCTCTACGTTGGATTCGAGGGCCCGTGGCTGCATCCGAAATTGCGTCTACCGCAAAGGTGTCTCCGCGTACAACGCCTTGATTGCTGAGATGCAACGCGCCACTAACGAAGCCGACTTGAGCGCGCGAATGGTTACCTGTGAGTCACAACATAGACAACTTCCCACCTGAACAGGAGCCTCTCCCAGGCACTTGTGACTGCCATTTCTGTGGTATGGACGTAACAAAACTTCATTCTGCGGCGGCATGTGCGCGCTTGTGCCAAAGACGATGCGGACCTCAGGGTTCACCAGCTGATGTGATTTCTCGTTCCTTTAGATCGCCTTTGCGAGTACCAATTTGGCGGCTGTCAAGATACTTTGAAAGATTTTGTTACGGACTCAGAAGAGCGCAGAGAGCATATGAGGTCATAGTGGCGGACCTTGACGAAAAAAGACGCGAATGGCATCGAGGTACCAATTTACTTCTTCGGCGCCTGCAGACCGTGGCAGAACGAGGCGAGATGGTGATAGGACTGTCACTTCATCTTATCTTTTTCGTAAATAGGAACTTCATCATCTATTTGGTCGTATGGCAACCAAATGGCACTTTCTGCACTCTTCCGCTCGTTTAAAAACACTTGTCTCTAACAGTCCATCCCATCAAAGTACCACTTCAACTTGCCGGGCCGCCATACAATGTACTCCCGCGGAAATTAGATCAGCCAAACAGCTTGCGGTAGTCGTAACGAGGGCAGGTCACCGGAGATGGTCTGGTAGGAGGCTTTGTAGGGCTATCACGTTGTCTTGGTTGGAGTATTAACTCCCTGAAAGTGGGCGCTCACGGGTTAGGCTGCTATGTCTGAAATTGAGCTTCTGGGTTCAGGGTTTCCAGGGTTCATTTGACCCACAATGCATCCAGCAATGGCATCCGGGTTAAAGGATCAGGGATTTCCGTCTATTGTGCAGCTGGTTCCTAACCACTCGTACTGTTACATGGCCCGCTTGTCCGTCGTCTAGCGGGAACGCAGAAAATCTATGACTGCAAATACGCAAACACATGAAGCTAAAAAAGAAACCTATGCAATCCATATGCAAGAGAAAGGTACAAAGACAGATCATTACTTTTTCACGTTGTTCGGAAGCCCGCAAAAAGCTTCACGGCTGTCTTGGTATCATCGCTACCACCGGTCCACCAGATATATCTTCTATTTCGAGATTTCTACCCCGCCTGTGGCCCCGAGAGCTAGAGGGTGTCAGCAAGGAGTTATGTTCTAGTCGGATGTACGTACCCTTCTTGATGTCACCGTAGATAGCGAATTGTCCGGCGGTGATACCACCGACCATGAAGAGACGGGCACCAATACCACCGAAGGAGCCACGGAGACCGAGCTCACCGCCAATCTTGACGAGACGGGAGATGGTGCCCTCTCCAGGGAGACCCTGGGTCTTGTTGATCTTGGAAAGCATGGTGTCGGCAGGCTGAGAGATGATGGCGGCAGCGAAACCGGCGATGAGACCGGAACCAAGGTTGATGGTGGTCTGCATGCCGCTGGAGGCCTTGCTCTTGTCGACCTGGCGGTAGACGGCCTCGGAGACCTTCTCGAAGACGACGAATTTGGCCATGGTGTAGGGAACCCTGCGATTTGTCAGAGAGCTGTTAGAGACTCAACCAATCATGTCACATACTGCTTGAACAGGATGGGACCGAAACCGGAGTAGAAAGCGCCGACACCCTCATTCTTCAAGATCTTGGAGAAACCGCCGACAAGGCCGTTGGCGAAGGTGGGCTGAGAGACGAGACGGATACGGGTGGCCTCGAGCGGGCAGAGAGCAACGTCGGCGAAGAACTCGGCAGTAGCAGCGGAGGCGAGGTAGACAGCGGTGCGGTTGTTGGAGGCAGCCTCATAACCGAATTGGTTGATGCACTGCTGCTTGAAGAACTCGTATCCGCCGAACTTGAAGGCACCCTGGAGGAAGTAACCAGCGAAGGTAGGGCCGACACCGGTCCAGAGGGCGCCAAAACCCTCGTTGGCGAGAATCTGTCTACCACTGCCTATGAGGCCCTTGTTGTAGGTGGCGGGGTCGAGCTGTATCCTCGTCTTGACGCTGCGACAATGTTAGTAATTTGGCGCTCGATTGCGACAGAGGGGCGCAACCCGACGGGCAGCAATTGGCGCTCGCCCGGGCGTGTCACGGGCGCGGAAGACGTACACATCGACGGGGGTGAAGCCACCGTGGGTGACAGCGCAGCAGACGGCACCAGCGAAGGCGAATCTGGAGTAGAGGTCAAGGCCCTTGGGGGCGCCCGGAGCAGCAGCCGCGGCGGTGGCCTTGATGGCGTCAAGCTTCGTGGAGCCGGTAGACGAGGGGGGAGCCTGGGCAGACATTGTGACGACGGCGGCGAGATGGAGAAGAAAGGACGGAGTGGAGAGGGTGGTGTTGATGGAGGATTGACGACAGCTTGGTCGATGGGAAGCAGATAGGAAAAGTTGTTATTTGGGCCTAAGCCTGATTGGATCGCGCCCGTGAATTCCCGATATTTCCGACACCCGGCCAACCGCGAGCGAACCATTCAAGGCGCTCGCTGCTAGCGCGTGGCATCCGGTACACCACGCCTTCGACTTCCGAGCATCCTCCCTTCGATATTGCAATCTTTACTCTGCAATGTCGCGCGGAAGAACAGCCACCAGGACGTGCGATGCCACACGGCCGGCTTCACGCGATGAGCGCCAATCCGACACCTCACGTACAGCTCACACAAACCTGGCGGGTGTCTACTTGGGTGGCATCGTCGCCAAACGAGCGACGAATGCAGCTCCGTCTGCAGGCGAAGCTTATTACGACTGCGGCGTGCAACAGAATATTTCAATTACACGATACACTACTGATTCTTGCAATGATTCCAGCATTTCCCGCGGTCTCCTTCGCCAACCATCGCACCTCCCGCTTTGACAACCTCTTGACCACCACTTACTATAGCCCGGGGCTCTTTGACTAGATAAGACTTCTCTTCACTGTGGTACAGGTCATCTTCGTCTACTCTCGCCAACAGCGTGTTATGCGCATGGGAGCTGGCCCTGCCTGCGTCCAGGACGCCATCGAAGGTGTCGTCTAGCTCGTCCATACGCAGAAGGACGCGCTGCGACATCCCCTGCAATTGCGAGCTCTGATTGGCAACCTCCATCATGATATATGGAGTCCTGGCATCATTCCGTCGTCGCTCCATGACAGCCTTTCGCTCGCTCTTCGGGACATCAAGGCCCGCGAGTTTCGTGACAAGCCTAGCGTTGTCACTGCCCAGGCGATTCATCTTGTGCAGACGCTCGATTACACTTTTCAAGGCGTGGTCGATATCCCAATCCGGGAGCATGCCCTCTACCGCGTCGCCATCCTCAATGCAGCTCTGCGCGATTGCCGAAGCTGGGGCTTTTGCTATGCTACATGCGGCCCACTTCTGGCCTGCTTGCTGCTCCGTTAGAGACTGGAGTCCATTCAAGACCTTCTCGCACAGGCAAGTTCGAGCAATTCTGATGGCGGACCGCACTTCCTCTGAGGCTTGGTTGCAACTCTCTTTATCAAGCTGTCTCCTCTGTTTCACCAACTCTTGCACTTCAGTGTCGTCTTCTTGAAGCTTCGCTCGTTCGGTTTCTGCGTCAAGTCGATCTCTCCTCGCGGAGTGTTCCGTGCCAAGATATAGCCTCGAGCGGTACTCCCTGAAGAGTATCTCCACGGCTTGGTCTCTCATCTCATTATCCAGACCCGGTATGGCGATGCCTTGATTCGCAATCATAATGATCAACTGATGGATAACATTCTGATCCTCAAAGCTCTTCAATTCGGGCCGGTATGCGTGAAGAGTCTGACGCAGACACAAAGTCTGCTGCTCGAGAAGGTTCTCGTCTTGATGTCCCTTTTCGACTTCGTCTATCAGCCGGCATCGTGATTTGAGAGCATCAAGCAATCCTTGTCGCGTGTGGGTGCAACTTGGGTTATTTCCAACATGCATATTCCATGTTCGAAGCACGGTCAGGAGCTCGTCGTAGGTCTCCTCATTGTACGGAAACTCCTCGGAACTCAGACAAGGTCTGGGTTCCAGACGCAGCCTCTCGACCAGATCTTCTGCCTTGAACGGCCGAGGGCCCTTCCCTGCCCGTATCCTCTTCAACATGTCCAGGTCAACGGCCATGCCCAAATTCCTTATCGGTATCGTAGATTCACTTCCATGGTTAACGTTCCTCAACTCATAGGCTGTGCTGAACTGAGGCAGATCCTTCCCCTTAGGGTGGCAGATTATCTTCTCGAAGACAAATTCTGGCTTCGAAGCAGCACGGGATTGCTCCTGCGCCAAGGTCTCAGCAGCGAGGAAGTCTCTTGTTGCACGCAAAACATCTTCAACCGTTATCGCATCTGGGGAGATGTCGGAATCTGGTACTATAAGGACGTTGGTAACCCGATGTTTCGCTCCGGGATCGTATGGATGGTTCTCATCGTCGGGATCATACAGCGCCTTCCTGATCTGACCGAACGTAACACGTGGTTCGGGTTCGGCATTTGACGTAAGCTGCGTGTTTGGTTGATGTCGGTTGAGCGTTAGCTGGGGTTTGGGTAGCTCATCTGAGGCCGGTAAGAGATGCTTGAGGAAGGACATGGTTTGCTATGGATGTGGTTGTTCGCGTTCTGGTATCTGGGTTGAGAAGGGCGCTGGTCGCCAGCAGGCGCGCATCCATGGAACGCTGGGCCATGCGTTCCATTGTGGAAGTCTGTCGTGAAGTATGTGCAATGTGAAGACGACGTGTGCATTCAAGTTGGGATGTTGATGGGGACATGCAAGCATCCACCCGACTGCAACGGTCCCTCCAGCGAACCACGTCGTCGTTGTCCGGAGGCACCAGTCCGCACCACCCGTTCCTCAGCGCCACGGCCTCGTCGCAGAGGGTTGGTGGGATCCGTGTGGGGGCGTCATCGTCGATCGGATGGCGTCGGTGGTCAATGCATGGCCGCTTCCAATCAGGCCATGTGTTGCAACGATAGCGTCGACTGCACAAGTTTCGAGAACAATCGAGCAGCGTAGACAGCGCAGCTCCTCAGCATCGTGTGCGTGCACATCAGCGGCGCCTTGGGAATCCCAACAACTTCACATGCTCGCTGGCCGCGCAAGCTGCCTTCGTTCGATTGACCTGCGCGTGACCGAGGATCGGGGCTAAACTTACTCGTCGGTCAACCAGGGTCTCGCCAGGTTCTTTTGCTCAATATAATCTCTCTCTTGCCGTCTTTTCCTCGACTTCTGCGTCCCCTTCGACTGCACCTCGGACGACTCCACCGCCGCCGCCTCTCGCCGCCGAGCCTCCATGTCTCTCGTGCAGCATGTCTCTCAATTGGTAGGCCAGGATCGAGACGAGGCGTTAGTCGACCTCTTCCTTCCCCCGCTAGAGCGAGCAGAGTCCATCGCGCGTTCCGAACGCCGTCTTTCCCTCGGCAGCGGCTTCGACAGCACAAAGTCGATACGCCGCCTTGCGAGTTACGACTTCTTGAAGAAGCCCGAAGATACAGTCGAAGATTATGGCGGTGTGACCCAGTACACTGTTCCCACGGCGAAGCGTATTGGTGCGTACAAGATTCCCCCGTCCGTCACTACCAAGATTCACCCTGACCCCGTGACACAGCTCAGGTAATCACAACAGTAGTCGCCTGTTGGTTCGCAAGTGGCATAGTCTTCGGATTCGCCGCACTCAAGCCCATTCTGATCCAGGAGGGCGTCTACCAAGACTTATGCACACCGGAAGAGTTGGAGAAAGGTGTCCAAGTATGCTTCGAGCAAGATCTGCGACTCAACTTCTTCTTCTCGCTTGCCTCTACAACCGCCAATCTCTCTGCACTACCCGTGGGCGCCTTGCTTGATCGCTATGGTCCGAAACTATGTTTTCTTCTGGGATGTGCTTGTCTCGCTGCCGGCAGCATCCTCATGAGCCTTGCTTTCCAGATTGATGAATTTGACGGATACACCATCGGTAACTTCTTCCTTGCGCTTGGGGGTAACTTCATCTTTCTGCCTTCTTTCCAGATCGCAAATGCCTTTCCCAAATATGCAGGCACTATCGGTAAGTCACCCACGACACGCATATCACACTACTCATCAGGACTAACACATGTGTAGTCGCACTAGTGACGGGTGCTTTTGACGCTTCGGCAGCCATTTTCTTGATTGCACGATTGATCTACGATGCTACCGACCGTGCCTTCAAACCGCAGCACTTCTTCCTTGCTTACCTCTTAGTGCCTGTTGCGATCCTCCTTGCACAGCTGACTTTCCTACCCACTGAGAGCTACAAGACTCCAGGACAGCTGCAGCAGAAATTGGATCACGCTGAAGATGCAATGCGCGATGTCCATTCCTCAGACGACGAGCTGTCCGACGATGAGATTTGGAGACGCCGCAAGATGCGAAGCACTCGGCGTAGGCGGCGACAGCAAAAGCTTGACAAGCTTGTCGGTTCTCCTGACCGGCGAAGGAGGCGCGAAGAAAAAGAAGAGCATCGGCAAGATGCCGCTGGTGTCTGGGGTGCTCTGCACAACAAGCCTGCCAATGAGCAGATGATGACCCCGTGGTTCTACCTCCTCACGCTTCTCACGGTCCTACAGATGATCCGAATGAACTACTTCATTGCCACTGTCAGAGAACAATATCTCTACATGCTGGGGTCTATCGAGCTCGCAACCCGTATCAACGATTTCTTTGACTGGGCCCTTCCCATTGGTGGCGTCATCAGCACGCCGTTCCTTGGCATGCTGCTTGACAACGTAAGCGTGCCTGGCGTGCTGCTTCTCATCTTAGTCATTATCACAGTCATCGGCATCGTAGGCTCGGTAGCTGCACTATGGGCAGGTTATGTTAACGTCATACTGTTCGTTGCTCTCCGCCCTCTATACTATTCCGCCATGTCCGATTACGCCACCAAGGTCTTTGGCTATGCCACCTTTGGCCGCGTTTACGGGACTATTATTTTCTTTTCGGGCATCATCAACCTTTCACAGACAGGCATCGCCGCTTTGACAAAGACAGCTTTCCATGGAAATCCTGTGCCAGTCAACGTCTTCTTGGCTGTTGCTGCGTTCGTTGTCGGAGTAGCGCTGGTCACCTATGTCACTGTGCAGACTTATCGCATGCAGAAGGTGTTGCAAGATGAAGACGCCATCACTGTGACCAATACTGAAGCCGACAGCATAATGGAAAGCTTACTCGAAGAGGATGAGCCGCAGCAAGGTTACGGCAGCATTTCCCAGCCACGCCAATCTTGGGAGTACTAGGGGGAAAAGTTTCATTATGATTCGAAGATATATTATCTGGAGGTATACAAAACAGCGATCTCCCGGTAGTTCATTACAGGAAAATTTCCAGTCTTGCGCATGGGTGGTGGAGTCGGCGTACTCTGTGGGGTTTGTGGTCTACTACGTCGCGTCTTAAGCTTTTCGCATTTGCGGCTCAGCACGATACCATTCAGATTGATTTTGTCCCAGAGAAGCGTTAGATATTCCTATAGCGAGCATTTGCATTTTGTCTTCCAAGTTTCTTCTAAGTGTTCTGCAGGCGTATGATCAAGGATTCGACAGCAGATTGTTAATTTGTGCAGTAGGTATCTAACGGCCGCCTTCTGGAGCGTTGATAGTCAATCTATGCTCATCCATCCACGCCTTCATCCATTGTGTACTGTTCATTGGTTTGGGTTTCCAACGTTGGCACGCACGGGACATCTGCGTGCTTTCTAGGTTAGTACAAGTCAGACATCACGTTGAACTCTTGCTGATAGTGAGGCAGATCGTCCTATTAACACTATGGACACGCGAAGCAGTGCCCTATATCTGCCCAGCTGTACAGAACGAGTATATCAGGATCTCCGGAGACAACGAAATTGTTCAGAATGCAAAATTTGTACGACAATAAACGCCCCGAGGCTTTGATACGTCTTCGCAGCGGCTTAAGGATTGCTCCTGCATTCGATATCGTACCTACCACAACCAGCCGGACTTGCGCCTGATCTATAATTTCTATCGGACGGCAGCGTGGCACACAATGATCGAGCGTCCAGCAGTTGTCTTCCCTTCAACACATCGCTATCCACGGTTCGCTTGGGGTCGTACCGCACTTCAACATCGCATTCTTACTGCAACCGTATTCCCCTCACAGAGCATAAAAGCGTTTTTCTATCCCTTGCCTACGGTTTTTTTTACCAACGCACGCCGTCTGGTGAGCACGCCCGTTGCATTGAATCCTCATTATTTGCATCGCAGCGACGGCAACGCTGACTCCAGTACGGACCTTTTGCATAACAATGAGCTACGCACATACTCAGTACACTCAATTTTCATAGAAGCACGATGCCGAAGCGGCCTAGTTCTGATGCATTGTTGCCGCTGCAAGCAATGGAACAACCCCCCGAAGCCGACTCAGCGGAGAGCAGAGGAGATTTCCTCCCCAAGTACGACATCGATGTCTACAATGTGATCACCAGGTTAGGCTCGTCATCTCCACGCATAGATGCCTCACAGCGTGTACCTAGTGAAGAGAAGCGACCATCATCAACTAGATCTCTCAAGAAAGCACAATACACGACAGCGAACGCAGAGAAAGTTCCATGTCTTGGAGGCGACCAGAGCTCGCACGCCTCCGTCTCTCCAGCCCGAAGCACCCCCGCCCGCAGCTCCTTCGAGACCGACCTCAACAGATCGGCGTCGCCAATTACAAGCGCTAACGACGCTTCACAAAATGGACAAGACGCCCCAATTGACGTTGACGACAATGAAGAGATCGAGGGGGACGAAGACCTCAACACAGGCGACGAGACAGACACCGCTGACACCATCAGCGTTCCGATCAACTACAAAGACGCATCGGGTATAACCAATGAATACCACCTCGACATCAACGAAACAGAACTCATCATCGGCCAAGCGCGAGGCTACGCCTACATCGGAAACGAGCACCAAGAGACAGATGAAGAAGCCATAGCCCGCGAGAAAAAGGAATCCCAGACGAATTGGATGACGGGTTGGTTAGTGCACGCGAATCCGGAAAAGTATCAGGTCAAACCGAAAAAGTTTGTGCCTAGTGGTAAAGGCAAAGGGGGCGGTAGGTGGGTGGACGTAGATGAGGACGATAAGGTGCGCGTTGTTGTGGAGTGGAAGAAGGCGCTGTACAGAGATAGGCGATGGTTCGTAAATGTTGACGTGGAAGAGATTGAAGAAAGGAGGACGACGAAGTTGGGTGATCCGCCGCTGCAGTATAAGCTGGAGGTCCCGCGACCCAAGCCTCCGCAGTCTGGTCTCCTGCGCGATGGAGATGAGCTTATCGGTGCTCCAAGATGTTTAGCTGGGCCGTCGAAGCGCTGTCAGCCGCCGCTTATGGGGAAGTTTTCGGTGGAGCAGAGGAAGAGGTATGCGGGTAAAGAGTGGCCGGCAAGGAGGATTGCGGAGATGAACATGGATGGCTCACGGTAGGATAGCGGTCGGGTTGACCCACCTCAAGGTACGGATGCAGATGAGACTGAAGCTTTAGAGTACGGGTTCGATACAGTCCGTAATCGATAGTCACATTACACGTCAATCTTTTCTTAAGAGAGCGTGATCTCCGCAACACACTCAAATAGAAGTGAGCAGACATCCTCATTACACATACGCTAAGATTACAAAATCACATCCGATGTACTATCCCATATACACAAGCTTCCCTCCTCAATACAGCCATCAAGCTCAAGTGAATCATGGACAGCATCAACTTTAAAGGATCCCTACGCATCTCAGAAAATATCCTCCAGTCCATGCTCCTCCCACTGCGTCTTCTTCTGCGAAACATCATGCCTCACATTCCAATAATTGTGGTTGAATTCCCAGTACTCTTCACCCGTGATGTCGCATCTCCCCTTGGAGAACCACTTAGGCACAAACTCCTCACCGTGCGCCTCCCGCTTTCTCCGCGTCGCGCGCTGCTTTTCTTCGACGCGGTTCTTCTCCGTAGCAGCGAGGTCGTACTCGCCATCTTCCATGGCGCGCTGATCGGGCCGGAGACGGGTGTCTGTCGGCGCGACGACGGGGCGCAGGTGCTCGTCGACGGCGTTGAGGGTAACGACGAAGGGAGTGAGGTTGAATGGGATGCCTGTGGGACGTGTGTGCGCCTGCCACACGAGGAACGCCTTATTATCGTCGTGCTTGGCATGTTTGCTCCCGCCCTTGTCAATATCGGCGTCTTCAAACCCAGGCGTGAAGCGTGCATAAATCTTGTCGTTCCAGCGGCCGCCTACGCTCCATCTTACTCTACCCTCTGCATCAAGCACTTTCCCGATGACTTGGTAGGCGGACGAGGCTTTCCAGCCGCGGGGTTTGAAGTCGAGCTGGCAGACTTCGCCGCTGGTGTGGTTCTTGATCTCCATGAGGCCGTAATTGTCAACGGTGGGATTGCCAGTGATGATGCCGATGACGGAGGACGTGACCTTTTTCCAGGTGTAGAGTTCCTCTTTGCCGCCGGTTGCTGTGGGTCGGAGACGCAGGAACCAGGTTCCGAGCGGGTTGATGTCGAAGGATCGGCCGTAGAACTTGGACTTGACTGCGGACTCGCCCTATTGTGCGTCAGCAAGCGGTTGCCATTGGAAATGAGAATGTCCGAAGCTTACATAGTAATCCCACTTCCTTGACTCTGCATAAGCAGCACCAACAGGTGGATGATGGCTGACTTGCTCAATGAAAAAACGATAGCCTTTGTCAGGTCTAGCGTACTCGTAAGTCTCACCAAGAAGAGGGTTGAACGGCTTTGCCACCCGTCCAATGGTTGAGGCGTATTCCGAAGCAGCAAATGCAGCTACGTAAAGTAGGCGTTCAGTAGAGTCGGCACGTTCGGCGGCAATGTCAATGAGATCGGTGTACTCCATGTCTTCCGCAACACGCTGAAGGAGAGACGTTGGCTCGTTGAAAGAGACCGGAAGCGTCATCTTTGTCATATCTTTTCCGATCATGGACTTGAGAATGCCCTGTGATGGAATTAGCTTCGGGAAAAGGTGTTCAAGATAGTCTGCTTACCCAAAGCGAGATCTTCGGTCTGTTATCATCGTCCATGGCCAGCTTCTTCCGCACACCACCTTCATATCCCACGAAGCCTTTCGCAACATCTGCATGCTTGCTTTCAAATAAATCACCACTAGAAGCAAGGGGCGCCTCCTTTGAATCAGCATCTGGCGTTGCGACGGGCATCTCGACGACCTCGACTTCACCGGCACCGACAGCATCGAAGAATTCCTCATCGTCCTCCGAGTCGGATCCAGACATGTCCGCAGCGATGTTAGCAAGGGTGGCCTTTCTCCGCAACGCTTGCGAGCTAGGCTGCGACTTCAACGGCGCTTGGTCCTCTTCGGCTTCGACAAAATCGTCTGAGCCCTTGGATAAACTTCTCGCGCCACCGACCTGGTAATCCTCCAAAGCCTCTCGTAGAGCTCGCTTCGTCTTTCGCCGTTTGGTTTCCGCTTCCCCTATCCGGTTTTCAAGCTCTTCCTGTTCGCGGGCAACCTTAGCCATGCTCTCTTCCCACATCCGGCGCACGTTAGCTTCCCTATCTAGTCGATATTGCCAGTAAGCATCACGATCTCGCGATATGCGCAATAAGTCCCCAATCAGTCCTTTCAGATTGCCCACCGCTGACTCATACGAGGAAAGCGCTTGCAGCATCATCGGATCTGAAATTTGCAATGTCGGGTTTTTCGTCTTTTCCTGTTGCAGCGCGGTGGACACATGTTCAAGAAGGTCAAGCTGGAGCTTCGCGGACTGTGCGGTGATATTGAAAGCATCCTTGCTTTGGGGTCTTACTTCGTGACTGCTCGTGTCATCGCCATAATCTTCATCATCGTCGGCGTCACCCTCCACAGTGGCCGTGCCGACATGACTGACCATCTTCCCGAGCTCGTTGCCAGCTACGCTAGGGTCGTAGGTACTGTCTGGCCCATCGTCAATCACACTCTGGCCTGAACGCGACGCCGTTTCCTGGCTGGTCAACGGCACCCCAAGCGACGTCGTAGGAGCCAGAAACCGCGAGCCTGTGACCTTGGAGCTAGCAACGCTTCCGCTGTCACCTTCCTTGGTCAGTCGCTTGTCAAGTGCCTCTACTTTGGCTTGTGCCAACGCCTCCTGGTCATGCTGGGTGCGCTTTACTTCTTCCCGTGCTTCATCCTTGGACCATTGGATGGCGTTGTTCAGCGCCCAGTACCACCTTTTGGCCTCGACCTGATGGTTGGCCTTGAGATGATACTTGACGGACGATTTGCCCTGTATTTCAAAACGTTGCTTATCCTGCGGGTCCATGTAAAGCTTCGCTATGCGCATGTTGATGGCGCCACGGCATGCAGTGCCCGTGTCGTCTTGGTGTTTGTAGTAGCTCAGCACACCATCTTCTAGAACAAACCATCGCAGCTTGTACCCGCTAGTGTAGTTGGTCCACTTCTTGAGGTAGCCCTTCATCTCACGCGACTCCTTCGCACCCATGCCACTTTCGGGAGCGGCTCCGGCTTGCGGACCTGCTCCCGCAAGGATCGTCTTCTCTTGTATTCCCCTTTGCGCGGCAGCGGCAGCAGGTGAGCGCTTCAGGATCGCACGAGTCCGGTCATCTTTGGTGTAGTCCTGAGGGAGCTTGCCCTTGCGATCTCGCCGAAAAGGGTCAGCTCCATTGAGAAGGAGCAGCTGTGCCAGTTTCACATCTTTCTTCTTCGCGGCCTCGTGCAGAAGAGTACCTCCGGCTTCCACAACAACGGGGTCAGTCACCAGCTCCCCGCCGTTCACGTCAAGTGTGCTTTTTATCCGCGCATCCTGAAGCAACTTCTCCAGAGACGCCATGTCACCGTCAGCCAGCAGTTGTTGTACCTTCTTTACGTTCGTGTCGATGAATATGGATCGAGCCAGCTGCAACTGCTGGAATATCTCGGGCGTACGGGCGAGGTCCAGCGGGGTCTGTCCGTTGTAGTTCGTTATAGAATCATTGATACCAGGCTTGTCAAGCAGCATGCGCACAACAGGAGCGCGGCCGAGGGTGGCTGCGAGGTGCAGAGCTGTGTTGCCATCGCGGTCACGGCCGTTGATATCGATGACCGAGTCAGGCCCAGGCGTCGCATTCGACAGCACAAATTCAATGACAGGCACCTCTGCGCATTGTATGGCCAGGTGCAGTATAGTAGTGCCCTCGGTGCGGCTAGGAAGAGTCAGCGAGGTGCTGCTCTGGTCGCTGTCTGCAGTGTTGTTGGCCTGTTCCCTGATGGCCTTGGATATCGCAGCGGTGTCGCCGTTGCGAAGCGACTCGAAGACGCGGAACAGCTTTACAGACTGCTCGATGGAGGCACCTTTGGGCGTCGGTGAGAGCGGGGACGCCGCATAGCTTGGAGAAGTGGGGCCATTCGCATTTGCGTCCTGCGTGTTCACGGTAGACATGCTGGCGGAGAGGTGCGGCCGGTGCTTTGACGAGGTACTTCGAGAGTGCCCCAGGTGGCTGTGGTTATGCGGGTGCGACGAGCTCGAGGAGGGCTGCTGCGAGCTGAGCGACGTGACCGACGAGCTCTCTGGAAGCGCCTCGGGATCGGTGACGTCGTTTCTCGAAGAGACTCTCCCCAGGAGGTTCTTGACGCTGCTCGACTTGGAGCGCTTGTGTCTGTATATATGTATGTCGTCAGCGGGCGCCCCCCCGAGAATCCCCTGCGCAGCCAAACGTGTCGTCGAGCCGCTGCGGGGATGACGGCTTGGAAATTGCTTGGACATACCCTTCCGCCATGCTGGCGCCGGTAGCCCCAGGCCGAGGCTGCGGGTCGTGCTGGTGGTAAGATGAGTGGGAGTGCTCCTCACGACGCACGCACGAACAGCCTCTCAAACGACGAAATAGCAGCGTGCCTGTGCGACTTTGTAGTCTATGAAAGGTCGGAAACTCGACAGTCGCCCAAACAGCAGAGCGGGGCTGGGCCTAGACCTATCAGACTGCGTGGAGGCCGGGTCCCTAAGCTCCCAAGCCGCAATCCCGAGTCGTGCCCCGCGTGAATGTCAAAGAACAGGTTTGGTAAGCTGAGGTGCGGCACGCGTAGTCAGGTACGACACCGTGTCGCGAAACACTTCAGTGCTGGTTTGGCACGACATTGCAAGGCGGACTGCGCAATGCGTGTCGCTGTTCTACATACGTCTAGTTGTACCAGGCGCGTTATTTACAATTCCGCTTTGTCTGCTGCATTCACGACGACTCTCCACCAACCAACAGGATGACACTTCCCAGCTGGCGCTTCAGGTCTTCCCTTTCCACGTCGTGCGTGTCTTCAACTTCTCCCCACTGTCCTATTTGCCATCGCACTTCAGTGCTGGCTGCCTCGGCGGCTTCCTCGATTCCAAAGCGGCCCGCACCATTAGCCTCCCGCGATTGCGCAAACGCTTCGCCCCATTCGTGGATCAGTCTGACGCCGACCAGCAGACTCTTGGACGCCAGTACCGCGCGTTCCAGACCGGCGAGTTCAAACGACGGGATACCCGTAAGCCAACCGTGAATCACGTCTCGCGTCATGTCGGGCTGCGAGACGGGCATAATGCTGTCTGGCTCCAGGACCGGCTTGATCTCGACTCCTGGCCACACGTGCGTCGTCAGGTAAGCAATGATGGGCGTGGCAAGCTTCACCTGCGTCTCGCGGAGGGTTAGTCCACCTTGAGGGACCTCGTGGAGCACTTTTTCGGGGGCCCAGCACAGCAGTGTGTCCGTGGCGAGATAGCGCATCAGCATGCGGATGATGTCTTCGCGCGGTTTTGTGTTGCCCCCAGCATCCGCCTTTTCAATGTCCTTTGCGCGGGCGGCGAGCGATGTCATGGGTATGTAGTGCGTCTTCAGGGCCTGCTGTGCGCTCACGAGGAGGTCCCACTCGAGTGCAATGGCCGTCGCGAGCTGGTGCTTGGTTGGGGGAACGGTGAGTATCTCTTTCGTAGGCGTCCGCACGGGTCTGCTATCGAGGAAGACCTGTAGTCCACCTGGCATTGTTAACCCAGATTCAAGTGCACTGGTGGAGACATGGTACCATCTGCCTCCTTCACAATTACATCCTTCCAGAAGCGCTTTGCGAGTGCACTACCGGGCTTGGACGGAGCGGCTCTGATGTCCCGTGCCTGCTGCAGGAGCCCGGCCTGCTTCCTCTTCCTAGCGACCCTGTCGAGAGCATCCGTCGGAGAGGGCGTGGGCGTCTCCGGCGGCGGTCCAGGAACGGAGGGATGAGGCAGCGGAGTAGCGCGCCGTGATGCGGTCGTGTGCAGACAATGGTACAGCGGACGAGGCGCCCGTCGGGTTGCCGTCAGTCTCAGAGTGGCCAAGGCAGGGCGGACTGACTCCATTGGACAGTAGTAATACACGGGTCGAAGTGGATGAGGAGCGACGAGGCGCTGGTAGGGCGTGGACTTTTGCTGAAAAGCTCCGGCAGCTAGGCCAGCTGGCGATCTGAGCACCCTACTCTGGGGTTTGCGGGTGCAAGCTCCAAGCCATAGCACGGCCAACCAGTCACCAGACGGGACTGATTCGCAACCACACAGCGCGGGTCCTTGTGCTGTGCCGTCCTCTCCAGACCCTCTCGCGACGATGCCAACAGCCCTCGGAAGTTTGCCCAGCCTGATCGTCCGCAGCCCTCGCACGATCCCCCGCAACTGACATCGCTGGACCGTCCTCGCGTCTCGGCCTTCCCCACCTCTCCCCACTGTCCCAGGTGGGCTCGGTGCAGTTCTGGCAAGCACCACAAACGCCTGCGTTCATGAATCCAGCACCCGCGACCGCCTCTGCGAATCCGCCCCAACCTCGGCCCATTCGCTTCGTCACCAACCATGAGGGCCCCTACGCAAAGCGTCGCAGGATCAACTCGGCGTGTCTGACCTGCCGGCGCAAGAAGACGCGCTGCTCCGGTTTGTCGCGCCGGAAAAGATGGTTACGTAGGAGCATCCTAACAGCATGTCCAGGTGAGCGGCCCGTGTGCGGAACTTGCGCGCAGAACAAACACCAATGTGCCGGCTACGGCGACGATACGAGCCCGACCGAAGCGACAAAGGACGGCAAGAAGGCTGCGCGCAGGGAAAGCACGTCCGCCGCTGCTGCTGCCGTCACCCTCAAGCAGGAAGCCGCGCCCCCGCCGCCTTCGCGACCCCAGCTCTCGCAGCAATCCTCGAGTGCGTCGTACAGTTCCGACTTCTCGCCCACCCGTCGCCTGCGACGCCAGGATGAAGACAACGGTATGGTCATCGACGTATTGCTGGGGGACCACAGGGACTGATACCGGCTAGGTACTGCAGGATTGACATTGAGCACGCGCAATCGTATGCCGTACTTCCGCTACTTTGGTCCCACCGCCATTATGCCCGGTTTCAAGCAGATGGTCGTCAAAGTGAGAGGCAAGCAGCACGGCACAGGTCACACTACGTCGGATCGTAAGTCCAGCACTGCAGACGCTTCATCATTGCTGACCAGGCCAGCTGTGGACTCTTCGCCGGGCATGATACCGTCGGTCGGCTCACCTCCGCCCACTGAATCTCGAACACCCACAGAAATACCCGTATACGACACATCTTCCATGTCCCCCAGCCCACTCATCACCCACCTATGCAAAACATTCTTCACCCACCTCGGATGCAACTTCCCCTTTCTCCAAAAGGACCGTTTCATGCGTGACCTCGAGGAAAAGCAAGTAGACGCCATCCTTGTAGACACTGTCTGCGCGCTCGCCGCTCGCTTCTCCAACAACCCATTGTTGACAGGAGGCTCGGAGCCAATCAAAGACGAGAAGGAACCAGCGAAGGTCCATCCTTCAGAATATGGGCAAGCTTTTGCGCAACGCGCGAAGTCTGCCATACCTGATACGTAAGTCACCCCTGAGACTGATTTCGTCGTCTGAGGTATGGGCTTATCGTGTGGATCGTGCAGCTTCTCCTGTCCTAATGTTGCGGTTGTTCAAGCTGCCGTGCTTTTAGCATACGATGAGTTCGGTGCAAATCGCGACAGTGGACTGTGGATGTATCTCGGCATCGCCATTCGAATGGCCCAGGACCTAGGCATGCAAACCCTTCAAGGACTCAAGTACGAAGGACGCGATGGCCCAACGCCAAAGTCTGTCAGAACCGACCCTGCGGTGACTCGTGGCTCAACACAATCCATCTCGGAAGCTCGTCGAAAAGAGAGTACTGTCCCCGAAGAGCAGGAGCAACGCGCGGTCGAACAAGAAAGACTGGATACTTTCTGGGCTATCTTCTTTCTTGATCGGGTTGTGTCCTCTGGAACTGGCCGGCCTGTCACCTTGCGCGACCGAGACATCGAAATCTCGTTTCCTTCCCTTAACGAAGTCGATCCGCCCTCGGGTTGGCCCCTGCCTTTCCCAGCACTGATCCGCATCGTGCATCTCTACGGCAGGGTGACGGATGTTTTGAACAGTATCAAAGATCGGTCAGACATAACCTCGGATCTTCGCTCTCAGCTCGACACGATGGAGTACCATTTGACGGACATCTACCAAAATCTTTCGCCCAGACTTCACTTCAACGCTCTGAACTTCCAGCACTATGTGAAGCTCAACCAAGGAACCAACTTTCTTCTCCTTCACTGTTGGTTCCACACTTGCATCGTCCTGTTGCATCAGCCGACTTTGTTGAAGACTTTTGAGGGCAATGCGCACCCCCTTTCCTCGAACAGCAGAGATTTGTCCATGTCTTCAGCGAAGACTGTGGCTGACATTCTTTCCTTTACGGATCTAATCGATACCAAGACTGGAGTCGGAAATCCGTTCACGAGGTATCTTCATACGAAAGCCTTTCCCGGACTTGATATGCTGACCCCATTAGTCAACCCATCTACATCGCAGCCTGCGCCTTTCTCAAGGAAACCGCTCTTCACTCGGCCAATTCGCATCCATCCTCTCGTCCTATGAGCCCCAGCGTGCTGGAGACTAGTGATTCTTTTAAATCAAAACCCATCTCGTTAGACCATATGAGCTTCGACAAGCCGCCGGCACCGAATGATAGTGCGCAAACCATCAAACGGGAACAAAGTCAGGCCGCTAAACACACATTACTCGCTTCCGCGGCTAATCAGAACTATCAATGTTGTTACCGTGCTATGCAATCGCTTGAGACGCATTGGGCAGGCGTCAAATATATCTTGACTGTATTGGACCAGAAAGCCAAGGGCGTTGGTGACCCCTTGCTTTACACAAGAGAGGAAATGGAAAGCGCTCTAGAAGTGCCCAGACCAGAACCTTCTTTTACGAGCCCAGGGTGGCGACGAAAGCTGAGTTGGGGCACCTACTTGACAACACAAAACATAGATGTGGACGCTGTGAAGGTCTCTGCTGCGATACGGAAGGGAGCCAGGACCCCTATACCAGGGTCTCCCATGAACACCAGTCAAGGTACGCCAAGTTTGGCCTGGTCTGTACGAATACTGACGCAGTTGCAGCAATCGGTTGGTCACTCACTGGCACGATGAACTCTCCTTCTACGAACGTGGCCGTAATGTACACTTCGGAGAATGGCAAGGCTCGCGATAGCAAGCCACTCCAACCGAAAATGGCACCCCGGACAAACGGCCTAGCACCACTTACATCCACGCTATCGAGTGATGCTACCAAGTTCGAGCCGACTCCTTTGAATCCCTCTACTCCATTTGTTTCATTCGACTCGAGCACAATGCCGCCGCCGCCGCTAGCCCCCAGCATCAACACTGTATCTGTCTCAGATCCGGTCCTTGTCTCAGATGCCGATCTACTGCTCAACTTGCATTCCCCATATTCAGCCTCTTCACCAAATAGCTCTCGTCTTCCCTTGCAACCTACATCCTTCGCTCGAAACTCCATGTCCGTACCGACGAACAACACTCTGTCACCTCAGCAACAGCAATCCTCCCAGTCGGCGTTCTCATCAAGTTTTGCCACGTTTCCCACGCCAACGGATCAGACGTTTGGCGATATGGTCATTGACTCGCAAGAAGTGGACATGTCAGTCCTCGGCGCTGACATGATGCCATGGGATCTGGAATATCTCCCACATGACATGTTATATTTCGGCGACAGCGCCTTTGGCTTGGGTCTTCCTGATGACACGGGGACTGGGGTGCCTGAATGAAGATGCTCTTGGGTCTTTTGTATATACTGTTCTTACTGCGCTTATGCGACACTGTTTTGGGTTTCGAGGCGTGGAATGGGTGGGTTTCTGGGCTTACGCATGAAGATACCTCTTGTTTTGCGGCGGGTTTGGATGGGAATTTATATGTGTATGTATAAGAGAGCAGCCCCGCGGCTCGCAATGTACCAAGTGTCACCGATGCATATTGCGCAAACGTGTGGGCTCATCGGTTGAACAGGGGCTTCACGACGTGCGCTCCCGGTGACTGTGCTAGGCTTACATGTATGCAGAGTGTCGCCATGTGGTTTAGATGCTTCGCTCCGCCGTACTAGAGACGATCCTCCTCGTCTCTAGCTCGCTAAGTGTATACTAGTGGATGCACAAACGTTGACCGCCAGCACTGCCACGCTGGTTTTAGTTCATATGTCGGGATCTCTAGTTACATCCCCTGGAAACCATCTCAATAAAATTGACTCTCTTTCATCGCAAACTGTACTTCCCGCCCAAGTATGTTCTCTCTTCCTCCCCTCCGCCACCTCCCCACCCTCTTCGTAGCCACAACTACCACCCTCGGCAGCGCCGGCGCTCTCATCAACACGCCATGGTGCATGCGTGAATTCGGCTTTCCCGACCGCCTTGCCCTTTCGCGCGACGCGCAAGCTATCTTCCGCCTTAACAATGCGCGCACGTTTACCATGGGTGTTTTGCTATGGACCTTTTACTTAATGGGCGAGTACAAAACGGTAGACATCATCTTGACCATTATTGGGGGTATCTTGGGGGTGACTGATGCGAGCGTGGTCTGGAGTGAGGGGATGCAGGGGAAGGCGTTGTGGAGGCTGTTTGGTTCGTGGACGGTCGCGCTGTGGGGGTGGAAAGGTATGACTCAGGTGAGTCGGCTTATAGATCAAGGTTTGAGGAAGTTGGAGGCTAATTATGCGCAGGGATAGGTGCAGTAGCGAGAGAGGAGTACAATTTTCTGTGCCTCTCTAAAGATCCGAACTTTGCAGCTGCGTCATTGCACAATCTGCCCTCATTCCCAGTGACCAAGTGACACATAGAGCCAGCCATTCATCCACCATCGCCTACACCGTATGCAAGTTCGCCACGCAAGGCACACATCAGAGCGATTGTGGCACTCGAGTCCGGTCGCGTGCTTGAGTACTCCCGCGCTGTTCAGCGCAGAATCAATCCCGTAGAGAACTATGATGATGTGGATGCTGCCGTGGTACTGGTCATCAAGAAATTAGTGGACAAGCCACAGCCTCACACGTGGCTACATTGCGATGCGATAGCCATGGCGCTCTGGCCAGTTTCTAATCCCCAAGTTGCACATATAGAGGCTCACTCTCAGCAGCTCCCACCTACTCCTGCAGCAAACGCAAGTGGAGCAGCTACAACAAGATAAGTCTCTTTATGATCCGGTCGCCACTAGAGCGCTCATGGCGTTACAATATTCTCGCCGCATGGCTTGGGATATGGTACATGTGATGATCGGAAAGAGTGAGAAAGAACATGACCTACCGTTTCTGCCGTTCGCCGGTGTGAGCTGTGTTATTCGCGCTGCCATCGCTGTGCTTGAAACGAGGAGGTCCACGAAGGGAGATGAGCCCGGTGCAGGGGAGGTGGAAAGCTTTTTGATCATCCTGGACTGGTTCGCTAAGCGGTGGAGCGTTGGTGGTGAGTTCCCGTTATCAGTGCTGGCTATAGAAGTGATCACGCTGATTGTGAGCAGACAAATATCTGGAACGGGCGCGAGAGCTCTCGGTTGACAGACCGTAAATTCATCCACGGAGTGGCTGCTACATGGTTGTCATGGCTCAAAACGTCGTGGAACAATCCTGCACCGCGAGCGCTGTGAGGGACTGACCGCGAAGCTGTGCAATTTTTGGTACAACATAAACAGGACCGGTTAGTAAACAGATGTATGGTCATAAAGCTGAGAATGCGCAATCCAATATACAGTGACAATTGTTCAATAAGTTCATAAACATGATATATACTAGAATAACGGACGCCGAACAACGCGTTAGAAATCGAAGTTAGCAATACGCAAGGGTAATTCGCGCGACACTGCGTTGGACGAATACCAAGCTACTCATGTCTGTATCGTCTGAACATGACGGTAAGATCGCCATAGTGCAGACAGCCCGAGGCTAGGGATGGCAAGGATCTGAAGCCATGGCGATTGCGACCCGGTGCTGGGTATCATCAAACATCCTGGGCTATGGACGATTGAGGGCTACTTCGAGCGACGCCTGATCTGTTGTGTCACTTCTGAAGGATCGGCTGCAGGGGCATCGGGCTCTTGTCGACGCTTACTATAGAGTGTTGTAACGCGACGAGCGCACGCTCGACCTGGGCGGACTGGCAGTATAGGTCGATATCGGATCAGCTGTAATTACAATTGAAGGATACCTTTCAAACCCTCCGGTAAGCCATATCGGGATACGAAATTTTCGGTGGCTTCACATCCTTAGGTGGCACCGGAGGGGGCTTTTCGTCACGCCACTCCTCCTCGTCGTACACTGAGTCTTTCGAGCTCTTGAATGTCCCGGCAGTAAGAGTACCTAAGGTGATGAACATCTCCTTTGCTTGCAATAGACCTCCTCGTTTGCTGCTACGGGGGCTGGACAGCTTTTCGCTCTTCTCTGGTATCTTCAAGGCTTGTCTCGTACGTGTGCGCTGAGCTCTGGAAAGGAGCGGGCGGAGAGTGGGCATCGAGGCGCAGATGATTCCGACATTGACTTCGATAATACTCCAGACGTTGACGCCAAGAGAGTCGTAGTACGGGTCCATGGAGTGGAGCGCGACAACGAGAAAGTAGAAGCGGACGACCGCGCAGATGGTGCTAAAGGCACCGAGACCGAAGACGGCATAGACTGCCCATTTCTCTCGTGTAGGACGAGGAATGGAGAAGATCAGCTTATACGGAAGCAGTAAGATCCATATGTCCATGAAGATGTGGAAGGCAGATGTGACTAAGAGTGTCAGCAGAGGAAGCCATGCATGGAGGGATGAGACACACAATAGTAGAAGGTCGCTGTATCAATGCATCGTCCAGGGACGGTGCCCGTGAAGTCCCACATCTTACGAAGTGGGATACACTCCAAGGGTATGATGAGGATGACGATTGCTTGGTACGTGAACAGAAGGTAGATGCTACCTTTGCAAAGCCATTCAAAGGCCTTGGTAACAGCTACAGCATGTCAGCCGTGCTGAACTAAGAAGGCATTGGGATATTAGACATACACAGGCGAAGGTATATCATGAGTATAGAGGCCTTGATCAATGTGACGATGGTCTTGTACACCGCAATCACAGCAAGTCCCAGCTGAGAAGCATAAGCTACGTCACTAGGGGCCAGAGCGTCGTCGATGGGGACGTACCTTTGAGCTCTCCACAGATTGCTCCATTGTCAAAGACATTCCACTGAAACCGAAGTTGAACTCCTTGACACTAACGAGCAACTGAATTGCGAAGACCATTGTGAGAATCTACAAGTGGTATTTTATGTCAGTCGAGACTGCGTCGATAGGAGCAGTCCCCTTACCGCTGCTGCGATCATGGTCCAATCTTCGTTGCCCATATTGCGGACAATACACGCGCGCGTGTACATACGTAGGCCGACACATGCCACTGTTGGTTGTTAGTAGATGCAGTGACGCTCAGGGGGTTAACGCACTACCAAGGATGGTCATGGTAACGATGGCCCCAACGGCAACATTTTGTCGCGCCTGCTCATCACCATGCGGATACACTAGTAACGCAAAAGTACTGTTCGACATGACGACAACCAGTGTGCATCTCAAGTGACACGCGGAGGGTGCTAGCACCCACTTTATCTATATCGATAGCGGTCAGCACCCTGACCCCGCTCAAAGTTTAATTGATTTCAACTATGAAACGAGTCGTGGCCGATTCTGCATGCCCCCGAGTTATCACAAACGCAAAGCCCATCAGCTGCAGGTGATGGAGGCAGGTTGAGCTCAGGGCGCCCGAGCATTGTGCCAAGCAAGGAGATGACATGCACGCCAGGGACGGGGTCAAGGCATGCTGCAGGTGATTTGCACTCTAGGAGGTTTATAAACGACGTTATCGGCGTGCACCGAACAGTACATAAGCTATGGGCGAGCGGATGTTGCGCGCAACGATTGGCTCGAGACCAGCGCGAGAAACGCCCTTCAGAGATGACCGGTCAAATTGTACTGCGCAACTGTGGGATTGTCATGAACAGTGATATCGGTAGCGTGTGCGGGGAGCACGGGCGTGCGTTTCTGCGTTGATGCCTGGAATGTAGGAGGTAGGTTTCAGACGCGCCATCGTGCTCCACGGTAGCCAATTCGATCTTGGCGCACGTGGAAGGCAGCCATGGGAGGTGCAGAAGACGCGCCGTGGAGAACGAGCGAGATTTCGCCATGGCGCGGCATAGGATGCAGACTGATGTTGGTGTGAGCCATAAACTCTACCGGCGTACTTGACTAAAGAAAAAGAAATGCCAAAAAAATTGTCCCGTGCCAGACTCGAACTGGCGGCCTTGGGATATCTGCTGCTGAGAGCAGTCATAGTGCTGGAGCTATGAGACCCACGTGATAACCAACTACACCAACGAGACGTTAAGAACATCTTACAAAGACATGCTAATTTTCGATTGATGAAATTTCTTCAAATTGTTGAATATATATATACACGTCAAATACACAAGCCTACAAACGATGAGCTCAGCGGAGAGGACTAAAGCGATCGGCGGCAGGGGTCCCGTCAGCACCACTCGGAACATTGTCTGACTGGACCGCCCTCCGCCGGATGTGCAACAGAGCCTCAGCGCCTCTTATCTGCCCACCTGAATCGAATGTATCGCATCGCGTTTATGTCTGCAGAACATGGATCAAGGCGCTTCCGCCTGCCGACATGTCAAAATTGTCGCGTTGCTTCCAAGAGGGAATGGAGCACGCACCATGCCCGCCCTTCCACCACGGCTCACTTACTGTCCGAATGCACCTTGTACCAGCAAGCGAACGCACACTTGCCAATCGCAGCCATGAGCGACAGATTTAAACCCCATTCCTGTTAGATCAACGTGAGATTGTGGCTTTGGCCGCAACGCTAGCCGCCTCGGTTGCCACACGATCCGTCACTTGGCGGGGTTTAGATGGTACATGATGGGCAAAACCTTCGTTGGTTGACCTCCAGCTTCAGGTCTATTCCGACAAAGTCGATTGACGCGTTCTTGACGCGTGGAAGCGTCGCCTGCCACCATGGAGCATCAGTCAGGCACCTTTGTTGTCGACCATCTCACCCTGTTCAACATATCCGCCGCTGGTCTCACGTATTTCGCCATCACCATCGCTCTCAACTCTCTACGCGCGCCCAAGTATCCGGAACCATTGCCTTGGGTGGGACATGGCAAATCCTGGTCAGCCGCCCTGAAGAACTCCTTAGATGGCTTCTCCAAAAGCCGCGACTGGCTACAAGATGGCTATCGGAAATACCACAAACAGGGCCGGGCATTTGTAATGCCATCAATGCTAGGGGTTCCTACAGAGGTCTCGATTCCGCGGTCGCAGATGCAATGGATGCTAGACCAACCCGACCATGTGCTTAGCACAGGTGCGGCGCACTACGACGTTCTGAATGGCGACTATGCTTTCGTATCACCAGCTATCCTGAAGGACCCGTATCACGAGCATGTTATACATAAGAACCTCGCGCGTAATCTGAACGCTATCATACCAGACCTCGTTGATGAGGTCAACATCGACGTCGAAGAAGTGTGTGGTGCTGATACCGAACAGTTCAAAAAGGTCCATCTAATGGACGAATTACTTCTAGGTATAATCCCGAAAATCACCAATCGTATGCTGGTAGGGAAGTCGGTATGCAGGAATCCGGACTACCTCAAGAACATGGCAAGTCTCTTAGGTACAAAGTGGATGTGTCTTCCAGCAAAGGCGGAGAAAAACTCTCTTGTTTGTGTATCTAGGACACAAGAAAAGAGTCTTTTATTCGCTTAGCTGAGACATGAGCGAAGGTACCATCCTCACTTCTTGGAGACATACACTGACTTTGTACCTTCGGGTTTGGCAGATGGGCTTCACCATGGATGTTGTTATGAGTTTTATACTCTTCCCACTGTTCCCGCGCACTCTGCACGCACTCATTGGTCCTCTCTTCAGCTTACGTCCCAAATACCACTATTGGCAGACACGCAAGTATACGTTGCCCATCATAAAGAAGAGACTGGAAGATTTCCGCAAGAAAGAGGCGGGTGATCCAGCATATGCGGATTGGAAAGCGCCGAACGATTTCATTACCTGGACTATTCGCACAGCCACAAGTGAGGGAAGGAATGACGAGTTGAAACCAGATCGTATTGCGATGCGCGTCTGCCCTTTGAATTTTGCGAGCATTCACACGACAGCCATAACCGCGCATAGTGCACTGATCGACGTCCTGAGCGCGGAACCAAGCGTTGCGGAAGCATTGCGTGAAGAAGCTACTCGGATCTATAACGAGGACGGGAAGCAGTGGACAAAGAACGGTTTGGCACGAATGTACAAGCTCGATTCGGCAATCCGCGAGTCTCAACGGCATTCTACCATGGCTATGAGCCTCATAGGCAAAAAGGTTGTTGCAAAAGAAGGCATAACAAGTCCAGAGGGTATTCACTATCCGTATGGGTGTCTATTATCGTACGCTTGGTTACCAGTCGCTCACGACGAAGAATTCTATGCGAAGGAGGATGCGTACGACGCTTTTCGGTTTTCAAGGGATCGAGAACGATTTGACTCAATGACAGAGAACGAGAAAGCTAGTGTCGACATGTTGAAGCTGAGGCAAAGCGGTATGGTTACTACTGGTCACGCACATCAAGCCTTTGGACACGGCCGACACGCTTGGTAAGCCTTGAGTGCACCCAACTATCTGATTTTTTGACTGATCATCATCTTAGTCCTGGACGCTTCTTTGTTGCGCACGAGCTCAAGATCATGTTTGCACATTTATTTATGCACTACGAATTAAGGCCAATTGCGGAAAGACCGGTCCGGAAATGGGTGGGGAGGACTTCTATACCTCCGAAAGTCGACATCGAAATCCGAAGACGCAAAGTGGAGTCTTGTTAGTTTGGGCAGCCTTAAAGTGTGTGTTGAATACGGATGTTGCGGGTACAGTCTACGCTTTGAAGCCACTGTTCTACTACATTTAGTAGAGATGTTTCAAGCTGCACATCATTACGCACCTTTTTAGATCCCTTAAGTTTTGTCCACGGCAGAACGTCGATCCGGCTTAACCCAATGCCGAAAGCGTGGTGAATGATCCTCTCCAAATCTACTGTTTCCTCCGTCAATGTCGCTACACACCCGACTAGGCTCAAACAGATCCAATGAGTATCTCAACTTTCCAGCTGAGCAATGAAGACCTCGCACTAACGTACGGTAGCCTTCATTGGTCCATTTACCTCACCCATTGTTGTGGCATCCATTACAGAAAGCTTTCTTAGCTGGCGATGGAGACAGGTATGCCTTGCCGATAGAAACTATTAGAGGTGGTGTCACCGGCTACCCATCAATGCAATATATTATCGGCATCACAGGTGCCCTTGCTACGATTTTAGTCGTAGGTTTCTTGACAGCTTCAGTGCTGAGCACGGCAAGGGACTGGACCCCCCGCCGAGCGACCTGTGAACAACGTGCACCCAAGGTCGAGATCCCTTGTAGTTCCTAGTATACAGGCACGCGAAGATGTCACGCCGTATATCCGTACGGCACTTATGACCACTTTCATAACCCCGGACTCGCGTAGCAAAGTTGCCGTTCGCTCGCCCGATCCTGGTTTGATCTACCCCGTAAGCTGACATAAGCTTGAGGTCGGCAGCCTGCACGTCGAACTCTAAACTCGCCAGATCAACTGTCGATCTCATCTCAAAATCAGCAAATATTGGACTTACCTTGATGACAGGCAATTTGCGTTATTCACTCGTCCTACTGTATTCGGCTAAACTGCACCTTACAGCGCCCTCGGCCAACGACCATCATTAAGAGGGAGAACTGGAAGAGGCAAGATTTACGGCCGTCCTGACGTCGATCATAGCATGACGAAGGGACTATAAGGAAGAACAGGGAACGTTAACATGCTCCCCCGAGGCAAACCCTGAGTTGATATTAGCCCATAAAAAGTTGCGGTGTCTCAGACAGGTATGTCCTTCCCAGGTGCGAATTCAATTATAATTGCATCAATCGCTGAAGCGCCCGGATTCGAAGCCTAGACATCTTATTGCGCTCTCCAACCGCTTTCGAACGCTCTTGTAATGGCTACCAACACGGAAGCAACTGTGGAGACCGCTGTCGCGACAGACAACGTCCCCTCGCCAGCGAAACTCGCCGCGCTTCCAGACGACATTCCGCCCCAATTAGAACTACCCATGCTCCCCGCAGACGTAAGCGCAGAATGGCTCTCTAAAGTTCTCGAGCGCAAGGTCAAGACCGTTGCACTCGATCGGACCATCCCTGGTACGGCCACTAAGGTGTTCGTCACGGTCACCTACGAAGACGACAAGCCTCCCAAAGAAGCCCCAACCCGATTATGTGTCAAGGGCGGCTTTGACCCGAATTTGCTCAAGATGATGCCATGGATCGTTATGATCTACCAACGCGAATGCGACTTCTACAACCACATTGCACTCACACTGGACAACATGGAGCTCCCGAAGTGTTGGTGGGCAGGACACAATTCCACTCAGGGTATCGTGGCCATGGACGACTTGTCTGCACAGGGCTGTGACTATGGCAATCCAGTCGAGGCGTGGCCTGTATCTCGCGTTATCGCTGGGGCGGAGCAGCTCGCTGCTTTGCACGCAAAGACATGGCACGTGCAGGCATCGGACTACCCGTGGTTGACTTCGGACTACGACCAGGTCATCCTTACCTTGATGAACACGTACGACGCAGTGGTGAAGGGTCCCGACAGGCCAAAAATACACGACCATCTTAAAGACCAGGGGCGCGTCACAAGTGTACTGAAGAGGCATTACGCTTCGCGCAACCCTAGGTTCCGATGTCTGCTACACGGCGACTCGCACTCAGGCAACACGTACCTTGTGAACGATGCACCGCGCTTCCTTGACTGGCAGATGATACACATTGGAAGCGCTTTCCACGATTTGTCCTACTTCGTCGGAGCAGCTCTGACGATCGAAGACCGGAGAGCGAAGGAGTGGGACATCGTCGAGCATTATCTTCGCACATTGGAGAAATTCGGTGTCGAGCCGCTGTCCGTAGCAGATGAGGAAGTAGCGATCGAGTACAAAAAGTCCTTTCTAGCTGGTATCGGCTGGATCATGTGCCCATATGAGATGCAGGCAAAAGAGTGTGTGCATCCTATGGCGCTGAGGTACGCCGCTGCACTTGATGATCACAAGGTATTGGACTTGGTGGAGGCTTTGCCAGAAGAGCCGCTGTAGCCGATGCGGCTAGATGGGTGCTATATGAACATGACGTCGTGCGAAAGACACAGATGGATTCAAAACTTACGATCATTGACACTCATACTTTTGCTGCTCGGACCAGGCGTTTCAATGTCTAGTGCATCAGGTCCACCTGGGTAAGAAAACGACGACGAGAAGGCCTTATGAAGGCCACATTGTGGGTCTTGCAAAAGACTCCGATCGGCCTCTAATCTTGCACAGCGGCAGTTCCATCGTACAACGACGAGTACTTGTTGAAAAACTCTTTCTTGAGAACGATTGCCGCGCTCTGCACGTGCTCATCCTGTTCCGGCCAGCCTTCTGAAAGGAGCAGACGTACTGCGATAGCATTGAAGTCATCCAGAGAATACAATGCCTCTGTATGATGATTTTGGGAATAGTGGCACTTCTCATTCTTCTGATCCAGATGGCGGCAACGATGATACTGGGAATGGAATGCGTCATCGCCTTTGTCTTTGTGTTTGTTCGTGACGAAGAAGGAAGTGGCGGAGTCGCTATCGACTAGATCGACATCCATCCTGGCTTCGTGGGAAGTTAGCAAGTCTTGAAGTGCTTGAGTCCAGAACTGGAGCGCGGGGTCGTCGATCGTAAGGCGATCATACAACAGCTGCATCTCGACGAGACCAACTTCGTATGTGTCATTTGCTTGCAACTGCGCTCGCCAGTGCTCTAGAACGAGATTCCTCACATGGCAGTCTCGAAGTTGCGAGGCAAGCTCATAGAGGTCGAGTGTTGCCTCGAAATTCCAAACAACACGCTTACAGGACGAGCCAGCCATAGCAGGGTGATACTCCCGAAACCTCAAAGCAAAATCAAACTGCGGGAGCTTCCACAAACGCACCGGAGAAAGGCACTGAATGTAGCGCTGCAGTGTAAGACGCGAGACGCCTGTCAACCAAATCTCTCGAACGTTCGTATGCATGCAAAGCTCGAGGTATGCTCGAGAAGTCCTCAAGTGCTCCGTAGGAACCGAAGCCGCTCCCATGAGACGGTGAAAGCTATCAGCAAGCCTTATACTTACCCACGGCTTGTGTTTGTCCTCACCTATCCCCCAACTGTCCTCCACGTATCGACGCATATCGTTGGCCTCCACGCTCCGTCTATGCTCTACAAGAACGTGAGTCGGAACGGGATTTTGTTGCTTTCCGGCTTCCTCTGTGTGCTCCAGGATGTGTTCCAGGTTGCTCTCATCCCCTACGCCTTCATGAGCGTCAAACTTGTTGAGGTCGCTCGCGGCGAAGTCATCGACACTTACTTCCTCAAAAATATCCGGCTTCTTCTCTTTGGATCTATGCTGCTTTGCTTTCCTCTGCCTCGGTGCGTAGGTGATGGTCCGTGGATGCTCATGGAAAGCATTGTATACCTTTTGTTTGTCATTTCTATATCGTTTCATGGCGGCTTCAGCGCCTACCTCCTTATCAAACTGTGCGCAGTATGCGTCCCTAAGCTGTGCATTCGTGAGCGGACCAGTCGTGGTAGACCAGCCTGGCGGACCCGAATGGTCCTGTTTGAAGTTTTCCTTAGCGAACACGATGAAAACCAATTCTGTCCATCGCTTGGCTTTGTCATCTGGCTCTCCATCATACAAAGCTAACAATCTAGCCAACTCCTCTCTTGGTCGCATCGTGCTGTTTACCACGCCCAATCGAAGAGTCTCTTCCGCAATCCTCGGCTGATCTACACCTTCCATTGGGTCAACTTCTGAGACATATTCGTCCTTCTGCGCCCCTCCGAACCCGTAGACTTTTGGCTGAGTGTCTTCCAGAGACCTTCGACCCTTCTTCGGCGTCTTGTTGGAGGACAAGTCTGAAACCGAGGCTTTACGTTTAAGAGACATTTTATTATTTTCTGACCAGAGAGGTCAAGTGAAGGATTGTCATCGAAACAAGCAGCGGCTGCATGTAAGTGTTTTATGGAGGTCGCCGAATGCCCCTTCGTAAGTTTACAATACGATAGCTCTTACATAGTACATGGACAATGCAATGACTACACTGGGCTCTTACACGTCACTGAAGCGATTCCAACAGGGCCAGACAGCTTTGTAGATTGACAATGTGAAAGGGCATTAAGGCTAAATGGTCTGAGATTTGATACACACACCCGGTGACGTAGGAACCCAGCTCAAGGGATCTCATACGGGGTCACAAATAGCATGTTTGAGGACATATCGGTGCTATCCAAAAGTTCCTCGGCCACCTTTCCATGGTTCTAATCACACTTGTTAAGTTTTCAGCGATTTAATATAATATATTCCTCCTGTTATTAGTTGATTTATATTATATCTCTTACTATAGTCGTAGTAAAAGGTAAAATAGGGTACTAAGCTGTTAGGATAAGCAAGGAATAGGCCAATAATACGGTACGTATATGTTATTCATTCATAGAACTTCGAATAAACCCCTAGAAGTGTGACTAAGAGCCATAGAAAGGTGGCCGAGGAACTTTGATATAGCACAATAACAAAAATGTAATAAGATTTAGAAGACAAAAGTGCGGTCGCATATAGAATTTCAGAAAAAGACAAATCAGGTTTGATAGGAGCACATCAGATTGGTCACGACGTTCGGACTAGGTGGGCGGTTGGCCAACAATTAGAGTCCCTAGTAACTTGTAGAACGGCTGTCCATGTGCGGCCTCAGGCTATCGGATTTGCTTTGAACAGGCACAACAGATAAACCGCTTCAGAATGCTACTCACCGCAGTACGCTAAACTTCAGGCGGATCAACTTGAGAATATCCGGCCGACGCGAAAGTGCCCACAGAAATTGAACCATGTCTTGGCCAATGTTGTCTAAGCACTTTTGCATTTGTTGTGCAGATTGCGCAAGATCACTCAACTGCTCGGAATGCTCAGTCTGGGGCAAACCTTCAGCCGCAAACAGAGCCCGCAGTGTAAGGAATGCCTCACACTCTCCAGAGGCCGCTTGCAGACGAGCTAAGAGCATCTCACGGAAATCCGATGAGTATGTGACATTTTGCTCCACAGCATTAAGCAACTGCCTAAAAATACCCTGATAAATATTGAGGATGTCGTTCGCATGGTTGTAGAATCTTCGTAAAGGTTGTATCTCGGAGAAGGTGGCACTCTGTTGCTGTTCGGCCGCACGAGCTCGTGCCTTAGCAGCGTTGAGATCATCAGTAGTTTCAGTGACAACAGCGTCCAGCGACGACATCACTTCATGATATTGCCCTTCGACAGCGCAATTCTCCTCTTGGAGTTCTTCAGACGTTGCCTTCAACTCTTTGAGCTGCTTCTCCAAGGCCATGACCTTCTCTTCTTTGTCTACAACTACCCCAAGGTCTTTGTCTCGAAGCTTGTCGTAGATGTCTTTCATCTTTCGCATCTCCTCTGCAATGATAGATTTGGACCGTCGAAGATCGCTGTTCTCGGCTTTCAACCGCTCGAATTTGTTGTCCATTTCTTCGGCAGCAACCTGCTGTTGGAGAGCCTCTTGCCATTTCTCTTGGTATCTAGTGGCCCTTTCCTCAGCCTCATTCATGAGGCCACGATAGAAGTCAGCAGACTTCTTCGCTAGACCGAGTTCAACCTGCAATTGGTTTGCATCTTCGGGAATATCGATGTTTTGAAGCGCCTGTTGAGCTTGCTTCAGCTGTGTCTCCAGGTCCAGATTCTTTTCTTCCATGCCCTTGGCTTCTTCTTCAGGCGCGAAGCAAATATTCTCGGTCTTCAATGATACTAGGAAATGGTCCAGCACTTCCGATGGTAGCGTGTCGCATACATTCAAGCCTTGCTCTTTCGCTTCAGCGAAGATGGCAGCCATGCGCTTTTGAAGGCCTTGGCGTGTATCTGTAATCATAGCTGTTATCTTGACGTTGCCACAAGGATTTTTGGTGGCTATCTTTGCACCAAAGATTGTTGAATGTGTTCTCGAGGGTTCAGAAGCAGAGCTTTGGTGTGGAAGATATAAAGACCTGTATCATCAACGACAACATTGTTCACCACGCACTTCCTTCATGGAACAATGTCTCAAATCGCAAACGTTACACAATGCTTCTAAGAGCTCGCACAGCGCTTCAGGGGGTTCGCATAGCCCAGATTCTCGTACAGCGCTGAGTACGACGGAAGTTCACTGCAATGCTGTTCATGGAGTATGAATCGTAGTCGTGAATCGCGGGCCAATCGCTCAAACTTCTCAGCGGCACAAACACCGTGATACACTCGCTGGATGCTCCAAGCAACTATGAGGTCGCGATAGGCTCGCCCTCCCAAAGGATTAAGAAGTCTATTCCTTGATGACCCATGAACATGGTTGCCGAGCAATGCTCCTACTAACCCACGAAACTCTCAATGTCCGTGCCTGCGAAAAAAGCTTTAGCATTGCGATGATGGTCTAGTATCATCTAAGGGCTCATGGAATTCACTGTGAAAGTGGTCCGCACCAGCAGTACATCTTCCCGCATTCAGTAGTCGTTACCTAGCCTCACATGCCCATGCCACCACCTCGCTTCCCTGCAGCGGCGCTCAGTCAAGAACAACATACCCTTCAGAGTAGCATCGATCACTGCGGCGAAAGCGGATTCCACCTATCAGCCATGCGTTCTTCCGCCAAAATTCCCCGTAATATGTTCAGCCGTCCTTACAGCGCCTCTAACATCGCTTAAACGCCACAACAGCGCCTGTCTCCGTCTCGGATCCGTACGAGAGGCTCTGCGCTCGCTTACTTTCTTTATCTTCGCGTCGTAGAAAAGGAGCGATTAGCTTCGTGATCTAACACGTGTAGCGAGATTAGACGATCCATCGCGTGGATCAGTACAAGGGGCGGAATGACGTTCGAGCAGGCTGAAGCGAGGATGTCCTGCGCATGTGATATCACGAGTCACAATTTACCGCATGAGCGACTCATTGGGCTATCAAACGTGAAGGTACAGTAACTTGGCGGATCCGCTTCGCGGGCAGGCCAATTAGCCAGATAGGTCTAGCTCTCCACATGACTTATCTCTTTCACCCTCGTTTCTCACTGAAAAAAAGGCCGTAAAGAAGGTAAAAAAGAGAGATTCTAAGGCCCTTATCCTACTCTAATCCTAAATTAACTCTAACCTTACTCTAACCCTATACACCCTAACCCTACTACCCTAATCTTAATGTAGATACGCTAGACCTGTCTAGCTAATTGGCCTGCCCGCGAAGCGGATCCTAACTTGGCGTTGTGCTTGCTGCTGTTTTGAGCGTGAATATGTCAACTAAAACGAATTTGTCCGGGACGAGACGGACCCATGCATTGTACATAATTAGGACGTTTATACATCTGTGCATGTAAAGCGTTGAGAGCATGACATAGGAAATCATCGAGGGATATCGAGCTAAAACAGAAAGCCTCCAACGCCAGACCAACGTAGACCCCCCCCCCCCCCCCCGTAGCAGACATTAGTATCACACCATTCTTAGCAACTCGCGCGGCATTAAACTACTTTGACTTCTTCTCTTCCTTTGACCCTGGCAATGGGCCACTAGACTCACTTCCAAAGTCATCGTGGTCCGTAACTTTACCCTGGTAATCTTTTGCTACCGCATCGGTGATCCATCGCCAACTGCTCAATGACAAACTCCGGCGGCTACTCTATGATCAGCATATGTTCGTTGATGCTTCCGAGAAGGAGATGTTTGGGCGGGCGTACGATGTACCTACTGCTTCTGCCTCGTCTGCGCATTAGGGAACAGCAACGCCATCCCTTCCTCCCAGCCTCGCTCTGAGACAAGATCGACGACAGGACGGCCGGCGTCGTCGATTGCTTGGAGGTCCACGGAGCCGCCCTTCTCGATGAGCAGCCGCAGGATATCGGCATCGCCGTTCTCAACGGCCTGCAGGATGGCGTTCCATCCGCGGTGCATTCTGTTGATGTCGGCGCCACGCGTAAGTAGCATTTGCAGGATCTCAGTGTCGCCAGGCAGCAGCCTGCGCAGGGCCTTGACCAGAGGTAGGTGCTCTCCCGGTGCGTTCGGGTCAGCGTTGGCTTCATCGAGCAGATAACGCACGATGTGCTTGTGGCGTTCGCGGATGGCCGTTGTGAGTGGTGAGAACACGCCGCAGTTCTTATCCTCTACACTGAGACCCGCTGCGAGGAGCATCTTGATGCTTTCCAGCTGGTTGGCGACGACAGCCATCTCGATGACTCCACGGAAGGCGCGGGGATTAGGCGTAGCAGCGAGGAGCTTCTTGAGGATTGCGGGCTGCTTAACAGCCATGCATAGAGGCCAGTCTGCGCCGCGGATGGCGGAATCAGCACCGTTGGCGAGGAGTATATCCACCATCTCGAGGCGTTCCTCACGGATAGCTGTGGTAAGGGGCGTGTTTCCTTCGGGGCTGCGATCATTAGGAGATACGCCTTGGTCAAGTAGCCACATCAGGGCATCCTTATTGTTATGTGCGACAGCAGTTTCGATGATACCCTTCGGACTGCGGAGATCAACGCCCGCAGCGAGGAGCTGAGGCAGGAAGTGTACTCGGTCATGTGTTATGCATTTGAAGGCTGGATATTCGGCTGCATTGAGGTTCGGATCGGCACCATGTTCGAGAAGGTAGGTGACGATGTCCGCGCTATTATCCCGAATCGCTGAGCAAAGAGGTGTGTAGATGTTGTCTTTCCTAACATTGGGAGAGACGCCTGCTTGGATGAGAATCTGGATAGACTCCATCTTCTTCAGACTTGAAGCCAGCTCCATAATTCCAGGCGTTTTCTTCCAGTCAGCACCACGAGAGAGCATGAGCTGAAGAGCTTTTGGCTTATAGGTGCTAGGCCAGAGAGGGTGCTTGGGTGCAGGCAGGTTGGGGTTGGCACCGTTGTCAAGCAGCACTGTCATCAGGTCCACTCGGTTGGCCTGGATAGCCTGGAACAGCGCGGTAGCGCCTTCGCCATTCTTTGCGTTGGCATCGGCACCGTTTTTCAATAACAGCTCGACCAGCCTTGGCGACACTGTCTTGTTCATGCACTGAACAAGCGTCGTGCTGCCGCTCTCCATGATGAACCCTGCGTCTCCGCCGTGCGTAAGCATAAGCTGGACTAGGTCATTGCGGTTGTCGCAAGCAGCCAAGCAGAACGGTGACTCGGAATTAGGACCTGCTGAAAGATTTGGGTCGGCACCGGCTTTCAAGAGTAGCTTCGCTCCTTCGAAGAATGAGAGCTCGACTGCCGCAAGAAGGGGCGTCACATCGTCCTTGTCCGGTCCGTCGGCATTTGCGCCATACCTCAAAAGTAAAGCGAGGCTGTCAACGTCACGGTTCTGCACTGCTGTCCGTAGCATAGTGGCTTCTAGCCGTGGGTCTGCTCTGGCGCCACCGTCAAGCATTTGTTCGAGGACTCGGTGCCTCTTTTGGTACACAGCGTCAGCGAGAGCGCCCTTGCCACCTGACTGCATAGAGCCCGCTTGTTGCCGGGGGGCCCACTGCGATCCCAATGGGCCGTCTAGTTGCCTCGAGTGCGCTTGGTCAACTGAGTAACGCTCTTGAATCGAGAGGTTGTGTAGATCCTCATCGATATAAGCGCGTGATCTAGCGGAATCGTCTGATGAATGTTGCCCATAGCCTGGTTGCCCATGGTACTGGCCATTGTGCTGATACATTGTATCACGAACGGAACGGGTCGTGCTGCTCGATCGTACGCTAGGAGCACGCCAGTGATTGTGGAGATCAACGATGCCGGGCGAAATGCCGGAGTCTTCTCTCTTCTCATCCCTGCGGAAGTCGTGGTTCGATGGTCGGTCTCGGAGCGGCGTGTGAGGGCGTTGTTGCTGTTGTTGTTGGTCAAAATTAGACGGGACACTGTCTAATCCCCCGAGCGGTGCTCGTTGCATAGACGAATGGTCCGGTGATCTGTGGTCTATCGAAACAGCCTGCATGGAGGGTTGCTTTGAAGGTACATCGGGCGGTGATGAGGTAGGCGGTGGTTGCATAGGCAGAAGAACGTTACTCTTGCCTGGGTTCAAGCGCTCGAGAGCTGCGATCAGCCCAGTATACCCAATTCCCATTTGTGAATCGGCTTTAGCATCTCCAAGCGACCATCGAAACATGGCGGAGCTCATCTTCAACTGATCACGACTCTTCATCAGCGTGTTCCGAATCTTGTCGACGTCGGTGTCAGCGAACATCATGCGGAATGCTCTCCCAAAGCCGCCCTTCTTGCTCTCGTTGTCCAGGAACTTGAGCATCATTTGGTTGACTACGATGAACTCATCGTTGATTCTGCGGAACTGTTTGTCGAGTTCTTGGGTAACCTCAGCGGGGATTGCATTACGCTTGTGGGATGATTCTGTCAAGCCAGCTTCAATCGACCAGATGAGGCGGCTCAGGTCGAGAAACTCGTTCGCAAGGATTTGAATGCCATGGACTGGGTTCTTGGCCGAGGAGAGGTACTCCAGCATGCGTATAGAGATGCTATTGCCCTGGGCAGTGACCTTGTTGCATAGCTCGAGGGTCTTTGATGGAGCCATGGTTGGGGGATCTTGCTTCCGCAAGTCAGATAAGTGAACAAACAGACACAAGAGAGTGTCGAGTGGGTTTGGGACTTTGATTCTTTTTGAAGGCACAACCTCCGCGTGCCATTGTTTCGCGCTCACGCAACCTTGCACCCTACTAAGTTCCGGCCTTCACCTCCGAGATCAGACTAGCTGCAGTCATCACGGGCTATGGAATTAGTGGACGAATAGACAGGAGGATAGCGCACTTGCGAGCACGATCCTTGTACATAAGGTTTGCTCAGCCGCTGCCCCGTTCAGCGCTAGCGGTCCGTGCATTCGTACCTGTCGACGCAAGAGAGTCGCTTCCAGGTGCATGGTTCTTGTGACAGCGCCGGTTGCACCAGAGATCCCTGGGGAACGGGAATTACCTGTTGGTGGACGAGCAACCCCAGGCCGTAATGCAAATCGCGCTGTCTCATCACGGGAGCTCGCTAGCAAGACCCGGTATCCTAGGAATACCTGTTCTATCCATGTTACCCTCGTGGACGTGCAGATGATGTTTGTGCAAGCGAGCTGGTCCACTGGGGGCTGATGTCAACATGTACATGGCTACTATACTTCTGCAGACGAAAAGGCGAACACGAAGGCTCCGGGTCTGCGCGGTCTAGCTCACGGAGCAACGCCTGGAGTCGTTCGATGGCGCGCGTTTGGTGAAGTCTCGGAGCAATGGTTCCTCGAACTTTCAGGGCCAGGTGCAACTAGTCGTCGACACGATAGATGCGCAGTCAGAAGCATTGACGCGGCGTTACTAGCTCCCTCAGCCCAAGACCGCATTCGGCAGGCATCTTGTCGGTAGCGAGCAAACCTAGAGTGGATGGCAATAGTAGTAGCAAGACCTGCAAGACCCAGAGGTTCGCCGACGGGGCCAACCAACGCGTCTCTGGGGCCTACGCACGACGTCCTTGTGCTAGATGTGCCGTGCAAAAGGCGAACTTCTCCAGCAGGTATATCGCGGACCGAAACAATCAAGGGTGGTTTGAGTTCGGAGACAGGCGAACCAGGCTGAGACCCACCTGTGAGGCGTATCGCGAGTGCGGCGGCGAGGCAAGCCAATTTCCGCAAGCTTTGGTGGACGCTGGACAGACATGTGGCTCAAGAAGTGTGTGGGGAATTGCGTAAGCCGCCCAGGCGCGTGAGCCCTACCGCGAAGATATTCTGGAACGGGTCGTGTATGCAGAGCATGCAACGAATGCACGCCGTTGGACAGTCGTTGCAGTAGTGCCGCGAACTCGATCTTCTCCACGTGGGATTGTGGCGGACTGACGGTGCGTGTTCGAGTGCAGCGTCGCAACGGAAGTACCGAGCCCACGCCAGCGGGCGAGTCACGTAGGCGTTTGGAGACGGGCGCTGGTCTGCTGCCAAGGCGGCGAAGGCGGTCCAGGCCCGGCGCAAAGTCCGGGCTGTGAGTAGCGCTCTAGGAGAGAAAACGCGATGCGCAGAAACCTTATTCGGAAGACTACACGGTTGGGGAAGATGGGAGGATAAAAGGCTGCAGGAGTCGTGATGCAAAGATGCCCCGAGAGGCAAACCCGATAGATCCGCGCTAACGATGCATCCGTCTAGTGCCATCTCGAAATCCAAATGTTCCTCCAGGGCCTCCTCTCTCCACCGTCTTCAGGGGCCGCACCATGCCGGAGCATTGGGCCAGACAGAGCGGTCGAGGAAGACGTCCTTCTTATTGCCATGGGTCTGCTTGGCACAGCTTCAACATATCCTCGGCAACCCCTGAATAGCTTTTCCGAGACGCGACGGGCTTCACATGACCGCCTATCCGCGCCACAACACTATGTTGGCACTGCCAAAGCTGTGTCGTTCCTCCCGTGGCTAGCTTGGCTACAACATTTCTGACAACTCCTGTTGGGCCAAGAAGTCGTTGGGTCCGAACATTCGTCTCAAGAATGTTCATCTTTTGGCACACTCGCGTCGTTTCATTGGTCGATTATTCCGTCATCGTGCCTATCGACCAATGCCCTTTTCTTTGCTGCAGAGTCTGTCCCACGTTTCGCAAAGCCATCGGCTGACGCCTCAGTCATCTCTAGGCACTGCAGAAACCATGCACCAAGAACTCCATCAAACACTCCCAGTTCACCAGATGGCCTACAGTACGACGTCAGCTCTTGGAAAACCCACATGTCCTGGGCCTAAGCTTCCTTGCTTGGGTATATATCGACCATCTGTCTCTGCCTGATGCTCACCATCGACATATTCAGCTTCTTATTTCTCAATCTGCTGATCTTACATTCGCTGCGCAGCGCGTTAGTTTTTAATTTCCTCAGAGCAGAGCTCGATACCTTCTTTTAGCTTCAACTTTTTACGTCCACTTCAAGACTTTTTAGGCACTTCCTATTCTCGTCAGTAGCATCATGAAGGCTGCATACTCACTTCTCACGCTCCTTTCCGTGTCCCTCGTGACCGCTGGGCCGCTACCAACCAATCGTAATGATGAACTCGTAAAACCCATGGAGGCTGCTGTCGCAGAAAATGCTACTTCTGCTCCTCCTGCAGCGGTTCCGTATGTCCTACCATCATCCACCTCAATTATTCTTGAATTAATGTTTTGCTCCTCCCTGTAGGCATCCCTCTGCTGCGCCAGCACCCGCACCCGAGGCGGCCAACGCTACCGATCCTGAAGCCCAGAAAGCTGCCGAGGATAAAGCGGGTTCGTCATTTGTTTCGCATTGTGTGTACCGCTTCACTGACGAGGTCTAGCTGCGGAGCATAAGGCGAAGGCAGATGCTATGGAAGCTATGCACGTTGCTGAGGCCGAGGCTAAAGACAAGGCGGATCAAGAAGGTAGATGATTCTAACATCACCGAACAGGCGGAGCGTAGCTGACCACGTTGAAGCTGCCGCAGCAATGGAGGCAAAGCATGCTGCTGAAGCGGAGGCCAAGGAGAAGGCGCATCAGGAAGGTTCGTTCTGCTCTTCCTGATCACTTCACCAAATTGCTAACTTTCCGAAGCTGCTGCGAAGATGGAGGCTATGCATGTCGCTGAGGCAGAGGCCAAGGATAAGGCTGCACAAGAAGGTATCAATTAACTATTGGTCAGCTCCAAAAACATCGCTGACGTCGATACAGCTGCTGCCAAGATGGAAGAGATGCATATCGCAGAAGCTCAGGCTAAAGATACAGCAGCACAAGAAGGTAAAATCACTTCCACTCCCGACTCTACACATGTCGCTGACCGTTCTGTCAGCTGCCTCAAAAGCCGAAGAGGAACACAAAGCAAAGGTCGAAGCCGAAGCCGAAGCCGCCGCGGAAGCGGCTGCGAAGGGCAACGCGACTGTTCTCCAGGAACCCGCTGCGCAGAATACAAGTGCAGCGGAGGCCACGGGCGCTGCTGGAAATGCTACTGCCGTTGTCGAAGCCACAAACGCTGCCGAGCACGCCTTGCCAGTCGAGACTCCGGCTGTAGTTGCCGAGCATCCAGCTGCTCCCCCTGCCCCTGAAGATGAGAACAAGGACGAAGCTGAGCGCCCGTCAGTCGATGAAGGTGTTGCAAAGATGATCAGTCACATCACGGCTCGAGATGGTTGAATCGCGCCAACCGTTACCCTGGAAGCATGAAGATTCGAGGAGGGGAAGGAGATCGTTGAGCAGGCTCAACCGCCGTGGCCTTGAATGACGATGACAGTCTTAGACAGACAGAACGATGAATTTAGACAACATAGTGTTAATGCTAAAAGAAGATATTTTGCCACCTTCGCGGAAAGTTACTACATACATGCATTTGATTCATCGTACTTTGACCTCTGGAAACTGTTCTTTAGGTCCCTTTAGTATCTTTTCCTCGATCCCGAGATTCCATGTATACCGGGAATATGCCGCCAGATACCTGGCCAGTATTTTCCCCACCCTCTATTCTGGTACAGGTCCAATCAGTCGCTGCGCTGTTTCGCTCAAAACATGACGTATGCCAGCTATATCAACGAGGATATTAAGATCCCAATACGAGCAATTTTTGGTGTTCATAAAGTCGAATTCTTTCTTGTAATTGAGATACGGGCTGTCACTTAACGCTTACCAGAGATGTATCCAGGAAGATTATTCTTCGTTTGCATCGCTGGCCTAGAGCATAAGTGCTTGTGGTTGCATCGCTGCCCCAGGAGTTAGTAAAGATCCGTGCTTGGTAAAAGTCTACAAACTCAGGTATTCAGGATGTCACCGCAGCAGTAGGTTTCTTTTTTGAGCACCAGAGCATGGCGGATATGGGGCATCTTATCATTTTAACACTGTTTCACTGGAGAAACTGCGGATCCGCAATGGGAAAAAGAACAACAAGTCTATAGAGAATACAGAAGAGAAGTAAGTGGTTGGAGTCAGAGCGTACGAACCTGTACTGGTGTTGAACAGGTTCCGCGTGGTAGACTTCGAGCCCATCCGGCGACTGTCCGAATTCTGTTAACGCCGAACAATGTGCCTTCGCGTAGCAAGATGGCAAAAGCGCTCGCTGAATTGCGTCCAATAACCTCCTTCCCTTGTCTGTATTCATTGGTTGATTTGCAGTGATGTACAATACGAAGAACGCGAGAGATTCAGGTAAGCGAGATACGAGAGAAACGCGATTAGCGCGCTTCTAACCCTCGGTGTGGTAAGCAGATCGTATACATCCTTGACTATGAAGGGTACTGTGCGCTACACACTGAGATTTCATGCCAGTCGTTAGACACAGATTATGCTTGGGTAACATTGACGTGGTCTGGGAATGTTCAATTGGTAATAGAGAGTGCAGTGCTGCAATTATGGTGTCTACCATAGCTTTACTTGGGTCGAAACATTCGGTATAAAGAAAGCCTGATTTGGGATAGAGCATTGTCGTAAATTTGCTAAGCGTAGATTCACCGTTTACAAAGGTTTCGATGTAAAAAGCTTCTCTTTCTGGGGGGCAATGGTCCGTGGCTATGAGATATCTCACAAGCCAGCGCAGTTATATCTACAACACAACGAACAAAGCTCAATACTGGTGTGCAACTACATATAAAGCTGGGGTGTTGTCGCCTTTCGCTCCTTGATCGATATATAGAAATCTATGATTACTGCTGCGTCAGGGCCGCCACCGCCCATATCATCGTGGGATTTGGTCGTCGGGACTGTTGAGGCCTCTTAGATCTTGTCGTAACGTTACGCACAACAGTAGACATAATCGCACCGATCGTTGAATATGCCGACACCTTTTGCCCATCAATCTAGTGGCTTATTCGTTACCCTAGAACAGTAAGTCTTTTTCGGTCTTAGCCGGAAAGTCGCGTCACTTTAGCTCCGAGACCGAACAGTACCGAAAGTAGTACACGTCATGCGGTTTAAGCACCTCAACCTGCAATCACCTCGAGAAGGCAGCAATGACACAGCTCTGGAGTTAATGCAGTATATAATGGCTCCGCACCTGCAATGGAACGTTGAGCAAGCCTTGGTTGACTGCGACGCGCCTATTTAACAATCTTCTGCATCCCAATTCTACATCTCAAGCATCACTTTCTCTTCACCATGGGCACATTACACGACCGTGGTATGCCTCCACTCAAGATCCTCATCTCTGGGGGTGGTATTGCAGGTCCTTGCCTCGCCTGGTGGTTGAACAAAGCAAAGGTCGACGCACAAATAACCATTATTGAACGCGCACCCGAACCTAGAGCGTCGGGCCAAGCAGTCGACATCCGAGGTGCTGCAGTCGATGTTATGAAAGCTATGGGTCTTGAACAGGCGATTCGAGACAAGAACACGACCGAAGTGGGGTTCGAGTTTGTGTACGCAGACGGCGTGTCCAAAGCCAGAATGGGAGCCACTGGAGACGACAAGAACCAGAGCTTCACAAGCGAGTATGTAGCTTAGGAATAGTCTTCGGCCAGGTTGTTAACCTACTATAGGTACGAGATCTTAAGGGCCGACTTAGCGAACATCTTCTACGATGCGACGAAGGATATGAAGAGCATTGAATATGTTTTCGACGAGACTATCAAAGACCTAGTGCAAGACACCCAAACAGATAAGGTACATGTTACTTTCACCAATCATCTCCCGCAAGCATACTACGATCTTGTCGTTGGTGCGGACGGCCAGGTCTCGCGCACACGCCGTCTAGCTTTCGGCCACGGACCGCAAAAGGACGATTATCTTCGTCGACTAGGCGAGTACATGGCCTTCTTCACGATCCCGCGCGTTGAGAGCGACTCGCAGTGGGCGCAGTGGTATGTCACAACACGAGGCCGACTTGTGTGCACACGGCCTTCACCATACAACGACACGCGCGTTTTTTTCGGAGTAGTTGACTGGGACCTCAAGCGCTTCGGTAAGATTGAGGATGCGGTGAAGAAGCGGGATGAGATAAGGGAAAAGGAGTGGCTAGGCAAGGAATTTGAAGGAGCGGGGTGGGAAAGTAAAAGAGTCTTGGAAGGTATGAAGACGGCGCAGGATTTCTACATGCAAGAGATAGTGCAAGTAAAAATGGGTGAGGAAGGTTTTGCGAAGGGCAGGGTTGCGCTGCTAGGTGATGCTGGATATTGTCCTTCACCACTTTCTGGAATGGTAGGTTCTCCCCCCCCCCAAATTGATGAGGCTGACTCCGCAGGGAACCGCTCTCGCCATTGTAGGCTCCTACGTACTTGCTGGTGAGATAGCAAGCTCGCCCTCAGACATACCTGCGGCTCTGCAACGGTACGTTACAACATTGCGGCCGTTCTCGGACCAGTGCCAGAGACTGATCCCGGGAATGCCTCAAGTCGGCTTTCCCCAAAGTGCTTGGGGCTTGAAGATTTTGGGCATGTTCGTAACTGTCATCACATCTCCTATATGGCAGCGCATCGGACCTTGGGTGAAGTGCGTATTGCCGAAAGACTTTAAACGGGACAAGTGGCAGCTTCCAAAGCAATACGCCGGAATGAGTGTGTAGTCGCAGGTCAAGACCTTAAAAAACCTTGTGTTGCCTTGTTTGTATCGCTTTAGTTAGTCTTCTCCGCATCTGTGAATGATCATCTTCACCACAATCCTGATCAACTAATTAATCCGAAAATAAACATGATCTACTCATTGCAATAGTTGCACATCACTCAAATGTTCTCCAGTAACGTTTGCATTGTTTCTGTATTATGTCCGTTATTGTCCATCAACCGAATCATCGTAACCCGAGAGCATGGTCTCTATGAGCGGGTCAGACTCTTCAATATTTCAATATAAACCTTGCTATTCAAGCTAAATTTTCTGATCAATGACGTTCAGATCTATCAGTGTTGGGGGCAATACTCCCATTGAACACTGGTGTACCTAGTTCGCAGCAGTCCATAATGCCGGGCCGGGAATCGTGTAAGAACTAGGGCTATTGTACAGGTTGAAGAGAATTCCGGGGTCAGTTCTCTTATATAAAGAGGTACCAACCACGCCGCTCGTTGGTGCAACTGTACCGCTGCCAGTGACCTTGAGGTTCAAGCACTGAGGGTAGATTTGAGCACCATTGTCGCTTCCCGCACCGTGAAGCGCGATGATCTCGTGGCGAGAAACATAGTTGCCTGCTTTGAGATTCTTGGGAATGACCGTCGAGGCGGTAAAGCTGTTCTTGATAAGGTTGTCTGTCGCCCATGTTCCGGAACCGCCGGGAGTAATGAGACCGGCTTGGGAGATCTTGGACCACTTCAGGGACGAGGGGCTGAGGGAAGTGCATTCGCCTGTTTGGGGATGTCAGCACTGCTAATTGTAGCACTCTGGAAAATGAGGTTACCATTGCACGGAGCGATGTAAGTGATGACGGGACCCTTATGGCTGTCAGGCCAGGTGCTAAATGTTATTAGCGTATGCCGTAGAGTCGGTAGTGGTAGCAATATCATACTTCCAGACGAAATCAACAGTGTCTCCAGCTTTGACAGTGGCGTATGCCTGACCTGCCTGAGCGCTCTTGTGGCAGTTGATGTCGGCGGTAGTGAACGACTCGGGCGAGACGAAACCGTTATCTTGGTTTAGGGCATCCCACCCAGCCGTAACAGGGCGCGGCTGACCATTCTGGTCGTAGTAATACCAGACAGGGTCAGAGCCTTTAGTCGCGACGCCCTGGTCGGTAACTTGGGTAACGAAGCCTGATGCTCGATCAGTGCAACTGTATCGGGCAAGCAAAAGCTCGGGTCACGCGTACCGTGTGCGGAAGCAGTCTCGAAAAAAGCCGCTGAAGCGATAAGAAGAGCGATCGTATACATATTTGGCCCTTATGAGAGTGTGTGATGCAGAAGAAGGAAGCGATATTCTCCTAGCTCTTTATAGTACAGTGTTCATGGTTTCGCATACCTGGAATCTATCTAGTCGCATCACTACAATTCCCGGAACGCTGACTCCGGGAGTTTGAGCGAGGACGAAAGTGCCTATGCACCACGAGGTATTCCATCCTTTATTCTTCGCGCGAATCAGCGTCCCCTCGAAGCCCAGTGCAAAGCGGCAGTGAAGCCTGGCTCCCATGGGGCAGCTCGCGTACTACACCGTGCAACGCTTGATCCCAGTAATGATGGCGTGGAGGACTGTTAGTATTTCCGCGCATATTGCAGAGCCGCACTTGCGTTGGTGGAAGTTTCGTATAGTTGTTGTGAATCGCGGGGTGCAGGTGCTTGTACCGGCAAAACCGGGCGGTCGGTTAATTGTAATCTGGACAACCAAGTGTGCAGGCAACGAGGCATCTAGGCGTGCCCAGCTTGTACAAGTGGTGATTCTAGCGATGCTTCGGTCTAGTAAGAGGGAAGGCGAGAAGCCTGAAAAGCCTGTCGATAATGTGACAAGTTTGAACTGTAAGGCATGATCGATCAAAGTACCATAGATAGGATTTCATCGTAATTCGGTATTGGAGACGGGTTCCGGGCCGCGTTATTGGTAAGTATAGTCTAGTGCCCGCATGAGGCGAGGGGTCACTGGGCATGGAGTCGGGCAATGCTTGGAATGTACACCCGAGGAAGACCGTCCACCTCCCTATTTGACCTCGTATAGGCGAGCACCACTCCACTGCACGCATCTGCTCGCAAAATAATAGATATTACCGACGAGGCTTTACTGAAAAAGAAAAACACAAGATGTATAGATGCTGCTGACGTTCCTACATAGTTGTAACCTCCAGATTGCGAACCGAATACGTGGTGTCTGCACCCGTTAGCAACGTTTCTTCTCATACTTGAGCAAAGACTCACTCGAAGAGGGGCCTGGACTGCCGCTACTTATACTATCACCCTCCATCTGGAGATTGATGATCCTAACCCTGTCAGCACAGCCAGTCTCGTCGCTCGCCGCTCGACGCTCGAGAAGACTCACAGATACAATGGCTTCCCGACATAGTCCTTCCCATAGTGTGTCGTAACCTCTACGTCGTTCAGAAAGTACTTCACCTGCGCATCCTTCCCGTTGCCCCTATCTCTGACCTGACACTTTATATTGTGGAAGCTTCCTGGATCCGCATAATTTACGTCTTTCCATTGCAACACACTGCTGGTGTTGAAAGTGTTGAAGCTGATCTTGCCGCTACCTTTCCATTCCGCCATGTCGATCTCCGGCGGCCACCCATTTACAGCAGTGAGCCAGAACGCGGGCCATGTGCCCTTTGTCGTGGTGGCTTGAAAACTGCCACTGAAGATGAAACCGCCGCCAGAGGGGACGGTGAAGGGCTCTTTCGCGAAGACGGCACCGGAGAGATAGTTGATGGGGATTTGCTTGCCACCGTGAGTGGCAGGTGGCTGACCGGAGACTTTCTGCGCAGTCAAGGTGAGGGTGCCAGCCGTGGAGATCACCGCATGTGAAGGAGCCATACGCGCGCCTCCATTGTGGTCGGTGCCCCATGGGTAATTGTAAGAGAAGTACTGCGTAAGTGAGCTCGTGGAGTCAAAGACCGTCTTTGGAATGAGCGTTGCTGCAGAGCTAAGCCCTGTTGTAAGTGCTACAGTCAGAGAGAAAAGACGCATGTTGCAAATAGGAACGCAAGATGTGGGGTGGTACAGAGCAAGCTTTTAGGGAGAAGCCTGAGGAACGTGCCTGATCTAGTATGGCGGTAGTATATAGCCCTCAACTGTGGCCTTCGAATTTTGTCTCCACATATTGCTCCTGTAAGTTGGTTTCGGCTGGTGGGATGATTGTCTGTCTCTGTGACCGTAGACTCGTTCCGAACAGACAAGACCTGGGAAACCTGGTCACTAACTGCTAGATGCGCCAATGATCGACGCGCACTCCGCCAAAACAGGATGCCACTTAATCTACAATAAACATCGGGTGAACAAGAGCCGCGTAAAATCTCTTTCGCGGCCATGCTAATAGCCAGGCGATTTCTGATATCCTTCAATTTCCGATGTGGTCCGACACGTGCGCGATCTAGTTTGAGCCAAACCGAGCTCAGATCCTGTTGGCAAGCCGAACGCGAACTGGATACTCCTGATTCGGCACCCCTCCAACTCCCTGATTCCCTGATATCCATGCCTTAGTCCCGAAGATCTCGCCACCGTCCGCAGCATACGTAGGTTCGAAATCGAATTCCCGTAGTGTCATCACCAAAACCAATTTCAATTCGATGAGCGCAAGCGCTTGGCCGATACAGTTGCGACTTCCATGCTCGAATGGTCGCCAAGCTCCTTTCGTAGGGTACAAGCGATCGCCTTCTTTTGCAAGCCAGCGTTCTGGGAGAAATCTCTCAGCCTCTAGCCAGTACTTCTCATTCAGATGCATTGAAGTGTGGTTGGTCCAGATCTTGACGCCACCAGTAGGAAACAGTTTGCCAGAGTCGTCGGGAAGGCTGACATCCGGGGACCCCATACGGATACCGGAGACCGGAGGATACAATCGTAGAGTTTCTTTGATGACGGCTAAAGTGTAGGGTAGTTGGTTGACACGTTCAGGCTCCTGCTGAATAACGCTCATGATGTGTGTTGTGGAGATATCAGTACCGAAGACCGCATCGTGCTCTGCCCTAATTCGGGCTAGGCATTCGGGGTTGGTAGCCAGACTGTGCATGCACATGCATATTGTTGTGCTTGACGTTTCATGCCCTGCCACCATAAAGATGATCATATTACTGAGCAAAGATGATTTGAAGCTAGGATCCAAGCGATCAGGTGATTCACCGCGGGTGCGAGCGTCGCTCATATAGTTTTCGAGAGCTGCAGGGAGTAATGCTTTTGCTTTTGCGTTTGACTTCACTTTTGTGGCAGCTTTGACCTCGGCAAATCGTTTGTCGATTACCGCACCGATGTGTTTCGTGAAGAGACGGTTGTTGTTCCACAGGATGAATGGTCTTTTCGGGTTGAGCATGGTCCAGGGCTCGACGATGGGAGAGAAGCTTATCCACTTAGCTTGACTCCGAATAGTTGCAGCAATTGGATGATCTTGGTGTTGATGGCCCATGGACTCGCCACTATACGCAGTCAGTGTCGGTAAAGAGTCAAGAAGCGGGAAGAATCTCGTGCGTATTGAAGGGACTCACAAGGAGATTCTTCCAACAACATCAATTGTTAGCCGCGAGGCCAGCGGTTCTAGTAGCGTTGGTTTGCCTCCTTTCGCCACTTCCCTCAGCTTCTCGCAGAATATTGACACTTCACCTGCGACTGTCGGTGCCAGCTGTGTGAGGTAGGTGATGCTAAAGCTAGGATTGAACAACACCCTCCACTGCTTCCACTGATCTTCAGGCATGGTCATCATGCTAGACCCCGCACAAAGCGTATTCAGCGGTCCGTTCACGTCCTCTGGCTTGACGAGAGAAGAACTATACTTTTGCAGAGCATTAGCAGCGGTGGGGGTGCTGATGACCAGAAGAGGCAGACTGAAGGGCCAGGTGTCAATGATGAAAACACCATTTGTGAAGGGTTTCGCAAGGGCTGCTACTCCGTAGTCGTGACTCGCCGTAGCAGGGAAAGCTTTCTGAGCGTGCGCCATCTGAGGTAGATGACCCCAGATGAAGCTATGGTCAGATGGCATATCCTAGTATTGATTGTTAGCCTCGCAGCACACGCGTGGCGTAATGACGCACCAAACCAGCTTGTTGGAGCCTCCTAATCATCAGCCGGTTCTTTCTCAGCTTGAAGAAGAAGTAACCGACTAGAGCGGCCAGCAGCACTAGTACTGAAAGAGGGGCAGAAGCCATGGCCCCGTAAGATAAGTCAGGTGACCTGGAGGTACCTATGAGCGGGTTGCAGGGGGATTTTGATCGGATGCTCCTGAGCAGAACGGGCAACTGTAGGAAACCAGTCAGGAGGGTGCAGAGGCGCTATCGTGTGTATTTCGAATTGATGGCACAGTCGGCTCCATTTTGTAGAGGCTTGACGGGACCAGCGCTAGCATCCTACAGCGAGACTGAATCCCGATTCGGATGCGGCGCGGGCTCAACTTTGTCCCCAGACCGTTCAGAGCGCGAGCCTATAGGCCGGCGTCCCCAGGCAGAATTCTGGCAATACAGCGGCGCGAGGTGCATTGAGAGCTTCGCCGGGAGGACGATAACAACATGGCGACGAGTGGTTGCTCCGACGGCAAGGACGAGGCGAGCGCCTGCACAGCGTGGTGCCCGCTGCAACGGAGATGGAAGCGTGAGGGAAGTGCAGCCCTGGAGGAGGAGACGGCGGAGTCTGGACGGCGCGTGTGGGCGGTGCGTCACGCGTCCCTGTCCCGGTCGGCGCACACCTTCCCCGATGCAGCTTAGCTCACTTGCCCCCCAGCGTTCATCTTCACCTCCGTCCGCCTCGCCTCCACGTGCTGACCGTCTCGCCTAGCAAAACATGTCCCCTTCTGCAACGGCGTACTCAAGTCCAGCCACCCCACGATGCAGGGTGGCCTGCCTCCTGCAAGTGGTGTCCGTGGGCGACGGAGAAGCCGTTTCCTGCCACATCGAGCGATTCAACTGTACTACAATTCCGGTCGAGCGATCCCGGTAGTTTCAAGTGCGCGCCCTACCTTGTGAAGGCCGTGATTGAATAAAATGTTGCCGCTGGGTCTGCTCGGTGCCTCTGCCGTGTGCGAGTCTCATACTTCTCGTTAATGTCTATTGCTCGTCTCCAACCCGTCGCTCCTTCATCGTCGTACAACAAACATGTCGTCCGAATCATCAGCCTACACTCGCGGACTGCTGGTACGTCGCTCCTTATGAGGTTTCCCATCCAAACTTCGCTGACCTCCACAAGGTCACCACTTGGCTAGTGACAGGATTGTCCACCATTTCACTAGGGGCTCGTCTGTACACGCGATATTGGCGCTTCTCAAAATTCTACTGGGATGACCTTTTTGTCATTCTGGCCTGGATTCACTCTGTGAGTACCTTCCCTTGCCTGAAATATATATATATATATCTCAACACGTTCTCATACATACATGCAGATACCCATGGCCGCCCAAGTCACTGTCGCATCCAAGCACAACACAGGGCTATACTCCAAGAACTTCTATCAGAGCTCGTTCTTGAGTCGGCCCATCACTCAACTCTTCTTCTACAATGCTCTGTGGGCCATTAAGATATCGTTCCTGATCTTCTTCCGACGCATCGGAGTCGTCGCTTTACCGGCCGTCAAAAGATACTGGACCATCGTCGTTGCGCTTACTATTGCCGCCTACATCGGCGGATGGCTCCTGAATCCGTATGACTGTTGGGCTAAGAAAGGACTGTACGTGTGTGACCGCGACCCTGCAGTGGCCAGGTTTACACCCATTGCACTGACGCTTGCAACGGCATTCGACGTCATCACCGATTGTCTCATTGTCGCCATTCCTTTTGCGATTCTTTCACACATGCGACTCTCGTTGCGACAGAAGCTCATCCTATATTCCATCTTCTCTTTTGAGCTCATTACCATGCTCGTCGCTGTTGTTCGCGTCGTCATCTCTGCCCGCGGGATTTCCAGGAACAGGATGTTCCAGATTACTCTGCTTCTATTCCTCACCCACATTGAGGCCAATACAGGTAGGTTCTTTTGTACAAAACATGAACACCGATGGTGCTAACATTCACATAGCCATCATTGTTGCATGTGCAGGTACCTTACGCAGCCTCTTCACTCAGAAAGGTGACACCCGCTCAGCAACCCCCGCGCCATGGGATAGTCGACCACCTAACGAGGACATCGTACGACCGCCACAAGCGGCTACAGCATTTTCAAAGAAATTTTCTTCAAGGATTTCCGAGAGGAAAGGGCCGGATGAAGAAGAATTGTCTTCTCTGACCAAGTCGCATCATACCCGCCAGCCATCGAAGACATTCGAAACACCGATCGATCTTGGAGAGTTATTAAAGAAACCTTGAAATTCGCACACTCGATAAATATGGTTTACGACAACCAAGGATTCGTAATATTGTGGACCAATTCGACGGGCTGGGAGGCCCAAGCGAACAGGAACAGAGGCGCCAATAACGTGTGATCGCACAGATGTCGTATGATTCGGATGCGCGCAAGGTTCATCCAGATATCTTCACACACGTCCCGAGTACTACCCAGAGAGAGTTAGGATCACACAGTAGCCTACCAAGGGCTACAGTTGAAGCGCGGCACCGAGGTCTCAGAGCCAAGTAAGGCAGTTCAAGTCATAAGAGACACGCGGTAATCCACGGTTGATCACAGGGAGGTTTTACAACGTTGGGATCTTATGGTATCTTGTGCAAACTGTCCGATGATCGAGTGTTCTCTTCCGGCACATTTATCACGTGCTGCTGGGCAATCTATGTTCCTGGGAAAAGCTGTGATTTGACGTTAAGATGTTGTTGAGTGCTGATGCATAGGGACGGTCGAGCGGGGGTAGTAATTGAACGTAATTGGTCATATGTACCCATCTACTAAGCAACCTTCACCAACGATAAAAGCACGAAAGCTACCCCAAATTTTGCCCTCTCACGCGCTCTGCAAGTCACACTGCCAAGACCCTGCTCATTGGCCGCACTGGACTTTTGCATTGACACGTCACTAATCTGTCCGGCCTCGGCTGCAACATTCCTACACAAACCACGCCTTTACCAGGATCGCGGATCAGATTGCAACTTATAGCGCATCCGAAGCGAACAATCACGCTATAAGGGGGTTGGATGCACACAATCAAAATGTGACTGATGAATATGCATTATGATTTGGTGTGAATGCCGAGCTATTGCGCAATAAGAGCACAAAGCGTCCAACCTTCCATCAATGTCACATCTCATACGTACGGCATCGACGACTTCTCGGATGAAGAGTATTTGTCACCCCTCGAAGGCGTCGCAATCACGAAATCGACGCCATCGCTATTCCTCCACACCCGTCCCGCTTCGGCTACATTTGCGTCATCCGAATCTGTAGCTGTCCGTGCTTCCACAAGGTCCTCTTCGGACTCCGAGCCTAGACCACCCCTCGAGCGTGTCCTCGACTGCCCCATAGGGGAATTAGTCGAATCTCCCAATGGTGTCGCTCTTGGCCTCCATCTACTCTTCTCGCGCGACATGCCGTCCATTTTATACGATGCACCAGGTCGATTGGTCACGTCGCCCACCATACGCGTCCAGAGTGGTTTAAACGCCGGCATGTTAACGGCCATGACGGCAAAGAAAAGCTCAATGGAGGAGATGATAGTGTTGATCGCGAGCGCAGGAGAGGTCTGATGGTCGCGCATTTTGCCCCAGGCGAGCACCCAGAAGGCCGATGTCAGTATGGCAGTGAAACCCGAGCTGAAGATTGCGAGGACGGCCAGACGGCGTTTGGTGGGCATACGGAGACCCCAGATGACGGGAATTGGGAGAGTGAGTATGTAGAGATCTACAACGAGGTTCTTTGGTTTGATCAGCTCTGCGTCAGACTTGCAAGGCCAGGATCAATCATACGAGTGCGACAGGAGACCAGAACGACACCGCCAGCGACATGCATTTTGCGTGTGGAACTGATCCTGGTGAGAAGACTTCTATTAGAGGTTGGCAGCGCAGGATGATGAGCAGTCTGATCAAGATTAGCGAAATGCAAGATCGAGCATGTAGCGCATGTAGCGCATATCATCACTAACTCGTTCGTAATGAACACAGCTGCGTTCAGAGCCATTCCAAGATACACAAGGATGCGAAACGGGCGGGTTGGAGACAGATGCACGTAGAACGCCAGGAAAGCAGACTTGATGGTGAAATGCGCCAGAGCGTATAGTACTTGAACAGCCAAAAGAACCTGATGAAGATTAGTACGGGCGTGTAACTCAAGGACCAGGGCTGTGCGATACCTTGGGAACGCTAGCATTTGTCACGGGGTTGCATTTGTTTGTGCCCTCCCTGAATACACAGTTAGTGGTGTGGTTCGAGACGACCTGTATTAAATGCAGACGTACAAACCGCATCCTGCGTTTAGCATGAGTTGGTGTACGGCTTGCAACGCGACGTAAAGAACCTTCAATGATTGTCAGCCATGCTGTAGGGGTATTCTGAGGCGGATTGACTGCATACAAATGTTGCGACTGTAAAAGTGTCATCGAGACCCCATCTTCTAATGACGAACGCTCGAGAGTAGAACCTCAACAACAGAGATAATACACCTAATATGAACAATACAAGATGCAAGCCTTGCGCGAGAGAATGCAAATTGGCCATTGTTGAAGTGTTGCATCAGCAAGGGGACAGCGTATATCTAATGTCGGCGGAGATTGGAATGGTCGCCGTAAGGGGAAGCTGTTGGGGCAGTTCTACGGTCTCCGTGGTGGTATGGATCGCATCCGAGCAATATGCACGTATGTGACTTTGTAGACCACCGAGGCGTGCCTCTCTATATTCTTACGGCTCTTCTCCAATCGCAATCGCTACCTTAGTGATATGCAAAAAGAACGATGAGGAACCATGCGTAGACTCGACCTGCCTACCTCGGAATATTTGCGCTAGTGCAAGGAGAGATCGAGACGATCAAGCAGCCAGTCGTGGAGGGGTAATTTTGATGCATTTTGGGATAGCAGTGAAGACCTTCAGAATGCCCTTGGAATCTCGATAGTACTCAAATGGTGCGTCGATGGTTGAACATAGAAGGCATGCTCAGGCCACCAAACGGACGGGAAGGATGCTCGAACCTTAGCTAGTACGAGGCTCTGCGGGATGTCGGCCAAGCCGGCCTCTGCAAAAGCCACGAGAACGCACCTGCAGGAGGCCTGATAGCGTCCATCTACTACACTTCCAAGGGTGCCTAGTAATCTAACTTTAAACCCACGGTTCGAGCGAGTAGGCCGGTGGGCCAACACTAAACTCGATCTCGGCGATGAACATACTGTAACGCTCTAGTCTACTTCGGCGACTGAAGGTTACCGGTACCACCTGCAATTAGCGGACCCTCGCCGTTTCGGGTTTCTCGCAACTGTCCCAAAAGGGACTAGCACGGCGGAGCGCTGCGAAGAAAAGGCCACCGCGGTGTGAATGACTTCGGCTAGATCTGATTGGCTGCTTGTATTGGAAATGAGATAGGACTGCGCCGGTGACTATAGCACCGAAAGGACGTCCGCAGAGTAAGTGCAACCGCACCATAGCGGACCAAGGAGAAAATGCTGGACTCATCAGAATGTTATTGCGTGGTACGTAAAGACTAGCTTATCGATAATGAGCAACTGTTCCAAACCACTCACAGATATAGATGTCACTTGGAAATCCCTCCGTAGCCTCTTCCACAAGGGCAATTTGACCTGCTCTTGTTCTCCGCTCGGCCCAACGATTAGCTCTCGGGAAAGTACCTTCTGCGTCCTGCATCTAAATCGATTTTGTATTTGCCGCGGAACCTTGTCTTGGAAACGAATATGTATTCGAACCAGATGAAATGATAGTGGCAGCCGATTGTAGGCACCGACAAACGTTCCGGCATCAAAAGGACTGAAAGTCGTCCATCCTTGTACCAGCGCAAGGAACGTGTCTGTTAACAGGCCAAAATACGCTTTTCAGGGGTACCATAAGCCCTTGAAAGGCCAGTTAATCAGGGAATCGACCTTGAGCGGACCAGGCCTGGCGGAAGCGGAAGTGCGTGAAAAAAATAGCGCCCCAGACAAAGACAGTCGAGACACTGGAAGGATTGACAAGATAAGAGCACCTCTTGCCTCCTCCGGTAGAAACGTTCGTCACGTGCAGACTAAGGACGCCAAAGAGATTGGCGAGGTTGATGGCATCAACGCGCGCACCTCTTCCATCTGTATAATCCAAGAAACCGGGAGCTTTGCCGTCCTAAGCCATGAAGCGTAAGGCGCGAAATCCGAGATGGAACTATGCGCGGCTGAAAATGCAATGATGAAGATGAAGGCGTTGATCAGATGCACTCCGCCATCCCAACCAGCAATTTCATAATGGCTATCGCTTTTGGACTCTCGAGCGCACGACTGGCTCCAATGACCAGGCCATCACCGTTCGATAAGCATGTAAGGCCGAAGAAAAATGCTGAGCCCATATACATGAAGATGATGCGCCAGAAGACTTGTCGAATCTATCACAACCTTAGCTGACTCTCAAGAAGAAGCACTACTAACAAGTTTCACCTATTACTAAAGGGACAGCAACGGCTACGTCTTTCTTGAACGTTATCAACTAGGGAAAATCGGACGAACAATTTTCCTTGGATTGAGGGCTCAAATTATACTATTACTACCTGCTTGCTGTGCGGTACTATTCCATACTGTTCGAAAACCCAAAATTTTTGGGTTTCAGTAGCTGCGACTGCAACCTTTTCTACTCCTGCGAAGAGCGTGGAGCAGAAAACGAAGACGGAAGCCACGTCACGGCATCCGGATACAGATTACCCTAAATCGTACCAGTATATGAACGCCAACGCGTTTTCCTGTCCAATCAAACCGCCGCCTGCATAGATGATGACAAGAGTGAAATACGTGCAAAATCCTCCAAGCTTCAGCAAGGCAAGCCAGGTTTCAGCTTCTTCAAAGCTTTCAGCGCCGAGCTTCTGAAAGCACAGGAAAAATCAAAAGATGAGTAAGTAGCTCCATAATGAGATTTGTCGGACCAGTAGACAAAATTGACGAGACGAGGCTGTATTTGTTCGCTAGGACGCAACCCCACCTGGCAGATGAATCAGTAGTTCCAGCCCATCGAAACGCCGAGTCCCTTATCGACAAAGCGGTTGGACAGTTGAGCGGAAGAGTAAAGGCGCCTCCGGTAGGGTATAGTGTGGTGAGTTCGCCGAGTGACTACAAGGTGGAAAAACGCGATGATGCCAATTATGCCAAGACTGGGGAGTAGAGACGCTGGCCCACCACTCACTAGAGCACTTCCCGACCCAAATAGGAGATAAGGCCTGATGACACTAGCTAATTCCATCATATTGGGATGTCGTGTTTTGAGGCCGGATCTCACAATTAAGGTGTTGGAAGGCGTCATCGCGGTCGCAAGCTGGCGATGCCTCCTCAGCGAAGTTTTGGGAGAAGTCGCGATGTGCCACAGTGGGCTGATCGGGTCGTAAAGGGCTGAGGGAGGTACATAGGGACTGTTTGTGATGTCGCCATTCGCTTGTTGGTTGGGTGAAGGCGCTAGCGTTAACGTGCTTTGCCAGAGAAAATGTCATCGGGCGCTCACAAGATAAAGCGGTCAAAAGTCGGGCGTTGAGAATACTATCCTAGGTTTAATCGAGCCGTCAGGGGTCTGCAACACTTTGAGATAATACTGTGTGGCAGACGCTCATATCCGTGCAGTGATCACGTGCTCACAAAACGGGCACCTGGACAAGATCGAGGCATCGATGATTGGCCGGATAAATTGATAGCGCAGGCTAGAAGGACTCGTGCAAATCGAGGCCAGCCGTGCTTCGTAGCTGACAGACCGCATCCCAGCAATCTCAATTCCAACCTTGCTCAATCCTTCCAACAACGGACAGCGTTATTACAGAGCTTTCTGACCCTCACCTTCACTCCCTGAGGTCGCATATTGCAGGAGGGCTTGCGTGCTTTGCTTGGCGTCACTCTGCGATAATCGACTACGCTAATCCATCCAGTGGTTTCGATAGCCACACACGAACACAACACAAGAGCTTGAGCTCACCATGGATGCCGTATCAAGCCCCAGCTTGGCTAACAAATTGCGTCGCTGGCTTTCAAGGTCCGGGTCGTCTCACAGTTACGGGCCGATTCCAAGGGAGATCAAGACACCTCCAGTTCCATCACGATTCCTGGGGCTACCGAGAGAAGTGAGGAACTTGATCTACAGAGAATTGCTTCTGAATACACATCCCCTCATAGTGCATCTACGAAGGGTGCACAGGTTCGAGGCCAGTACAAGACCGTACCCTGCAATTCTCCGAACGAACAAACAGATACACGACGAAGCCGCAGCCGTGCTATACGGAGAAAACACCTGGTTCAGCGCTGCTCCTGCTAAGTTCTTCTACTGGGCAAACGAACTTTACGAACCGGAATCCTCTATCTATGTTATTGAATCAGGCCCTATCAATATGTACCTGCCTTGGATAAAGCGGTTCGTGCTGTTTCCAGAGGGGCCTCCCGACTGGATTCGCGATAAGATTATAAAGGCAAGCGAAGTGGATCTGATGTTAAGACGAATGGGCATCCAGCGACACAATCTGAAGAAGCTAATTGTTGGCGTCTCGAGTCAAGAGATGAGTGCAGAAATCGCAAACGCCAATCTTGATTGGCTAATGAAGACAGACGAGACAGAGATGCAAAGAAGATTCAGCTGGTTTACACAAAGAGGAACCCAGTCAGCGTTCTGGTTAGTGTCCGTTTGACGTGACCATGTGTTGGCGGGCAGCTCCAGATACAGTACGTACTAGATCAAAGGATTTTGGTCCTGCATTGCTCAGCCTCGGGTAGTACATGCTACCATCACTCTCAATCAGACGAGTGGAGTGGAGTTTGGCCAATGACCAGTGCTATCTTTAGAAGCAAGCTCACGATGCGTTTCTAGTTTGACTGGAGAAACAGCCAAAATCAGGATCAGCCTGTTAATGCGCCTGAGTGACGTGGCTCGTATGATACTTGTCTGGTGGAATGGTAAAGGACCTATCCGGAAGAGGGGGCTTATACATTGTCGCTTGCTACATCTTGGAAGTCTCAACGCTTAGCACTCAACGCTTTTGGTCAATGTACGTCTTCGGAGAGGGGCAGTGTTGTCGGTCAAATCTCGCAGCTTGGGTGTCTTGATGCCAAGGGCATGCATTTAAGCGATCACATTAGTGGCAGCCTTGGCCCCCGCAGCAGATGTCAGCGGCCAATGACCCTGCTAGATCCTGTTTGACACTTCAACAAAGTGACGTCGGAGGAGGCCATCAACGTCATGCATGCAAACAACGCGTTTTCTCTTGTTTGTGGTGCACACCGCGTGCTCCAGGCCCAATTCGCATCCTTGCGATCGATCTCTCGCTGATCCACATTACTGGTTTGGATCATGTTTTAGGCCCACTTGCTTTCCTTGAGATCAATCCTGGTGATGGAGCCGATCTTAGACACGCTCCTCGCCTGCTTCTTCGCACAAAATCAACTGACATCTCACGAAACTACCCGCAACAACGGCGAAGCAACCTTTCCCTTGCCGTAGAGGAATTAGTAGCCGACACTACCAGGACATCTGATCAACGCCGGACCCTTGCTTCCTTCTCAATTACTTGACGGACCCTATTACAACCATGAACGACATGGGATCTCTCGCCCACACGTTGACCGCCTCTGGTGGTACGGAATCTGCTGGTATGATTGATAGGATGATGAAGTACTTGCGGGAACTAGCTGATATTCCCATAGGGTTTTTGAACGACCTGGTCGCTCAGCTCTGGCCAAATATCAACGTCGCCGGTTGCAAGATGGTGAAGGATATCGTCGAGCCTATACTAGCTTCTACCCTTCCAGGCCCTTTGGCCAATTTGAGATTCGTCAAAATCGATCTGGGCGATGTGCCTTTGCATTTCTCGGAGGTAGATACTCATAAGACTTCCGCTGGGGGCATCCAGCTGGAGATGGACGTTACCTGGGATAGCAAGAGCGACATCGAGCTAGATGGAAGCATGGTACCCAAGATTGTAGGTAGAATTTCTTCTGCGCACGATGGTGCGTCATTAATCGGATAACAGGGTATCGAGCGTATTCATCTCAGGGGAAGACTGTCGGTCCTCCTTGCTCCTTTGACGAATGTTATCCCTTGTGTAAGTAGCTCCGTTTTCAAATGGATCCACATCCTGACTTGGGGACAGATCGGCGCTGCACAAGTTGCCTTTATTAACCCTCCAAAGCTTGAGCTCGACTTCACGGATGCCGCAAACATTGCCGACCTTGGAATCATTTCAGGCACTGTTCGCAAGACTATTCTAGGCATCATCAGTGGCATGGCTGTCCTTCCCAACCGCTTCCTGGTCAAGCTCGACAACTCCAGTGACTGGTTCAAGACATTCCAACCCCACATTGGCGTCATGCGTCTAACCATAGAACGAGCCGTCGGCATCTCGGGCCCGAAGAAGAGCGGCGCGAAACGACTTTTGGCAAAGATTGTCAAGGATGTCCCCGACTGCTACTGCAAGGTGACTGTCGGTGCCGAGGATGAGTGGCGAACGTCAACCAAGAAGAACGACCACGATCCGGAGTGGAACGAGACGCACGATTTTCTCGTTTCAGACTTCGACCAAAATATCTTCCTTGACATTGACGACGACGACGTCGGCGCGGATGACGATATCGGCGAAGGCTCTATCTCTATCAAAGACATCTTGCTCGGCGGTGGAAGCAAGGAGATTGCTTTATCACACAAGGGCGAACACACTGGAGCTCACCTAACGGTGCATGCCAGATTTTTCAACTTCGTGAGTGATGCCTCGGCCCTCTCTGCCTCGGAGAGCCAAGGTGAAGGCCAATTTGTTGGTCTGGCTACCATACTTGTCGCCAGTGCCCTTGGTCTACAAGGTCAGCGTGATGAGCTCAATCCCAGCGTCAAGGTGACTTGGGGCGCGAAGGAGTTCCGCACCGCAATCAAGACATACACACCTGGCACCGACATTTTCAATCCTTCTTTTGATCAGGCGTTCCGCATTCCGATCACAAAGGATCTGGTAGACAGCGGAGCAAGCTTCAGGATTGCATTGTTGAACAAGGAGAGTGAGACTGGCGCTGTCGACATTCCTTTCGCGGATGTACTCAACGGGCCGAATGCTGGTGTTGCAGACACATTCGATGTTGGTGATGGGGCGACTGTGAGAGTCAGTGTATTTCTGAAAGGATTACAACCGGCCCATTAGTGGAGCGGGTTTTTTTACTGACAACACGGCATGTATTGTTCTTATTGCTCGTGATATGGCATGCGGCACATGAGCGGCTCAATCAATAATTTACGACTTTATGAGCACGAAGTGGTTCTGAGATTCTAATGACTTGGGTACTTAGTTCGTTCTCATTCTTGCAGCATATTACATAGCGTCCGAAGGACTGTAACGCAATGGAACGCTTGATACCCTATTCTTCATTGGCCAAATATGCTGTCGCACCTCGGGTCCGATATCCAACTCCCACCCCACAGCGATAACCTGGTGCTCGGCCAGACAAGACCAATCAAGGCTGTGTGCTATCAGACTTTCGCATTTCACGTACATTTACCCATATCTGACCAACTCCTTCAAACCACGAAGATACACAACCCGCCCCACGACGACCTCTATGTGAAAGATCTGATGGCTCGCGCCCTGTGACACTCTTTAGCGGAACGCATATTCTACTAAGAACTCATAGACTTACCCAGATATCAAATGTTCCAGGAAATCGACTCTCGGGAAATCTTGTGATATAGACAAGCACCCCAACGAGGTCTGCACATAGCATCTTCACTGCAGCACGCCAGGGAAAGTGCTGCAGCCTCTCAATTCCACCAAGCAGATATGCGTGGATCAAGGGCGTGTAGCCCGATGCCATCAACCCGCCGATGATCAGAGCCCTACATATCAGATTAGACTCATTGACGTATGACGTAGAGGGCGCATCAACCTCCACTTCGCAGCTTTAGGTCCGTCGGCACTAGGTTTGAGAAACAGGAATACAATCGCAACGGACAGTCCCAGCGTTAGGCTGATATACATGTTGGCAAGATGAGCATCATGCCTGAAGCCAAACCACGAGCTTGTTATGCATGTCGCGGATACATTGAGTATTATCCCAAGATAATCCAGCTTCAGTACCTTGAGTGCAATGCGTTCGGAATGGGCGCTCAAGATATGATATATGCTCTACCTCTTGTGAGTGTTGTATATTCCCCTGTGTGTTTTCTCGCGCAACACGTACCGAAAGCGACATCAACGCGAGACTGGTAACGACATAGAAGCGGATCAAGTTCTTTTCTCGTCTCATTTCGCTTTCCCCTTCCAGAAAGGCCGATCGAGCTTCTTTTGAAAGTATAGTCGCGTACACGATCGCTGGTACTAGATGTGACCAGATGTTGACAAATTCATTGTGGATATAGAAGAGCGATAGAAAGCAGTTCCAGACGTGACGAAGCTCCTCTCTGTATCCTCTTCGAATGCGCGGGTCCTTTTTCATCCACGGGGGCAGTTCATCGAAGGATAAGATTCGGGGCATACTGGTTACCGAATTCCGTTGCCTATCTACCATAGGTAGATGCTGATCGATTGAGCAGGGCAAACAATTCTTTGTCGGGCGAAGAAGGGCGTCTCGGTGTCGAGGTTAGCGTAGTAACGTACATCTGGACCATGAGAGATTATATTCATCGATGGGTAACCCTTGATTCAGTCTGCCACGGGCACGAATCATGCTAGCCGACCCTACGATGGGTTACCGTATCAGGTATAGCGGTGTGAATGGGGCCAAGAAGCTTAGCGAACCAATCCCCGGCGTGAACAGCTCGCGTGATGTAAATTTGTTCAGCCCAACGCTGCAACGAAGTCTTGCGATGGGGGTCGCGTAAATCCCCGCTTTCGCGCCGTTGAACGCCTAACGAACCGGTCCATGATTCTCGTGTATTCCAAGATAGTCACCGCGCCAGTCTTCCATGAATTGCCCTGTACTGTAAATCATTGGAACTGAGGCTCTTTGCATGCCAATATGGTTTACTCGGGAAAACGGTCGCCAGCATGTGCAGAGTGTCGTACAAGGAAGACAAAGGTGGGTGAAGAAGATATTGCAAGATTGGGCTCTCACAGAACAATTTCCAGGTTCGGCGCATCTTAGTCGATTTCTTCGGAGGAGGTTGTTGACGAAGCTGTTTGATGTTACGGAACAGGTGTACGCGTAATGTATCTCAGCTACTAACCACGTAACAGTGCGATTTGAGGATACCTGCATGCGGCCAATGTACGAGGGTCGGAAGGAGCTGTTCCGGCCCGCGCGATCCAATCGATATGATGTTCGTTCACCAGACGCAAAAGATGGTTGGACCACCCACCGTGCAAAAGCAAAAGCAAAAGCACTCATTAGTCAGTCCTGATATGACCCCTTTCCATTCTGGACAGCGATCACAGCAAAATCGCCCTCGGCAAAAGCTCTTGAGTCCCCAAAATTGCATCCTTCGTCTATCAATCGATGATCTAGGCATGAACTGGTTCCTGCATAATCGTCGCGAGAATAATTCGGCGTATGCCCTGCAGGATAAATTTTTCTTTGGCTACCACCGCCAAATCGAGGTTGCGGATATCGTTGAAAGCATGAAAGCAGTCGGCCTCGCAGGTTGTGCCAGGGAGGCACAGCAGCAAGCTTTGGTTCCAAGCGCGGAGAAAAGCTACGCCAAAGCTGTACGTGTGATTAATGAAGCTCTTTCAGAGCCTGATGCCGCTCTGAAAGACAGGCTTCTGTTCTCTATAATGATGCTGGCCATGTTCGAAATGAATACATGGCCCCGCGCCTCCGGGTTACAGAATCTTCATAGCCACGTCAATGGCCTCCTTTCACTGGCTTCACTATCTGTGGCACAAGGGAACCCTACAGTGCTTCACAGGCGCTTAATGGCGTTAATTGTCCGCTTTCACGCATTCCAGAGCTGGTACTTGCACAAGTCTCTTCCTCCGGAATTTTTCGTCGTCAAGGGCGCGTCGTTGCCTGAACCAGAACATTTCCAGACAAAACTCTTGGATCTGATCATTGAGTTAATCACGTTTGAAGACCAGATGCGGAAAAAAGCACTGAAGCAATTATCGGTACTCTCGGAGTGCAGTAGGCTCGAAGGTGCTGTACGACGTTTCTGTGATGAGATCCCACCAAGCGGCCAGTGGACCGAGCATCCTGTGCCAAAGGATTTTCAGGACATAGTTTACCAAGGGGTAATACATTGTAGGTTCTCTTGCCACATCTGAATCGAGTCTGCTTACCATGCTACTAGACTACCCGGTGGCCAATGCCGCTCCGCAACGGAACATCCTTCGCTACGCTCAAATACACTTGAATATAATTCTGGCTGACTACTGCCGCCGGATTATACGCCGCAGCGGCTCGGATCAAGAACTTGCATCAGTACAGGCTAGAGTAAAGTTAGCGGAGGCTACAGTGAAACGACTGGCGAAAGAGGTGTGCGCAACAGTGCCGCAGCTGGCAGACTATCTCGACACCCTACCATTCCAAGCCGGCCAATCCAGTGAACATTACATCGAGGTTCCACGACAGTCTACTACTGCGCTCGTGGAATTGAGCCCGTTCCTGATTTACAACCCTGGACCATTTACAAAGCCGAGGGCGCCTTTGGCTGCAGATGGATTGCGGCCTCCAAAGCTGGACTACCTATATCACACGTACTGGCACCTACTGTTCCTCCCGTGTATATCGTTCGTGGACTCCAATATGAAGTTATGGATACAAGGACGTCTTCGTTGGATAGAGGCACATGCAGAACCGGAAGCATTGGATACGTTGCGTGCGATGAAGCGACGCATTGAAAGGAGTGTGAACATGGGCTTGTATTGTGTTGCTAGAGAGCACGATTTGGAGAGTCGATAAGGATAGAAGCACGACTTGGACTTTAGACGTACAAAGCTTCGAGCTGAAATGAAGACAATAATACTGTGCTGCACGTGAGAATGTCCTGTCGTTGTGGGACCTTCTGTGAGACCCTCTTGCCCTTAATGAGTACTGACCGCTCTTTCACAATACTTCGCGAGACATCCGCACGAAATATTTCGCGTACATCAGGGCAAGCGAAGAAGAAAGGTCTCTTGCTCATTTCCAGTCTGACAAGTGCGTTCACCACGGTCTAATCCTTGCGCACCGCTCGAACATGGTTCGTAAGATGGTCATCTTGTTGAAGACTCTACTAATCCTCTCGCACGCAGCAACTTCGCGAACAATGCGACGAGCGCACTTACACTCATCCGGAACATCGTTTCTATGCTGATTTGTACCATGATGGCGTTCAACATCGTGTTTTGAGCTAGATGCAGTTTTGCAGTTTGCATAAGGGCAAGGGATGCGGCAATTGTGAGCTAACGGTCGGGCTCGCGGACTTTTGGATGGTAATCATGGTGCGCGAATACGGAGGTTCTACTATTGGGAACGCTTAGACGGGTATATACTGGCCGTAAAGAGCACAGATGATCGGCTCCGAGCGTAGAATCGCAGACGTACATGACTTACCCGAACCGCGAATGATGGCACATTGCTGATGGCGGCGTTAGCGAGAGAATATCGAACATTTTGCGGACCTGGGCACTACTGGATCAGGAATGGTGCAGAGCTCATTGCAGCACCAAAACCAGTAATTGGGATTTTCGCGACTCCTTGTCACCAATCCCATCATGGTCTGGCCAGATTTTCTGCGAGAATTCCAGTAGTGTTACACATTTGGTCCTCGAAGAATGGCGAGATTCTACCTTGTCTGGCAGCTGGCCTCGGATCAACAGGCGTGTACGTTGTGCGCTTGCTCCTCCGTGTTGTATGGTCTTGGTTCAATCTGAAACAAAGCATGGTGATCATGTTGTATGAGAGTTGCCAAAAGCTGGCCGTGTGTCGTTCACGCTACTACCCATCGCGCCCCCATTCCCAGTTCCGGTCAAGTGCGTACCACAGAGGTAATAGCGAATGACGTCCCACGGCCTGATCACCGCCCAAAGCGTCACACGAGCAACACAGAGCTGCTGCCCCCTCCCGCACGAGATCCTCGCACAGTCAGATGGCTCTCTCCGAATACTCTAGCCAGGCTCCAAAGTCAACATCGAAGCCTCCATAGCACCTGTACCCATATTCTCCTACTATGGCATTTACACTCTCGGACCCTCGCACCGACGTCACTATACCGACTGATCCTCCTACGCCTAACGACTTCGTCCACGGCGACGAAGCCCCCCGAGGCCGTCTCAAACGCCGTCGTCTCTCATCGCACACCCCACCGCGTGCATCCTCCCCTTCGCGAGGACATGAACGCGATTCAGGCAGCCGGTACGAATCCATAGGGTACAGTGTGGATGTGTCTTGGAGACTTTTCCGACTTGCCCAAAGACATACGTACATCACGTACCTCTTTCCCGTTCTAGGGTTTCTACTAACTCTATACCCTGCTTCAGGCACAGACACCACTACCGCAAGCACCAACGCGCCTCCTCCTCTTCATCCCCCTTCATCGAGACCCCACCCACAGCGAAGAGGAACCGGCGGCGCAGTGACGCCGAGCCAGACCACACGTTCCGTGGGCGCGTGAGGAACCGGTCGGAGAGTCGGAGTAGGAGTCCCATACCGGAGGGTGATGGTGAAGAGAGACACAGGGGAGTGAGGAAGAGGAGTCAGCCGCCGAGTCGCGGGAGGGATGGAGGAGGGGAGGATGAAGAGAATGCGATCAGGAGGTTGAGGAGCTATCCGAATATGTATCGGCAGGGAACGGAGAAGGAGAAGGGGGTGGAGGTGAAGCAGGGGGTGAGCGCTGCGGTGCAGGAAGGGTTTGTGTGATAGCTGTGTATTTTAGAGTTTGGTGTTCGGTCGGACTAGATGGCATTTGGGATTACGCCCTTTGATGTACCCGTGCAGTACTTGTCCATATAAGGTAGCTGCTGCCACAAGCTGACAAAGTGTCTCCCTCATGATATATGAATATTACACAGGAGGTCCCAATAGCTAGAGTGGACGGGCACAGCATTTCGGTGGCCTGGCTTTGTGCACAACATCCCGACGCGACTCACAGTCCGATACGAGCTCGACTCTACGGCATGGGTATCCAAACTCCAATGAAAGTGATTCTTCAAACTCCTTGCAATGCTCGTCAATCCAATGCAGCTCTTCTCACCTCGCCTCGTAGTCTCTCCTGCTGCAGGAAAGATGCGCCCATCGTGGATCCGTATCCACTTCGCCATCCTCACTGTGGTGTGTCAGCAGCCACAAGCAAGCCGCTTCATATCCCCAATCCCTCTTGCTCAAACAAACCTCGCACCAATGACGATTTCAACCTACCAATCGTAAATCCAGCCCTTGTTCTTCTCCATGAACTCCGTACATGCCTCCTTCAGCGCGATGTTGGGCCTCAGCTCATTGATTGTCAGCGGTTCCCTTGTAAGCGGATCCGTCGCACTCCTCTTCAAATGCTCGATGATAGTCGCGCGCTCGTAACTCCGCCCGTTCTTTGTCACAACCGGATCGTTCATTATCTCGAAAGTTATTCCGTCGATGAGGTAGTCTGGTACTTCGCGGATCTCGAGATGTTCGGGGTCGGAGAGCGCGAAGGCGGTGCGTATGTCGTCGCGCTTCTGCTCGAACTCGGTGACAAGCTGTTGTTTTTCTTCCGTGGCTTCAACGCGGCCGATTTCTCCGCTTTCTAATCGTGCCTCGATATCGTCGACGTCCTTTTTGTGGGTGGTTTCGAGGGATAGTTCGAGTTCGGAAAGGAGGCCTTTGCGCCGCCGTATGCGCTCGCGCTCGCGGATGTCCCATTTTGCTTTCTTGCAACGTGTGACTAGGGCGGATATGGTGGCGGCGTTGGAAGTCTGCTGGGGAGAATTGACGCAGAGATCGTACGCTCTCAGCGCGCTACTGAGTGCCTCGTTCGGGTGATTGATTGCGATTTGCGCCTGCGCTGCAGCAGGAGATGGGTCAGCTCAGCTCTTGCATTGCCCACGGTGCAAGAGCAGCTCTACATACCCAGATAAAAGTACGCCTTCATGTTCTCCGTCATCAGGTCTATGCTCGCCAAGCAGTCGTTGATCACGCCCTCCCATTTCTCCAGTTTCAGCCGCGCATTCGCGCGGTTTGTGAACAGCAGCGGATTTTTGCTGTTCTTCTGAATGGCCTGGCTGTACAGCGTCTCTGCTTGGTCGTAGTCGCCATTCTTAAAGTGCGCGTTGCCTTGGTTTTTGAGCTGGTCCGCCGCATATTCGTTGCCTGGCGGCATCGTGGACGAGACGTGGCTCGGAGGTTGCCCGGACTTTGGGTGGTGGGCCCGCGCGTGGAGGGGCCGCCAGCGGTTTTTGTTTCGCGGCAGCCGAACTTTCTGGAAGATTGCTGAGGTGAGCAACGATGGAAGGATTTGGGGGTAACGAGCAGTAGCATGTACTCACAAAAGCGTTCAGACTGCCTTCACGCCCTAAGTTTCTAAACCGGAAGCGTTCGCACGAGATGCAGCTGGCTGGTCGGCACCACAGTTCAGACTTGCAATTGCGCACAGCCACTGGTACTTCTTGTCCGGCTCTGGAACACAAACACCTTGCTTGGAAGGCTTTGAAGCATCGTGTAAGAGCCATTCGCAACCCGTGGCTTAGGGACTCCAACGTGTCCTCTGGTAAGCGCCACGGCTCTGTGCCGACACTCGTGAACGTAAGGCAGGGGCACACGAGGTGGAACGTAAGGCAACACCGTAACAGCGCCAATGCTCCAGATGTCGGAGAACATGCCCATGTTGTTTGTTTCTTCAAGCATCATACAGTACTAATCAAACCCCTGATGAAGCTGGCTGACCTGAAGATTTGATATCAATTTACTGGACCACAAGTCCTGGACTAGGACTGTATTTAACTGGTGAAGTAATATGATACGGTTCGAAAAGTGGTGGCCAGGACAAAACCCACAGTGTTGCCAACTTACAGCCTATGCATTCCCGCTCAACTGCTGTTTCCATCCACTCGGGCATGTGCCCGTACACGACAGTCCACTGTCACTGTTCATATTACTGCACAACACCTTCGCAGTCCCTCCATTCTTCGGTTTGATATTCACATCCTTGAACTTCAGCCCTGTACACGGCGCGCCTAATCATCGTCAGTATCAACCTTCCACCACTACACTCAATCACCCACCTTTACTACAGTAAATCCCTGCAGCGACATTATATCGACTTGTACCGGTAACATTCTCCCAGTTTATGTCACTAATTTTCAGCCTGCTCCCATCGCAATTACTATAAGAATAAATACATGGCGATACATATATTGGTTGATTCACGTCTTGGAAGTAGAAGTTCCGGAACGTGACATTGCGCACATGGCCCTGACCGGGGTAGGTCTTTATCCATGCAGCGTTGGACGAGTGGATGGCAGTGAAGTCTTCGAAGAGGACATTGTCGACGTAGTCAATGGCGTTGTTGCCGAGGGAGCCGATGCAGGCGGCGCCGGATTCGTAGCAGGTGACATTTTTTACGTAGACATTGCTGCTGTTGCCTTTAATGGAGATGCAATCCTAGAGCTTATGGTTAGGTTAGGATGGATCAAGTGAGGAGGGCAACGAACATCGCCGCATTTCACAACCCAATTCTTGATTACGATGTCCTTCGAGTTCCAGGAGTCGAAGCCATCGGTATTGACGGTGTTCCACTGTGACGTCGACGTGGCGTTCATGTCAAGATTGGTCATTGTCACATTCTCGGAATATGCGACGAACGTATGCCTTGGCCGCAATTAGTCGCCTGTCAATTTCAGCAGTTGGAGACGCTACCAGAATTGGGACTGTCTCCATGTTATTCCATCGATGAATACGTTTTTTGCCTTCCACAATGTCAGGCTAATGGGACGACCAGCCATGTTCGACCCGTTCTTATTGGCATCGTACCATCTCTGACCGTTGCCGAAGAACAGCCCTTTTTTGTGGCCGCGGATGGAGAAGGTGTCTCCACCTAGTCTAAAAGCAGTGCTTCGCTGCGCATAAGTGACTCCAATCGAGTTCCTAGTCCAGTAGTTGATGTCGTCGTTCCAGGTAAGTTTACCTTTAATGCTGATGTCACAATTCTTTAGGTTGAGGACGTCCATTACTTTGGCAATGGTGTAGTCGCCTTCGGTGATTTCGATCTGCCCATCTTGTCCGCACTGTTTGAACGCATCCATGATAGATACAGAGTCGTCTTTGCTGCCTGAAGGGGTGACGATGCAGAGTGTGCCGGTTTTGTTCATGCCAGCTAGAACTCTAGCGGCGAATAAGGCGAACAGAGACCATCTGAACAGCATGTTGGTGACGGTGGTCAGTACAAGCTATGCTACCAAGGTCAATGCGTAGTCAAGCTCCTGCTCGAGCCTTAATAAGATTGCATTGTGGGGTCCATTGAGTTGGCCTGTAGCTATGGCGAGCATTATGACGGTTGTTAACGCTTCATGAAACACGATTGGTGTAAAACGCAGATCTGAGCCATATTGCTCGTGATGAACCGGTTGTTGTTCGGTTACGCGAGGTTTGGTAATCTACGATAATTGAAAAGCTGGGCATACATCGTGGGGACAATGCCACTACCTACCGGCAGATTGAAGCATGTCGTATAGGCAGGCTGGCGCGTACTCCCATTCTAAGGGTGGAGTAAATACTGAGTGCTCGTGGGATAAGTTCGAGTAACTTCTGGGTGTGCCATGACAGGAGATATGAGGAACGGATGTCGATTATGTCTAGCACGTGCATTGCAAAATCCCGTCGCGGTTCATGGTGAAGAGTGAGGCATGTGGGCAGCGCCAAGCACCAACGTCACATGCGGGAGCGTTGCGACACAGCTGTATCAACAGCTTCAAGCAGCCATTGAACCACACCGCGCCCTTCTACGGGCTGTACGATACGCTCGTTAGTATGACTACGGCCGTCAATATGCGCGCCCTGCGCATCAGGCCCTCGGTGCCTCGCCTGCGGTCGTCGCAGCGCCCGTTCGTGCACCCCACGCGACAGGCTTCGACAGCTGCCACCGATGCTCACACCGCAGCAAATCGCACGAAGAACTTCGTGTACGGCACCGCCCTAACATTTGCGTTATCATTCGGCTACCTGTACGTCACCGACACACGCTCCAGCGTCCACGAATGGCTTGTCGTACCTGTTCTGCGGCAGATTTACCCCGACGGAGAAGACGCGCACCGTGCCGGGACCAAGATAGTAAAGGCGCTTCATAGCTTTGGCTTGAATCCTAGAGAACGAGGCAGTCCAGATGCCGCTGGAGATCTCGCGGTGGAGTTGTTCGGCCACACGCTGGTTAACCCCATCGGAACGTCTGCCGGCATGGACAAGGGCGCCGATATTCCAACGCCTATCTTCGAGCTCGGTGCTGGCCTTGTCGAAGTTGGAGCTGTGACCCCGCTGGCGCAAGAAGGAAATCCTAGGCCGAGGGTCTTTCGGCTTCCGTCGCAGAATGCCCTCATCAATCGCTATGGCTTCAATTCTGAGGGTGCAGAGGCGGTTGCCATGAGGCTACGACACCGTGTCAGACAATTCGCATACCATTCAGGGCTAGGCATCGATGAGGAGGCGGAACGCTTGGTCTTGGATGGCGAAGCGGGTGTTCCGCCAGGCTCGCTCGTTCCTGGCCGGTTACTGGCAGTCCAGATCGCAAAGAACAAGACTACCTCTGAGCAGGATATTGAAGCTGTCAAGAGGGACTACACCACTTGCGTCAATCAGCTGGCCAAGTATGCCGACATCATCGTTGTCAATGTATCGAGTCCCAACACGCCCGGCCTGCGAGCTCTACAAAACGTGGAACCGCTTACACAGCTGTTGGACAGCGTCGTGCAAGCTGCTAAAAAGGTGGATCGAAAGACAAAGCCCGCTATTATGGTCAAGGTGAGTCCGGATGAGGACTCTGAAGAGCAAGTATCTGGCATATGCGAGGCTGTATGGGACTCCGGCGTGGACGGAGTGATAGTTGGGAACACCACGAAGAGGCGACCTGATCCCCTCCCTAAGGGCTACCTCCTTCCTCAGGAAGAAGCCAATCTGCTCTTGGAACAAGGAGGCTACTCTGGACCACAAATGTTCGAGCGCACTTTGACCCTCGTGAAGAAGTACAGGAAGACGCTCGATGATGGTCCGAAGCAGCTTTCGCCGCCGCCCTCGAAACCAGAATGGCCCGATGTGGGTCAATCCACTGGCGATGAACCGGACTCTTCGATTGTTCCGAAGCTACAGGACTCGCCTTCAGACGCTCTCAGCTCGGCAACCTCTGCGCTTCTCCCTGCATCCGCGAATCTACCGACGGAAGCGTCACCACCACCGACCAATGTCGATAAGGTGAATGTTTCCACGCCCGGGAGCAACGCTGCCCCTGCCCCTTTTACTGCTGGCCCAAGGAAAGTCATCTTCGCGACTGGCGGCATTACAAACGGTCGTCAAGCACGAGAGATCCTCGATGCAGGTGCTAGTGTGGCACAGGTCTACACTGCGATCATCTACGGTGGTGTTGGTACGATAACTAGGATCAAGGAAGAGATGAGGGAAGAGGCAAACAAGAAACGGTAGAAGGCGCTGGATTTGTACATATGTGTGAATGGGCATATGAACCAAAGAGATTGACACTCCAAGCACCAGAGGTCGGATGAACCAACTAACGGTGTACTACATGGCAGGAAAAGAACGAGCTTGATTCTTCTCGAAGCACCAATGCCAGTGCGCTAGGTATCACGTTTACGCCCAAATCGTTGGGCCAGCACACCGGTCAGGCCACGTGAGTCGTATTTGCTCCAAGACGGCGCATGCTCTTATTGGCTAACCTCGTGTGCTTCACATCTCCCTCGCGAGCAGCTGGACGATACTCAATAGCCGCGATGGTGCCCATTGAACATGTCAACCATTCTTTCAACAATGTCAACCATCCTTTCAACAACGAGCAACCTTCCGCGGATGCTCGCCCCCAATGTTCGAGGGCACGGTCCGTCTGCATGCTCTGCCAGCTCTTCGTCGACGAGATTCCCTAAGTTGACAAGGCGCGGTTATTCTGGCATACAGAGAGATGTCCCACTTACTTCTCTTCTCGCGCAATGCTGCTGTGCACATTTACACAGTAATACTTGAAGACTGGTACGTGATTCTACGTACCAAGCTTGCCGGTAAACATAACCTGTGGTGCTGGCCTGCTAGGGATATCCGGCGCGGCATTGCCCAATTGGGGTCTCAAATGGCCTTCCACCCTTGTTTCGTATGACCAGCAACATGATATGGCGTTGATCGCGCCAGTAATTATTAATAATGGCACGCAGCCTGTTGCGAGAGCCGCCAGAGCTTCTTGCGGGCTGGAATTCGTTTCGTGTGCCTGGATCATTACGCCCCTTATATATGGGTTGTAACATACATAGGTCTTAGTGAACGGCTGGCTTTCACCCACAATGCTCTAAACCACTAGAACCAAGGAGAAGGTCATTCAAGGTCATCGATGAGCTTGACGTCGTCTGCTACTACTGATGAGCCAAAATTTGACCCCCGAAATTCAGCTGCAGCCTTCTTACATAATTTGATTTGGATTTCGGTCTCAAAGGTTTGAGGCTTCCCAATGGGAATTCGACACATTGCCAGACTTGTGTTCGCAATCTCCGCCCTCTATGCAGCTTTGCGAACGATGCGCTAAATTGCATCGATGAAGACACGCTCGCATAACACGCATGATGTCGAAGTGACAGCCAGACATTATCAAAAAAGCGGGGTAAGGCCGACTTCACTTTCACACTGTGATACTAATCTGCACAGTATCCCGGGGGTTGCAGCAAAAAACCGCCGCTTGTCATGCCCTCACACGCCTCGTGACAAAGTTTTCGCCTCGGGGTAGCGATCGGGTCAACAGGTTCAGATGCACCGTGCCATGGCGCAAGAGGCTTAATGGATCTACGAGAAAGGATTATTAGGCTTGACACATGGAGAAGAATCACCCAGATCTTGCGAGGTGTGACCGCGATGGGGGGAGTGTAAATAAATGGGTTTATGCATGGGTTAAATTACTTTGACGTGGGGAGAGGACACTTGAGTCATCTCAATTCGATTTTTGCGCTTGTCTACGGTCGTTCTTAAGTGATTAAACATTATTCATAGTCGTCTAAAAGTCGTATGATCCACTGCGTGAACCCAACCCATCATAGGCACCACTTTATCAAACTGTCAACCTCCTCTCACTCCCGTTCCTGTGCACAAGCTCTGGCTCCTCCGCACACTTTATTCCCTCTCTCTCTTCCAGATCCAACTCATCAACCCTCGGATCCGCCTCGTAACCGCTCAACTTCCCAATTTTGACCTTCCTCCACTCATGCACCGCCTTCGCTGCAAATCCCATCATAGCAAGATAACACGCCGCAATCGTCGCCTGCAAGCCCGCCTCCCCATATGCAATTCTCTGCCACTGGTCTGACTGCTTGAACCAGTACTCGTTGCTGTATGCTACTATCGCATTGAAGAAACACGCCGCGAACCACAGGCCGAAAACTAGGATGGCGGTTACCAGTGCGGCAACGGGGTGCCATTCCTCCTTCCAGGTGAAGTACGCCATTACGAGGGAGAGGGCGGCGTCGATGACGAGGTAGACACCTGTGCGCGCCCAGAAAGCCCATCTAATCTAGTTCAGCTACGTCTTGAGTGGAAAGAGGTGCGAAGGGGAGGGAAGCTCACGGCATGTCATTCGTGCTCAAGCGTCTGTTAGATTCTCGGAACCAGCGTCGTAGGAGGGCGCCTTCCACGATGATGAGGATTACGTATGCAACGAGGACGAGCGACTTAAAGGTGGAGACGTTGAAGTAGTGTTTTTGGACGCCGCGCCAGCGGGTGTCGCGAGGGTACCAGCGGACCATCTTGATGGTGTCAAAATGGAAATAGTTGAGTGGCTGGTTGGTTGCAAAATATTGCTAGCGATAGCCGTGAAGATATTGCGACGAGTTTTGGAGGGTCTTGCTTGTAAGAAGGGCTTTCATAAGTCAAAGCCTTTAGCGCGATACTCAAGAATCAGACCTCACCGGCGATCAGCCCTACACAGCATCTCTTGGCTTCGTCACAGCCCGTCGCAAGGTTGTCCACAGGTACGACGTTAGGCGTGCAACAAGACTGGGTACACTCGATCGAGTGTTGGGCTGCAAATCGATGTCCCGTGGTGTGAACGTTGTCTCCAATGTTTATGCAAGTTCCTATGAGACCTGGTAACTCGTTGGATAGCGTAAGAGACGTGGTTGGCATCGGAGTTCGAAGGCTTTGTATGCAATGTACAGCCCCGCTAGCCAAGGAAGGCGGAGCGCATCTGCACAGTGATGCCCATTTCGGGCGTTGCCGCAGGGCGATGTAACTGGGTGGGGCAGGTCGTTTACGGGAGCGCATTTTGACCTTAGGATTTTGCTTGGTTGATGAAGGACTGATTTTGGAGCTAAAGTTCAGAGACACGGACGTAGATCCACTTGATCGCAAGCGTCGCGCTGTAGACATACAATTGATCCCTTCCCCAGCTTTGCGTACACCTAAGCCCTCGAAAAATGGGAATTGCGTACCTGCTCTCTCGTGTCGAGATAAAGGTCGGCTTTCAGCTTGCTAGGACACATCCTTGAAAAGCCAAAGGCGAGATCACCTGCATGTATCCAGAGTAACTCGCTCTACGATTGGATTTGCCAAACCACGACCTCGTTCTGTACCGCTGATGGTCACATTATCAAGAGCCTGCTTTCTGTGAAGACCAGGATGTAGCAAGGACGATGACAAGATCCCAGAGTCGTAGACCGTGCGCCGCGTCCTACGTATGTCTTCATAACATTTACGGGGGACCGATGGACGGACCTAGAAAAATCCTCTCTATGTCGTTAGGTGCGTGCGGCGGGCAATTCAGGCATTTCACGACGACTGATTTCTCCAAGTTTACGCAAATTGACACCATGAATCCTAGACGTAGTTGCCTTTACGGTCGTCGATGCACTGCCAACCACTTTGAGGAGAAGTGCTTAAATTGCTTGATTTGTCCTGTAACGAGTCAAATACACGTGCATCATGACAATAGTCAAGTAAACATCAACTCAGTGTAGACGGACAGAGCATAAAGCTGGGTAACACTAGGGATCGGTCTAGAATCAAACTCAACGCAGATCTTGTTCTACTAGCATGATGGCGCTACCGACATTACTGAATATTCGAGGTCTTACCACTCATGTACAATTGTAGGTCAAACGTTTGCGTGCAATCGGACTCCGCATTTTCTGAGACAACACAATGTACTCTTAATTTGACATGTTGCTGTACCGATTCATTTCCCAAATTCACTTCTGAACATGTTCTGGACTCGTCGATCTAGTGGGCAGAAAAGGCACAACTAACAATGAGAGTGCCATCGTGGAAAATCTTACCAGGGAGGTCGTCATGGTAGTAGTTGCCTAGATGCAACATACCTGAGGCAGCAACGATTGCCTTGACCGGGTACAAGGCGTTCAACATAGCCCCATCTAGGTCGACTACTTTAAGAAGGCCAACCTCAGAGAACACTTTCCGCCGCAATGCAATCCTCTATACTTCGAAATGGCTTTACTCGAATCTATCTCTGGCCTCTTCAACGTTCTTATTGGTGTTTCGAAGGCGTCGGTGCTTCAGGTGACAAGGTGGACGTGGAGAACAAGCGCGGAACCTGGACGCAGGGTCGAATCAGGCCTTCAAGAGTCGGATGACCTCCAGACTCTCTTCGATGATCTGGTAGAAACCATCATTTGACTGCCTCACGGACGAGGCGCAAGTGTTGCGGACATTCGTTCGCGCCCACAATGTACTGCCTCATTACCGTCCATGCTCGTTTAGTGGGATCCGGATCCCCACAAGTCAAAGAGCCGCACAGCCACACCATGAATCTGCACACTCGCTTCTCTCATCCACACGATGATATTCACGTACCCGCCGTACTTCAAAACCAAGACCGACCGCACAGTCAGCAACAGCAACATTAGGGTCGAGGAAAGGGGAAAAGACGAGGAAATGGGCGGAGAGGAGCGTGAGAGGCTAATCGGATGCAGGTGTGGTGCGGTAGATGACGTAGTGTTGGCCACACGAGGAGACTTCTCACGTGAGATTAGCGGATGGAGTTGTATGAATCACCAAGTCGGTGCAAGGGAGGAAGCTGATGGGAGTCGTCATGTCAAACCAAGACTGCCATCACGGTCATGTCAACGCGCCGTCGCGTGCTCACGTGCTTTGTCAGGAACAAAACTAGCGCTGCCGATCGCCCCTGCCACCAACCCACTCTCTCTTCGTCTAGACATCATGTATTCTTCGTTCCCCGCAAAACCCACTCTTCGATGCCCACTGTACCTAGCGCCATACTGCTCCGGGGCTTCCTGAAACGTGTCCGCGCTGTCACTCCACTACTGCCATGTCGTCTAAACGTCATGTTTATTATGCACCTTACAGCGGCAAGTGCACGCGGGCGATACGTGATGTAGATGGCTCAATTAAGCCTTCACACTGCCGTGGGCTACCGCGGAAACAGCACAGCGAGCAGGCTGTAGGTAGCGCATCTTCTGCCGTAGCAGCATTCGGCGACGTACGCATGGCATCATGCCTACGCTTCGCTTCCTGTGACGCTGTCCGATGCTGACAAGTTCTGTGCTGATCTGACTGTCCTCTGACGACAATAACACCGTCCTGGCGCGTATATAAAACACCTCATCGCCCGCCTCACACTGGCATTGACTATCATCTGCAGCACGTCAACAGGTCCAAAACCACAGTTTTCTCACCAAACCTTACAACCATACAACATGTCTGGCAACGGCAACCCCGGAAATTTTGCCAACCGCCCCAAGGAAGAGGTTCAGAACATTGCCTCCAAGGGCGGACAATCATCCCACTCGGGTGGCTTCGCCTCTATGGACGCCGATAAGCAGGTTTGTATACCTGCTCTTTTTACGAATGGGAGATGTTAACAATCTGTAGCGCGAGATCGCTTCGCAGGGCGGAAAGGCATCCTCTGGATCGTTTGAGCCAGGCAGCGAAGCAGCTAAGGAGGCTGGCCGCAAGGGCGGATCGAAGTAAATAGTGTTGTGCCGATATTTCCGTTCAAAGCGACTTGAGTTACAATGATACTCAATCCATGTTACCAGTAAATTCTTGGCTTTGTGTGTGATATTGTTCTACTTCCCGAATGCAACGTTCCCTTGATCACACCCGCATAGATGGCCACCCTCCTTCGTTTCTTGTTATTCTAAAATTATAATATATTCGCACGCCAAATCTTTCTGATTGAACATTATGGATGCACACACATAAACACCTGATTGGAGCGTACCTTGCGCTTAAGACGTAACGTCCACTCCTCCAGGCATTGCCCCCAGCCACCCGTCGATCGGCTCGTTCACGACAACCGCTTCCGCACACATGTTCGCCTCCTCAATACTCTGCGTCTCCAATACCTGGCAATCAGTCCCACAATACCTGTCCATCGCTCTCTGTAGCGCATCGCCCTTCCACCCAAACATATAGTCTCCATGCCAACCATATCCGGTGGGATCGCCCATGCTAAAGACGAATGGCTGAGTCCCGTCTGCAGGCCATATTGATCCGTCGTTGAAGGCGGAAGTATCCCAGATTGTCTCGTAGAGGACCTGGGGGAGCTTGACGGAGTGTCTGGATTGCGTTAGTCTTAGTGGCTTCTCACGATGGAGAAGATCACATACGTGCTGGGACACTCCCACTCCGTCTCGAACGTCCCCTTTGACGGATACGATACGTGGCTCTTATGATCCGGACTATCCACGTTCACGCCATCCCAGCACGTGGGGAAAAAATTGTTCACCCGCAGCCCATACGGACACGGCTTTTCTGGCAAATGCCTGGTATCCCAATCACCGCCAATCTCAGAGTTTGGAGGCGCAGGGCCCCACGGCTCAGTGAAGCAGCGGAACGCTATGCTTTTGTATTCTTGGGTGTTTGGGCTTGGGGCCCGATACCCAGGGTCGCCGATGAGCATGCGGAAGCCCTGACCCCTTGTCAGCACATATACGCCGTCATCGGTGGGGCTAGATTTGACTCACGGGCTTGAATGCAGTAACCTTCGTCTTCTTATCGTACGGCGCCGTGTAATACACCGTCATGCCCCCTCTTTGCCTTTCCAGCCCTAGGTTCCCCATCAGCGGCACACGATGGAAACTCCCGTTTCGCGCTTTAAAGAATAACACCGCGGTCCAGTAGTTTGAGAAGTCTTCGGTATATGTGCATGTCGTGCAGGTGGCTTTTCCGGAAACGTTGAGGGATGGGTCCATGATGGGTGCGAGGGCGTTGCCGCCGACGAACTGGTGGAGGTGGGGGGAGGGGACTACACCGGGGGTCACGAGACTGGAAGAGTATTCATATTACGTTCTCGAAAGGATGGGTCTTGGTGGGACTTACGGATCGATGCGTTGGATGTTGAGCTCGGAACAGGAGAACCGTAGAAAATCTTTGAACGAGGGCCCCCCCGGGATTGGGTTGGACGTATTCTGCGCGCTAGCTAATGTGGCCATGAGCGCTACGAGAACGATGCCCATCGTTGACTGCATGTTTGTTGACTGGCCTTCCGACCGGACTGGAGACAAAACACGAAGAAGTCAGAGCAATGTGTAATGACCTGTGCATGCTCTAGTGGACCCCACATTGCATCTATGCAGGTGTGGCTTGGATCAAAGTGTTATGTGGGGATGCTGGAAAGGGCAGGCATATTGTCAATATGCTGTTTAGCCGATAGTGACGCTTGGATCGAAAATCATTGGCAAAACATTTGTTTGTAAAAGCAAGGCATCGATAAAGACTTTCTGATCGTTACGAATTTATGCTGTAAACAATGTGATATGCGATGAGAAAGTCCGGAAGCGGTAGGGTCGGACATCAGAAGTCTACACAACGATGTCTAGGAAAGATAGAATACATGCGTCAACACTAGAAGCGAGAAACGACATACGAACGTCGCAATGCAGGATATTAATGTGAGCAGATGCAAAAGAAAAACCACCAAGTGTATTCACACAGAGTAGGCTCACAGACGCGAAGAAAATGAGGTGCTTGGGCGGTCAACACCCATTGGCCTCAATAAAGAAACGAACAAAAAAACAGCTTAAGTGCAATCAGGGGTCGCAAGCTCGTATTCACCATCGCCGGCAACAACGTCTGGCCCAGGGTCCGGAAACTCCAGCTCGAATGGGTTGCCCTTGGAGTGGCAAGAAGCACCTGGAAAGTCAATGCTCAACAGCATATCGGGGCGACTGTTCCATGCCACTGCTTCGGCGCGTCGAACAGGGACGTTGAGCTTTTCGGCATTCTGCACATGGCGCTTGTGCAATTCAAGGACCTTGCGTTCAATGAGATGGCGCTTGGTGGTGGGCGACTTGCATTCGAAACAGCTGCAAGCGGAGGACCAGGTCTGATAAGGACAAGAGCAGGTGCAACCTTCAAGAGTGTATTGCGCGGAGTTTGTAGGCTGGGCGGATGAAGGCTGTGTCTGAGTAGGTTGCAGTGGAGGTTCGGGAGACTGGCTCTTGAGGGGCTGAGATGGCGCTGCGGACGACTGCTTCGGAACCGTGGAAGAGGTTGGAGAAGGCTTTGAAGCAGCGCTGCTAGAAGCTGGCTGGCCTCCAGGATCCTGAGACCCATCGGAACCGGCGATAGTTACAACGGCGCAGTTCATATTAAACTCCTTCTCCCGGTTAACCCACGTCCAAGCGAAGATAGTCCGGTCACCGCTTGGAAGGTCTGCCGGAATTGTGAAGTCAAAGGACTGTGTAGACGGATCAATGCTGCCCTCGCGATGCGGGCAATCCCCGTTCCATGTAGTCGCAACCTTGAAGGACTTGCCCTTGTCGGTGGAGAAGCCGACGCTGCAACTGCCCCCATAATGCGTTCCTCCTTTCACGTCTGTAGTAGAAGATCCGGATAGAGTGAAGTTGACCTTCTGACCGGGAGACCACGTGACGACCGGTTTGCCTTCATTTGTGTCTACGAGATCTAGGTGGCCCTTACAAGGACCCGGTACCTCTCGACCACAGCATCCGTAGTTGTAGTTGAGATACGGGTCGGATTCGCCCTGCGTGAAAGGATTATTCTCCCCTTTCAGTGTTGGGGGATAGTGAAGATGCATGTGCCCACTGCATAGCTGGGTGAGACCTGCTAGCGCAAGGAACAAGAGTGCGTTGATGTGCATGGTTTCGAAAAGTCTGCTGTTCAGGGTGCGTAGTGTTTGGCAAGGTTTTTCTTGAATGAGTGGAGAGAGCGCAGCGTCTCTATATAAAAAGAGCCGGAAAGAGACTAATGGAGAAGTCGCTCTGCACAACGCTAGGTGCCTCCGGGAGTCCCAACGTAGTCGATTGACAATGTAGCTCTCCCTTCGTCGCCAGCCAACGTGCGAAAAATGCTCAAAGTGGTGATCCACAGCAGAAAGAAGAGAAACGGCCCGACGCTCTGGTGAAGGAGAAGTACAAAGGAGTGAATGTCCGTCAAGGAAAGGAGTGTCTCGGTTCATGGGAGCTTTCACCTTTGGGATGGAAGCGCACTACTCCATAGCGCGTCCAGGAAATGCTATGCCGTAAGTTTTGGCCATGGTCTCAGCCATTGTACTACCTACATGCTGCTGAGTAGAGCGCTAAAGCGGATCTCGAGAGGGTCCGCAGCCAATATGGGTGCGCGAGGCACCATGGGTCGGATTGGAGGGCGGACCAGGTCTGCGTTTCGAAACAAAATAGCTGGAGCGTTTACAGCCAGCCGACGTGTTTGTGAGAGAGATCATGTTGATTGCTTGGTGAGGAAGTTAGACTCGCGTTTGGTTGTGGTTCCTCGCGCAGCGTTTCACGCTTTCCGCTTCCGTCATGGCGGCGCTTCTTTGAGCGCGAGTGCGGGTCCGTGGAGGAGACCTTATTCGCCTTTCCACCTTTGTAGAAAGTCATCTTGTAGACAACTAAACGGCGGATTTGAGAGACGCCCTTGCTGGTAATCACGGCAGGTGATTCAACTATGTAAGGCGATCTCAAACACCGCGCCGGCAGCCGGCTACGTACTCGGCCTTCCGTCGTCTATATCATGAAGAACATCCTAAGTCAGTGCCAGGTTTGACTTGAACCGAGGATAAGAACGTTTCTGTGTCTAACAATTTCGACGTTGCTTTGGGAGATGTGGAACAGTCGCTTATCACATGGTACTGTTCTGCCACTCCACAAAGTACGGCCGCTGATCAGTGTCGTTATCAACCCCTTATTTTGGCATTGCGTGGAAGCTGCTCTTGCTTCTGGAATGCGCCTTTGTCGAAATTGATACGAGTTCCAAGACTGTCTGAAGTGGCGGTTGTCGTGGCGCGGTCATGCTCAGGCACTCGGTACCGACCATCGCACAAGACACGGTCACGCCGGAATAACTATCCTGTTCGGATAACCCAACGCGTGGGGAAGCTTCGCGTTGAAACCAATGAGTCAATACCAAGACACTCTATGCGGACCTCAAATTTAGACGTAGTGCGTAGTTCAGGGCAGGCCGTCGATGAGTACCCTACGTTTTCTATTGCGGTCGTACCTCATCGTTAACATGGTCGAAGCTGCATAAATCGTACATGTAGGAAAAACGACCGCAAAGACATGACGGTTTCGAATTCGAGTTTTTACTTCTTGAGTAGACTCTCTAGCTCTGCCGCAACGGCGTCGCCCACCTCGGAGGTATTTGACTTGCCGCCGATGTCGCCCGTTCGGATGCCCTTGTCAATGACCACCTTCACAGCTTCATCGATCTGTTTCGATATTTCAGGGCGGCATAGCGAATACTTGAACATCATGCTGATAGAGAGGATGGTTGCAACGGGGTTGCAGATGCCCTTTCCTGCAATGTCGGGTGCAGAGCCTGCTGGGTATTAGCGAACGCAGCACAGCACTGCAAATTCAACAAAGCTTACCGTGAATAGGCTCGTAGATACCGTTGATGCGCGTCTTCCCATCTGGGATGCCGCCCAAACTGGCGCTGGGAAGCAGACCCAAGCTGCCGGGGATAACGCTCGCCTCGTCGCTAATGATGTCGCCGAACAAGTTGCTGGTGACAATAACGCCGTTCAGTGACCGGGGGTTCTTGATCATAAGCATCGCAGCGGAGTCAATAAGGTGGGTGCCCGATTGTAGGTTCGGGTATTCCTCCTTCATGATGCGCTCAAACGTCTTCCGCCATAACCGTGACGTCGCGAGCACGTTGGCCTTGTCCAAGCTCCAGACTGGCACCGGAGGGTTTTCCACGCTGGCGAGGTTACCCGCTAACCGGACGACACGCTCGATCTCTTCTACGCTGTAGGGCTCTGTGTCCATCGCCTTGCCATCGCCCTCGTCTTCCTTCCGGTCGCCAAAGTATATACCGCCAGTGAGTTCACGGACGATATTGAAGTTGGTACCGCGTGCGATATCAGCCTTGAGCGGCGACGCGTCGACCAATGAGTCCGAGGCGAAGAAGCAAGGTCGTAGGTTACCGAAGGTGCCTAATTCTTTGCGAAGCCTGAGGATGCCCTGCTCTGGGCGGACCGTGCCGGTTCCCCATTTCTGTGCATGTTAACGCGTGAGGGGACAATGAGGAACCTGTGGGAGGCTTACAGGCCCTCCGACTGCGCCGAGGATGATGGCATCTGCAGATTTGCATGCTGCGAGGGCTTCGTCGGTCAGAGGATTGTTATGCTTGTCTATCGAGCACTGTAGCTGTTAGCCATTTCAACGACAAGAGAAGGCTGGCCAGCGTACGCCTCCGAAAAGGTGCTCTTGGAAGGTAAACTTGATGTCGGTGGTCTTCTCGACTACTTTAAGAACCTGGAGTTGTCAATTGTCTGTGTAGGAGTGACGTGCTTGCCTGAAAGCCTACCTTGATGGCCTCTGCTACAATCTGGAAACTATGCGTAAGCTCTTTTCTATCTACAGTTGCATAGAGCTCCTACCTCAGGGCCGACGCCGTCACCTGCACCATTGGGTCAGCATCTACACTTGGAAAGCGACGGGTGGACATACCAGCAAGAACGACTATGTTGAAGTTGGACATTTTGCAAGAGGATGTGGGATCAGAGGGACTGTCGCGCGTTCAAAAACATTTCTTGAGATTGCCTGTGCTTACCCCACGTACCCCGCTACGAGCCGCGGCTTCCGGTATCGGCGCCAATCCTCGCGTCTCTGAACCGAAGACCGAACAGTGCTTCCGAGCGATGTCGCTCCGAATCCGAGACTCCATGGTACTTAGGATCTCCCTCCGATGTCCGGACTCGATGCTCCTCCCTGATATTGTGGAGACGCACATGTCCTTCAAGGCTTGCACACACACAACATGCAAGAAGTCAATCCAAGCTCTCCGCAAGTGCTATGGCAGAAAATCTCAGATCCCCACCCTTTTCCGCCTCGATCTTCATCAACCTCCCGAGACCTTTCTCCAGCGCGGCCGGGCTCAGTACATCCTCATCCTTCTCCAATGCTCCCCGATCTAGCGGTCCTTTCCTCGAGCCTTCCAGCTCCCACAGATGCCCATCTTTGCCTTTGACGAAGGTAACAAAGTGCTGCCCGGTATGCTTGTCCGACGCTGGCGTTGGCGCTTCGGTATCACCCAACTTGACCGCCTCTGCGTGCGCCTTCTCGAATGCGGACGATTCCTCCAGCACCTTGGCCCGCTCCGCCATCGCCTTCGGCAGCGCCTCTTTGCGGATCCGATCCAAGGCCGAACCAGGGTGTATACGCTTCGACGCGTCGCTGTTCAGCAGAGCGTGCGTGAGGCCAATAGACCCGCAGGCGTTCCCGATAGTCTGCGTGAACCAGATGACAGGCTCTTCCTCGCCCTTACCCGCGTATTCTGGCTTGTCTCTGTCCTCAGCTGTGCGGGCTTCGTTCCAGGTCGGCGTGAGGGGGATGATGACGAGAAGTGCGAGGGCGGGTCGTGGGATGAAGGCAAGGAGGTCAGGGTCGTCGAGCGAGTAGATGTCGTAGAACGAGAGCGATTTGTCGAGACCCAGGGCGTAGGCGAAATGGTTCATCACCTGCGGGTTATTCTCGAGGACTGCAAAAAGCTTCGGCATGGCTGCTGGCCCTTATGGAGCTGCGTGTGTGAGTGGAAGCTTCGTGCTGATACTGCTGCTACTGCTGCTACAAAGTACAAACTGCGTGAGTCGCGGGCTTAGTGGGGATCAAAGAAAGGTAGGCACCAGCGTGACGCGTTCTCGAAGCCCAGAGGCTTACTCGGGCGAGGCGTAGGCGGCTATGCCAGCAGGGCGCGTTGGTGACAACTCGTGGAAGGTCCTCACGTTGTGCAAGCACCAGCGCCCTGGAGCTGTTCCCAGCACTAGTGCACCTTCCCCGCCCTAGCCGCATCTAGCCGCGGGGTATGCACCCAAGTTCAATGTGAAGCTCCAAACCTGAACAGCTGGACTCTACAGTTTCGCAGAGTCGTCTAGTAAACCAGAACTTACGACGTTGTCCTCTTGTGTGCTTTCTGCATCCGCCCATCGTATTACAGCCTCGCTAGCTCGCCCTGTTGAACGCTCCTGCAGCCGCATCGGCTCTCCGCAGTTGTACCTGCTGCCATACATTAGCTTGCTCTTCGCATTCTGACTTCGTTCTTTTGCCTCCCATCTTCTCCCTGTTCTTCGTGTGACTACTCCGATTTAGCTTTCAATCTAGGTCAATTCCCTTACCCGCTATTGCTCTATCGATCGTGTTTTCCATATCACCACAATGGACGACGAAGCTCGACAAGCACTCGCCAACATGGCTATGCCTAGGCGGCCGATCAACTTCGTCCCAGCAAAGTCGGGCGAAATCCTGAAGCTGGGCCACATAACCTGCAGGGTCATGGAAGATGGTTCGCGGACCGGTAGGCCATCGCTCAATTCTCACTATCTTCCGTGCCCTCCCACATCCAACTGACTGAACAAGACAACCGTATCGGAAGTGCCGAATTCACCGTGCCAGCCGGAACCGCTGGTCCTCCTGCGCATTGGCACGAAATGCACGACGAGACATTTCTTGTCACGCAGGGCACCATACGCTTCCACGCGCCTGACAATACCATCGTTGATGCCAAAGCAGGCGACTACGTTACGGTACCCATCCGCGCGCCGCACACCTTCTCGAATCCCTTCCATGTTGAGGCCAAGTTCTTCAACACATTTACCCCTGCGTTTTACATCGACTACTTCAAGATTTTGGCCGAGGTCAGTAAGAGTGATACGAAAATGAGCAAGGAGAAGAATCTGGAAGTCATGGCGAGGTTTGCGACAATGCCAGCGAAGCCGCTCATGGACGAGGTTGCGAGGCAGAAATAGCTTTGGGTCCCTTGAGAAGACGCAGTCCCTAGTGATAATATGGCTCTCTACTCGTCAACCAAAATTTTCTAGGTGTCGCATCGTGTCTTGCGCTTTTCTCGAGGTAGTCAAAAGGCGTCAGACAACAGAACCAAAGAAGCGCACAAATTCACCAAATCGCTGATGAGAAGTTTCAGATTGCTGTACACCTGTTTCGCATGAACAAGCATCTACGACACCTTTCCTTAACGTCGCCTTTCTGAGCTCAGCGCTAGCCCAAGTCCAATGGCCCCCCACCGTCCGGTCATGTTTGTTCTTCAGCCACTAGTACAGAGAGCAACAGCATTCGTTAGCACTCAGGAGATAATGGATGTTGCACTCACCGTCTAGCGCAAGGGGAGCCAGTCAGTAGAAGTCTCACCCGAGGTCCATCAAGTTTCCCAACGCGGTTAACATCCAACATTATCCGGTGTGTCCATGTACTTACAGTGCATATAGATTGCCAGGACATCCTTAGCACCTTTATAAGCCTTTGTTCTAATCAAATCGAAGGATCAACTGCCACGAACTAAACCATGAATTTCCTCGGTGCAATCTTCTAAACCATCCTCGCAATAGCAGCTCTCAAATTCACCAACCGCCTTTACGCTTTCTACAAAACCCATCTCTCTGCCCGCACCCTCAATATGCCCATCGTTATTCGCCTAGAATCATGGCAAGACCCCCTATGGATGCTCTTCGCTTCCAAAATCCGGTACCTCCTTTTCTTCATCGCCCTATGGAACCCCAATGCCACAGACTACACCACCATCGGCTGGCCGCAGATCGACCGCGTCGCCTCGCACGCTGAACATGGCGCCGCTTTCGCCATCATCACACGGTTCAGAACTAACATCATGGTCTTGGGCGTTGATGCCGCGAGGGAGCCGTTCCCAAACTGGCAGGCGTGGATCAAAAACGAGGATGTGTACAATGTGTTTAATGCGTCTGGGAAGAACGTCAATAGTGTTAATGGTGGTGCTTGGTCGAGACATCGGAAGGTTACGGCGCCAGCTTTCAAAGAGGCGAACTCAAGGCTCGTCTGGAGGGCCACGCTCAAGCAGTTGACAGCGTGGCAAGGAAGTGGATGGACGAACACGAGATCACGCTACGCGGGCTCAGAGGCGACGCGGAAAAGATCGCGATGCATGTCCTCATGTCTGCGGCGTTCCGGATGGAGTACGATTTCGACACGGGCGTCGAGATTGTGGATCCAGGGCACGAGATCAGCTTTGGCGAGGCGATGCACACGTGCATCAATTCCTCGTCCATTATGCTCGCACCTGTGCCATTTGCTGTGGCGAAGCTACAAAGCGCCTTTATCCCAGCGATTTTGAAGAGATTATAAGTCGCGGTGCAGGAAGTGCGCAAGTTTCTCAAAGACGCTGTCGATGCGGAGAGGAATGCGTTGTGAACGGTATGCAGCCGCGGGATAACCTGATCAGCACGCTTGTACGCGCGAATGAAGAAGAAAAGTAAGGAGATCAAGAAAAAAGAGTAGCTCTAACCGACAGCGAGCTATACGACAATTTATTCATCTTCAACGTGGCTGGTCACGGGACGACATCTTCTCCAGCTTCCCATTGCTGGCTATATACCCAAGATTCAGAAATGGGTCAGGGCGGAAGTAGTACTTACTGAAGCCGGCACGCTAGACTACAGCGAGACCTTTCCAAGGCTTGTTTGTACCCTAGTATTGATGATACGTCTCCTCCTAGGCTGGGGGGTGAATGTCACTGACGTGTGATAGTATGAAACGCAGCGCTTCTTCTCCGCCATTCCGATGCATCCCAAATACACAGGCGACAGGAACCAAATCCTCAAGCTCAACAGCGTCGACACGAACGTCCCTCCCAAGAAGTTCGTATCGATCAACTACAACGCCATCCACTTCAGTCCGCAGTCTGGGGCTCCCATGTCAACGAATCTAGTGCAAGCCGATGGATCAAGCGCGAGCCTGGCAAAGAGCATTTCGCAACGCCTGATGGGGCGGAGTTTGTGGGCTGGTCGTCTGGACCGAGAGCATGTCCCGGTAAGAGGTTCAGTCAGGTAGAGTTCACTGTGGCGATTGCAAGACTGTTGAAGGAGTGTGTTACATAGCCAGTGAGAGCCTAGGGTGAATGAATGACGCAGGCTATGGAGCGATTGAGATTGAGGGCCTTTGACGTGGAGCATTCATATCGTTGAAACTGAAGGATCCTGATGCCGCAGGAATCGCGTATGTCACGCGGACGGACGCGTGATAGACTGAACTTCTCCATCGTTGACGCTTCGGTGTAATGTCTGGTCTATATTAGTCTCAACCCCTGGATCGGCATCACTGTTGAGAGGCGGGGGTTGCCCGGTTGATTATGAAATGGCATGTGAAGAGGACACTCGTTGATTGCTTGTAGTTCATGTGAGCGAATCACATAGCCAACACAGGCTTTAATGCGCCATTATCACCTCCCATTCACAAGAGAGTAAGAATACAAGTCGGCCTCTTCGTCGTAAATCTACGCGCGTTCTCCTTGCAATCTAGATGTTCTCTTTCCTGTCGTTGCGCAGATATGCATCACAAAGAAACCCAAATTGCTTCTAAACACCCCGATCCGGCTATCTCGATGCCCTTCCTACTCCTTTTCATCGTTGTCGCGACCTTCTTCATCTGGTGCTGCTGTGTCGGCGCCTGGCTGGCACGCCTGTGGTACTACGATGGGCAACTCCACCGCAAGTTTCTCAAGTACGATATACAACCTCAGTACATCCGCGAGCGCCTTGTCCGCGAGGAAGAGAAGAAACCACGCCAAAGTCAGAAAGTTGTAGACGTCCCACGCTGGCACCGCGACGTCACTACGTTGAGCTTCGAGAGGGTGCAGGAGTTCGACAGTTCGAGCTTGAGACACCGAATCTTTGAGAGCAAGCGCATCTCAAGGCTTCCAGCATTTGAGCAAGACGATGGTGGCGATGGGAGTGGATTTCCCGATATGCCTGTGGATATGACGGCTGACGAATATAACGAACAACACTTCCCTAGGCGTTATAACTTTCGCGATCTTGGCCTCAGTGGGCTGGCTCAAGATGATTGGCTGACATACTACCATGATGAGCAGATTACAGCGCGCGACCATTTACTAGAAGTTCGCCGCGAAGATTGTATTCAGATGCGTCCCGGTAGAGAGGCTGAAGACGCATGCGGAGAGCTATGGCAGGAGGTCGCAAAGTTCTTGTCAACAAAATATCCAATGCGTTTCTGGGAACAGAAAGAGAACGCAGAGAGAAAGCTATACGATGATGACACACGTGAGAGCTACCCGCTGGGCGGACCGTTTGGGTGGCTTACACTGGACACCATGGCGCGACTTGTCCGCGAGGACTTCTGCATTTTCAGCAAAAGCCCTTTCTCGGCTCAGTTCACCTTGTAAGTAGTTAGTTCATTAAGCTTTGGCACACATATTATTGATATAGACAGACTGGCAGGCACGACATGTTTTCCATCTGGATGGCGTCTCAGAGCCCGAGTCGGCCATTCCATCGAGAGCCAGCAAGAGACCATTCTACCCTGGGAGAGTAGGTCGTGCAATAAAACCTATGCAACTACTTCCTTGCTTACTTTATTCAGAACTTCCGGAGATTCTCACCTACATTGATGAGCTTCGTAATAGACCGCTCTACAAGCGTCACGTCGCATTTATCCAGACGGTTCGCCCGTCCGAATCCGATTATACGAAGAAGTACTTCATCCAGGAAAGTAAAGACTTCTTCTCTGGCGACATCAGCTTCCTTCAGGCAGAAAGTTTACACGCGCGTATTGAACAACAAATGTTTAGAAAGCTGCCAAAGTCGGGCGCTGTTGTGTTGACGACAAGAGTGCAAATCGAACCGTTAGTGCGTATGGAGGAAAGGAAGTTGAGGCATCTGGCGAAGGAAATCAGGAGCTGGCCGGCTCATATTGCGAGACTAAAGGGTCGGGACCTTTGGGGAAGAGCCGTGCTTGGTTTCATTGAGCAATTTCCCATGGCGCACGACGATGCGTCGGTTATGGATGCGGGCGAGATGACGGAGCCTGGTGATGATATTGACAGAACGTCGTTCACTGAGATCCCATGAGGATGCACAAGGTGGTCTGACGTTCCCTCTGCTCATAAATTCGCAATCACTCCGAGGGGTTAAAATTTCTTAGTCTTGCGGCTTGATCTCCCCTCAGTATGAATATTCTCAATGCTATTTAGCTATTCTTAGTTCTCCGTATCACCCAAGTACGGCCTGCGTGAATTTAATGGGGTATGTGACAAGAGCGAGAGGCGGCCTTCCGGTGTAGAACGGTTAATGTGGGGTGAACTTGATGGCCTTCACAGCTGTGGGTGGAGGTAGCATCCTATAGGTGGATTAATTGTCCAGGATGACTGCGAGCTCATCATTTTCGATAGATCCAGAGGAGTGAAAATAGGAGACAGCGTAACTTATTGATCTTGACAGGACATAGTTTATTAGAATAATGTCCTCAAAGTTCTGTCAGATGAGGCGAGGCGCTAGCGGATGAAAATTCTTGGCGTTGCCGACCAAACTGAACTTTTTCTGCCGCGCGACCTCGACAGTGCAACGTCGACTTCAAGTCGAACGTACATTTTGCGATAGTTCAATCTGTATCAAGAGCATTATAAAGCAAAATAGTACCTCGCATTTTCGCCAAAACCCACTACAAACCTACACAATGGCGCGCGACGACGACTTCATCTTCACCATCTCCGACCACGAGGATGTTTCTGACGATGGCGCCGGACAGATGGATGAGCCTTCGAAACTGGCTGGTCGCGGAAAAAAACGCAAGCTGGACGACGCTGCGCTGGTGAAACCTAAAGAGATCCAGCAGTCTAAGAGGAGTAAGAAGAAGGGCAAGAAGGCGAAAGAGGCAACGCCAGAGCTCGAAGAGGTCGACGACAATGAAATCATCGAGCCTGTCGAGGTCGCTGACGATAACGACGATATTGCGAGCGACTTCGAGTTTGCGCCGGGTGACGTCGACATTGGCTATATTGAGGACTTCGACGGGTGGGGCAACGATGCGGCAGCGACACAGGAATCCAAGGATAGGAAGGGCACGGCTGTCGATGTTGACGAGATCATCGAGCGGAGACGCAACAAGCAGAAGAAGTCGCAGCCTGCGGAAGATTTGGACGATGCAGGAGAAGCCGAGGCCGATTTCGAGGGCTTTGGGGACGACGATGAATTGCTGGCCGATGATGCGTTCGGCATGGGCGCGGAAAGTGAGGATGACGAAGACGCAGACGAGGATGAAGAGGAGTCAGAGGTAGACGAAGATGACAGTATGCAGAACGCGGAGCCAGGTGCAGACGATTCGGACAACGAATCTATAGCTGCGCCCGTCGCACATCCCATGGATCTCGAAGAGGAAGAGTCGGATGAGGATAGCGAACACGAGGAATCTGCGGAAGCGAAGAAGGCTGCCGAATTCTTCGCGCCAGAGGAGAGCGTGAAGACACAGAAGAAGAAGGGTGCAAAAGGAAACGCATCGTTCCAAGCCATGTCTCTATCGAGACCTATACTTAAAGGTCTTGCATCCGTGGGCTTCACTGAGCCTACTCCGATCCAGTCAAAGACTGTGCCGATTGCGATGGAAGGCAAGGATGTGGTGGGAGGAGCCGTCACTGGTTCCGGTAAAACCGCTGCGTTCCTGATACCAATCCTCGAGCGTCTTCTTTACCGACCGAAGAAGATTCCTACTACTCGCGTTGCTATACTCATGCCAACGCGTGAGTTGGCAGTGCAGTGTTTCAACGTCGCACAGAAACTCGCCGCTTTCACTGACATCACCTTCGCACAGCTCGCTGGTGGTTTCTCCTTGCGTGAGCAAGAAGCTGTCCTTCGAACGAAGCCCGATGTTGTCATCGCCACTCCTGGTCGATTTATCGATCATATGCAAAATTCGGCAGGATTTCAAGTCGAAAGTCTTGAAATTCTTGTTCTAGATGAAGCCGATCGTATGCTTGAGGAGGGTTTTGAGAGCCAGCTGAACGAGATCTTGACGACGATTCCGAAATCAAGACAGACGATGCTTTTCTCAGCTACCATGTCCACATCAGTTGATAAATTGATCCAGATTGGCATGAACAGACCGGTGCGGCTTATGGTTGATTCTAGAAAGAACACTGTGGCCGGTCTTACCCAGGAATTCGTCAGAATAAGGAAGGGTAAAGAGGACAGGCGTCTGGCATATCTGATGTACATCTGTACCAAGGTATACACCGACAGAGTTATCATATTCTTCCGGCAAAAGAAAGAAGCCCACCGCGTTAGGGTAGTTTTTGCGCTATGTGGGCTCAAAGCCACCGAACTTCATGGCAACCTGACCCAGGAACAGGTAAGCCGTCGTCAAAGATCCAATACCATACCTTCACTGACAGATACTTCTAGCGTATCCAAAGTGTGGAAGCCTTCCGTTCTGGCCAGGCAAGCTATCTTCTCGCGACTGATGTCGCTTCTCGTGGTCTCGATATCAAGAACGTCTCAACAGTCATCAATTACGAAGCTCCTCAAACGCACGAGATCTATCTTCATCGTGTTGGACGTACTGCGCGTGCCGGACGTAGTGGACGGTCTTGCACGATTGCCGCTGAGCCTGATCGAAAAGTGGTTAAACAGGCTGTCCGATCATCTCGCTCGCAAGGCGCAAAAGTGGTCAGCAGACAGGTACCACAGGAAGAGTCGGATAAGTGGACTCAAAAGCTGAAAGAGTTCGAAGATGAGATCGAGGAGGTGTTACAGGAGGAGAAGGAAGAGCGCGCTATGAGCATTACTGAACGCGACCTGAAGCGCGGAGAGAACTTGATCGTTCACGAAGATGAGATCAAGTCTCGACCTAAGCGAACATGGTTCGAATCGGAGAAAGATAAGGTGGCGGCGAAGGAAAAGGGAGCTGCTGTCCTCAACGGCCCTGCGAAGACGGACAACAAGAAGAAGGGTAAGCTAAGCGGAAAGGATCGCAAGAAGCTAGATCTGAAAGACGTCCGGTCGGAAGGTAGGGTGTGGAAAAAGGGCAAAGAGGAAAGAGGGAAGAAGACGCTAAACGGAGGCAAAAGTGCGCCAGGAAAAGGTAGCCAGGGCAAGCCCAAGGTTGGAAAGCGACGTTGATCGTAGACGGGCTGCTTCATAGACCTGACAATGCAACCTTTGATACCCGCTCCGATATGACTCTCGTGGGAGCGGCGCGTGTGGCCGGGGCCCCGGGGTGTATAGGGACACGTGATCGTGGTGTTTCCATCCAAGGTTCCAGGTTCAAGTCCTAGGTTTCCTTACTTCACAGGGTAGGGCTGCCAAGCCCGGTTAGACCGGATTCGCGGAGGGCGGCGGAGGTGTCGGAACAAAAGTGCAGAGCCAATTTCACGTCTCACCCTGTGCGCCTGCCTACTCTGCTCAGCACTCCAGGCATACGCTCCTTCAACGGTACGAAGATTCGTACCTTTCAACCTTCTGCACTCAACCCTTGCAAATACTCACATCCCGCCCGCACCACCGATCACACCACGGTCGCCGAGAACCCTGCCCACGTTAGCTCCTCTTATCCGCTTATCGTCGTCTCCTGGAATAACTTTGAGCACCGATCCCAGCGCGAGTCCCGCCGCACGTTTCCGCATACCTTCCGAATACACTTGGCGGGTTGGCCCTTGGGGTGTCCAAAGGCGCGAGCACACGTACATCGGAGCTTAGGAACTAGCGGACGACGCTCGGTCAACAGCGTTGCGCCTCAGGAAACTCTGCCGTGGGGTGACCTGCACAACTCGAACCGGAGCATTAGCAGAACTGCTACATACACGTCGGAAAGACCATTCGGTGCTCGAAATGCCAGAAACACGCTCAATGGCCAACGGCAACGGAGCCACCGTCAGGAGCAGGCAACCACCAAAAGAGGAAGCGGAAGAGAACATCTTTCTTTTCTATCCTAATTTAATTGGTATGAACCCTTTAACCTCTTTTCTCAGGCCTTCCCAACTCACTTTCGTCTAGGTTACGGCCGCGTCCTCCTCGCCGTCGCTTCCCTCTACTACATGCCGCTGCATCCCCGCACATGCGCAACCGCATACAGCATTTCCTGCCTCCTTGATGCTCTCGACGGGATTGCCGCGCGCCACTTCGAACAATCCACCAAGTTTGGTGCGGTCCTCGACATGGTGACGGACCGCTGCACGACCTCGTGTTTGCTCGTCTTCTTGGCGAGTGCCTTCCCGCGCTGGAGCATCGTCTTCCAGATTCTGATTTCCCTTGACCTAGCGAGCCACTATATGCATATGTATGCGACCCTAAGCATGGGCGGAAGCAACCAAAGTCATAAGAAGATCGATGAGACGAGGAGTTGGGTATTGAAAATGTACTATTCGAACAACGTACGTCTCGATAATTTGTTTGAGAGCATCAAGAGCTAAGACAAGAGAGCTAACACGTGTACAGAAAGTTCTTTTCACCTTCTGCCTGTTCAACGAGCTGTTCTTCATCGCGCTCTACCTCCTCTCTTTCTCCTCGCCGTACCTTTCGCCTACGCTCTTGAAGGACCCCCAGGCCCCGTCCTCACTAAACGTCGGAACACCTGCGTTGCCGAAGCCGTCTATGATCTTTACGAGCCCCTGGTCGGCGGGTGCCATGGAAATGGCGAGGTAGAAAATCCCATATATGTTGTGCCGGAGAACGTGGGCTAACAATTCCTGATAGAGCCAACAAAATGGACTCAACCGTTCCGTGGATTCTTTGCATCGCATCGTTTCCCATCATGTTTGGCAAGCAGGTGATCAACGTGGTACAGCTTGTCAAAGCCAGCAAGTGGCTCGCTGAAGGTGACCGAGCAGAGAGGAAGAGGTTGGGCCTCCCGCGCCGTGGCTCGAAGAAGACGCAGTAATGGAATCGCGACTTCGAGGCGAGAAAGACTTGGAACGTGAAAAGCCATGCATAAGTGTAGGACTACGAAGAAGGCGGTAAGGTTCAAGCAGATGATCAGACCAAATCAGTCTTGACGGCGATTTTGGGTTTACGAGCGAGCATTAAATGGATTTGGTGCCAATTAAGGGGACATTTCTTGTATGTTCTTTTCTTCTTTCGCTTTCGCTTTCGCTTTCCCCATTTTATGACATATCATTCGCGTAGGGGCCTCTTGTAGAAGGATTGGGTAGGGCTCTGGGCTCGGACAGAGGAGACGCCGGTGTGCACTTGGCACAGTGAATGAGAAACTACATATCGAACTATACTACCTAATGCTAATTCATCACACAAAGCAATACTATCTACAATCCTTGCGTGACAGTCTCACGAAGAAAGCGCCCTGGCAACACCCATAAAGTCCACCCAGGCCAACTCATCACAATCCCCCTTCGCCTTCCCAACAGACCGAATGATACCAGCACCCAAGACACGAGTCTTTCTTCACAGGCTCAGGCGGGTAAGACCACTCTCCGCAGCAATACAGTCCGAGAACGCAGGCTCCTACCCTCATGCCTTGGCCACCGCACACGCATTAGTCTCTTTGTCTCTCCGTGTACATCTCAGAGAGCGCGGTGTCTGTACCTGGGCGAATTGGGATACCAGCTGAGGTAGGGGAAATACAGCAAAAAGTGCTGACATGACCAAGGTGAAAGCCTTCATCTTGGCGATGTGTGACTAGAGATTAATGGTTGCTGATCTGGAGGAAAACAAGCTGGTGTGCGAGGTGAGGGGAGAAAGAGGAAATGAAGGATCGGCCCATATAGGGAGCGACTTTCTCTCGACACATTTTTCAAGTCCAGTCTCCTGCTCAACGAGCGGCCTCACGCGAGGACACGTGCGTGAGCTCCGCATGGTGTTGATGCAGATACCTGTGCCGCCCCTGGGATGATGTTGAAGACAGATGTTTTGCCGGCCGCAATGTTCTCAATCCACTCATCCACTGTAGGCCCATGGTTCTTACGACCAAGATCAGTTCCACTTAACATCTATATTCAGTCGGGGATCTTAGTTAAAATTGAGGAATAAACAATACGACGTGCTTGAGGGGGTATGCTAAAGCTAGAAGCTAAATATCTCGTCTCATCAAAACTTCCTAGACTCCGTGTGTACTTCATCCAACCCCTATCGTCCTCAATATCACCTACCCAGATCGCTACCACATCAAGATATCTAGTGAGGTATTCGCAATTATCTTATCGTTCCTAGTAAATGTGCACCCAGAAAGCAAACTTTTGGCCAAGCCCAAGTATCCACACATGCGCGTCACAAATGAACTACCTGAATCGGGCTGTGCAACGACCCATGACTTCGCCTTGGCACACGAGCTCAGCGTTGAATTCGGAACCATCGAGCGTGAGGTAGATGTCGAAGTACACACGGTAGAAGGTACCTTGGGGCGTGTCCATGCGCTCGAAGTCCTTCTCGAGGTTCTTTCGGGAGAGATCTGATGTGAGGGTGACCACTTCCTTAATGCCTGCAGCTTGTTAGCATAAACCTACACTGGAAGTTTGACTGCACCTACGTGGGTCCTTGGTATATTCTGGGCAAACATCGTCGTCACAAGCGTATAGTATATCTTCGTACATAAGCGTCGCGCCGGGCGCCACCTGTCTGAAGAAGGAAACCTTGACAGGCTCGCCAATCTTGACACGTTGGCCCTTTTGCACGAAAATTTGTCGGGTGTATTTGCATCTGTCCTTGCCGTCCAGCGACGGAACACGGTACTGTTCGGGGTGGTGACCCTCTTTGAAAGGCTGCAAGGTAGCCATAAGATAATGCCGTCGAGCAACACGGTGAGTAACGATTCGCTCGGTGATACCGGCTGTAACGGCACCCTTGACGATAGCAGCGACGGAATCCATGGGACGAACGACTTTGGACTGGAATTGGGGCGGCACGTGGAGCTTGATTTGTTGAAAGAGGTACTCGGACGCACCGAACCCCCCAACAACGAGCACGTTCTGCACCGGTCAGAAAACTATCACTTGCGTTATCAAGATGTGCACATACCTGTAGTGATCTGTTCTGTGCCTGGATTGCGATGATCTGGTTCCGTACCAACTCCAAGATTCGGTTCACGACGGGTTCGAAACACTGCAGGATCTCCTCGTTGGTGAAGGTCATGTAGCCTTCCTCGATCCCGGCCTCAGGGAACTCGGCCTCAATGCCGACATCAACAGCCCATTTCTGGCCGTTGTTACGGAAATCAGCCTTTATTCTGTTCTCGAAATCCATGATACACTTAGCATAGACCTTGCCCGCCGTTTTCGAGCCGTCAGGCAGCTTCATCTTACGGATCTTGGCTCGTAAAATGTTGCTGAAGTTGCGGTTCAGAGCCGTTGAACCGCACGAGTCACCGGATCCAGCTGTGCACTCGGCTACGGAGAAAGGTTGCTCTTCCTCAACCTCGTAAGCGATCAAATCGACGGTACCACCACCGCAATCGACGATTAGCACGGCATCGTGCACCTTGACGTTGAGCAAACCAGTCTTGGTACAGAACATGGCGGCAGCTTCGGGCTCGGTAATCAGAGTTAACCTATTGTCGTTCTCGTCACGCAGGAAACCGGCCTGGATAGCCGCAGCACGTGTTGCGGCCTTACCCGCATCGTTCCAGATGGCAGGCACGGTCAGGTAATACCGGATGTTGCGCTCTTCCCTATTGAATACCTCGCCCAGCGTCTTCTGCAGCTGGTTGCGCATGGCCTGGCGCAGGTGGAAGAGGTAGTCGGCAGCGACATCGATTTCCGACTTGCCCGGGGGAAGCGGAGGTAGGTTGATGGGGTCGATGTATGTGTTTCCGGACAGCATAAGCTGCAGCTTGAACCATTCGACTTTTTGCACACCAGGCTTAGGGTAGCCCGTGGGGGCCAAGGCGTCAGCGATATCAGGGCCCCAACCCACAACTTTCTGGTACTGGTCGTAGTACAGGACGGTAGGAATCTGCGGGTCGCATTAATACGGAGGATGCAGCCGAGTGTGAGGGTCATACCTTCTGCTTTGTCTGGTTGCCCGCACCGGGCCATTCGGTGATGATGTCTTCCTTGGCTTCAGTGTTTGTGGCGAAGGCGAAAGCGACACCCGAGAAGGTGGTTCCCTGAAGGATTTGAAGTCAGCGCCCGTGCCGCAGGCATGCATACGGCCTGAATAAAACTCACAAAATCGATGCCCACGATCAGCTGGGCCTTGGAGCGACCCTCGCCCGCGACCTCTGCCATGCCGCCGCCAGGCCTGTACTGCAGCTGCTGGCTAGGCGGGACCGGCGCACCATAGGGCTGCTGTCCTGGCGGTGGAGCGCCTCCGTAGCCCTGTTGGGGAGGGTAGCCAGGGGGCCCGCCCTGCGGTGGGTAGCCCATGGGCTGGCCATGCTGCGGCGGGTATCCGGGGGCGCTGCCCGTGTTGATGGGCGGCAGCGGGCTGTTGGGACGGCCTTGTGGCTGCTGTCCGGGCTGGAGACCGCTGGGCGGCGCGTACGTGTACGAAGGAGGGCGGCCGAGGGGGTTGTTCGGATTCATGTTGGACTGCTGCTGGCCTGGGCCTGGCTGGGGCAGGCTGTTGGTGCTGGTGTTGGAGGGCTGCGGGGAGAGCGAGTTCGGGCGCTGCGAGGGCGTGGTGCTGCCCTGGGGCGAGGGCGAGGGGTTGTTGGACGAGCTTCTTCGTTTCGAACCCACTAGGTTCTTGAAACGAGCATTCATGGAGTTCATCAGCACGGAGGAGGGAGGAACGAAGGTGGTGGGGTGTCGGGTGTTAAATTGGAAGCACGCTGCGGCTGATACAAGGCTGACAGAGCTAACTCGAAATCCTGTCCCGCTTCAGCAACAGAGTCGCAAAGCCCCAAAGCGAGCGGAAACGGCAGTGGAGGCGCAGCGATTGGGCCGTTGGGTGCGCAGTTGGACGTGCCCGGCGGCAGCGAGAAGGACGCTCTCGTGTGTTCGCCGCCTGCCCCTCCAGGTACGGCGTAATATTCAAGCCGCCTGTCGGGTTGCCGCCACGGCCCTCACGTGCGTCAGGCGTGCTCTTTGTGCCCATTCCATTGTCGTCGGACTTGGACACCACCAGTCTGGCATCGACAGAGGGGACGGCTCCTTGTCCTCCGCCCCTGCCTAGGGCAGCAGCACACGATGGGCAAAAGGTGGGATGCTCACTAGTCCTTGTACCTTGTAAGGCTGCTCACTCAGCCTAGACCGATGGCAGGTCGGATACTCTGGGTCCTACTGCTTCGGCTTCTCGAATCTGCTACCGCCGCAGAGACCCAAAGATGCAAAGTCCTAGAGGCCTAAAGAGCCAAAGACGCAAAATGCATGTTCCACTCTCCTGCATGGAAACCGGTGAAGACGGCGGTAGCGTCTGCGGTCTACAGCTGGTAGGACAGCACGGCCAACGACGTCGCCGCTCCCCGGCAGGGGTCTTCTGCGCCTGCTTAACGAGCATGGCAAGATCAGCGCCTGTCCTCCGTCTGCTGGTCTACATCTTCTTTACCTCCACTTGCCAAGAGCATAGGTCTTGTTGCAACCCTATAGCAGGGAAGTGAGTTTCCATGGCTACTCCTCTGCCAGGCAGTAGCCACCCAGCCGTCCCAACGTCACTGCCAGTTCGGAATTGTAATACGTCTCCACTTGTCCGTTCGGATTGACACGTCACGCAACATGTTGTATATTTGATAAGTTGAGACTCTCAAGAGGCATATACGCATCCAGTGCGATTGCAACCATGCCTCCTCAAACAGGCAGACAAAACTAGAACTCGCTAAAGCGAAACCGCCCCATGCTTTACCTCCTTGTTCAGAATGTTGATATGGTCGCCCATGAATCACCTTTTCCCATTTCGCCGCACCCAATGCATCACAAACAAAAGAACGCCCGCTCTGACCGTGTATGATGAGATTGACGCTAGGAAATGACCCGTACACTGCGGGCGGGTGCTGAAGAGGAGCTTTTCCATTTTCGTCGTTTGCCGGCCTCTGTTAAAAGTTGGTTTTGTGGTGCGGTGAAGCAGCCTTTTCCACTTTTTTTTCTGGTTTTGTTGTTCAAGTAGCCGCAGCGAACCGGCATGCGTATACGGCATCGGACCGCAGGCCGGAAATGGGGTCGTCGTGTAGGAAGCTACTTGCTTTGAACCGCTTCAAGGCGGTCTCGGCAGTGGTAAACTTGATCTCATAGCGGTGTGGTGTAACCGCAACTGTGAGTAAGATTCTTCCAGAAGAGCTTGGTGCTCGGGTCCTCTCTGTAGGATAGAGCGCCGGATATATGCAAATCTAGCTGCTAGCATATTCATGCAGGGGTCGACATGGGGATGCCGTTGACATCTGAGGCTCGCTTCTTGCTGGATTTCTCGCTGTCCTAGATTAGCAAAAAGTCAGTATATGTATTCAGACTCGCCTCTCACGGCGTTTCAATCAATTGGGGGCACTTTGCAATTCGCACATTACGCACTTCGATACCAGTTTCGGCGAATTGACGCTTAGCGCTCTTAGTGCCGTTGGTCTTCTTCTTGTCGTCTTTCTTATGCTTGACCGGTTTCGCCGGCTTGGTTTCACCCTTCTCGAACAAGTCGTCAGGCAATTCGTAGCTGTATCTGTTAGCAGATATACATGGAACTTATTGCTACCCACTAACCAACGTGTGTATACAACCTTCGTTGCCATAGAGTCCCTATCAAAGACATCTTCGTCCTCTTCGACGTGACGCTTATACTCTGAGACGGGGTAGGAAATATCGAGCTTCAGCTTGGATTCTCCAGGTACGGTTTCCAAGCCAATATACCACGTTGAAGTGTATACAGTTGTCTTTTGGTCGCCACTCTTCGATCCTTCTTCCGCAAGAACCTGATACTTTGTGCTGCCTTGCCTGACTTCATCAATCTCTGTATCGCTAGCGCAGCGGTGCACTCGATCGACGCCCTTCATGTAGACGCGCAACTGTTTGATGCCACCAGCGTTACCATTCTCAATGTTCTTGGCCAGAAGCCGGACCTTGGATTGTGCTTTTCCAGAGAATGCATCGAATTTGTCCTTGTCGCCAGATGAAGAAGCAATGACGCTGAGGTAATATTTGTGATCCTGTGTAAAGAATGTATGTCGTCGAAACAAGTCGGCCCAAGACTTGGTTCCGCTCGGAATTGCCGTCACAATCGCGTTTGCGCGTTCAAACTCCTTCTTCATGATTGCAAGAGTTGAGTGTGATACGGAGTGAGTGGCACACATGGAAGGATAGGCGGGAGTGATGACGGGCATCAAATGCAGCTTGTCCGAATAGTTCTGCAGAGGGTTCCAAATTTGAAGATTTAGGATATTTGACGTTTCCAGGTCTTTCAGCATAACAGGGCGTGGCCAGTTCCATTGTTGCATGAGAGCAAAAAACTTGGCAATGATAGTGGATCCGCATGCGAAGGGATACAGTTGACAAACGCGAGCTACCATGAGAGCCCAGGCTATGCCGCCAGGAAAGCCGAACACAAATCCGTACACGGCACGTTTGTTTGCCCAAACTTTGATCGCACGAAGAGCATGCCTGAATGACTGGGCCTGAGGAACGAGCTCGAGTAGCTCCTTCGCCGTCCGGACACCATTCACACTTCGTATAGTCTGGTCGTCCAAGCCTCGCAAAACGCTCTGGTCATGCAGCTCAAAGTCTCTGGGAATCGACGATTGCGAGGGCAGCGATGCAAAGATCAGATCGATGTCAACGCCATCGTATTCCAATTTGATGATGGGTACAAAGGCATCCGGCACCTCGACAAAGCTGTCAATTAGCTTTGGATCGGACATTTCTTTGAACGTTGGCCCAAAGTGGACGAAGTAATCGTGCACGTCAACACTCTTGGGTGCGACGACAAGGGTATCGATATCGGAGTCGGGGCCATGAACACCTATGGTATAGCTGCCGTACGTGAAGACCTTCCCACCAAGATTGTCAATGGTCGATTTGGGCAAGTTTTTGCTGCGGCCGACGCGCTTGACGAATTCTTCCGTCACCTTTTGGAGGTGTTTGAGCACACGATCCCTGGCAAAAGTCAGCAATGGCACAGTGTGTAGGATACTGAGGACATACCGCCGGTCATTGCCCTCGGGGGTCTCGAAGTTGTTGATGCTCTTCAAGTACTCGATCAGCTGCTCGTTGGCTTTGAGATCCTTTGGTTCTGGCTTGGCCTCAGACAAAGGGTGCGTGATGCCCCATTTCTTCTTTGGCTGGGCGTCGGTCATTATGGGCAATTGAGAGCAGGCGCGCAGGCCGGCAAAGAGCTCGGAGGTGCTGCGGAGCGCAAGCGGCTGAATCGCAGCGGGCGGATTGAGCGCGTATCGAAAGGCTGGTCGTGGGGGAGAGTGCTGAGCCGTGGCGGGCTATTTCGAGGGCTCCCGCATGGCGACGCGATCAGCAACGGGCACTGAAGAGTGAATGAACGAACCTTGTCTGCACGTCGCTGCCGTTGGCTTCACGGCGCAAGAGCCAAGACGGCATGCGCCACTCGCGCATAAGCCACACCAGCTGCATGGAGCACGCTTCCTTGCTCAACACGACCAGACCAAAACACCCACACCCGCGGGATGCCGTCTTCCCGATTCAACCCTCATTTGTCCACGGCGTTCCATCTGTCACACAAGAGCGCGCTCGTCCTGCTACCGCCGTCCACGTCCAGGCGCCGATAGAATCTGTGCGCGGCGCGTACACGACGAACATTTCGCGCGGTAGCTTACCCACATAAACCTCATCTATCCGTTCTTTGATCTACCTTCCGCGCAAAGAAGGCGCCACTTCGCCAGATTTGAAAAAGGACATTCGCTCTCGTGTCAAGAAAGTCACAAAGATTACCGAACCATTTCATATGAATCCAGTGACTGATGCGCCCAAATCCTTTATACACAGCACAAGCTCCAGAACAGTATGGCTGCAATCCTCTTCCGATTTTGTGACCAGACTGCAGGCGGCTCTTCAGACGGAATTCTCAGAGTGCGATCATGACAAGAGGCCCTTCGTACCACACCCGTCGCTGGGCCGAGCAAGGTCCGATGCTCAGCAAATACCAATTTGCGAATTGCTTAACAAGAAGGTTTCAAATCATCCGACTAGCAGCGAGATGCAAGGACTGCACTGGCTCGTCGATACGGTCTACCTATGTCATTGAACGTAAAGGCTACAACGGTCGTTTCAACATCATCGGTGGTCTTACGCTAGGAAAAGTGAGCTAGCAGTTTGTTCGGCGGAATTCGTCCCGCAGTGGAACCTCAATTACTCGCGAAGAACTCCCGCAGTTGTTCGTCCAACCATTTTACATCTTCCTTGCTGTCTCCAGGCCCTCCAGCCCAGTGGCCCCAAATACTGGGGATGACTTTCAGCGTGCCGACGCCCGGCCTCATGTTCTGCACTTCGATCTCCGAATCCTCTGGTGGGAAGTAGAGGTCAGTTTGAGCCGGTAGCACCAGCGCTTTCGCCTTGATCCCTTCCATCGCCTTCGTAAAGTCCCCGTCGTATGGCTCTTGTTTCGAACAGTCTCCGAGTTGCCACGTATTCGCCATGACCAGCATGTTCTCTGGATCTTTCGAACACGCCCATGCCTCCCAGAACTTGACCATGAAGTCCTCAATGTCCTTGAAGCCTAGCACACTTTCGTAAAGCTTCTCCCGGTAGAAAGCTTGGCTCAAGCCCCATGCCGAGTACACTCGACCGAGCGCCTTGAGTCCGACCCGCTTCGACTCTTCGGTGAATCGCACGTATTGGACTTTGTCCGAGCTCAGATGTTGCTTACCGACGCCCTCGCTGCTGGTTCCCTTCGCTGCGTACAGCCCGGACTTGACGCCCTCAAGCATTGCCTGATTGTGCAGGCTGGTCCTCGCGGCGCCACAGAAAGGAGCAATCAGATCCATGAAGTCTGGATATTGCGTCGCCCATTGGAAGGTCTGGCCTGCACCCATACTCCAACCCAGGACAGCTCTTGCATGCTTGATACCCAAGTGATTGGTGACGAGCTCATGCTGCGCTCGTACGTTGTCGTAGAAGGTAACTTCAGGAAATGGCCTAAGCTCTGGCTTGTTCGACGGTGAAGCTGATTGGCCGTTTCCAAAGAGAGCTGGGATGATGATATAGTACTTGGAAGGGTCAAGCGTCTTGCCGGGGCCTGTAAGCCACAAATTATCGGATATGACTGCAGCAAAGTCGTCAGTGGAAGACATCAGACACGACAAGCTCCGACTCACGTCCAGAGTACCATGTAGGGTAAATCACAGCTGGAAGAGAAGAATCTCCCAGTGTCTTGTAGGCGATGGAAGCGTCCGGAAGCTCTCCTCCGCGCTGCAACTTGAAGTCGCCGAGCTTGTAGGTTTCGCAGGCGTCTGACATGTCGAGTTTGTCAAGCCTGGGAGCTGTGATGCCAGTATCTCGTCCGATCGCTGTGTACTTATACTTCTCTCGTGCCAGGAATCTTCGTCGTTGGTGTCACCACACTCGTGGCGCTTGCCCACAAGAGATAGCTTTTTTGAAACTCCGTGTCGCTTTTCGTTTCAATCCTCTCGATGTTTGTAATCCTGGAGGAGGTGATAGTTCTACTCCGAGCGATATCCGAGCAACCAGCGATGGTGTTGCGCTTCGCAGCGGGTCGGATTGTGTGCAGTGGCTCTCACGTTTGTCAGCACAATCGAGGAAGGTGGTTTGTCATTCAACACTATGCAAGATGTAGTGTCGAGGCTTCAGAGTCCTGTCTTCACCAGGCGCATCTTATCTAGATAGGCCAGGCCAGGGGAGCTCTGGACGCTACCCGCAGCGGGGTCGGTACCTCCCCAAGTCCCTGCCGTGGTGGGGTAGGTAGGGCTAGTGTCGGCAAACGAATGACGTCTCGACTGTTGATGGCGCGCGGCCGGGACAGGAACTGTAGCGCACCTCGGAGGCGTTCCGTGCCTCGGGATCGTTCCGTATCGTGAGAAAGGCGATATACTGCTACAAATTGCTTTATTACCAGCGACCCTTTGATCACCAACACAGTCGGGGCTCCATATCACCTTCCTCTTGACCAATCTACGAGTACAACGGCATCGGAAAACATGGCAGAAGGCAAAGCAGACGCCGAGGCGGCCATAAAGCGCAACCCTCACCCCGACTTCAAAGGCGTCGAGGACTCACGGCCAGACTTCGAGAAAGATAGAACGGTGCACTATGTCAAGACACCCAAGCCGGACTGGAAGCCCGGACAAGGCGCGAACAACGCCTCCGGCCTCTCGACAAAGCACCGAGAAATTGATCCATACGCTGAAGGCCGCCCCGCAGTGCACAACTACAAGCTTCTCATCTCAGGTGTCGTGCCCCGCCCCGTAGGCTTCGTTTCCACCATCTCTGAAGATGGAAAGTCCACGAATCTAGCGCCTTTCAGCTACTTCAACATGATTAGCCATGACCCCCCGCTGTTCGTCCTGGGATTTGCTGGCGGGCTGCTCAATGCGAAGGACTCGTTGGCAAATCTGCTAAAGACCGAAGAATGCACTTTGAACATCATTTCCCAGGATTTCATCGAGGCGGCAAATTATACGAGTTTGAATGCGCCAGCAGGCATCTCCGAGTGGACCTTTAGCGGTCTACATCCCGCAAAGAGCTCCATCGTCAAGCCGGATCGCGTGCAGGAAGCGGTTTTCAGCATTGAAGCGAAGCTCGTCAAGTCCTTGGAGTGGGAGAGCAAGGCTACGCCTGGGAAGAAGACGGGTGTTACGGTTATTGTTGAGGGTCTGAATTTCTGGGTAAGAGAAGACGCGGTGGATGAGGCTGGTGTACTGATTGATCCTGCGGTAAGTTCCATTCCGTCAGGAAACACAGTGTGGCCGACATCACGCTGATACGAAACAGGTCCTGAGGCCCATCTGTCGCCTGGGAGGCATCACATATGGACGGGTGACGGACCTGTTCGAGTTGCCGCGGCCACAGTACAACGATGTTATCAAGGATCCCGAGATCGAAAAGTTAGCGAAGTCCAAGACAGACGGGCAGCTTGAGTAGGTGTTTGCGTTGCATTGCTTCGTTGGAAGGCATTCCTGACGTGCTAAGTATTCGCGAAAGATTATAGATGAGAGCAGACGACATAGAGAGCTGTATTGAGCATCCAGCAATTTTCAATGTCAGGAAGTATCATGACTACAAGGAGCGGATATAGACAAACATGTGAAAGCTACCCAAGAAACAGAAACGACCGAACAACAGGCAAATAATACACCTCTCGTCCTTCAGGCAAGTTGCCATCTGCAAGTTCAACCCAACCCTTGAGAGATAGCGAATGAAAACTGAAGGACGTTACACGCCGGCCAACACGACTCGGTTATTGTATGTCAAGATTGCCCCCCTTGATGTCTTTGTCGGAAAATGCTTGTAGTGGGTCCCTCTTGTCAGAGGCGTGGCCTGCTCTCTCTTGAAGACGTCTGCGTGAGATAGGTTCTGATGTCGAAATCGTTGAATCGCACTAATTCATCTCTAGGACCGTGAACGCAGACGTTCTGCAGATTTGCCAAGCTCTTCGTCTCCGTCATCCATGCTACCGATACCATCTAGGTACATTGCTCAACGTAATGGTAGCGTGAAGGGAAAGCAATAATGAACCGACCATAACTTCGCCAAAATCCATCCATAAGATAGAGTGCAGGTGCGTTAATACGGGCTGGGGATTAAGCAGCTCTTCCCTGTGCCCAGCGCATCGTAGCGCTTCGTTGTCTACTCTGGCAAAGTGAAGGATCTCTAGGTCGATGGTCCTAACGTTTGTTAACCGTGGGATGAGGAGGGCCAGCAGGCCATCTCCGTAAGGAGCCATTCTGGGCCGCCTGGCATAGTCTACCTGGAATTGGCTGTCGTGCGCAATAGCGTCTTCAACCGAGGAATCAGCTTCTGGCGGTTCCTCTTGACCTTCTGTTACGTAAGAACGGCGTCTTCGAAACCCAATTTTCAGATAGTAGCTACGCACAGCCAGATGGTGGACATACTTTGCAATCTCGGGTTTGCGCAGGAACAGTATCGTTGCAACGGCAATGCCACGAGATCTGCCTGGCTTCTTCGTGTACTCGATATCGAAAGTGACATAACTATACAAAGGAGGCGTTGTTATGTCGTACCATTGCTTAAAGCAGAGAACTACATTCTCAATGTAGTGATTGAGCTGGTACACTCCAGGATGCGAAACACAACTTGACGGGCAGGTAAGGCGAGTAGATGACCATCACTTGTTTGATTCAAATGTCATCTGTGGAACTTCGTACCCTTCGTAAGAATGTAGCGGCAGCTACGACATAACTTGGTGCTGGTGTAGGCTACCTGGACGCTGATGCCTAGGCTACTGCCTACAGGTTCGCTTACGGTCGCAGCATAATAGCGCTCTAGCAATCACACGAGAGATGGACTCCATTCACAGTTACATCTGTGGAACCACACAGCATATGTTAGGACCTTGACTTATCAGTTATCACCACAGGCTCTTGACGTTTTCGCGCTGCATGTGACAACTTGGCATATGGCGTCAGCGACTCACATAGCTGACGCTGAAAGTCACGGCTCAAAGGCCGCAATGAACGAGAAAAGAGGGGTACATACAGTGCTGCGTAATACACGTGCATCTTCGTTGTTCCAATGAAACAGCGATCGCTCATGCTTAGGCGCATAGGATGCTTGTGCAGGGCAAGGGGTATCATTGTTCTAGAATTTAATCGCTTTCGTATCGACCAACAAGAAGACACTTTATTGACAGAGGGCACTTTAGCGAAACGTACTTCAAGAACATCGGTGTAAGTGTGCATTTTTGAGTTGACCAAACTGTGCAAGGTCTGATACGTATAAAATAAAAGCCTCGCAAGGTGTTTCTGCTCATTCTCAAGTATAACTTGCTTACACTCGCTCGAAATGGCTCAGCCTATCGGTTATGCCTTTGGTATGGCTGCTTTAGTAGTCGGTGTCTACGTCTCATACTTCCTTTACAGCTTTGGCAGTCGCGATAAGCGGTACGTATATAACCTAGAAGCATCAACTTCGGAGAGAGGGGATCGCTGACATTGTTGGGTCACCAGTCTTCCCCCAGGGCCACCCACTATTCCCATACTTGGGAATGCCCATCAGATCCCAAGCCGAAATGTGGAAAAGAAGTTAGTCGTTCTTCTGGCGTCTCCCGATCGGAGATTTTAATTTACGTGACTAGATTGAAAGAGTGGGCCGACAAATATGGCAGCATCTACTCTTTGAAAATTGGTGCCGCCACGCTGATACTGCTGAATGACAAACGCACAGTGCATAATCTACTGGACAAGAGAAGTGCAATATACTCGGACCGACCGAAAGACCAGCAGATGATCACCGCCCTGAAGGAAAATTTTGCCTTCTTCGATGCAAGCCCTGCGTGGAGGGCAACTAGGAAGATAGCAGCTCATTTTATGTCGCCGAAGAACCTCGACGAAACCATCATGGCAGTCCAAGAAGCCGAGTGAGATGATTTTCCCTCTACAGCAACTTGATGGTAGCTAACCCGAACAGGACAAGCCAAACAATCTACGACTTGTTGCAGACGCCAGAGGAATTCTCCAACCACATTCGGCGAGTCACCGCTTCTGTTGCTAGTATCGTCATCTTTGGGTTTCGAGCACCGACTGTGGATAGTTGGTGGGCCACTGTAAGCTGAGCCATGTTGAAGAAGAATATGCTGTATGACTGACACGTCCAAGAGCGTATATCAAGCTGTTGACCAGGTACTTAAGGTTGCTTCTGCGAAAGATTATGGTGATGCTTATTCGATTGGTCCATTGCCTAGATCAACCTTGCAAGTAAGATTTCCCATACCCCATCTCATGCCTGTCACAACGATAACATGACACTGATGCACTTGCCAGCAACTCCAGGAACATACCTCCCTGTTGACCAGTTCCCCATTCTCAAATACGTGCCATCTTTTCTCGTCCCTTCTAAGGCGCGTGCGATCACGTGCTTTGAGACTATAAGCTCGATATGGGGTGAAGCACGATCGCAAGTTGTGGCGCGGCGTGGAAAGGGCGACAATCGGATCTCTCTTGCAGACAAGGTGATTAGCGGTCAGATCAAAAGCGACATAGCGATGAATCATCGGCAAGAGAATAACTTCCTTGGCGCCCTACAACAAGGAGCCGCCGACACAACGGCCAGTAGTACGTATCGCTGTAGTACTTACGAGGCGCGCTTCGGCTGATCTCATACCTCCACAACAGTGATATTGACATCGATTCTGTACCTGGCGAAACACCATTGGGTACAAAAGAAAGCACAGACTGAGCTTGATCGCATCTGTGGCGATGGCAGAATGCCAACATGGCAGGACTTTAGAGTTCTGCCTTACATCAACTGCATTGTGAAGGAAGGGTTGAGGATACGACCTGTGTATGTATCGCATAACGTCGTACTTGCTTGACCATTGACCACCAGAGCTGATTATGGTATCTAGTGTCCCTTCAGGTATCCCTGTCCGCGCAAGCCACGATAACTGGTTCGATGGCTACCTTATTCCCAAGGACTCTACCGTTTTCTGCCCAGCCTATAATATCCAACACAACGCCGGATTCTATCCCAATCCGTATACTTATAACCCTGACAGATATCTCGACCGCCCGCTTCTGGCAACGTCCTATGCTGGATCTCCGGACTACGAAAATCGCGATCACTATGCTTACGGTGCTGGCCGACGAATTTGCGTGGGTATACACCTTGCCGAGCGAACACAGTGGCGTATCATTGCACGTCTGTTGTGGGCATATGATATCAAGCCTGAAGTAGATGAAAAAGGGAACGAGCTCGAGGTGGATACGGATGCATATGAAGATGGGTTGTTGATTTGCCCGAAGCCGTTCAAGGTCAGATTCGTTCCTAGAGGCGAGAAGCAGGTGGAAGTCATCAAGCAGGATTTTGAGGCTGTCAAAGATTACTTGAAGACTTGGGAGTAAAGGTGCCCAAATTTCGTTGCTCTTTGGTCCCAGGGTCTCGGTATCGTGCACCGTCACGTAAGTGTCACGTACGAGGGGATTTCGAACCCAATAAATTGCCCTCAAGTCGTCAATTAGTGGAGATATATCTTCCCTGACCCTGCTTGTAATTACATAGCCAAGGTATAGTATAGGGACCGATTCAGAGATTACTTTTTTCTCTCGAGATCAGTGTGCTCGTCAAACTGTCAAAGAAGCACCAAAGGACATTTGTTGTATGTCTCTGTATAGTACAGTTTATCGGAAGCAGCTCGTACATGGGGCAAAGATGAGGAGTAGGGCAATTCTGGATTTGTTAATACGGCTGCGGTCCAAAAGTAAAGTCAAGATCTGGGCTTTGGACCTCACTCCGGTGTTAGTTATACCTGCTACACCTCAACTGGAGAAGCAGTCAACCCTGGTATCTGGTGACGAGAGCAACCGCAAGTGATCGGCTACGAACACGTTCTCTAAATAGCTGCAATATACCAAAACCATCCGATATGCCCTCAATCTTAGCTTATGATCTCCTGCATTTCTTTCTTATCCACAACTTGTTTGAACCTGGAGAATTGAGCCCCGCTTGAAGCATGGTTTGACCAAATTGCTGTGGCGTATCACTAGAGCCTATCATCAGTCTCGCGATAATAGCATCTTTTTGTACCATTTGACCTGCAACTTAGTTGAGCCTAATGGGTCATTCCCATCTTTTGGTGCGCTTGCGAAGGAAGCTTTGCAGCCAAAGGAAGTTATTGATGATTTCTGTATCATTAACGAGTAGGTCAAAATCAGATCGGGGCTTATACATACGAGTGAAGGATCGCCAGTCGAAAAAGCCGACGGATACACCGATTCTTGTTATCTCGCTAACGAAATACGCGCGAGGCCCAGGCAGCCTGCTGCAGACTGCCCCACCCGTCAATAATCTGTACTATGTCAGTTGCGCCGGTACGTGGAGAAAGACTAAACGTACATCCACAGGTACAGGTATGGTGCTGTCTTCCAAAAGTCAAGTTGAAGACTCTTGAGGATTTCGAGCAGTCGGTCTACGAAATGTGAATTAAGTTCGTCGTCATGCTGGATTAGCGACACTACTGCGCAATAGTGAATCGTTCCGGCTATTCGTATGGCCTCCTTGACCTTGCCTTCCGTTGTAAGCGTCCATGGTTCGGTTTCTGTCGTATCGTACGCCTGTAGTCGCGCCCAGAATTTATCGCGTCGAAGCCGAAACCGTGGTGCCTCAAAGGCCGCGGTTTCCGGGTCGAATGCCTCGACACAAAGCATTTCGAAGCCATCGAAAGCATCTCTGAGGACATCGAGACTGGTTCGTAGTTCTTCGATCGGGACTTTTCCATTAAACTCGGGAGTGTTCACGACTCGAAGCGGTGAATGCGGGAAGTATGTCTTTCGGATACCCACATGTATGTCTCTCAATATCGGTCCCTGAACTTCCATGAGCAGTGGATGTTTATTGGAGCATGAAGAGTACATCATATCGACACTAAGGTGAATAAGCCTAGCATTGCATTGAGTTGCGGAAAGCTCACAGTAAGGCGAAATTACCAATGTAGAAGCCTTCCTCTAACATGAACTTTCCGATGCCCCCTCGCATGTCGAACATCTGACCGAGGCCTCGTTCATGCGTTATGACTTGATCGCTACCTCGAAGGTTCTTAGACTTGTCAGTGGTTTTCCTGGCGATGGTTGCAATAACAAACACACCTCATACATAGCCATGCTAACAACAGCCATGATAGTCTCATCGGCCAAGGCAGTGGTCCTGTTCTCGAGGGCTGCATTGATGAATTGTAGATTGCGAGCCTTGAAGTAGTGATCGTCATTGCCGATGATCCCGCCTATGAGATCGCGGTGTGCACAATAGAGCAGGGAATATGAAAGGAGGATCAATGGGCTCTTCAAAGGTTGCTCGAACCAGTGCGTCAGTGTGCTGCGAGACTCTGGTCCAGTACCATTGAAGCTCATGAAATCTGTCATAATGTTGGTTACAGAATTGCTTCCAACTGCCCTAAAATGAACAACTCACAGTGAGACACAATTTCATCAACGCGGTTAAGCCAGGTTTCCGGCATCCATGACGGGTCAGCAGCAGCATCATTGACACGCAGATATTGTGGTCCCAAGACACGTGGTTGTGTTGAGGGAAGCGAAGGAAGATTTGGTTCTGTTGTGGGTATTGATCTGGAGCCTCTTGGTAACAGCATGTCCAAAGGATATACCGGATCAGCTGTTGTAGGCTGCGGTAATCTGCGCAAGGGCGCTCGCTCTATATTGTCATTATGGCTGCTTCCGGTACTGCTAGAAGGGGACAAGCAAGACAAGCACGAATCATTTGGTCGGTGACTTTGTACAGACTGCTGTGGCGCGGCCTTACATTGCCTCAATGTCTCGGTCCGAATCGCAACGGAAGAAAGCGACGATTGCTCGAGTGAAGGGGATAGACCGTCTGGCAAAGTCAGTGTGCAATCTGGATAGTATTCTGGTGAACTCGATAGCGCACGTACGTCGATATTGTTGCTTCGCTTCTCTTCTCTTTTTCTGTGACTCTCTCATCACATGCGATTTGACCAGCTCACGCTGTTCCGGTCGCGCTCCTTTATGCGACACGAAGGTGAAGTTGACCATCATGGAAAATTTCTCGCAGTTTCAAATGCTTGATGTCTCGACGCCAACGCCAAATTAGGGTCCCTTTCCCAGTGACTCCCAGATCAAAGTCGGGGACATGATCTATAGGCCCTCACACCCATCTGTTGCCTCTCTGCGTGGCGGAGCCAGTGTCCCCGATACCAGACGATGGCGTTCGCGGAAAATACTTTATGGAGGCATGAGAGCAAAAGGAGACCTTGAGTGAGGTGATTCGCACCGATAAGTGGCAGTCTGGTGGCAATTACGACACTCGAAACGTGCCGGTAAGAGCCAAATCGATGCTAGAGCGCAAAGGCCTCCGTAAAGTAGCTTCGTCGGGAGATTGTACGAAAACCGGAGAATCCTTTGATACCCGATGCAGCTGCTATGTCGCCAGTGCAGAAATCGGTCTGCGACAACCGGGGAATATTGTACGTCGGTAGCATGTAAAGATCTGTCGTAGATCTCGCTTGAAAGCCAGCAGAACACCGGAAGAAATAAGGAAGTGTTGTGCAAGCGTTCGCTTTGAAGGCTGCAGGGTGAGCGAGTGAAAGCAGGGAAGAGACACCACGGCCAATGACGCCTCTACATGGCTAGGTACGTGTTCGCGCGCCTCGCGTCCGTTGTGTATGGGACGCCTTCGGGGGCCGCGTTGGCACCGATGGCTACGCACCAGCTCCACGCCGACGGTACGGTTTGTTTGCTTAGACACAATTGGACGGGTCGTGTACGCTGCGAAAGGCGTAATTGCAGGCCAAGCTGACGGGTTCGCGACTGCAGCACGGGTGCGGAGACCAACACGATGGAAGCAGACGAGCCAATAGCTCTCGTGGGGAAAAGTGCTTCAAGAGCAGCCCAGCTTTTTGCGACCAATTCTAAGATGGATGCTACATGCTACATTTGAACGTGGAGCGCCTTGACCATGTGGATGTGTGCGCTATGACGCCTGAGGGGGCCGAAACGCGTAGTGCGGGTTGCCCGTGGGCCTAGAACTCGTCCCGCTTGAGGACATGAACTAGGGAAATCGAGCTTTGCTAGGCGGCAAAACATTGTTGGCGTACCGTGGGGAATCTGCCACCTGTTATGCCACCCAGTCAGGAAGATGTTGGTCAAGCTTGTTGCTTAGGCTTCGCACGAGACATTTCGACGCTGGTTCAGCAGCGGATCGGGATCGGGCATCGCAGCTGCAGAACGGCGAGGTTCCAGAGGCAGATGAGCTTGCACCTGATCTGTGTAGAGCGGCAAGCACTTGGAAGTAGGTCGAGAGAAGTTGTCAAGAATGTAGACCTTCGAAGTTCGACTAACCAGTCTTAGCGCAATATGACTAAGCATCTGCTTCCCGAGTCGCCCTGTGGACGGCTCAGCCTTGTTATCTGATACCGATGATCTTTTGGAGTGATTCGAGTAGACCCATGGTGATATATCCTACATATGAGAGTGACAGTATGAAATCCTCTTCTTCAAGACTTGAATCCAAGGAGGCCGGCAAGGCAGTTGATTACAACGAGCATGTCTTTCCTCTTGCTGCGAAAATGATAATGATATCACAAACTCGCAGTACAGCCCTCGCAACGCACACCTCGTATTCCAATGAAGAACCATAATTCGGCCACTCTACTGTGGGGCGTGCGGGTTGCCCGAAATTTGGTGAGAGGCTGAGACATGCATCTGAACCGTATGGTTGTTCATTCGCTGAGGTGAAATAGGCGTGGACAAACAGAAATCATCAGTAACACCGGCATGATTATCCTCGGCTCGAGCTGTAATTGACACGACGAATGAGAATGATACGAGAGGCCAATATCGTGCAATCGGAGCACGCGATACTCCCTCGGTACCTTTTGTTCGATGCAAGCTCGTATTAGCCGACAATTGTTCTTTCCAAGGTCGCATATGCAGCAGCGTTATACCACCAACTTGATCAAATGCTTGGAGCTGACGTTGAGTTGCCGCTCGTGCATAGCAATGCATCGATCCAGCATGAGATCGCCAAAGCGCCAAAGCGCATCCCACTTGTGAAAGCATAACGCGTGTTAATAGCTGCCGTTCGTGCGTATAGTGAGGGACGCGAACGCCTAGCCAGGAGTCTGGTCCACAGCGTGGCTTCATACCGTGGCTTTGCATCTCACGCAGCCAACGGGATGTGTCCTGAATACGAGAATTACCAAGTGGGCGATCCGGCTCGGGTACCCATCTATAAAAGAAGTGCAGTCCGTCAGCGGTGGAACAGCTACCCGTTGAAAGCTCTCCGATTTGTTGAAATTCTCCGATGCTTTCTCTTTTACCAAAAAGACAAGATCCGGCTTCCCGGCTACAGATCTGCAATCGTTCCAGACAGCCGGTCCAGATATAGCCGCTTTTGGCCCCAAGAGCACAGTCGCAACCCTAAAAGTAGCAGCGAAACCGACAAAACGCGAACACATGACCCTGTTCTCCGACAACGGTAACTGTGAACAACGTGTGCGGCTAGAGCCGGGTCCAAATCCTCGTGTCTGGGATTGTAGGACCTGATAGTAGACCGCGACTATCGTCCGACAGCTTCGGTCTGCAAGATCTCGCATCGGCAACCAGCTTCACTTCTTCAAAGCTGCCACTTGACTAACCGTTACAGTCTAGGTCTACGCCACGTATTTATGACACGGCATCCGTAATACGAGCTTGCTCATTTTCAAACACGCATCCGGACCACAGAGTCTCAGACAAAGGCATTTAGAATCGTTGACTATCATCTTTACGAAGCGCGATGGTTTTGAACCCCATTGTGGATACCAGTGAGCTGAGAACACACGCGATCCACGGAAATGCCTATTCGCTCATATGCTTGATCCGCGTTCTGATCACGATGAACACTCTAAGATGCAGCTTTTCTGAGCTCTGCGGATGCCTGTAGTGGGAACATCAAGATCAAAATAGCAAGAATCAGAAGAAAGGCAACTGGCAAAGTGGAACGGGCCGAGAGCCGATCACTGATGACGGACCGCGACAATTTCTAGTTAGCTACGTTCAACCTCTGAGTGGTAGACGCGATCTTTATAAATACATCGGAAACGGCTTCTGACACATTCAAAGCAAGCAATCCCAGAGTTCAGATCTCCTACAAAGCCCAACTACTCGATATCACCTCTACTCTTGACACTACATTCTCAGTTTTCCTGGTTAAAAGCTGCCCGCTTGCGACTGCTGCTCGATTTGGTCGGCTTTGCGGGAGTCCCCAAAACTCAGCACATACGAAGTTACTTAAAAATCGACATCTAAACAGGACATCTCATCTCTTTTTGGCGACATGTATCCCATCTACTTTCTCCCGCTGCACCCATTCTCCCTCGCCATCAATCTAGAGTTGAGAACACAGCAAGACGTGCGGTACCCTACGGTACATGCTATGGCTACCAACAAGATCAGCCAAAAGGTAAGTTTACATTTAGTTAGTCTCTCATCCTATATCTTAATTCAGGGCTCTTTTCTAGCAATCTTTCGTTGTCTTCATGCTTTCTTGGTCCCTCGATAGAGCCTGGCTTTGCACAATATGGGCAAATATCTTTTCTATGATAGTCCTCCGTCTGTTTTTATATCATTCCTTGTTCGACATTTAGGAAGGAGGAGGAACCAAAGGTCGGTGATTTACAGCGAGCACACTCTTTTCGCGTCGAGATGTGCTATTTGGTGCAATCCCCCTCACAGCATGATCACCCCAGTCTCGGGTGCAGCAGCTTTCTTCGGCTCGACAATAAACTAAGTTCATCCCTACTCCAATCATCTCATCCTGCGGCCTCGCGATGCTGACCGTGACCAAATAGTACCAAGCGTCCTGTCACTGCCAGCTTATCCGCTACACTGTGACACTTTCTCCGCCGCTCCACGATCCGGAAAGCTGGGTCGTCGAATGCAATTGCTCCATCTGCGCGCGGAATGGCTACCTCAACGTCTATGTGCAGAACGACTGCATTCAATTCGAGAACGTGGATTTAAACAGCCAACTTGTAGAGGTATGTATCCGTTTTCTGATTGTTGATATCAAGGCATTCCCGATCTCCAGCACGTCGATGTCGCAATTGGAAACTTCCACTCCTTGCCACCAAATTGCGGCGAAACCAGGATGTTACTGATGTGAGATAGAAGTACCGCTTCGGCAAGGAGCGCGTGCAGCACTACTTCTGCAGCCGGTGCGCCAGCAGTCTGATGGCGGAGAGTATCGAGCCGGGATTTTACGAGGGCGTCAAGGCACTCAACGTAAGGATGTTTCATGGTGTGGACGGGAGGACGCTGCAGCGGCGTGAGGTCGATGGGCGCAGCCTCTAATCTGCGTCGTCGATCCTCACTCCCCTGTCGCAATTCTACTTTGAGTACCCGTGGTAGGGATGTTGTATGGTAAATCCAAGGTTTGCTTTGTCCTACCTTCTCTTCTTCTTCGGCATCAGCCGAATTCGCAGACTCTGTCTTTTGTTTTGTTGCTTTCCCCCTCTTTCTTCAAAGTGAGCTTCTAGTTTTAGCCAGCAACATATTATCATGCTCTGTAACGTTTGCAATATTTCCATTTGTATGCATACCAGCCCCTCCCATCTATCTACCCCTACATGCTCTCGTACCCTATGTAATGCCTTACTCTACTGTACGGACCCAAAGATAGACACCAACGCAACTTCACCGTCTTCGCCTACCTCACCTATACATTGACTTAACTACCCTATTTCCACCCACTCAGCCCTGCCCACGGATCGTTTGCACCACCCTGATGCTGATGCTGCTGATGCTGCTGCTGCTGTCCCTGCCCACTCTGTCTCTGCGCATAACCGCCCTGATACTGCTGGCCTCCATACTGGCCAAATCCCTCATGCTGCGCTGGCGGTGGTCCCGGTGGTGGTGGAGGTGGCACGTATCCTTGCGGCAATCCCGCGCCGGGCTGCGGCGTCCCGCTCTGGTATCCGTACTGCCCGTGCTGCTGTGCCGGGGGGTGGCCCCACGGCTGCTGCTGGTGTTGGTTTGGTGGCGGGGAGAAGTACTGCTGGTGTGCAGGCGGAGAAACGGGGCCGTAGTTTGTGGGATTGTAGCTTGTCGAGGGCTGTGACTGGGAGTGAGAATGGGAGTGAGAGGGGTATTGCTGGTAGGCATTTGAAGGATAGGGGTTTGGTTGTTGGGCTGGTTGTTGATATTGTTGCTGGCCTTGTGTGGTGATCGGGTAGCGGGGTGTTACGGGTGGTGAAGCGGCTGGGTTGTACGAAGGATGAGCGGACGATGTGGACGGGTATCCCGACTGGTTAAGCGGCGCGGGGATGCTCTTTTTTCTTTCTCTGCCTTGGGAAACGGGCGAACCAGAGGGCTCCATGGACATGCGCTCCATTAGGTCCTTCAAGCGCTGCTGCTCTTGGTCGGCGCCCTGGTTCTTCTTCTGTTCAATGTTTTGAAGTAATTGGCCACCCTCCGATCGCCTATTGTTGACGAAGGTTTCTACATTCTTCTGGAGACTTGACACTGTATCTTTCATCTCGGAATAGAACCCTTGGGCGCGGGAGAGCCCAGCTTGAAGATCTCTGAAAGATTGGTAGACGCGCTCGTACTTCTTCATGACAGAACTGCGCTGGCGGGAGAACGCGTCATACTTGCTCTGCTCAGAGCGGACGCGCGGGTCTTTTAGAAGGTCGGAGTAAGTGCGTGTAAGCTCTTTGAGGAGAGATCCTTGCTTGTGATTGGCTTGGAGTATGCGGTTTTGGTGAGGTCGGAACTTTTCAAGCTCCGCCTTGAAGAGTTGGGATTCTTGGTTTGCGATGGCTTTCTTATTCAGGATCAAGACGTTGGAGATGTCGTCGGAGTGAACCTAAGTGTTGTTAGTGTGAGAACTCATAGTAGATGATAACAATCGTACCTTATCTTTGAGATCCTTCAGCACTTGAATCCTCTCCTTCTTAATTAAATTCAGTCTCCGCAGCAGCTCCTCAACGCTGGCAATCTGATCCGCAACGCTTGGACCGTCCTGAAAATCGTCGTCTAGTAAATTGCCTTGAGTGGGGCCCGGACTCTTGCCCTTCGACGCGCCCGCTTTGACCATGGCTCGAGAATACAGCACATCTGCTTCATCAGTCTCGCCAGCCGACCGCATCTCGTCGAAGTCTGCCTCATATTGCCTAAATGTGCTGTACAACTGCGCATCGCTTGTGCTTGCCTCGTCGACTGCTCCTCGGTAATTCCGGATATCGCTTCGTAGTGTTGCGGTCAAACGTGAGCTGGGCTGCTGTGTCCAATCGACGCCGTACTTCGATCTCATCTTCTCGCAAACACTCTCTTCCATATCCAGTTGCTTCATGCTCGCGTCGAGCAGATTCATGATCTCAGACTTGTCTGCATTCGACTGTTCGAATGCCGTGGTGAATGGCGCATGGCCCGCCAACTCTTCACACCATCTGCGGAAGTCCTCGTCAACCATCATATCTTGGTTATCCATGCCTCCTCTGAGCACGTTGAGGCTGTCCGGTAGCTTTAGATAGTCTAAACTCGCCGCCATCTCATCATTTGCTACCTCGACTCTTTCGCTCTCTGCCCGTATTAATTTCGCCTTCTCTTCATCGTACAAACTAGCGGATTCCGTTACGGCCATTGGTACTATTTTTTGAAAAATGTCCGGTCCGATGATCCTCTGGATATCCTGTCCTTGGTAAAGCTCGCTCACAGGTATCGCCTTCGCTGCTGGGAGTTTGGGAACTTGTGTTAAAGATGCTTCGTTCGGGATACCCTGGTGGTAAATGAAATCGTTATCCTTCATAAACTCGGCCAGCTTCTCTTGGACATTTGCGTGGTGTTTCTTCGTCAATTCAGCCAAGACGGAGCCGGTCTCTGCGGGCAGGTTCGAATTTGCAGGGCAAGAGGAAGGGAAAGCGTTCGCAACCCGATTTGCATCTTTGGCGTTCGCCTCTGCAACCTGTAACCGGCAGATCGCTACGCCGTGCGAGTTCGCATCGTCATCAGCCAGTGCTTGGTAATACTGTGCGACTGAAGCCATATGGCTCGCTTTGGTCTGCCGCATCGTCAGCTTCCTTTGCACCAATATCAACCAATTTCCTTACCTGACAAACCAATAGCCACACTTTCTCGAAGACTGCCTTGTTCACATTCTCCTGCGCGCCCTCTACAGCCTGTGTATACAAAAACGCAGCCTGACTGGCCAATTTCGCCAATAACCCCACCTTCTTGCCGTCCGCGATCTGCTTTTCTAGGAACACCTCTTGTGCCTGTGCCAGCATAACCGCTATCAGCGTCTTCACCGTCTCGCGGCTCAGATCAGTAGACGGGGCGTGTAGGAAGTTTTCGTTGATATACGTGAACATGCCAGCTGAGGCCTGGAACGAGTGGTACGCCGTCTTGAGACCGACATCCTCGTGGCGATTCTGGTGGGCGGCGTGGCAGGATAGAACGGCGGAGATGTTGAAGATTATGGAGGCTTTCTCGAAGGCGAGGGAGTACTGCGAGGTGGGCTTGTGTGTAAATGCATCGAACCTGCTGCCTATTAGCCCATTGAAGCGCTTGCTTCCCATGATTGTGCAATATACCAAGTAAACTGGATCTTGATGTGGTTCTCATCCACGGGAAACCTCAGATCCAGGAGCTCCAACTGCCCATAGTATCTGTACAGCAGGTCCCTCCCCGCAGCGCTATCCTTGCCCGCGCCCCGCATATCCTGCCGCAACCGGTTCAGCGTCGCACACTCTTCTACATAGCGCTCCGGATCATCGCCATAAGTGGCGCGTATGTAGCCCTTGAGCGGTTGTATCCAGTCGATTTCGTTGGTCTGCTTCAGCGGGACGGAGATCATGGGTATAAGAGTCGCCATGGTGCTGGTGTCGGAGCCTGGCAAGCCAAACATCCGGCTGCCAGCTCAGCGCAGAGAGGCGGTCGTGGGAGACGCGGTGGGGTCAATCAAGGATGCGGTAAGCAATTGCTACGGGTGGCCGTATTGGATCGTCTGCACTGTTTTGGTTTTGTGGAGCTCGAGGATGGCGGTAGGCGGGCTGAGGGAACGCTGAGATGCGTAATTGAGCAGTGGGCGAAGACAAGCTCGAAGGGAAATGTCGCTCTCCTGCTCTGATGCGGTCAGTCGCGTGAATGCACGGTTATGCAGGCCCCAGGATGACGTTGCAGGGTTGGGCCGTCCAGTCGATGTGGCCGTCGACGGGTGGGCTACGGAGGGCTGCGCTGTTCCTATTCAACGTCTCTGCCACGCAAGCAAACCGTCGTCGACCGTCTCCTGTCAATCACGTCGTTGTCGGGGGCAGCAGCGCGGTTGTCCGAAGAAGCGTGGGGCAATCGCGGGCAGTCGGCGCAGCAAGGCACACCACGAATCGCACCTCTACCTACCTACATTTGCTGCCTATATAACACTTCTGATGCAGCCGCGCTCGAAACCAGACGGCGGCGCTCTTCACGTATTCCCTGCACGTCCACCGTGCCAGTCACACACTCGCCAGATCTAGGAGCCACAACGAGGGTCATCCTGGCCCTTCCCGCAGCGCTTGGCCACTCATATCGCTAGAGACCATCGTGAGCGGCTTGTGTAAGCGCTCAACGACACAACCTTGGAGGGCTTGATCACTCGAATGGCCAAGGCTTTGCTTTGGCTTTTCGCGGAATGGCCTGGATCTCACCGCTGGCTCTGGTGCCATTGACTGATCTGCGATGAAAAGATTAATATCAGCTAGGTAATATACAAGCCTGAGCGGAGGCATATGACTATCAGAAAGCTCCATGCAGACAGCTCGAGTACATGTGAACGCCAACAAATGCTTCAAACTGCCACATCCTTCCCTTGCGCCGCGTCAACATACTATACACATGAGTATGGAGTTTGCTATATAGCCGTGACAAGTAAACACCGGATCACCAAGCAGTCGGACTTTTAACCCGATCCAGATGCTTTCTTCTTTTCTTCTTCTTCATTCTTCAAATCCTCCTTCTTCGACGTCTCTTTGTGTTGCCCGGTGATGTTGTGCCATGCGTGCTTGAGGAATCCTTCATTCTTGTGGTCGCCAGCTGCCGGCTTCTCTGCGTCGCCCCTCATTTTGTTCACGATCATCCTCTTCGCCGTCTTGTCGCCCATCTCGTCGGCCAGCATCTCAAGAATGGTCCGCTGGTTCTGACTTAAGTACTTGGGCATGTTGACTTTGAACTCGACCTTCAAATCACCTTTCGCGTTCCGTCGCCCAGATAGAACCTTCATGCCCATGCCGGATAGCGTCACCTTATCGCCTGTGCCAGAACCCGTTGGTACCTTGACCATGACCTCGCCATCGAGCGTCGGTACCTTGATCTCTCCACCCAACACGGCAGTAGTCAGGGGTATAGTCGCAGTGTGAAGGATGTCGGAGCCTGCGCGTTTGAACTTCGGATCAGAGGCTACACGGATCAGGACGTAGAGGTCGCCCTTCGTACCCCTCACATTCGAGCCAATTGCTTGTCCGGTGAGCGGTGCGTCTCCTTCGCCGCTGACTCGCAATCGCATGCCATCTTCTACGCCTCCAGGGATATCCACTGTGACCGTCTTCCGTTCTTTGACTGCACCGTCTCCGCCACAAGTTCCGCACGAGGAGCCGCGGGGTACTGCCATACCGGAACCACCACAGCTCGAGCATGTCGCGCTCATGTGGAAACCGCCCATGCTCGTCACCCTCTGCCCCGTGCCGCCGCAGCTCTTGCACTCTGCTTTCTTGGCACCCTTCTTCAACCCGCTACCCGTGCAAGTCTTGCACTCCACCATTGGCGTGATGTATATGTCCTTGGTCACACCTTTGGCAGCATCCATGAACGAGATGCTCGTCTGCACCTCGATGTTGTCTCCAACCAAGATTTCCTCCTCGAATGGGCTTCTCCGTCCTCTGCCTCGCCTGCCGCCACCTCCAAAAGCGCTGAACAAATCTTCAATATTGATGTCTTGCGCGAAGCCACCCTGGAAACCTCCCCCGCCAAACCCCCCAAATCCACCAAAACCGCCGCCGAATGGGTTGCCGCCCGGCCCTGAGGCCCCAGCTCCTGGATTGAAGCCACCACTTGAATCGAACGCAGCGGAACCGTATGAGTCGTAGGCCTTCTTCTTGGATTCGTCAGAGAGAATTTCGTAAGCGGACTGCGCGGCGGCGAACTTGTCTTTTGCGGAGGCGTCCTTGTTCGTATCCGGGTGGTATTTCTTTGCGAGACCGTAGTACGCCTTCTTGATCTCGGAAGCGGAAGCACTTTTCGACACACCTAGAGCGGCATATGGGTCTGCGACGGCTTGTGAGGGGGTTGTTGCGTGAAAGAGCTGCAAACGAGGTTAGCATTATCATTTCGGGCAAGGATCGATCGGTATGCGTACCCGTATCCGCGGCGCATGCTGCTGGTGTAGTTGTGGCTTGATCGAAGGCCTCTTCGGATTCGGTCTCGATGAATGCGATATGTTCCGTCGCCGGCACTGTAAGGACCCGGAGATGATGCGCGCGGGTGCGACTGCCTTGAACGGCAGCGCGGGAGCAACCAAGGACATGATGTTTACGATACAAACGCAATTACAATGAACGTAGGAAGTACTCTTGCGATGGCAGTAAATGAATTGGAGCCTTTGGGATTGAGCGATGCGACGAATCATCAAAATTTGGCGCACGGACGGCGCGCGACCGATGTCATTCGCCTCGGCATGCATTGGTTCTGGTATTTTCTAGATGCACATCGGTGAGCATGTCAACGGAAGGCTATGATTATAGCATATTGAAGATGTTGCGTTACTGTTCTGTGATACGCTTGTATGCTTTGAATGCAGATTAAAACGTCTGAAGACGTTGCAGTGTGGTGAAGCAGTTCCGAGACCTCCCAAATTCCGAGGCTCGCCGTCGCAAGCCGCGCATAAGGAGAACTTCCCATTACCAAATATTCTATTACGTTCATGTCGCATTTCTCGGAGGCTTATGTCCAGTCATCATATAATTCCATATGTAGGCCTCCCAAAGCCCACCGTGAATGACTGGCAGGACCATAATCGTACCGCGTCTGCGGCAGCACGCATTTCCATTCCTGATTTCAAAACAACCAAACGCCTTACCAATGCTAATACTCGTTATGTGTAGAGTGACGGTGTAATGCCTATCCGAGGCCAGGGTATCAGAACTCCGAAAGTGCTGCGAGGACGAGCGAAGAAGGGGGTATAACGCCGTCTATTTACGTGGAGGTGCGAAGCGCACACGAAACTCCTTGTCTAATGCAGGTTAGCATCCAAGCCTCGTTATTGACGACACAAGTATAAACTTGCCTTGGTTTTTCACCTTGTACATCCAATCGATGATGCAGCTGGTCTCGGACACAGCCTGCGCATTAAAGTTCTTGCGCACTGCGAGCGACAGCTGGCTCTTCTCTATTCTCCTCTTCGATTTTGTTCGCGCCATTGTGGGTGAGAACTTGCCAATGCCCTGGCTTAGGACGATGTGGCTACCGGGGTTCTTGAAGGAGGACGGTGTGTCAAGGCGGTAGGCCCGTCGGTAGCCCTGGAGGACGGCATGGTCCTGCGTGTTCCAGCTCATCTGCGAGAAAGCAGAAGGTCAGCATGATGTTCTGTGTTTGTGGCGACTTGGGAAGACATTGGAGGTTACCCACTCCTGACGTGTGCTCGTTCTGCCCACTGTGTGTGGAGGCGTTGTCGCCGTTCGAGGACATGACCTCTTTGAGATTGCTACCATTTGCGTGATTCCCGTTATTGTTGCGACGCCCGCGCGCATTGGTGTTACTCTGGAGCGAGTGCAGTTTCTCCTTAAGAGACTGAGGGTCCTCGTGCGTGCGTTTCGGAGGCATGGTGTGCGCAAAGAATTTCGCGCAAAAGTCGAGAGGTGAGTGTTGGTGGGCCTCGCACAATGTCTAGCCGATGTCGCAAACTGGAAAGAAAGAGGCTACATCCGTGGAGGGTCGCGTCTGCTGTGCTTTGGGCTGGTGTTCACTCACTCCCGCCCGCCGGTCGACTTTTGCGAGCCATGGGGGCCGGTCGGATGACGCAAATTGCCTAAGCGTTCCTGCCTTTCCAGGGTCCGCGCTAACCCACCGCTCTTTCCGCGCACGCGACGCGTTGTCATTAAGAATTCGACAACTCACATTCAACATTATACATCGTCGGCGGATTTTGAGCGACACTAAGGCGATAGGCGATTAGAAGATTGATGAGATGTGTTATCGATATTGGCCGCGGACTCTGTAGGAAAAGGAAGGTGCCGTCAGAGCCCAAGCCTGACGCGAACAAGTGAGGAAAGGCACGGCGTGCGGTCGACGTGCAGATGTATGAAAGAGATAGGATAGGAATCGAGATGAAGTGGAATCGTCTAGCATTCGTTTGCAATGTGCGGTCTTCATCCGGGGCCGGTTCGGCACAACTTGCGGTGAGCTAAACCATTCAGGTTCGCTCGCAGAGAAACAGAAGGAAACCGAAGCTACGACGAAGCTTCGTGCATGCTACAGCATGAGAACAAACCTTGATGCTTACTAGCTTGTCCGCTGGGACACCCTCAGTGTTCAGTCGAGTCACTCATATCCAACATGTCGCGTGGTCTTTCTCCTAAGAACGTTCAAAGAAAGAAAGGCCTTTTCTGCGGACGGGATTGGTCTATGCAAAGCCTCATCACAGGCAGTCTCAAATCATCGCACGTTCTGGAGCTATTCCCCTTGCACGTTACACCCGTCAAGAGCAAATCCTCCGAACGCATTAAGAGAGGTCGGAGCACCATATCTGACTCAATAATGGGCACTTTCGAGACCCAGGTCTCGAATTTTCTCTCTTACCGATTTCCGAGGCATTGTCCTGCCACTGGATGTTCAGTTGCCCAGATATAGGTGACAGCCGACCGAACATGGGTTATGGGCTCTACGGTGGTCTTCTGTAGTGATAGCGACTTCATACTCATATACAAGCGCTCTTGTCGCTTCTACGTCGGGAGTCGAACCGTGCCAGTTCTCCATGTAGCTGTCTTGTATACATCCTCCGAACCTTGGCTGGTTAGCCAGCCACAGTTGCACTTACTCACGTTATCTCTCGTGGTCCGGAGCGCTATCCGGGCGTGTGCGCACCGGTTGTGCCACGGATTCTCACCTTGCCTATATCATGCGCTCCTAGTAGGTCTACCTTTACCATAAGCGATGGTCTCTTACCCTGATCAGAGTCGAAGCCCAGGGTGCCTAACCCACACTACATGTATATAATTCCTCTCCCGCCTCGTAGGCCTTCTTCTCTTCACCCCAATCCCTCAATCGAAAAGCCTAGTTCAACAACTCCAGACATCCATTGTTTCCACCCTAGGGATCTCAATTCTCCCCCAGCACCCTTGCTTGGGACCGGCTTTGACTTTGCTCTCTGTCTGTTGTTTGGTCCACTTCCAAGCACCATGGCTGATCATAATCCGAATGCTCACTTGAACCCCTCTGCTGGCGCGTTCACTCCTGCCAATGGCCATCAGGTGAGCCCACTTTCTTATCTCGAGCTCCAATACAAGGTCGAGGATCTCGAACGCGAGCAAGCCTGGTCCCGCGCCGAGATTTCCGACCTGAAGACCCTCTACCACACCTTCCGCACCGAAATCGATACCCTCAAGAAGGGTGGCTGGAACGTCACGGTTGGGTCCTTTCGAAACCAGATCAACTCGCGTTTCACGAAAGCACTGGACGATGTGAAGGAGAAGGCCATTAGCGGCGCTATATTGCCGCCAAATGGTTGTTGTAACAATGCTAATGTGAGTCAAAAGAAGCTCAACGGTACAACCGTCCCTCCTCATCTGCGCTCCCAGACCGCCTCCTCCGTGCCGCCACACCTTCGACACAAGACAGGCACCAGCTTCGTCTCTGTGGCACCTCACCTGCGCAATGGAGTCGCCGATGGGTTAGTATTTTTCCAGCCTGTGGTGTGGTCAAACACTGACAAGCGCAGCCTCTCCGGTAAGAGCTCCGAGGTCAAGTCTGGCTTGTCGAATGCCAATAACCCTCTTGTCATAGATGGCAATGTCGACGACCCCAAGACCGAGCGCTTTAACCAGAAGACAATCATAGAGCGCGAATTGACCCCGCCGCTCTCACCCAAGACTCTTGATGCTCAACTGAGCACCGCAGCCCAGGATCTCTCCCTCCTCAAGATCGATGTCTTTGGGCAACCCTGGAAGCCCCAGTACATCGCCAACCTTCCTGATCTGGACCCTACTATCTCCTCTCATATACCCTCTGCTCCTGTGAGCTTCTCCGACGACTTCTTACGCAATCACCTCGGCGGCATCATATGGGGTCCCGGCCTCGCCTTCATCCCTCCCCCACAGCCCTCCATCCTCCCCGACCGCGTGTACTACACCGTCGACCCGGCACACGACCCGCACCTCCCTTCCGCGCCAGGCCAGCACGGTGCCAAGCTCGTACCCTTCTTCAACATCGTTCCTGAGGACAACCTCGACTTCGACCTGCCCGAGGACTACGACTCGTCGTCCAATGTTCCGCTGTTCGTGCTGGAAGATGTACCTGGTGCTGGTGGCAAGACACGTAAGCGCTATGTATACTACGGACACTACACGCAATCACGCTGGAGCGACAAGCTCGACTACGACCGCATGGTGAATTGCGTGCCCGCTTCCGTGCGGGAGTACTGGGCGGAGGAGCTTTCCGCATCAGGCCGTCCAGAGTGGGTCACCAACGCCCTGCAGAGGCACTTCTTCCCTGCGCCTGTGTACCACGGCGCGCTGCCCGCCGTTGCTGAGGATGAAGGCGGTTCTGTCGCTGACGAAGAGATGGCCGCCCGCGAGGAGAAGGTCGCGCGGGATGTGAGTCGACACGTGAAGTTGCTGAGGGTATGGAAGAAGGAGGCGGATATGCGGACGAGTCTGATTAGGAAGGACTTCATTCTTACTGCTTTCGATCGAGTGAGTTCCCTTCTTCATTCAATTCCCTTTGTTTCCCCTGATAACAGTTCGCAGGCTGATGCGGACGAGCCCACGGCGCTGCGCCTCTGGTGGGAGTACCTTGAGTGCGTCGACTGGCGCGTTGACTTCTACAACACGCTGGTCACGCTGCAGAGCCGCAACCCCAGCTATATCTAAGGCATCGCTGCAGACACCGAGAAGGACCTGGATGAGTTAGCTGTCGAGCTTGGTACCACTGGTCTCGCGGTACTTAATGTCCTTGGAGATTATTGACGTACGGTGTGGTGAACTACTGGGCTGCGTCACTCGGAAGGATAATCAGGTAGTACAGGCCACACTGCCATCATGTCGAGCACACATGTCCGGATCTACTTGTAGGCATGGTAACAGGGCTGGCTGACATGGCAAGGAGCTTTGGCGTTGACTTGGATACCCTGTATTTCTCATCCAATCTAGCTTTTCTTCCTTAATGGCGTCTTGGCCTTTGGTTTAGACCACTATCACGATTTTGCCTCTATATTGAGATATCATGTAGCAACCGGCTCGACAAGAGACTAGGTGCGCCATGCTACCATCTCTCATCTCTAGTATTTTGGAATCACCCCCTTTACCTGCCATAGGGATTGGAACATGCCGACTAGATTTAAAAATGGGCCTCATTCAAGTTGCTCTCATACGACAGTCTAGCGTAATACTTACGGAGTAGGTCGTATGGATGTTCGTCGCTGCCAAAGTACATACACGATGTCCAAAGAAGAACGAAAAGGAAAAAAAAAAAGCCCACATCCGACCTCTGAAAACCTTGACCATGGGTTTGTCTATTGTCTGCTTAAATGATATCTCTAACTTTTGTTACGCCAAAGAAAAGAAAGAAACTAACTTTTGAGTGCGCTGAGGGCCCGTAGATTCGTTTTAGTGGCATTTGGCATGTTGTAGGCTCTGACATCAAGCGATGCTAAGGCTGCTGAGCATCATGTCGTCTCGTAAACTTATCGGTCGTTTCAGGCTCCATTAGCCCATAGCAGCTACCCTTCACGGCTCTTCAGCTTCACCCTCTCCATATCCGCTCTCAATTCCTCTTCGCTCGCCAAAATATTCTTTGCCCACGGCACTCTAACGTTACGCACCGCCGTGTACCTCGCGTTGTCGTTAGGTACCACAAACGCCTTGCCCCTTACGACGCCGCCACCGCCCCAGCCTCCTTCATCACCACCATCCAGTACTATTGGTCCGTCTTCACCATGCGGACGGGTCTTTCTACCTAGGTATGGCGGCCCCCTTCCTAGCTCCGCAGCTCTTTCCCAGGATGTTTCGCATGCTCGCGCAATAACAGCAGCTGATGCCCAACCTGTACGACGATCGATATCGAGTAGACGTTTGATGAGCCAAGCGCGCTGGGGAGGTTCCTGATATTGCACACCTGCAAAGAAGAGTGCCATTGTAGCCTCGATCAAGGCCGCACCGAGGAATGGACTTAGGGGAATGTCATCACTGGGGGGCACTTGCATACCTGCAGAGATGCGGCCGATGAGCATTGCGTACGGTTTGGTCGTTGCTGCGGCGACACCTGCTGCAATTGTCGCAGCAGGAGGCATGGCGGGATGCGAGCGGACGAGCAGGATCTTGGAGAGGTGTAGCATTGTCCATAGCGTGCTGATATCATAGCTACGGTGAACGAGAGCTGGTCCAAAGGGGGTACCATTACCACCAGGTGCAACAGGGTAGAGGTCTTCGCTGAGTGGTGCGAAAGCCTCTTTGTTGGCCAGGCTACTTGCGATTGTAGCATAGGCACGAGACATATTCTGCCATTCTTCCTCCGCTGCTGAGAGAGCAGCGGGAAGATCTGCAAATTTCGGATGGGGTGTGTTTGGAGTTTTGGGAGATCGTTCGTAAGTATAGCCTTCGGGTGCGGCATAGCTTTTTGGAAGCGGGGACGGACCGCCAGTAGGAGCCATGCCATAGAATGTTGGCATAGATGGCGGCCCACGTGTAGCTTGTCCTTGCTGTGGTCCTGGTGCTTGTCGCTGGTCCGGCACGGGCGTAGAGCTATGAGGTCCCTTGTCATGCAGATGTCGGGGTGGCCCCATTGATGTTGATATAGACTTTGGAGGCTCTGGGCGTCCTGCTGGAGCAGACGGTGGCCCCATCGGCGTCCCTCCAGGCATGTTGGAGCTTGGCCTCCACTGCCCACCATTTGCCTCCACTTGTTTGAGCTTCCTGTCACGATCTCGTACGGCGAAGTCGGATATGCGGGCGATGAGGAGAACGATATGGTCATGTGTGCCGTAGATAGCGTCTGATCGGCCGAGCGGTGCGCGAGGAGGGCAGTTTGACCATTTGCGAAAAGGTGTTCTATGCCGTCAGTGATGGTAAGAAGGCAAAGAAGACGTTTTCCTCACATTAAAGAATTGCCGCTCACCATGCTCTGAAAAGCGTCATGGCGCATATAGAACCATTGAAGATCCTGCAGCGTTTCAAAAGTCTTGATGTCCAGTTTCCCTGGCAAAGGAGACCTTTTCTCCTGGCCGTCGTCTCCAGCCTCTAGCACCCTACCAAAATCCTCGTAACTAACCTTCTTACCAATTATTGCGCTCACCATGCCCTCGTCGGGCATCATCGTATCTATCATCGGGGTCGTTCCTCGATTTCCAAGGTGGGCAAGAAATCTTGATTCTTGGGCCTCCTGCACCGCTTTCAGACGTCGCGCTTCTCGAGTAAGTGATGGGAAATCCAGCTCGGCTAGCAGCTGTGCAGCTCCAACCAGATGAGTCGACCATTTGACGTGCTCAGCGGTCATGACTACCTGCTTAGCGATGCCAAATCATGAACGCGGAGGGCCTTACCTTCGTAAAAGGCTAGCAGAAGACTTGTTGCGACCGTAGCAATCGTATGTCGTCGTTTGGGGTTGGCCAGAGATCGGCCCAGGCGTTTTAATGCATACGCTACATGGTCTAGTTAGCTTTACTCTTATCTTATTAACGCGCGTCTGGTCGAACCATAATGCTTGTAAGAAGGAGTCACCGAAGCTCGTTGTAGTTTTGCGATGTGTAAGCTCGCCAGCGCCAGCATGGCGTGTAGCAATCCCTGATGGTTCAGAGCTTTTAGAGGCAGAATGTAGGTCCAGAGATTCTGCTGTGACGGTGGAGTCGGTCCTTCGAATAACGACGTAGGGTTTCGAGGATTTCGCTCGTAGATGGAAAGTGACTGAAACACATCAATGATAGCCAGGTGGAGTGATGAGTTCGGACTACTCACCGGTGCAGTAACATGAATGAAGTGCGCAAACACTCTTGCGGTTTTTGGGTTCTTCAGCGGGTTCGCAACTTGCTCCGCCTTGTAGGACGCTAGAACGCCTTCGTAGATGAAGGCATCGTATCGTCGTACCGACAGTTCGTTCGTATGCTGGAACTGCATTTTCCGCATGAGACTGAAGTCTCGACTCAAGACCATTGCCTCTTCATTAAGCGCTCCAGGTGTATCCGTGTCCGAGTCAACGTCCCAGTAATCATCGTCAACTTCCTCTACGGCAGCCTCGTCGAGGACTTGTGTAGGGCTGACATGGTCGCCGCCGCCGAAACCACACCATGAGATTTGCGGGTTGTCCTTGGCTGCAGTGGATTCTATCATAAGCCATCGTTAGCCGCATCTCTTCCCACACGCGAGAGAGCAGACTAAATCTCGAAGCTCATCGACAAGGCATAAGGGCAGATCATAGCATGTGGAGAAAGGCGACAAGAAACGAATGTAGTAATATTTGATGACCGCCTTGACAGGCCAAAGTGTTGTTATACAAATGGACAGAGAAGGAGATAACGATAGTGGTAGCTCAAGGACTAAAGCCATAACTAAACACGGGACATACCGTAAACAGCATGCTGGGGCATATACGCTACAGATGAAGACACGTCATGCTGGGGTATCTGAACAGGCTGGTAATTAGAATGTGAAGCATCTGGGTGTGAGACTGCCAGCGAGTAGGCCTGGCTATAACTTGGCGAACTGACTGGCGGTTGTTGAAGGGGAGCCTGCGAATGGCTCCCATATGCATAGTAATTTTGATCGTGGGAAGGTTGTGTTTGGTATTGGGTCGGTGAATACCGTGCAGCATTCTGAGCGTACTGTGCTTGGAAGTTTGCATGCACCGGAGAGGGTTGAGAAAAGTAAGACGTCGCGCTTGTTGGTGTTGGTAGTTGATGCTGAGGAGAATGGAGTGGGTGTTGGTGTTGAGGCGAGGCCAAGGGTTGACTGTAGTTGCCATCCTGGCTATAGGATTGCGCAGTTGGTGTATAGGCTTGCTGGGTGTTAAGCTGCTCTAGGGTTTGCGCGTTTTCCGATTGGTATTCGAAGTGGGCGAGCGGTCGAGGTTGGATCGATGTGAGGGTGCTGTCAGGAGACTGCGCCGATGAGGCACTAGGACGATAATTTGGTGCACGACTGCCGGGGAGCATCGAGTTGTGATACTGTAGGTTGGTCACCACTCCCGGATGGTTTGGCCAATCCCCGAGGGGGGAGGCTTGAAGATGACGCGCTGGTTGTAGCCTTCGCACTGACGTTTGGATTTGATGCAGTTGGCGCAGGTAGGTCTCTCTTCGCCGCACTTGATCCTCCTCTTGCGGCAGGTGAGGCATCCGGTCTTGGTCCTCTTCCTCGCCTTTGCGTTGCCCGCGGCGGTTGGTGACACATCGCCAGCGCCACTCCCCGCCTTGGTTGGGGTCGGCCATGTCCATGGTGCAAGAAGCGACTTCAAGGTCGCTCACGTCGTGGACAGGCTGGGCGAGAGTCAGTAAAGAGGAGTGCCTCGGGTGTGTCGAGGGTCATGCGGGTCTTTGCGCCGACCCGAAGGAGAGAAGAGACTCGTACCTGGGCGAGGCGGTGTTAAGGAGACGGCGAGACTAGATCGACCGGCAGGTTACTGGTCCGCGATCAAGTCGGCGCTATGGTGCCAGGAGGGGAAAGTGCCCGCCAGCAAGTGTCGATCGGCTGGCTGTGGTTCGGCGGGGCGTCAACGGCCCAGCTGTCAGATTTTGCGGTGGACTGGATGAGGCACTGGAGAGGAGCAGCGCTACGTGTGAGTGGGATCTAGCGAGCCTTTGGGTAGGACAGAGGGCGGGCGAGTATGTTCAAGTTTACCTTTGGCTCAGGAACCATGTGGACCGGGAACGCGAAGTCAGATATAGGGAACGGGAGCACGCACCACGCGTGAAGGCCGGCACCCACAGACCCCAACGAGCAACCAGGCGGCCGGGGCCCGTAGGAGACGTGTTGACAGCCCGAAGCAGGCTGCACGCAGTGATTGAAAGCTCGAACCGGCAAGTAGGCGGCTGAGAAAGAACAGGCGGTCTAGACAGATTAGGAGGACGATGCTCTGCTGGGGCCCTGTCAAGCTCTGTGAATCACGATAAGCAGTAAGGATTGTACTCAGGGTGACGGGGACGGGGGATGAGATGAGCTGCAGACGACTTGCAAAACATGTTGCTATAGGGCAGACATGGTGCGGAGTGCGGGCACGATGCATGCCATTGGCCTAGAGCTGGAGGCTTGCGGCGCCGGGGCTGGTTGGAGGACTGAGCTCTCGACGCCGACGACGGGAGGCCGGCTGGGATCAGTGAATGTGCACCCCTGGGATCGCTGGCTGGGCGTGTGTGCGGGCTGATGAGCGGGTCGTGCTCGATGTGGTTGCGCAGGGGTGTGGCAGCCTGCCCAGAATAGCATCACGGCGAGGGTGATGTTGGCGTCGAGCGTGGATGAAGAGTGAAGTCGCGGTCGTGGTCGCGGTCGTGGTGCAGACTGCCATGTCCCGCGCGGGCAACAAGCAGGACAGGGCAGGAGCCAGCTGCTCGTACAGACGGGCGAGGGCAGGCAGGCACGACCCGACGCCGAGGCCGCGCCAGCACAAAAGGTCCCACACACTGATTCAGCGACGGCGTTTGTTCTGCGCTGTCAGTGTGCCATTCCATTCGCCTCCCGCTCCCTCTGGCTGCAATGACGACGCGGCTCGCAGGCGGGCTGGAGCCAGTGGGAGCGCCGGCGCTGAGGTTCACGCCGGCAGCGAACCCTGCACGCGTCGTCGCAGTGCCCTTCGGCGCCCACGACGCTCTCGTCTCGTCCAGACTCCAGCGCACACAGGCTCGCCGCTGCACTTGGGTGCTGCTGGAGGGTCGCTTGCGAAGCGTGAGCCGCAACGGGACAGGACATGGCCAGCGCGGCGCGACTCCCAGCACAGCACCCACCCCAATGGCTCGCGCCTCCACGCTGCGTCGATGGCAGAGGAGCCAGGGTCGGATCGTCCTGGCGGGCGGCTGATGCTGCGCTGGCCAACAAGCGCAAACCCTCCCGCCGCACCCATGCCGATTCCAGCGCGCCGGGTAACCTTGTTTGCCACGGCGCGCTCGAGTCGGCGCAGGACGACGACTGCACACGGCGACGGTGCGCGTGTGTGGTTGGAGAGCGGGCGTGCCGCCGCGCCAGCTGCCCCGGCGCTCGCTCGCACGCACGCACGCAAGCAAGCTGGAGGCGCGCACGCGAGCGACACAGGGCGGCTGCTTAAGACGCGGCGCTATGATTTGCGCCCCAGCCCGCGTGCGACCGGGTCGCCGGAGCCTCCAGCCTCCCCCCGATAACTATGACAGCCCGAAAGCCATAACTGGCACGCCGGCGGCCGCTGTATCGTCGACGGACGGACCTGCAGCACGACAGGCGCGGCCTTGCCCCAAGTGCCGGCAAGTACGAGGTCGCGCTCTATAATTGCAACGAGCTGCAGCCGGGGCGACTGCCAGCATGCACCGTCCTTGAAGCGACGTAGATCGCCCGGAAATCATGGGCCCGTGTGCCTCCCCTTCATCGCCTTGGCGACACGCGCACCTTGATTCCGCCACCCCGACCCCTGCTTTGGACCCCAATCACGAGCGCCACCAAACCACCCGCAGCCTCACCCACGATCCATCGCCTGGCCACGAGGTGCCATGCACACCAACTCCCTTCTGGGACGTGCTTTCCCTATCCGTCCTTGTCAGCTGGTGCGCCCGACCCCAACTGCTAGCCACTCGCTGCCGACATCCCTCCCCCGGCTGTATCTGGCAAGCCACGCACTGTAGCCCCCAGCATTGTGCACACATGACGCCAACCTACCCCACGCTCACGCCGTCGTTCGTGTTCACCGCAGCTGAGGCGCAAGCTTTGCATCAGAACCGTCCTGAGTGCTTTTGGGAATTCGTCCGAGCACCAGCACATTCTCCAGAGGGCAGCCATCCAAGACGCCGAAACTCGGGCGACGCTGTGACACCTCAGGGTCAGGGCCGAGCAATGAATTGTCTTGCATTTCGCACCTCGGTTGCTCCCGAGCACAGAATGAGGCTCATCCGCACTTAGCCGCTGCCGATCGCTGCTCTGTCTTTCTCCTCTACGGGGACGGCTTCCAACACTCGCCCACCAACTACTCAGAGACACAACTGCAAAAGCAAATCCGCAGGGATTTCCGCCCAAAAGAGTGCATCTGAGATGGCTCCACAACCAAGGCACAAAGCATAGGCCCGATTATAGCGTGATGTGGCACCCACGAGCAGCCGCTGGAGGCGTCCTTGTCACAACCTCAGATTCTGCTTGAACGGCGACGCCAGCTCTTGGCAGCTCTATTGGGAGATTTTGATGGACTCAATTGCATCGCGTCCAATAAACGGCAGCTGGGCCCGCCATTCATTCACCGGCTAGCCATTTCAGGTCGATCTGCAATGGCCTACGCCGTGCAAGCTAAACTCGACTGGAATGTATTGCGAAAGCACGTGGGCCCGCCATCACCTAGTTCTCTAGAGCAAACGCTGTTCAACAGCTCGTGTTCATGGGTTGAAGGCATTGGGTTTTCCGGTGTTGAGAAACATGAAAGCACTATGTTGGATTTACACGACGAGCTCGCTTACTCGAGCCGCTCCTGGACTAGACTCCACTCTACCTGAGTCCGCAGGAAATGACACCAGCTCGCCCATCACAGCCGACACTCCGTAGATGCGCACTCATTGGGGGAATTTCCCGGTCAACGACAGAAGCCCTGCATTCCCGCCCGCTGCCGTTTCGATATATCAGATGCTGCAGGATTACCAACCAGCAACCGCCAACCGGGAAGAACGACCTGCTCTTGAGTCTGAGTCTGGGTCCATCGGTCTACTTCGTTCTTTGGTCTTGCCAGTCATGTCTATTTTAGCATCGCTGCATCCACTGGGTACGACTTTCGCCCTGTATGCAACCGACAAGGATACATTATGTAAGGTCCCAGTCAACAAAGATCGACATCTACAATCAAGATCGCCGCTTGATTACCACCTTGCGCGGTACGAGTCAGGATTGGTGGAGCCGAGCTGTCATTCTGAAGGCATTTGATCGAGCAACAGCGTACGCGAGCCGCAATTCGATCCAAAATGATTGCCATCATCTTCGCTTGCTGAATGGTCAACGATCAATGTACGCGTGTAAGCAGTATGTTCTCCACCCGGCACATGATTGACGGGCTAGCGACAAACCTTCCCGACCGCAAGCATGCATATGCCACCGCGTATGCCTATTTGTATAGCGCTCTTCCTAAGACATGGCTCGTATCTTGGAGACTACGTTGGGACACGAGCCGACCACGATCCGGTGAAGCTGAATAGGAAGGCACGGTACTTCAGCTTCACTACAACAGCGTCATGCATCTCCAAAAATATCGACGGATGGAAAGCAGCGCCGAGAGCGGTACAAATGGCACAGTCGTCGTCGGTCCGAGGTACTTTCCTTCGACATCCGATGCACCAGCACACCATGCGGTGAACATACGGACCCCATGAGAAAGATCAACGAAGCAGTACGGGCAAGAGACCCGTGATCCACCTGAAATCTTTACTCTTCCGACAAAAGCGGCCCCAATCTTGAAGCCTTCACCGCTTGATACTAGTGTAGCATCCAGTGATTACGATGTCAACATGACAATAAGCAAAGTTCGCAGCGACAGTCGATCCTTCGCAGACAGCTGCTTCGTACAGATCTGCAGTCAGGATTTTCCATCATGAGGAATGATCAGGACCATAGTCCGGCACGTAGTCCCGTTAGCATCACGCGTTTCCCTAGTTGATTCTCACTCGTTGTGTAGTCACAACAGCTCGTCAACGCCTGTTACACCCTTACATCGGGACTAGCCATCGACGGGTGTAGAAGAGCTAATAATTCGTTCATCTTCTCTTACCAAATCAATCATCAACAGAATGACTAATAGGTACACCCTAAGAGGCACCACCAAATACCGAACAGGATTGGTCTACCCGCATTATATCCTTCGCAAATGCACAATCACCGAAAGATGAGATCATAGAGTCTAGTGTTAGCCTTTCAGCGGCGGAAGTGGCTGCAAGATAAAACCCGTCCATCCGTCTACTCCTGTATGCACAACCACATAATCGCCTAAAGACGAGCAAATACGTAGCTTTGTCTTCACAACGGCACAGGCGGACGCAGAACAAAGCGAGCTTGAACGCACGACGAAGTTCGTAAGCACACATGATAACCTCACCACTCAAGCAGAAATATGAGTGTTCGGTCCTGACAGCGTCCTATGTGCCATACAAAGAATGCATTATTGATGCTTCCCTTGGCTTCGAAACCACTACGAGCCCCGGGACGCGCGCCTCTTGGACTCTAGGAGCATACCTCGACTACTGCCATTTACCGAACCTAGTCACTTACTAAATCTACACCGACACCCTTCAAAGCGCCTACTGCCCAGGCGGGATATTTGCTCTTGTCGTCGTACAGCTTGGCAAAGAAGATCCGCAAGAAAGCTGGATACCGGTCCTCAAGGATAGCCTCGCGTATCAGTCTCATGAGATTGAGCTGGTAGTGGACGTTGTGCATGGTGAGCAAATGGGCTCCGGCAGTCTCTTTCGCAGTGACGTGGTAGATGTACGCACGCGTAATGCCCAAGCCGCCGTCGTCTGTAGATCGGCAGCAGGTGCATTGGCAGCCTTCTTCGATGGGGCCAAAGTCTGTTGAGTAGACTGCGTTGCGCAGGTTGAGTACCCCACGGGCAGTGATAGCGTTGCCGAAGCGCTGCGGAATTAGTTATACAGTTCACAGAGGTGGGGGCGGGTTCACCTACAGCTGTTCGTGTAGGCCAGACGCAGTCAAACATGTCTGCTCCTAGAGCGACGGAAACCACCAAGTCCTCAGGGTAACCCTGATCTAATCAGTCAAGCTCAGCAAGTGAATGAATCCACTGACCACGCCCATGACATAACGAGGCTTCTTCTCAGGCAGCAACCCTGTACATGTGTCCACGACTTTGCAGTACTCGTCTTTCGCTTCGCCGCCCGACAGACCTCCAATAGCGATACCAGGTGTATCTCTCGCCACCATCTCAGCCGTGCATTCTCGCCGCAGGTCCAGATCTAGGCCGCCTTGTATGATGCAAAACAGATTCTGCCTGTCTGGGTACTTGTGCTCCTGGATGCACCTGTCGAGCCATCGTACCGAGCGCTCCATGGCTTCCTTCATCCTTGCCAGGTCAGGTGAAGTCGTCACTATCACATCATCGAGCTGCATTATAATGTCTGAGCCGATGGAGTTTTGGAGCGATATCGAGTGCTCTGGGGTAAGGAGCATTGGCGATCCGTCGTGCGGACTGAGGAACCGCACGCCTTCCTCCGTGACTTGTGCGAGCTTGAGCAGCGAGACCATCTGGAAACTGTTGCCATCAGCTCGTGACTGAGATTGTTGAAGGTGTCACTGACCCACCGCTATCTGCACCAGTCAGCGCCGTGCCATCTTGTACATGAGAGCGGTTCAGGCACCTGTGAGTATGTTGTGCGGCCACGACTGGAACTTGTGCGCGCCGCCTATCGCATCCAGCGTCGCCTGGCCTGGCTTAAGACCTCTCTCTCGTGTCAGCATTGTGCAATTGTCCTAAAGCAGGCACGGTATACAGATGGTACGTGTTGTTGAGGCAGAGTCTACATCCTTGCTCTTCAAGTTGCTCCGGGGTCAGCCCTTTGAGGGACGCTTGTGTAGCGACGGGCATGAAGATGGGCAGCGGGACGGGGCCATGGGGAAGGTGGAGTGTTGCAGCGCGGGCTTTCGTGATCTGTTTTTAATGTCAGACATGACAAATATTAGGAGAGATGTGCTTACGGAGCATTTTCCCAGCAGCTCGAAGCTGAGAGCTGAGGGCATAGGCACGGGTGCCATGATTGTGAGTTGCTATCGGAACGATGGTGGAGAGATTTCGGAATTGCTGCGCGTGGGATGGGATTTAGGGTTAGGTCTGTGCGCGAGGGTCCGAAGCCTCATCGATCTGGTCAATTGTCCAACAAATCATCGTCATCGCTGTTCGATTGTCACCATTGGGGCCATCTTCTTCGCTTGAACGGGCGGGTGTCTTTCGGTCGGTCTTCGCAGCCATCTTCGTTTGAGATTATGACTTTCTCAAAGTGCCACTTCATTGTGCTTTGATCACTGAACCCAGGCATACCCTCTAAACTTGATGAACCTGGTCACCTTCTTCATGAACGAGACTGCAGCGCTAGCACCGTCAATGGAGATATTGGCTGCGCCTTCGCCATCATCCGTCGTTACTACCGAGACTTCCGTCCCCAACGCGAGGCCCCTCTGTATTACATCACTTCAAGAGGGCGAAGGAAGATTACGCTTTGAAAGTGTTGTAAAGAGATAGTAACTGGGGCAGAGCCTACGGGGAAGCATTTGGCTCGGTCTTGATCTTCGAGTCCTTCCCGACTGCCTCAGTATCAGCAATGGTGTACTGTGGAAGCGGACCTTTCGGCCTGTTTAGGGACTGTACCTGCTCAAGATGCCGAGGAAAATGCTGGAGTCCGGCAGTCGACGTTGTTAGAGGAGCCCACCGTGGTTCCCTTAAATATTATGATGATAAGCATCGACCTGTGGGAAGGAAGGACCGATCGTCTCGTGCTTGCAAGGGGTTCGAACAGCTGCCCAGTGGCAGGAACCAAGTTCTGACCAGATGCAAAATGTGCTGAGGTGGGTAATTCTTATTTGACGTAAGAAAACTGCGGTGGGAAGACTGACGCTTGCATTGTTTGCTGCTGCTGCTGCTGGACGAGCTGTTTGTGCAGACGCCACGTTTTCACTACCTGCTGAAAGGTGATATTGCCCCAAATGACGTAACATATATTCGACACAGCATTCTCGGGCCGACTGGATCGTCAAAAGCGAATAAAAAGCAGATGCAGGTCGTGTGTTATACGCACTACGGTCACTGACAATAGGGTTATGGTCACGCCTGTCTGTCGTTGCGACAAGATTTTAAAGAACGTCTATGTAGACTTTGATCGTGAGTGACCCGGGAGCAACTCCCAAGACTACGCTGCCGCTCTTGACGAGTGCTGTTCAGCGGAGACCTGCAACGCTGATCGGCTTCACGAGAGCTAAGCTGTCCAAAAACATGGTGCTTCGAACAAAGTACCTTGGCGCGCAGGCGAATGTAAACTTGATGCAGGCCCACTGCTAGACGGCAAGCGAAGTGGAGCGCTGACATAGCCGCCAAAGACGAAAGGTGCGCTGGGCAGCGATATCCTCTTCATGCATGAGACTGGAGCAGGCTCACGGAGCACTGTCACAGGCAGTTGCGAGTGCAGTGGTGCGTCTAATTCGAGTATCTGCTGTCGCCCTCCGCAAGGCTTCGTGCCTCTGTCGGAGCATGTTGAAGGGCTCCCTAAGCTGCGGCCAGCGATTGCAGGTTTCCAGGCAAGCAAGCACGAAACTCTCGAAAACTCCTCGCTCTTGCACCGAAATGGCGGGGATGGCCAAAGAATCACCGGCCGGAACACACGCCTCAAAATCGACATATCCTCTCAGGGCTTTCTGTACAGTACTTTTACATTTTGGTTGGCTGTGGTAATGTGACAAGAAGCTCCCGCTTTCGTCGAAACATGTAGGCAATGCCAGTTCAGGATACCTACAAAGGGCCCTTTATCTTGTATATCGAATTGAGGTACCTAATCTCCAAACACGCCACCTATTTATATTCTTCCCTTGTTGCCGCTGTTGCCAATTGACCGGAGTCGTTTCGAAAACGTAGGTGGAATCTGATCCGAGGTTCGGAAGACAGGTCACAGGCTGTGCGACTCGCAACGCGCACTTCATTCCAATAAAAATCAAACTTTTCTTCTTGCTCCAGGCTTTGAAGGACACTCTCTTCGACCTGCGCTCGGTCTGTTCAAAGAAATCAGTATAGATCTGCGCAACCAGCCACAGTCCAGGGCTGGAGCGCACATCGTGCTCGATCGGAAGACGGCACTTCTGTATTGGCCTCCATAGCAAAACCCTCTAGGTTTTTTTTTACTTCGGTGACTGTGAGAAACAGCAACAAGCATCTGCTGGTCGTTGCTGGTGTTGCACTGACCGTCAATGACGTTGCCCTAGCGGTGAAAGGAAGCTCCACATTGCGGGGAAAGCTCGCATCCTTCGGGCATCTCCAACATCATCCTCCCCACACGGACCAGTGACGCTACTGCTCTGCGTCGGACAACAGGCGTCGGATCGCCGCCTTTCGTGTTCAAGCAGCAAGCGTCCTGCTTCCAGCAAGTGCCAAGCGAGCCGTCGTGGTTTTTACGCACCAGTCCCTGTCATCCAGCCACCTACGTTAGCTCGGCAGTGACCCGCCTTCTCCCACTGCATGATCCGGTTCTTTGTGTGCTGATGCACCGCGATGACCGATCGAGGACGATGTTTAAAGGCGGCATGGGGCCGCGACGCGTTGCCAGATATGTAGTATTCTCAATCGCTCTTGCCAATCCTCCAGCGCCGACATGAGAGCGTCAAGAGCTTCCGCCGCAGCTTTCATCGCAAGTGTGCCATTGACATTTGGGCTGTATGAAAATGGTTCCGTTATTGCGCCTTGCGACTCGCCAATCTACTGCCATGGGGACATCCTGCGAGAAATTGAGCTTGCGCGCCCATTCGCCGACTCCAAGACTTTTGTGGATTTGTAGGTTATCGGCGAGTACATTCGCGACAGCAACTTACGCAACTTCAGGCCTACGATCAGACCCTTCAACGAAGTCATTGATGCTTTCAACCAGCTCGAGAAACCAATCCAGAACAACAGCGCCCTGAACGATTTCCTGACGACATACTTTGGCGAGGCGGGCAGTGAGCTCGAGGCGGTTCCGACGGATGAGCTAGAGACCCAGCCGGATTTTTTGGCCAACGTCAACAGCTCCACGGTTGCGAACTTCACATCACAAGTCATAGACATCTGGCCTGACTTGACAAGGCGCTATGCAGGGCCAAGCAATTGCACGGAATGCGTGAATTCGTTCATTCCCGTAAATCGGACCTTCGTTGTTGCTGGTGGTCGCTTCCGAGAACCGTACTACTGGGATAGCTTCTGGATTATAGAAGGCCTTCTACGTACCAAAGGATCGTTCACCCAGATTGCTGAGAACATCATTGAGAATTTCCTGGATCTGGTGGAGGAGATAGGATTTGTTCCGAATGGCGCTCGTCGATACTATCTCAACCGATCGCAACCGCCTCTCCTTACCCAGATGGTGCGCATTTATGTTGAATACACCCAGAACTACACTCTTCTAGAGCGTGCTCTACCGCTGCTAGAGAAAGAATATGACTTTTGGACTAAAAACCGTACGGTAACGCTTGAGCGAGCTGGCAGGAACTACAGTCTGGTAAATGACTTATCGAGCCTCCCCAATGCACTGCTAATGCTATCAGAACCACTACGCTGTTTCAAACACCCAGCCACGACCAGAGTCCTACTACGAGGACTACGTGACAGCCAACAATGCGTCGTACCACAACGGAGAGGGACACATCTTTAACGCTTCAAAGGCACTTACCGACGAAGAAAAGGCTCAACTGTACGCCAATTTGGCTTCTGGAGCTGAGAGCGGCTGGGACTACTCGGCACGTTGGATTGCAAATCCTGGCGATAGCGTTACGCAGACCTTTTTTCCTCTTCGATCCCTGAACACTGTCAACATACTTCCAGTCGATCTCAACTCGATTTTGTACGCAAATGAGGCCGCGATCGCAGACTTCCATCGCCGTCAGGGCAACTATTCCGCTGCTGCTGCGTGGGCAAATCTTGCTGCAGAACGAAGCCTGGCCATGACCGCATTGCTCTGGGATACAGAGCACTACAGCTACTTCGACTATAACTTGACTTCCGGCGCAAAGAACGTCTATGTCATTGCGGACAATACAACTGTACGTGACGATTCGCCTGGTGCACCAGCTGGTCAGCAAGTATTTTTCCACCTAGCCCAATTCTACCCGTTCTGGACTGGAGCTGCACCTCAAGAGCTGAAAAACGACCCATCAGCCTTGCGCCGCGTTTATGCTCGCATCGAAGAGCTGCTTGACGACCGTGCGGGCGCGATTGCTGCCACGAATATTCAAACCGGCCAGCAATGGGACGAGCCTAATGTATGGCCCCCCCTAATGCACATCCTGATGGAGGGACTGCTCAACACGCCGCTCGACTCCGCGACCGAGAGTAACCAAACATCTCAAGACTATGTCTGGACGCAAGATCTTGCCCTCCGTCTTGCGCAGCGATACGTTGACTCTACTTTCTGCACGTGGCGCGTCACTGGCGGCGCAACACCAGAGTTTGCCCAGCTCGCCAATGCAGGAGGCAATGGAACCATGTTCGAGAAGTACTCGGACGAGAGCACGAATGCGGCAGGTGGTGGGGGAGAGTACACTGTTGTCGAGGGCTTTGGCTGGTCAAACGGTGTTTTGATATGGGCGGTGGACAAGTTTGGGCAGCACTTGCAAACGCCCAACTGTGGTAACGTTACGGCGGCCGACATCTCGACTAAGCGTAAGAGAAGTGCTATACATCTCGATGCGAGAGACGCGAAATGGGTGAAGAGATTCAATTAATTGGAACACCGGGAAAAAGGGTGGTGACGAGATATGATTTGTGTATATTCTCCTTTGCTCATGCAGGAACAGTAAATATCTCATGCGCGCCGCTTTTACGTTCTTCATGCGTTTCTTGCGGTGACCAATTGTCGACCTTACAGCTGGAAAGGTGCCTCGGTTGCTTTGGTTCTGGACGGGACGGGGACAGGGATCAGAACAATGCGGGGTTTGGTGTTGGAATACGACTCGTGCAATTAGCCTAGTGGCTTCTTGGTTCCCTTGAACGGATGAATCACAGTAAGAGATCGAAGGATCGACTTCGATCCTCACGTGGACTGGGGTTTCTTAAAAGATCCTTGCTAAGTTCTCTACAAGGACTCGAGTTCCGCTGCAACCGCAGCTCGTACTCAAGTCGCCTACCACCAGCAACAGTCTCATAGACTTTACTGTTTGTTAGGCTAACACTATGAAATACCGAACGATGCCCAGGTGGCCCACGACTCTATAACTGACAAGGAAATATCCACGACATTACACCGATGCACTAGGTGTAATTGCCCCAAGCGGCATTGGTATCACGACTATGTACTGCCGACCCCGCGCTCGGCGCCCACTTTGCATGAACGTAGATCGGAGTTACACCCGGTTCCTGATCAGCCTCCGTTTGCACACCGCGCCTACCCGGTCCACGTGTACAATTTGCAACGATGTGCATACACACGTGAATAAGGTGTGGGAGAATCATCCTGTGAGTGGTGGATGGCGCATGGCATGCGCTCTGTAGTATGCCGTGCATATAGGAGACTTGCAAGGAGACGCGAATACCGGCCTGAAGATGCATACCACTACTCTTCTTCCAAGTTTTCCGGCCTAGTAACCTGGCGGAGCCTGCGGAGCGGAAAACAGCTCGTTTTGGGATGGGGTGGATGAGAGCGGTGCATATTTAATAGATGGACATCGCGAGTAAACGGTCTTCACGGCTTTGTCTCAAGTCGCCCTTGGTCTCTCGTAGTCTCCCATTCATTTGACGGTAAGACAAAAGTACCCTACCTTGGAAGAAATTCGAGATGAAGTTCACCGTCTCTCTCGCTTCGATTGTCGCTGTGACCAGCGCGTTCCCGCTGTTCACCCGCGACTCCACGACTACACGGACGGAACTCGAGGCTGGAAGCGCCTCTGCTTGTCCGAAGGCTATTCTGATCTATGCGAGGGGCTCGACGCAGGAAGGAAACATGGTGAGTACTTCAACTTATCAGTATTCATTGCGCGAGTCATGGCCGACGTTGCTCGCCGCAATCATACTGTAAAATAATACGCCCTTATCTCTTGGAGAAGGATGCTAATACCGGCAGGGCGAACAACCCGGGCCGATCCTTGCCGATGCGCTCGAGTCTTACTACGGTGCAGCCAACGTTTGGGTCCAGGGTGTAGGAGGAGCGTACACTGCCGGACTTCTCGACAACCTTCAGCCTAAGGGCACGACCGATGCTGCTATCGCTGAGGGAGCCCGCCTTTTCAAGCTTGCAAACACAAAGTGCCCGAAGACTCCTGTTGTTGCTGGTGGCTACAGGTAAGCTTTCCATCATCGATCCACCTACCTTTGTCTACTAACGTACTGGGAACAGCCAAGGCGCAGCCCTCATCGCGGGCGCGATCCCCACTCTCTCGGCCACAGTGATCAATCAGGTTAAGGGCATCGTCCTCTTCGGATACACCCGCAACAAGCAGAACAACGGCGGCATCCCGAGCTACCCGCAAGCTAACCTGGCGGTTTACTGCGCTGACGGAGACTTGGTCTGTGACGGAACTCTGATTGTATTGCCTGCGCACTCTACTTACGAGGACGAGGCTGCGGATGAGGCGCCGAAGTTTTTGGAGAGCAAGATTGGTGCTTGAGGGATATTGAGGAGCACAATTGGGTTTCAATGTTCTTGCGATGGAATGAAGATGCGTTATGAGCGAACATGGCCATGTCAGATATGTGATGAAATGACTATGACATCTTGCAATCTGAGATCAAGTTACCTCAGTGCTTGTGGAGCTCCTGTTCAGTCGCAACACCTGCCGTCAGGGACAGCATCATCGGTCTACTTATCTCCCAAGCCTCGGTTGTTATTATTACGTCTAGGCGAGGTAGCACGGTTGTAGGCGACGAATCCTGGTGTAACACGACTCGTAAAGAGAGATCAAAACTCTGGATTGGTACCCGGCGGCCGCAAGGTACATGACTGTGAGGGCAGCTTTGACGCACGAAGACTAGTCTTGAGCTTTACGGCCATGTTGATGGGGTTTCTCTAATGAGAGCTTTTTGATTGATATTGTATGCATACAGTTGTCTTCAAAGTCCAGCCACTTCATCTACAGTGGAGCATACGCATGGGTCGCAAGCCAACATGGGACATGTGCAACGCCCAACGGCAATTGACAGATCTTATTGACCATTGAAGATGGGTATCATTTGTGTCAGCTCACACCTAGCCTCTATTGCCTCGCTTGCCACCCCTCTTGCTCCTTTCGATATGCCCCCTCATCGTCTTCTTGATATCTACTAAACTCCGCTTATTTTTCCCCTTCGCCTTGCCCAGCGTCATTAGGAAATTCTTCTTCCTTGCCTTCTCCTTATTCGTCGTACTCTTGCCCTCTGCCTCCTTCTTTTCTTTGCGCTTCGCAGTCGTAGATTGGTGCTTGCCTTCCTTATCGCTCTTCGCCATGGCCAACTTCTCCTCCTTGGTAGACTTCTTGCCAATTGCGGCGGCGGCTTCGATGGTTTCTGCTGTGATGGCGTCGTCGGCGTGGCGTGCAGCGAGAAGGGCCGCGCGCTTGGAGGATGGCATTTGTGATTTGACGGCCGCGGATTCCTGGAGTGCGCGGAGTTGTTTGAGGTCTGCGGGCGTGAGTATAGTTGATGTAAGGAGCTTGGATATCTGTTTCTGGATGGGTTCTTCGCTATGCGCCTTGCTTCCATTTTCACCGGGGCGGGGCGTTTCGCTTTTGGCAAGTTTGGCCTTCTTCGCTGCAGGTCCATTCTCCTTCTCGTCCTCGCTGTCGCTGATGTTGATGTCTTCGCTGTCTGACCCGACGTTGATCCAGCCGCCCGAGTCGTCGCTGTCGTCGGATTCCACATCCCAATTCTTCCAATTTTCGGCCTCGTCTTCTTCGTCTTCCTCGTCCGTGGCGGCATCCGCGGGCAAGCCAGCGGCTTCGCGGCGTTTGCGCCGCTCTTCTGTTTTCCACTGCTCGAGGAGGTCGATACCTTGAATCTCTCCGGCTGCTTCCTCACCAAAACGCTGCTCTTTTGTGCCACCGGAAATAAGTGCGATGGTGGCATCTTTGCCTCTGTCTCGCTTTTTGAGGAGCTCGGCGCCGACTTCGCGGTACAGAGAGAGGAGACCACGGGCGGCCATTTGCACACCTTTATCTTTACTCTTACGGTACATGACGAGATCCTGGAGAAGCGTATCACTCATTGCAAGGGGCTGACGCGCACATATCTCGCGAATGGCGTTCAGACCGGCAGCAGCTACTTCTTGTGCGGAGGCTTCACTAACGAACTCGTTTGCGATCTTCTGAATGAGGGGCTCGAGAACGTCAGGAGGTACCAGAGTGTGTGTTGCTTGTGCAAGGATGGCGAGGAATGATGTGACGGAATTCTGGCGGGGAGTAAGGAACTTGAGGAGATAAGAGTATAGTGATATAACGGTAAGCTTGTGCAGGCCGACAAGTCTTGAGACCAATTGAAGGACGATGAGTTTCGACTCGAGCGATAGCTTCGATTTGGAATTTTGCACATGTCTGGAAAAGAGGGTTTCGGCGAAACCTTGGGGATCATGAAGCAAGTGCAGGGCCGAAAAGTTGAGCGGATGAGGTGCATTCTTCTTGCGTTCCTTCCTCTTTACTGTCGCAGCAGCTTGCTTGAGCTCTCGTGCCTTCTTTTTCGTCTTTTTGTTGATGCCGGCCTGATGGCGTAGCGTTTTCATGTCGATGTCGTCGTCGCTGCTCTCGTCGGCTGCTTCCTCGCGCTCCTTGTCGCCCCCAAGAAAGAAACGCACGCCGCCGGTGATGACTTTCTCGTTCTCTGAGAGGCACGCCTCTTTTATTATATCAACTGCTCGCGCATCTGTCCAAATTTGCCGCTTCCACAACTCGCGCGTGATTTTGACCGCCCACAGACCCTTTGTGGAATCGCGATCTGATGTGAGCAAATTGAAGAGGACTGTTTGGATGGTGCGATTAAGGCGGTGATTTGTGGATCTTATGTTGGAGGATCGGAGGTCGGATATAATCTTCTGGAAGAGCAGCGCGCGCAAAGTCTTGCTGTGGGTCGAAACGAGGATTGGGAACAGTGTATTCAGCAGTGTCGCAGAGTCGATGAGGTCTTTGTTCCGCAGCAAGACCAAACTACTCACCATCTTGTCGCGCAAGTCGGCTTGCAGCTCGTCATGGTGCAGGGAAAGTATCTGGATCAGATCGTCGGAGAATTGTGCGGTCGCCTTTGGGTAACAATCGGCCGTGTGCGCAACGAAGTCAATCAAGTCGTTTAAGCGCACAATTCCAGTGTCGTCACTCGTAGACGGATTCTGTAAGAGGAGGTCGCGCAGTGCCTGGTACTGCATGTACTGCTGCTGGTGGTCTTCGAAGTACGACGGCGGGTCGCGGCGAACCTTGTACTGGAGACTCGTTAGATCGGCATCGACCTTTTCGAGGGCACCGAGTTTCCGCTTCATCTTGTCAGTGTTCTCGGACTGAGCGTGGCAGTGGCTCGAAGGTCGAGCGGTCGAGATAATCTTCAATTTTAGGCGGGGCCATGCTTGCCTATTGGTCGGCGCGGAGGCGAGTTGTTCCTGCCGAAGTCAGAGCTCTAATATCTTCAACCGCCCAGCATCCTTCCAGACCTCGCCGCAGCGCTCACTTCAATTCGTCTGTCTGCGCGCGATCCTCCGCCGTCGCGCGCTGCTTGACAACTGAGCTACCTAACTACTCTCGGACGCTGGGATTACACCCAAATCTGCGCTCGACACGCCGTTGCGTTCCCTGGGCCAGCGCCCGCCTCCGCCGCCATGACGAGCTTTTCGACCATGTCGCTGTACGCCTTGACGGTGAAACACCCGTCGGCGACACAGGATGCAATCACTGGAGACTTCATGGGCAACCAGAGACAGCAAATCTTGACTGCCAACGGCTCTCGCCTCTCCATTTTTGAGGTCTCGCGGCGGCAGAAAGGCTTCCAAGAGATATACTCGCAGGATGTGTTTGGTATCGTCCGTCGCATTGGCAAGTTCAGACTGGCTGGTGGCAATAAAGGTACGTTCGCCCTCTTTTCACGCGCAAACATCCGATAGTGATCTTCCAAGGCACAGCAACTGCTGCGAGCATCCTGCGCAAAACGCCCACCCTGCCTGTAGGAAACCATCTATGCTACTGAGTACATGCGCTGACATACCCAGACCTGATAGTCATCACCACCGACTCTGGGCGCCTCGTCACGTACGAATACGAGCACGAGCCATTACAGCAATTCAAAACTGTGCACTATGAGACGTTCGGCAAATCAGGCATTCGCCGTGTTGTGCCAGGTGAATACCTTGCCGTGGACCCGAAAGGGCGCGCCATTATGATCGCCTCAGCCGAGAAGAACAAGCTAGTCTACATTCTCACACGTAGCGGCCAGACAGATATCGCTATCTCTTCTCCATTAGAAGCACACAAGCCACAGACGCTGGTCTATTGTCTCATTGGCTTGGACGTCGGGTATGACAACCCCATGTTTGCTGCCCTCGAGCTCGACTTCTCGTCTGCCGAAACTGACCCAACTGGAGAGGCGGTCCAAGAGCTGCAAAAGGAGCTGGTTTATTACGAGCTGGATCTTGGTTTGAACCACATTGTGCGCAAATGGTCCGAGCCTGTTGACCGCACCGCACATACGCTATTTCGCGTCCCTGGTGGGCAGAGTGCGCCGAGCGGAGTGCTTTGTTGCGGGGAAGACAACATCACATACCACCGCATCTTCAACAACAAGACCCAGATGCACCGGTTGGCGATACCACGCCGAGAAGGAGCGACCGAAGACCCTAATCGCAAGCGTGTCATTGTCACAGGCACCTTGTACATGCTCAAAGGCGGTGACTTTTTCTACTTGCTGCAGACTGACGACGGCGACGTGTTCAAACTCAACATCACCCATGACAACGGAACGGTCGAGAAGATTAAGATTAAGTACTTTGATACTCTTCCGATCGCTACCAGCATTTGCATCTTGCGAGCGGGATTCGTCTACCTTGCTTGTGAATCTGGTGATCGTACCGTCTACGAGCTAGAATCGCTTGGAGACGACACAGAGGATCCCGTTTTTGAGAGCACCCAGTTCCCGGTTGATCCAACAGCTTCGTACGCTCCCCCTTTCTTCAAGCCACGAGGACTCACAAACTTAACCCCTGTGGAGGCACTGCCAAGCTTGAATCCAATCATGGACATGGAGGTCGCAAATCTGGCCCTCGAGGATGCCCCACAAATATACACGATCCATGGAACAGGCGGACGCGGCACATTCGGCACTACCCGTAACGCGTTAGAAGTTCTCGATCTGATCGAATCACCATTGCCTGCCAACGCTATTGGTGTATGGACCACCAAGATGAACGTAGAGGACACAGAAGATCAGATCATCGTCTTGTCTATGGCGAGCTCAACGTTGATTCTAAAAATCGGCGAGGATGTCGAACAGGCTCAACATCATGGCTTTTTCGAAGAATCAAGCACCCTTGGCGTCCAGCAATTCGGCGAAGATTGTATCATCCAGATCCACCCGCGAGGAATCCGGCATATACGGAACCTTCAGTTCGAGCAAGGGGATGCCCAAGGCAACGATCCGAAAATAACAAATTGGGACTCACCGCCTCATCGGACAATTGTCGCTTGCGCGGCCAACAACCGACAAGTTGCAATCGCATTGAGCTCGGGTCAGATTCTATATTTTGAGTGTGACTCAGATGGCTCATTAGCTATGGCCGAAGACGACGACATCACCCTGGATTCTACCATCAACTGCATCGCTATACCTGAAGTCTCTGAAGGGAGCGTCCGCGCGAACTTCATGGCCGTGGGTTGCAGTGACCAGACCGTCCGGATATACAACCTCCATCCCGACGTGGAGGGTAACATTCTCAGGAGCATTTCCGTGCAAGGTCTCTCTTCACCACCAAGCGATTTGACCATCAACTACATGCGCGACAAGTCACCTCGGGGTTACAGCCAGTTCTTACACATTGGTTTACGGAGTGGTGTGTATATTCGCTCAGTGCTGGACGAGATGACTGGCGAGATTGGCGACACGCGGAGACGCTTCCTCGGACCGGAAGCCATCACTTTTGCACGCGTCACGGCTGCCGGCGAGCCTGCGGTTGTGGCAATGACCTCGCGGCCATGGTTGGCATACACGCATCCGCGTACCTCAGTGCTCCAGTTGACGCCTCTCAATTATATCCCTTTCAAGTCGGCGTGGAATTTTGATGGTTCGGCGTTCAAAGGCATAATCTGCGTGAACGCCAACGAGCTACGGTACGTATTACTGCCATATCTTTCTCTTCCCTGCTGTATGATGACGTCTATTACCCTGAACACGATGAGGGTTATACGCATTTTTCCAATTGTTCCTACTGATAACAGCATTAAAAATCCTCCTTTGCAGTCAACTTGCTAGACAGCGCTGATGGATGATTAGGATCTTCACGTTCAACGATCTACTCGACAATACCACATACGAACCAATCCAGCTCCGCTACTCTCCCCGAAAGTTTGTATCTTATCCCGACCAAGGCGTTTTCTATGTCATCGAAAGCGAGCATAACACGATAGGTGCCGACATTCGCCAAATGCTTATCGACCAAGCTCACTCAAACGGTCCCGCAAAGATGGGAACCGACGGAGAAGAGGCCCTGACAAACGGCCACACCTTCGGAGACGAACTGGACCCGACCAAGTTCGGCTACCCCAAAGCCCAAGGACAATGGGCGTCCTGTATCCAAATCGTCGACCCAATCACCGAGAAGAAGGTCGTCCAGAGCTTGGAACTGAAGGACAATAAGTCTGCAGTTAGCGTCGCCCTCGCGTATTTCGAAAGTCGCGGAGAGAACGACATGTATTTGTGTGTTGGGACTGTCAAAGACCTCCGCTTTACGCCGTACCAGTACACGTCCGCTTCTATCCAGATCTACAAGGTGTCGCCAGATGGACGGCAACTGGAATTTGTGCACGAAACCGAGGTGACTCAGCCTCCTCTAGCTCTCCTTCCATTCAAAGGCAAGCTGATCGCTGGTATCGGCACAGATCTGGCTCTGTTTGACTGTGGTATGCGTTCACTGCTTCGCAAAGCAATGCAGCCCAACGCTGTCTCAACCCGGATCACCGGCCTCAAGACTCAAGGAAGCCGAATTGTCGTGTCCGATCAGTCACAATCAATTACATATGTCGTACACAAGGATCAAGTGCATCCCAACCGCCTGATACCCTTCGCCGATGACACTGTAGCTCGGCATACTACCTGCACCGAGATGCTGGACTACGAGACCACTGTTGGCGGCGATAAGTTCGGTAACATCTGGATTGTGCGATGTCCGGCGAAGGTGTCAGAAGCTGCAGACGAATCACCAGATGGGCTCAACTTGACACAAGACAAGGCCTACTTAGCCGGCGCACCAAATCGCCTCGATCTGGTTGCCCACTACTTCTCGAATGATATTCCCACCTCTATCCAGCGAACTAACCTAATTTCTGGTGGTGAGCGCGTCATCTTCTGGTCAGGTTTGCAAGGCACTCTTGGCGCTCTCATTCCCTTCTCGTCGCGTCGCCAGCAGAAAATGTTCCAGCAGCTGGAGCTGCAACTGAGAGGTGACGACAAGCCGTTGAGCGGTCGTGATCATCTTGCATACAGGAGTTACTTCACTCCTGTCAAGAGCATGATTGACGGTGATTTGGTCGAACGCTTCCTCGTTCTCAGCAGGGATAAGCGGGAAAGCATCGTCGGTCAGCTGCAAGGCAACTGGACAAGCGAGATGGTGGATGAAGCTATCTGGAATATGCGAGGTTTATATGCGTTCTAAGCTGCATGAGTACCTCTCGGATTATGTGAACCACTGATCAAAGGCAGCTCGCCTGGTTATTATACCACACGAGCGAGCACATTGATCGGCTACTGACGTCTCACAGTGTGAGCTGGCGCCCCGGTTGGGTTGGAAAGGTCTTATGACACGCTTTGGCGTTTAGCGACTTATAGAAGCGTGACTTGACTAGTGTAATATACCACAATGATGATACCAATCGCATCTTACCCGCAGTTCAAAGTCAATGTAGGATCCAATCTGATCGACTCTATTTAGTTGGGGGACGATCTAGCCAAAGTCGCTTCACAAGTGTTATGTACCTCCGCGGCTACAGCTTTATATCGAGTCTACTAGGTACCCTCACACTTGGGAAGAATGACCACACTTCCAAGACGGTCGACATAAGTCAAGGTTTTCTACTATGCATATGCCTTTTGTAGAATCATGACTTACGATGAGACGTGTCTCTCTCTTTGTGCGCGTCGTTTGAGGGAAATCCCGTCGTTCTTTACGAAACCATAGCTTCTACCAAAAGTTTTTCTTGCGCATCGTATCCTTATCTATAGAGAGGGACTCCTTCCACTCGCTCGCGTGGACTTGCGCCTCACGATATGTAAAGGTTTCGTGAGGACGCCTTACGTTTCAGCCGCGCAGTCTGACGTGCCAGGTCTCGACCGTGACTGGTGCGCCTCACGCCCCTGGTAGTTATATCCAAATCTCCCAAAAACTTGAAGAAACCACAGATCTGACCTTACGTGTGAATCGTGCAGCGACTCAACCAAGATGAAATGTTGGCATTGTGAATCTTAAGATATTACTGGACGACATTCTAATTAGGGCGTTCTCATAAACATAGCAGTGTAGAGACAAAGCATCGACACGCACCCGGTTCCTGGCACAACGACGAGCTGCACTCCTAGTAGAGACACAGAAACGAAAACAAAGAGTGGCCCCACGTGTCATGCCTTGAACAGACGGCGTGGTCGTATCAACACACTGGTGAATACGCCCGGTGCTTGGGCTGTGGAGATATATTCGGCGCCTGCGTTGAAGCGCTGGCCTTACATCAAGTCGAGATTTACCTTCATTCCATAAATTCTCTTTCTATCATCGCTTTTCTTATCTACCACAGTCGCTCCTTTGCACCACGTACAATCTCTATCAACACAGTCCTTACCAGATACACTCATTACTATTCTCCACACTCCTTACGAAGATGTTTTTCAACCTCATTTTCTTCCTCTTCACAACTCATATCGCCCTCGTGGCCGCTCTAGGCAAAGTCACCGTAGCGAATCGCTGCAACAGAGAAATGTGGGTTTGGAGCGTAGACGGCCAGGTATACCCCCTCCCGTTCCAGCCCCTTCAGACCCTCTAACCACCTCCCAGGGCAGCAGCCGCGCTATCAAGGTCAACGCTCGCAGCAGATACACCGAGCCCATTCGCACCTCCTGCAACGGCTGCGGCGTGAGCATTAAAGTCAGCAGGACACCGCAGCTCCTCGGTGGTCACCACTCGCAGTTCGAATACGCGATTTCCAACAACGTCCTCTACTACGATATCTCTTTCGTCGATTGTGCGAAGGGGCAAGATGCGAGCAATTGCCCGGGTCATGTTGCGGGAATGGAGATTTATTCGCCGAATGAGATACAATGTGACAGGGTGACCTGTTCGGGGAATACATACTGTCCTAGCAAAGCCTACTACGTGGATACGCCGAACCAGAAGTTGGGGCTTCCGGAGCCTGTTTATGGCTGTGGGAATGCGGGAGCAGGGGCGGATTTGGTGTTTGTTATATGCCAGAATCAGAGGAGCGTCTAGATGATCTCCAGGCGAGAATGGCTCTTGCTGGCTAGCTTATGCATATCTTTGTTCTTGTATATACTTTCAAACCTGTTCAGGTTTTGACGTTCTTCACTCGTTGAACATCGCTTCCCGCATCTATTTTGTAAGTGACTTTGCAATCAAGTAAGCGTGCTCACAGCCTTCAACTGGTTTGGTACCATGTGTTACTTTGACTGCTCAAAGCGATAAAATAAACTCAGACATCGTACTGTTTGTGCGTCTTTCCTGCTTGCTGCAGAAGTCATGACTCCTGAATTGAAGAAGCACAGTCTGGGAAGAGAAAAAAGAGTTTCAATATAACCTTGGCCAAAAAACCATCGTCATGCCTTCCGCCTCTGTGTACGACCGTCCTGCGCATTTGATGTTGTCAATAGTAGCCCAGTGCCTTGATGCCCGTTAACCGCTGCTCATGGTCAGATCGCTATCGTGACCCTTCAGCATTTACAATTTCCCCCAATGACGCGCAAGTCGCTTGCGCGTAGTGAAAATGGATGCAGTGGCACATTTACTTCAACGCCGTCAGTGCAATGTAACCTGCGGAGTCCTGCAACGTGACTTCCCGATCATCACACAATGGCAACATCAAAGGAGGTAACGAAATTCGAAACCACTTTCCAGCCATGTCGAAATGAGGGAAGCATCAAACTTGGACTTATTTTGGACCTGAAACAAGCGAGCCGCTCACTCTGCGGCACTGCCAGGCATTGACAGGCTACTCGGACCGGTTGGTGGCTGATGTGGGGGCGCATTCTTTGATTCCACAAGCACTGTCGCCTTGAGCAAACGGATCCCGAACGGCACTCCCTCGACGACCGGCAGATGGAAATGCGGGATTGGATGGGTAGCACGACGTACATGCGCCACGGTAACGCAGCACCGTGTGAGGGTTGAGCGGACGTTCCTCGCAGCTTGGAACACGGAGCGGTCCAGGCTAGTCGCTTCCGCATGCATCAATCCGTCATCTGCAGCGCAGACCATCTCAAGCTCGAATGTGTGGGCGGCCCTACCCACTTCGCACTGGTGTTACCATGCTGCGCCGTCTCAAGCGCCAGGCGCGCTGACGGCAGCTGCTTTCTGTATCTCACCTCTTACCTTTGTGCCTGACGCTCTCCCCGTCCTACCAACGACCGCTGATCAGCATTCTAACCCCCCGTTGCTCTCCACCGTATGCCGCGTAGGAATCCCGAATAGCATCCATAGCAGCACCGGTAGCATATCACAGGACACATTTTGTGGGATTTTGAGAGCAACAGCAGAGAGCATGGAGGTAGGAGACACTTCACGATGGTTCACGTGCAGTGACTGACGTGCAATCAAGGCTTCCACGCAAGAACCCTACCGGGACTCACCGTCTTCCTTGAGAAGCTCGACGCCTATATCTTCAAGTCGCGACCAGCCTGCGAAACCGCTCCCTTCTTTACCTTCGGACACGCCTACAGAGCCGTTGGAGCCCTACCGCGATGAACCCTCCCCAAGCTCGCCAGCACCCGACCCTATCATCGCATCGCCCGCGCCCCAACGATACCGCACCTCTGCCGGGAGGGCAAATGCGCGTCTCCAACAAGCTGAGATCCAAGTCTTCTACACACCCTATACCGATGTGCCTCGGGCACACAACGATGAGGATGTCCCGCTCGCACAGCTCTACCCGTACCCTACCGAGGCGCCGCCGCCATACCAGATTGCAGTGCGCGAATCCTACCGCGAGACGTTTGCACAGCACGTTCCAAATCATTCTATGTCGACAGTGCGGGACGAGGAGGCAAGCCTCGAGCAGGTACCATCCGACGATGTGAGGTTTACGGTAGAGAAGGTGGTGGCAGCGATTATTGTCGCGATGTTGCTGCTCGTTATCGCGTCTATTCTAGCGCTCATTGCGGTCTCAGGCTTTAACTGGAGGATCTGAGGTTGCGCATAGTTGAGGCAGTCTTTGCATGGGGTACGGGGCATAGTTTTTTGTCTTGGGACTTGTTTTGGGAATGATACCTACACATGCATGATTTGGGCGTTTTGGAAAGCGAAGGTCTTGATGAACACACATTTTGAATAAGCGATCAGCATATAATACCGCTCAAACTTTACTTCATTTGTAGACCTGTTTTCGTGCTACTTAAGTGCTTTATATTCGTTCTTCACTCAGAATAATGCACTCATCTGAACAGCCTATCTCTATTGAAGCTTAAAAAATTTAGTCTTTTGGAAGTATACCAGAGCCTTGTTCAATAGATGCATTCTATGGTTTTCACATGTTCTTATTGAGGGCTGCGCCGATGGTGTTGGTTCCTAGCCAATCGCAAGCCCTGGCTCCACTTTCATCACGACCCACGGCACAAAGCCGCCGACGCTAGTCTACATCACCAGCTCGAGAAGACTGATGCTTCCGGTAAAAGCTGTTGAAAAGCTTTTCGACAAGGACCATCCGAGACGGAAATGATATGTGTATAAGTTTGCCCTTGATGTCAGTTTCTTCATCAACAACACCATCTTCCTTGGTCTAGTGGTCATGATTTCCGCTTGTCATCGAACCCGGTTACGAGCGCGGGAGACCGGGGTTCGATTCCCCGAGGGAGAGTTTATTTCTTTTTCGCACTTTGTTTTGGTATCTAGTTCGACTTATGCCTTCGCGGAGGCGATATCTTGATTTTGGCTTGGTCGAAGCTAAAGTGTTGCGGACCTTCGCTTTCTCGTCCAATTAACGCAGAGATTCAAAAGAGTAGTTCTAGAAACGCCCTGAACCTCCTTTGCTAGATTGTACTTATGTATTGACTACTGATTCTCTTTGTTGATATGTCTATGACAGACTTAATTTGCCTTTTGGATGGGCAAGAAGATGAGGTTATCTTCCGCAAAAGCATGGTCTTAGATGAGCAGCTGGTTGGACAGCTATTCGTCTCTTCAGTTGGTCTTTATAAGTTCTAGCTTCTTGAGGTTATTGCTTTTGGCTTACTACCTTACTACGTTCTATCACTGTGTTCACGCATCGGATTGATATCCTGGCGTACCTGATTCAACTGATCCACTACGACTTTTACTCCTTCCTGCACCTATACTAGCTGATCATCCTTGTGAGCACACAGTGCCAACAAATAGGTCCTTTATTGATACTAAAGTAGCGACTTCAATGGTTTTTTGGGCTCAATAAATCCAACACAAAGATACGTCCGAAAAGAGCGCTGAAAATCCTTCGAAGTATGAGAAGTATTGTCTTGTATATACAGTAACTACCTTGGTATACCAACGTATTCGTAAACTGCAGTTAAGAAACGACTGTATTAATGATGTTATAACTGCAGAGGCATCTTCACACGGGATGGCAAAAAAAGACCGACCTGGAGTAATTGAACTACTAGGTTAGATGACTGTTCTCGTACCTGTAGAGGTGTAAGGGAGAGTTGATTTTAGGTCTTTGAGCTTTCCTTTTGCGTTAGTGTATGAACGCGAACAGCCTTGACGTCATTCATTACGCATTTTACCGCTGTATTTCACTGCTTTCGCAGGTGGATCCAACGGTTCTAAACACAATTCATTGGACGGGATGCAAGCTGATGGGGAGTGTTCTGTTCTAGTTCACTGTCTTTGTGTACGGGACTTCACCTTTGGCGCAGTCTCATGCTTAAAAGGTTCCTGTTTGCTTTTTGCAAACGTAGAGTGGACATGCCCATTCTAAACCTGACCAACTGTACCTGTTTCGACGAGTTTCCTTGGACCTACATCAGAGAAACAACATCTTCGGTACCAGTTACGGCTAAGTTTGGCGGCGCTGGTAGGAACTCAAACTACCGCACAGGCAACAACCCACATATACCAACTGTGTTCCTGTACCTCTCAGTGAGTCGGGCAGAGAGGTTTATATAAGCGTCGGCCGCACACTCCCCACGATCACTCCAGTGCACCGCGACATCGTAAAGCAATGTAGGATACTAGTAGAACTCACTTGCTTGCACGCGTTGTGCCGATAATGGGTAAGGCAAGTTTAAAGCAGTAGCTTCTCCAGCTACTGGCACAGCGCGCCAACACAACTGAGGATATATCAATGTCAACATGTTAAAGCGTCCCAAACATTGAATCTTCGTATGTATTGACAAAAAGCCATATCGTTGCACTTGCTTTCTGGCACAGCTTCTGACTATGTCAACGAGTCAGCGATATGCGCCAATACACAGTCGCTGAATCGCGCACCTCGACCCAGCGGGTACCATCGAGCTCCACCGTCGTTGGACTAGCTTTTTGGTAACATAAGTAGAATAATCGGCATCTGTAAATGGATCTGGTCCAACGACGTAGTCTGCAGAGAGCTACCCCGCATTTCAAGAAACAGCTCTAGCCTCTCCCTCCGCTTACGCCCATGCTGAATGTGCTCATGCCATCGATAATGCATCCGCGGACCACAGCAACTGTGCCACACGACTACATCTCCCTTTTCTTTGTTCTAGAATCGTATACAAACTTGATCTTACCATCAATCGATCTTACCATCAATTGATATCAAAACGATTTAGCGCCCATCCAGCGACTTTCAACTCGAGCAAAGTATCAGAAGTCTATAATGACGGAGACGAATGACAATAACGGTTTGCCAACAATTTGTAAAGCTGGTGTCGTAGTAAACGAAGGACCAGACTTCACTCTGGCCGTGGAAGACGTCCCAGTGCCGACACCAGGTTCGCACTTTGGCCTCTTTTTGGGAGCACTCGTACTAATTTTGACCGAGGCCCTGATGACGTCCTCATCAAGCTAAACGCCACCGGCATCTGCTACTCAGACATTCACTGTAAGCAAACCGCCGGATACGAAATGGATGTGTGTTCCTAGCAGAAGAAAAATCTCTTTCTCGCTAGGATGAGACATGCTCCAGCTGTTCGCCCACCCTGTCTTAGGTCACACTGACTTTGTACCCGCGCATTAGGCATGCTCGCTGACCTCCCCATCGGCACCATGTCCTCCTTCGGCGTACGTTCCCCCGGCCACGAAGGCGCCGGCGTCGTCGCAGCCCTCGGCTCCAACGTCACCAAGTGGAAGATCGGGGACCGCGCGGGCATAAAACCCGTATACGACTGCTGCTTTGACTGTGAGCTTTGCTGGACCGGGAAGGAAACGTACTGCGACAAAGCTGATCAGGTTGGCTTGAATTTCCCAGGGAGCTACCAGCAGTATGTTGTTAGTCCTGCACGGTACACGCAGAGGATTCCGGATGGTGTGGACGACTTTGTTGCTGGGCCAATCATGTGTAGTGGTAGTACAATCTATTGTAGTCTGAAAGAGGCTGGTTTAAAAGCTGGGGACTGGGCGGTGTTTCCAGGAGCAGGTGGAGGCGTGGGACACATGGGTGTTCAGCTCGCAAAAGCGATGGGCCTACGTGTCGTTGGTATCGATGGAGGCGAAGAGAAGAGAGCGCTATGTACGAAACTTGGATGCGAGGCATTTGTGGATTTCACACAGGTCAAGGATGTGGCCGCCGAGGTCGTTAGAATTTGCGATGGCAAGGGCGCGCATGGTGTCTTCGTGACGGCGACGAGTGCTGCGGCGTATGCCAGCTCCCCTATGATGTTGCGAATAAGCGGGAAAGTGATGTGTGTTGGTATACGTGAGTGTCTTACTTGATGTGAACAGCTGCCTAGGCTAACGCATGTGCAGCACCGATGGGTACTGCGTTTGCGGGCGCTGATCCGCTTCTCATGGCAAGTCTTCCGGCTACAAGTTAGGTTTGCTCTTTCCACTAAGTGAAAAAAAGACCATCTTCATCTCCTCATAACATAAGAAAAGAACCTTCCCTTCTCTTAGTAAAGACATTAGGCAATGTACTGTCCGCACTTTTTGAAGACATACACTGACTTTGTACCTTCGGGTTTGGCAGATCGGGAGAAATCTTACGGTTAGTGGAACGAAGGTTGGATCCCTGTTAGATACAACGAGGGCGCTTGAATTTGCAGCCAGAGTAAGTATCACAATGTTGCTTTGAGACTCTGTGGCTGACATATAGTGTGTCTAGGGTCAACTGAAACCGATGTACGAGGTATTTCCCCTTGCAAAAATGCCAGAAGCTGTAGCAAAGCTACGTAGTGGGAAGGTTGCCGGGCGGTTGGTGGTCGATTTCAATTCCTGATATACTTATCGTTGTAATATTGAGCTTCTCTATCATACAATTACCTCGCGTATTAGATCATCTATGAGTGGAAGACACCACATTCATGGCTCCCCACCAGCCGCCTCATCATGCACATACACCGACTCTCCCATGAATGGACTTTTCTCCCTTATCTTTCTACCAAACACAAACAACACCACAGGCACAAAGCTCAACCCCAAAGCGAGGAGCCCCAACAGTGAGCTCGCCCAATGAAACCCTAACGTCCGATACATACTCTGCGTCGCGAGCGGCAAGAAAGCAGCAAGGATATTCTCCAGAAAGGCCGCACCTGCGATCGCGCTGGCTGCGTATTTAGCATATGCATCGAGAACATAGGTAGTGACGGCAGTAACAGAGCAAAACATGCCGAAACCCACAAACCCCAATGCGATGGTTGGTACTATCCAGGCGACGGAAGAGTAGGACGTCCAGGCGAAGTAAAACAGTCCGCCCGCGAGACCGATAAATGAGGCAGGTATGCTGAGGAACAGGCGTGATTCAGGTATAGGTGCTCCCGGTTCCTCAGTGTTTTGCCCAGCGGAGCGAAAGTACAGCTCATCCTGGCCGAGTGACGCTATCAGGCCTATAATCTCTCCCACAACAAGCGCGCACTGAACGAGCCCTGTGGAATAATATGTCCACCCGTACAGTGCCGAGTACACTTGTACAATGGATTGAGTGAACATGTAGGCAGTGCCAACGCAGAAAGCAGACCACATGCCGAAGGAAAACACCACTGCTTCCGTGCACAGCATCCGAGTCGGACGGACCACCGTCTGTCGAAGTATTTCTCCTAGACTGGTATGTTGTAGCTCTGCCTCAGCATAGACGCTGGATTTTCCAGTCTTGCGCAGATTACGTGCTCGTCGGGTGAGGATTACATCTGGCCGTACTTCGGGCAGACCGAAGAAGAGGATGGGAAACATCGCGCTGTAAAATGCGATCTGAGAGTGGAAGATCCTGCGCTGCGTTAGCGACATGACGTCTCCTTGCGAGGTATCCTACTCTTACCAACGCCAAGTAGTGTAATGAACAATGGCGCTCCCGATAACAGGACCCATGTTCAATCCTGCAAGAAGCCCACAGATAAATAGAGAAGTACCGAAACTTTTAGCTTTCCCATCTCTCCATATGTCACTCAGGATCCCACCTGTGATGTTGGCAAGCGTAGCAGAACATCCACCAGTGAAGATCCTCGTCACAATCAGGGTAGCAAAGTTCTGCGCCACTGCTTGCGGGATGAGGAAAATGATCAGAACGGCGTAGATGATCTATGACATTGGATTAGTCTTTGTTGGACTCTTTCAGAAAGTCTTGCTTACCATGTAGCTCCACCTCACGCCAAAGTGTTCCATGAGCGGCAAACCAAGCATAGGGGCAGCCGCTCCACTCAGGGTCCAGGAAAATACAGGCCAATACGAGTGCGGAAAGCTCTCGTCACTGACATGGAAACTCTCGTTGATTTGTTCAGCCGCACTCGTCATGGATGTGCCATTCATCTGGATAACGAAGGTCATAAAGCAGGCCAGAAGAGTGATTCTCCATTTCTTAGCTTGGGAGAAATTGAATGGGTTCTCTGGGTCATCCGGTCCATTCCAGGTTATGCTGCTCGCCTCTGAATCGGTCGTAGGTTTGGACTTCATGGCCGGATTCTTGCGCGGTAGACGTTGACACAGCGAAGGGGGTTGAAGATCAAGAAATCAAAGTCGTATGCCTTGCGAAATGTCACCTACACCCCCCCGAGCCACAGTTAGATCCATGTGTTGTTGTCAAGGATCAAGCGCGGTTGCCGCAAGTCCCTTCCAATCCTATGACTCTTTTTGGCTTTTTGAGCCGGATGTCAGTGAAAGACAGAGACGGCAGCAATCCGGTGACCCGTGTGAAGCTCTGTCGAAGGTGAATGGGCCAGCGGCACGGGGCCAAAGTAGACTTTGGTAACTCTCGATACGGCGCAAAGCCTTCGGGAGTGAACATGTTAGCCTCGATGCCTTATGTCACTGAAGAGGACCACGACTAGCGCATAACCAAAGCTTGAGCCTCCGCGGCGCCTTGGCTCAAGAACTTCGTATTACTCGTTGTTAGACCCACTTGAAGGCAGTGCGTGCTGAGTTCGAACAGAATTCGTGACGTAAAAAGAATCGACGGTTAGAACGCTAACTCCGCTTTATCCTAGCGGTTTCCGTTTGCGGACATTTGAAGCCATGTTCGTTCGTGAAACTGCGAGACGCCTATACTTGAATGAGGTACTCGTAAACATGGAGTGCAGATTGTAGAATTCGTTGTCCATCTACAGTGGAAGCCTGTCGGATGACCTTGGGAAAGCAGCTAGCGTTGCCTTGTGCAAATCAGGCTCAAAGCATCATCTTGTAGACCTTCGAGTTTACTTCGATGCCGTACTCATATAGCCAGTCAGACAATACCATACGAATGCCACTGGGAAGTTGAGTATGGTACTTCTCTCTTACAGCTCTGCGGTCTCACCTGTAGTGTGTTATGTCGCGGCACTGTTCGAGTTAACACCGCATGGCCGGAGCATCTTGGTAACGATCCAGTCGTAATCCCATTGTAACAAACTACGCATGTCGTGTGCTGCGAAGCAGCAATCGCCGTACAAGGTAGAGATGAAAAGAGGTTGCTGCTTCCCTGCAAGAGATCACTAGCCTATGACAGCAAAGCGCAGCTGACTAACTAGCTCGTTCCGCAAAACCTGCGCTCTTCCCACAAGCCACGACATCGCCCTTCACGCCGTTGCTGCATCAACATCTATCAAGGCTCAAACAAGCGTACTGCGCCCTTGAATCATGATCTTCCATATTCGCAACGCAAACTTTGCTAAGATTCCCAACCTAATATTCACAGTCTCCTGCCTCGCTCGATCCGCTGCTTCCATCAGCAGACCTTGAGCTGGATACACCACGTTTTCGTGGCCCGTACGAGACGAGAAGACTTTCCACTCGACAATCTTTGAGTACGGAGCCGCGCTTCTTCCCTGCCGGACTTTCGTAATTATTTATCGAGACATGCCCATTCCATCTGCCTTATTAGAATCCGTAAACATGGTAATCAGAATCAGAATCAGAATCAGAATCATCGTCGTACTGTCGTGTCATTCCGTGGTCGTTTAATACTTGTCCCTCGGCAAGCTGGGATGCGTCGTGCATGAAACGTGTAACAACAAATGTATACAGTGTCTGGGCTAAGCAAAGCTGCCGATGATAGGTTTGCATGTAGGGCTCCAACCTCGTCCCACCAACGCCTTATGATATCCATCATTCCCATTCGTGTGCTCCAAGTGACGCCACAGACCTGAAAGCCCCAACCAATGCACGCTTCAACGCCAATATACAAGGAAAGGCAAGTGAGACTGCTTCGGTCTTCAAATACATGTACACAACATCCTGAATGCGTGCTTAATCGCTCTTTGATACACAATTCCTGCTGCTGTGCAGGTTCGACCGCCCCCTTGTTCCTGCCTTTTCCGTTCGTTCCGAGAGCTCTGAGGTGACCGAGGAGACGATATGCGAGTGTGAGAGATGGGTATAGTTAGATCCGTGACGCTGTGGTGACCAGATTATCACCAATGAATAACAAAAGAGACAAGAAATATGAGGCATGAAAGGTAAGGTCCACGCAAGCCTTATGGCCATGTCTAGTTACGACCTCTCCGTGTCCGCGAGGTCTCTGTGGCACTGCGGACGCGAACCTGGGGCAGTTCCGGTGCAGGTGAATCACGCACTGCGGCGTCGTAAGTTGGTATAGGTGGGCTGGCTTGTCGAGCGTGTTGTTGTTGCGGAGCTTGTATGAGCGGAGCACGTTCCTCCCAGTAGCTATCGGCGTGACTGGCTGCGCTGCTGATGTTGGGAGAGCCTACGGGGCTGGTATACTCTGGAGGTAGATCGCCGGTTTGCAGGAACCCAAGGCCGTGTACGGCTTCGTGCCTGGCCGCCTCGGCGCTTGTACCTTCGCCCACATCATACTCTTCGTTTGAATCTACCAGGCTTAGCTGTGCCAAGGAGATATCGGTTGGGCTACGCTGCGGACCGGGACTTGTGGGCTGGTGCCGACCGAGTCGCATCTGCTGGCTGCTTGTTCGTCCATGTCCAAACCCAGCGGACATATAATTCCCAGCCATCCCTTCTCTTACACCTTCCCGGCCGCTGTCGAGCAATATGGACCCTTGTTCGCTGCCATACGGAGGTGGGGGAGCCAAACTGCCTGTCATGGGAGCCAGACCCCACTTCTTCACGTTTGCTTCGATAAAAACGAATCCCATTTGGCCGAAATTGACATGTACTTGGCAGGGCCCATTAGCACCAACGGTCGGGAAGAAATTTTGAGTCTTAAGACCGTGTGCCACATCGTCTAGTTTCTTTCCGTTGCGCGTAAAGAAGATCGTGCCTGTGCGAGGTCTGTACCCAACGCCGATAACGTCGCCTTGAACGTATGCGGGGCCGTAGGATGTAGGTGTGAAGGGTTGATTATGTCGTCGCGAGCCGTGAGACGTATAAGCTATCGAGTATTTGTGGAAGCCTGTATCAACGTTAGCAGTCGAAACAGATGGCGTCTGAGTAGAACGCACCAGGCAGCCTAAACAATGGGTACGGCTTTGTTGTTACACCGATAGCAAGGCTAGTGGTGTCCGGCTTGTCGTATATCTTGGCCTCCCAGTAGTACACCTCATTCTGCTTGGGTATCGGTAGGTTGCTCTGCACGCTGCATGCCGAGTCGAAAAACTCTATCTCAGTCCGGCCTTCAACAAAGCAGTTCGCGATCTCTAGTTCTGGCTCGAACTCCCAGGCAGACACGCCCTTCTCTTGTATGGCCAAGAACTGCGACAAGGAAATGTCGGTTTGGACGGATTCTGGCGGGTTGGCTTGAACGAAGGCTGCAGCATGTCAACAAGGGTCGCGATACAGAGCGCCTCTCTGATGTGTAACATGGGTCACTATACCTTTTGCTCTCAAATATTCCGTTCTTTGTAGGTCGTCCATGTCCTCAAGGGCCTCGGCCTCTTCTTTCGCAAACTGCTGCTCATCATCATACTCTCCAGGCCGCGATAACCTGTCCAGAAAGATGCGACCTTGCTGGGTATATCGGAAGTAATAGACGATGGCGGCGATGATGAGCACGAATCCAGCAGCGCCTAGGACCGAGAAGATGCCGATCATGATGCCTTTGACGGTTGAAGATAGATCGCTGATGTTGCCCTGTGTCCGCATGGTGCCCTGTATCCGCACGGGGTCATGGTAGGTGCCTTGTGTAAACTCGTGCACGTCGGCGGGTTGCGCAGACTGGGTTTGCGAGCTGTGGTACATGGTGTAAAGCGTCGTTGGCGGCGAGAGCGCCCGCTGGGCGTCCGGCGCCGACATTATAAGTAGCCTGTGTGTTGTGTACCCGTCGGGAGGTGGTCGTGAAATGGTCCTCTCAGGTGGATGGCTGGTGGCGGACGTGCCTGCGGTAGGCGGTGCCCCGGAGGACGGCTCGCGAAGCCAGCGGGGGCCAGCCAAGTAGCTGGTGACGTACAGACGCGAATATGCCGAGAGATGCAGTCGGCTGGTAGCGATGGTGGATGCGACAAAGGAAAGACGCCAGCGACGATGAGCGCAGCGTCGGCGGGACGTTGGAGAGGGTGCTGGCGGACAGAAGAGAGCTGCGCTGGTGGTTGTATCGTTGCCGACCAGACTGAGACAGTTCGAAAGCGCTGGACGCTACCGGCTCTAGCCAAGCCAAGCCCTTGCCACCTCCTCCACCCAGCACAACCATGCGACGGTTCACTCCGATTCCTGAACACACCGAGAGTCAGATTCCAAGTCCTTCGAGACACGCTTTCGTCAGCTTCGGTGTTTCTACCTCCAAGGTATGAGTTACCATGTGTACAACCGTCCACCGCAGTCACGTTGCAGCGACTCCTTATCTCTATTGCGCATTCCCTATAGCGCGATCCCACACGACCCAGGCCCGCCTCGCCTCTATGCTTGCCAGCGCATTCGCTCTCCTGCATGGACCGCGCCTTGCAGCGCGAAATTGGAAAACCACGTTCTTTGTGCGCCCTCGAGACGCGCGGTAGCATTCTTCTGCGAAGACACCTGTGGCATGCGCTGCCCACTCATGTCTTCGACCCCATTCAGCCAGGCACCGCGTCCTGAAGCGTCGCGCAGACTTGAAACGTCAGGGCTGAGCGCATCAAGAGCCGCCCAGTGCACGGTGCTATGAATAGACGCAGCCCTGTGCAGCTGCACTCAAATATGATGCGCCTCGAGCAACTCTACCTGCTTCAATAGGACTTCTCCGTGTAGTCTACAGTTCATGCGTGACGACGACGGGCCTCTGTCCAGGGCTTCCAAATTCGGAAGGAAGGAGCAGTCCAAGCAATGCACCTTCCACGAGTAATTCTCATAGCCAACCACCATGCTCACCTACGTCTCGCTGACTCTAGCCTTCGCGTTTCTCACAAATGCCCAGGCAGATACGGGCGCAGTCGAGCTCGTTCCTCGAGAACATGGTGTTTGCAAAGTCACCTCGAATAGCCAGCCGTACATCAGTTGCCACGGCGTCTTATCTTGTTTGTTGTATGCGCAAATCATACTGCAAGATTGACAAGTGATTGTTGCATTCATAACTAACGTTATCATCATCTCGTGCGTCATGGCAGCTAGACATGGCCATTTTCCTTTTCCATCTCCCGCCATCACACCAATCACATTTCCTGAAGCGTTTAAACTCTTTGCTCCGCACTTCTCCTCTGCGCACCCGGTACCTCCTCCATCTGCACACCAACCGCCTTCTCGCCTTCGGTATCGAGAACCTCGGATAGTCCACCGTGACCCTTGGTCATTTCCGCTCCCTTGCGTCCAATAAGGTGCCAGGGCAGGTTGAACAGCTCGTCCATGGCTTCGAGACTCTTTCCACTGGTCTCAGGCAAGAAGAACCACACCCAAACAAGACCGATGGCGGTGACGATGCTGAAGAACAGCATAGTGCCGCCATGCGTCATGGCGATGAACATGAGCGGGACAGCCTTCGAGTTGCCGTACTGGTTGACGAAGTGGAACGTCATGGCGAAACTGCCACCCAAGGCGCGGAGCCGCAGAGGGTAAATTTCCGAGTTGATGAGATATTGGATGCTGTTCCACCCAAGTGCCCATCCAAAGCCAGAAACATAGATGAAAAAGATTGCACCTTTCGCAGCTCCCTTCATGCTGGCGGATTGAGGGGCGTCCGCATCACCGACGCTATTATCGATGAAGAGGAAGATTGCCATGTAGAGCATGGCAATGAGCTGGAGTGTAATACCGCTTGAAAGGGCGCGCTTGCGCCCAATGTAGTCAATAAGCACGAAGGCACAGAGCAGCGATGAGATAAGCTTGACCAGGCCGAAGATCGCGGTAGCGAAGAGCTTCTCCCTTTGGCCGGTCGTCCCCATCATCTCAAAGTACTGGGGGGCGTAAATGGTGATGGAGTTGGCGCCGGACCACTGACTGAGCAGTTGCGAGAAGATACTGAGCTGGATGCGGTAGAGGTTGGCCTTGCTTGAGAAGATTTCGCGGATGGGGCCTAGCCATGAAGTGCCCAGGGTAGCCTCCCGCTCGCGGTTCAGCTGGTCGTTGATGTCCAAAACTTCTGACACAATGTATGGATGGTCGGCGGGAAGCTGGCGCAGGAGTGTCAAGTTCTTGAGAGCCTCCTCATGGCGTCCGACCTTGATGAGCCAACGCGGCGACTCTTTGCTGAGGAATGAGAGAGTGAAGATGATGCCGGCGAACATGAGGTGCATGCTGTTTGGTACTAGCCATTGCGCATCCGTCTCGCTCGAGATGTGGATGGAAGATCCCCAAGAAGCGAAGTAAGCAAGCATGATACCAAGATACACTGCACCGGCGAAGGCGCACACACAGAGACCACGGATAGCCCTGGGAGCAGTCTCGGCCAAGTATGTAGGAGCTACGACAGTGGTCTGTCCGATGCCAATACCGGCGATGAATCGTCCGGCGTATACCATGCCGATGCTTCCCGTCGAAGCGCTGCCGAGGAAGATGGCGATACCAAGGACCCAGAGGACGCAAAGCTGGCGCACAGCCCAAATACGTCCAATCTTGTCGGTCAAGTAGAAGGCGACGAGGGCGCCCAGGATCGAACCCATCTGGACCATGGATGTGATGTTGGACAGCAGTTCGGCCTTTTCATGCTCAGACTTGCTTGGGTCTTCCAAGCCAAACTTGTTGATGAATGGGTCGAGCTCTGCGGTGGTGCCGATGAGGCCCTCGTCAATACCTCGGGCGGCGCCCATCAATCCGAAGACTGTAAGAATGTGTTAGCTACAGATGTTCGTCTTGTGAAGTGTATGCCTTACCGAAAACGCCATACCACAGTCTCCAGTTGAGAGACTCCTTGGGCGTGTCTTTGAGGTTTTCTCTCCATGGATTCCACATTGTGACGAGGAGTGTACAGCCGATGGAGGACTGTTTTCGAACAGTGTCACGGCGAGAGGAGGAGGGTACGATGAGGAGCGGGGGCACACTCGTACCAGCTGACCAAGGGAGCACAAATTCTCAACGGGTCACGCAACTCCAGCTACAGTGGCCGAAGTGGGCGGGTGCGCAAAGCTTTATACGACATAATGGGGTTCCCACTCTGGGGGTGATGAGCGGAGCACGTTCGCAAAAGGGAAAACACGGGCGCGTGTTGCTGGGACTTCTCCAGGTTCTTCGATCCATCCCACGATGCCGCCCCGCATAGGGCGGAGTCCTCCGCAAAACCCTTCGCGACGAGGCACGGCGTCCACGCGTGGTGGAGCGGTGGCAGGGAAGCTTTGGACAAGGTGCAGAAGTGGAGCTTGACCCATCGGATAGCCCGAGCATGGCTGCTGGGCGAGGCTTATGATACGTCGCAACACCTTGGGGGCTCCAACTCGGGCGCATCGTTCCCCGCAAGCAGGCGAACCTCTTTGCTGCGCGGCAGGGACGCGGCCGGAGTCCGCCCGCTGGATGGCACGGGATGCCCTTCCAAAGAGGTGCGCGCTCCGCACGATGCTCGCAGCTCGAAGACGCTACTGCCAACTAGATCCTGCACAGGGAGCCGCATCTCCGTCTGCGCTGCACATATTGGCGCACCCGTTCGATGGTTGAGCGCTGACTCGGCCAGATGCCGTCTTGACATGTGTGCCAAGACAGCTCGGTCAACTTCCGCCTCTTGGTGAGGCCCGCCTCCACACGTTCGATTCAACAGAATCGGAACCGCTGCGTAATCGTATCCACGATTACTGGACACCGAGAGAAGCTGGCGTGGCATGCACAGGCTCGGTGCGACTTTCGGAGCGCTCTGACGGTGAACCTTCGAATTGACAGTGGACCATGGCAGGTAGCGTGCACCCCAAACGTGCGCCCCAGAACCCCAGACTCCAAACTAACGCCCGCGACTTGATGTCCAGGGCGGATATCGAACATAAACGTGTCGCGAGCGAGTCGTAGCCGCCACTTCGGCAATTCGAGACATGTCATGTGCATCGGTCGAGGCAGACATCTGGGCTACCGGTACCGGGCCAATCTCGGTGCAAGTCATGCCATCTTGGATCCCGAGGCCCATGAGTCAATCGCCGGCATCGAGTGTGGAGACAGAAGCGCAGGGCAATATTTCTGCGACCGTGGTGGACATGGCGTGTCTGAGAGGGAGGCGCATGTCTATTTCTCCAGACTCACCGCCTCCTCAAACGGTGTGTTAGGGTAGGTTGCACCGACATTGATCCGTGAATCGTTTTCAAAGAGCCGCTGGTCGCAACTCGCGGCTTCACATTGGCCTGGAGTGGGACTGACGTGCATTTGCAATGATCAAAAGAGCGACAACTAGGTCTGCATCGCGGGACCCGACGAGTTCTCGGACCACTCCCCTGGTGCCTGGAATACTGGCAAAGCCCCTTCTATCAGGGAAAGATCATCTCATTGTAGGCATCATCGCTGGAACTCCTCAACCCGACGGCGCGTACCAGCCCGGCAATCCCAACTTCATCCTCGTGATGACATTCGGGGCCTGGTTCCCTCAACTTCACGTAGTTGGAGCATGCCAATGACTCGAGCCGCAACCCTTCGCCCCGATTCTCGAGGATCGAACAACATCTCAGGCACAACAAAAGGCCGTTTATGGAACCCTGAGAGGTACCCGGTTTTCTGGCTTGCACCATCTGGTTCATAAATCGATACACTTGCTTCCCCAATTACGATCAGACTCCCTCCTGGGAAACAACTAAGGAATTGCGGTCTCTGAGTTCTCTCGAGACAATAGTCCGGATGCATCTTCTAAACTCCCATAAAAGAGAAGACATACAAGATATCCGGCGTAGGCAGGCTCAAGAGTCAAGCAGACTTATGGCAGCGAAGATTAACATCTGCTTCTCGAGAAGCAGTAGACTTGTGTTCCAGTCTGACGACGAGCTGTATCTCCGCCCAATGGCCGTTTCGTGTTCTTAAGACCTCAGCTAGATAGCACTTGAGGTAAGACACTGCTGACATCTCAGGAGGACACGTAGGGATTGATTAATCTTATCTTGTCAGCTTCGCTCCTTCGCCGCCGGCTCTGGTTTTTATTCATACTTTAGAACATCTGGGATCACGGAGAAAGCGGAACACCGACCCTCGCAACAACGTGCGATTATCACACTGAGACGGCAGTCCCTGCACTTGTTTCATAGAGAGCACCTCGGCAGTGTGTAAATCCAACAGGCCACAAGTACGTACAAAATGGTAAGGCGCAAACATCTTTAAAAAAAAAAAACCAACGTTGTTCGACTGACAAATATAACCCAACATGATATCCAGACCTAAAAGCGTAATCGCAATCGCGCGAACAAACATTGACTGCTTCACATGTCTCACTCAGCTCCCCAAGACAAATGCGTCAGGCGCTTCATAACATGATCTCGCCTTCGTAGTTGTATTTTTCATCACCTTAATACGTTCTCCCAGCTTCGTATCATCAGATCGTAGCTGTCATGGCATTGTCACAATCAAAGGGACACACCATGGCGCACGCAGGGATCACCTGCCTAGGAGACGGGGTTTCTGGCTGTGGCAATACCATGTGTTCGAAATTCATCGACATCGTCGGAGAAAGCCTCCCATCATTTCAAGGATGGGTAGTTAGGGGCCCAGTGGGCACGGAAGTTGAGAGTCTATCAACGATGCCGTGCATGACGGCCAGGGTTCGACTTCGAGAGATAGTGTTTACCTGTGGCGATGTTGTCTTGCAGATTATAGGCTTGTGCTGATAGGCTCCAGTGAATAAAATCAAATACGGCATCCTAATTTCTTACAAGGAAACGCATGATGCTTTGGAGAGGGTGGATGCCGGGAAGTGCAAAGAAGAGGCCGAAGAGAAGATGCAAATTACTAACGAGGAGAAGAAGGCTGGAATGAAGGAGTCCATTGCAGCTAAAGAAAGAGCGCGTTACGCTACACACAATGCAATCGATAGCAAGAGAAGGAGAGAACGCAGCGAGAGTTCTGCATCATTGGCTCTTACAATAGCAAGGCAATGAGGGAACAGAAATCTTTCCGCGTACTTCAGCACTGACGAACGTTGTGACATAAAATTCCTTATCAAGAATTTAATGTCGCCCTTTCTTCACAGATAAACCGGGTATGACACCGAATATATCCAGCTTGGATTATAGGAAAGTCTTCGCCAGTCTTGGAAAGTGTGTCTCCACATCGTGTCTCGCGCTTGGACTACCCCTTGGAGTTCACTACATCTGCCGAACCCGGATGAAACGTATTAGCCCGACCTTCCTCATTGGTCATATCATCCACAACAGACCTCCACATACCACCGAGCCAATGAAGTATTCCGGTCAGAAATTGATACGTCCATGATAGATTTAGCAGGTACTCTATAACATCTTGGTGAAGGGAAACTGTGGAATATATATGCGCCACGAAAATTGGCGGTTCGTGGCGGTTATTATATAGATGTCGAGAAGGCTCCTTGAATGAATGTCGGTTACTCGATTGCAAATTGCTAAAGTTCAGCATATCCGATATGCGCCTCTTGACATTCCTTGCTGTTGCGATCGTAGCGCCCATCGCTGGTTTTGCCGCTCCGGCATGCGAAGCACCAACGTACGCAAGGGGCGAGAACCTTTGCAGCCAGTACAAATCGCCTCCACAGCTCTGCACGCCCGACCCCACTGTGACTGTGGAGGAGACGGCAAAACGAGCGTATCAATTCTACAAGGCGTTCGTCGTTGACGGCGACGCGAGGACCATGTTTGCCCTTATCGATAACGCCTACATCGTACGTATTGAGTCCACAGCTCCCAAGCGCTTTTTGTTGCAAGACGAGCCTGATATGACACCGTAGCAACATCATCCAGGGTACTCGAGCGGTCCGCAAGCCATCTGGTCACTTTTCTGCAACGGAAAGCCGGTTGGTAGCGCGTCCAACTCTGCTTGGTGCTTCGATGCTTCTACCAACATGAGCTATGCCCAATACTCTGTTACTGATCGCTGGCGCTGGGTTGATGGATGTGTCCATGAGCATGTAAGTGATGCAAATCCGGGTCGGGTGACAGCGAGATTGCTGATTGTCATACAGTGGGACCAAGGAGAAAGTATACCGAAAGACAAATGCTACAAGCTGAACACCACCGTGGTCTATTGAGCAAGAGTTTTGCGAAAGGAGTAATACCGTCGAGATGGTGGCTGAATGATACAGTCTCGAGCCAGATGAAGCACTGTCTCGTTGCCACTGCTCGACTCTGTTTAATTCTACTGTAGTATGATGTTTGCTAGATCCAAAATATAACCTCTAGACCCTGGTCAACGTTCAAGGATTTATCGTTGTTGTTGTGGTAACTGCGATGTACCAAGACCCTTCCCTCGTGTTCCCCGCTTGCGTCATGCCGCTCTTACCGAAACATTCCCACTTGGCCCCAAGTCCCACCATCTCGACCTACTCGGGCACGGCATAGGGGGCGCCTAGCCACTGGTCCAGTGCAATGCGCGTCACAAGTGTAGACCCAGATGTCCCGAAATCAACCTCGCCACAGTCGTCGCGACGAAGGCTCTTCTTCTTCGGAGTGTTCATGATTTCATTGACATCTGCAAGCACACCGCGTCATCGATCGAGTGGATCTCGAAGCCACATTCAACAAATAGAGCAAGTATATAATGTCGCAGCATCCAGGACACGGCAACGTTCCAATGTCGATTCCATCACGCTCGAAACTACTTTCCACCGGATTCAAAGACTTCGTGAATAGACACGCCTTGGTGCATCCACAGAAGAATCTCACAGTACAGCTACACAACGCTGAAGTACGCGCCAACATGGCGAGCTCTGCGAGTAGGTTTCCGAAAACGTCGGATGCGCCGGGCGAACAGTTCGAGCCACGACAGACGGCTACTAGCGAGGACTACACTCCCGATCCTGCAAAATCATTGCAGCTGAGTCCAGCGCGGCAGCGACTTGTGGATGACGTGCGTATCGCGTGCTCTGTTATAGACCCAAGAAGCTGACGCGATAATACAGATCATTGCATTGTACAGCTGCCAACCAACAGTGGAGAGGGTGAACAGGTATACACCAGACTGTGTATACGATGACCAGTTCGTGTACGCCAACGATCGGTATAAAATGGCGGGACAGTGGTTCGCCTTACCTAAGTTATTTAAGGCCAGCATCAACGAGAGCTATCAAGTTATCCGTTCCGACGATGAGATGATCCAATTTAAGAACAAGCAGGTGAGAACTGATCAGACCCACAGTATCATCGAGTATGTCAATAACATCCACAGTCCTGGACATTCCGCCTCATACCCAAAACTGCGACCATCACCGGCTTGGTCTCGCTATCCTTGGATCCTACCACCAAGGACTCTGACTTTATGCAAATCAAATATCATAAGGACCAGGCCAACGACAAAGACTACAGTCATGAAGGCTTGGGATTCAGCTTCAAGAAGTGGCAGGCTGATAATGTCGTCAAGCACATGGATGCGCCAGAGTTGAAGGAGTTTGAGCAGGATAAAAACGCGGCCAAAGAACACGTGCGGAAATATGGCACGGGCACGGAGGGTGCAGCACCAAAAAAGGACTTTACGACTTAGCTGTCATACACTCGCAACCTGGAGAGTTTTAATAGTATGTGTAATCCATCGCCCAACCTGATAGCGTTCAATCATGTAGATGTACTTTATCAACAGACGCGGTTTTTATTCACCAATCTCAATCTCGATCTGTCCGACTCCTCTCGAAATACAGCTCAGCATCTCGTTTTTCTTTTCTTCTGCACCTAATGCCGTCCCTCTGTGGTCTACCTTTCCGGACCTTACCTTGATCTTGCATGTTCCGCAGTTACCAACCTCACAACTACCCCCCACTGCATCCCCAAATTCTCTTCGTAGAATTTCTAACAGCGTCTCCTCACCTTTCACCATCAATTTTCTATCTTCTCTATTCTTAACAACAACATCAAATGGATCCCCATCAACGTCCGCACCAAAAGCTTCAAAATGCACATCCTTTTCTCCGAGTCCCACATCCTGCGCCGCACTCAGCGCATCGTCCATTAAACGTCTCGGCCCACAGACGTAGATCTGCGAGTTCCAAAGCATACTCTTGATGATTCTTGACACGTCCATGCGCTCCCCTTTCGCCTTCTCATACACTACGACCCTCTCCCCAAACTTCTCAAGCTTGCCTCGAAACGGCATCTCCTCAGCACTTCGCACCGCATAGTGCACCTGCACGTTCCAGTTGACGCTGATCACCTCCTCGATCAGCCACAGAAAGGCCGTGATGCCAATGCCCGCGACGATGAAGAGGTGGTTGCTCGCCATAGAATCGGGCTTGATGCCAACTGTGATGGCGCCGACTTGGAGGACATCACCTTCTGCCACGTGCTCGTGGAGATACTTCGACCCGCCGCGGGACTGCTCGTTGAGCGCGATGCCGAGCTCGAAGCGGCCGCGCGAGCCATGTACGATGGAGTACGCACGCACGAGGCCGCTTTCCAGCTTCATCTTAACGTGCGAGCCGGGCTCAGGCGTAACGTCCAACTTCTCATCGATAGCCTCGAATATAAACGACGCTATCCGCGGAGTCTGCTTCGCCTTTTGAACAACCTTCCAGTTCGTCCATACAACTTCCTTCTTCGCGTTCTTGGCTTGTAGTTTTGCAAGCCGTTTCTTTAGGACGCCCTTGATTTCATCTGTCAACTCCTCTACACCTATCAAGTGCTTCATTTCAGAGGGACCTTCTGCTCCCCTGTAAAGGATCGCCTGCACCCTCTCCAGCGTCCACCCAGCATGCTTCCTATCTACTAGCCTCGCCTCATCGCCCGCACTCACCCATCCTTCCCGCAGAACACGTAAATACCACCCTGTCCTGCTTAGCCGCGTCGTCTCGGCCGCGAAATTCTTGAGCTGGAAGCGGTGATTGAGCTTGAAGCAGGGCTGGCGGGGCTGCGAGACTTGGAGGAGGAGGGGGAGGAGGAGGGCCGATTGCGAAGACGTCGCCGATGCAGATGTTGCGCTCGTTGAAGCGGGTGAAGACCAGGTTTTCGCCGAAGGCGCCGGGAATGAAGCGGGATGAGGCGGGAGGGTGGTCGAGTTGCCAGGTGGAGTAGTGGGAGCTACAGTCTGGGTGGGGTGGTTGGTTAGTATGCTCCGCAGAATGAGTCCATGTTTGTATGATTGAGATAGATGTTACATGTGAAGGGGAAGATGGGTTACGTACATGCGTGAACGGCTTTGGTAGGCCCGCCGTGGACTGACAGTGGGGGTACAAAGTCAGTATAATTTTCACAAATTAGGGAAAGTGGGTGAAGTAGGTGTTATAGCCAGCTGCTAATGCCTGAAGGTTTCAGACTGAGGCGCAAGGCCTGTAGTCTCAGACAATCGCCCAGCTTGAACACCCACTTTGTACCCCGACATTGCGTACATGTCAGGTCGTGCTCGTCACCTTCGAGCCCTGTCTTCGTGACCCATATGGGTCCGTCAACGATGCTCTTGTCGATTCCGGATTTGATTGTCAGACCGGGCATGAGTTGCATTTTGCCGCCGCGGACCTTCGTCTACGTTAGCAGAGTTGATTAGGAAAACGAGGTTCATTATATATGTCACCATTGACGCCGAACACTTCCAACTAAAGGAACACACATTGCGAAAATCGCGAGAGAGTCAGAAGCAAGTAAAATACGGGAGAGCTCACTTCGACAATGGTGTCTCGCTCAAGCGGAGCATGCAGGTCCACTGTTGGCCCCTCCATCTTGTCCACAAGTCATCAACCTGCATAGTGGCATTTCCAGTTGACTGTTTGTAGCCTTACCTTGGCAACGATAAGTAATAATCAGACTGAATGTTTTCAAAGTCAGTACAACCTCCAACAGAGATTTCTGCTACGACCCAGAGCGGAAGCGGAGTGAACTGACTAAAGAGCGAGTTCGAGCAGATCTTGAGCGCACAATCGCGAGAAATGACATGGAATTATATCGTACAATACGAAAAGGAAGGTAAAGAAACAAAGTTCCCGAAGCAAACAAGACCGAAAGACACTAGGGGCATGTTGGTAAGAAACCTGGGCCTGGCACGATACCAGTGTGGGCTTACGCGAGCATCCGCCAATAGAGTCACAGAGCGCAGCAAGTAAGCGGCTCTCAGCAAGCGCGATTCCACCGTGCTTCACAACGCTGAGTAATGGAGGCTATGTAATTCTGAATGAATTCCATTCTGCACGAGACTCCTTCAAATGCTCAATACCCTCGTGAATTTACATATACACATTTCTATTTGGTTCTTCTCAGTTCTTTCCCTTCACACGTTTCCCAACATCATGACTATAGCTCATCGTGGCCATCCTTCTTCGCTTGCGCACCATCCACGATCTTCTTAATCGCCTCGTTGATTTCCTCCTCGCTCGCACCCTCTGGCAAATCGAGCTTACTCTTCAACTTCCCATCCGTATCCAAGATCTCCTCCGGATGATCAAAGTTGGCAAACTTGATGCTATCTTTCTTCAGGCCGGCCTTCTCAAGCGCCTCCTCGAGCTCTTCGTGAGTAGGACCCTTTTCGTCCTTCCTCGCCTTCTTGTTCTTCTTCGATTCCTTCTTGGGCTTCTTGACGGTGGGTTTCTTAGGCTTGGGGGCGTTTAAGTGGTGCGCCTTCTTCATCATGATCTGGATGACTGCGTTGTTGAGCTTCTCGCCCTCAATCTTAATGTCCTTGGCTGAGACGGCGGGTTCATCACTATCTTTGAGCTTCTTCTGTGCGGCTTGCTTCTCCTCGAGCCACTTGCTAGCGTTAGCGTGCGTCTCCTGTATGAAGGTCAGGTCCTCCTCAGTATAAATGATAGGGACATCGGTGGGCTCGTTGGCAGCGGCAGATTCAGACGCAGACGCAGATGCGCGAGGTTCTTCCTCAAGCTCATCTAGCGAATCGGCCGACGCGGAAGAAGATGGCGATTCAGTGCTGGAGGCAGACGCCTTGCTCGCTGCCTCGGCGGACTTTGACAGAGCGACTTCCTGATCCTTGATTTGAGTCTTGACCAGGTCAATGGCGGTCTTAACGTCAGCGAGGTTGGCTTCGAATTGCTTGATGGCTTCCGGACGCTCTACGGCGTCGGTCTTGCGCTCTAGGATGGGCTTCACAATATCTTCGAGCTCCTTGAGCTTAGCCTTTAGGGTCTTATGGTCGGCGTCCTGGCCCTCAGCGTAGATCCACTCAGAGGTGGCGCTAAGCTTCTCCTCGAGCGTAGAACGAAGAGCAGTGGTGGATGCAGTGATAAACGACTCATCTTCCAGGTAGTCGCGCGCCTTGTATGTGAACGCTTCAAGGGCATTCAGGACTTCTTCGCGGTTGCGACGAGCCTTGTCAGACTCATCGAAGGCGGTGAGCCTGGTCTCATTAGTATTCGCAAGATCTCACGAATGAATCCAAAGCTTACCTGTCCTGCATGCGCTTGAATTCCTTGCGAGGGTGCTTCTCATAGCCCTGTTGTGTGACCGAGTACGTGATTGCAGACCTGACCGTCTTCTTCTTGGGTCCAGTTTGCGCAGCGTCAGAAGCTGACGCATCGGCAGCCCCAGAGCTGGGAGAAGATGCAGACGATGCCTTGGACGACTTCTTCGAAGAGGATTTCGAGGATGACTTCGATGACGATGCGGAGGCGGACTCGGAAGCGCCTTCGCTCTCCTTCAACGGCTCCTGGTCCTTCTTGTCGCCCATACCGAAGAAGTTCTTGACACCATCGACGATACCAGTCTTGACCTCCGTCTCGCAAGTGACCCAGGCAGAAGTGACCTCGGGCTCGCCGGTTATGGGGCTAAGCCTGACCTGAACATAGTTATTGAAGCTATCACGGTCGCAGCCTTCTTTATCGATCAGCTCAGTGACAGCCTTGGTGAGGTTGCCGCTCGCAAAATGGAGAGTAGGCTGCTTCACGACATCGCCGTTAGGGCCTGGCGTAGCCTGGTAGATGGTGAACTCGAACTCGCCCATCATCTGGAAAGGTAGGTCCTTGGTGGCTCCAATCTTGGTTGATGGTGAGAAAATCTTTTGGTCGCGGTCCTTCAGATTGAACATGTACTGGATGCCATGAGTGTAGCCCTGGGTATCCGTGTCACGGATCTCCTTAACGCGGAAAGAGGGGCTGAGACCAGCGGCCTTGAAGGCAGCACCAAATACAGCGGCTTCATCGGAGTTGACGTTGGCCTTGATCTTGGACTTGCCGACAAGAGCTTCGAGGCGGGCCTGGACGAATGGAGTGCGAGAAGCACCACCGTGAACAATGACGGAATCAATGTCAGAAAGCTCAAGACCAGCTGCTTCAAGAGCACGCGTGATGGGACCCTCTACCCGCGAAGCGTAGTCGGTGGCCATCTCCTCAATCCTGACGCGAGAGATCTTGTAGCGAAAGTCGACGTCCTCGAAGAAGCTCTCGAAGAAGGACGAGGTCTCAGTGTTTGCACTGAGGACCTGTCGGACCCTCTCAGACTCCTTCCAGAGCTTCGCAGCGGTACGCCCGTGAGCCTTAACATGATCCGCGGCGATAGAAGCGCTCTTTGCCGCCGGAAGTCCAACGAAAGTCGAAATCATGTCTTCAATGATGAGCGCGTTAAGCGCATCACCACCGAGCGTCTTATCCCAACCGGCTCCAAGAACCTGAACTTCTTGGACAGTCTTGTTGTAACGGCCCACATCCTTGACAGTCCGTCCCTGAAACTTGATTACAGTCGCAGAAGCGGATCCAGCGCCCATGTCGAAAACGAGGTTGATTTCTGGCTTGCCTCCCTCATTAATAACAGGGAACGTCCGGCTCATGGCATAGTTGATGCCAACAGCCAACCCGTCACTGACCACATTTAGGACGTTCAAGCCCGCCAGCCTCGCCGAAACCTCCAGCGCCCTCCTTTCCTCAACGGTATAGAACGGCGGAACCGTGAACACAACCTCGGACACATCGCTACCAGCCAACGCCTTCGCATTATCCCTTACATTCTTAAGCTCCATGGCCAAAAGCTCTTCCACTGAAAATGGCTTCTCCTCGCCTGCAAACACGCCACTCCGCAGCGCAACCGTCTTCCTGCCCTCCAAGCCCTCAATCTTCAGCGCGGGGTATCTCGAATTGTACACCTTGACGTTATCTCCCTCCTTGCTTACACCAAGTAATTGCTTCAAATTCGGGTATACATCGCCCGGAAACCGCGCCGCCAGAGCCACCGCATCGCTGCCGTAGAAGCGCTCCGGGAACTCTCCCGCCGGAAGCGCACCGCTCTTCAGCGGCTTGAAAGCGACGGCGGAGGTCTCTTTACGTTTTGAGTCTTTGGTGAGGACGATTTCGAGGGGGATGCCGGGCTTGACGAGCGCGGCTTTGATGTATTCGGTGCCAAGGTCAATTCCTAGGACGGCGGACGCGGCGGACGCGGTGGAGGAGAAGAGGAAAATGAGGCCCAGGAAGATTGCGGCAGGAGAAAGACTGTGTCTCCGACGACCTGGAGGAGCCATTGTGTGCGGACTGAGTCGAGCCTTCGAAGTGGTGTGGTGGACGCGCAGTAAATGCGGTGTGGAGGTGGGATGCCTCTATGAAGTGGCGGTGGGGCTTCGAACGCGCTGCACGAGAATGTGAAAAGGACACTTGAGTTGGTAAAAGGAAGGTAAGGGAGCAGTATCCCAAATAGTGAGCTATGTGTACATAAGTCGTGAAGAGCGGCGGACGGAAGGTTGCATGCAATGTTTAAATGTCGGAGCTAGCTACCCTGTTCGCGGACCTTCGAGCCACCTGTCACTTCAAATGTTCTTTGGCCGAAAATGACAGATTGACGCCACGCCCACTCGGATACCGTTTCTGGATCGTTCTACTATGGTATGACAAGTGATGACTCAGTTACCCGTGATTGAAGTTTATGAAATGTTTTCTGTTCATTCGTATAGACGATGCCACCCGCTTCGCAGCTCTCTGCTGCACCAAGTTGTCCGGATACTGGCCAATCAAAGTGCTCGCTTGTCCGCGAATTCGATGCCTTCCTTCCATTTCCTATTTCTACACTTTCACCACGTGGAGTTTGCTCCCGGCCCTCTATAGACATATGATGCCTGAAGCCTGGCTCACGCGCACCACGCCAGAGATTATATCCCACGGTTAAACTCCACCAAGTTGTCCCTCCCTCCACGCTCATGGAACTCTTCCTCCAGCGACTTGGCACTGACAGCCTGTCGCTGAGGAAATGCAGCAAGTGCCAGTGGCAGTGCGAAGATGCTCGTCGCGAAGATGAGACCTATCCGTTTATCAGCATTCTATAGCCGCCTGCGGCCTGCCTGCAGTCTCACCTAGGTTCACGGGCGTGGTCATTCTCGGCCTCTGCTTCAGCCACTCCGTCTTCTGCAGCCGGACGAGGATGAGAGGCGGTAGAACCATAATAGGAGTCGCGTTCAACACACGGCTTATTGCTGTCTCGCCGACCGCGAGCGTTGCCGCCTTCTTGCTCTTGCCCAGAGGTTCTACCTTCAGCTCGCCCTTCTCCACACGCTGCTTCTCGTCGTCTGTAAGAACCGGGTATACATCGATGCCCTTCCGTATCTCTTCTCCACGCATCAAGAATACGTTCAACACACCGGCGCAAGCGACAGCGGCGAATGGTACCAAACGACCAGCGATCAATTTCGCGTTGGGAGAAAGACGCTTCAGGCGGGGCACTATGGAGTTCAAGCCAAGCGCAACACCACAGGATGCACCCACGGCGATGAAGTACGACTTGACGATTGCTGAGGTAGGTAGTGGGGTCGATTTGTTCGCATTCGAGTAGTTGATGGCCACGTTGAGCGACTGGTTGACAACCTGCCAGCCGAGCGTTCCTGCAGTCTGTAAAACTTTAGCAGTCGACCGAGCACATTCACTGTGATTGCGCACCCCCAGTCCTGGTGTGAGCATGCCACCCGTGACTACCAAATTAGTCAGCACAAAGGCAGACATCCTGAAGGGTAGCACAACAGGCTCTCCCGTATCTGTTCCCCATCAGCGCACGTCCTTTGAGTTCCAGACGTCAGCTTGTACCCGGGTGTATCGTGGAGTCGATGATTTTCTTCGCCTGCCATAGCTCGGGGTTCATGTTCCGCACTTTCCCCGTCTTGTACGCAGTGATGAGTCGTTTCGCATCTTCGAGGCCGGCGGAGGATGTGAGGAGCGTTCTACGATCACAATCGTTAGCTTAACTTCCTGACAGGCAGATGGTGTCCATAGGGTCTGCAGGGGAGACAAAACAGTGGTACTCACCACCCAGTACACTGATGGAGAAGCTCACCCGCGCGGCAATCTCACCTTGGATCAGAAACGTTTGCGCAATGCCGCACACGACCCCAGTACGTGCTTAAATCGTACTGCGAGGCTGGCAAGTCGCGAGTGCCCGGAAGTGAGGAAGTCATTGCGAACGCTGAACGCAATGGTGGCAGCGACGATGGCAGCGGGTTCCTGTGAACTTCCGGTGTCTGTAGAGGGGAGCTCGTGGGAAATCTCACCGCTATCGGCGCCAATGACCGTGGCCCGGGACCGTAGCGCAAGATAGGCGCTCGGTTCGCAACGAGAGCCGCAGCAAGGGAAACAACGGATTACTTTCCGAGCAGCCTCAACAGGCAACATTATACGAGAACAAAACACCCCCAGGAAGTTTCGGACATGTCTACAATGATATTTTATATTTGATATACGTCTTCTAGGAGACGTCAGCAGTGTTTGTACGACGTATGTTTTTCGGTCTTCCTTGCCATTTACCATCCAGCCTACTGGGCCATTAATTATCTACCGTTACCCAAACCTTTTAGTACCATCCGTAGGTTAAACCAGAAAAGCACCATGGGCATTATTTCCAATGCAAATCGCAATGCAACGCCGATGCAATATATACAATTCAAATGCCAGCCGCAAAGACGATGATGCGGGAAGATCGTATCAACACGCTGGAAGCTCATTTTTTCTTCTTCTTGTCTTTCTTGTTGGGAACCGATTCGAGGATTGAATCAAATGTTTTCGTAGGGTCGTGAACAGATACAGGTCGCATCATGGGCGAGCCGCCTCCTGGTGAGGGAGCACCTCCTGGCGCAAAGCCTGGAGGCAGAGGCAGAGCTTCTAGCCCGAGATTCATCACGCTCTCGCGTCGACGGTCGCCGGCGGGACTTTGCGAACGAGGGCTTGGTATCGCTGCTGAGGCGTCGAGGAACCCCGGCGGAGGTGGCAGAGGGGCAGCATTCATCTCGTGCATAGCTGCGTTCAACAGCGTGTCGTTTTGCGCCCACTTCTCTGCCATCTGCCAGCAGTGAGACCGGCGGAAGACACCTTCAACTCCATTCTCGACAACGTCAGTCGGTAAGCTGACGACTTGAGAGCCTCCAGCAACACCAAACCAAGTTCGCGCACGATAAGTGTCCTCGCGGCCCCAAGGAGTACCGGCGCGTGGCACCTCGCAGAGGAAATACTCTACGCCCTCGGTGAAGCGGACGCCGGGCGCATCCACCACCAACATGGGCAAAGACTGAATTACAGCGTAGAGGAAGAGCCACTGACCCGACCTTAGTTCGTACAGCTCCTCCATAGTGCAGCCTGAAGCCTGCTTATGCTCGAAGTGGCGGAATGCTTCCAGAAACGCGGTCTTCTTCTCCGCGTCTTCATTGTGCGAAGCCTTGATCATCCGCGCAATCTGGTCTTTGGTGAGTTTCTTGCCACGGGATTTTGCATCCTTCTTTCTATCGCCGGACGGATACTCCTTGTTGACTTCCTTCAAAGTAGGATACAAAGGTACGTCGAAAGGTATGGGAGGTTGCACTGGGGGTGTGCTGCGGTCGTACTCGCTGAGGACCTTCCGCATGGCAAGTGCTGCAATCGATTCGAAGTCTGTCCGCTCGTCCTCGCTCATAAAACCATCAGCAGTACGGTTGGTAAGATTCGTTCGATCCACTAGCAGATCGTAAAGATCGGACAGATCGTGATAAATTTCCAGCAATACTAAGCGATTCAGTCCGCTCGTAGTGAGGTTGTTCTTCTTTGACCGGGCCTTTGGTAACCAGCCTCCGTACTTCGTCTTGTAATAATCCAGGGCAAACGACCGTGTGCTCATGAAAGCCGATTTCCACTTACCGAACCTTACGGCCTTCTTCTCATCTGCCATGGCAGAGTTCATAATACCAGCGAACATGGCGGGAAAGTCGAATTCCTTGAGCTTGTTGTTGATATTCATCTCCCGGTTATCCAAGTCCAATGCTGCGCGAGCGAGACGTGTGCCCGTTTTAGGGCTAATCAAGTCGTACTTGGGATGATTCAGTTCCTTTATGCTGTCGAATTTGCCCACGGCGTGAACGAAACCCTCGGTGTACAATGACATGGATCGCATCTTCTCTCCAAGAACGATTGCTTCAATGGTCTTTTCCCTGCTTTGCCGAACATCCGCCAGGTACAACTCATCGACATAACTGTCGAAGCTCGACGCAGCGACCTCGCCGTAGGTAGATCCGTCGACATTTGAGAAGTTGTAATGCTGCAAGATATCTGCTATGCGCAAGAAGATGTCGAAAATGTCAGAGTGCCGCTGGGTAGCCACCAACGACTGGCCGATAAGGAATGCGAAAAAGTTGCGGTAGGAAATGAGCGTGTCAATGTCCTTGTTGGCAAGTTTAGGCTCGGAAGTTGTCGGTGTGATGGGCGCTTGGTCAGTTGAAAGAGCAATGGGCATGTATAGATGCTTTTCGGAGTGATCGTCCTCGGTCGCATCGCTGAGAGCTCTTGATCCTTTCGATCCGTCCGAGCTGTCTACAACGCTGGCGTCGGGGGAGCCTGTTCGCGAAGGAATTCCATACGTGGCAGATGAGTTGCGGACGGAGCGATCGGGCATTTCAGTGGTTTCGCTGTAAAGCTGCCCGTGCAGCAGTCTGGTCATGTATTGAGACGATGCATAGACGGACGAATCTATGCGGAAAGAAGGGCCTTTGTCTGAAGTGCGTGGAAAGAGGTATACGAGGGTATCGCCGGCATCATCCCATAGCTCCGGTACCTGTCAGATTCGTTAGTCTCGTCCATCAACCCATGCCAGAACAACATACCCTCTCGCCGTTCAACAACATGGTCAAGCTGTATTCCACCTTTCCCTTGTGTCCGACTACCCATGCCAACGGGCTATCCTTGGGATGCCGTTGGCTCGGGTCCTGTAATCGCTCATCGCTGCTCTCCCCGTAACCAAACAGTCTACTGCGACGCCTGTTTTTCTTGGCCTCTGTGTCCGTGGTGGGTGTGAGCAGACCTCCAACAGGAGTGCCAGGAGTGCCAGGTCGGCTCTTGTTGAGCCGGTTGGGTGAGCTGCTTCGTGAGTTCGGGTTGGAGCTTGTAAGAGGCGGCGGCGGTTCGAGGGGTTCGAAAGCGGCAGCTACGGAATCGACAGTCTGTATGGTGACTGGCGCGCTGACGGCAATGTCTCGTGGGCTATGGGAAGGAGCGGGATAGTCGGGTGCTAGCGAGTGCGAGGTTATGCGCTTCTTTACCTTTGACAGGCGGCTACTCGATTCTGAAGATGCCGCAGAGCCAGATTCCTTCGACTCTTTCGAGTCCTTGGAGTCGTTTGAGCCCATGGAGAAGAGCGAGGAGAGCCTACGGCCGGCGTTCCTTTTGGGTGCGCTCAACATGGTGCAACCCAGCCCAATGGTCCACCGGAGTGTTCAGGTCAAATCTCTTCACAAGGCTGGCGCACGCAAGCTCAGCAGGTTGCCCTTTGTTTGCCAATTCCCACCACACAACGGCTCCAAAATAGGTGGACAGAGGCAGTGCAGGAGGCGGAAAGGCGAATACGGGCGGGCAGCGCGGTCGGATGGCTGCGGGTTTATTGTCGGACCCAATTTTTCGTCTACACAGTGGGGAGCACAAGCAAACAGGACGCCATGGACAAGGGCATCAAAGTGTGGTGGTGAGAAAGAGAGCCACGCAAAGCTAGTGCCTTGGGGAGGCCCATTGTATATGTAGGGCGTCCGGCCAGCGGAGGACCAGGCGGCCAGTGCAAAACTAGAGCGTATGAAACCATTGCCTGTGAAGGGCGAAGTTGCAGGGGTGCCTCGATGACGCCGCCGGCGCTGAGACCAACACCATCGCCACACAGAGAAAAACGTGGCCAGCATGGCCCCCGAAAACAGCCGCCTTGTTGTGAGGCAGCATAGAGGCGCATGCCTGTCAGCCCGAGCGTGTTCGGCCAGTGTTTGGAGGCTCTCTTTGCGCACGCGTTCCGTTTGCTGAGCACATGGCTGTTGTTCTTCCAAGCTCCGACTCCTGAGACTGTAGGCGTTGCGCCGGCAGCTGTCGGGCCATGAGCGCGCTGGAGAACATCTGCCGCGCCCGAGCCGGCATCCGACCTTCAACGCGGGATCCAGGGACGCCGACGGCCCGCAAGTGTCGACCATGGGCCGCGCAAAGGTCAGAGGGAGCAAAACAAGCGCCTCGAGCCGCGGGCACTGGCGACTGTCAGCTCGCAACCCCAGCTGAGGAGCAGCACAACACGAGCAGTTTTGGCCAGCACCGCGTGCTGCTTCGCCTAGCGCCATGACGTAGGCCCCGTCGATGGATGGGGAAGGCTTGGCGAGGCATCGCACCTTCTGCGAGTTCGCCGTTGCTCGCACGAGTGAGATCGACATCCGGGACCTGACAAGGCCTACATGCTGCATGCTGCACTGCAACATTTCGAGCCTTCTTTAAATACCTCCGACCAGTCGTACTGCATCCAGCTCCCTCAGCCCGTGCGCCACATGCTTTCCAGCCACAAGCCTATCGATAGCGGCAGAGCTTATGTACGGCTAGCGTTGCCGGCGTTACCCCAACACGCCTTGACTCGGATGCCTCAGCATTCGATATACCTTTTCGATATTTCGTCCGCTCACTTGCGACCGACTGAATTACGAAGACGACCATGGCTGCGTCCAACTTCTCCGAGGTTGTCGGCTCCGCGTCTAGCTCTAAAAAACTCATCAATCTATTGAGAGGGCACGTCAGCTTTCCTTCGCGTCCTCATCCTAGCCCCTTGCTCCATTATGATTAGCCCTTGGGCCATTGTGTGCCGCGTGGAGCGCTGTTTACGCGTAACTGACAGCACTGGCATTGCTGCATTGGGTCACCCTGCTGACCTGTTCCCGCAGTTGGCCGAATATCTCATTGATCCCGAATCATCTCATCGAAAAGGGCTCGCGCGCTGTGCTCCAGGATCCGTCGATAGCGTTTCCAGCACTGCTGTATGCACCCGACAACGGGGACCATAAAGTATCAAGCCTACGGAGAGTCAAATCCGACGGTTGCTAAGACGCATGCCAGTTACGCCAGAACATGGCTTCGTGGCTTACGAATTTTTACCAACCAACGGCACCCATATCCGAAGAGCGTATTGCCGTGACAGGTGGAGCATCGCAGAACCTCGCATGCCTTCTCCAGGTGTTCACTGATCCGGTGCACACACGTAACGTGTGGATCGTAGCTCCGGCCTACATGTTGGCTTTTCGTATCTTTGATGATAGCGCGCTAAAGCTCCGAGCAGTACCAGAAGATGAAGAAGGCATCGACATTGAGTACCTGAGGACTGAGATCAGAGAGAGCGAGGCCAAAGCACGGGCACAACCCAACGGCGAACAGGTGAGTACTGTCCGAGCGGAGTCGGCATCCGTATGCGCGTCATATAAGGCTCTACGACACACAAGCGGTCTTGCCAACACAACGCGGCTTCCCAATGCCCGAATTTTGTTACGGCGTCGTACGAATATTCGCAAATCAGTGAACGCCATAAGACTGCAGGGTTAGCGTACCGTCAGCAGCTGATATACGACGTCAGTTCGTACGATGCTGCACGCGTTATCCAAGGCGTTCTACACATTGCGCTGTACTGGACTGACCGTGCTATAGCCCATTAAGCCTCAGAGACCATGGTCTAAGTTCTATCGCCACATCATCTATGCAGTTCCTACATTTTCGAACCCCTCATTCAAGACGATGACCTTGAAGCGAAGAGAACAGCTAGTCAGACTAGCACGAGAATACGACGCTTTGATCATTACAGATGATGTGTACGGTATGTGCGTCGGTCGCGGATCACACTGCAACACGAACTAAGTGGGTTGGCCAGACTTCTTGCAATGGCCAGCGAGTCTTACAGCGAAGCATCTGTCCCTCGACAAAGCTGTTCTGCCCAGGATCGTCGATATTGATCGGTACCTCGATGGTGGTGCGGAACGGGAAGGTGCTGATGGATTCGGCAACTCGGTGTCAAACGGCAGTTTCTCGAAGATCGCTGGCCCCGGTCTAAGGACTGGCTGGTGCGAGGGTACCTCGAAGTTAGCATTTGGTGTTTCTCAAACGTATGTATGCCCCTCGCAACCCTAAGTAAGTACCGAGTCATGGCACGCACTCGCGCCATAGTCCATCGTGTAGCGTTCTAGAGCTCGTACGATGCGATGTGCAATACGGAAAGCCGAGAGAGGCAATTGCATCTAGAATGACAGTTAACGTGGTTACAGCGGCTCAAGCAGATCAGGTGGTGCGCCTTCGCAGCTTGCCGCTACCTTTCTAGGAGAGATAATCGAGTCCGGAGATCTCCAGCGCCATGTTTACGAGGTTCTCCAACCTTCATATGGCAGGCGTTATCAGAAGTTCGTTAGGGCAATTGAAACAGAATTAATCCCTCTAGGGGCTCGTCTGCCGCAGACAGATCGGGACGTCGTGGGAGGCTATTTCATTTGGCTGACGCTGCCGGACGGGATCAAGAGCATCACTGTGGTGCAACGGGCCAAGGAAGAGGAAAACGTTGTTGTTGCGCAGGTGTGCAGTGTCCCGAGTTCAGCCCGGCTACACTAACACTCTTGTGTAGGGGGAGATCTTTCAAGTGCCCGGTGACACAGATCACGCAGGGACTCACTTCGAACAAGACATCAGGTAGGCACCTGCCATGTCTTGAAGCCACTGCAGCATTGCGGCGCAAGCTATATTGCATATACCGACGACCGTTGTACTTGGGGCATAGACTTCGGACGCAGACCCAGTCCACGACCGTGCTAACCCTGGGCAGGATGTGTTTTGCTTGGGAAGATGAAGACGTCCTCGCCGAGGGCATCGAACGCCTTGCACGGGTGATTCGCGGGCTCCAAAATGAGCAACAAGATGGGGAAGCACAGTCGTCGATGCAACATGCCACCAAGGCCAGCGCAGAGGAGTTTTGGTAAAGTAACCGAGTGGCTAAGGCGAGTCCAAATTTCCGATGCATGCGAGCTTAATTGCAAGTATAGCAACGTCCCCTGTTTCGCACGGGACCGTGAGCTATGTAGACTGCCCGCGAAGGCCTAGGATTGGCTATGTATTTCACATTAACAGACGGGTTTAAGCTACCGGGATCTACGCGGGAGCTGCTCGCATCAAACGATGGTCTGCTCCGTAGTCGCACCTGAAATAAAAGCAAATCCAACCACAGGCGCAAGCGCTTTCCCTGTGCAGACGCGTTCGCGATGCGCCGATAAGCACACGATCCACGGCGGTGTGGGTCTGTACAATTTCAATGAGGACCCTGGCGCGTGGAGAAGAGGTGGTGCTACCGTCGCACAGTGCGAGCTCAAAAATGCCCGGACGGCGGACCAGGCAAGGCGAATGCAGAGTGAGGGGAGGGAGGCCCTTTGTCAGTAGCAGCTTCCCGAGTGCGTTAGGCGTAAGGCTTCCTCGCGACGGGCTTCGTCGTCAACTGCAAGATGAAGGATGCGGCGAAGCTTGAATCCCCACGGGCATCTGGGGCCTAACCAGGCGGGCGTGTGACTTGTCCGGCGGCACAGCGCTGCGTTGTTGACTCTTCGCGGTGGTCGACGTGCTGGCGGCCCGCCGCATCGCCATGGCCTCTCGCTCGGCAGCCAGCGCCTGGTGCTGAAGCGCTGGCAACAGGAACATCTCCCGCGAGACCAGTGACATGGTGCAGACGAGCCAGCGACTGGGTGGCTGAGACGCCTTGCTGTTTCAGAGCCCTAGACTCGGCTGTGGCACCGGCGGCAGGCCCCCTTGGCGAGCGATCTGCCGCCATGCCAGGCACACAACGACAACCCTCGACGTCCACTCCACCGAGTGGTCCACGGCCTCTGCCTGTTTCACGCCCGCAAAATCACCGGGAAAGCTACCCACTGACTTCCCTGCAGCCCGACATCTGCTTGTGCACTTGTCGACCCCTCGTGCATTCCTGGCTGCCGCTTCGGGACGCGTCGCCCTGCCGTCGGCAGCCATGGCGCTGTGTCCTCACCATGGCACGCAGAATGACCATGGCTTGCGGGCTGGAGTGAATGGATCGACGGGCGTCGCTGGGCATGGTGGTGCGGAGAAAGAATCATGGTACAATGAGAAGAGTCCGGATATAAAACGTCAATGCGATGCTGGTAGTGAAGGCCCCAGACGGGAGCGAGCAACGCATGCCGGCCATCAGAAACTTGAAACAAGGAGGTTTGGAAACACACCTGTCCATTGGCGCGAACTTACCCTCGCCTCAGTGAGTCTAGCCTAATCTCTTTTTGCCTCCGGTGGCTCTCTATATGAACAATGTCCGCCGCTCATCCTCACCTTCACGCAGCTTGCAGTTGCTCGCATTGTATCGTGCGCTTTTTTTCCATTCACTCGCATTGTGTCGCTCATTCATTCATTGCCACCTTCACTTTACTATGCACCGTGTGTCTATATAGGACTTTCTTCTTCGTCCACCGTTGCTCCAACAACTTGCATTCTTTACCCAGCAAACCACAACACTGCGTCTCTGTGAGACACTAACTTCGAATCCCCAAGTTTCGAACATCATTCAAGACAAATTCTACCTCTTCAAGACTCAGATCCGCTATCATCATGGTAGCATTTGGCGCCTCGGCGCTTCTCCTCACGCTGCGCGTGCTTCTTTCAGCAACTCCGTCGTCTGCTGCGCCGGTCGCACAGGCAGACACTCCATCAACAGGCGCGGCCAGTGGTTACTGGCTTCCTGCGCTCGCTTCCAAGGGACAAGGAAAGGCTGCATTCAACGAGAACCCCGACAGCTACCTGGTCTACCGAAATGTTCAGGACTTCGGAGCCAAAGGTGACGGCTCGACTGACGACACCGCGGCTATCAACAAGGCTATCGCTTCTCTGACCAAGACGTCTTCTGACACTGAAGTGCGTTGCGGTGAGGGCTGTGACTCTACTACCATCACTCCTGCCGTCGTCTACTTCCCGCCCGGCACCTACATGGTCAGCAAGCCCATCATTCAATACTACTACACCCAGTTCATCGGTGATGCCAAGCAAGTGCCCACGCTGAAGGCTACCGCTTCCTTTGAGGGTATGGGTCTTATCGATGCCGACCCTTACATTGAGGGTGGTAACGGCGCCAACTGGTTCACCAACCAGAACAACTTCTACCGTTCCATCCGCAACTTCGTCATCGATATCTCCGACGCTAAGGCCGCCGCTGGTGTGCACTGGCAGGTATCTCAAGCCACTAGCATCCAGAACGTTGTGTTCAACATGGCCGATGCCAGCACGGAGAATGGCAAGGCTCAGAAGGGTATCTTCCAGGACAACGGCTCCGGTGGTTTCATGACAGACCTCGTTTTCAACGGCGGTGACATTGGTGCTTTCCTCGGTAGCCAACAGTTCACTACTCGCAACATGACCTTCAACAAGTGCAACACTGGTATCTACATGAACTGGAACTGGCTCTGGACCATGAAGTCGAACACCTTCAACGGCTGCAAGGTCGGTCTCGATATGGCAAATGCTCCTGACAACCAGACTGTCGGCTCTGTTCTACTCCTGGACAGCAAGTATGTCTCAACTCCCATCGGTGTCAATACTTCCTTCTCCGAGACCAGCATTCCTGTTGGCGGTGGCACTCTCATCATTGACAACGTTGACTTTTCCGGTGCCGAGACGGCCGTGCAAGACTTCCAAGGCAAGTCCCTTCTCGCTGGTGGATCGACTGTCAAGATTTGGGCTCAGGGTAATGCTCTTGCTTCTGGCGGCACTCAGGGACGTGTCCAGGGCGATGTTCAAAACGGCCCCACCAAGCCCCAGAGCCTCCTTGGTCAGGACGGTGGCCTTTTCGAGCGTAGCAAACCTCTCTACGCCGACATCGATGCCAGCTCGTTCGTCAGCCTGAAGACTGCAGGTGCCAAGGGTGACGGTAAGACCGATGACACCAAAGCAGTGCAAGCAGCCATCGACGGCCTTACGGATGGTCAGGTCCTCTGGATCGACCACGGTGCCTATGTCCTATCTGACACCATTGTCATCCCTGCCGAGAAGAACGTCAAGATTGTCGGCGAGACCTACCCGCTTCTGATGGCTTCCGGTGCCAATTTCGAGGACATGGAGAACCCCAAGCCGTTGTTCCAGATTGGCAAGCAGAGTGGTGACAAGGGCGCTTTCGAAATGTCCGACTCCATCGTCACTACCAAGGGCCCCGTTCCCGGTGCTATCCTCATGGAATGGAATATTAACGCCGAGAACGGCCAGGCTGGTCTTTGGGACGTACACTTCCGTGTCGGTGGTTTCCAGGGTACCGAGCTCCAGTCCGACACTTGCAGCAAGCAGAATGGTACAGCCCACGATGCTGATCCTAAGTGCATCGGTTCTTTCATGCAGCTCCACATCACCAAGAACTCCAACGGCTACTTCGAGAACGTCTGGCTGTGGACTGCCGATCACGAGCTCGACCTCAAGGATCACAACCAGATCGACATCTACAACGGCCGTGGCATGCTTGTCGAGTCCCAGGGTCCTGTCTGGCTGTACGGCACTGCCTCTGAGCACTCGGTCCTCTCCCAGTACCACTTCCAGGGCGCCAAGAACATCTACCTCGGTGCCATCCAGACCGAGACGCCTTACTACCAGCCCAACCCTAACGCGCTCCAGCCCTTCAAGAAGAACGACAAGTACTTCGACCCCGACATGAGCACCAAATCGGACAAGACCGCCTGGGCCGTCCGCATTATCGAGAGCGACAACATCTGGGTCTATGGTGCGGGTACCTACTCGTTCTTCCAGGACTACAGCCAGACGTGCGTCTCGGAGAACAACTGCCAGGAGCACATCAACGAGATCGACGCCAAGTCGACCAACATCAACGTCTTTGGTCTCTCGTCGAAGGCATCCGTCAACATGATCACGCAAGATGGCAAGGGTCTTGCTCTTGATAGCGACAACCGATCGAACTTCTGCGCCACCCTTGGTATCTTCGCCCAGTCGTAGAATTTGCCCTGACGACCTTTCCTTTCCTTCTTTTTCTTTTGAGATACCTTGATGGAAATCGCCGAGCGGCTTCCTACATCTTAGACTTAACCTTCTTTCCCTCTGAGGGCCCTTTTTAAATAGCATAGCATGTATCTACCTTTCTTACCCTCGTTCACCAATCTTTTGTGTTCGCGAAGCATGGCGATGATCAACATACAAGCAGCAACGTATATGTTATACCCGAGGGGCGGAAGGCGCTCTTGAGTGGTCGTGAAATGAAGTGGAAACGTGTATAGGCGCTGCGTTCGTAGCGTCCTGGCGAAGGATTTGCGCTTATTAGAGTACCGGTAGCAACTGAATGAAATGAAACGAATAAGCTGTAAACCGGCTTCGTACGCACGGTCGAGTGACTAGTGTACAACGACTTTGATCGTTGCTCCATGTCAAACGCTTTAATGATACACCGACAATCAGGTGGAAGCGAGGCATAGCGCCGGCAATAACGTTTTGTCACCCCAATACTTACGCTGGTGCTACCAACACCGCTCTCCGCTCGCCTAATCCTGCCCCGCAAAAAAATACAGCTGTCGAAAACTTACATCGCAGCTCTTCCACCACGCCTACTTACAACACCTCTTACACGCCAAATCACCATGTCCGACCTCTCCGAAATCGATGCGCGACCCGCAAAACGCGCGCGCCTCGACGAGCCCTCCACAACCACAGCCTGCACCGCAATCTTTGCAGCTTCTCCCCCAGCAGACGCGCTCCCCCAGGCCCCAATCGTCTCCGACACGCCCACCAATTCCAACAATAACGACCTCGAGCGCGAACTCAGAGCCGGTATTACGGAGTATGTCTGCCCGGATAATTTGGGCTTCACAGGCGTGCTCAAGCAGCGGTATACGGATTTCTTGGTCAACGAGATAGGGCTTGATGGTGCGGTTTTGCATTTGAGGCGCGCAGGTGTAGAGGAGAAGAGAGACGCAGGAAAGGCGGAGGAGGAAGCAGTGGTCGCGAAAGAAAATGCCAATGGCAATCCAAAGAGGAAGGTGGAGGCTTTAGGAGAAAGCGGACCTGTTGCGAAGGTGAAGCATGAGGAGAGTGTTGTGGAAGAGACGACTACAAAAAGTGGTGCCGGTGAAGTGCAGGAGGACGGATCTGCGCCGGCGATGGATCTTGAAAATGGGACTGGTACCATTGGGGAGGAGTTGATCGAGCCGGTGAAAGAAGAAGACGTGTTTGAGGTACCCGAAGCAGATGTCGTAGACCTCCACGCGATATTTGGCGAAACCACCACCAAGGAAATCATCACGCTTGTCCGCGCGATACGTAGGAAGGAAAATAGAAAAGCGAAGGACTTCAGACCCGTCATCGCACCCCCGATAACAGACAAGGATGTCCGCACACGCGCACACCAGTCGTTGCGCCGAGTATTTCCCAACCTGCTTGAGAGCTCTATGGAGGCTGACCAGTCGCTGCGCATAAAAGCTGTCCCACCCAAGGAACGCAAAGGAAAGAACAAGAAAGAAAGGGGAGATCGAAGTAACCGTGATAACGGCCCGGATCGCCGCAAAGGACAACTTGCGTGGGAAGAGCTGGGTGGTGAATATCTACACTTCACGCTGTACAAGGAGAACAAGGATACCATGGAAGTAATCGGCTTCCTGGGCAGCAAGCTGGGCGGGGGTCGGAACCCGTTCAGTTTCGCAGGCACTAAGGACAGGCGAGCATGCACTGTCCAGCGTGTATGCGTCAAGCGACAGACTGCTGAGCGCTTGAACCATTTCAATAAGATACTTTTCAGCGCGGCCATCGGAGACTATTCGTATGAGAAGAGGGATCTTGGCTTGGGCGACCTCAAAGGCAATGAGTTCGTTATCACGCTGCGAGACTGCCGTTTTCAAGGTGACGAGGGGCTGGACGTGGAACAACGCGTCACGCTCGCCAACGACATTGTTTCGAAAGCGATAACAGATTTCTCCAAAGAAGGCTTCATTAACTACTACGGTCTGCAGCGCTTCGGTTCTTTCGCGGCTAGCACTGACACCGTGGGGCTGAAAATGCTTCAGAACAACCTAAAAGGCGCGGTGGAAGACTTGCTAGCCTACAGCGAGACCGCGCTCGCAGCAGCGGAAGGCAGGCTCGAAGATTCTTCCATCTTGATATCACAAGACGACAGGAATCGCGCGAAAGCTCTGCACATCTGGAAAACCACTGGCAGAGGGGGTGCTGCTCTCGACATCCTACCTAACAAGTTCAAGGCGGAGCGCAGCATCGTCCAGCACCTCAGCTCCAGGAACAGCAAGAGCGGGAGATACGACCGGACGAGCGACTGGCAGGGCGCCCTGATGCTCATCCCACGCCAGCTGCGTCTAATGTACGTGCACGCCTACCAGAGTCTCGTGTGGAACACAGTAGCCGGCAAGCGCTGGAGCACATACGGGTCGAAGGTCGTAGAAGGCGACCTTGTCCTCGTCCACGAGCACAAAGACAAGGAAGTCAACGCGGAATCCACCACCAAAGACTCCATCGACCAAGACGGCGAAGTCGTCATCGATCCCGCCGGCGCAGACAGCGCGCTCGCAGCAGATGACGAGTTCGAGCGGGCGCGAGCACTGACAGCAGAAGAGGCGGCGAGCGGGCAGTACACCATCTTCGATGTTGTGCTGCCGCAGCCGGGTTTTGACGTCGAGTACCCGAAGAACGAAATCGAGAAATTCTACGAGGAGTTCATGGGGAGCAAGAGAGGCGGTGGTCTGGATCCGCACAACATGCGCAGGCCATGGAGGGAAGTCAGTCTGAGCGGGGGTTATAGGAAGTTTCTCGCTAGACCGTTGAAGCCGCTTGGGTTTGAGGTGCACAGCTATGTGAGGAATGAGCAGCAGTTTGTTGAGACGGATTTGCAGAGGTTGCGAAAGGAGGAGGGCGCGCAGGAAGAGAAAGGAGACAATGGTGCGGATGTCGAGATGTCGGACGAGGCGGAGAAGAAGATTGCTGTGGTGATTAAGCTGCAGCTGGGGTCTAGTCAGTATGCGACGATGGCACTGAGGGAACTGATGAAGGCTGGTGGGTTGAAGGCGTATAAGCCCGAGTTTATGGGTGGGCGGTAGGTAGAGCGAGTTCGAGTTGGGCAGGTACGACTAACTTCGGCTTGGTCCGGGCCCCGACAACAAATGATGATATGTCGTTCTTCATACATCATTCATCATCTCGCGAAATCTGACATTTCGGGTCAACATTATACGCGCTCACGACGGCCTTGCTCATGATGCTACATAATCGCGCACCATAATACCGCCTTGCACGTCACGGAGATGACCCGGTGGTCAGCAGGGGAGGTTGTACTTTCGTTGCATCTGTTGCACCTGTTGCACCCTCACTCTCTATTTTGCACCCTCACTCGTTCTTGTACCTCGTGTTCTGTCGAGCTGTCGAGTTCTCCGCACAGACTGTGACATGTCTCTCGTCCCCGAGTTGACCAGTGGCCATGACGAGAAGACCGTCACGAGCGCAGTGCTTTTTGTCCAAAGGTGAAATTTTGTTCATCGATCAAATCATATCCGGACACGGCTGATAAACACAAATATGTGCACCCAGAGCAGTGGGGGCCACGATAACGAAGACATGCAACAAGGCAACGAGCGGCCGTTCAACTGCTCTAACATCCTCCTGCGTATCAGTCAGCCCCTGATCGCTCCCGCTCTCTACATGCGGCACCAGCACCAAGCAGGAGAAATAAAATCTTCGTGAAGTCTGTTCAGCCTATCTGTTCGAGACGCTGAAAGCGCTTCGGTATCGGACTAGGGACCGTTATCTGTGGGTGGATACTGTGTGCATCTATCAGGACAATCAGTATACTCCGATCCATCCCTTATCACGCAGAGTTGCTCAACCTGTTCTAGATCATCACGAAATGAATCACCAAGTCGAGATGATGTTCGAAATCTATGGAACTACTAGCGAGTTTTGCGTATGGCTTGGGATGGCGAATTATCCCAGTTGCCTTGCTCTGCGGTTCATTGATCAGGAAGTCTTGAGGTTGCGAGATTTCAACAGATTATGCGAGCAGAACAACGCAAGTGCCAAATGGCGTGCATTGTTACAACTGATGCAACGACCCTGGGTATGTCTCCTTGAGCCCCAGCATGATGTGTTACCAATTAATCATGGCGAAGTTCTCACACAGATGGGTTGTTCAAGAAAATTGCGATTGCCCGAGAAGCGACTGTATACTGCGGCGGACATTCCATTGGATGGAGGGAGAGATTTCACCATCGCCGTAGAGCTCTTCATTGAAATCGAAACGGCCATTTACCGGCTGTCCAAGGTGATGAGACGCAACGGCAGCAATTCAGGTCTAGATTCTGCGGAGGCTTTCTCTCGATGTGCCACAGAAGAAGGAGATACCATAGGTGGCACTCAATAATTCAATGACGAAGACAACGCTATGGCCAATTCATTGGCCGCACTCTCCCGAGTAGAACCGACACTGTAGCGGCACCCTTTGACCCGATCACTGACCGAATACATATTTGTTCTTTCCTGGTCAACGATCTGGCTACGTTTACTTCGGATGGGAGCCGATTATCAGGCCGTGCCACAGTAGTTGTTTTGGTACGCTGGCTTGGCTTATCCGGAGCTCCTAGAGTAAATAATAGACCGTGTATAGTCTCTACATAACCTAGCATTAAGTAGCGGAGCTATAGATATAAGGAAGCAGGGCGACTTTAGTATGAAGATATACATAGAGTAATAGCTAATAAGTAATACCAGTGGATTTGGTAGTTTCCTATTTGGGGGCGCTAGCTATGAACACACTATTTTTTTAATACTTACTATAAGTAGCATAGAAGAGCCTACGTTGCACATCTGTTTTAATATTAGGCATAAAAATCTCTCTATTCAGTGTACTAAAGTGCAGAAGTTAGACTCTGATGTACACGTTCAATTGGCCCCTCAGCCGCCTAGCTGAAGTAAACATAGCCTTTTCGATCAAGTACCTCTAGTACGAACTCATAGTTTTGAATGAAGACGGCCTAATAAAGTTGCATAACTAATTCCCCATATGAATCAGTCAATCTGGTCAACTCTCAGATATGCGCGTTAGACGCCTGAAAATCAGCCACGAATAGCGCAAGTAGTTGTACGACTGGATGTCCCCGATGGACGATCGTCTACCCCGCACCAAAGAGAAATGACTAGTCGTCGATACGTCCACACCGATATACACGTACAAGCAGTACTAACACAATCTCTTATCTCAGCTTCCTTCACATCTTGTCAATCATACAACCGACGCAGATCACCAGACGTACAATTGAGTAGAATCATCTTTGGCGGAAGGTCAACCACACCATCTCGACTTTAGCAACAATGCCGCCCTCCGACAAGGTTCACATTGCGCCAATAGAAGATGCAGATCTCCCAGGAACCTTCAAAATGATGTCGCTAAGCTTCGGCTCCGATGCGCCGTTCATCAATGCCTACTTTCTCGCCCACGACACGCCAGCCGGCCAAGCTCAGGGCGCGGAACGACTACTAGCGTGGAAGCAGAGTTCTCCAGACTCCCAATTCCTGAAAGCTGTATCGACACGAGGTGGCGAAGAGATCGTTATCGGAATCGGGATCTGGACTTACATGGTCGAACAGCCACCGCAGACGCTGGAGGATGCAGAGGGCGAAGAAGATGTGAGAAAGTATTGGCCGAGGGAAGAGGAGAGGGAGTGGATGAAGGCGCTGTGGAGGGAGTATGTAAAGCCGAGGACGAGGGCTGTGGTGGGGTCGAAGGGGAAAGGTGTCTGTGGTATGCGATCATTACTTTCCCCGCAACTAGTGTTGAGACTAACATCATATATGAAAAAGTTCTGGAACTACTGGCTGTGCATCCTGAGTATAGGCGGCTCGGTGCGGGAGCTGCACTTGTGAATGCGGGATTATCCGCTGCGGATGACAAGGGTGTCGGCGCGGTCATTGAGAGTACGGATGCGGGGAGGCAGTTGTACGAGAAGTGTGGGCTGAAGTGCGAGATCGAGAAGATGAATTTCGATGTTGGAGAGGGTTTCAGCGGGAAGAAGACGCCTAAATTGTGTTTCATGGTAAAGGGAGCGAGTGGAGCCTCTTGAATGTGTGGTAAGTCATTCAGCACAGGACTCCCACCTTCGACTATTGGTTCTTGTAACTACGATATGTTCAGTGGTTGGCAAAAGGTTCACGATGACGCCGAAATAGGACACGAGTCAGGTCAAGTTGGACCCGGGCGATTGGAAAAGACGTTGTTGCAAGGCACGTCACCGTGCGAATCCTCCATGTGCTACGAATGGATTTCTACGTATGATATTAGTTGAACAGATATCCTATAGCAACACCAAATCTGAATCTAGCGAGTGCACCACTCTCATTCAGACTCCACGCTACTGCCATCAGTGGCCGGATGTAAAACGCCGAGACAAAACTTCCTGCATATAAGATTGTCGTCTCACGATTATGGGTCCTTTGTAAACTCTCGAAAGACGACGTTTAGTAACCATCACCCAGACTCCATCGTATGACCTAAGGGTGTAGCCATATCCCTGAATAGCATGGAGGCGACTTCTGGGCACAAGGAAGCTCTCTATCATCTCATCGCTCGGCATGGTGACAGTTTAACACCCAACCCAACTTTATTTGAGGCCTTGCCTCACTCTGACCTGTCCGTGTTGAACAATGCATGTGCTGCCCAGGCCGACCACTTTGCGCGCCTCCGCTAGGCTTTCCACATAGCACACATAGTCCTGGCCCACGCGATCACTTGTCGGCCCTTCTCAACGACTCTCCATTGTTTCAACACAAAGATCTCTGAGTCTATTGGCGGAAGTGAAAATGGCTAATACGCCGAACACCCTCACAGTGACTTTGTGGGCGTTCGAATTGAGGTACGGAAAGTACAAGGTATTCTTCAAATCGTAAGTGCACTAGATTGGGTGGTAGGCAAAGCCCGTAGGAATAGTTGTGATTTGACTTTGGGTTGTTGATACACGTTCCGCATGCGCGTATTCGAGATAGTCTCTGACGAACGTGCGGGCGCTGAGGACATGGATTTGCTAAGGCCCTAGAATCTTCGACTGTACGAGGAAATCGAGACTGATGTGCTTGCTGTTGCGAATGCTGGCAAGGAGTAGATTGTAAAGGGTGAAGGTGGGTTTCAAAACAAACATCACTTCAACATCGATAGCATGCGCTCTGTTAAAATCCACAGCACAATGCATTGCGGAGTCAAAGCTTCACATGTAAGAAAAAAACCCACGAAATTTAAAAAATGTCCTTACTTACAAACTGACCTGTTACACCCTCTCTTTCATACACTTTATATACAGCGCACTGTTACAGAGCGTGCTTTCATTCTTCACGGCAGCCCCTCAATACATACCAACCTCTCACCCTTCTTCCCAAAACATTTGACACCTCCCTCATGCTTCTTTACGTTCCCACATTACACATGTCCCTCGCAATTCCTCCTCTCACACATGAACCGCCTAACCTCCTCCCCGCCTTTCTCCAAAACATAGCACCCTACCTCACATCTTGTCTTGCCGGCCACGTGCTTACACCTCAGTTCCACAGGAAAAGGATACGCCTTGATCCCAATAGTTTTAGTACGCATATCCGAGAGATCGCGCCGCTCGAAATAGGCGTAGTCAGGCATGGCCCTAGAAGACCAGATAACATGATAGGGAGAAACGTCGAGGGCAGGCACCGTGAGGAATGCAGGGAGGTATCTCGAGGGTGGGCATGGTGCGACATAGACGGTCTTTTTTATTCAGTATTGCTTCAATAGACATAATTTTGTTTAAACTTCTGTGTTTAAGTTTCTTTCCAGTCTTCAAGACCAAATACACTAAATTAAACTGAGTTCGCTCCTATTTTCGTTATTTTACCAACCCTAGATAACAATTGAATTTTTTTAATAGGGAAAGGTCCCTTATATGTCAACCGATATGAAAACCAGCTTTTATTCTATATCCTGTTTTATATCTAGGGTTGGGACTAACAGTCAGCCCCATCAGCGGGGTAGAGGTTTCGGCGGGCTGTATTCCGCGGTCATATTGCTTCTGATCTTGAGGAAGTGTGTATTTTACTTCTTTGAAAACTTCATCAACGGTGGTATAGCGCGTGTCGGAGTTGTATATGCGTGACGCGACACCTTGTGAACTGAAGAGAAGCTTTTGAATATGTAGAACAAACAAGTCGAGTGAAACGCATCGAACAAAGGTACTATGGGCAGGTTAACGAATCGAATTAAATCGTGAAGAAGTGAAGCCAAACATATGCGTTGTGTATGACAAAAAGACAAAACGCTAGCGACAACAATGTACTAAGTGCGGTCACCCAACTGGCCACAAATCCAACAATCAGGCTGCTTAAGCGTAGTTCAGCGTCTACGAGCCTCTTCGTCTGAAGTCAACCTGTAAGCTGCCTGACACCACACATCCACTTATACATTCTGTACCCTCGTCCACTGGGCTATCTCATCACTCCGCACTACACCTTATCCACTATGAGCCTTACCTTGTACCTCTGTCTTCTATATACAGTAACAGGGTGGTAGCAAAAAAAGATCTCCGGTCATACAACTCTCAACCTCCCACCTCGCTCTGCAGTATTGGCACTGGCGCTGGCGTCCTTGGACCGTCACAACTCACCTCAGGCTCGGCTTAGTGTTTGGTGATACAACTTCCCAGAAGACAGGGGAAGAAGGCGCAGGATTACATACACACCTATCCAATTACCCTGCCTCACGGTTAAGGGGTTGGTGGGCCCAGGTGGTAGAGCAGCCGGCGAAGGCAAGCCCCTGCTGTCGTATGACCGAAGATGAAAGGAAGAGTATTTTGATAATATATATAGCAGTAAATCTTGGAGCGGGGTAGCTCTGATATTGGAATGTGCGGTTGTGTGGGTTGGCTAGCGAGGGTGGCTGGGGAGGTGAATGACGGGTCAGGTGAATGAGGGGCGCGCATCGCCTGTTGGAGCGCAGACGCTGGCTGAATTTGTATGCGCTGACCAATGTGCGCGACCAAACATGGATGGTTTGCGTCGTTTACAGGATATCGTTAGCAGATGAAGGTTCGTATGGACATGGTGGCGTAAGGGTGTGAAGAGGGATGCGAAGGTAGCACGTTTCAATCCTCTGTGGTCGATGTTCAACCCAGCTCTTACATCCTTAAACGTTAAGCTCTTTTGTTGCTCTTTTCCTTGCTGTGGCCCGGACTTCTTGGAAACAAGGCGTTCACTACACAACGGATCCCGTGCTGATGCATCTTTTCTTTTCCGCACCCCTCATGACAATTCTTCTCACCCACCATTCCTGCCAACATCCACAATCATCAGCCCCGGCGTTCTCCTGCCCCCTCCTCTTGCAAATGCAAAACCAACCTCTCCTGGCGTCCCTCGCGCATACACGCACCGATTGACATCCCATCCTATCTTTTGACTCTGCAGCATCTGTAGCACGGTCTCGTAGTGTCTCTCATGCGCGGAAAGTTCCGTATCGTAGATGAATATAATGTTGCGGTGCGCTGTGAGGAAGGTCTCGGACATGCCGGGGCTGGGGGGATTAGTATGTAGTAGCTGGGAAGGCCAATGCAAGTTTCAAATGTATCTTGAAATGCAGTGATTTTAGGAGACGGAGGCAAGAGAAAACCCTAAACATACTAGAAGGTCAATATATCAAGGAGCATAGGCCACAACGGAGTGGGAAGCTGGGCGTGGATGCGAGAGTAATATCGCGCTGTAGTGATAGTACTGTATAGTTCTCTAGTGGGGAAGATGACTTTCCCGTTCTCGGGACACTCGCTCGGGAAACTGTTATTCTCATTACTTCAGTTCACCCGCTCTCTGTGTGGTAACGACGGATTCTCGGAAGCGCGGTGCTCACGTGAGATCGCTGCCATCGACAGCGACATATGGTGACTGCGAAGAGGCGACGCTGCTACTGGGCGATGCGGCGCTGCCTGGCGATGCATAGCTGCCTGGCGTAGACATTGCGGTCGAGGGCGAAAGTCGCGGAGGAGCACAGGATGGGATTCCGGCGATGTAGGCGCTAGACTACTACGAATAAGGCACGAGTGGGATGTTCGCTCGTCTTCGCGCGTGCAAACTCAGAACGTGAGTTCTCACATCCTACCCTGCAAAGCCGTGCCGCCCCTCCCCGATTTCAGCGTCGGCTACCCGCATCGTCTCGTTGTCTTGCGAGATGCTCTGCCGACGACAACGATGCGGGAATCAACAGCTGGAGCATGTCCAAGTGCATGCAGGTGGTTCAAGTGATAGGCGTGCAGACCTGGAGTGCGCTAAGGCTCCAACGTCGCCCATGCCCGAATGGGTTAGAGCACGGTCGTCCCATCTGTCCCGCACCGACGTCAAGAGACACGCGCGCTACCGTCTGACGTCACAAGAGCCACAAGCTTGTTATCACATGCAGTACCTCTGCACCTACATAAGTGTTCAGAGACACACTATCTGCATTAGCACCTATAGCTCCCCATCACACTACTCCATATCACAGTCTAGCCTAGATAAACACATTGCCGCTATCAACATGTCGAATAACGAGGATCAACAGCACATCCCCACAAACAAGAAGGAGGAGGATCAAGAAGAGAATAAAGGCTCAGGCGGGCTTCTTGCACCTCTCGCTGACCCGGTTGGTGCGTGATCCCCCTTCCATGCACCCATTCCTCAAAAGCTCCTTGCAAACCAACCCTTACACCCCACAGGCAAAGCCCTCAACACCGGCCTCCGCCCCCTCGGCGCGCCCCTCGAGAAAGTCACCGGCCCCCTCGGCAACGCCCTCGGCGGCACCACTCGTGGCGCCCTCGGTCCCATGATGGGCGAAAAAGAAGAGCGCTCGGAGCTGCTCGGCGGAAACAATGTCGATAGCTATAGCAAGAAGGAGAGCTTAGGTGGGAAAGAGCAGACCGGGCAGAACCCGTTGGGTTTGGATCAGACAGGGCGGTGGGGATTTGAGGGTGATGGGCAGGGAAAGAAATAACTAAGACACAAGGGACACAGTCTTGAATGGGCAATGTTGTATGATATGTTTCCACGAAGAATGCAGGTCGGTGAACCCTGATATGGGAGGAGATGCGAATGCATTGATATATACCATTCGTATCGTGATCATGGACGTATGTTGCAATTATACAAAACGGGTATACCCAGCAGCAACACCACAATACCACCCTTTTCGCTTCCCACCCTAAGAGGCTCAAAACATCTCATCCAACCCACTCTCATCCAACCTACTCCTCCCTCTACTCCCTCTACTCCTAGCCCCTCTCTTCTCCCTAAATGTATCCTCAAAGTTCCCCATGCTATCAAGTCCCTGAACGGTTTCCACCCTAATATCGTCCACATCCTCACCTGAGTCCTTACTACCACGACTTCTCCTCTTGACACTATCTCGCAGCGGTGGCACTGGCGTCCTTCCAGTTAGGATGTCATACAGACTGTCATCGCTCTCGTCTCCCTCTTGTCCCTCAAATCGCAAGACTTGGTCCTTTCCTTCGGGCCAGACGAATATATAGCCCTGCTGGTGCCCTACCACCATCGTTGGTTTCTTGTCTGCTGCCGTGTTGAGCCATCCCGCCGTCCATTTGGCGGGTGCGGAGCCAGCGGGTTTTGTAAAGCTATCTGAGAGCGAGAGGATGGAAGGTGGACCGGTGGCCGAGTTGGTAGTAGGTGATGTTGAACTGGAGGAGGGGTTCGCGGTGTATAGGTACAACGTAGGTGAATCGTGTGTGGACTGGATGAGGAGGTGGGACGGATAGCTTGGGTGCCATTGTAGTGCCTTAATCGGAGAGTGCAGAATGATAATCGTCCTTGGCTGCAGACTGCATAGATCCCATATCCAAACCGTAGTTGGCGTAGAGTCGTCTCTCGTAGCGCAAATTGTGCCGTCTTTGTTGAGGGCCATGATACCGATTCCTTGTTTCATAAGCCCGGTATCATTCTTCTCCGCCGGCGCCTTCGGTGGTGTAGCGGGTTGCTGTGCGAATTCGAAACTTCTGAAACCCCGCGCGTCGACTTGCTCAACGTACACTGATGCGCTCGGTATGCTGATTTGTGTTGTGTGATCCAGATATACGACCGGAGCGAATGTCTTTGTGGACAGCATCCGTACGCGACGATCCCATCCACCGACGGCCAGCCACTCGTTCCCGGGGATCCACTGCACCATCTTGATCCCCAGGCCTTCAATCCCCCATTCGTTCAGCTCGTTCGAAGGCTCGCGCGATATCGTCCGGTAGAGATGTCCATCCGCCGTGTATATGGACAAACCATACCCCACACTCGCCGCATCCCACACAGCAAGCCACCTCCCGTCTCGACTCCACCGTATTCCCTGCGCATCCTGTGTCACCAGCTCCACCCTCTTAATTACAGCATACGTCCCCGGTGCAAGCAACATCAATGTGTCCACGCCCGAGCTACGACACAGCAGCGCAAGTACACTTCCCCTGCCACAAACATCCTGCTCTTCGTCGCAATGTCTGTATCCCCATCCTCTACTTTCTTTGCCGCTGAACTTCGGATCTCGGATCTCCACCGTTCGTCCTGTTTTCAAAGACCATACGATTACGCGGCTTGCAAAGTCGCTCCAGACAAGCACTTCGTTCTCGTCTCTGCCGAACTCAACATTAATGTTCTTGCCCATGCCGCCTGACCCATTGTTTATGACAGCATTCCATTTTTCGTCGCGCAGGTCGTAGACACGCGTGGTGTCGTCGTCAGCTACAAGGAAGCGGTGCGATCGTGGTGGCAATGCGGACAAACGTTGTGGCGGTGTTGGGGCGCCAGTCGGACTTGTGGATGGTGGGGACCATGCGATCTGCGAGCGTCGTAAATCATGCGATGGCGGGAGGGGTATGTCGCGGTCAAGTTCGAATGTGGCAAGGGAACGGATCTGGAGGCGGGCGCCAGAAAGGCATGCAATGTGGGATGCGGTTGGGGACAGAGCCGAGAGGGATGTAGCTAGACTGATGAGTGTGATATTGGAAGCTTACTACAAAGAGCACTGACCTTTGTATTGAGGAGAAACGTCTACAGTCTCCATGGCTCTAGGTATGTCGGCAACGACCTGACGATCTGTGTGTTGACGAGGGTAAACAAATGAAGAGCAACTGGCCAATCAGGCGCGGAGAGGGCCGCCCACTTCCGAAACCCTCCCAAACTTGTTGATCTACATATCTATAGCTACACCATGTGAAATGGTCTGATAACTGGACACACTTTTGGCAAAACTTCGACACAGCCTAATTTCCCTTTTCGTCACATGGTGGGATGATTGTTGCAAAGCTTGATCAGAGCGACTACAAGGGTATGGGTATATAACTCCAAAGATATCTACTCTTGAGTCTCTTTTGGGTGCCACGGAAGGGCATTTTATAGACATCCAGATCCATTCATCATCAACTCTCCGACATTCTAAACCAAACCCAATTCCGAGCGTATATGGAGAAGTGAACCAAAGAGAAATTCATATCCGTTCAGTCATGCGTTCTGAGCGTCGCTGAAATGCGTTCAATTCATATATTGACTTAACCTTGATGGCCTAGGTGCTGTACACAGGCGCTTTGATCAAAATGCTCTTGCCGCGGATTTGCACCGCTACACCAACAGACAAACGAACTCTCGGCTGAGGAGCATCATCCTTTGAGGGCAGCGACAGACTTTGCTGGCTTGGATTAGGTTGGTGGCCCAGAGACGATTCGCGCTTGCCAAGTGTAGCTGGAGTCTGAGACGGCTTCTTCGACCCGCCGAACCCGAACATACTTCGCTTCTTGTCTGCAGGCTCCTTGGTTGTTTGCTGATTCAACTGCTCCGGTTCCCCAACTGATGCATTGTCGTCTACCTTGGACGCCACACTTCGCAAAGACGCGCGGTCTGCCTCATCGAGTTCTCGGATGGGGTCTGTCAAGGCGGGAATGCCAGACTCCATCTTCATGAACTCAGAGACAAGGCCCTGTCCTGGGTAAAAGTACTCAATCTGCACCTCCCGGCTCTCGAGCGGAAGATGTTGTGCGACGCTGATAGCTAATTCAATGATCATAGGGACTCCTCCGTTCAGATCCGGAGGTGCAGGGTCGTTGAGATACATCTGTATAGAGCCGATGAGCTTCTCGTTCAGTGTTTCGGTCAATGTCGCTCGGTTTGGCCCATTCTGGGCAGCTTTAAGCTGATCCGCCAATCCTTCTAGAGTCGCCAAACGCCAGTTGATGACTTTCGCGTTAAGAGCATCTTCATCTTCAGTGGTGTGGCAGGTCGCAGCGTATTTCCGTATGTTCAGTTGGATGGTCTTCAGCTGGGTCGAGAGCCCAGTCTCAAGATCAGGGTGGAAGTACTTGTCGAAGATGTTCTCGACCAGCCACTGCGAGATGAAAGCGCGTCCGACCGCAGTCATCTCCTGCTTGCCAGTCTCTACAGCAGTCTTGTTCACGACAGGCTGCAGCCAGGGCGGAATCGCCTTCCAATCCTTACGGATCGCGAAGGAAAGTTGTGCTATCAACCCGTCTAACCTGTTGAAGCGAGTAGCGTATTCGCTATCGTCCCAAGATGTGCGCGACAGGGAGAGACGCTGGTTTGCGAGGGTGTTTTGCAGCTGATGTACTTGGGTTTGCTGCTCGAAGAAGTATCGCTTGACCTTTTGATACTTTTCGCCTGCAACGGGTCAGCACAGTGGGGTACCAATGGGATGGTGGGACTTACGCAAGACGTCATGGTCTTTGATCAGTTGAGCTATCTCGTCGTCCGACATGTCAGCCGCAGCTCGCGGCGGTGGTGTTGCCCGACCCATCTCCCCACTCTGCGGATTCTGGCCTTTCTCTCCTCGGTATGGCTGCCCCTGCGAAGCTGTTGGCACGACGTTAGCGCCAAAAGTCTGAATGCCCGGTGAGACAGGCGTTTGTCCTTGAGCCTGACCTTGTGTTGAATTCTGCTGCAGAAGCGAGCTCTCGCGCGAGGGTGGAGCCTGTTGCTGGCCTCCATCGTTCACTTTCCTCAAGGTATTGCGCTGCCCACTGTTCGCCGGCGGCATGTTGTCTTGCTGGGGCGGAGTGACGCTCTGCGAGTGAGGGTCAGTGGACGGGGACGGCTGTCCCTGCTGGTCGTAGGCCTGGAAGATGGGAGGCTGCGATTGGAGGGGCGAGGGTGGGGCAAGCGATGCGTGTGAGGACGGAGGTCGGAGCTGCTGCGAATGCTGACCGTCGATCGGCTGGCCTCCTTGGACGATCTGCGGAACTTGTTGCGACGGCGGAGGAGCGTTCGGCTCGCCTTGTGCTTGGGGAGGCGAGCGACCGTGCTGCAGCTGCTGAAAGTCTTGGCCTTGGTGCGGCTGAGGCTGTTGGGGGGAGTGTTGCGATTGCTGCGAGTAGCGAGGGTTCTGCACCTGAGGCTCTGGCGGACCCTGAGGCGGTTGCTGTTGTGCGTGCTGCGCAGCTTGCTGGGCTTGGTACTGGTAGTAGTTCTGCTGCTGCTGAGGATGCACTTGGGCGTTGCTGACGAGCGGGCTGGGCGCGTTTTGCGGGGTGGGTAGGCCTGGTAGTCGTTTGGATTAGGGGGGTGCTGTCCAGGGGCCTGCTGGTAATTCTGGTACGACGGCGGGTGTTGTTGTGGTTGCAGGCCCTGGTGTTCGGGGCTGTAGTGTTCTACCCCGCCCTGGGCGTGATAACTTCCCTCCGTGCTCACTCTAGCGAGTGGGGGCCGGTTGTACTGCTCCTGGTGCGGGTTGGGCGAATATTGCTGCGGAGGCTGCTGCGGATGGCCCTGGTATGGCGCGTCTTTGGGCGGCGCCCGAGGAGGCTCGTCTTCCTGCTGCAGGAATGGGTCGAGGTCGTCCTCGTCGTGCTCGTCGGAGGGTGCGAGATGCGAGCTGGATCCGTGCTGCCCGTGCCGCTGATTCCACTGCGCAGCTCGCAGGCGATTTTCCTCCTGCTGCCGGTATTCGAGCTCGCGCGGGTCGCTCTTGCGCACCGAGACGCGTCGCCCGACTTTAGCAGCCTTGGAGCGGTCGTCTTCTTTGTGACTGGTAAGCCCGAGGCGGCTGCGGAGGCCTTGCTTCTTGGGCTCTGGCGCGTAGGAAGACTGCGGCTGGTAGGACCCTCTGCGAGGCTGCTGCTCGTAGCCTTGGGGCGGCTGCGGACCGCCTTGTAGCTGCTGGAGCGTCTGCTGGTCGAGCGCGATGCCCGAGGAATGGCGGTGGCTCGTGGTGCGCTGCGGGAAGGGCTGCTGCTGCTGCTGCTGTCTGTAAGCTGGTTGAGCGACGCCCACCGGAATCTGCTGCTGTTGCGCAAGCTGCTCGGGTGGTGGGAATCGGCTCGCGCCCGTCTCGTTGACCGCGAGTGCTTCGAGTGTCAGCCGCACGAATCATTGGGCGGCCAACCGCTCACTTACTGGACCCAGGCCCCGAAGGCACTGGCGAAGGGTGGCCGGACGAAGTTTCGACAGACGAGTGCGAGCGATTCGACTTACTCCAGGGGAGCGAAGGCATGGCAGGAGAGCGCGAGAGCTGCCCGAGTCTCTTGCGGGAGAGAAGGGCGGGGCTGGCGTACAAGAGAGGATGCTAACGAGAACGAACACTGCCAGCGGGATCAGCGGGCGACCAGGGCGCGACTGAACAGCACCATGCGCGATGCTTCCCAAGCTGGATCAAGCCGACATTACTCTGCTGGAGCTCGCTCTACATGTAAAAGCACCGAGGACGCCCTAAGCTGGACCCCGGTGCTATCAGCCGTACCCGTGCAGGCCTGCAACAAATCGAGGGCAGCGAGCCGCACGCCAGTGGATGCCCGGCAGTCTACCGCAAACGTGGATGGCGCCCGGCGGTGGCAGTGCTGGGAGCCTGCGACGTTACCATCCCGTCAGATCTGGGATGCTCACGCGTAGCGGTGAAGTTCTACAGCCTCGCCAGGAGAACACATTACTATTGCCATCCGTATCCAAGTACAAGCGAGCGAGCAAACGCCAAGGCCATGGTGATTGCTTGTTGCCAGTCCACGCCCTCCAAGCAATCGGTCGCCCATGCAGCCGTCGAAGCCATGCCTTTGTCTCGGAATCCTTTGTGCGCTCCATTGCTCTCAAAGGTCTTCTCTACCAGAGCGAGTACGGTTCAGCTCAGGGGCTATTAATAGGGTCTGACAGGTGGGTCACGGTAGGCAAGTCTCGGCTAGTCTAGTCGACTCGCTTACACTCGTTCGTCAGCCTTGCATGCGAGCAAAGAAGGGTTGGAGTTGACGAACATATGTTTCTAGAAGCTTTGCGCCATCTGGGCGCTCCAGATCCCACCCACATATCCTTTCGCGCAGCTGCCACGCAGTATCCGCTCACTATGCCGTTGCACAAGCCCCTGAGCAGCATCTACCATGTACTATGTACGTGCCTCGCTCTGCCTGTTAGCAGGGGGCAGCATGCGCGGAACGCGACCTGAGCAGGGTCTGCTAAGCAAGGTACGACAGGAAAAGACAAGATATATCTGCATGCGGCAACATAGCCATTACTTTCGATACACGCGTAGGGCTCACCTATCTGTACTTGGACAGTGCTTGCTACAATCGAAGTGGGGTCCAATATCGGGACGTAGGGCAACTATATGCCTTCCATTATGCTCGTCGGCATTGCGCTTCCCGCAATCGTCCGGACATCCAACCATTCCTAATCAGTGCCTCTTGCTCAATAGCTCTCTTCTTAAGGCTGTCATGTGCAGTGCGCTATCCTCATAATCGCCAGCGACGGCTTCACGGAACACACCACGACCGTCATCGCTGGGTGCATCCGCGCTCAACATGCTCAGCATTCGCAGAATAGCGTCGTTCCCAGCCCTCGACGTGACTTTCAAGCATACTGCTCCTTGTACACCATCGACACCCTCCGGGCATTCGCCCTCCGTCGCTCTCCAACGATAGAGGACGCAACCCACAACAACCACATGAGACCAGCGACCGCACCATACGCGGCCATCTGACCTGTCGTGGGCCGGGCATAACCAGTCTGCGTCGCAAGCAGCAGGCCCAAACCGCCATTTATCATCCCCAACGTGATCAAAACTCTTCCAAGCCCTAATGCGCGGGTACAAAGTCAGTGTGGGTTAAGACAGAATAGGCGAATACCTTGTGCAGGTCTCAGCTGAGCGAGAAGGAAACCTTTCTTCTAGCAAAGGGACACATTTAATGTGGTTTGCTTACAAAGATGGCCGTACGACCAGAAGGTGCGGCGTCCGACTTTCTTGAAGCGGAAATGGTGGACTACGCCTAGAATCGGCTGAATAAACAAGACGACAAAGAGCACTATTCCGATGATTGGGTGATAGCGGCCAATGAGGTTGACTTGGGAAGGCACTTGTTGTGTCATCCATACACCGAGCGCGAATGCTGCAATGTACACGACGGAGGCGAATATCTGAAAGAGGCCGTGAACAAGCCACAGTCCCGGGAAAGATGCCAGTCGAATCAGTATCGAACCCGTGGGAAAGAATATTACGAATGCGAGCGAGGCGAGAACGCCGTGTGCGATGCTAAACGTCAAGGAGCCATTAGCGATTGTTACGACAGAAACGGTGTGGACGGTATGCTTACAGTGCTTTGTTTCCGCCAAAGTAGCCGTTATTGAAGTCGAAGCGACCGTCACTGGATGAAGTGCTTCCGCCTCCATTGAAAGGGTTGTAGTTACCTCCATTGTTGCTATCTGGCCCATACTGTCCGCCAGGTCCGTATTGGCCGAGCGCAAGCGATACTACTGTTGTAAGTGTTTGCGTGCTGGGAGTTCATCAGGTCGAATTACAGACCAAAACTAAGCACACATGCTGATCTTGCGACAGACATTCTGAAATGACCTAAACTCTAATCCACGATTGACAAACAGCTCATCAGGAGGTGAATGAAACACGATAAACCAGAAACAGCGCAGCTGGCCTACTTATTCAAACGCTGTACTGAGACGACGCACATCCGGAGTACGGCTAAGCAATACTCGATAGATTAGCGTACAATTTAGACATACGGCTCTGACACAAGTGACATCAGATTCCGTTATCATCTTTGGATTACGCGTAAAGAGGTGGATTGGTACGACACGAGTGGTCGAAAACCAGTTTCTATTCCTGCCATCGGTGGAAGTCATGGTGGAGAGCCGATGGCTTATTACGGCTGGCTAGATCGGCGCGACGGGGGTGGAAAACTCCGGAGAAAACTACGGCAAGCCAAGTACTTGCTGCCTGAGCTCTTCAGGCAGAAGGACCTTCTTGCTTTTGTCCAGAATCCGCCTTCATAGGCATCAGTCGCACATGAAGTGCACCTCGTAACAACCCGTTCAGTGCGGCCTAGGAGAGAGACCACCTCCTTTTGAATATCAGTATGCTACGTGCTCCTCTTATCGTATTCGTAGGCAACATAGCGGCCAAGCGCCCTTTGCCGAAGATGAAGACTGGATGTGTACTGAAAGCTTCAGGCAAACGGGCGCGACCAGCAATGATCATGCTCCGATACCCTGCTCATCAATACTCTGACCGTAGGTTCATCATCCACCGGAGCATCTGAACCGATACGATATGCCTAAAGCGACCGTCATGAAGGTACAGCGTTTACGAATTCAGCACAACGAATCTCGTCTCTTCGCACGGGAACGCCTTGCTACTGCATCCTGGGTCGGATGAGCCCTTGAGAAATCGTCTTTGATCGGCTATTTTCGTCCGAAATCTGCCCTGTGCTCGATGTCGTGGTCATGTTGAAGACGTCTGCCACACCTCGCTTTGATGATGGCCAACTGACCTCGAGCACAGCCACTTGTTGCGCAATTTGAAATCTTCTCTCGCATGTACCGCGCCCGCAAAGCCATAATACGCGAAGTTGGCCGCGCATGTTGCGTACGTTTTGCAAGTCGTCAACGCAGAGCCAAAGGAGCAAGAAGACGAGAGAGGAACGTTGTCCAGTCTGGTGGGCGGGATGAGTCCGCAAAGCCCAACAGCGATATCGGCTTCGCCACATCACCGCGGCTTGGGGCGGCTTGGCGGTGTAAGGAGTCACGCCTGGCCAGTCAACAGCGAGCACGGGTCGACTGATCCACTTTGCACTCTCACACCATCGTTGAGTCACTCCGCCTTCTGACTGAGTGACTAGAGCGTGATGTGGCATATACAAGGTCATGTTTATAAGTCTTGGTAGGATCTTCTCCCGTTCCGTCCCTACCTTTTCCGATCACCATTTTCGCTTTCGCGGCGGGCTCGTCGCCATTTTCCTTTCCGTCTTGTCTTTATCGCCGCAGGTCTTCCCCTCAACATGAGCAAGCGTCACAACAGGAAGCGGACACGGAGTCGGCCCCGTCATCGCGACGGTGGCAAAGCACACTCGAATCACATTCGAACTCTTTCTACCGATACCCAATCTTCTTTTACGAGTACCATGAGTTCATTTCCCCAGCCACAGAACATTCATTATCCGATCGCAACTGTGCCCGCAAATCACTGGCATCAAACGTATTCAGCATGGCAGGACCGCCGTCTTCATTTCGAAACAGAGAGAGAGAAAGCGTTGGAGGCCCAGCGCGTCAGGTTCTTCGGAGGGGAAGCTGGCGATGACATCAGTCTCCTTGAACCTATGCTCAAGGTCGTGACTGACCTTTTCGACGGCATGACTGACTTTGAAGATCCGTGACGCTGCGCTTCATCACGGCCTCCACGCTCCAATCTCCACTCAACTCGACGCTTTGCTCCGATATGCAGAATACGAAGGCTCACACTACAAGATGGAATCACTTGAGCTCACGTGTTTTCTGCTTGAGATTTATCATCTCCAGACACCATCATCGGGCAATGTAGCAATACAAAACTTCCCCAGCCAGCAATACACATCCTTTGGCAATAGTAGCGATACTGCCTCAGCCCACCCTTCAAATCCCATTCCTTTCAACTCAAGCGGTTCTACTACCAGCCAGAGGCGTGGGCACACCATCGAGCTCGGACTCGCAGCAATGAAAGCACACCTCGCCCAGCTGAACACGGCTGCTTCGAAGTTTTGCTGAATTGGTCACACAAAGCTCGGCCCTAGGACTCTGGTCATGCGCCTATGCGTAGGGACGAAGGCAGCAACAGTCATGCACAAAGATTGTATGTACGATAATGGCGGCTAGATGCACGCCAGACGCTCGTCTCGCTGGAGCTAGGCCTGGCTCGTGAGATGGCGCCTTGGTTCGAGCGTCGCTGCCTGGAAGGAAACTGTTCAGTGGCGGAGAAGAGAGGCAGGTGTTAGGTGGAAGAGTCATCAGTTTGGGTTTCGGAGCAGGTGGTCAGCGCGCTGGTGCCTTCGACGGTCGGCACGTTCACACGTGCACACGCGTGCTCCGCGGCGTGGCGTGTCGCGCTTCTCGGGAAGGGCGATTGGATTGTGTAAGAAGAATATGTCGTCTACGACATCAATATTCAACTAGTCTCAATTTTAATTAGCCTTTCCATTTGATTCTGTGCAGCCATGGCTTTCTTGCACGACATAACGACACCGAACTTCATGCATGAATGACACGCTTCTGCTTTCAATGGCACATCAGGACACGTCGCAATGTTTCCTTCAACGCTAACTCTACCATCGGGAAGAGACAATCAAATCTCTCGTGGCCTGTTATCCGGGGAAGGGTCGTAGCACTTTGCGTGATACGCTCAGTAGGTATTTCTTTGGTTTGTATATGGATTGTCGTAGAGAGTCCTCCATTTGAGCCACAACCACGATCCTAGGACTTTCTCCTCCAGTTTATAGATGCTTAACTATTCTCTGCTCGGTCTCCTTACTTCCACGTTCATTGACTCAAATCTACGCTCGCCTAAGTACTTAGGTACACATGACCAAGGTACTAGACGACGTCAATACATCATCAAGCAACGATGGGCAATCGCTTGCAGTAACGAGGATTTATGGGTCCAGACTGGCCTGTCTACATCCTGCTTTCACACGCCCTTCCTCTCACAGCACTCCATCTCCACGATCCACTCTGACTCCTCATTGTTCCTCTTCCTCCTCCCGACCACTCATTCCTACGCTCTCGTCCTCAGATGTAACATATCATCAGCTCTCAACCCCATAAGTATCAGCAGATCCTCTCACCTTAGCAAGCTCCGTTATGATTTTCCTGGTCGTGTCCACAAATTGATAGTGCAATTACCTAGGTATCACCACATGTGCATCCATTACTACACATAGTGCAAAAGCGCGTACCGTGGCTGCAGTAGTAGGCATAGTCGCGCTTGCCCAGATAACGGCGTGCAAGCATGGCGGAGAGGAGCACGACAGGCCAGTTGGGAGAGGTGGGTCGTGTTAGTGTCGATGTGGGAGGAGATCGATGGGGGGTTGCAGAGCAATCAGGTAGTGAAGACGGCGGAAATCGACTTACTATCGACGGTGATGCCCTTGGGGAGATTGGAAAAGTCGGCGGAGTTGAAGGAGGTGGAGGTGTCGGCCATGGCTGGAGCAGCTGCCGTCAGAGAGACGGGAATAAGAGGTAGAAGAGGTTCTGAGGTTGCATGATGGATAGCAAAAGCTGAGACTATACTGTGGATTGGGATTGAAAGAAATGTTGCAGTGGTACTGAAAGTAATGCGGCAATTCAGGTAGTTTATACCTTTCCCTCGCTGCCTGCTACTCCTCCTGGGCTCTTGATCAACTTGATGTAGAACCTGCCATTCTCCACAGCAAGGCTTGATACATCATTCAAAGTCTCGTACAGAATGCCTACTGTTGCAGATGTGTGGATGGTAGACCCGAACTGCCGCAGAATGAAGGCCAAGAAGCGAGGCATAGGTGGAAGAGAAGAAATCGTTTCCTCCAAGAGTTCTACTTGACTAAAAGTTTTTGCAAGCATCCAGTGAATGAGATATAAGGATTGTGTAGTTACTTCACACTTCGAATGTGGGTCATTGGTCCCGTATCTCCATACGGTCATTTCCTCATTTCAGTGCACCCTGAAATGGAAGCCCAATGCACGCCTTTACTGACTGCGCCACCCAGATACTTCAGGTTATCTTCCAGTGCCGACCCCCCGCTTGGCAAGTTGAACAAGTAGTCGTAGTGTACCTTACTGGGATCATTATGCTGGCCGATACAGTTGCTGCACCTGAGTGTTGTGAGACTGTTTCACTCTCCACCATGGAACAGTGAGGTGACCAATGCTTAGGATGTACTCTGTGTAGATCGAACCTCAGAACTGACAATGATATCTTTATGTACGCAATGCCACTTCATGCGGCCTTGTATATATATACACTTCACACCGCACTTGACCACCCCAACCCCCCAGCCCACCATCCAGAATCGACCCATACCTTATTCTCCACGTTGGCCACCTCAACTGCGCGCGCCAACTCCCTCCGATCGACATGCAGATCCTCGTGCCCATTCGCCGTCGCCGTCTCCCTCGGGCTCTCCCTCGGGCTCTCCTTCGGGCTGGGCGTCGAAGAAGAGTCTAATGTAGCTTCCGAGATGCGACTAGGCGAGGCTGATCGCGGAGTCGACGAACTGGACGATGAAGAGGCGGGCTGGGTAGAGGGAATGGCGCCGAGGATGCGTCCGGCGGCGAAGACGCAGCCGCCGACAGCGTGCCGGATGAGCGAGTCGCCTGCTAGGCTCCCGACGATGAAGATGTTTTTGGCTAATTCGAGGGAGGACTCGGCTTTGGCGCGGAACGTGCGACCTGAAATGAGAGTTGGTGAACCGGAGGGCGTTTCGAAAGGACCGAGTTCTTGAACAAGGGAAGGCGAAAGGTAGTCTAGGGTGCCGCGTCGACCGACCACGTATGCGAGGCCGCCTACTTCGCGCGTCATTTCTTCGCCTGATTGCAGGCGTATGGTGACTTGTGCGACATCTGTCATGTCAGACACAGCACTGTGCAGGATTTCGGCATTGGGAAGGCCTTCGTAAAACGAGCCCCAGTCTCGTTGAGTGACGAAGGGATTCGATTTGCGCCGTGATAGCGGAGATCGAGCTGAATGTGTCTTGTTGGATGATACGGATGCGAGCTTCATTTGCCTGTAAACGGTCGCGTACTCTGGGTATGCAGAGTGGTGGCAGCCACGGAGCGGTGACGGCCGTGTGCTCGGAGCCCATTGGTAGAGGTGGATAATCTTGCGATTGGGAGGCGCGGAAATAATAACGTCTGCGGCAGAGAACCCCGACCCGACAACGAGAAGCGGCCTGTGTTCCAGATTGATCTGCGCAACGTGTGCAAGTGAAGGCGGGGGTGGGATGTTGACGGTGAAGATGCCGGAAGCCAGCACTAAATGCTTACAGCGCATACCCAGAGACCCAATTGTAAAGCCATTCGCTGACCGACACACGCCTTCCACTTTCGTGTCTGTATAGACAGCGTCCGAGATGCCCACAGCTTCTGGGTACGCCTTCAAGTACGCGGCGACTTCCTCGCGTGACGGCCTCACAAAATCGCACTGTGCTGCACCCCCGCTCTTCGTCATGTGATCCGCATACGAATATCCGGGCAGACTGAGCTGTTCCGCGTAGCTCAGCGTACCGATGTTGGTGCTTGCATTGACGGGGTTGTCCACCCATTGGCCGCCAGGCTGCGGGGTGTCGCCGATTGCTACATGTGAGATGGCCTTCTCCGGCTCATATCTCCACTCTATGCATGATGTGGGATTGATCTCCGTGTCCGCATTCGGTCGCAGGAGTGTATCGAGCAGGGTGTTGAGCGGCAGCGCCGCTGTGGAGTACCGCAGCGAGGACAGGAAGTGTGCGTGCAGGTTGGGGGTAAGATAGAGCAAGCTGGACTCTTTCCTAAGCTTGTGGTCTAGCAACTGGTCATGGTGACCGCCGACATAATAGGGAATGTGGCCGTGTAGGATGTAGGAAAGGATGAGTGCTGAAGGACCGTTTCCTGCAGATGAATTAGCCCCTCGCGTTCGCGCGGGGTACGCAGTTGCATCACGAACCTATGATGACCGTGTCCACGCATCGTGGAAGCGAACCCGCCATGGAAGGCTTCTCAGCAGGGCAGCAGCAAAGGCCATGAGGGAATGGAGGAAAGTAAAAGAGGAAGCGGAGTCGGACCGGGCGCAAGCGCCAGCCTTTGTATAGTCTACGACCTCAAAATGACGGCTTTTCAAGTCGAGGCGCACTAAGGATCCTAACCGTGGGGCAACGACCCCACGCTCTCGGGATCCACTTCCTCTTCGGACGCGCGATGAGCGCGAGATACTAGTTACTCGTGTTTGGCCATGTCGCGCTGCTTGCTTGCGACACGCAGGGTGTGTGGACGGAAAGCTTACACGGTCGCGTTTTAAGCACCGTCATTACAAGACATAATCACCCCACCGATTGCTTCACTTTCTTCAAGCATATTAAGCTGACAAATACACGTCAAAGATATCTGTCTTCAGAGAATCTGAGCCCAGTTCAATCACGCTTCTCTTTCGCTCCGTGGTATCGCCTCGCTGTCAACCGCTGAATCCTTCCTGGCTCCATTAAAAGCGCAATATCGTAGGAATTATACACAAAGAAACATCTCAGTATCTGTACGTCACAGTACCTCGATCCGTAATGGGCGAAACATCGCTTCCATGCCGCTGGTGTGGCTCTTCTGGTGTTTTGCCGCCGACAGGATAGTCTCGAGCGTACTCTTCCTCTTCTGTGGGTGCAGCTCCGTGCATCGTGACGTTGTTTGCAGCGCTCTCTTGCCGGCCCAGATAGGAGGGCGTTGGTTGGTAAGCCTGCCTGTAAGGAGTGTAGCCATTTGCAGGTGCACTCTCCCCGTTCTGACCCGGTGGCGGTCCAGCTGGTGCAGAGTATGTATGGTGATCCGCAAATGGATTGTCTTCAGACTCCTGCGCCGTGTTGCTGTTGCGGCGTGGTCTACCTGGAGCTGCTTGCAACGCTGGTGGGAGAGGCAGCTCCTCCTTCTTGTAGCTCGTCGGGTTGTTCGACTTCGGCTCATTGGGCTCGAGCCCAAGCGGGGGTAGAATCGGTATCTCAGACTGTGGCGCTGATTGTTGCGGTAGCGGCGGGGTGTATGCGGTGGCCGGTGCCGGTGCCGGCGGCAGGGCGCTGTAATTGTTGTTGTAGTTATTACCTGGGACTGGCGGTGATGGGGATGGCGCGGCCCCGATCGCGCGGCGAGCTTGAAGGACGGCACGCTGATGCTTGGATGCTGCAAGCGAGAGCTGCTCGTTCGTCTCGATCAGCGTGAGCATGGTATCGTCATCCGGTGACGGATTATCGCAATTGATGTACGTTTGCACGCTGCGCTGCGCTGAAGTGCAGCGCTCCGCAAACTCCTTTACAAGTTCGTTGCCTAGGAGTTCGTTTGCAGGAGTCGACTGCACAAGCTGCAGAAGGAGTTTCGCAGACGTCCTGGCCTCTTCGATGCGCGCGGCCAGTTCTACGGGAGGAGGAAGACCCCCGCGATTGCCAGAATTGAACCCTTGTGGTAGGTTGGCATCCGGCCATCGAGGGGCTTGACTAATGCCCCGAGGGACGTGTTTCGCTGCGTCTGCCATGAGTCTCTTCTCCTTGGCCCACATGGAGAAGAGCGTATTCAAGTTCGTGTCATATGCCTTGTCCCTGTGTATGGAATCCAACGTCTCTCTCAGTATCTGAGATACACTGGGGTCCCGTCCATTGCGCAGCAGTTGCTTGACAGTGTCGGCAAACTGCTTATCGATATTCTTGGTGAAGGATGCGCCCGGATTGTCGGCCAAAATCCTTATGAGCATTACAGCATTGTACTGAACATGTGGACGGTCGTAGTTTTCCTTGGAGAGAAACTTGCGAATTTGGGCGGCAGCAGCCTGGGCTGCTTGGGGGCTTGCGACGGCGGATTCGACGATGGTGGGCAAGTGGAGCACTTCTTCACCCTGCGCTTGTTAGAGCTTGCTTTGGACGGCTATTCATACACACCGAGTTCGCTGCACCAGATTCGCAGAAGAGTCTCTGTTTTGCTGTGAGCGCAGTTCTCGCGTCGGACTAACAGGCGACTCACCACACCCCTTGCGGCGTTCGCCTCTGGAGTGTCGACGTTGTCGGCGACCGGCTCTTCGTTTGCTACGGGTACCAGTCAGCAGCTTGTCCGTACATAGCCTCTGCCGCGAAGGTGGCATACAGTTCGTGCGCTTTATCAGGCTCGTGAAGCGCTTCTTGAGCACCATGGCGACAGCCTAGCGGGGCAAGCCTCGGGGACGTTTGATGGGAAGGGGGGGTTTGCGCGCGGCCTTGGAACCAATGTAAGACGTGCAAGTAGGTAGTCTTAGAAGACAAGATGTTGCGCGCGGCAAAGTCGTGCAGATGGATGTTGTTATTTCGCGAAACCGGTCGGATACGATGTGATTTTGTGTAGTCGTGAATCCTCCAACAACCGCCTTTAAGTCCGTGCTTTACCTTCTTTGCACAGCCTCACGTCTGCCCAGCTCTTTGACAGCGCGACGTCAACGGCCGCGTCGACAGATGCTTGGTGGCGCAGAATGCTCCTCATCATTCGCATCTTCGGTCGTGATTCTCTGCTGCAAGCACCTGCGAGAGAGGCCTGCACACGCAGCGGGCTCCAAGGGTCCACTAAGAGCCGCGTAGTCTGGTGTTTAGTGTCACTGGGACCCGAGAAGCATCAACAGAAGCAGGAACCTGTGCCTTCAGCCTCGTCTTGCCAGCTTCCTAGGCATCATACCTCCCACGTCAAGAGACATGATTCGAAGAGACAAGCTTTAGAGGTCATGCCCAGGTGGGAGCGTGCTCACGTGCTCTGCTGTGCACCTGGGCACTTGCGATGACACGGCCGCCCAGCCCTGGCGTCGATCCATCCTCCCCACACGCCACACATCTGGCGATCAGCTGGGCTGCTGCACGTCTCAATACGTCAGTCGTCGCTGCACACTCGCCCAACGCGGCGCTTGCTACACCTTGCCAAGCGGCTCTGACAATGATTAACTTCAGCCTACCAGCATGCCTCGCACCTCGTGCAAAACCCTCACCTTCTGACCTGCACTCGCCTTAGACACCCATCACGCCTACACATCCACCGTCTCATCAAAATGCAACGGGATGCCGCCCCCGAAGTTCCTGCTGGCTATGTCGGCACGAGAAGATACCGCGAAAGTGACGCAGAGAAAGAGTTTCGCATCCAGAGAGGTTTCCCAGAATTCGAAAAAGACATGCCTTCCCTAGGCGACAGGTTCAAGTTCTCATTCAAGGACAATTTGACGTCCTACCTTGGGTCGAGGAACCCCTTCTATGCGCCCGTGGACCCGCAACAGGACTACGTCTGGCTCCTCGACAACACCGCCTACCAGAACAGATTGGGGAGATGGAAAGCAGAGTATGTCGCTTGCTATTTCGTCAAGAACAGCGGAAAAGAACTTTCCGAAGTCGTAGGTTGGATATCTGACAAGGTGGGCCTGGCCAAGGACGAGCAGGCTGAGGCCACCATCGAGAAGAGGGTACAACCGTTGCTGGACCAGATCTTGCCTGCGCATTCTGTCACAGTCGATCTTCAGGGGATGCAGGTTCGTTTAGGACCGAGCGGGCGCGATGGAATCAGTACGGATGAGCTTGCCATTCCTGGCCATGATTACAATGACGGACAAATCATCACCTCGAAGGCTGTCAATGCCGATGCCACTCCCATCAACACTACGTTCGCCACCGCAAAGGGTTGGGCGATTATCAGTGACGTCGACGACACAATCAAGAAGACTCAAACTAATTCGCCCGTTGGTATCTTGAAGACAACGTTTGTGGATGACCCAGAGCCCATCAGAGGCATGCCCGAGCTATACAAACATCTTATGCAGAAACTTGGTGAGTGCTTCCCTGATTCTACCAAAGCTACGTGATTCGGTCGCCACCAAGTCTACAGAATGTCCATCTTCATCCAATATCATGTGTGGCTACACGTACTAACAGCTTTTGCAGATACTCCACCCGTGTGGTACTTGTCCGCTTCGCCTTACAATCTCTACCCATTCTTACGCCAATTTCGCGAGACGTATTATCCCTCCGGTACCCTCATCCTCCGCGATGCCTCATGGATGAATCTTGCTGGCTTCCTTGCGAATCTCACCCAAGGCACTGAGGCCTACAAAGTCGATAGAATGGAGAAGATCTACGAGTGGTTCCCAAAGCGCAAATTCATCTGCATCGGTGACAGCACCCAGAGCGACCCTGAAGCCTACGGCGACATGTACCGCAAGCATAGCAAGTGGATTGGTGCCATCTATATTCGCAAGGTGATGGAAGTTGCGGAGACTAACGAGAACGAGAAGAACAAGCCGGAAAGGTTCGAGAAGGCGTTCAAGGATATACCAATGAATGTATGGCACGTTTTCGAGGATCCGAGTGAGCTGTATGCGAAGGTGGATGCTCTCGTTGCGGCCACGAAGTGAGAGTAAATATATCTCACAACTGAGCGGTGCGGATTGGGAAGCTTGTCTTTTAGCGCATGATACCACGGTCTCTTTCTTCGGCTTTCTCCTTCACGTTTCTGAGAGTACCCTAGCGCTTCTACAATATTCATTGCTTCACTTAAATGAACAAATGAGCCATGCTAACAGAATTGTAGCCTCTAGAATTGAGTCCAAAAATGTTCGCTGACTGAACAACATGCATCTGAAAACACTAAAGCATAACAAAACCCAAACTCCCGAGAATGCATCTATCCCACCTGACTCGCTACCACCGTTTTCTACTCCTTCCGAGTCCTGGAAATTAGATGCTAAGTAGAGGATCCGCCTTAAGGCTGGGTCGCAGATAATCTTAGCAACCGGAGTCCTCTCAGGAATTTGTGAGGTCCAGGCACCCTTTCTAGCATCGAAAGTCTTGTCAACGTTCGTTCCACCCTTAGCAACGATGACCTTGCCTTCCTTATCTTCGATTCGACAGTGGACAGCTTGATTACCTCTTCGTCGCGTTGATCAGATGCCAGTTCGAAAGCCACTCCGGTCTCTGTGCCCTGATCGCTCAGAACGACCCTGGAAATCTTGTCCACGTCATCGCCGCCGTTGCCGCTGCCATTGTCCTTTTTGAAAGCTGGATCGCAGATGATGCTCTCAACCTCCCTATCTTCGAGGAACGCCCATTCGCCCTTGAGGCCATTAGCAAAGGTCTAGTCGATGTTATTCTCGCCACGGCAGGCCTTGATGGGTTGATTACCCGGCGCGATGAGCTTTCACCGGATGTCCTTGTTCTTGACGTTCTTGCCCACGAGGAAGTTGACCGTGTTGTGTTATTCGGGGGTTGCTCTTGGCGTTGGCCTCGTAGGAAGCCGGTGCGGGAACCGAGACCCTTGTCGGCGTTACAGAGAGACGATGATCTCAAGGTCGGTGGTGTAATGCCACGCACCTAGGTGGGCGATGACAGCAGACGTGGAGGCGGCGAGTGCGAAGAGAGCAGTAGAAGGACGTAATTGCGATTCGCAGTTGTTGAGTTGGAGTGATTATGATCCTAATTTTGGAATAGAGAGAAGTGTAAGATAAAATTTAGAACTGTTGTTGAGTTAATTATCTGCTCATAGTGAATTAATGCTCTTCTCCCCCTTCACCAGATATCTTATACTCTTCTTTCTCGCCCCATAACCTCGCTTCTATGTTCGTCAGCTGGGGCAACAACATATAAACCATCAGATGCATCCACCCGCAGTACAGATCCCGCTGGTAATAAAAGGACCCCACTCGAGCCATTACACAAAGCGCTTCCAAGCGTCGTTGTGGCTGATGCTTCACATCATATCACCCTCGGCCCTGCGAAAGCTAATACCTAGCTCTGTCAAGAGGCTGAATGCTTGCGATACGGGTATTTTGCGTGGTTTTGCTGACGACGGCATGTTTGTTTATTGACTTAGCCTTACATGTGGGCGCAACCTTGGCTGCTTGACTGTCAGCATTGGTGATCGCGTCGTTATTTGACGTACCAACGTATAATAGGACATTTGTTACAAACAAAACTCTACGCTGTCTTTTTGGAGAATAAGAAGTTTTAGTGAACCGTCGTCCGGTGACTGTAAGTGAATCGATGATGAGCGCATTCCATCAATCACCAGTGAGATGTGAACTTCCTCACGGTAGAGTCTTGAATGAGCTTTAGACCCTCAAAGGCCCACGCCATACATCGTATTGTTAGGAACTGCCTCCATTCGAACATCCGCCGGCGTTGTTTCGGCAGGCCAACGCCTTCTCGCCCATCGCACCACTTCCTCGATCAAACCCTCAGTGACCTTACACTTTTCCTTCTAGCTATCCAGCACCGCGACAAGGTGCGTGGTCTCAACACATTGCCACTTCTTCGCGACCATCCATTTCAACCAGTGAGGTGGCCTCCCTCGCGGACTTTAGCAGTGATAAGCCCGCAAAGTGGATGAGAGCATCCTTCCGTAAGCTCTCCCTCAGCCGCCCAAAGAGAGTTAGAAGTCTCCAGTCTCTTTTGGAATTAAGGTGAGCAGGTTGATCAAGTGCTCAAGAGGATTTTGTTTGAGCATAACTTTGAGTTACATGGCGGATTAGGATATGTCCGCGATTCGGAGTCATGACGCAGAAAGCGCTTCCACAGAGCTGTGGAAGCACAAGCTCAAGTAGAGGCCAGCGCTTCTTAGATTCGTTATTCTGCAATTGAACACGCACTGACTGGAAATTGGCGGGTACGAAACTTCGTCACTAAACCTGTATAAGCACGCCTCGTGACTGAGACCAAGCACCACTCATAACTGAGTCGCGGATGCCTTTTCATTAGCTGATCTAGCCAGCTGCTTCTCAATAAACAAGGCTCTTCCTTCAGCAATCAAATCTTCCTCGTCAATGCCCTCTATTCCAGCTAACGTTGCTTCTTTCCGCCCCACCAACTTTTCCACATCATCTGATCGGTACAATCGAATGGCCGGAGCGTCTTCGTTATGATAGTTTGGTATCGAACAATGCTCCAAACAAAGCACTTCTGATCTCTTTAGACCGAAGTCCTGGACGCATTGCGACATGCATTTATGTGATGCCCATACATCGCCTTTAGGGGTTTTGAACGTAGCATTGGGTCTTGCGTTGCGTTCGCACCAGGTATTCCAGTTTAAACGATACTGGGCTTTTTGTTTCTTCTCCCGTGTAACAGCGAGCTTCTCTTCGCGCTTCAGTTGTCGCTCTGCCTCTTTCTCAGCTTTCTTGGTTTCGCGCTCTTCATTCTCAATATCCTTGATCAAGGCTTTGATGTCGTCTTCCTCCTGCTTCTTCGCCTTCTTCTCTGCCGGTGACAGCTCGAATGGGATCGTTTCGATGCGCCTCTTCTTGTTGGGGAAGAATGAGGTTATGCGGGCCTGAGACTTGCGCTGTGAACTAAGACTTGATGGCAACGCGGAGGATGACGGCGTTGTGAAGCTCGCGGATTGTGTTGAACGCCGGGGCGGGGTACGTGGGGGCTCAAAAGAGGTAGATGAACTAGCTGCGCCGTTGTCATCAGCCCTGGCTTTGCGCTTTGCTTTAGGCGAAGGCGTGTCAGTCATCCTAACGCAAGAGGAATATCAACGATGAAATATGTAGTCGTGAAATGACCATGGCAACAACGCGATCTTGTATAGCGCCCGATCGCTTCTTTTTGCTGTTCGCGGGGATGCAGGAGGGATTCCGCAGCTGCACAATGTACTATATTTATGCAAGGTTCTCGTATCTCCTCGATAGTGCAGCGTGCCCATCAGACGTGCGAAGGATGTGCTGTCGCAATCTACATGTTCAAGGCGACTCCTTTGCAGCTCGCATTGTATATCTAAACCAAGGCACACTGTCGGCCAATTCCCTCTCCAACAAATTCTGCTCATGCGTCAAATTCTGGACACCCTGCTCAGCTGCGAATTTATTGCGCCGTGTATTCTCCAGCCGGCACCACGTGGACATGAAGAGTGTCAAGAAGAATGCCACACTAACGTCGGTCGGTCAATGCCATCAGCCACAGAAATTCTAGGGACCTACCCCACAATGCCAATGAAGCGGCGATATATTTTGGACCATCTCTCGTGATATAAACGTACGATGCGATGATTCCACTGCAGTCACCGCCCATGACCTGCATCGCAATACCAGTACCTCGCTTCAGACTCCTTCCGATGTTGCCGCTGTTCTATGCCATGCCGAGTGGAATTTGTGGATAGATACCGATAGCTGCGCATACTGTTCTCGTGTATTGGACGCTGGCTTTACCACTACCGCACAGCAAACCGAACCCAAGGATGGCCACAAGCTGGAAGCAAATCATAAAGATACCTCGCTTACCGATTCTATCCGCATACCAACTTGCAGCAATAGTAAAGACACAAGCCACAACGTAGGGCGGGACGGACATCAGCTGGGCTTCATTCGCAGTATAGCCCATGTTCTTTGATGATCGTGGGGAGAAAGAGGGCGAAGCTGTAGATGGGACAGAACCCTGCCATGCAGAGAAACATGTGGATGTAGATCTTCCAGTCGCGAATCGCTTGCCAGACATATTTGACGTTGAAGTCGTTTGATAAGTGGTCCTGGTTGGCTTGCAGCCGCCGCTGAACTTCCTCGTGTTCCAATTCAGTAAGGAAACGAGCCCTGCACCATGCCAGTGAACCCCTAGAGACGTATTGAAGCCTTCGTCTGCGCTTATGTGGCAGGGTAGTCGTATACCTAGGTATAAACCAGTACGCAGCAAGGCTTATGCTCACGCTCAGCAAACCTTCCAAGATAAATATTCAGGACCATGCAGCCTTGCCGCCGACGCCGTTCATCTCCGCGATGGCTCTGGCGAGTATGCCTCCAAAAGCGCCAGCAAGTGTTGCGGCACTGAAGAACAAGGCCATACGGAAATAGTACTTTTTTCTCACACCATTGTGTGATAAATTAGTTCACGCCTGGGAAGAGGCCACCTTCAAAGAGCCCCAGAATACTAAGACCAGGGTAATTCTGGACGAGGTGCTGGCCAACTATGGACACAGACCAACAGAACATGATGAATGTCAGCCAGATCGACGGCCGAATGCGCTTCATCACCATGTTCGAAGGAATCTCTGCTGCAATGTAGAATGGAAAAAGGACCGCGAGGCAGTCATTGTACCATAGGCCGTGGAGCTTCAAGTCCTGCTCGAGGTGATCGAGTTGCGCATTTCCGATGTTCGTTCGGTCGAGTTTGATATACATACAGATGTATCATGGACATGACAGGAAGGATATGCCAGTCGAGTTTGCGCAAAAGTCTCTTGGTGTTCTACGCATCCCGAAGGTTTCACTCCTGGTGGTGTACGTGATATGGCCCATATTGTGTGGGCCTGAAAGTGCGACTATGTAAGCATTGAAGCCACCCTATGATACTCGATCTTGAATCACATTTTGCTTTTGCCAGATAAGCAGAGTGTTTGCGATACGGTAGATATTGCGAACAGTGGTTATAAGGCAGGAGAGAATGACAATTGCGTACTGAGTCTGGTTCTACCCCTGAGTCGCCAGCGTAGGTTCTCAAGTTCTCCCTGATGATGTGAAGTCAAGGACTTGGCCTCAGAGCTCTCGAACATGCGTTTTGGTAACCTTCAAGGAAACGATTTTCTCGAAACCTTTCCTGACCCATGGAAGACGGTATGCTTCATTACCTTCATCTCGGTTTCCATATTATGAAGTTTCTCGACACCCAGATTCCTCGCATAGTGTGGATGCGAGCCACCGGCAATCAGAATCCTGATTCTTCTCCCCTCTACGAATCTATGTGCACACCAGGACAGTGGCAAATAAATCGACTGTGTGCCACGCTTCGAAAGCTAGTCTTTGATAGCCCTCCGAGATGTTACAAGATCTTCCTTTCTCGTTGACTTTGCTGACACGCACGAACAGATCAGCATAGGGGATATTGGTCGGACGGCTAAGCTGAACGATAGGCCTACCAACCATCTCAAGATCTTTGGACAGGGGTTCAGTGGTCAAGGCCAGTACATCTGGGCATTCCTCTAGTGTGGTATCATCGAAGTTTCCTGCACCTTGGCCAAGGAAGCTTACCCCTACGGTAGGAGTGGGGTCTCGAGGGTCAAAGACAAATTTCGAAGACTCTGCTCCCCTCGATGTCTGTCTCTGCATTAGCTTGTTTCCTCCATTAAGGAACAGGATTTGCAAGCTAGAGGACAGAGGAAAGTCAGCCGTAGAGCGCCACTCTCTGCACCAGTGGCACAATACTGCATAGGAGCTTCGCGGTTTGCTTCCCTCGCTTAGTAAGATGTTTATCCAGCCAATTCAATGAATACAGGTTTAACTTTTCGTTGAAACCTGAGATTCTATGCGTCCATTTCCCTACTGCAAATGCAACGTTGCAGCCGCATTCGCGTAATCGGTGCAGGACGATGAGGCATGGTGCAGTATGGTGCATTAGCGGGTACTTGTACACAGTACTACGCCGCCCCACCTGCATCGTATTGCCCGTATTTCCAGAGAGGCAATAGTGCCGTTCCGTACAGTCTTCCTCCCGAGAAATTTGGCGGATTTATTACGACGAAATTCGTATGAGAGTTGGCCACGGAGATTCTTGGTACACGGACCCGACACTAGGCTTCCGAGCTGCAGCGTCAAAGGGCGCACGAGTAATTGGCATACCTAGTTAGGCTATTAGTTACATCCGGCGTACCCGAGCATGGATTGCGACAATGCAGGCTCGAGGAACTCGCTGGTCCTTGCTGTCAGAGCGACTGTGTCACGAAGAGAGCTGACGGATTAGCAACTTGCCTTGACACACCTAGCGCTTACACGAGCGTGAACGATAGTATTGTCGCCAGCCCAAAACGTATATCGCGGCACTTTGGACGAGTTGCAGCCCATCCCTGCGGACACATTCTCACAGAATAGGACTCATGGCTCAAAGAAGTCTGCAACGCCCTTTCTTCTTGAGGAGAAAGGGAGCACAGAGAAGCCTTCCTGGGATGAAAACATTTGACAGGATGATCGATTCCTCCTTGTAAACTTGATGGAGCAGTAGTATTTAACAGGAGTAGTTTCTGTTTATTTTCACTTAGTTTACAGAAGGATATCTGTTGGTTGCGTGGCCGAAGGTCGACAACAGAAGGATGAGTACATGCGGCCATCGTCCTCGAGGGCAGAGGATGTTGATAAGTGATTTATGCGTCACTAATGCTACAGAGCCGCCAGGAAAGTGATTTTATCGAAGTACACGTAGCTACTCTGAGCTGAACTGAAATGTCGCAAGTGACAAATATCAGATGAAGTGGTTGTTGCTACCAGTAGTCGTCAACCTGTATGTATGTGCCTTCCAAATTTGATCAGCGGGGGGCTCGTAAACATGGTTGGCTATCCTGCCGATCAAATATTGCAATTTTGGGGGATGTCATCCTCGACCTTGACACTAAACTGGACTATATCGTATACTGGCGAATAAACACATTGTACGCGCAACACGAGGAGCCTTGGCGCCGTATTGAGAGTCGCCTGTGGTAATGATTTCATAGCTAACTGGACAGAGGACCCACGGACTCAGGGTTGCATTTTCGAAGCTAGGATTGACCACCGCTCGAGTCGGTGTTGAGGTAGGAGAAACCGATGAGGAGGTGATATCGGGGTCGGGCCATGGGTACTGGTGCCTGTAATTGTCGCTCGAAATGGAAGATGCACCGGAAGGCGTGGATTATTAGGGTGTAGCGGTAGGGAAACTCGATGATGTGAACAGAGTCTATCATGTTCGAGCTGGGAGAGCCAAAAGAATCACTCAACATCAGAGTGAACTAGATCGGAAGTGCTGATGGAGCTTTCATTCGATATAGCAGTGATGGATTCAAAAGAACTTATAGAGGTCTCAACTGAGGTGAGAACGACCGAATCTGAGGTACTGTTGGAGCTGTCGATCGTGGGAGTCGCCAGACTAGAAGTAACATCAGAGCTGTCGCTCGAAGTGACCGAGGAGACCGGGGACACCATGGGCTGGTGGTAATCTTCTTGAAGAGTCCGAACACATTCTGGCAACTCGAAGCGTATGTGGAACACTTGCGGAGTCGCACGTACTGTGAGCCGCAGTTACCGAATGAGCTTTCCCAGCAGATATACCCTTTCTAGGCGCCACAGGTTCCAACCAACGATATTTTCTGCTTGTTTGTTGTGTAGGGAGAGATACAGGAGCCGAAAGCTGAGATATAGCGTTTCGAAGCATGGCAGTGGTCGTCCATTCGTCCACTATGCTATTTCAGCAAAAGCTTCTAGATTCACCATCCAAATTACATACCATTATCAATGGGACGAGCAAACTAGGCCCAGGACGGTTACTTATGCCCCACTCACACCTCTGAAGTTCTTTCCGCATCACCCGTTTTGGGAGATCGGAACCCCGGGATCGAAAGGCTAACAAAGATGGTAAAAGTCTTTATGTTAAAGAACGTCTAAAGTAAAAACAACTAAAGGAATAACTGAAGGAATGATTATTAAAAAAGCGAGTGTTCAGGCCAGAAAAAGTGACCGAATGATCCGGTGCTATTTCGGATGGAGATATGAACCCCAACTATAAAAGCTCGATACAATTGTTCATGAGCCGGTGAAATGCTTCCCACGACGTTATAGTCTCTATAAGTCTCTTTAGACCAGTCTTTTCATAGCCACTCTGCGGACCTCAAACAAGCTCAGTGCGTGACGACATTCAAAGTAGGTGCAATCTGACGAGATTAGCCCTGTTCGGGCTCACTAACCTACTGAAGGGACTCCAACACAGGCATGCACCTAGTCCTAGCTGTCGCACAGTACCCTAGGCGCAATTTTAGGATGCACGCTGACACATGCGACCAGTTACCCCTATCAACGCGAAACTCCAATTAGATGATACATTGTGTCCCTTCATGATCTATCTTCATTTGTTTGTCTCAATAACGACTCTTACTCAGTGATCTCTTTCTACAAGAAACCTAGGTCGGCCTATTTCTTCGCTTCAACACCAATAGTATTTATCGAAACTGAATGGAAAAGTTCTTGTGAACATGTGGGCGTTGACCGGACTTTCCGATTTTTGCAGCTTGGCTCAAGACGTCCTCCTGGTCCGATATTGTTAAGTCTATATGCTCAGTGCAGGATTACCGATCAATAGGTGAGCAAACGTGTTAACATTGTCCCTGGCTCAAAGCAGCCTCGAGCTCAGCCATGCTTTATGCGGACGACTGATGCTGCTCCGAGGCGAGCACTTGTTCGCGTACCTTGATCAGCTCACTAGCGAGGTTAGATTATTAAAAGCGAATGTTCCTCAACAAACTCTATTGAGATTACTACGAAAGGTGCATACTTAGTGACTGTGGGTATGGACTTACTGTGTAGCGAGACGGAATTAATGATTCAGTATGGCAGCACTGGTGTCACAGAAGCAACAGGGATAGACCCTCTATTCAACGAGAAGACAAGTAAAGAAGGAAGCTTCTGCAGCACTCTACTGCCAAGTTACAGTGACAGAGCATAGAACCAAACGAGCAAAGAGAAATTCTTCAATAACCTTGAAAATTCGAGGATGAGTGGAAACACGACGGCTGCCGCTTCACACCGGTACCGCTTGCCCATTCATCACATTCTTCTTCGCAGGCTCGGTCACAGTCGGAAGTTCCCTACCCGTCCACGCTAGGTCCCAGAAGGTGAAAGCCGTGAAGATCTTCAAGATGGAGTGACCGTAGACGAAGAGGAACCACACAGGGACCGGGAAGAAGTAAAGCAAGAAATCTTGGGGGTACTTCCAGAACCATGGCGCGGTCTTTATAAACTTCGTCGCCCAGATAAAACCAATTAATCCAGCTGTTAGTGCGCCGCGATGTTCAGACTCCTGGTAGAGCTTGGTGAGCCAGAATGTACCAACCATCAGCGGGTCCCAGATTAGAGCGGCATTGTAGAGCCACGGGAAGTAGGTCGTCCAAACGGTCAACGGATGCCTCCACCATACCGTTCGGTCTAAGAGTAACACCTGAGGGTTCTGGCGCATAGTTGTTCGGCTCCAGCGCAGACACTGGCTTATGAAGCGGCGGCCGCCGTCCTTCCCTAGAACAATGTTGATGGTCGCTTCCTCGGAGCACTGGAACTTGATATGATGACCGTGGGAGCTCACCCAGCGCGTCAAGAAATTGTCGTCATCCGCGTTTATGGGCCCGACTCTACCTCCGAGAAGGAATTCATTCAAAAAAGCGAACTTGAAAACGTGCGCCTGAACAATGTGCGAGCGAACTAGGAAGGTACGACCAGAAACAGTGAAAACACCACCGTCTGCGGCATTAGTCGCGCGAGCCTCGAAATTGTGGCGGATGAGATATGTCGCCGCGATGGCATTCCAATAGCCGAACCAGTACGTGTTCCAAGTGTTGGTGAGCCAAGAGAGGGATGCGTCGGGAGCAGGACGGGGGAGACGCTTAACCCATTTACGAGTACCGACGAGAGCTACCTCTTCTGAGGCGAACGCTGGAAGAGTGGCCGACAGGAAATTGGGTTGCCACACGGCTGTGTCGTCAGCCGAAGCTATGATGGAGGTGCTTACCTCTTCTAATGCTCGTACGAACTGCTCCCTCTTGCTCGCAACCTTGACGGAGACGATTTTAACTTCTGTGACGCATTTAGTAAGTGGCGGAAGTCTGCGCTCTACCTGGTACGCGGAGGTACCATTTTCGAGCTGGTCCTGGAACCCAGAGAGCAGCCCTTCGATCCTCTTCCCCCCATCTTCGGTTGCAGTGGAGAAGATGAGATATTTGGGTTGGTTGTACAGGATTCCACAGAACATCTCAGCGAACGTGGGATTACCTTCTGGACCGAGTGTTGGCACGATGACAGCAACATCGGTAGTCTTAAGGTTGAATTTGGTGGGCGGTACAGCCGGCTTGTACCTGAAGTAGAATACGAGGTTGATGACGGTCTTGTAATGCCGAAAGATCAACAGAAAAGCGAACCAGATCAGGAACGGATCGAGCGAGACTTGCGCAATCTTAGCTGTAGCTAGGAACAAGGCAGCCAACCAGATGTGCCCAAGCAACATGATTGATGTCAACAGTGATGGCTTCTTTGTACGAATGCGATAGTCGAAAACCAAGAAAAGGACCCAGAAGAATGTGGCTGAGAAAGTTGTAGTGGCGAGCGTGACGGACCAGCCGCCAGCGAGGGTGGTGAATGCCATAGCTGTAAGTGTTCAGTTCTCAAAAAGTCAAAAGTACAGTTGTGGCGGTACTGTTCCTTTAGCTATCAGAGTTGAGGAAGCGCTTGGGCAATTGGGAATGTGGTTAAGATTTTGTTGCGAGAAGCTCTTATGTAGGCGTAGGCGTGGGTTGAGTGAGGATTGGGAATGACTCTTCTGCACATAGTGTAGGGCATTGTTGCCGCTCATTGTGTGCACTTCTTTCACTAATGTTCTACTCACCAGTACAAGTGGTACAAGCTGAGATTCAACGGACTCATAACGTTGTGATACACGTTGTGAAGCATAGGGCTGGAAACCATTAGAAAGACTTTTCATTGTGATCCCTATAACGTGCGGCTCGGTATCATCCTGTGTGTGCTAGCTTTGCGTTATCAGCTAGCAAAATTCGAATGTCCACGTTGCTGTGCAGCAATGAGGGACGCACCGGAACTGATATATACGCAATCATTGCATCAAGCCCTCGGAGAATGAACAAAGTCCTGGAGTTGTGGAAACACCGTACGGTTTGACTGCTACAAAAGGTTGTCGTATATCTATCACCACTCACACTAGGTCTAATGCAGATAAGGGTGACTCATTGGAACAGCTCAAGCACCTGAGTCGCGTGTAGGACAAGCGCAAACAGCTACCTATGGTATTGATAAGTTACCAAGAGAACTTCGAGGGAAATTATTCTGATCAAGCAGCAACCTGCTTCGACAAACGATCGAAAGGTGAATCGCGTTGCATTATTGAGATAAGGAATAGGTGGAAGGAGATAAAGCGTGCCGTAGGTTGCGGGTAGGTTCACGAGCAGACTAACAGGTTTGTTTTGTTGCACACCATATGAACCAGCTGGAATAAGGATTTTTTGCAGAGAGAACAGAAAGGATCGAGACGTTGATATAAGCGCACACGCCCAAGAAGGCCGAGTTGGAATGAGGCACTAGATAGACAAGCCGAGACAAATCGGCCTGAAAACTAACACACGATCAGTACTGCCGGTAAGATGCATTGGCGATCGAGGATGAACAGCACATGCATCCTTCGTCCTCGTTGTCATCGAAGGAATCGGAATCGCCCGAGTCGCTCCAACTACCAAAAAGAGTCCGGAATTCGCCAGCTTTCACAGCGGGTCCGAGCCCAATAGCTAGTTGGCGTTCATCTTCCCCCCAGGAGTGCGTAGTTTTTATATGCATAGCCAACGTCGCTTGGTCGTTGTGGCTCTTCCGGCGAGGCGACACGGCAGTATACCTTTCTCAACTCGAGCCCTAGGATGACGTTATCGTCCTGCTCATTGAGAGATATCCCCGAGTCTTGACGGCGAATTTGAGGCCTTGGAGGTGTTGCGCTACCAGGGTAGTCATCCGTGAAACGTGGATTAGACAGCGTTTGGATGGCAGTAACGTAGTAAAGTGGTTGCCGTCGAAGAGCCGCCTGGTGTAGGTAGGCTTGGCTGGACGCTCGTCGACTAGTATAGCGAAAAGCCGAAAGAGGGTCTCTTAGCGTTGTATAAGACATTTGATCGGCTTGGACGAGGACTGAGTTCTCCTTCGAAGAGTGAAACTGTCGTCCAATGAACCGGCCCGCATCGTCACAATGGATGGTTTCTTCGAACTCGGTCTGTGTTGTAGGTACTCTCAACGGGAGGGCATCGTTTTCGTTGTGGTAAGAGTCGACATCGGGGCTCAGGGGATCTACGAGCAACTGTCCGATCTTGATAGACCCGGAGGCCACAGGTGGCATGAGAATTGTATCTGACATGATGATCATGGCGAGAAGTCGACTGGGTAACATTCGGAAATAGGAACATGGAGAGGAGACTCTCAGCTAGATATGTCCGCATAGCACCTTATTATCAGTCGAATGCACCATATCGGTGTTCGGAGACTTAGGTTTTGGGGTTCAAGTCTTACACAGTACATGGTAGTCTGCTCCAAGAGACTGCCACAAGACAGGAGGTGCATAGCTCAACAGCCATAGGCTTGCGGCAGCCACTGCACCATGTCCAGGGCCACTCGTCGCAGGAGAATGCGGACTTCGGCTACAGCAGATGTTCTTCAATCGGCCGACAGTGAGAGATTGTGACCGAGTTCTTGCTCTCGCTTTCTCATGGAGAAACTTCTAGTGGGTGGGTTCATGTGATTTTTCAAGCGCATGTTTTGCTAGCCCAAGAATCCTTGGGCGTGTTGCTTTCACTGAACCACCTGGTGGACATGGTCAAGCGGCGATCACCAATCTTCATCGGCCGATGGCCGGCTATCCTGCTTCTAGTGTTCAATGCGGCAAAAGGGAACATGTTGCACCATCCAGCTGACAGCATGCTCCGATCAACTGCGGCGTCAGAAAGCATGTCATTGTATGGTCAGCACTTGGAAAAGCCGTCGATGCTAGTTGATACATCAAGATGCATGGTATTTGGCCTCGACGTTACCATTGAACTTGTCCAGAGAGGATCCAAACGCGGCGCAAAAGACGACTCCCGGCTGTGCAGATGTATCGCGCACGCACGCGAGCTATACGATTGGCGCATGCTAGCAAGTAAGGCTGATGTCAGTCCCACGAATTTAGCGAGCTGCGGGCGCTGGCTGACACTGTGGCCGAACACGCGTCACACAGAGCGAGACGGTGCAGTAGTCGAAGACTTGCCGAGGATAGATGAAGGCAAGACAAGCTTAATAAGGATGCGAGCGTGGATGACAGCAGGCTTAGACGCAGGGCGAATGGTGGGGACGAATCCGTTCACTTGGCGTTTCTTGTTTGTGGCGTGGGGTCGTGGGTCGCAACTGCTCATCGACGCCTTCTACTACGGAATGACGGAAGGCGCGAGATCCTAGCTCGGCCCTCGTTCAACTTCAACATGGCTCCGACTCTCGTTATTCTCTTGTTCCGCCCCAGTTTGAAGGGCATTGTCTGGGTTCGGCCAGTCAAGGCTTACGGGAGCGCGCGGATACACAGCCAGACACTGCCACCGCAATTGAGTCCACATTGAGCCTGAGCCCAACCTTTCGCTCAATGCCACCTTACCTTCACGAGCCCTCAGCAACACAATGGAAGGGCACGCGACCACGGCGGCCGACGCACCCCAAACCCGCCAAAATGCCCTCGCAGACATCCACTTCGCGTCCATTGTGGATGGCGACCTCACACCTTCCGAAGACGAGACCCCCGAAGAGCGGACGCTGCAGCTAGAGACGGTCCAGTCCGCCATAGGCGTTAGCATTGGCCAGCAGCAGACGCGCTTGACCTCGCCCAAGACACCAGCTGCGGAGAAGGCGGCCGCACTCGAGGAAAGCGATGGCGGTGCGCTCTTCGAGGGCTGGGAACAGCCCGCAGAGCAGAGCCCACCGCCTATACCTCGCGAGTTTCCTCGCGAACCAGCCAACTCGTTTGCCCCAGCGCAGAACCACGATGCGGAAGCTTCGGAGAAGGAACATATTGACCGGTTGCCCTCACCGTGGCGGGCTCAACCCAAAACGTTCACCAAGCAGGATGACCACCGAGCTGCGCTACGCGATACCCTCAACAACAAATCTAGGCGACGTACAATGTCTGGGGGCGCAAGTGACTACCTGAAGAAGTACATACCGTTCAATCTGCCGTCTATGCCAAAGACGTCAAGCCTGCTTAATTTCTCCTTGCCAAGTTTTTCCGTGTCTTCCTTTGACAGTATTGGCCGTCATCCCTCTGCACATTCATCTCAGTACCGCAAGCGTGTTTCTCCACCTCTGCGCCGCGGACCAAACGAGTTCCTCTCCCAGCACGATGGCACTCCCCTGTCGAAACCCATACGTCGGAGGAGTAGATCCCGCCCACGCAGCTTCAGCCGACCGCAACATGCCACTACCGAATCCCTTGCGCAGCGCAACTCCAGTCCAGAGACAAGTGGGGATACGGAGGACACAGACGGAACCGTTACTCCTCCAGAAGCGCCCGACGAGATTAACAAACGACCGCCACCGACCCTCCGCAGATCCAATTCAGAGGGTTCGCTCCTGCCTTACCGTTCTCGATCGATTGCCTCCTCGCTTGGAGACGATTCACGGTTCGAGCATGTGTCGGAGCAAGTGAACAGCCGACTGAAAGCGATCAAGGATAGCTGGCAAGACTCAAATTTCAAGCTCTCTGTTCCTTCTATGCCTAATTTCAGCTTCTCTTCTAGGGATGACTTATTTCGAAAACAAAACGGTGTGTCGACGCCACGCATAGCGAATGGAGACTCATCGTCCAATGTGCGAGTCAGCTTCCTTGCCAACAACGCCAACGCACCGCTAAGACGAACCTCTTTACGGCGATCAAGAGCCAAAGAGGCCCCGGCGGATGCGAAAGGCATGAGTGCTGGGAGCGCAGCATCTCATCCCTATTTCACAGCGGCCCTCAACGATCTGGAAGGCGATCTGGTCATCCTTGGCGGCTACCGAGGCTCCATCCTTCGCTCTGCTGAACCACCTCATCGCCAGCTTTGGGTTCCTATCAAAGTTGGTCTCAATCTCCGCAAGGTGGACCTTGAAATTGGACTCAGCCACAAAGACGAAGAGTCTATGGAAGAGCGCATCATCCCCGGTGGCATGCTTACGCACATCGGACCTGTTGACATTGCAAAGCGTCTCTTCAAACGCCTGCGAGCATGTGACAACGCCAGGAGTGGTCTTCTGAGAGTGCACGACTACGGTTACGACTGGAGACTGTCGCCACATCTGCTTAGCCGGCGCATGATCAAATACCTTGAGAACCTACCATGCAACCAGCCGGGCGTACCCGCAGAGAAACGCGGCGCCATTATCGTTGCGCATTCCTTGGGAGGACTCATCACCCGGCACGTGATCAATGAACGACCTGATCTGGTAGCGGGCGTCGTTTATGCCGGCGTGCCTCAGAGGTGCATCAATATTTTGGGACCTTTCCGGAACGGAGACGATGTCCTACTTTCATCACGCGTACTGACAGCGCAGGTGAACTTCACGATTCGCACCTCTTACGTACTTTTGCCTTTAGATGGACAATGCTTCTTTAACAAGCATACTAAAGAAGAGTATCGCGTAGACTTCTTTGATCCCAACTCATGGGAGGAGTATAGGCTGTCGCCATGTATCGCTCCAGCTTTACCAGCCCCACCCCTAGCCTCTAGCTCGAATCTGAGCGTGAGTGGCTTACTGAACGCCATGTCACAAGCCCTCCCAACGCTACCGGGTCGCAAGAATAGCATGAGCACACCGAAAGTCGACGACAACACTTCAGGTTCTAGCAGTTCGCCCAATCTGTCTGCCACGACTATCCGAGACACCGCTCGGAACGCTGCGGACAAGGTGGCGGAAGGCGGCGCACAGGCGACTGGTTTCGAACCTAAGATGCAAACAGATGTTGCACATCCTTCGCCTGCCTTCACCAGTACGATCCCGCATGATCAAGCAGTCGCCTACCTTAGCCGCACCCTTGCTGAGATCAAAAGATTCAAGCAAGAGCTCGATCATCGCCCGGAGCACACTGCGTCAAACGTCTACCCACCCATTGCACTCATCTACGGCAAGTCCACACCTACAGTATACGGGGCGAAAGTGGAAAGCCGAGAAGCAATCAAGCGTGCGGATGTGTATGACGAACTTGCTTTCGCGAGCGGAGACGGTGTGGTGTTGGCAAAGGCAGCCATGGTACCGCAAGGCTATAGCGTAGTTCGTGGTGGAGTGGTGCCAAGCGAGAGGGGTCACGTCACGCTTTTGGGAGATCTCGAGGCGGTGGGCAAGTGTCTCTATGCCGTGATGGGCGCGAGGAAAAGGGGCATTGGTCTAGGCGAGGTTGCACTGAAAGGAAAAGCTATCGAGCAGGGTGAGACACCGGGTGTGACGGCCTGACTGATCACATTCCTTATGTATATGAATGATGGAGGTGCAACTAGAGAGCAAGACGGAAAAGAAGTAGAACACTGAGCGATCGGGCCATGATGATCAACATGTACAAATCATTTACATATACTAGACACTAGACTTAACGCCTTTCTATGAATGACTCACAGTTCCATCTTGGCACAATATGCCCCAGCAGTACACAGCACCAATTTCGATGTTCTACATGTTCTCTTTCGGAGTCTCCCACAACTGAGTGCGCTGTCTTGCACGACAGTGATGTCCGGATCCATAGTATACGGGCTGGGCCATGCATTGCACAATATCGAGCCGCTTGTATGGCGAGGGAGGATGGCTTGTAAGGAGCCCATAAGCTCCACACCAGCTAAGTTGCAAGACGTAATCCTCAATGAGCATAGCCACATGGTCTTCTGGTTCCTCTGGCGAGCGCTTGCCGGAAGTGTTGCAGTGTTCCGCTTCTCAACCGATAGACGAAACCTGTTTTGAGATGGCTGGCATCGGGACTATGGCCCTATGAACATGAAGACGTTAGCACGCCAATGGCAGATTCGAGGTTGAGATAATGGTACTGCTCAGGAAGATCCCGAGTTCACCCTACCATCGCCCTCTTCCGCGTCCGCGTCCGCGTCCGTCTTCCCGCCCGCCTCGCCAGCCGTAACCAGGCTCCCTCTCAGGAGGTGCCTCGCCTCGTCGCCATTCGCCAGATGGCACGCCCCCAAAGTCCCTCCTATCATCAAAACGGCCTCCGCCTCTGCTGCTGCCCCTTCCAAACCCTTCGTGTCCGCCTCGCCCTCCATAGCCATTTGCAAACTCCCTTCCACCTCGGCCACCATACCCATCCCGCGGTGGCGGTCCTCCTCTTGTAGGCCCAGTTGGCGGCGGCGGTGGCGCAGCTTGCACACTACCGTCCGCATGTGGAGGAAAGATGGCGCAAGAGACGTAATCCCCAATGACGAACTTCGCATCTGCTAAGCTCTTCCCCGGCTCTCCATCTAGCTGCTTTAACGCCTCACTAACATCAACCTTCTCGTGGCTTTCCCGATCTCCGTCCGCTGGTGTCTGCGCTCCTAGGATCACACTTCCCAGCTCCCTGCTCGTAAATCGCGCCGGTGTCCCTGGCCGTTGCGGCCCATTCATATCCCCGTATATCAAGCGAAAAGCAATACGCGTACCGGCGTACGGTTGCGGAAGCATATTCGGCAATGTGGTGAGAAGCAGGGAGGAGAGCTCGCGCAGTGTGCAGCTCTGCCAAGTGTAGATTTGAAGGTTTTGAGGGAGGCGGCGTGCGGGATCGAAGTCGTCCGGGTGGTGAAAAGCATTCTGTTTGTAGAATAGGCGCAGGAGGAAGGGAGTCGTTGTTTGGCGGTCGACTTTTGTGGGCGGTGGTGGGGAGGCCATGGTCGCGTTTGGGGGTGCGTGTTATAGGAGCTTTGGTGCTATAAGCTGAAAGATGAATTGGGTGCAGTGCTACCAATGGCGCGTCGTCGGAGTCAGGAAGACCAACGACGAAGTGGAGATTGCGATTCGTGACTGTCGCGCATGGAGTGGCAGCAGAAGCGAACCTTGGTCGTGATAACATGGGGAAGCTGCGCGACTAGCGCCTCGGCAACGGTGAAATCTACCATCCGGCGCAAGTGAATCACAGGCGCAAAGGAACTTGACTATTCATCTTCACACTTACTCTACAGATTTCGATATACCAAGTCTGATTTCTCGAAGACGACATTCGACGCCGCCATGAATCTAGCCTCCCTAATCAACAAGGCCAAGCAGAAGGCACCACCCACCGAGTCGTCCGACAAGAAGTTCCTCAGCCGCAAAGAGCTCGAGGCGCAGCGACAAGCCGCATACCATGCCGAGCAAGAAGCCGCCGAGAAGGCTCGCCAGAACAAATTAACGCGCAAAAGGAAAGCGGAAGAGGAAGAGACAGCAAGGGAAGAGGCGCGGCGCGAGAAGCAGAGGAAGTTTGCAGAGGAATCGAGGCGGATGCGGCGAGAAGAGACGGAAGAGGAAGAGTGCAGGCGGAGAAAACGGTTGGGGCTTCCAGATCTGCCACCGAAGAAGGCGAACGGCGAGGAGGACGGCACACCGATTCCGGAAGACGAAGACATAGCTGACGAGGAGCTACTCGGGAAGTTAAGGGCGCTGGAAGAACCAGTGATGCTGTTTGGAGAGACACATAAGCAGCGGCTGAAGCGGTACAAGAAGCGCGTCGGAGCCGATAGCCTCAAGGCAACAATGACCGACGGTCCAATACCCACAACGCTGCAACTCGTACCAGAGAAAGACATGAAGGTGGAGCTCACGCTACCGAAAGACAAGAACGGTCGCGAGTTCTTATTCAGACAACTTGCGAGTTACTTCACAATGGTGCTACAAGAATGGGAGACCACACTGTCCCGACGGACTGTCGAAGTCAAGAACAGCTACCCAGGAAAGCAAGCCTACAGCGCCATGGTGCAAGCTCGTGAGAATCTACGCCCGCTTTTCAAGAAGATGGAGCAGTACGACCTGCCCGACAGCATCCTCGAACCTGTTGTAGAAATTGTGCACGCGGCGCAAGAACGGAGATACGTGGATGCGAACGACGGCTACCTCAGGCTGAGTATCGGCAAGGCGGCGTGGCCGATCGGTGTTACTATGGTGGGTATTCACGAGCGAAGCGCAAGAGAAAAGTTGCATGAGAGTGATAAGAATGCGGCACATATTATGAGTGACGAGCTCACGAGGAAGTATTTGCAAAGTATCAAGCGTTGTCTGAGCTTTGCGCAGACGCGGTGGCCGCCGACAGATCAGCTGCAATTGATGGGCTAACGGACGGTATCGCTACTCCTGCGAACCTGGACCCAAGTACCGTCTATGAGTTATACATAGAATGGGGGACACAAGGGTCGTAATGAATACAATGATATAGCCTAGCGATTGTTAAGGACAGGATGTGTACTTGAAGAGCCAGTCGAACGTGCAGCATCGCTCTGTCTTGAGCGGTATCAGGCAGTGTGATCTCGAAATTGCATAGATTGCCAGCTTAAGATATTACGCCCAAAAAGAATCACCCAGAACGACATGCTTCGAAACATGGTTACGTCTTCTCACACGGGTGCTTTTTTCTTCGCGTATATTCATGTTTGCTGCGTTGCGATCGTGCCTTCCCCAGATTGCCCCGCTAAACGCGGAAGTGCCGCGCGTTCATGTGCCCTGCCAAATGGCCAATAACTTCACCCCAACCAATAGCCACAACCACACCTTCTCATCAGATCCAATTCGGATGCTTCGCGACCCTGACCGCAGAGCCAACGCACTCGCAGGCGGACACTACTGCTGCAATGCACGAGATTCTGACACTCCAATTCGGTCAACAGAGCAACTATTTGGGCACCCATTTTTGGAACACGCAGGTATGTTCGTACGCTCCGCGCTCAACTTCTTCACTCCAATCCACTTCGGTTTTACTTCTCATGTTGATCATCGCTACGGAGCTCAACGCCGTGCAACCCCATCACAAGGGTTCCCCACAAAGCTCACCAGTAACACTTTCCGGACCGGGTGCCAAGCAATCAACCTCTGCATCTTCGTGGTCAAATCAATCTTTCTGACTTGAACACATTCCCTAGGAGTCCTACTTCACTTATCCACCCGAGGAGGAGTCGCCAGTTAACCACGACATTCACTTTCGAGCTGGCATTGCCCCAGATGGCTCGGATACATTCACTCCGCGAGCTCTGATCTATGATCTTAAGGGCGCGTTTGGCAGCATGAAGAAGGTCAATGCTCTTTACGAGCCCGAAGAAGATGTCAACATTGATCGATCTAGCGTATGGCCGTCGAAGCCCATCGTTCAGCGCTCTGCACCAATACAACCATCCTCGTATCAGACACACCTTGACGCGGGCCTCGACCCCCCTCAACTCACTACTTCCACCGTACGCTACTGGTCTGACTACTCGCGTGTCTTCTACCATCCTAGGTCGCTAACACAGCTGTCTGAGTTCGAAGTAAATGATGGCCTGATGCCCTTCGAGAAATGGCACGTCGGCATGGAGCTCTTCGAGAAGCTGGAACGAGATGTGGACTTGGTCGATCGAGACCTCAGACCCTTCGCTGAGGAATGCGATGGAATGCAGAGTATACAAATCTTCACTGGCGTAGACGATGCTTGGGGAGGGTGGGCTAGTGGATGGCTTGAGAGACTACGGGACGAGTATGGAAAGTTGAGCATCTGGACGTGGGGGCTTGGAGATCAAGGAGGCAATACGACGACCCCGAGGGTATGCGCTCTATCCATGAAGTGGCAGCATTGTTAACAGAAGGCAGGAAAGGCGATTACAGCAGATCGAAAACTCGGCACATTCTCTTCACATACTTGCTGAGCAGTCATCTGTGTACATCCCAATCCCGAACGTGCCGATCAGAACTCCCTCCTACCTATCCTTGAGTTGTACCTCACCATGGTACGTTGGAGCGCTTCAGGCGGTAGCCTTGGAAAGCATGACGATATCTTCTCGCCTGAGATCTGCTCTTGGTGGAAGAGGAACTCTCCAGGACATCGAAGCAACTTTCAACAGCACTGGAAAGCGTCGGGTTGCCAAACTGGAACTGAGTGTCGCTGATCCAGACGTGTTGTCCGAGCAAGCATCTGCACAAATTGCCCAAGCGGAAAAGGCGGGGTCTATCACGTCTCGCCAGACGAGCGAAGCCGATGAGCAACTGACAAGTTTCGATATCGATGCTTTCACCATAGACTACAAGATTGGAGCGTCACGCCCTACGAAGCGAGAACATGTTTTCGGCAGAGTGGAAGCAGCACGAGGTGACTGGAACGTGATTGAAGACCGTGATCCTCACGATAGGTTCGGCGATGGCCCGGCTTTGCAAAGGTATGTTGCATTCAAAGACCCGCTGTCTATGTCATCCGCGGCCTATCTAATTACGCGATGGCACCGAGTACGCGGATCGAGTCAGTCTATCACAATGACTTGTCACCTCTCTACCCGAATGCTATTCTTGTGATTTTAATGCAATTTTGTGAAGATAGCTAATCAACACTCAAACAGGTTCGCTGCACCGCTGCTCTTCCCACTTCTCGATAGCTTCCCAGCATCATTATTCAATATCGGCACGGGAGAAGGGCGTAAAATCGCCGTGCGTTCGGGGCTTACCACCAGCACAGCGGTTGCTGACCAGGTGCGGGCGGTGGAACAAATTGTGCGCCGCATGCACATGGTTGGCATTGATGAGCGCGAAACAATCTGCAATGGACTGCAAACCATGGCAGAAGAATACGATGAAGGTTGGGATAGTGGGAGCGACAGCGATGAGGACGACTGATGACCCCGGTTCGCACCTCTGACCGACCTGCTCTCGGATGCAAGCGGTCAGTCTGACAGGGTATATTCGCCCTGCTATCAATAAATGCACCAGTTCCCCACCGTCACTCACGATCTTGGATTGGTCTTGGGCCTCCCGCGCGGCACTGCCAACAAGAGCAAGGCAAAGTCCCCGGGTCATGCATGCCGTTCGGCAGCCTATCGATAAATAAACGCTATACGGATCTGGCGATTCCCAATACTTCTAATGATGCGTCAGGCCGCCCGATGAGTTGATGCTTTTTGGGTTGCCGATAAGTCAATGAAAGAGTTTTCTTTTGCGCGACAGTACTCAGTAGGCCAACTGTCGGGTACTGGAGGCTCGTCATGTCGTGTTTTCGTCGCTTGGATGCACGCACGCCATCCAGAGGCGGGGGCAGAGACGTGTCTCGATCACTTCGTACCAAAGGCGTCAACCATGGTTCATCGTTTGCACGGCTCGAATCGCGCAGAGCGGTCACGGGATTGTTGCCGCCGGAGCCCGTAGTTTGCCTGATGCCGAGGAAGTACCTACAGCAGCGCGACAGCTATCTGGCTAGCGGCCTGCTCAGTTACATAGGCCAACGCTTGGGTGGACCTCCGTCAGAGGCGACTCGACGGCGGCCGCAACTGCTGCAGGAACAACCCAAAGCGCGCGGGACAGCTTAGAGAAGGTTCCGGGGGCCAACGTGCAGAGGTCCGGCCAGCACATCGGATCGTCAACGCAACCGAACTTTGTTGGAGACTTTAAAACGGTAGAACAGAACAATGAGAAAGATAGCGGTGATATGACGGCGTGTAAGCGAGGGCTTGCGGGAGGATTTACAGCCTCCACCGTTGACCAATGGTAACGCCGCAAGCCAGCGCACAGGGCCGCATCCATGCGTTTCGATAGAAAAGCCCTGCGAGGATCGTCGTCGTGTGCCATAGGCGTTGACCAGGGCGACACCAGTGCCATCGTGCCTCCAACTTTCAAAGCCCCCGCGACGCTGTAACCCGCCATCGCGATAGCAACCAGCCATGAAGCCAGCCTCTGCGCTACACCCCGGTGTTCGCGCGATCGTAGACGCCTCCCTCCGCCGCCTCAACGGCGCAACGTGGTCAAGCTGACAAACGAGCATGCCGATCAAGTGTGACAGACCGTCGCATCGCGCACCAAGCAAATCAGCTCAATCAGCCCAATTACTCCGCTCCATCAGCTTATGGAAAGCCCCAAGCGGCAGCTGGGCAACATGCTCGGGGCCATGACCCTCAATAGGGCTGGTGGGCACAACACATGTCGAAGTGGACCCAGATCGTCGTACTACTATTTTAGTAGCTTCACCACTGGTCCGTGCAGGAACTGAGCTAGCAAACGGCTGCCCGGAGCGATTGCATCATGCTCAGGCAGGTCGCGCGACTTTGACTCGAGCGTACCTGCCGAAGATACGGCGAAATTTGATGGGGGGATGAACGATTGAGCCCTCGCTGTAGGCTGCTGACCTTTGATGCGGTTTCTAGCACAAGACTTCAGAGGCTGAGCTTCAGCTGTTGTGGCCGGGAATACAGATGGCAGGCACACTTTGACCTCTTCTTGTTGCGCAAATCCTAGAGGCCCAACTGCGACCTCTGTCATAGCGTACTGCTTACTGAGTACATCCCAGTCAAGCCCACATGCAGCTGTCGAGCTCCTCCCAACTGATCCGCATGGCTTCGGTATAAGGCCGCAGGTTGCCAGGCCAGCAGGCGACCTATCAGAGATCCGCCTGCGACTATCGCATTACCTCGTTCGTTGACCTCGCTCCACCGGTCCTGGCTCTCTGCCCCAGTCATACGAAAGCTCGCTCCAATGTCGAACCTTGCCCGAAGCCCACACCACTCCGCCAATACGGGCAGAAGTCGACGTAGCGGGCCCTAAGCTTCGCTTGGCAAATGCAACCTTGCCGTTTCCACGGCATCAATGGTTGCTAGGATTCGAGTATCCAGAGGGCTGGCAGTGCATGTGCTAGCCTCCCCCGTGCAGTACATATGGGCCGCCCGCCCTCGTCTGACCGTCTCTTGAGCCTCACATCGCACAGTGATTTGAGATCGATCCAACCTCTGGTAATTTCCACCAGCCTCGCAACTCGCTCGCTACGGTTGTGCTGTAACCTTCGTTATATATACCGACTGCCCGTCCATTATTCTGTCGCTGTCAAGCTCATCCTAAAGAAAGATGAAGAACTCTCTCTCCATCATCGCCCTTGCGGGCTCCGTTGCTGCTGCACCCGGTGGATATCAAGACGGTGGTTACCAGAATGGTGGCTATGAGCACGGCGGATATGGAACTGGATCCTACGCTGTTCCCTCGTCGTCTGCTTACGTCCCGCCTCCCTACAGCGCCTCGGTGCCAGAGTACTCTACTCCTGAATACTCCACCCCGGCACCTTCTTCGTCTTATCCAGTGTCGACGCCTGAGGTCCCGGAGTACTCTGTATGTCACGTGATTAATGCGTGTATCGGATTAAAGCTAATGAAAACAGACCCCGGCACCTCCGGTCTCTTACTCGTACCCCGTATACACACCGCCTGTATACTCCACAGGCTACGTCCCGCCTGTTCCATCCTACAGCCAGGCTCCTCCTCCATCGTATAGCCAGGCCCCTCCCCGTCCTCTTACGAGGTGCCTCCCCATCATCCTACGAGACCCCGTCTCCCTCGTCTTATGAGGTTCCTCCCCATCTTCCTACGAGACCCCTCGCCTTCTTCTTACGAGGTTCCTCCCCATCTTCCTACGAGACCCCTCGCCTTCTTCTTACGAGGTTCCTCCCCATCTTCCTACGAGACCCCTCGCCTTCTTCTTACGAGGTCTCCACTCCTACGCCCTACTACCCTACGGCGCCCCCACCACCACCTTCGTACAGCACCCACGTGCCTCCGCCGTATCCTTCATACAACGCCTCAGTCCCGTATATCACCACTAGTTACACAACCACCAAGACTGTGACTATTCCGTGCACGACTGTCATCACCCCTTCGGTCCCGGGGTACAGCACGATCGTCGTCACCCCCTCTGTCCCGGGATATACCACCGTCGTCACCCCCTCCATTCCAGGATACGAGACTCCCTCGGCTCCAGGATACGAAACCCCCTCTGCTCCTGGATACGAGACTCCGAGCGCTCCGGCACCCCCGGTCTACACTACAGTCGTTCCTCCCCCATCCGTGCCTGGGTACGAGACGCCAACCCCCATCACGACGGTGACGTATTCGACCAGCATCATCACCTCCACGATTACGACTTCTTACCCTGCGCCACCCACGGTCGTCCCCAGCGGATACACTCCTGCTCCCCCAGCTCCTCCGTCTGGGACTGCGCCCGGCTACAGCACCCCCTCGGTTCCTTCGGCCTCTGGTACTCCCGTACCATCTTCGCCTGCCGAGTTCCCTGGGGCCGCATCGGCGCAGAAGCCCGTCGTGGCTCTCATTGCGGGTGCTTTGGTCTTTGTTGCCCTCGCATAAGCAGAGGTCTCACCTGTTGGATGTACATTCTACACTTCTTCGACACTCCTTGGGCTTCGCAAAAACGCAGGCTTCACGATACTTTTATGAATTTATTTAATGGGGTGGAATCGGGTAACGACTGGATACTTGGGCGCTCGTTGGATAGATTGAGTATATGCACACGCTCCTTCAAGACTGGGTGGGAAATGGATGGGTGGTGAATACCTTTGGGGGAAGAAAGTTAGTGTTGGAGTCTGTAGGATGTGTAGCTGCAGCTTGCTTGTGGCAGTGTAATGCGAAGATGTTGGATTGACAATTGTCCGCTGTTGCTGCTGTGGATCATGGCGCGATAAACGAGTGCGAGTAATTTCACTGTGTATGCATTGTGCTTGTGCATGCGTGTCCCGAGAAAGTCGAGCCATGGTATTGGTGCGACGGGTCTCCGCATGCGACGCTGGTGTTCTGCAGTGGTGCTTTGCAGCGTCCCGTGGTCGGATGCCTTGGAACTTACGACGAGTGGGCATGCAGCCACCCAAGTCACGTTCCTATGTACTTTAGGTGGGCTTTGTTGTGGGCATCACCCGGTCAACCGGCTCTTGCAAGAGCCAGCATGGACGATGCTCGACCTTTCGTTCGCGTTTTAGCTGCTGGGCTCAGGCGGATGTGAAGATGGTCGCCTTGCCATGTTTGTGTCGGTAAGCTGTCTGTTCCGCATCGTCGTTGGCCGTTGCCTTGTTCTCACGTCGCGGAAAGAAATACCGGTGAGCCCGCCTCTGCAGCCAATCAGCGCCTGGACGGACTTAGTCGTCACTGTTGCACAGTCCGCCTTCAACGGCAAGCTGTAACAGAACTCGAGCTGCATGTCCACGGCCGTCTCCCACACCCGAGTCACGCTGCGCTTCCCCTTGTCCGACGACACGAGAGGCAACCCGCACCTCCCTCATGCTCAACCTCGTGCTTCACGGCTGCGTCGCATCACAACAATCTCGTCTTTCGTTTCCCGCCATCTTCGCTTACTCGCCGGTGAATCTGGGGGCGGACCAGATGCAATAGGACAGGTCCAGCGTCGCGTATGGTAAGATTTCCTTGACCGGCTGCAGGTGCCACTTGGCGTTCGGTCTGTGCACGGACCATTGTGCTTCACCGGAATCAGTGAGGGGACTTTAACAACAGCGCACTGCGGTCTGCATTGCGGGCTTCAGTTGCTTTTCTAGCTGCTTGATCTTTGCAGTGTGCTTCGCAGGCTCAAGGCTCTAGTCACGGGATGGAGGACTTGGCGACGAATCTCGATGCCATCAGCCTTGCGGAGCGGCTGCAGGGAGCGAGGGCCGAGGAGTACTGGTTGCATCTTGAGGCCGAGGGGCCATTGGACAAGTATCCGGGTGAGGACATCTTCATTCCAAACAAAACTAACATCTGAGCGAGAAGTGGTCGCTAACGGTTGCGTTGTAGCAAAGCAACATGCACGCCGGGTGCGCGAGCGCCTGCATGTGGCAGAGGGCTTGATCTACCTTCCTGGTGTGCCGGCGAGGAGCAATGAGGACAGTGACATGCCTGCGCCTTTTCGCCAGCGACGCTACTTCTACTACCTGAGCGGCTGCAATGAAGCGAGCTGTCAATTGGCGTACGACATCAAACGGGATCTTCTTACTTTGTTCATTCCGCGCGTTAACCCGGATCGCGTCTTCTGGAACGGCCGAGGCTCGACTCCTGCAGAGGCCTTGGACAAGTACGACGTCGACGAAGTCTTCTACGTGGATCAGATAGAGTCCTGGATACATGACTGGTTCTTGCACTACCGATATGATGGCGCTCAGCGCCTCTATGTTCTGCATAAGGAGCAAATGCCACCGTTGAGATACCCTTGGCCTGTGGATTCGACTGCATTACAGCCTGCAGTCAATCAATGTCGCATGATCAAAGATGATCACGAGATCAAGTTGATCCGCAAAGCAAACGACATCTCATCGAAAGCACATAAGCAGGTCCTTGCCAATATCACTAGGTTTCACAACGAAGCCCAGGTGGAAGGTCTTTTCCTGAACGTCTGCATCTCGAACCAAGCCAAACAGCAAGCATACGATCCTATTGCAGCTTCTGGGCCCAATGCCGGCACGCTACATTATGATGCCAACAATGAAGATTTCGCCGACCGTCAACTCATGTGTCTGGACGCTGGATGCGAATTTGAGCTCTACGCATCTGATATTACGCGCACATTTCCGCTATCTGGCTCCTGGCCCTCGAAAGAGGCAGAAAACATCTACAAACTTGTCGAACGTATGCAAGAAGCCTGCATCCAGAAATTGGCACCTGGTGTTCGTTATCTAGATGTTCATGTTCTGGCGCATCAGATTGCTATCGATGGGTTATTAAAACTTGGTCTTCTACACAATGGCACAAGGGAAGAGATCTACAAGGCTGGCACCAGTAAAGCTTTCTTTCCCCATGGTCTGGGCCATCATGTGGGATTAGAAGTGCATGATGTCGGCCAACAGGAGCTAATGAGCTTGTGCAAGCATCCTAAATACGAGAAGGTATAACAGTCTCCTCGGCATCCTGCGGCTGCGGACATTGACAATTCGCAGATTCCTTCGCTGTATCCCGAGGACTTCCATCTGCCCATCTACGACAAGGATCTATGCATGGCTCCGACACATCCCCAAAGCCCGCAACTGGAAGAAGGTATGGTGGTCACCGTTGAACCTGGAATGTAAGTCATGATCTACAAATCCCGTCTTGGCAACGATGATTGACTGAACAATCCAGCTATTTCTCTGCATATGCTCTCAGCTACTTCTATTTACCGTCGCCTGTGCATGCTAAGTACATCAATACTGAGGTACTCTATCGATACTTCCCTGTAGGCGGCGTCCGCATCGAGGACGACATCCTCATCACTTCCAAGGGCTATGAGAATCTCACTACTGCACCAAAGGGCGATGCTATGTTCGCTATAATCAAGGGACAAAGTACTAGCTCTACGCCTAAATCCAGGGAGAAGAGTGTTGACGCACTAGAGGAGTCGCTTCGTCGAGCGCCAGGTATTTCAAGGCGCGTAGCTGATCCTTTCGTGAAACCCGTCTCTAGAGCGGCGACTGAACCTATTATAAATACCAAAAGAGAAAGCTCAGATAGCCAAGCATTCCCGGATCATTGGCTTTTCAGAGATACTTCATACCCAACTCCATCTACCGGCAACAGCAGAAAAGGAACGGCCCGGCAAACAGAACGTCATGCCGCTCCTGCACCTCAAGACAGTCCTCTACCTCTTTGTGGGACTTCTTCTGCAGACGTCGAACACATCTTCATGGGTTGGCAGAGTGAGATTGCAAAAAATTGCCGCTTTTCCATATCTTGGGATCGGTATGAAGATCAGGGTTTCTAAATGCCAACATTGTATTGTTCTCTCCGAAACAGTCGACCGTTTGAGGAAGACACTGAGCTGTTCAACGACGACCTCGCCAAGTACTTCACCGAACTTAGACGATGGCGACTTTGAAGGTTGGAACAAAATTCGGCCTTCGTCGAAATTTGTGAACCATGTCGCCCCCTCAACAAAACCTAAAGTACAAGAGATGCAACAGATCCCGGCGTTTCCATCAAAGAGCTTGGTTGACAGGCCATTGCGTGAGCCTTTCGCTCCGGGGCATGGCATCCCATCATCGTCTTTCGATGTACAGCGTGGTCTGAACAAGGAGAGTCGCGGTAAGCTGGACGATGACTTCGTGCCTCTACCACAAGTGAAAGCACAGCGCCGGTCCGTCACCTTTGATAGCTATCCGATCACGCAGTCGCAGCTGCCCTCAAATCAACACGAAATTGTTCCCGCCCCAAGTGATTGGCACACTAAATCCATGGATCCTGCGACATTGGCGCAGAAGAAGCAAGCAAATCGACCGGTGTATGACCATCCCAAGTCAGAATGGAACCCTTCTAATATCCCAAACCAAGCTCGTGTGTCGAAGTGGACCTTCACAACACTTCCAGAACACGTCTACCCATCTGCAGCTGGAGAGACGAGCATGTCACCCGAGGCTCTTGCCCGAAGAAGCCTCTCCGCAGCAATTGAACGTAGCAACGAGCGCGAGCAATATGTACACCCAGCCAATTCCTTGCGTCGCCCGGATGCGCGGCCTTCGCTCCCGTTCTTGCGGCAAGGTCCGGCAAGTGGGACGCCTGAAGAGGGACTTGCTCCCGTACGAAGTCACCGTGCAGAGGAGTCTGTCCCTTTGCAGAATCGCAATTCCACGTTCGTGCCGGTCAGCTTCTCAGCGCAGGAGCATGACTTGAGGCGCAGACGCTCAATGGGCAGTGCGCTTAAGTCTTCCATTCAAAGTCGCGATATCTCCCCTTTTGCAGTCTCATCCTGATGCCTATCCTCCTAGCACTGCTGCTGTAGTCTCGAGAGCCCAGGCCGTTGCTCATTGGAACGACCCTGTGTCATTTTCAACAACTGCTGCTGAGATTCCTCCGTTCCCATGTGAACGATCTTCGGAGCGGGCAAACACACATGAAACCTTGCCATGGCAAGGCCACGAGAAAGAGATGCGAGCAATGTATAGCCGAGCTCGACCTGGAGGCGAAGAACTTCAGGGCGTCGACTACGCGAGGTGGCGATGATCATCACACGTGTAAAGTGCTCGGGTGCAGGCGTAGTGTGTTAGAAAGTGGCGCGTTCGGTGGGGATTTATGACTTTAATCTTACTATATACGTTTTTATAGCTAGCTACTACCTATACGTTCTTATACCAATCCAATGACGTTTGTTACGGCCAGAATATAGTGCTTTGCAGATCATGGCCTGTTGAATAGGTAGGTAGGCAGGTCATAGATTTACATCCAACTATTGAGTTTCAGTGCCTTGTGGCCTGTTGAGTAGTCCCGCTGTGATTCTCGTGTGGGTGTGTGGTTCGGCCGTCATGACGAGGGGCGACAAAGAAGAACTTTAGCAAACGAGCTCTCGTGCAGTCAATTCGAAATAGAAGATGAAGTGAATATGGAAGAAATTTCTAAGCAATCGTATCAAGGTCTTCGACGATATGTGACGCGTCACAAACTTAGTAAGATCCTGAAATGGCCCACCACACCACATGTTCGCATGTGCTCACCTACAGAGGCATACGAAGTGTGTTAATATCCAGGGTCACAATAAAGACACTCGGAACATGTTTACCATCATCATTTCGATTTCGATAAGCCTAAATAGAGGCTTATGAACTGCGCCATCCCGTCGTCGCAATGTAAATCTAAGTTCACCTCCCCAATGACACGAACGCCCTAGACTCCACGTCTTGATCACGCATACCCAATAACGCCGATCATACGAAACTGCGTAGTCGCTACCCAAATGCTGCCCAAAAGCGTGCTTTCATAAGATTCAACGCCGCTTCATTAATCGATGCCTCCACCCGCAATCCCACACCAGCGAATTGGATACCGAAGCTAGTTGCGACACCCAAGTCGGATCTCCAATCATATTGGACGTGTAACAAGTTCATCCATCTAGAAGAAATAGTAGAGCACACCGCCGGATGCAGTCATGAAGACGCCAAACCACCACCATCGATCAGCTTGCTGTTGTTGGGGTGTCCGCTTGCTGAGCACGTTGAGGGGGAGATCGGAGCGCTTCACCTTGGCGGTGGCCTTTGCGCCGGCAGTCGAAGTGGTGAGTGGATTGAGGGTCGTCGTCGGGAGCATCTGGGGTGGAGAATAGGCCAGGTAGAGAGGCATGAGCGGTGCACCGTCGCGCTTAAAAAGGGTCAACCGTGTCTTCTTCGTGTATCCATCCGTGACAACTTCGTAGCGCTGTATTCGATCTCTGTCAGTATCCTCTATTATAGAAAGGAGCTAATTGTCCAAGCACAGGAACGTAGATGGCCGACATACTTGGAACAGCTCAGTGGTATTGTAACGTGTGTAAATAGCATTGCCGTAAGCGCATGGGTCGGAATATAATTGGCGTCCGTCGACCTTGATAGGTTCGAGGGAAAGCGAGCCGTTGTCGAACTTCTTGAAGCTTCCGTGCTGCCACTGTATTATCCCCTTGGGACAGCTGGGGTTCGTAGCTACAGTGTCCGTTAGCATGTGTACGTAGCGTATGTACTCTTATATCGAAAGAGCGAGTAGGACGGCATACGGTTCGCTACGGCACGATAGTACGCTTCTTCAAAGTGGCCGTCTGTGGAGAAGGAGTACGAGATGCCCGTGTGCTTCGGTTCCGTAAATTCCTCGTTAATTGGGTCATAGAAGCCCTGGAGTTGATCAGCATCGAAATGATTCCATAGTGAAATGCATCCCATACCGGCCCCGTCAGCGTCGAATTCGATTTGCTGCTCCATGTCCCAACCAAATCTGTGAATGAAGCTTGTGCGGCCGCCAGGCTTGCGCCGAGCAGCAGGGTCGCTACCGTGGCGAGCATTCCTGTGTGTATGCAACGATATAGCGAGTGTGGGCGGTCGGAGATCGTGCGCGAAAGAGACGAGTACGGTACGGTGGGAGTGCAGTGCAATTGTTGTAGAAGCGCTGCCCGGTTTAGCCAGGAGACAAGAATGGAGCAGCCGCGACTGCGACAGGGATTACGCCGCCGCTAGTGGCGCGTGGCGTGGATCGTCACCTGGGCAAGCCACACAGCACACTTGCATCACCGCTTGGTCGAGGCAATCCTTCGCGGACATCTAGGGCGAACGGTGTCTTACACACGGCAATTGCAATTATATCTACCTGTGAGCCAGCAGATTGTCAGACTCGGTCTGCTGCTACGATCCCGGCTTGTTGAACGCAGCCAGGAGCCTCGATGGCGGCACTACCTGCATTGAAAAAGGATCTGAGAAAGAGGATCAAGAAAGTACTCGCCGACGTTTCTGATGCGTCGGCTGCTTCGCAGAGTAGGTCCATCTGCTCATGCGTCTTGGGATATAGATTGATGCTGAATTTGGGCCGTCACAGCTTCTAATGCCGTCGGAGTGTTGTTGGGAATGCCGGAGTACAAGGCGGCGAGGCGGATAAGCATCTACCTGGCCATGCCCACAGGCGAGATCGCAACAACAAGAATTGTTCGTGATGCACTTGCTCAGGGTAAAACTGTCTTTATTCCCTACACATACAACCTCGAAGCTCCAAGAGAGGGGCAGCCAAAGTCTATCATGGATATGGTCGAGCTACACTCTATGCAGGACTTTGAGTCATTGCGGCCGGATAAGTGGAACATTCCCACTCCCAGTGAAGACTCTATCGTAAACCGCTCAAACTCGTTTGGCGGGAAGGGCGCCACCAACGGCACTATCACGCCTGCGAGCGAAGAAGCCGGGCTGGATCTCATCGTGATGCCGGGCATGGCATTCGATTCCAACCTTGGCCGGCTTGGTCACGGGAAGGGATTCTATGACTACTTCCTGCGTCGCTGTCACGATGCATCGCGGGTGCCTTTTCGCGGTAAGAAACACTGATTTCCATTTTGGGTGGGTATTCTAACTAACCACGATAGTCGGTCTGGCCTTGACAGAGCAGCTGCTCCCGCCAGCCGATGCCGTACCCATGGACAAATCCGATTTCCGTCTCGATGCCCTGATAACCGGAGACGGAGAGCTGCGCAGAGCCTAAACATCAACGGTGTGCCACGTCCTCCTACAAAACCTTTAACTACCCCTGGAAGCTGCGTCTCGCAGTGGCGCTTGCGGAATGAACCACGTCGGTTGATCGCTCAATTGTTGATCTGCTGGATGAGAGAGATGTTGTCTCCTTTGAGGAGAACTTGGCCTGTGCTAGATTAGCGACACACATTCAGGCGCATGCCAGATCTCCAAATGTACTCACCAAGCTTCCGTCGCTCTTCTGGGCTTTCCTTCTTCGCCAATGTGACTTCCACCGCATCATCAATGACCAGATTCATGAACTCATCGAACCCCTAAAGATGTCAGTGTGGTGTCTCGCTTTCCATGCGGCGCATGTGCCTACCCTCAGCTTCCCCTCAATGCGCATGCCCAAGTTCTCGTATAACCATATCGATACGGTCGCGCGCTGTTGTAGAAGCTTGAAGATGAAGTTGATGGGTGGCAAGAGCACTACATATACGTTAGAATATGGAGGTCGCCAGTGGTACATGCCCACGCGGAAGGCGCACCTTTCTGCCCGCCGCGGCCTATGTGATGCATTAGCGTTTGTCTGCAACGACAGCTCCGTAGGACTTTACCTCTACCTCCAGTCATAATTGCGAGTGGCTTTGTTGGGTAAGGCGCTTCCGCGACGTTGTGGGGGTGGATAGGTCAGGTAGGTGAAGCTCTAGGAAAATAGCGGGCGGTGAGAAACGAGCCTTCTTGGCGTTGCGCGGGACACGACTTTCATGGACGTAACTTCTTGCCCCCACAAACAAACATCTCGACCACACCTGCGTATTGCTAGCGCGCCGTCCTTCCCAAACCGGCGCTCTTACGTCTAGTATATGAACACCCGATAATCGCAATCCGCCCTACTACGACCCTCTGAGCGTTGCCCGCTTCAATCTACAGCCCGCGCGGGACAGCCCACCATGGCATCCAACGGAGTGCAGCACGTCTTCGCGCCGGTGCTGGCGGCACACAACACCATGGCATCGGGAGCCGACCGTGCACAGAAAGAGCAGGCACATCAGTTCCTCGAGCAGTTCCAGAAATCGGTATGGCGCATGACCGTAACATGAATGGAGCGCATGCTGACCGGTCGATATAGGACGAAGCATGGACGACGACATTAGCCATGCTCGAAGCCAACAACGTGGACGCTGCGGCAAAGTTGTTTGCCGCTACCACACTGAAGGGCAAGGTGGGTTGTTTCAGGTATCTGTGGGCCTGCGCTGACCGTTACAGATTGTCTATGACCTTCATCAGCTGCCCCGCGAGACGCTCCCAAAGCTGCGCGAAACCATTATCAGAAATCTGGCGACCTTCCACGCTGGTCCCAAGCCTATCCGCCTGCAGCTGTGTGTGTGTCTGGCCAACCTAGCGATACAAATGACAGAGTGGAAGGACGTTCTACCTCTCATACTATCAACGCTGGGCTCAGATCCATCCACGCTGCCTTGCGTCCTAGACTTCCTTCGTGTTCTGCCAGAAGAGGTCACACATGGCCGGAAAATCGCTCTTACAGTACGTTCGGTCAAATCACCATCCTCCACCACCCACCTATCGGCACCTCATCGTGGTATCGTGGTATAACGTCAGAGTCACAATCTAATACATGGATTTGTCAGGAAACCGAGTTGCAAATGAGGACGTCAGAATTGATCGAGGAAAACGCACAACAGGCACTAAGCCTCCTCGTGCAGTATGCTCAATCATCCCGTACGTCGACCCTCCCGTGATATTTCTGCGCTGACATTGATAGCCGCTGCCTCTCAAAATCCTCAGCTGCTTAACTGCATTACATCCTGGATGCGAGAAGTTGCTTTAGACGACATTATCAAATCTCCACTTTTGGGGGTTATTTTCGACGCATTGTCAGCACCAGAACCCTTTGAGGCCGCCATCGAATGTGTTTGCGCGTTGATTGCCGAAACTAGGGATGTCGACGAGTCAACGAACACGATTTTGGTTTTGTACCCCAAGGTACTGGAATTGCGACCGAAACTCGCTCAGGCGGCAGCAGAGGAAGATACAGAGACATACAAGGGCATTGCTCGAATCTTCGCCGAAGCTGGAGAAGCATGGTGTTTACTCATTGCAAGGATACCAGACCAATTCCGTGAACTTGTCGAAGCTATCCTGGAAACTGCGGCGTTGGACAAGGAGCGGGACGCGATATCTCATACCTTCAAATTTTGGTATGACTTGAAGCAATATCTGACGCTTGAGAAGTACACGCCAGCCCGACAGCAAATTGCTGATATCTACTCAAAGCTTGTTGATATCATGGTCGGCCACCTGGAGTATCCGAAACCGGAAAGTGGCGATGAGAAAGACCTATTTGAGGGCGATCGCGAACAAGAGGAGAAGTTCCGGGAGTTCCGACACCAGATGGGTGACGTGCTGAAAGACTGCTGCGAGGTTATGAGCGTTACAGAATGTCTTCAGAAACCGTTCAACCTCATCCGAGCCTGGGTACAAACATATGCCTCACAGGCGGGGCCGAACCACGTACCTGGATGGCAGAAGCTGGAGGCTCCGTTATTTGCTGTGCGGGCTATGGGGCGCATGGTACCACCCGACGAAAGCGTCATGCTGCCTCAACTTATTCCAATTATGGTTCAAATACCAGACCATCCCAAAGTCCGCTTCCAAGCTGTCATGGCTCTTGGCAGGTACACTGAATGGACTGCACAACATCCAGATACCCTGCAACCTCAACTCGACTTCATCATGGGCGCTTTCGACCACTCCTCGAAAGATGTAACCCGCGCTGCAGCTCTTTCGTTCAAGTTCTTCTGCAATGATTGTGCAAGCTCCCTCGTTGGCTTCATTGGACCTTTGCAACAATTCTACGCCAAATACTTGGATGTTCTGCCCGTCAGCAGCCAAGAGGAAATAACGGATGGCGTCGCCTCGGTCGTCGCGAAGGTTCCTCTTGAACAGCTATATCCTACGTTAAAGCTATACTGTGACCCAGTGTTGCAAAGCATTATGTCTATCGCCAACGAGGCCAAGGAGGAACCGTCACAGAAGCTTCTAGCAGACAAGATCAACCTGCTGACTATCTTTTTCGAAGTGGTGAGACCGCAAGTACTACCGGGGCACGAACACCCAGCAGTCAAATACTGCCAAGAGATCTTTCCTATGCTAGGCAACATCGTGTCGCACTTCTCGAACAGCGTGCCAGTTCTCGAGCGGGTTTGCCGATGCTGGCGATACATGGTACTATCATATAGAACGGCGATGCGGCCATTGCTTCCGTTGCTCGCAACGCAACTTGTACAAGGATTCGAATCGTCGAGACAGGGTTGCTTCCTATGGGCTACAGCATCGATAGTCCGCGAATTTTCTGCCGGAGCGGAGGAGTTCGACACAAGGCTGACTAATGATGTCTTCCAATTCTACGAGCAACAGGCGAAGACGTTCCTGAGAATACTCAGTGACTTACCGCCAGAGGATCTTCCAGACATGATCGAGGATTTCTTCCGCCTAGCCGGCGAGATGGCCATGTATTACCCCATCGAGTCCATATCGTCACCGCTCATGGAAACCATACTTCTGGCTGCCTGTTCATCACTTACGCTGCTGAAAGAAGAGCCTATTATTGCAACTCTTCACTTCCTACGCGATCTCCTCGGTTACGGTCGCAACTTATCACCATCCAGTAGCTTCGACAACTCGCGCCACGAGGTCCCTGAGCAAATACAGACGCGTGTGAAGCAACTTGTTGCGGCTGCCGGAATACAGCTTGTGCAACGCATTATGACGGGCATGATGTACAGCTTCCCTGAAGGTTGCTTCCCGGATGCGTCAGGCGTGCTGCTTGACCTATTTGAATTGATGCCAGAGCAAGTCGCTGGCTGGGTGCAACAGACTGTGGGAATGCTGCCTCAGGGTAGTATCACCCCTCAAGAAAGTGAACGCTTCTTGAACAACATTAGACAGCGGATCCAGACCGGAGACATCCGAATGATCCGGACGATCTTGCAGGATTTCACGACGAGCTACAGGCGGAGGAATGTGGCGCCCCGTGAAGGTCTCGGTAGACTCGAGGCCAGTCGATTTAGGTTCTCCGGTTAATGTCCCGGTATGAAGATGGTCCGACTCGCCAGAAGAAGTCCATCAACATCGAGCGTGGATCTTCGATGACAGCGTGTCCAGTCTACTCGGCATAACAGATTCAGTGGAAAGGTCAGTGGAGGTTACAGCACCTGTAGATATATTTGGAATTAGCAGCATGAGCGGCGATTGGGCATTTAGCATGGCGGGCGGTATTTGGGTCGATGGGTAGCATGGGTCGTGGAGCAGAGTGGGCTGTTCTTTTAGATACCGACATTTCGATTCTGCACCTATCATAGATGGCTCAACACAGTGTAGTATGTTCGCCGCAATTCATTAGGAGTATTTCTTCCCAGTGTTTGCACTATTGATTTTGGAGAGAGAAGCTTTGATGGTAGTGGTAAACCTACCGACTCGACGCTGTGGCTGTGGCTATAGCTGTGGCTGTGCTCGGTGACACCGTGCCGTCCCCACATTCGCTCACAGCTTCAGCTGGGCTTGTGCGGATAAGTCTTTGGATTGCTTTATCGATTTCATGCCGAGCGCTGAGTCGCATGGTACTGCCATGGTCAGTTATTCGCACTGCAGTGGTAGGTGGTGGGCGCATCGCAAGCTCCCCGAGACACGGGCAGGTCGCGCCCAACCAAGCCCGAAGCAACGTAGCAGTACAACGCATACACGTTGGACCATGGAGAAGCGCTCGTGGAGATGCATGCTACGCTTTCTACACATTGCAGGTGAGTGAAGGAACCTGCAGAACTCTGACACCTGGCGAATAGCCGCAGAAGTGGAAGCGCGGAGTGCAGCTAGGACGGGAAGGCGCGATGTGTAGTCGCTAGAGACGAAACATGAAACGCGAAACATGGGGAATTACGCAGGTCCTCGAGGGCTTTCCGCGCGCCATCGCCACCTTCCTTTTGCCCATGGTGTGCTGGTGGAATGTTAGTGTGTCGGACTTGAGTGGTGTCTCATGGTACGAAGGGACTGGATCAAAGGCAGGTTCGAGATCGTCAGGCACGCAGCTGTGCTTGGCGATGCTTGTCGATGCTTGGAGTCCGGCTATGTCCGTAGAGCTGAAGCTTCGTAGTTGACTGGGAGGGTAGCTCCCTGTGGGTCGTCGGTCGGGAAGTCCGGACTGCGCCGCCGCACCGGGCAGCGCAGTACGGAGTCAGTGGGAAGTGGGAAGTGGGAAGGGCAGGCGATGGGAGCATCTTGCACTTGCAACAGTAGGTAATATTCAAGGTATGTTCACGATTCGCGAGAAAGAGTCTGTACGAGAAGAGTGCGGAAAACAAGGACCAGACGCGCTATCGCTGAAATGCCTAGCAAAACCCCCAAAGTCATCCCAAGCATTTCCGTAACCCGTCCCATCCAAGCGTGCGTGGTGTGTGTATCGGTAGTGTAGATGTATAGGAAACAAGATGTAAATGCGACAAAATGGGGTGTAACACAAGAAGTGAAGAACGAAAGTCTAGAAAAGTAGAAAGATTCACAGCCCGCACCAACTCCTTCACAGTCCCGTCAAGTCTCCGTCACTAGAAAATAATCTGCTTGGTTAGTTGGTGTATCGGATCGTTTCGTTTCGTTGTGGCGCTCAGGCGGCAATGCAGTAGCTGACGCCGGCCTGGAGGTTGCTGCAATTGGCGTCGAGGCTGGTGTTGAGCGACTGGAGGGTGGCGAAGTCGATACCAGTGCTCGCGCAGCCGTCGCCAGCCTTGACAGCGTACCACTTGGTGCAGGTGCCAGAGGCTCCCTCGGCCGTGGGGCCAGTGGGCGCGGAATCACCGCCGGCGGGAGGAGGGGTCGTGGTGGTGTCGGCAGGGGTCGTGGTCTCACCGCCGTCAGACGGACCGGCGGGAGCAGAGTTCGCAGAACCACCGCCAACGCTGCCAATGGTGTTCTCGTCGCAGTCGTGGGAGTCGGCGTCGGTCCAGCCGATCAGACGGTTGGCAACGTCGGTGGCGTAGCAGTGGGTGGCAATACCTCCGTTGAGGTTGCCATCACCGGCGATGGAACCAGAGTTGTAGATGCGAGAAGCCTTGTAGAACTTGGAGACATCGTCACCGCCAGCCTGGGCAAGGCCCTCCTTGAGACCGACATCGCCGTTGAGGCCGGCACCATCCTCGAGCATGCCCTTGATCGTGTCGTATGGGCAAGGAACGACACCGTTGCCATCGGGGTTGCAAGAGTGAGTTCCCTGGAAGGACTGCATGAGCCCCGGGTTGTCGAAGCCGTAGTTGGTGGTTGGGGCGCGGACGCAGCCCTTGGACTCCTGCATGACGATGGCGAGGAGGAACTCGGGCTTGACGCCGGAAGCCCCAGAGACGTCCTGGATAGCCTTCTTGATGTTGTCGGACTCCTCTTGGCTGTTGTTCTCCATGTTGAATTGGCTGCAGGAGCTGAGAGTGGTAGCAACGTTGGCGGACCAGAGATCCTCGAAAGACTTCCACTCAGACTCCTGCGGCCAACCCTGGGCCGGGGTGCCGTCACCGCCGAAGACCTTGTAAGCAGTTCGTGCCACCAGGGAACGAGCCTGCTTGGGGCTAGCACCGATGAGAGGAGCGCCGAGGGCGAAAGCGAAAAGCTGGCTAGCAGCGACGATGTAGGAAGCAGTGAACATGTTGATAGTTGGTTGGTGGTTGGTTGTTTGGAAAAAAAGGGTAAGTGTTGCAAGTGCGTTGATTGAATGAGTGACTCGAAGAGATTGTATGAAGTTAGTTGCAAGAAAGAATGACTGGAGGCAAGCCTCTGTAGAAGGAAGGACTGTGAAGTTGTTGGTGAAGTGTGCTGTGATGATGGACTAGACCAGCGGGTCTAGCTTGCCTTTATACAGAGTGGACGCCATCACGGTGGGGCTGTAGGTGTTGAGCATTCGGATGGGCGCCGGCCATGAGCAGGGATGCCCGGCGCCATGTTACGCTCGCAAACGACACTGGTGGTCCCTGCAGGGTGAAAGAAGGCGGGCACTAGTGGGCTGGATGCGTGCGCCATCTGTGAGCGAGGCCTGTTCCTGGCGTCAGTCCGGACTCTTTGCAAAAGCTTAGACAACTAGGTGCATCAGTGAAACGAGCCTACACCGTAATTAGTCGGCTCTGTCTATCTCGAGAAGGCAGAGTACAATCAATCACCTATTGCTACACCTGACATAGCAACACGGTGTCTCCAGCCGGCAACACGAAGCGTCTTCTGTGGGGGACAACGTTGGCGTCCAGCGGCATGCAGTCAAGCAGTCTCCGTATAGTGCAAGCCGCAGTAGAGAACCCGCAATGCCTATGCTGACTGCTGCCCTGCGGCGCAGAGGCGTCTGTGTCCTGGATCGGAAGTCGTTCCTACGGTCTCACAGATTGGGAATGCGGGCCCGCAAATGTCAAAGCATGCCACTTGCTCGGACGTTACCTCCCATGTCCCTGTTACAAGGCGCTCATGCACAAGCATGTGAGTCTGTGGGGAGCCGCGCGAAAGGAGGACAAGGTCGCAGAACGGGAACCCGTGACAGGGCGGAATCTGCGAGCAGAAGGACAGTGCAAGAGATGTCAGGCCAGTGCCACTGGATGCTGGTATGTGGGCGCAATCCCTGCTACGCGCTCTGGTAGGCCATGTTTAGAGTAAGCGAAAGGTTGGGGGCCTACGGACACGGCGCCATTCGTCGGCAGAGATTCTGCAAAGGGAGAACACGACTGCGATTCGCCAAAACCCGGTCTCTCGTCACAGAGCGAGGGCGGAGCGGAACAGAAAAGGACTCTCGCTCGGAGGTCCAGCTGTGCCACACCGGGCTAGTCTCGCAATGGTGAAGCGCAGGACATGGCGAGTTCTGCGCGTCTTCAGCCTCGGACGCTGTTTTCAGACGGACCAACAAGGGAGCCTGAGACTCGTTGAGCCCGGCTGTCTTGACGGTGCTCGTAGAGGAAAGTAAGCATCAAGTAGTGCGAAGCCGCTCGTGCCCTGACAGGTCGAGTGCGGTCTGAAAGCGGAAGGCAAGTGACAGCAGCCAGGCGTCGCAAACTAAGACAGCCGACGGAACGGCCGCTTTGTCCAGGCCCACGGCACTCGCAGCCAGTGCGGGCACGATGGCCACACGTGATGTCGGGTGGGGCCAAGTATTTTTGGAGGACCACCGCTCCAGCAGCCACGTGACATGTGCCCCGTCGCCGATCTGACGCCAGCCGCTAAGACTGGGGTTCGCTCTCCTCGTCCGCCATCAGCATCATCTCCGGAACATGTATCATGCCGGCCTCGCATGCTCACGCCTTGCCATCCAGCACCGGAACATGCTGCCGGCGGGCACAGTCAGCATGGCTACACGGCCACAAAGAACACCACTACCGCACCTCAGTCATCGCAAATCTCCGCGGCTAGGCTGCTGTTCATCCAACCTGTTTCTGAGGGAGCCTGCGATGTAACTGCCTGTTTCATCTCCGCTAAAACATCATGCACTCGAAACGTGTAGTCTACCGCCTGATAGCTTTGGTACCTCTTTGACGCTGCCACGATGGACTCTCGCATCGGCGCGTTTCGCAACACACAACCCACTCAGCGCACATCCACATGTTCATGGGGCGTTGTATCGCGTCATCCAATGCGTTTCGGTCCACGAGCGGGAGTCTAAAACAAGCACCATCAGGTGTGAAGGGCACAGGCATTACAGTCAGCAATACTCCCTCCGGTCCGAGTCATCACTGAATGCACAAGCCTTATACGAACTGGGGCACGAGGCCATTCTTACGTGCGTTTCGACATCTCTGGCGAGAAGTCCGAAGGATCAATAACATGGTCTGCCACCCGACCAGGTTTAAGTACAAGCGAGTGTCGGTGCTGTGGTAAGCCTTGTAGCACAACCGAATCGTAAAGAGAAAGGCAATCTCTATGAATACGAATCGGTACTTGGAGACATACTGCGCCTCTCCGTTGGTCCTCGCAATGTCCATCGACTACTGCGATTGTCGACGGCGCTCAGACTCGATCGCATCTTCTCTCTTCTACCAAGCGTCCTTTCTCAACTGCAGCTCCTCATTTTTGCAGTCCGACATTGTTACAGATTTCTCCTACCTGCATCTCTTGCGCAATGTGCGAGTAAGTCGTGGAGAGATTCAATGCATGGCCATGGCAGATCGCCTGCAGAAACTCGTCAACTTTTCCGTACGAGTACAATTCTCACTACACTGACGCCTACGACAGACAACGTTCCATATCTGGATACTCGCGATACAAATTTACGAGCGGTAAGAACATCTCCTTTCCAGCCTTGCCTCCACCAGCTTCGGCCTCCGCCTGTTCTTTCGCCCAGAACCACATCTGTGACCACGGAATCCACTCCCACCTCGCGCACTTTTCAGGCTCGAGCGCCTTCGATGATGATCAGCGTTACTGGAACTGATGAGCAAAGAGGTATACGTACCTTTGGCACCTTCTCCTCACCAACGATATTACACGTCACAAATATGGTCACATAGTGTTTGCCCTCCCCGAACACATCATTTGTCGCGATGAGAAATTTGACATTGCCAACTTCCAAGCCGGTTTCTTCTAGCGCTTCGCGCTTCGCGCACTCCGCGAATGATTCGCCGTACTCCAGGTGGCCTCCGGGGCATTGCATAGTGCCTAATCACGATTAGCACCATCTTAAACGCCGGAATCGCCTCCCAAATCAAAGAACACATACCAGCGCCATGCGAGCCCGCTCGCTCACCCATGACGATATTACCAGCGCCATCGTGAATTACAACGCCAACGCCGATCTTCGGTCTCTGGGCTTCTGCCATGACTGTAATATTGAAGCGTATTCGTTTGAACCTAAAATGATACAATGAATGATGGCGCTGAAGTAGGTTTGCTTCCCTTCGCTGGTGCACACTTGAAGTGTAAATCAGCACAACCGGCTCTTGGATTAGGCGCGCTAGCGCAATGAAGGGCTAGCGCGACGAAGCGTGGCGAATCCACACTGGTGCACGTCCACTCCTTCTCGTAATTCGACTTCATCTCTGCCTCATCCAATGAGCGACTGGATCTTTGAGCGTTGCATCTTGGTTCGCGAGTTTTTATGGTGGCTTTCTCATGCTTTATGAAAGCACGCCATGTACCTTTGTAGGCTCCTATCATATTCGAATCATTTCCTATACACTCGATCGCAGGGAAAGGCCGGAGGACCCACCTTTAGTCGATTACCTTATTGTCATTTCGAGGCTTTAATGAGGCTTTTCGCGGGCGGAGGGTGTGAGCGACACATGGTTTTATGAAAAGATGATTATGAATAGATCTATCGAACAATCTTATTCTGTAATATTATGTGACTCAATCAGCAACGTTTTGCGGGTCGTAGTCAATTGGAGTGACCAGTACATGCACAATGCCTAATGTCTTAGTATGACCTATTGTGCTCTAGTATTCACAAGGTTCTCAAACCTAGCATCGGACTCACAGACTCATTCACAATATATCCATGATTTATGAACCATGGATAATCTTAGTTCTAATTCTCATAGACCCTGATACCAAGTGATGTGTACTGTTGATTTTTTCAAAAAGCTACGATCTGATGTGTGCACATCTCAAAGGACCCGCACCGAGCAATCTTCATTTGAGAATCAAAGTTGCGAGCACCACTTCTGTTTGATTTTGTCAGATGTCCCAAGGTCTCTTCGCAGATGAGCATGCACGTGTATCAACTCTGCTCAATGTGTTGTGGTCTGCATTTATGGATAATTTTCGGGCTCCCAGGTAGAGCACTGCGTTTGGGAAAAGACTCAAACTAAAGATTACCATGTGTTCGTCATCATTTAGTTAGTCTAGCTGCTTATAAACAAACGGAACTCACACTGAGTTATAGTTGATCTCAATTTCTTTGACAGAACGGTCTTCTCTGATTTCATGTAGCTAGGCGATGACCGAATGCTTCGCATTCCACATCTTTGCGTCTTTCCTTAGCATGTCCTCTTACAAACCAATGCTATGCTCCAGTTTTGTATGCATAATGCTCTCTTATCAATACTTTTAGTATGGCGGGTTGTGTCCGTACTTCTGGCCCCCATGGTATCCCCAGCTTCCTTCATAGCCCTGGTTCTCCCGATTCCCCCCTTGCGCGTGGCCATACTCGCCACCTTGCTGGTAGCCCTCATCTCGTTGGTAATCCTGGTTGTCTTGGTTGGCTCGGTACCCTTCCTTCGAGGGATAGTCCTTGTGCTGTTGATAGCCTTGATCGCGACCATAGCCGGGGGCTTGACTTGACTGGTATTGCGGCTGCTGCTGTTCGGGTCGAGAGACTTGGTACCGGGAGTGATCACTGGCTCGATACTCTTGATGATACCGAGGTTGTGTGGGAGGATTGGGGTCCTGCTGCTGATGTACCCGACTACCCTGTTGCTCATGGGTCGTAGATCGGTCGTATCCTCCTTGTGAAGAAGGCGCAAACTGCCCGAGCTGTATACCAGCCGTCGGCGCCCCCACGCTGACATTCTCATTTCCAATATCGTCTGGGACGCTGATCTTCACATCAGGCAGATATCGCTGCACCTTCTGCTCTACGATGTCCTGCACGAACACCCAGCTTTCGCGCTCGAATTTGCGATGTCCACCATTGACTACACCTAGGATACTCCCTCGCAGACTCTCTTGCACTTTCCTGACCAAGTCTCGAATCTTATTGAGGAGCGTAGCTTTGATGTCGTCACCAAAGTCACGGTCCGCATATGACCCAGCATCACGATCGAGCCGCTCATCGAATGGGTTGCCACCCAAGATTCTTTCTAGCGGGCGCTGGAATTGATCGGGGAGTAACTCGAACAACTGTTTTTCGATCGCACCAAGGATCTTTCTGAATTCGAGGCGGACCTCGCGATGGACTTTGGCAAGACCGGTACTAAGTTTATTGCTAATGACCCTCGAGAAGCCACCGCCTCGCTCGTCGCCATTATCGCCCTGCGCACGCTCACCGATACCCCTAGATGACTCTTCGCTCGAATGTTTCTTTCCGAATAGGCCGCCGATGCCCTTGACGATATCCATGACCTGGTCTTCGATCTCGGCTTTGGCGCCATCACCCAAGTCGCGGGAACTGGTGTTGCCGCGGAGCCAACGTTTGATGTGTTCAAGCGCAATACGCGTGAACTGCTCCGCGATTGAGCTGTGCTGTTCTCTCAGCTTCGCGCCAATTTTATCCTTGATCTCCGGACTGATGAGGCGGGCCTTCTCCTCCGGGTTGCGGGAAGCCTCTTTGACGGTGTTGCTGATGACGCCAAGGAGTCCGTCGAGCTGGAATCCTGCTCTGCCAGAACTACTGTCCCTGTTGTCATCTAGATGATCTTGCACAGCATCCAACGCCGACGCAAGAAAGCCTCTAGCTTCCGCCCCTCTCGAAGGCTCCATCCCACGAGATTGCACGTCTCCAGAGCCATCGCGGCCTTCGGTCAGGTTGAAGATTTCACGTACATCGTCGCCCGCTTCGTCGGAAATTTTGCCGAAGCTGCGCGTTAACTTGGCGATCTCGTCTGCGAAAGGCAACGACTGGCCGCCATAAGCATCTGGGGCTGCATCTTTCAAGTCACCCCTCCCTCCGTTATCGCCTGAGTCTTTCTTGAACAGCGAACGAAAGGCGTCGATGACCTGGTCCTCTAGACTGTCGATGGTCTTCTGCTGAAACACATCGAGCTCGGCGGTAATGCCTAATGCGCGGGTACAAAGTCAGTGTGACTTAAGACAGCGTGGGTGAACAGCTGGAGCATGTATCGTCCTAGCGAGAAAGAGATCTTTCCTCTGCTAGAAATAAACATCCACTTCGTACCCGGTGGTTTGCTTACGGGGTTGGATATGCGGGGCCAAAGAATCCACGTAATCATCGACTTTCTTATAGACAACTTCCATACTTGAAGATGTAGAGGACTCGTGAGTTCCGTTCACTAGTGGCTGTGCGTGTGTGGCGTCGGTGAAGGATCCGGCACCTGTTGAGTGGTAGAGTGACCGTGGCACACACTCCCATGGTAGCATGACGACATGACACACAGACCACCCTCAATTGCTTGGCAACAAGAAGTCACAACCTTTTGTGTTGCCCCAGGTGTATGATACAGATGAATTCGACCATGTTGTAGGCAATGTACCATAATGGGGCCATGTAGCAGGATCCTGTCCTTCTGCAGCCCTAGGGGAAGAAACCGGATAGTCACGAACGGTTGAACGAGCCAGTATAATATTAGCAATGTATTCGTAAACATCTACATGCAGCTAGCTCAAAAACCAGTGAGCTTGCAAGGTCCGTCTACATGCAAGATAAGAGATCGCAATGTCGTGACGCCATATGCAATCAAATGCCAAAAGAATACGCCTGATATGCGATGCTCACCATTATCACTGTACATATCTTACACATCTTCCCTCTCAACGTTTGCTCAATCGTCGTCTTCTCCGCACTCTTCCTCATCATCTTCACGCTTCTTGTATTCCTTCCTCTTGCGATCACCCTTTTTGGACTTCAAGTCTTTTTCCCAAAGCTTGTTCCCGGCGTCTTTGTCGAGTCCTGGGAAGACGAGGTCGAAGACTTCGTGGTACCATGAGACGGGACGGCCTTCAATGCCTTCTTTGATGTTCTACAGAATTGTTAACGCACGGCTTGGCGTAGCATGTTCGGATATACGTACCTCTGGCAATTCGAGCCAATCTGACATGTTGTCAGCAGGGAAGATGACCGTAGTCGCGCCTGCTCGTCTCGCTGCTACTGTCTTCTCTCTCAAACCACCTATCCTCAAGACTTTGCCCGTCACTGTAAGCTCTCCTGTCATTGCTACCCCTTCGCGGACCTTAGTATTGAGGGCAAGACCTAACAGACTCGTCGCCATAGTTATACCGGCGCTAGGCCCGTCCTTCGGTGTTGCGCCCTCAGGGCAGTGAAGATGGATCTGCGCATGTTCGAAAAACTTGTTCTTGGGAAATTCACGGGCGAGTATGCTCTTCGCAAAAGAGTAAGCCACGATTGTGGACTCCTTCATGACATTCTTAAGAGAACCGGTGCGTTCAAGACCAGGGGACGTGTTGGCGGAAAGAGCCTTTTCCAGGATCGACTCCACGTAGAGCGCGGCACCACCCATGGATGTCCAGGCCAAGCCCATGGCGACACCCGGTGGAGCGACATCGTATAGTCTGTCAGATGTGAAGACCGGCGGTCCGACGTAGTCCTTGAGATTGTCCTTATTGATGGAAACATGCACGCTATCGGGTACTTGGAGCGCAACTCGTGGCTTCTCGGTGGTTTCCTTTCCGATGTTCTCTGGTGTCTCCTTCACGTCGGTCTGATCCTTCTCAGCTTCCTGCTGTGCGGTCTTGCCCTCTTCGGTAAGCGCTTCGGATTCTGGGAAAACCTCTTCGCCAAGATCAGTCACGATCTTCAGAGCTGACTTCCTGTAGACCTTTTCGATCTGTTTCTTGAGATTTCGGACACCGGATTCGCGGCAGTACTTGTTTATCAACTCGACAATGGCCTCCTTCTCCAGATTTACGTCGGCTTCCTTGAGACCGTTGACCTCCTTAGCCTGCGGCGCAAGATAGCGTTCAGCGATAGCAATCTTCTCGTCCGCAACGTATCCGGACAATTCAATCATTTCCATGCGGTCGAGCAATGGGCGGGGAATGGTGTCTGTCATGTTTGCCGTGCATACAAAGAGTACCTTTGACAGATCGACAGGAACATCGAGATAGTGGTCTAAGAAGCTGTTGTTCTGCTCAGGATCAAGAAGCTCAAGCAGTGCCGACGAGGGGTCCCCGTTGTGACCGCGGCCAATCTTGTCGACTTCATCGATCAAGATCAACGGGTTCTCGGTCTGACACTTCTTGAGTGCTTGGATGATACGTCCAGGTAGTGCGCCGACGTACGTCCTTCGGTGTCCCTTTATCTCAGCTACATCCGACAAGCCACCAACACTGAAGCGGTAGTATTGTCTGTTCAGTGCGCGCGCAACGGACTTTCCGATTGAAGTTTTACCAACACCGGGAGGTCCGACCAAGCACAAGATCTTTCCCTCCACTGTACCACGAAGCTTGCCGACAGCGATGAATTCTAGGATGCGGTCCTTGACATCCTTGAGACCGTAGTGATCCTCATCAAGTACCTCTCGGGCGTGCTTGATGCCAAAGTTTTCCGCGCTCCTTTGGCCCCACGGAAGTTGTGTGAGCCAGTCGAGGTAGTTTCGGGTAACATTGAATTCAGAAGCCGCAGGTTCGAGGTGACCAAGCTTGCTGATTTCTTCGTCGAAGACCTTCTTGACTGCTTCAGGCATGGCCAGCTTGCTGGCCTTGTCGTTGAATTTCTCGATAAGCTTGTCCTTCCCGTCAGACTCGATACCCAGCTCGCGCTTGATCCCCTTCATTTGCTCCATGAGCCAGTATTCGCGCTGCTTTTTGGTGATCTTATTTTCTACATCCTTGACAATCTTCGATTGCAGCTCAGCATTCATGAGCTCCTTCTTAAGCACAATCAGGGCCTTGCTCAATCGCTGTTCCACATTCATCTCCTCTAGAGCCTCCTGCAGCTCATGAGAGTCTGCCTGTGCCACGGCAGCGGCGAAATCGGCCAACTTGACGGGATCCTCGCCCACATTCATCGTGGTCTGCACGGAGAACGTGGAGATGTGGTCGCGGAATAACGGGTTGAGAAGCGCGACGGCTTTGAAAGTGTTCACGATCTCGCTGACGAGCGCTGGAATGACCTTGTTGTTCTTGATGTCGAATGGCTCTTCAACAAGGTTTTCGACATTCGCGATACTGACATCCTTGCCCTTTAGGAATGATGTAGCCTCATACTGGTGGGACACTTTCGCAGCGTCCGCGCTGTTCTCCTCAAAGCTTGCTACCACATCGCCCTTTGATTGCTCGCCATCCGGCTCCTTCACTGCCGCCTCTCCTAGTGTGTTCTCAACGACCGAAGCCCGCTCTGCCGAGCCTTCCTGTGGCTTATTCGCACTTGGCGGCTTGAGGTCCGTCATCTTTATTCTGCGGTGCGGGTATAGCACGCACGTCATGGCAAAATTGTCGTCCGGACCGATGGGAAAAGCGCTGGTAACCTGGCAAAATGTGCCGACATCGTACACCTCGCTCGGGTCATCGATAACGTCCTTATCCATTTCATCATCCTTCAACAGGAAGGCACCAATGTATGGCTGCCCACGCTTCACCATCTCGGCGATGGCCTGTCCAACCTCCTTATTTCGTATGGTGATGGCCTTGTAGAAGCCTGGGAACAAAGGTCGTTTTGCGATGGGTATGGCCATGACCTGCGGGTAAACTTCCGGTATTGAGGGCTTCACGAGAGACCGCTCGGGTTGCTTGCGCTTCTTGCCACCCCCTTCGCTTCCTGAGCCTGAGGCATTGTCTCCTGCTGAGGTTCCCTTCGCATCGCTTGCCGTTGGAATCGGATCGGGTGTCTTACTTTTTGCTTCTACATCCTCAGATTCCTCCTGCACTTTGGACTGCTTGTTCTGCTCCTCTTCGTTCTGTTCTTTGGTCTCCTCCTGTGTCTCGGGATGTGTTTTCGGCCTCTGCTCCTTCGGTCTACGTATCGATGTCGAGAAGCTGCGCGACGAAAGTAATGCGGCAGGAGGCGAGGTGTATCTGCGCGAGCATCGAGCAAAGGATGCTGTGCATTGAGCGGGGAGATAGGGCGAGGATGCGCGGGAAGGACCGACCCTCGATGTCGAGCGTGAGGCCTGGCGAAGAGCTGCCCGCCACGGTAGGTGCTGTCCGTGGAGCATCGTCGCGTGTCCGATTGCGGCGCTCGTAATTGCCCCGGACCGGAGTTTGAGGTTTGGAGGACGAGATGAAATGAGCGCCCGCAACGCTCCTCACAATGAAACAGATTCCGAAAACAGAAGAGCGGGCGCAAAGATGCAGGTCGCGCAATGAGTCGTGGCGACGCGATGATGCTTAGCAACCTCGAAATCTTAGCGTCGAAGCGTCATCTAAAGCTCCGATAGCCCCGAGGCCCGTGTTCCGCTGTCCTTCTGCGACCATGACTTTCTTCGTCCTTCCCTCAGTTTGGCCTCATCTAGGACACTTGCAAAGCTAGATCGATCTCCTGTTGCACTTCGTTTTGAACGTAGAGCCTGTCCCGTTGCGATCATGTCCAGAGCTTCCGAGTGCTGGCGAGTCCACATCGACTGACGAGATCTTCTGCGGCAAATACCGGGATATCAAATACGCATAGATTACCAGTGTATCATTGTATGCATGTGCCTTATGAGGAAAAGAACTTGAATAATTTCAATCGTGCTTTTCAACTCAATTCGGACTGTTACAGCTATTTAGCGGGGTCCGTCACCGGTCTTTCAAGAAATCTTCGAACGTCTCTGCTCGTGTGCAGGTCCAAGTATGGTACGGGTGCCATGTCAGTGTAATCAGAGGAACACATGGATGGAAAATTCGTAACAGGCGCGAATACCGCTGAGGACTCTCCTGCAGCCTTCAAGCGTCTGTCTGACATTGACGGCCATGAATGTTCATTTGCGTGGGCCTGTTACAGGGGTATCATGACGTCACCAATTGCGGACATCGAATCAGACCCTCATCAGTGAAGACTGTCTCCTATCGCAAAGCTGATTGTGTTAGAACACATGAAAGGGCAATCCATTGCAGATCGGGCGCCACGTTCACTGTCGTGCGATCCGCAATATGTTAGCTATGATCCGGTTAGGCACGGCTTGCACGTCAGTTCCCACAGAGGAAGCTCCCAAAGAAGGCGGGATACGTGCAACCTTCCAGCCTTCTCCGCGCTGCTCTTCTTGAACGAACTCTTGCCCATACTTTTGCGCGCAGAATGCAATTCTCATTGTCAGTCCTGCTCTCACTCGCCGCGCTGTTGAGCGGTAGCCCCATATACAATGGCGGTAATAAGTGGCAAACAAAACCTCTGACGAACGCAAATGGTGCTGTCACGTCTGGTTTCCGAGGTCTTTCTGTCGTGTCTGACAGCATCATCTGGATATCGGGTACCAACAACTCGGTCTACCGAACCATCGACGGCGGTGCTACTTGGGATGATCTTAGAATCGTACATAAAGAAACCTTCACCAACGAGACAGGTACCTACCCTGTCTTCTTAGACTTTCGCGACATCGAAGCCTTCTCAGCTCGCGTTGCTGTTGCTATGGCGGCTGGCGACGGCAGTTTGAATGAATCGAGTATCTGGCACACGAAAGACGGCGGAAAGCATTGGCTCAAATCCAAAGCACCCAAAAATCCAATCTTTTACGACAGTCTTGCTTGGGAAAACAAGCACCACGGTTTGTTGTTGCAAGATCCTGCCAATGCCACAGATGGCAGCTTGGGTATACTGGAAACCTACGACGGCGGGAACAGCTGGAAAGAGATCAAGGGTACCACGGGTCTCGAAGCCAAAGGCCAGGCAGCCTTCGCCGCAAGTGGCACATGTGTCGCCTTCGTAGCTGGGCGGTGGTACCTCGTTGCAGGGGGTAGCCCTGATCCTTCGCGTGTTTTCCATAGCCGGAACGGACGGAACTGGAAATCCGCGAAGACTAGCCTTGTGGGTGATCCGAACGTTGAGCTCGGATATGCAGGGTACGGGATGAACTCAGTCGCGTTTCGTGACTCCAAAAATGGTATCGTTGTTGGTGGTAGCTTCAGTGATGCGCCTGCGAGCAACGACAATGCGGCATGGAGTCGCGACGGGGGGCTGACTTGGACATCATCAAGTTCTGCACTGCTATATCGCTCAGCTGTATCTTGGCTGCCGGGTAGAGGGAACTTGGCTGTAGCTGCTGGCCAGACGGGTACGAATTTGACACGTGATGGAGGTGTTACCTGGGAAGGTCTGACAGATGAGCAACACAATGAGTTCTTTGCCGTGCAATGTATCAGAGGCGGGATATGCTGGGCATCTGGTCGCAAAGGCGCGATCGGCCGAATTCAAATTTTATAGTATCTTAGTAATTGGACGATAATGGAATCGGTGGCTTCAGGTGAAAGGTATTCAATCGGCCGGATCAGCTCTGTGGTGACTACTCGAACTGACTACTATATGACCCATCCACCACTCTATGCGTGCTTCATAACGCGGGACTTCGTTGGTGCCTTCAGCGCGAGGATCCTCTCAGCAGCCTTCTCTGAAGCAATGATGATAGCCGCAGACGGGTTACCGGTGGTCATTCCCGGGAAGATCGACGCATCAACAACAAACAGGTTATCCGTTCCGTATACTTTGGTATCGAGGTCGACAACAGCAGTGCCACCATTACGGCCATCGTCCGTACCAATTTTGTTGGAGCCAACCCAGTGATTGGAATTGCGAGAAGCTGGGATAGTGGGGATCTGCAAGCCGTCAGTACAGGTTCTACATGAATCTGTAGGTTGCCATACCGAATTGACGAAAGCCGTGGTGTCCTGACCGGCTGTAGGCTTGATCCAGGTCAAACCCTGCACCTTGCTCAAGGCGCTTCGCATGGTGTCAATGCCCTGGATGACGGCTTCCTTATCTGTTGCATTCCTCAGGTAAGGAGCGGTTGCGACTTGAGTATTCAATTGAGGGGTAATGGTCAATCGACCACGAGAAATGGCTCCATTGCCAAGATATTGCGTGATAGTCATCGCCGCTGCGAGAACGTGAGCTTAGCTGATTTGTAGCTATCTGGGAACTGGGCCTATACTTTTAGTGTTCCCCTCAATGCGGGCTTGCCATTGTATATGGCGAACAATTCCGTCCGAAGGTGTGTGCTGGGTCCAGGCCTAGCAATTGGTCAGCGAACAAGATGTTCAATAGAGAATTACACGCGCTTACGATAGGGCCCAGATTCGGCGCGACCTGTGTCAATATGCCTGTTCTGCTCTCTGCATGGCGTGTTAGTTTGTTGCTTCGATTCGCTGGGTGGGAAGCGAACTTAGATAAGCATCTTTATCAGCTGCGACTGGGTTGTTGTATGCAGCATAGAAGTCATAGAAGACGATGTCCGGGTGCGATATCTGGATGTCGGTCTGCACGAATATCAACAATTTTTACCTAAGTAGGCCCAGGCGACTTACACCAACATGGTCATCGAGATTGTAGCCAACAGGGAGATTGATCCATTGGTCTGACGATATCATCGTAGCTCCGTCAGTCGACGAGCTCTTCACGACATTGAGCTGATCGGTTGGGCCAATGCCGCCTAACGTCTTTAGTGGACATTTATAAGCACATTCATTGACTTACTTCTGAACAAAAGCTTCGCGGAACCCATCGTGCCCGCAGAGACGATAACACGACCTGTGCCAGGTGTCACGTTGACTGTTCCTGAATGCCCAGCTCCATTTCTGCACTCCAGCTCAACGCCAGTGGCATGGCCTTTCGTCCGTACCACTCTCCTAGCGTTTGTGTTCGTCCATAGAGTGAACTTGTCGGTACGCGCGGAAGCAGTCTCTAAGTAGGTCCGCAAAGGTCCATGTCTTTCGGCGTGCTCGATGAAGAACGCAGCATGTCCATACGTGAAGTTCTTCTGGTCTGGATAGTCATTTGGCTTGTCGAGTTGCTTGAAACCGGCCGCATCCAAGCCTTTTGATACTCGATCGAAGCCCTGCTGGAGGTATAGCTTGCCATCTGTAGATGGGACAGTCGTCTGCATGTCTTGTTAACCAATCAAAATCCCACATCCACCGCATGTACATACTCCCGGAATCCTCTGGAAGACCTTGTCAGTCGACTTCGCCATGTCGGTGGCCTTCCAGCTATCAGGAAAGTTGCGATCCCAATCACCAGGGTGCGGTTTCCACCACAGTGCACTGTTGACTGCGACTCCTCCGCCCAGAACGCTACATATTATGTCAGAAACACGACTCAAGAAAGTGGTCAATGTTGTCATGTGCTTGAAGACTCACCAGCCTGCCATAACGCCCGTGTCTTCGCAAGCAACACCGTTGCCATCAGCCCAGATTTGATTAAACAGACCTGGTACATCAAAGCGAGTCAAGTTCGTTCCCTGGAGCCATGATGGTTTCATTGTGCCACCGAATTTCCCGCTAGATGGTGGTCCCTTCTCGAGTAGCAACACTGTCTTGCCCGCTTCGCTCAGCCGATCCGCAATTGGAATGCCACCAGCTCCGGACCCAATAACGATGTAATCATACGTTTTGCTTGTGTCCGCTGGAGTACATTGCGCTTGAGTCAATTGAAACAATGTCGCCGCTGCAGCGGCCAGAACGATAGCTCGCGCCATTGTAAATTTCGGATGGAGATTCGACAGATCCACAACCGTGGCTGGTGAAGATATAAGGTTCCTGCACCCCAGATTACAAACCACGGCTCCAGGTATTTGGTGGTGTTGAGCCGATCCTCCGGTGTCTGGAGCCGTGGGGATATTGCGTACGGCATTTAGCCACGCGTGGCATCCTAGCTGTTGCGGCTATATGGTATCAGCTGAGCAGTTCGGCCGTCCATAAGTGGTAGTCAGCCACACCACATCATTAAAAATGTTTAAATAGAATGGCAAGATACCGTGGGTGGCCTCGTCCCCGCAAGACAAGGAGCGACATCTCGTGTCAGTTCATCTAAGTACAATGAACCGGTGCGCAGGGTGAGAAAGTTAGTCGTGATAGCAGCCGGAACTCAAATACAGTCTTGGCTGGTGTTATCTCGAATAGGAGGCCTTTTGCATCTTCAGCAATTGCATAGCCAGCATGGCCTGTGAAGTACTACACATGATCGGGGCTTCGTAAATCGTGAACCTGCCACCCTACATCTGTCGCACTAAGAACCTTAAAAGCGCAACGGATGATGAATCCTGTGATGTCGGGCAGCAAGGTTGCACTGAGAAGTGGAAAAGAAGCGGGTCGTGAAGTGGGCTGAATTAGAATGTGACATGTCAATTGAAGATTTAAGACGGCAGGAAAGAAGCCACTTCTTCCCAGTCACTACCTACTCTTCATCCGCAATTCATAACGATGTTTTATGCGCTTCGAGCCTGTCCACAGCAGTGGGACGGTGCAACATTCCAGATTCAGCGGTTACTGTCGTTCAGCATAAGACCTTTGGCGAGTCTGCCTTGTATGGTGGATTCTCGCATTCGCAAAAGCAACGGCTACTGAACCGGCCAGTATGGGCGAGGGCCTCAAGAAACAGGATCGTTTCGCGACAGTATATCGCCACGCGAATGGACGTTACCAACGCCGTCCAAGAGTTTGATACCGGATCAGCCTTTGCCAAGGTCGCCAGAGATGCACAGATGAGATTCGATGTGCCGCTCCAGCATTGAACCTCGCAGCGAAAGAGGACGGGCGTTGAGATGTTCGAGATGTGCAATTGCGGAGTGGCATGGCCCCTCCCTCGGATCGCGTGTAGATGGGCCTTACTGTGTGCGACATGGAAAGGAGAACGCAACGAAGGCTCCGATGACGGGACTTGATGGGAACGGGTCGGAATTCGGACAACACCTGGGCAAACAGCGACTGTCCATCGACTTCAAGAGCCAGGATGAGTTGGGAGGGGCAGTCGCTGATTGGCTTCAGGATTTGTGGCCAACCGCGGTTTGTAGCCCCATTGGGTGCGCTAATGCACCTAAACGAGCACTTGTGAAGGCGACATGCAGGGCGCGATTACCTGAGAGCCGCCCCTCTAAAAATTAGAAATCGCGACTCTTCGACACTACGTATCTCTTTGCAACCACAGCCTTTCTCTTGTTCGCGCTGCTGCTCGATCGGCTTGAGCCCTTGACGATTGATGACTGCCACGGAGGAGCAGCCTTTGCTCGCCTCCGTTCCGGAAACCCTACAAAATGGCATCAAACATACTCGAGCTATCCTAGACTTTGAGCAAGGCGACGCCGAAAATCCCAGAGAATGGCCCATAGCGTACAAGTGGGCAATGGTGTCTTTGCTCGCATTTACAGCATTCACTGTGTAATTTGGTTTCGATCACGCCTTCATGTCAAAGGCTGATAGATCGCAGAACATTTACATGCATCTCCGTTGTGCCCGTCGCAAGCACCATTGTGGACGAATTATCAAACCACACAGCGAGCCCGTCCGCCAGCGCTCTTCTCGTCACCATCTGGGAGTTAGGTGAAGCTGCGGGCCCTTTGCTCATCGCACCCCTCTCTGAGGTCTACGGAAGGTATCCGGTCATGAACGTATGCAACATACTCTTCATCTCTGCATCCCTCCTAGCTGCTGTCAGTGACAGTACCGCCCTCTTCATTGGTGCCCGAGCTCTGACTGGAGCTGCTGTTGCCTCCAACGTCCTCGGCCCAGCTATCATCGGAGACCTATTCGCATCCGAACAGCGGGGCTCGGCTTTGAGTCTCGTCATGTTGGCGCCTCTCGTCGGCGGCGCTATCGGTCCGGCAGTTGGGGGTGCTATTGCGCAGACCCTCGGGTGGCGTAGTGTGTTGCTCATTGCGACTGGTTTGGCGCTGACGTGCGAGATCGCGTTTGTGACGTGTTTCCGGGAAACGTATAAGATGATCATACTAAAGCGCAAAGTTGCGCACATACAAGAAGAAGCTGGCCACGAAGTCTCTGAAGATACTAAGGATGAGGCCCGGTACAGACTGTGGTATGCAATCACACGCCCATTCACCGTCTTGTTCGGATCTAGTGTGCTTCTCGCACTGTCGCTATTCGGGTCGGTCATGTTCAGTTACTTTTATGTCCTAAGTACTACGCTCCCTGATATTCTCCGACACCGATATGGTTTCACACCCGCTCAGACCGGCTCCTCGTTTCTCTGTTTTAGTAAGGAAAAGCCATTCTATGATTGAAGCTGGACTGACACCTTGTAGGCATCGGCTCGTTTGTCAGTGTCCTTATTTGTAACTCCAGTCTGGATCGCATTTATATTCGTCTTCGAAACAGGAGTTCTGCGGGCAAGGGCTGCCCGGAATATCGCCTTCCGCTGAGCATCGTCGGCGGTCTCCTTCTACCGTTCGCAGTGCTAGCCTTCGGTTGGATCGCGCACTTCCGATTACCCGTTGCGCTGCTATTGCTCTCTGTCGGATTCATGGGCACCACGCTTCTTATGACCATGGTGCCGCTATCAGCATACGTCGTTGATGCATGTGGACTTTACTCCGCTTCAGCATTGACTGGTGTTATCGTATCGAGGTGTCTCATGGGAACCTTCTTGCCATTGACGGCTGGGCCGCTCGCAGATATGCTTGGATATGGATGGAGTTTCACTTTGTTGGGTTTGCTGAGCCTGGCTTTATCACCAATTCCGATTTTGGTGTTCCGGTATGGCGAGAAATGGCGCCAACGATCAGAATTCACGAGGGACGCGTGAACATGGACACCCGACATAGACTCGAAAACAATTTCCCACAAGTTATGCCATCGAAGAGTCCGGAAATCTCAAAGGTATCGTCGTCCTGTAGAAGAGGAATGTCCATACCGGAAATGTGGCTGTGCCCACATGTGACTACGCTCAAGGGGCAAAAGTCAGGTCCCTGATGTTTTCCGGGCTCGCCCCGTCCCTTTAGTTCGTGTAGTTCCTTCCCACTTCTCCTGATGGGGCGGGAAGTTGTCTGCGTCTCAATTTTCTGCAGCACCAATGGCATTAAAACCATCGAGACCCCAGATCTTGTGCCACATGAAGCCATATTCACCTAGCTCTCCGAGGAAACGCCATCGATCTGTCGCACTATGCTGTCTAATGGGTGCGAGCTCTCGTCTTCTGCTTCTGCTTTTAGTAGCATGTTGATCGCATTCATCGGCTCCACGCTCAGTAGTCTTTTCTCGGGATTTTGGATCGACTTCTTCACCGGTTGGTTCTTCTGGTTGTCCTTGATCCGCATCCTGGCTGCAGGTCTATACAAGCTGTGTCTTACTGCCAAAGCCGGGACAAATATGATCGCTGCGGACGAAACCGAATATCAAAATTTCGGGCTGAATATGTAAGGTCTAGCCAGTGCCGCAGGAGGAAATGCATCTTGAGCAGTCGAAGACAAAGAGGCGCGATTTACCCATGAAATGAACATCGTGCAGCAGCATCTCGAAATCAACTATTTCCTGCCGGTGTTGCGCAACTTAAACAACCAGCACCCACCGTAATAGCCTTCAGCTAGTTGGGATAGAACGTGGTCTGCACGCCTATCTCGCGATCTATATGGACCGCCGTGCGTATCATATCTGACGATGGTGCGTTGTTCCATTCGGGCGATGGTCATCCGAGTCTCCGCACTAGGACTCATTTTCGACTGCAAGTAGTGATACGGCGCTGCACTAGCAAGATAATATGAGTCATGGGAATGCGTTGTGTTCGACCCCTGGAACTCGACTGCGTGCCTGCCCTTGGTTGTGAAGCTCTCGCCCCCTGGATACGAGGGGCCATGAACACATCCAATCTTAGTCTACCCGATCTTCTCCTGCCCCTGAGCCACCACCAGTTAGAGATCCTTTCCGACGATCGACGGTGCTAGGCTTGGGATCATTGTTATAGCCGACGTGTTCATGGACGCATTTGCGGGCATATCTGGCGCCGCGCCTGCGTTTGTCCAATGGCAAAACATCAAGCTCGACGCTTACAAGGCGGAAATTTTTGGCATGGGTCTGGGATAGTTTTGAATCGCGAGGGCGCGAGGTCGTTATAAAAGTTTGCGACAATCGTGCCATGAAGGGAAGCAATTTGATAGTTCGCAGTAGTATGCGAAAGCAAGCTTTTGTGCTGCGATTGTGTTCTGTCTCACGTGCCAATCTTGGGTGGATATCTCTACTTGCAGAGTTCAACCATAGTAGGTCAAATGTTGGTTTTGCTCACCATCTAACTGCCCCATCGACTTCGTACACGGCTCCAGACAGATATCGTGCGTCCTCCGAGAGCAAGAAGATAACCACATCTGCCACGTCTATTGGGGTCCCCCATCTCTCCAGGGCACACCTATCCTCGGTCACTTACGCCTTTCCCATTTTCCCACTATCTCGCCACCAGTTACGATGCCGGAATTGGTAGGCGTGTTGATGTAACCAGGAGCAACACAATTCGTCCAAGTTCCCTTAGGCCCATACTCCAGGGCGACACTCTTCATCATTCCAACGACCCCATGCTTGGTCGTATCTGACGATTATCAATAACGTAATCTCCATCGGGGATATCGTCTTGCTTATGGCAGACGTGAGGCCGACTTACTGTAAATGCCTTGTAATGCTGTCCCTCGTGTTCCGGACATGCTACTCAGTAACGATACTCGAACCTCTCTTCAACTGTTTCAGGCTCTCCCTGGTGATCAGAAAAGCGCCCTTTATGTTGACTTCTATTTGTTTGTTGAAGTACTCCAGGCTGGTATCTTCGAACGGAGTATTAGCTGGGTTGATGCCTTCGCAGGTAATAACATGGTCTAGCCTTTCGAAAATATCAACTACCGCAGCAATAAAAGATTCGACTTGGTCTTCAGAGCTAACATCGATTTTGTTTGCGTCAATACTAGTGTCCAACCCAGGAGCTTTGAAGCTACGCCCGACAAAACGGAATCGTTCATATCGCAGAGAGCAAGCGAGGCTCCAGATGCGGCCAATTTGAGTGTACTTGCTCGACTTGGTGAATATTAGCAAGTATTTAATTGAGACAATCGTTATAGAAAAGGCTGCGTACCCAATGTCACTGGCAGCCACCGTGATCAAGACCACCTAACCCTAGAATTTCCCGCTCATTGCTAGTAGCTGATTCCGTTGCTGTTACTTGGGTTTCGTCTTTCAAGTGTGATTCAAGGTCCCTGTATTCGCCCGAACGATAGGTTCTCGGGCTGTCTATCTATTTGGGATTATCTAGGCAAAGGCCCCATGGACAGCCAGAAGGGAGCATTACCCCACGACCAATCCACATAAACATCCATGTTGTTCATATTCGCCATTAATCCTCGCCAAGAATACCCAAGCTCGCTTCAACATTCCTGTTGGAAAGATGGTGCACGGTGGAAGTCGCATCTGCCTGGGGTAAGCAGTTTTGGTGGGACACTTCCGAAGGCGGCAAGGAAGAACGAGACGGCCAGATTGGCCAGGCTATTCTGCTCACTTCTGACTCTACCTCTCGCCTATTGCCGTGTCACAACAGCTTTAATGGCACACTCTCTCAGTAATCGTTAATTCGGAATGTTCTGTTTTCCGTTCCGTAGTGTTACTTGCGACATGAGAACTTAGAAGGCGACTGCTCCCAAACTTCTTTAAGACTCACGGAATGGTGAAAGATTTTGCGTTCCTCATGCAACAATCTACAACGCTTTGATCTAATAAAGTAAATTGACACAGCCAGCTTTCCTCGAAGTGCCCTCTCGACAATTCTTCATCATCCATAATGACAAACACAGTTGAAAGACCGTATGTACAAGCTTGGTGAGTTTGACCACCCAGTTGCAAGCCTGTTACTGACAGACCAGCCCCGTGGGAGGTGGCACGTTCTTTTCGCAAGTCCCCACGCCGCACTATATCTGTAACCTTGTTATCGTTTGCGAGAAGACCGCGCCGACTCCTACGGTGCTGGGATAGCTCTTAGGGCGCGTGACTTGCAGAACGTTGGTATGGTATTGCGTCTTCCGTCATTTATGCACGACTCATTTAGACGTCCTCGAAGCAGTCCACTACTACAGCATAAAAGGCCCCATTCCTCATACTCTCGTAGACCGCACTGGTCATGCTCCCCATAGTCTTGTATTTCACTTTGCTACCCAGTCTCGTCCCATCGTCCCTCTCAGCATTACGGAAATATTCGTTTCCCACAAATGGCACCTCCAATTTCCTTCTCACAAAGTTGTAACATCGTTTACTGGCCTTGCCCAGGATTGGCGTTGCATCTGGATTTGCAAGATAACGTGTGCGTACTGCAGCGTAAGTGGCACACGCCTCATGGACGCAGTCGGCGTTCCACTGCTGTACAGCTTCTAAAGAGCGGGTGTTCGCCGGCAAATAGCGAAGGAAGATGGTTTGCAAGTAGTCGAGTGCTGACGAGAAGCGTGGGCGAGAGTCGAGATGTGTGGTCGTGTTGATGCGTTCGGACAGTGTGATCCAAAGCTCATATGCTATTTCGGCCCCATGCCCATCGCTGGATGGCGTGGTGGGTTCCGTACACTCACTGAGGCATCGACGCGTGAGGAACTTGAATTTCGGAGCCAAAGCGTAAAGAAATTGCATGTGCAGTGCTCTCAGATCAAGGGCTTGGCATAGAGCAACTAGATGTGAGGCCGCCAGTTGCGCGAGGATGTCCAATGCGGTAAGGGTATATCGGGCTGAGATAAGAGCGAGGGAATTTATAGCCTGGAAACCCATCTCTGCGAATTGTACGTTGGATCCCACCGGATTGGCTAAGAAGCCTAATTCACTCTGTAGACTGGCAGCCAGGGTATCGGTCCCTTTGAAGAGACCAGATTGGCTAGGCTCGTCGACCACAAGGTATGGTGCGAGGCCTTTGCTCGTTGTGGGGTTAATGATTTCGGTGCATTGCGCGAACATAATCTGTCCCATACTCTGACATCCTTGGCGTATTTTCTCCATTGCGGAAGTTAATGACTTCGCCATGAAGTTCGCTCCGTGGATCATCTTGCCTGATGGATCTATCAAAGGTGTATCGGTTGCAGAGTTGATTTCTATCAGGATCTGCGAATGTGCAAGCTGGAGGTCTTCGAGGCAGGGACCTATCCACTGTGGAGCAGCTCTGACGGGATATTTGTCCGACCGTGCCATGAATTCGTCTTTGGCTGAATCCCAGATGATCAACTTCGATCCTTCAACAAAAGATCGCAGGTTCGTTGCGCACTCGGACTGTCCTCGATGTGGACGAAGCTCAGACAACAGAGGGTGGAAACACATATCGGCAGTACACAGTGACTCTGCGGCTATGGCCGTCAGGACCTGGACAGTTGCGGCAAGGCAGATCGCTTCGTGCACTGCAAGTGAGCTTACACCTGCGGATGTGGATGTCCCGACCAGCAACGCCAGGCCCTCTTTCGCACGTACTTCGACCGGCTCAATCTCTGCATATGTCAGGGCTTCATCAGCAGGGACCAATCTACGTCCGCCTTGGATACGGTCCCCAATCCAGGCTTGTACAGAAGGTTTACCAGCAAGTACACTTCCGACATACGATTGCTGTCCCATATCTCCGACGCCAGATATTGATCCTCGCAGTGGGACTCTCGGAACCACATCCATATTCAGGAGTTGCGTAAGCTTGTCCAGTAGAAGAGGCCGCACGCCAACACTTGGGTACGCCAACATATTCGCTCGAATCAGCATTTGAGCCCTTACCCACGATTCGGGCATGGTAGTGCTTTCAATAGGATCAAGTAGCGGAATCGCCGATGAGAATGCGCGAGTGGCATTCATTATGTCGATTTCCGTCTCGCCGGATAGAATACCGAAATGGCTATCACGTATCATGTCTCGCTGTACGTGTTCAATTGCTGAGACTCGGATAGGGGAAGCGCCATCATAACTCAAAGGTCTGAACGAGCCTGTTATCGTCAGCAAGCACCACATCTGGGAAGGGCTTGTAAATACCTGACATCGTTTCACCCTCTATCAATTCGCCATATTTCTTTTCAGTATGCCTCCGTATCGTCTCCGACGTCTCCTCGCTGATTCCCACATCCTGTCCGTATCTAATGACAGCTCAGCACTGCTTCAGTTCTACTTATCATGCGGACGTACCTAGCACAGGCGACCACGGAAGCAACACTAAGGCTGCGTCCGTCGATGACGATCTCCTCGTCCTGCGAGCGAAGCTTCTCGCGCAGGTCGCGCCAGTGCGAAACCAGCAAGCGGCTGAACTCTCCAGCCGCCATACTCTATGGTTTTCCCAAGTCCCAATCAGGACTTCGTCTTACGCTCACCGCAAAGTCAGTGGCATGTGCACATGCGTCACGTTAGGAAAGCAGACAGCAGAAAAGAGCCCAAATATCGACAGAGGTGAGCCTTCTTTCATCGACTCAGACCCCGGTTTCGTGGAGTCACAAAATTCCTTCGTACCCCTGCAGATCGCCCAAAGTGCCGCCTCGCGCGGTATCGCCCCCAAGGTTCCTACACAAGAGGAGGTGTAGCAGGATTGCGTGTTAGCACGAATTATGTATGGCGTTTCCCACGTGGTAAAATTTGCAGATAAAATACAAAGAAGCCAATGAAACTGCGTTCAAATGTATCAGAGGATGAAGCAGTGCTGCACGAATAATTTAACCGGTTCGCACCGTCTAGATTGGGGTTAGAGCCGACCAAACGCTGCTCCATATAGGTCAGTGGGTCCGGCCCAGCTTTGGGCCTGAACCAGCCTTGATGAACCGCTTCGTATCTCGATGCGTTTCGATGCGGCATGTATAATCACAACGTGGTAGAGTGGTGGCTCCTTACTCAATACGGGTATGGGAAGCGCAGAGGGCGAATCAGCGTAGTTCGAACTCGGCTTTAATTCGACACGTTTGAATCAACGTGGTACTTCCGCATGAGTCATGGGCACCCACAATCTGCATGCTATAATTTGGCAACGTCTTTTACACTGGGTCTTGAGTACAGTGCCCCTCTTTTGACCATGTCGATCCACCTTTCAGATAGCTCTGTCACATTATTCCTACTCTTCCCGGTATCAAGTTTCGCCCAAATATTCTTCTCCACTGTCCATCGCATCGTTTCCTTTGCCAGCCAGTCCGATATCTTCCTTGTAGTCCTCTGCGGGGACTCGAAGCAAAGAAATGGGGCGTGTTATCAATGACCTTCATTTCAACGCCGCCATCCTTCGCTCCACTATTACCACATCTGCCGGTACCTGTCAGTTCGGAAGGTCTTTTGTGTTCTCGCAGTATTGATGTACGAATATTTTCCGTGCAGGTATAGCGTTCTGGGACGAAGCTGTGGAAGCGCGTGAAATGTTTGCAGACCGTCGCCTCGAGCAAATGTCTCTAGGCCTACGCCTTCGAAGGGTAAGAGGTCTGGATTGATGAGACGCTTCCGATATCTAGCTTCGATTGTCGTTGTGTCTTCCGGTACAGGGTGGAAAGTTGGATCGGACGAACGACCAGGCTTCTTGAGCTTTTGGGGTGGTCAAGTGAACGCTACCGTTGTCTGCATGTTCCAAGCCGTAAGAGAGGAAAGTCTTCACCACGCGGAGATCGAATGATTTGAACAGTGGGTGTTTTTTAAACCCAGCGCCAGCGTTCTCACGCGAGTCCCATGGCTCGCGCCGTACAGATGAGGCCAAAGCAACATTTGCCCACGGTGGATGCGAATCTACAATGACAGGATCGATGAAAACGAGCGAATGGAAAAGACGTGGATGAATCAATGCCAGATTGGCACTGCGGCAAGTCAACGGACCAACTCCAACCTGGGATGAGCAGAACTTACATGCGAGCACATCCCATACTATGCCCAATGCCTACAAAAGGTGGCTTCATCCTTGCCCCGAAGGTATTTACCATCAACAACAGATCGCGTGAATGATTTATCCAGCAGGAATTCATCACCGAGGATCTCCGCGTTCCTAGCGTAACTCGTACCCTGATGCGCATATTCAGCCGTGCATACCGATCGCACTCGGTAGCCTTTCCCGGTTTCTAAAATCTCGTCCCACAAAGCTTCGTAGCATTCCCTCTGACATCAGCTGGAAGAACATGGCTCATATTGCGTAGCATACTTTAGGAAACCCGTTTCCATGGCTCGCTATCATAGATACTATGTTCTCCGACAGCGTGATGTCGCGTGGGCGATATTCCTTGACCGCAAGAAAGAGATCGGCATTGTCCCGCTTGACCGCGTTCGGGTATTCGCGAATCAACTGGCAGGGGGACCAATGCTCGGTAAAGTTGAACTTTTTGGCAGACATTATACGCTATACATAGCCTTGGAACGTGATGACATTTGAAGATGAGATAGGGTAAAGACTCAGCTTGTCTTAGATCATGCTCCCATCCGTCACCAACCGGCATAAGCCCTCAGCTGAAAGCCGCTAAGACGTCATACACGGCCCTCTGATCATCGATTATTGTTGCCGCTGCCATTCACACTGGATTTGCTGCAGAACGATTGTTATGAAGACCGATTTGGTACGTGAATTTTGTGCTGCCTACGGTAGCAGTTGGTGAATATGCAACACAATTTGACCTTCGATTCTATGTAAAATATCCGGTAGACTAAGTCTTGGTAGCAGCAGATGAGGGTCTGAAAGCCTTGCTTACCCGGCAACTGTCCCATACGTCTACTCAATATTTATATCTCAATTCCAAATTCTCCCGGTCAGTCAAGTCGCTGAACTCAATATCCGGCCGATGCTGAACTTGTGCTTTATCACGCCTCTTGTTCTCCCACCTGTAGTAGCCAAGCAGAATTATAACAGCAACGACCACAGTCGAGTCCACGGCAACGATGGTGATCTTCGCAGGTGTGAACTCTGGTGCATCCTCATCACGAAACGTAAGCGGGCCAAGGATGTTTCCAAGACAAAAGGACATGAGGAGAATGGCATTCATGGTAACCTTCTTGGTGTGGCCCTAATGCACGATTAGAATAGAAGAACGTTTTCGCAGGAACAAATTCGCTTACTGCAAAGTTACAAGCCGCAAATGAATAGGAAAGTGGGAGGAAGGCACCGGTAACATGCGTGAAGTAGTTGCCCACCAATCTCCCGGCGCGGTCGCTGGTAGGTAGAAACGCAATCAGCCCTCCGCCCAAGATGCCGCCCCATGCAGTCCAGACGATTTGCATAACGCCGCGACTGTTGTACCGCGCTGCAACCTGTGTACCAATAATGACGCTTACGACGGCGATGAATCCTCCAGGTATCTGAAGCAGCGCCGTAACCTTATTGCTGAAGCCGAACGACTTGATGAGCACGCTCTGGAACGACCCTACAGCGCCGTTAGGGATACTTGCAGCTGTCGTGATATACGCCAACAGCCAGACCTGAGGGTCGCGCAGCGTCTCGACGAATTGGTAAAACTTGAAGTGCTTGTTCTCAATGCCTGTATTGTTCTCACGGAGACGCTCGACAGCCATGACTCTCTCGGCGTGCGACAGCCGACTTGACATGGGGTTGTCTGGCAGAAAGAGGATGACGACGCCACCAGCAGCAACGGTGACTACGCCGACAACCAGGAACATGATCTGCCAGTTGTTGAAGCGTGCTCCCTCGTAATGTTGAAAGCCATACGAGATCAGAGAGCCAGCCATGACTGCGCATCCGACGCCGATGTACCAAAACCCTACTCGCTTCGGTTGCTCATGACTACAATGTAGGCGTTAGTTTAGGAGGAAGTCTACTATGTAATGCGATAACGTACCGCTTGTACCACATTGATGTGATGAGGATGAGCGAGGGACTGATGGCGGACTCAAACATGCCCAGCAAGAATCGACAGGCCGCGAGCGAAGCGTATGAATTACACGCCGCAGTGCAAGCGACTACAGCGCCCCAAAGGCAAACCATGGTGCCAAGATACTTTGCAAGCGGAAGCCGTTGCATTAAGAACGCATGAGGCATCTCAAAAATGAGGAAGGCCAAGTAGAAGAGCCACGAGAGCGTGCCATATTGTTCAGTTGTTATGTTTGCGTCTTCGAAGATACCCATTACAGCTGCGTAGTTCACTATGAATGGTTAGTTTGCCATAGCCGATTTGTTGGTGTACACTTACGTAGAGACTTATCAAGATATTGCAGAAAGTAGCAGGCAAACATGATGGGTACGATCATCCAATCGATGCGCGTCACCAGCTTCTTCTCGTCGACCACATGGCGCTCATCACCCGTCTCGTTGTACTTGAGGAACTCGAGTGCTTTGTCCACATTCTTGTATGCGGCCTTCTCCGAGCCCAAGTCGTCTACATCCGATGTTTGCCTGTTCTGCTGAATCTCGTCTCTACCCATGGCGTGCGTTGGTCGAGCTCTTTCACACCTGAAACGGATGCAATTGGAGTGCAACTGTCGACAGAACAGGAGATGAACCGTCTCCTCTTAAAGACGGCCGTCTTCGGCATTATTTTTGTGGCCCGACAAACAAACACCAGAAGACTCGTCATTGATAATGAGGACTGCTGATTCCTGTTCATCGTCATTGTCATTGCTGCTTTAGGAAGGTCGCCTAAGGAAAGGGTTACTGGAGCAGCAAGGCGGGAAGCTGCTGCGCGCGGATTGGTGTTCATCGTTGGGGTAATGGACGACGGTTGCGATTGCCGGTGCGGGGGACAAGATAGCTTATCGCCTCTCAAGGCGGACGGCAAACGCTTGACGAAGAAAGTACAGACTTGTAAGATGGGGGAAGCACTCTGATGCATTTGGTTGACCCAGGATTCGAGAGTGCTTTCGGCTCGGTTCTGCAGGACGAATGCTCGGTTCAGCCTGGGATGACCCGTGACGCCCAGCCAAGCAACATGACTTCTTGCGCACTGTTGCTGATTAGCCGTATTCTGGGATTGTGAAATCTGATAAGACGCAATACAGACAAGCATTCGCTTCTGCACGTATAAGTCGACATTTGCAGCTCGCTCAAGGCCAGCTCGATCCAACATGTCACGGTTGATGAAAAGGCAGGATTGGTGGAATCATGCACGGCACATTGCGACGCGGAAACCACCAATGTGCACGAGTACTTCACGTACCATGCATCTCGACTCCGGTCTGCAATCTGTCTGACATGGCGGCAATTGCAGAGCGTGCTTGTGTTTGCCAGTCGCCGGTGGGGCAATCGCGTTGTAATGGGTTGCAGCCTGCAGCCACGATTTGATGCATGTATCGGTGTGAAGATGCTGCCAGCGGCGGATGCGTACCTAATCGGATGGTCGGCTTACTCCTCGGCACAAGTCCTTCACCTCACACCTCCCTCTCCTCGGCGCCCGCCACTTTGGGTTGTTCTGACTCCTCGACATCAGTTGCAGCCACTCGTCTCGCTTGTCGGCATCAGACTGCGACCGACAAAAAGTCGGTGACGGTTGCAGCTTGCGCGGTTAGTGCGCCTCGCGCAGGACCGAGTCACCCAACTTCGGAACATCAGGCAGCACTGTGAACCATCAACGTCGAATGCCAGAATGATCAGTAACCTGGACACGAAAGACGCCTCAGACCTCGGTGCGTAAAGTGATGCCGGATGTGAAGCGCTGCATGGCTGCGGACAAGACGTAGCCACAGCAGCCACACGTTGTCCGCCAACCGATACCACGATACCACACCGTGCATGTGAGCCCCGACAAGGTCCGCTGCGATGCGTAGGCGACCTGGAAGGACTATCAAGTACGCTGACTACACTGCTGCACAATTGACTAACCGAACGGTGCTCGTGGCAGCCCATGACGGCTGGGGCCAGCATCAGCCAATGGTTTATCAAAGCCCCGAAGAGGTTTAGCCTGCGCCTTCACGCATGCCCCTGTCCGCCGTGTACACTAGTCCAACGCTGCCGGCCACTCCAAGTCAAGAATAACAACACTAAAAGGCTTGTTTGCTCCAGCGCCCAGACCTCCGGACTGGCATGCTACAAGAAATAGTTAGACACCGCGCCATTATGCCGCCCGCAGATGAGCCCTGCACGTATTCGCCAGGGTCCGTTGTCGTTGTGCAACCCCTGTTCTGCGCGCGCCCTTCACTTCAGCAGCTCGACAGCGTAATTCCGAGCGTTGTAGTACTACCCTTCTATAAGACCCTCAGCCTGCCCTCGATGCTGTAAGCTCATCTCTACCACATAAGCACCACCAAACCGATCCACGCCCCTTCCACCACCATCTCGACCATCCTGTTGTGCGAACATTTTCCTAGCTCACCAACAGGCAGCTTCAGCCTCGTCAAGTACAATCGCCATTGCGCGTCGTCGTGGTTCCGATTTGTTTCTCACATCACCTCGCATCCCAGCAATGGATTCCCACTCTTTTGATGCCTGGTGGTCGCAAGGCAACTATACCATGCCCCCCCAGCAGACGGCCATGTTCGAGATGCCACCGGATCTGTCCAAAGTTCCCAGTCTTAGCGGATCGCCTGTGAGTATCTCAACAACGAGTGCCCAGTTCAAGTCTCACGGATCCAAGGTCTCTTCTACTTATGATCAATTCCCTAGCGCGCTCCCACAAGAGTACTATCCTCAGATTGCCGGCGAAACGATGCATTTCGGAAACTACCAGATTCCCATGACACCGCCAGAGTTCGGTTCAGATCACGACAGCCCATACTGCAGTCCACGGCCGCCTCCACATGTTGAGCCAGTTTTCTCACACGGCCAAATGTCACAGCAAATATCTCAACTACCCGTCCCTACAGAACGACAACACACTACTTCAGGGGTAAGTCGCCTGTGCATTGGTTTGAGCTCCGTGCTGATAGTATACAGAGGAGGCGAGCCCAGAATCGAGCGGCACAACGCGCATTCAGAGAGCGAAAGGAAAAGCACGCTCGAGACTTGGAGGATCAATTAGCTGTCCTGAACGAGAAGTACAATAAGCTGGAGACGTCACATACAGATCTCAATGCCGCTTACGAAAAGCTTCGAAAAACTATCGAGCTGCTCACTCAAGACGACGGTGCCGGCGACGACGACGACGACGAGAGCAAACTGTCCAGACGAAGAAGCAGCAACTCAGAGACGCTTCGAAAACTTCTGGAGATAATACACGGCGACTTCAAGGGAATCGGAGTGAAAAGCGAGAAACCTTAGGTTGGGTTGCACATGTTTGTTTTGCTTGTCTATTATCTACGTTTTAGCCTGGCGCTTTAGGCGTTATGGAGTCTCGAGTATGTTCGTTTCCTCATCTTTTATCATTCAGCGTGGAAAGGGGATGTGGGAAGCTGAAACTTTGCTCCCTTCGAACGGCAACGGTTGCCAATGAACGCTGGCATAGAATCAACCGTTCAGCTTGGATACGACGACCTACGAACTAGATTCACGAGCTCACAACTGTACACCTGAATATTTCCCACTGCCCGGGAATAAGGACTCAATTCCTAGCCGAGTCCAGCCCAGCTGACGGCTATCAGCTCAGACCGGTTCTCACGCACAGACTGACGAGTCAGGCCTGGTACCTTGAGCACCCTTCCCAACGCATAAGAGGGGCCGTCTAGCCTTCCGGGATAGCATCAGCGACGGCGGCGGGGATCCAATGAGACTACCTGCCACATGGCCTCAGGGTGTCGGAGCCCCAAGCCGTTACCGCATACTGCGATCTGGCACGGTGGCTGACCCTTGTTTCTGGTTGATTTCCCGCGCGTCGATCGCAGAAGGATCATCGAGGGATACGAGAGTCTTTGATATGAGTGGCTATTAGTTGATGTTTCCCTGCAGGCAAACAGAAGACGGCCAACTGCATCTGGAACATTGCCTACTGTGTACCCTGTCAGGAATTGTCTAATTACGACGGTCCGTTATCGTAGCAGCATAGTCTCCGCTGCTATTTGTAGCTAATCATCGGATAGGGCCCATTTTCTCGGCAGATTGACGTGCATTAGTGAAGTGAAAAGACAGAATACCTAATCAGGCACTGAATGAGGGAGATCCTGGATGCATTAGGACTGACGCCATGTACCTAGTGATCAGTAGAGTGACACGGTACACCGAACACCGGTCCCACGATGGGGTCGGCTACACCCGTCCTGTATACGCTTGGGCATGGATCCCGCAAGTCCCAGTCCCAGCGCCTATTTGTTCTTGATACATCCACCGCTTATGGTTGTACCGTGCTGCACCGAAGCTACCAGGGTACGTGAAGCTTAGCCCTCGTCGCTACTATCCCGGCGATGTTACCCGTCAATATGGCTATCTATTGGGATAGCCGTCGGACGGGGCTAGCACGTGCGTCCAGGAGACAGCCACCAGGTAGATCCCGAGCGCTTCGTCGTAAGATACTGCAAGACACACTGGGGTCGACAATGTGAGGTTTCAGTGGTAGGTTGGAGTAGCGCGCACACGAGGTATGTCTCAGGTAGTGGCTGCATTGGGTAAATTCGACCAGTAGCGGAGGGATGCTGCGAGAGGTGAGGCTACGATTGCGGGCATGCAGAGAAGGCGCATCGAAGGCGCGTGGAAGTTGTCGGGCTTACCCTTGCCACCCTTCCATTGCCCATACCAGATGTCCACACTCCAAATTGTTCGCTCGTATTCACAGCTCACCGCACCTCACCACAGTTCGCTAGCCCGTGATGTCAGTTGGCCAACGCATAAGTACAACCCCGTCCAAAAGCAGCGTTGAACACCGTTTCTATTCCCAGGCCGACACGAATTGACCATCCTAATAGAGTTAGGCAAGATCAAGTGAAGTAGCTCATGTTCGTAATAGTGGAGGCTCAAGCAGGAGGCTTGCGCACTGACCTCCGATTGACGGTTGAAGTAGGCTAAATATAGCCCCCAACGTCTTTAGCGCGGCAGCTGAGGCGTGAGTTCACACAATTGCAAATATTGCATGTGCATATAGCGGATTGGAAAATGCAGTAATAGCGGAGTGTGAAAAGCCTCGCGCCGTGCATAGCACCTCATATTGTTTATTTTGAGACGTTGCGTTGAAGGACCGAAATGCACACTGCAATTGCAACTGCAACTTCAGCAGCCACAATTCTGGCGCTTGCAGTTGTAGATGCGACCACGGACCTCCAGCATGGACCTGCGTCTGCGCAAACGATGCGTGTGGAGAAGACCGACGTTGTCGGTGTGCTGTGCGGCGTGGGGTCCTTGTCCTCCGTGTCACATATCAGCACCTTAACGCAGAGCCGCATGGCAAAAATAGCCTACGCCCATAGCATACCGCCTCCTCGGGAAATGAGGTGTCTGGAGGACGACGGACGGTCGGTGCGTGTTGCGTCATGCTACTCGCGCGTATGCATGTTTCTGGAGGACCTGTGTAAGATGGGAAGGACGGAGTGGGGGCTGATACACCCAACGGAGATTCGATGTGTAGCAGATTGAGTCCTGCAATCTTGCGAATTTGGGGCCATGAGATTGAAAACGACGATGACCGCCCGCGCGACTGACATTCTCTGTACGCTGTCCAGGCATACAATAGCAATTATATTGGCAGCGTGACCGATGATTCCCGCAGTGAAAACGAGCAATAGCCTGGTGGAGGACACCAAGGCGCCAAGCGAGGTAATGTCAAGGCTGTTCATTCATTTCAAGAACAAGTATGCTAACCGTCTGAATAGTCATTAGTCGTGACCCGACATTGTCGACGCCGTTCCCATGTCATTTTCATCGTACATTACCCCTCGGCACCGCGTCCCTGTCACACTCAACCATCTGTTCCGAAGAATGTCCGCATGCGCACTGCATGTCGTCGTCTCCCCAGGCTTTCCGGTTCTCTATCAACGCGACAACCTCTGACGTGAATCTGTTGATGTTGGGACCCAGTTTTCTCAATGCGTTTTAGCATGCAATGTTCCGCGCATAGGCGCTCGTTCCCTGTCCCTCGGGTGCTTCCTCCAGATCCGCCTCCGTCAACGCCCTCGTATAGAAGACGCACGCAGTCTCCAGCTGGCCGCCCGCGCCTCCAGCAGGCACTGGAACATTCTCTGCCCAGAAAGCGCCCTTGCATTCCGACGAAGTGCCGTATCCGTAGCACTGCTGAAGACATTGTTCCGCCAGTTGTGTGGTATTCGAAGAGGGTGATGGGTAGTATGCAGCGTAGAGCTCGACGGATCGCGCCGACGCAGCCGGAAGGAAGTCAGAGGGTGCTGAGGGGAGTCTGCTCGTATGGGTCGCTAAGCTTGCAGGTACTAGGTATAGGTTTTACTGCAGGGCCACCAGCCCGTTCTAGGAGACTCGTTGGGAGGGCCGATGTGAGAGTCGCGAAGGCGGCGAGGAGGCTTCTTGAGAGAAGCATGACGATAGACTGAGATGAGGTGGAGCGATGGCGGGGGATGACTCGAATTATTTGTCGACAAGTACTGTGTATATCGGGCAGGTTATAGGAGCCTCTCGTGCGGAGGAAGCGCTAGATAAATACGTCGTCTGTTGGTGGCTGGCAGCTGCAAATCAATAGATCCTACTTCAGGCCCCCGGAAGGGCACGGTCTGCCTATACACAGTATGCATCGTATGCCTTTCCCAATGTCGCACGGCCTATTGCACGAGCTATGTCATTGCCCCATTCAGGAGATATACTGGCCCTCGTGCGACACGCGAGCAACGTCGATTCGTCCCAGCGGCGGTGCGATGATGTTGGGTGCAGGGAAGCCAAAGGGTCGGGCGGCGATCATCGCTGATGCACCGCCGCATTTCGTCACCGGCAAGGTCAGAGGGAGGGGCACGCTGGTCATTGGCCAGAAGCGGGGGGCTGGTGGCCTCAGATAGATACAAGCATCACGTGGATGCTGGGCGCCGGGCAGTCGATCATCGTCAGCGGAAATCCGCGAAGAGCTGACCTTGTTCGCGGTGACCTAGTAATGTTGTGTAATTCGCATCAGCGTGACAATTGCGGATCGGGAACTAAAACACCATATTGAAGTTTCGCGCGTGGGTTTCATTACTGTTCCATCCATACACAATGCGAGGCTCTCTCTACTATGTATCTCATCCCTATAGAGTACCTAGGTATGCTACGCTTGTCATCAACGAAAATCACGTGCTCTAGAGCGGGCGCTAGATGAACAGCTTCGAGCCGTGATACTTGACACCCTCGGCGTAGTCTTTCGCCGCGACAGACTCCGTGCGCTTAGGGAAACCCTTGAACGACCGCGCATACGTAGCCACAGAGTGGGCAATGAGCTATCCTTGTTAACGTCATTGCAAGAGCTGCTGCGAGACGACAAACGTACCTTAGTGTTCACAACCCAAGCAGTGATATTGACGTTGCTCAGATCATCGCAAAGCTGATGATAGCACGGGTCATACCAACCGCCCGCCTTGCCGCCGAATCGCTCCGCCTCTTCCTTCGTCTTAACGCCCTCAGCACCGGTGGCAATACCTCCACCAGGGATACCGTGTCGAATGAACCCATCATAGTCGCTGCGACCATCGAACGGAATAAAAGTGTAGTTGAGTCCTTGCTCTTTGTACCAGTCAATGTACAGATCCCTCAGCTCTTCAGATCCATTGGGGTTCGCCGCGTTAGTCGCGTTGTAGATCTGGTACGCGAAGTTCGGGCTGGCCATCATGTCGTAATCCATGAAAAGGCGGATCTTCTGGTTTTCCTCCTTCGGGAGCGTGGCGACGTAGTAGTCTGAGCCGAGAAGACCTTCCTCTTCGCCTGCCCACCAGCCGAAGCGGACGCAGTTGGATACGTTGAATTTGGTAAGCTGGCTCGCAACTTCTAGCAGGCTGAGAGTGCCAGAGCCGTCATCGTTGATTCCAGGACCTTCAGCAACACTGTCGCTATGCGCGCCAAGCATGACACAGTTGTCCTGGTCCCCAAATGTAGTCTGCGCAATGATGTTGGTCGTTGCGATTTGCTTGACCTCAGCGTCGATGTACGCAATCGCATCAACGTACTCTTTGTTCTTGAGCTTCTTCAGAATTGGTTTCGCGTCCTCGCCACCGATACCGAATGTAGCAATATGCTTAGGCGATGGTGTACCGAGTGTCCCACCGATACCATCTTTGCTTCCTAGATCGTAGACAACCACAGCGGCTGCACCCTTGATGCCTGCGTGCTCGGACTTGGTTCCGAAAGGGCATTTACCGCGTTTCACGAAAGCGATGTTGTTCTTGACGGAAGCCGGGAAATCGCCGAGTTCACAGCCCTCATTCTCGACGTAGATCACGGTGCCGTGCACAGGTTGCCTATTCTTCGTAGGTGGCGTAAGGCCAAACGGCGATGCAGACTTCGGCACCTCGTCGCCCAGAACAAGGCGGGACTCAAAGACATTTCCAGAGACAGCAGGGAACGACTGATTCGAGATGTCATAATAGTGCCCTAGAGCGAGAATGGTCTCGTAGATATACGAGAGGGTGCCATCATGTCCTAAAACGTCAAATTAGGCAGGCATCGTAACGGGTCACGTGGAATATGCATACCGGCGCTGCCAATCACCCGCGTAGGATGATTATACTCATCCTCACCCAACTTTGCAATCTCATATAGTTTCCTCGCACGTGCGTATAATTTGTTACCGCTGATTAGGTCCTGCAGCGCCGAAGAGCTGACCTGCGGTTTCTCTCCGTGATAATCATCGTCACTAGCAGGCTCGACGGGCGCTTGCTTCTCCGAAAGAAATAAAGGAATCTGAAGTGCTGAGGCGCCCGCGGCGAGGACACTCAATGTTGAGATGGATGCTCGCATATTCGATGATGATGGAAGGAAGCAAGCAACAAAGATGGACTGGGGAGGCTGGGGGCTGGGGCTGATGACTCCTAGTGGAGCGTCGTGGTTGGCTGAAACGTTAGCCTGGATCGGCTCGGGCGTAGGATCAACGCCACTGAGATAAGGCGTCACGATATCACTACCAGAAAGCGTTCACAAATGCCTATATCACAAGACTGATGGCACTCCCAAGGTCCACGGGTTGACACACCACGCATGACTAGACATCCACGGTCTTGGCACCAGACACGGTTCCGACACGATTATCGCGACGTAGCAGCAGCATACGAATCATATGACCCACTCAGACACCGCTCGCCATACGGTCCAGAGAGAACACAGGAAACAAAACCCAAAGCTTGTTGCAATTCTCGAAGCCCAATACACTATAACATTTTTATTCCCATACAGACATTTGAATCGCTCAAGAACCACTTTTTATGCCCATGCAAATGACCAGCCATACAAAAAGCCCAAAATCGAATTGGGAAACTCAAGACCGATTCTGTCACTCCAATCCTAATACACCTCCTTATCCACAGGAACCACGTATCCTAGTAGCCCAAGTTCGCGCGCCGAAGTTCATACTCAACCAAAGGCGGCGGTGGGCCCTGGCCGCGCGAGATGACGTTGGAGTTGCGGCGAGCATCCACATAGGTGATGTTGTGCGTTACAGGGTCCTAGTTCGGACACCAGGGGGTGGCTGCTGGTCTCCGGTGTACCTAGGTACCGTGAGTTGCCTTGAGGCACGTTACGTACACTGAAGGGCGGAATCTTCTCGCAGCGAGAGGTGTGGCCAGGGGCGAAGGTGTTAGTGAAGCGTGTATTAACTTGGAGAATGTTGTGGAAGCTGGCTGGCGGTATGTCTTCACGGCGAGAGGTGCAATATGAGGGCCAAACAGGGAGCGCAGACTCGCTCACCGTTTTCACCCTCACAGCGTATCCTGAGTGACCTTGATATCCCTTCCTTTCTAGAAAATCTCCTGAGATAGATTGGGCACTTGGTATGTTTCGGTTGCTCCGTCGAGTTCGTCTAGTCAACGATACACTTCTTACCAAAGATGTAGCGGCATTCATCCAGGAGTACGGGGCCGTTGATATTGCCGAAGGAGCTTCCTTCTTCGGAGAACTGAATAGATGGCGCATGGTGCGATGATCGCGAAGGAAGATAGTTCTGCTGGGTAGAGACATCTTAATTCAAGTCGAGAAAAAGGTGGTCCTTATAGACCATTAGCTGACGCGCTGAAAAATCTTTCAGATGTGATATCGTTGGAGCTGCTAACAAAGAGAAGTCTGTTGTTGAAAATGAAGAATGCCGACCTTTTTTTCAATTTAAGTTAAGGTTATATTCTCTGAATTAACAGTGTAAGATGAAAGCTAGCTTATATATCCTCCTCTCTCTTCAGTGCCTGCTCTACTATGTCCTTCGCTCTGCTGTACTCGCTTTTACTACTTTAAAAGATTTTGCAACAATACGGCCCTATTGCATAGATACAAGCGTGTACTGTAGCTTTGTAGCATACCTTAGGCAGCTCGTGTACAGGTGACAGAATTGGACCTGAGACGCATGGCGATAGCTCGACAAAGAAGGGTGATACGTACGAGAAGGAAAGCCAGGTATATGAGGACAGACAGACACAATAAACAAAATCCAATTCGATCCGACAATGCAACTCCGAAGGCCCGTCCCCTTCCCCCAAGAAGCCTAGAAGGCGGGTATCACGAACGACTAAAACTACTACGAACTCCAGAGATCCGTCCACTCTAAGTGGATGACCCAGATAAACACTATCTATCGCACCAGAGCAGACAGCAGGCTCGATGTCAAAACGCCTCGATCGACAACGGTACACAATATCAGCGCGCAGGCGTCTCAGGCACCTCCCATAAATCCTTCGGCTCGTCCTTTAGTTCAGGTTTGGGCACAGGTACAGCACCATTTACATGCGACGGTGCGAACGGGATCGGTCCGCTCGCAGTAAACACGGGGAGGCTTTGTCGCGTGCCTGTTGGGGACCGTGGACGGGCGGGATTCGTCACCGCAGACACATTAGCAGATGCTGGAGCAGGCGTGGCAGTGCTCGGAGGAAGCCACTGCAGAGCAACCTGGCTGTGCATCTCTGAGAGCGGCTGAGCAGCCCCAAAGGTTTGTTTGCTGTAGTTGACGAACTGAGGCATACTCGAAGGAGGAGGGGGTGGAGGCGTGTCTGGACGAGGCAATGAGGTGGTGAGAGGAATGAGTTCTGCTTCCACAAAAGGTGGGACCGGCAATTGCTCCGGGGTAATGCTCATCTCCATGAGCTCAGTCGGGGGATCAAGCACGCCACTGGATTGACGAGGAGATTTAAAGGAGTTCTCCTGGCGAACATCCGCCGCACTCGGTTGCTCAGTCACGGCTAAGGTTGCCCCTAAAGCAATTGGGTCTGGCTGCTCTGGTGACGTAATAGATGCCGCTTCAACTCTTGGTGTTTGCTGTACAGCAACGGGAACAGGAACAGGAACCTCAGCTTCGTCCACGGCAGACGTAGGTTTGGTGACCTTGGGTGGCCGACCTGGTCCCTTCTTCACAGCAGGCTTCGTCGTCTTTGAAGCAGGTGCTTTTCGCGTAGTCTTCGCTTTCTTTTCTACTTCTTTAGCTTTCTCCCTCGCATCGTACTGGTCCTTTGAAGGCATGTTCAGTTTGACACGTTGAATCCGAGAGGTGAGCTGGTCGATGTCATTCTCTTTCTCCTTCTCACATGAAGCAGCCGTTTTACCCATGTAATTGGACGGTACACGAGGGACAGGGGGCCGGCTCTTAGGGATTCGAGCTACTGCTGCTGTGCTCGGAGCTCTAGCCTTCTTTACCGGTACAGCAGCGGTTCTCGGGCCAGGAATGAAGCTGCGTCCGTTGGGAAGAACACCGGAAGCGCGGCTAGCACTTCGACTCTCACTTCGACTCTCACTTCGGCTCTCACTTCGGCTCTCACTTCGGCTCTCATTTCGGCTCTCCATAGTCGATCCAACGCTGGAGGCGACGCTCATGCGCCGAGGGGTGGTGCGCTGCTTGGGTTCAGGCTCGGTGCTCGCTAGAGGGAAATCGGCGATTGTCTGGCGGCGGCTTGCTCTAGACGCGGGGCGCATAGACTCATCATCTGATCCGTTGTCGGCGTACGATGTGACGGGCTTCCTTCCACGCAGCTGACGACCAGAGGGATCCACATGAACAGCAGTCAACACAGGTGCGGGCTTCTCTTTCTTGACCTTTGGCTCAGACAGCTCCTCCAATTTGAAACTCCTGGTCTGTCTGTCCGAAGGTATGAGCAACTTACTCAGAGCGTGGGCTGCGGTGGCCCAGTCAACCTCAGGCGGAGGTGGTGGCGGAGCTACTCATCGTCAGTGTTCGTTCCAGGTATTGCACATACTGATCTATTGATGACTTACCTGGAGACGCTGAGCGCGAGGGGGTGTACCTTCCTGACAAGCTACGTTGCAGTTTGGATGGATCCACAACCTTAGCAGTGAATGACTGCGTCGGCGATGAGAAGTGAGCCGCAGGCCCCGTTCGCACCTTTTTTGGTATGACGTTCGGAGGCGCTATCACCAGATTCTCGAGCTCCGAAAGGGACGTTTCGTGCCACCAAAGAGGATCGTAGGTGAGCGGGGTCAACCCAGGTTCCGCGGAACTCATGAGCATATCTTTATGCACACCTGTCCCAATCACCTGCTGGTGCATATTGAGGGCGAGGCTAGAAATAGGAGCATCCGCAAACACCTGACCGTCGCAAAGTCCACTGAGGTGGCTCAGGACCCCACTTGATAGCGCACGATCACTGTAACCACCCTCCAGTACAGAGATGACGCGCCCATCTACACCAGCGTCCAACTCTTCTGCGAGGCGAACCACATCCCGTGTGAACCGAGCGTAGAATTCTGTGGGAACATTAACCGCATGTCGTTGCATACCGCCGGTCTCATGTTCGCTCGCGTCAAAGCCAGCAGATAAGAAAATGGCAGCTTTCGGCGCAGGATGGTTCGGAGATTTGCGCAAACGCTTGGTGTGGTGTACGAGGTACTTTCGTGCCTTCCCTAGAAGCAACAAGTATTTCTCTTCGTATATCTGCCAAAACTCTTCTACCGTCGACCATGTCTCTAGGTGTATATTCCAGATAGATTGCCCGTGGGCATTGTCTATACAGAGACTCGCGGCCTGCACCTTGCCGTCGTCTCCATCTTCGCAAGGAAACGAGTTGATGTCGTGTAGGCTGAAATAGCCGATCGAAGTCTTCTTCCAGTTGGCCACGTTCTTGTGCATTCCTTGAACCCTCTTGTTTCGATCCCACGTTATATCCTGCGAGCCGTCTCCGTGATGAAGGTCGAAATCGATGATGGCCGCATGGGTTAGCCCGTAGTTCATCATGGCGTGCTCGATCCCAATGTGTACGTTGTTTAGCCAACAGAACCCTGACGGCCACTCAGCAGAGCAATGGTGACCAGGTGGGCGGATGCAGACGAAAGCGCGCGACACGCCGTTGTCCAAGCTAGATCCCTGGAACACCGCATCCACAGCATCCAACACACCGCCTAGCGCCCCTTGTAATGCGTTCAGCGATTCCGGGGAAAGGTAAAGATCCATGGGGTGGAAGGCATCCTTCGGTGGCTGCCCTGGCATTGTTGGCGGATCCCGCGCAAGCTCCTTCCCTGTTGATGCCAGCTTCTGACCAGCGTTCTCGCACAGCCTGTTCAGCTCTTCCATCCATTTTGTTCCGTGTACGTTCGTCACGACTTGCGACTCCAGCCCGACCATCCGCGATGTCTTGCGTATCTTGAAGGGTATTCGCTCCGGGACATTCTGATCTGGGCGCGGAGGATTGCTGCCCTCCATATGTCGCTCTCCTAGACGTACATAAGCGGTCGCTATGCCGCGCACACTTGCCAGCATGCGCTCCGGCCTCTCCATAATCGTAGCGAGGGTTCCTTTGGTGGTCTTCGGGCGCGCGTAACGGTGGCCGTAACATTGGTCATGTATAATCACGATGGTGCCTGCATTTGCGGAACCTGCCATACCTTCATGTCGTGCTAACTCTTTCTTGAAGCATTCTTCAGCAATATCACACGCGCGGAGCGGTGGTTTCTGCTCATGCTGGGCGAGCGGGGATGGAGGCACGTTTGGGTTCGGGGCGAAAGAACCGCGGCGAGAGTTTGGGAGAACAGGACTGGAGGCGGCACCGTTCCGTAGGGAGAGGTTCGACGTTCTCCTAGGCATTTTCAGTTCAGTCGGCTTGAGTGCATGCTAGGGTAACACACCTGCCCAGCGCGGGCGATTCTGAGCGGCGCTGGCTCATAACGCTGGACGGTCGACTCGGCGGTGAGGGTCTTGTTGGTGTAGCCACGGATCGACTCTGCGGTAGGGGTATGTTGACAGCCGTCGAGTGCAGCGACATGCGCTTGAGCGATTGTGAAAGCAGCGTCGCGTCGGCGTTGTTTGTTGACGCGCGGTAACGCGGTGGACTGGCTGGGCTCACAGACCGGTCGGGGATGTTTTCCATGATGGGAAGCTGCGTTCGCCGGGAACGCGACAATCTGTTTGCAGAGAATCAACTTCTAGGGAACCTTTTGTTTTGGGATTAAAAGGCGCGCAATGACGGCGTGAAAGTTGCCCGCGTCACCCCGAAACAGGACGCGGCAACAGGCTCGCTTAAGGTTGCTAGCATCGCCGATTGTATAGGGCTGATCCACCCGCATTGGTGACGACTCAGTGACTACGAGGGACCAGGCCAACGTGAAAAAAATTAGCTGAGTGAAACAGCTGCAATAGTACAGTCTTGCGCGGGCAGGAACGTCACTTTGGGATGGAACTCGACTAAGAATTACTGACACTCAAGATGGAAGATTTCTCGTGATACCCTGCGCTCTATTGTACGTACCCTGAGAAACATCGCATATTCAGAAATCCAACTGCTGTTCTTTCCTCCCTGTCTTATGCCATATCGGCAGGCAGGGCTGCATGCTGGACAGTTGTAGCAGCCTTTCGCGTTTCAAAGGCCGGGATTTTATGGCTCTCCCCACTCTCCTTCTCGCTAGAGACGCCACCATCCTCCACTGCCTTCGCTTTCCGGCTGCTGCTGCTGTTGTTGTTGTTGTTGTCCCAAAGCTTCGAGTCCACTGACAGATATCTTCGAATCTCGTCTTCCTCTGGTTTCTTCCCCGTATTCTTTTTCTCCTTTCCTGCTCGAGCAGTGTCTCTCTTTCTTCTATTGATGAGAGCACTCGGCGGTCCACAGATGTTCGGCGAAAGCGTAGCAGCTGAATTAAGACGCTGTCGCGTGTCCCTCTCGAACTCACTCTCCGCAGACACCCAGCTTGCCAATCGCTTGTCTGTCACTGTAGCCAGCATAGCAATATCTTCTCTCATACCCTCACAGTCCGATGACCTCGGATATGTCATCAGCATTGCGGTCAGAAGTTGTGTGTGCTCGACCAACTCGGCAAGCTTCAGCTTGCGATCGAATATATGATCTTCAGAAATACCTGTACTCGGAGTGCTCGGTATCACTTCGTCCGACAGTCGAGATGGAGTCGCAGGTCGTTCTGTAAACGAGGATATCTTGACCTTTTTCCCAGGTTGCTCATCTGCGTCTTCATATTCGGAGCTCGAAGTCTCGTCAGGATCATCGGAAAGTCGACGTTTGCGTGAACGCGGCCGCGAGTGATCAAGGACGAGTTGTACTGCACGCTTTCGAAGATGCTCTTCGTTCAAGACTGGGAATATCGGATGACCGTGTATCGGGGTATGGTATGAGGTGGTATGTGCCCTGTAGTCGTGAGGAAAACTCTGATATCGCATCTGTAAGGGTTTTGCATACGGTTGACCAACCACACCTTCGTTCACCTGCCCATACTCATTCACGTAAGTTGGATGCATGTGCAGATTGGGAGCTAGTCTTTTTGACTTTGATCTGCCTGCAGAAACCTCTGCACTGAGTTTTGCGCAACCGATTGCAAAACCTGGTGGTGCAGGCGCATCTTTCATGTCGACATAGTGCCTGTAAATATCATGGCTTTGGTGGCCGGACACCTTTCCGGAAAGAATCTCAGCTCCATTTGGTGTGTAAAGGGTTGGTGGTAAGCTTGGTCTCGATGGCCTGTATTGCAAGGGAAATGGGGTGTAATAGTTGGCAGATCGGTTCGCGAAACTGTGTGGAGAATGCGGAGATGGCAGCGCATCCACATCGATAGGATCGTTGACGTTTCCGGGTTTGATAGCAAGGAGAGGGACACCGCGCCTGCTAGTCAAGGGCATATTCGCAGCGTCGTGAATCGGGCTCCCCTCTATGTGCCCCGTAGCTACATCTGCCAGTTGGCGGGACGGCCGAGAGGCACCCATAACAGGAGGAAACGCCGAAAGTTCGGGCTGTAGGTTCTTCTGCTCCTTGGCTGTATATTCTTTTCGCGGCGCTTCATTGTTGATTCGCGTACTCTCATGCTTCGTCGTTGGCTTACCACTGGGACAAGATCTTCTAGGAGCAGTAGTCTCTGGTGTTGGTTTTGTAGGCATGCTTCGCAGTTCGAGGCTGAGTTTCGTAGGCGGTAGTTTGTTTGGTGGCGCAGGATTTCCAATCGCCTGCTCCGACCTCGGTGAGGACGTAGTTTTAGTCTGCGGCTCACTGTCCTTCGGCGTCACGGTCGCCCGACTGTCCTCGACACCCCTGCCGCTCTTCGTGGGCGACATCATCATCCGACTCTTTCTCGAGCTGTGTCACAACACGGTGGAGCTGTGCTCTGGCGTTGCTCAGTGAAGCGAACCGTCGTGCAACATACAGTGTAACGCCAGTGAGCAGTACGGGCAAAGTGAGTTGCAGACAAGTGGCCCCTTGGAAGAGACTGTAATATACAGCAAAGGGGTATTGGGAATAGATGAAGTAGCGAAGTGTTTTTGATGTTGTGTTCGCGTCGACTAGTCACATATTGAGGAAGGAGCGAGGTGAGTGACCGCAAAGGGAAGTCGCGACCTAGCAACCAAAATTGACAAGTCCTCGCGTTACATGTGCACAAACAAACGCAGAGCACAATTTGATGGGCGCGTGCTCGAATCATCATTTCGCAATTAGCAAGGATCCTGTTGCCTCCAAAAAGTTACAGCAAGAAGTGCGTTCCATCTTATATGGGGCATCGAATATCGCGCTTAACAATCGCTCCATCCATGTTACAAAATACTTAGTATCAAACAGACAGTCTCAACGATCCTGATCAAAGTCATCTGACTTCCAGAAACGCTCTCACGCAAGTCATCTCACGGATATCATCCTTCAAAATCAGTACGCAAATCCAGAATCAACGACGCCTTGTGGCTGACTTACCGCTTCATTGACCACGCGATCAATTGCTCCCTCGTCCCACGCATATCCAAACCACAGTAACACACCAGCATCCCTCATGCATCTTATCTCTTCCTCTCTTCCTTCGACCCCGGGCCTCTCCGATCTCAATGTTTCCCAGAACAGTCTTCTCAGCGTGTCACTTTGCTTGTGATATCTCCACACTGGCTTCTCGCATTCTCCACGTACAGATGATACCATTTCAAGACGTCCAAGCAAGTGTTCAAGTCCGTAAAAGCACGTCCCAAAGGGTAGCATCTCGGCCTCAGCCCAGTCTACCAAACCAGTGATCACCAATGAAGTGTCGTCGACGAGGATATTGCTGGGGATTAGATCCCCATGATTCAGCACAACGGGATAATTTTCGATAGCGAGCAATTGTGCAAGCGTGTCTCTCACTCTTGCCCTCAACTCTTCATCTGGTAGATTCGCTGCAAGCTTCCTCAGCTTGGGCACAATTTCTCGTCCAACCTTGCTCCTGCAATGCTGTTCGAGCCACAAGCCTTCAGTGGGTGTGTCCGCGCGTACGTGCCTACGTAGGTCAGTCGAAGAACAGGAGATGGCCAGAAATGCGTACTTTGAAGATGCTTTGTCCGCAGAAGCAGGCCATGCCCTCGCGATGACTCTGGCAAAGCTCTCTACAAGCCTGACATGCTTTTCCCATGAACTCCGTTCCATATCTACCTTCGAAAGCGGGACGCCCACCAGCCTCCCCATCTCTACAGCCCTCAATCGCCCAGGAAGCTCGCATTTGAGCGTTTTGACCTCGGGCGCGGTCCTTCCGTACGTCTTACGCGCCGCATCGGCGACGCTGATGTCAAGCGCATGCTGCTCCGGCCGTATCTGCACAATGTAGTCTCCATTCTTCCCACACAGGTTGATACGAGGCGACACGACGAGCGTGAAAGAGCAATATCCCTGGTCTTCGATCTCCTCGACGCTATGCTCCGGATATGATCGTTGAATAGCTCTGATGCAAACATGGCGATCCTCCTCTCGTAAGCCCATACGCGACCAGAAGCTTGTTGATGGATTTGGACTCATCATCTGTACTCAGCATCACATTAAAATGAATGACGCAGTCGCGCTCGAGGAAAAAGGACCTGGGCAAGTCCGGGCCAGCTGTTGACAGCGGCGATGGGCTCGCGCGCGAATGGCATCCCACATCTGTCAGCTGCTCGGCAGGCGGCCCCGGGGCAGCATTGACGGATGCATCAAGACGAACGGGAGGGACGGTCTCGATCTCCATTCGCGGAAGGCCCGCACGTGGGAGACGCCAGGCCCGGGGGTAGCGCAAGTGTGGGGTACATCGACATACGAGCACCTTGACCCCAAAAACAAACACTCTGCTCGGGTCTCAGCGTTGAATTAGTGACTAGCACTACGAGCGTCCATCGCCTCTCGATTTTCTAGGTCTAGGATAAGGTAAAGTGTAAGTAAGACAACGCTGTGTACCAGCCAACATTGATCCAGAAGTCCGCCCATGCCGCCGCTATGCAAGGAAAAGCAATGTATAGTGTGCGATCTGTTCCGCATGCCGTGTAATCTGGTCGAACCATCTGGATGTCTGTCTCCGAGTGAGTAAGTGTCGACATCCCTCTTTCGTAGACCCAAGTTCTACAGCTCCTTCTTCAAGAAGTGTTCAGGCGCATGGTCCGTTTCGTAATCAACGTGCACATAGGCGCGTTCCACATCCGGCAGGCTCTCCAACTTGGTTTGTAGTGCCTCGGCGACATCATGCGTGCTTTGAAGCGTCTCCTGGGGGTCCATGACAATATCGACCTCGACGATCAGCCGGGGTCCAGAGTGGTAAGCGCGGACCGTGTCGATTTGCTTGATGAAGGGCGAGTGTGTCATCGCTATTGTGGTGTTAGATGGAGCAAGTAATGGCGTAGACGATAGAGCTTACAGATATAAGTGATGAGCTGAAGAGTAGGCGTATCCGCCGTTACTCCAATAAGCAGCTGGAATTCAGAATATGCCGTCCTGGACCAGAGGAAGATGATCAGGGACGATAGAACCATGGCACCAGCGGGATCCAACCACCAAGCAAGCTTCGAGCCACCGACACTCGTAAGCACACCAAAGCCGTTTATGAACAAATCATTCCTATGGTCCTCCCACAGAATACGCACTTGACTGTAGTTGTTCCGCAGCGCCCAGCAATACAGGAATAGCGAGAACTTCGTTCCAAATGCAATGCACACGGCGATGACGGAGGGTAGGTAGAAGTCGTTGATATCGCCGCTCTTGTGCGTTGCGATCTCGCGGATCGACTCGACGATGATGACGACGGAGACGGTAATCATCATGAAGCAAAAGAAGATGTTGCCGGCATTCTCGATGCGCGCTTTGCCACTGGGGAACTTGCGGCCGTCTACGCGCTTGACCGCACGAGCCGACAAGATGAGCGTCAGGTTGGACAGCGGGTCGAAGAGCGAGTCTGCCATGGTGGTGAATAGCGACAACGACTTGGATGAGGCGGCGGCGTAGAGCTGCAGGGCTGCCAGAATGATGTTCGCGGCAAAGCTGCCCACGACAGCGATTCTGTACTGGACATGGTTGGCGCCTTCCTCCTCCTTTGCGTCGCGCACATGGTCGTCGACGGGCTTGAGCAGTCGCTCAATGTTCTCGTTTTGCTTCTCGTAGAACTGCTCGATCTTTCTCGCGCGCTGAGCATTCTTGTTCAGCGTAATTGGCCCGAAGCCATCGCGCTTCCGCGACGTATTGGCGCGAATCTGGGCCAGCTCTTCCTCGGGCTTGAGCCCATGGGCAAGGCGGTACGGGTCGTTGTCGGCTGTGTACTGCGGCAGCGACTGTCGCTCGACATCGTGAGGGCCGGCCACATGGCGGGCATGTGTGTCGTCGGAGGCTTCGACAGGCTTCGAGGTCTCGACGGCAGTGCTAGCACCATCGGACTTGCCCACGGGCGTGCTGCTGGCAGGCGGCGGCGCGGGGTATGGGCTAGAGCCGCGCGACGAGTGTGGCGGGTGCGGATGCGCATGAAACGGAGACGGTTTGAGCGAGATGGCCCTGTGCAGATCCGGCTCGCTGGACATTGTTTGGCGGCGCAAGTGACGCTGGAAATCAGATGTAGCTGCCGGGGCGCAGAATAGATTTATGTGAAGCTGTGAGACGCGGCTGCTGCGGAGAGCAGGCGGCAATTGCTGTACCAAGCTTCGATGCAGGTGCGGCGCAGATGCCGCCGCTTGACAAGTCTGAACAAGTGCCCGCCGCCGAGGCCAACCCGCGTTGAACCCCGACTCATTCTTCTAGCTTGCTGTTGTTCTCATGAAGCTCCACGTCACCTTGTTTGCTCGATCGCGATGTTCGTTGAAATTGCTATGCTTGCCCGAGGGAACCAGAGATACTGTAGACAGCAATGTGAATACCGGCGTGCATCACATAGAACCGATCCAAGAAGGGTCGTCACGGAAGGAACAGCGGGTCTTCTTGGGACCCGGAAAAGTGGAGAAGAAATCTTGGAATGCTAACTTTGTGTATCAAACCGTCTTTAGCCCAGTCGTGCTGCCTGCTTTGCGAACGGGGCATGGTGAAAGTGATGAAAGCACAATGTTCTCCGTCGAACGTCTACAATCGACCCGCCCGTGGACATTGGTATCGCAGGTGATCATCCGTTCCACCACATTTGAGTTCGACCAGACAACGATTGCTTGAGCTGTCGGCTTATAGACATAAGACAGAAGGGACACAAAAGTTGCATATTCGCCTGTAAAGAAATTCTATCACCAACAAAGCGGGTAAAGCACCAAAACAGATCTCGCATTTCATCGCAGGAGCTTTAAGTGAGCAGCTTCAGCCTCCCCCAATATCAAGCTAAAATTCTACTCTCGCCGAATGCGACTCTGGTCCACTTTAAGTCGTCGCATTCCCTATTTCCTGATCAGAGAAGACGTCTCTTTCCAGCATACCTATAGCGTTCACTATGTGTCCAATTCTAAGCAGCTTACCCGTGTACATTGTACGACCACACCACAGCCGGGCTCCTCTTCATGTGCCGCCTTTCTTCACGATGTCAAGCTTCCCTGGTCACTGATAAAACTATCCAGCATCGCGATAGGTGGGGCGCCTATCTGCCCCAGGTTTGCGGAGATGCTTATGCGGGGGTGGGGCCACTTACCCTCTACAACACCACGCACAAGCCTCGTGATCCTGGTCATACTGTCTAGGCGAGCTTGCTAACGCAAAGGGGTGGGAGCTGTGGGTAGGGAAATTGTGCCCGGGCGGCAGTTATGCTTGGCTGGCTACCGAAGTGATCTGCGGTTGTTTAAGAGGGGGAGGACCGTGAAGGATCCCGGGGTAGCTTGAGGACTGAGCTTCTTGTACTGTTGCTGGGCGATTGATCATCAAACTGAGAGTAAGTATGGGTCTCGGCGTCCTCGAAGACCACCATCTCCAGCATGTGCCCGGCACCGCGCTGTTGGCAGATGTCGTTGGAGATTCGCACGAGCGTCAATATCACGGTACCTACCCACTTCGCCCACACGTTCCTCGCTTCGAGCCTAACAACTATCAGGTCGCAACACATCTGCCCTCAAGCATGCTAAAGGTCGCAATTCCGACATTGTCCTCGTCCCGCAACCCTCAGAGTCCCCACGCGATCCTTTGCTCTGGCCTCAGTGGAAGAAGGAGCTTTTGCTTCTGATCATCTCGCTCGACACCGCCGTCGTCGGCGCCTGGGGTCCCATGATCTCTCCCGGTTTCGCCATCATGGCCAAGCAGTTCGACATGTCGTACAACTCGCTCAACGGCGGCCTAGGCTGGGCGATCTTCGCCATCGGAATATCGTGCTTCGTGACGAACGGGCTGGCGGTCAAGTACGGACGACGCCCGGTCATTATACTGGGCAATCTGATGCTGTTTATCAGCAGCGTGTGGGCGTACCACGCGCATAGTTATGAGAGCTTGCTTGCGAGTCGCATCTTTGGAGCCATTGGGATGAGTCCGTTTGAAGTGTTGACCACAGCCATCATTGGCGATATATATTATGTGCACGAGAGAGGATTGAGGCTGGCATTCTGGGGGTTGTGCTTGTCTGTCGGTGTGGGAGGAGGGAGTTGCATATCGGGGTATATCATCGACGTGCGTTTCGCCCTTTTCGTATACAAGTTCGAAGGTTGGTTGACTGACTGGCGACAGAACCTCGGCTGGAACTGGACGTACGGGATCTGCGCATGCTTCTATGGCGTATTCATCCTGCTCATCTTCGTTTTCGTACCAGAGACGGTATACAAGCGCGATCCAGCGTACAATCTTGATCTCGGAACGACGGACCACACTGAGCAGATGCTCGATGCTACCGAAGCTCGCGAGGCCAGATCCAACGCGGTAGGAGAAGAGCCGAAAGACGTCTCGCTGCATCAGACAGAGCGCGTAGTGGCCGTTGAACCGATCTATACAGGCGCAGATGAGAAGCCGTATACATTCTGGGAAGAGCTTATCCCAGTCCGTGGCGTAGAAAGCGACGAGAACTTGCTAGCCATCATCTTCCGTCCTTTTGGGATGCTGCTGTTCCCGCAAGTCTTCTATGGCTTCATCACGTATGGGCTGTCCACGTCCTGGTTGGTCGTCATGGGTGGTGTCCTCGCGCAGATCTTCAGTGCGCCGCCGTACAATTTCAGTGTTACTGCGGTTGGCTTGGTCAGCATAGCGCCGCTCGTTGCGTCTCTTCTCAGTTTCGTGGCTGGACCTGCGAACGACTACACCGTCAAGCAGCTAGCGCGGTGGAACGGAGGCATCTATGAGCCGGAATTCAGATTGGCGTTGAACGTGCTGACGCTGGTGCTGGGCGTGACGGGCTTCTTTGTGGGTATCTGGCCCCATCCTCTCGACTCACACTGACCTAACGCAGGGGTTTGGCGCAACATTGCAAGATGGCAGCGGGTCTTGGGGTGGGCCGGTGTTCCTGTACGGCCTAATCTACTTCTCGATGGCCTTTCTGAATGTCGGGTAAGTCTACTGGTGAGCTCCCTCGAGAGCCCGCAACTGACGAGTACAGGATCTACGGATACATTACAGAATGTCACCGCTCAAAGGCTCCAGAGGTATGTCGGATGTGCGAATCCTCACTCGAACGCGCAATGCTAACAATAGCAAGGCCTTCGCTGCGCTCAATCTGAGGAACATCTACTCGTTCGGGATGAACTACTTCATCAGTTCGTGGATCTCCAGCATGGGGCCGTTGCAGGTGTTCTCGACCATTGGCGGTTTGCACATCTTTATCATGTTGCTAACAATCCCAATGTGGGTCTTCGGGAAGAGATGCCGCTCGTTGACGGCACGGGTGCCTTTTTTCAAGGCGATCACGCAGTCAGGATAACACTACGCACGCCAACCACACTCCTTATCTGCAACGCAACAAGGTAGCACACCTAGCTTCTAGAGCATAGCTGTCTACCATGTAGGCTACTTTTTTGGGCGATGCTACTGTCGTTGTGCTGGCTGAAAGAGGCTAACTTTGAATGTGAGTTGAGCATGGATAACGAGTTAGTGAGGCTGTACCTGGGCCCGATGGGGAAAGAGGGTAGGGCGATCTTAGGAAGGGCGACGGCGCGAGAGCTAGCATGCGCCCTGAACGAGTACGGGTCGCTACCTTTCGCAAGCTGTCCAGGGCTCCCGTGCTTTTGATTCGTGCGCCTCCCGATGCTTAACATGGCAAACGTGTCGTGCAATGCCCCGTCGTGGCTTGCGTTGGGGTCGAGGGAACGTGCCCGTCGGATTGCGGTGCGACGAATGTACCGCCGCCACGACGGGGCAAACATGCAGACCTGCCAGGCCCGCACCGCGCACCGCCGTGCCCACCTGCGCTGCGACTGCACGCAAGAGCACACTCGCAGACCAAGACCATCGCATGCCGTGTGTTCACGCGTTTCGTGTTTCTCGGTACGCGGATACGACGGCAGCGGGCGGACCAGCGTCTCCACACCCTGTTGCGGTTAGACCCGCGAGGGCCCTGAGGGCGCTGAGGCTGTGCGAGTGGTGTGGTGCCTGAGAGTCTCCGTCTGATCCTGTCGCCTGTCCTTGTCGTCGCGAGCTGGTGCCGCCTTCTTTCGCCCTGCCCGTCCCACGTCCTCCCAAGGTCATGTCGAGTCGTCGCCGACGCTGCAACCGGCAGCTATAATACCCCCCTTCGAGAATGCCGCGGCCATGGACAGGAAGGCGCTCCTTGTCCCGTGGTAAGTCGCTGCTGTCCGCTGACCACACCTATCCTCGCCGGCTGATCATCGCCAGCGGCCTCGTTCTGGGATCCAGCTACCTGGCTACGAGCATACCCACCACCTTCGCCCTCGACCGACCGCTGCACACCATCGCAGCCGTCCTGCTGCTCTCGGGGCTCGCCATTGTCGCCTATGAGACACGCGCCGCGACGGCACGCCGACCCCACAACCACCTTGAGCGCCATGTCGCCATCCCACTCCAGAACGGCAACGGGCGACCTTCATCCGACGAAGCATGGTCGTCCGAGGAGCGCACCTTCCCCTATCGCGGCCTCAGCCAGCGCGCCCTCGCTGTCATGCTAGCTGCGCTGCTGTGCCTGCTGGGCGCCCGCATCGCCGTCTTCCACGCCGTTCTCAAGGACGTCGAGTGCGCAGGACCACAACTCACGGTAAGAATGCCCTCTTTGCATGCGCGCATTGCACCTTCCTAACGACTCTAGGCATTCCTGCCGCTCGTCCTCGCCCTCTTCCACGCCTATCGCACGCCCAGAGACCGTCCGTTGCCCGTGTGGAGCGCTGACTCATCGTCTGTGACTTATCTCGACCGTTTCGTGCACTTCTTCCTCTACGGAACCACTCGCTACATCCTTCCTTCGCTCCTGCTGGCCATCAGCAGCTTCATCACCACTCTTCGGACCAGCGTGTTGCGCTCGACGTACATATGCCCCGTATCGACCTCCGCCGCTTCCCTTGTTCCGAAACTACAGTCTCTTGGTTTTCTAGTAGACTGCATCGTGGTATTGCTTCTTTATCGTTTGGTAGATGAGGGGCTTTCCCAATCCGAAAGCAACTCACCTGAGCCCAAAGATGGCACCACCGTTCACGGCCTCATTGGCTTCACTTTCATCGTACGTGCCACTTGCACCAGCTTGTTGTACTCGCTGACCCTCCAGGCATCTGCTATACTTCTCGGCATAGCGGGCATAGTCGTCTACACTACACTGCCCGAACACCGCGAATGGCTTTTTTCAGCCCCTCGCGAATACCTACTTGGTCTTCTTCGTTTGTCTTTGATGATACCCCTAACGATGTTATGTTTCCTTGTCTCAGTAAGCATCCTTCTTCCAGCGCGAAGATATCAGCTAACCCCGCAGGCTCGAATGTACGGTGTCATGGGTGCCGTACTCATCGCGGCCTTTTCTTCTGCATTTATCGGCGTTCTACGGGCCCTTGCCATGGGCGTTTCTTGTTCCTTTCCTCCAAAGTCTACAGCCGGTGTCAGCCTCTGCCTTACTCTCCTTACAATTGCTTTGGTACTCCAACTCGTTGCCGACGCTATCGACTCTGGTCAGAACCGACCAAAGATGCCGGTCCGTCTGGGACGCAATCAGACGGTCTCGGTAGTAGCACTCCTAGTCTTCTTTTCCATTGGTGTTGGCGTGTATCGTTACCAACAGCCCGTTGTAGGGCATCCCATCAACACCTTGCTTGCGATAGCCGACGAACAACACCAACGGTGGGCATTCCAAGCCTACCAAAGCAAATCACTAGCGCAAGCAGTTATTCGCTATCAAGAACGGTACTCGCGAGATCCGCCTCCACACTTCGACAAATGGTACGAATTCGCAACAAACCGAGACACCATTGTCATTGACGATTTCGACAACATTGAAGAGGATCTCATCCCATTTTCATCCCTCAAGCCAGCAGAGCTGCGGAAACGTACTGCCGAAATTCTCGCACGCAACCAAGATCTTGGTGGTATCCGGATAAGAGATGGAAAGGCTGAAATCTTCGGCAGTTCCCACTCCGAGCAGAAATGGATGTTGGACGGCATAGTTCGCATGATTGGAAAGTTTGTCGAATTCATCCCGGACATGGATCTTGCTTTCAACCTTAACGATGAACCTCGCGTTGCCGTACCCTACGAACAGTTTCAGGCAGCTCGCATGCATCATTTGCACTACCCTGAGCATACGGCCGCCGACGGAACCATCGACTTCCGTCTAGATCGCGCATCCACTTGGACCGAAATCGCTGGATCACCGCGGGTATTCGATCAAGCCGGAAGAAAGCCGTCATTTCAGACCTATGGCTCTGTCGCCTGCTCACCAGAATCGCGCGCACGAAACGAACGGCGCTGGGATACCGGTGCATTTTGCTCCGCCTGCTCTGCCCCTCATTCAATGGGTGCTTTCGTCGCGAATTGGAGCCTGTCAGCCAGTCCTTGCCATCAACCAGATCTCGCCAATCTACATGGATTTCATTTGAGCCCTGCAGGTCTCTCCGGGACTCACGATCTAGTGCCTATCTTCAGTCAAAGTCGTGCTCCAGGATACGCAGACGTCCGGTATCCTTCGCCTTGGAACTACTTGGACAGGCAAAAGTACGAGTTTGGAGAGAACTACCCAGATCCCAACTTTGCCAAAAAGGAAAACGTCTTATTCTGGCGCGGAGAAACAACAGAAGGAGTCAGTATAGCTGGCTCGTGGAAAGGCATGCTCCAACAGCGCTTTGTTCATCTCATAAACAACGAGACGTCTCGGCAACCTATCTTTCTGCCGACTGGAAGCAAAAATGGCAGGCTAGAGTACGTAATGGAACAACCGGGACAGATCCAAGAGCTACTGGAAACCAAGGTTGATGCACGCTTTGTGGGTGATAATGCCCAGTGCGAAGGTCAGGATTGCATTGACCAAAAGCTCGAGTTCTGGTCGGGCAAGGATGTCGATTTCAGAGACCACTGGCGCTACCGTTACCTGTTCGACACGGATGGTGTGGGTTTCTCAGGTCGCTTCCTCCCTTTCCTTCAATCCAACAGTGTCGTCTTCAAGACAGCGCTTTTCCGCGAATGGCATGAAGGTCGTCTGACCGCTTGGAAACACTTCGTCCCCGTTGACTTCCGTCTTCACGACCTCTTCTCCTCTCTTGCATACTTTGGCGGCTACAGTTTGAGGGAGAAGGGTAAGCGCACAATGGAACCGCGAGACAAACAGGCGGAGGCGATTGCAAGAAACGGCAAAGTCTGGACGGAGAAGGTGTTAAGAAAGGAGGACATGGAGATCTACATGTTCAGGTTACTGCTTGAGTGGGGTCGACTGACGGACGACCGGAGGAAAGACGTTGGGTTTCGTATGGATACCAGAGGGCGCAAAGGAAAGGACGGAAAAGGCAGAATTTAGCTACACCTTATGTATGCATGATCTGGATACTGGTCTACAAAAAAATCTCATCTTGTTTATATCTTCTCAGAACCGAGTCATTCGTCGTGGAGTGACAGAATGTTTGTACTGCAAGCTGAAGTCCAGGTTCAACGATGCTAACGTACACCAACATGTACTAGTGTTGGCCGCGTCATTACACAAGTTGTTCTAGCAAGCAGGCAGAGCAAAGACAGCCAAAAGAATTCCTTTCCATGGACTTGTCCGGGGATTCGCCCCAGCACACAAGGTTACAAGGTTTCTTGGCGCTGCTACGATTGGCTGTTAGACGACCGGACCAATGACAGTAGGAACACCATCTTGCTTCTAGCGTGACCCAGTCCCGCCAGCCCCAGCTCTTTCAGCTTTCTCATATCTACGTATGTTACCAGTCACAGTGTACTCGGTGAGGAATACCACCATGGTAGCAGACTCTGAACGCAAGCGAGCAAAACATACGCGCTCGAAGCGCGGCTGCGCTGTGTGTCGGTACGCTTGCCACTACCTATTCATCCGTTTGAACTCACCTCAACGTGCAGCGTGCGGAAGGTTAGATGCGATGAGACAAGACCTGCCTGTATTAAATGCACGTCTACGGGCCGTAAATGCGAAGGCTTCTCTTATTTGGCTCTGTGGCAGCCACATGCGCACACTTCGGTATGTATCCGACGTCGTCCCCCAGTCAGACTGGCCACCGCATCTGCGTCTTGTGCATATGGCGGGATCCAATGTCACTGGTCCAAAATGGTCACTGACCCGCAACAAATCAGACTCAGCTTATACAACCGCGAACGGCGACCACTACGGCCGAAGGCTCCGCTGAAGAGCGCTCGTTCGCGTACTTCCGCAGAAATACTTCTGCACAGTTCGCCGCTCCTTTTGGCAACGAGTTCTGGGAGTCTCTGGTCTTACAGATTGGAGAGCGGGAGCGATGCGTGAAGCAAGCCATCGTGGCGCTGGGCGCTTTGCATGAGTCTTTCATGGAAGAGCATCTGGTACCACATCTTCGGTCTCCACTACCCCCATACCCGCTGCATAAGCCGAGCTGGAATCTTACCAATCTAGCTACTAAATCATACACCTCTGCCCTCCGTGGATTGAAAGAATACATACTGCCTGGTACGTTTGCTGGCTTGCACATCCCCCTGCTCTGTTGCATCCTCTTCACCTCGTTCGAATGGCTCCGAGGCTCTTATGCGGCTGCAACAACACACCTCAAATCCGGCCTGTACATCTTACGTCAATGGTCGTCCTCAGCGTCAACGAATACGCCAACGGCACACTTCATTCGCAAACAACTAGCGCCCATGTTCGTTCGGCTTAGCATTCAAGCACGCACCTTCTCACAGGACATCGTCCCTGTACCCTGGCTCTCCAACGGCCTTATTGCTCCCCTCGCCGCAGATGTTATCCAAAAAGATGAAGAGCACATCCGCGCCGCACGCAACGCGCTCGATGTTCTGTGCGGCGAAGTCTACCTCGATTCTTCTAGCCAGAATTTGTTCTCCAGAGACTTTAATATAAGTCAGCCCGCCTCATTCGACTTCTCCTTACGCCTCGGAAAGTGGTTGACAGAGTATCACGAGCATCTCTTGCCGCTATCGTCACCACCACCGGATGATTCACGCCCTGAGAACGTCAACCTGACGCTATGGTACACGATACTTAGTCTATTGCAGGCCACAAGCTGGATTGCTGATCCCATGGCGCTCGACAAGTATACGGCGCAGTTTAGACAGATAGTCGATCTGGCTAGGCTCCTCTCATGGTCAAGCAGTTCGCCTCCTCTAATCCCGCGTGAACATAGAGCGAATTCGGAGGTGCTAGGCTCGTCTCGGTTTCGCATCGATATGGAGATTGTGCCCATGCTATATCATGTTGCAAGCAAGTGTCGACACCCCGCTCTTCGACGAGAAGCCATCGTCTTACTACGCAGCGGTGCGAGCCGGGAAGGACTTTGGGATGGATGGGCTGCTGCAACACTCGCTGAAGATATCATGACCACCGAAGAAGAGGGATCTAATGGGGCAGAGATGTGTGGGCCGGAGGGTATACCTCAAGGGCAGCGTGTGATCAAGTTGGAAGAGGTGACGGATCTACAGGCTCGCACAACGAGAGTGCGATTTCAGAAGTTCGGAGAGGATGATTACGGGAAGTGGAAGACATTGACGTGGTGACCATAGCGTAGGCAATAGGGGGTTTGATACTCTTAGGACCTGAGAAGATGGTCGAATGTTGGTACAAGCCCACTCAGGCATATGACTGTCAGCGGTCTAGAAGTCGATAGGGCTGACGATGCACCAGAGCGGTCTAGATCCCTGCTCTTAAGCTAGCCAATCCCTGCATGTCCTTGCGTTTCAGGTCAGAATACCCCCGTCGCACCACTCTAATCGGACCGAGCAGCTGTCATCACGATCTAGCGTTCATCTCCGCCGCCCTCTGTCATATCGCACGCACGCTCAGTACTGTATCTGGGCGTCGTATCATTGAAAACCAGACATAATTATTCATCAACTGACTGCAGGTATTCATCGCAAACCTGATTCACGCGCCTGTCTGCTCCTTCGACGCAATCGTCGCCGAGCCGCCGCCCCTTGCCTCAGCAATCAGCTGCGTCCCTACGACCTGTCCCGTGCTCTTGCTCTTGAAGACGCCGCTGATGGCAATCAAGCCCGTGTAAGGCTCGTACATGTACTCCTCCTCCCAGACCTCCTGGCCCTCGAACGTCACGCTCTCATTGAACCCATTGAATCGCATATTCTGCAGGTAGTTGCCTACAACCTTGCTGCTGGAGACGGTTCCGCTGTTATCCAGCTTCTGGTCTACGAGGTCGCCGTTCTGTGCGAGAATGCGGTTTGTGTGCGTGTTACCGCTGTAGTCGTCAATGGAGTAGAGTATGTTGTTAGCGAGCTGGAACTGCTGGATGTCGAGTTCGCTGCGCTTGGTGTTTGAGGAGCCAGATCCGGTGACATCGCCGATGAGGCCGGTGGTCGAGTTGATGATGGTGCCGAGGCCGTTACCAAGCTCGGCGATGATGGGATTCAGGTCGATGGAGCTGAGGGTGTCGTTCTGGTGCGGGTTAGCTCGCAAGCTTTTTAGGTCGAGAGCGAACATACGATCATGAGGACGAGGTTGGCGAGACGCGCTTCAAGCAGCACTTTTGCGGTGACATTCTGAATGAGCAGGTTCACCCTGTCGATGGACAGGTCAACACCAGCATTAAAGGAGAGCAATTGCAAGACTTGGGCGTCGAGGTTGATTTTTGCGGTGAGGTTTTGCACCTCAATGTGGATCTCACCGACGTGCACTGAAGCCTGGAAATGTGTCAGTACAATGTTCATCGATAGCTTGATTTACAACGTTCATAACTTACATTCAGGAACACATCAGGCTCAGGGACCAAGGCCGAAACATTGTTGTTCGTGTTCTCAGTGTCGTAGAGGACCGCTAGCGGATCGCCATCTTGTCTGATGTCAAGCTTATAGCCCGTGTATCCATCATCATCAGTGATTTGAGTGGAACCCAAAATGGGCAAAAGAAGGAATGTGAACAAAAACGTGAGTAGTGATTGCATCTTGACGATTTTGTCAAAAATTGATGGCGAGCGAAGGCAACTTCAATGGCCACAAGACACGACAGAAAGGATGAACGACAGGCGGTCCGCAAGCTGTCAGTGCAATGTGATGCGGGGACGCGCCGTTGACAAAAGGTTCGCGCTGTGATGCGCTTGCATGGATGTCGCATGATTATCCCCTAGGGCGTTGGCCTTTTGGCCAGAACATTGAAATTAAGGAGACCAATTGCCATGCTGCCTACCTCGGAAACCAGTTTTTTAGCACCAGATTCCCAGGTGCCGACCTTGGTTTTCGTGTTCTTGATCCCTGTGCAGCTCGTTTTTCACGTTTTACCCGAAATTAGGTCGGTTGGGTTCATGCATGGCTATGGGGAGTGTCAACGACGTCGGTTGCGCCAATGCGTCTGATTTAAATGTTAGCACGGCCGTGGTGTCCACAGGCCCTTGCTACGTCTCGTTGCTCTTCCTCATTGTCAACGTCGTTGCTAAAAGTCGCAAAACATGCAGTCTCTCCTTTCGTTCCGCATGCTTGTGCTTTTCTTCCTCTCCTTTGCGTCGCAGATCCTGGCACAGTCTGCAACTTCTTCGGCAACCCAACCACCAACTTCCAGCTCGAGCAGGACGCCGATCACGAACGGAACTACGACGACCCCGCCGGATGTAGCGTCCACGTCAACAGTGCCAGATGTGTACCTGAACGTCCCTGAACTGCATGTCGGACGCATTGAGCTTGATGTTGAAAGATTGCAAGCCGACATCAACTTGAACGCCAAAGTCGCTGGTCTCGTAACCGTCAATGCGGGTGTCCAAGTCTCTGTCGAAAAGATAAACATTACCATTGCAGATGTCGATGTGACCTTGGAGCTTGTCGTGCGCCTAGGCCATCTCGTGGACATTGTGGAGCGCGTCTTCGAGTCGCTTGATCTGAACCCTCTGCTGCTTGGTCTTATCAGCAACGTGACCAGCCTTGTCGGAGAAGTTATCGGTGCTGTGGATGGTCTCCTCGGCTCAATCACCAACGGCGGCACGACGCTGAACTTCCTGGTTGACAACCTCGGCAACATCGTGCAAGAGGTCGTCGGTGGAGCCACCGGTGCCCTCTCCCAGATCGTTGGAAACTACCAGCAAAGTAAGACCCCCAAGTACTTACAGAAAAACATTCACTGACCGAACAACCAGACATGACGCAAGTCGGGGACATCACGCAACTCGGCAACGGGCTTATCCAGAAGACCTTCTCGTACGAGCCACTGAGTGCATTGGTAGACATTGTGTTTAACACGGCAGGCCAAGTCGTACAGGCTACGGTACAGAAGGCGACTGGTGGTGGGTCGAGTTCGTCGACAGCAAGCGCGAGTGCCACCGCAACTCCCGTTACGCTGCCCATTAGCACTGATGCTAGCACCTCGTCTTAGAAAATCGTAGTGAATGACAATCTTAATTTGAATGCCACAATTGTGTCCGTTGCCGTTGCATTGGAGACCGTGAACGAGTGGACCCTCGTAATCCTAATGGCCAGCTATGGGTGTAAAGAATCTCGAAACCGATCACGCTCTGCGATCGTTCATCAGGAATGCTGACGCAACGGTCGCGAGTCCACTCACACTTCGCATTCCATCATCAGGTATTCCATGATGCGATAGATGGCTGGCTCACGATAGGCAAGAAAAGCGAGGGGACATCCCAGCTCGATAGATGCGTACTGGGTAATGAATGTTGTGATTTCTGCAAAGTAAAATAAGAATAGTAACATGGAGTCTTATTGTGGTGTGGCTCAAGTATCCTAGGATAGATTATCCTCGACTCAAATGTTGATTGCTCCACTCAGCATGCTTGTAGCCGATCTTGAACTTGATACGGGAGGCTAGGTCTTGGTTTGGCCCCTTTCTCTCGACCGAAACAATATCAGTGGAAAAGGAAAGCCCTAGTCCGTGACAAACCCACGTACACTTAAATCCATTACTGTTTCAGCTAGCTGTGTCTTTACCGGTGGATAATGCACCTGTGGCACATTCAGAAGCAGCAACACAAAAGTGTAAGTGCTGTAGCTACTTTCTCATCTCTGAACCCCACAGTCTGAAGTGTCCAGCCGAATTGGCAGAAGTTTGGGAAAATAGAGACCAGATGCGACACTATAGCAGTATCATACGCTTCCATATCACAAAACACATGGTATACTGTTTCGCATATTCTTATACAGTCCACCTCTTTCTCAGCAGCAGTTATATGTGCTCTTGCGCATTCCATAAAGTAAACCTCAGAAGTAGCAGAACTGGTGGCATGCATTAGCAACACTGACATTTGAGGCGCCATTTGTCCTCTGGGACACTCCTACGCTCATGTTCGTGCGCCGGTTTTCTCGCGGTCAACATGCAACTACGGCTCAGCGCTTGGAAAGTGAAATGTCATTACGAAGTTTTGGTGATCCCACTCTCGCTAAAATTACTATTACACGATTGACGTAGTTACTTACTGTAGCATATCGACGGCGTCCCTCAAACGACTTTGACACGTAAACCCTTGCTGTCCAAGTTGGGCAGCGGAATGATATAGTCGTGGGCTTGGACTATGTCACTCTCGTCCGTCTCGAACAGTTCCAGTCTTGGAGCACCAGGTCGAAACACAGTCGAAAGTGTCTTGTTCAGTTCCATGTATGCCAGGCTGGTTGCGTCTTAGTCTTTGCTAGGTGAATGACTGTGCTGCTCAGTGACTTACTTCATGCCCAAACAATTCCGCGACCCCTTGGAGAACGGAACAAGACATCGGGTCATTTCCGGGGTGACATTATTCAACCAACGTTCGGGATTGAAGGTGAAGGGATCGCGATATATATTAGGATCCGTGTGGTTCATGTATGCCGACATACCAACGGCAACCTGCATCATCAATAACTGAACAAAATATGAGCGAATGTACGTACACCAGGTGGAATGACCCAATCACGGTAGAGGATGGGTTGATCCGGCGATACGCGAGGCATACGGTGCATGACACCATAACTGAGTCTCAGTCCTTCCTTGATCAATGCTTGTAGAAAGGGTAGCCGCTCCAACTCCACAAACGACGGTAGTCTTTGGGGGTAGCCTTCCATGAGAGGCGCTAGTTCCACACGCAATCGCTTGAGATAGTCGTCGTTAGCAATGATGTAGTAGCTAATGAAGTCTAGGGTACGGGCCGCGCTAATGCTGCCAGCCCCCAGAAAGATCTGTGCTTCCCTGGTCAACCTTTCCACGGATAGGTCGCTCTCCGGCAGGCCGCTGGTGAGGAGATGTCTGAACACAGAGTTTCGAGTCTCAAAAGTCTCGTAGTCTGGTTTCTGTTCCAATTCTCGCTTGGCATCGATTATGTGTTGCCGAGCGAAGTCTCGAAACTTCTCAAAAGTTACCAGGCGGGGGTCAAGCCAGCGTAGCACCTCGGACGGTATGACGTTCAGGATTCTTGAGAAGGTCAGCATCAGCACGGTTGTTCAAGAGCATACGCACTTGATCATCTGCGGAAAGGCCATGACCAATGGAAGCGAATGAATGAAGTTGTGAAGCAGATTGTACCACTCCACCCCGAAACTTGGCTCGTCGATCATGTTGGAGTTGCTTTCAAAACATATCTTCCCCACCACATCGGCAGCAAGAGCTACGTATGCATGATCAAGGCGTATCACTTGGTCGGTTCCTTGATAACTGTCGAGCCGTCGCACGAAGCGTTTGGCCAGTTCTCCGACCATAGGCTCAAGCTTGGTCACGCCTGCACGAGAGAAGAAGGGCTCTAACGGTTTTCGTCGCCGACGATGGAGATCGTGCGACGTAGAGAGAAAGTGTGTGCCTGCTCCAAGATTGAGTCAGCATTGACGAAGCTGGTCAGCAGGGCTACCAACCATCAAAATCGATACCACGCGCGAAACCTTTGTAGTTGTCGGTCTTTCGAACACTTCCCGAGACGTTTATCGAGTTGTAGAAGTCCGGGTCGTGGATCGAAAGCTCATGCGGCGTGATGCGCACGATGGGCCCTGAGCACGGATCGGGTTAGCGTGGTCCCTGATGGCTTTGAACCTTCCGAGTCTTGTTGTGCCTGGTCAGCTCACCATATCGGTCATGCATCTCCTTGATCTTGAAGACGTATTTTCCTCTGCGGAAGTAGTCATGGTAGAATTCGTACCAACTGGTGACGGCGGCGATCTTCGGACCCGGGAATTTGGCAAGAGGCGAGAAGAAGAGGCGGTGAGCGACGAGGACTACCACATACACCACGCTCACAACAGCTGCGACCATGACATAGTGTTCGAGCACGGCACTGAGCACACGCGGTTCCAGCGGCATTGCGGACCTTGCTGTCACCTCGTACCGGCCAGCTGGGTGTGGTGGGCGCTGCCCTGTCGCTGCCGCCATCATGCGCATGATTGAGAATCCTTCGGTCGCTCGCTTACCTAACCAAGCGGCTAATCAGGTCACGGTGCTGGCTATGCCTGTGCACCGATCCGACTATGGTCCAAGACTACCTGGACTGCCATCTTCTACTTACACGTAATGATGGCATGAGAGCAAAATATGGGCCGAGCGAAGAGGCCTTGCGACTGTGCAATACTTCGGGGAACTTGGGAGCCCTGCACCCGGCGAAACAAGGGCATCACGCTGACATTACCTCCTGATGCATGTACTAATAAAGCTCAATCTGCTGGATTTCCTAAAACGCTGGACCACTAAACCAGGGTCGACCAATGTTACCAAAACTTGTCAGACTGATCCTCAAGCTGCTGATCAGACACGCTGTGGCTCTCGACCTCTCAGGCCTACATTCTCTTTGAAACGCTCTCATCAGAAAAGACTGAATTTCAATCGCGGATCCAATCGAAGGTGGCGTGGGACAATACATGAGAAGGAACTTCCACAACGCGATAAAATACTTCCGATCCCATAGCCGTAGCCGCAAGCACCACAAAAAAACATGCAACAGTAGAAGCAACCTCGTTTGCGATAGGGAGCACCTGGAAGAGTCTGATCCCCATTGTGTACACCAAGATGCTCTGGACAAGAAACCAGCCTGTCACCGTATCAGCATCGTTCTAACTATACCTGTTGACAACACTTACTCAATGACCGTCGTCCGAGATAGACGAAGATGGGATTCGCCAACGCCCATTGTACGATATCCGATGTCTCCACACACAGCAGAAATCCCAACAACACGAGATAGTTATCGTCTCTTGCCTGCGGCTGCTTGACATCAAAGTCTTCGTTGAGTCCACCAGTATAGTACAGACCTCCATGCGCAATCAGCTCGTCATCGCGATACTGAGGACGCCATGCCGCCCAAAGGTATTGCATGACCAGGCCTGCTGCTAAGATGCCTATGTAGGCGACGTATGATGGGCATCGGATGGAGCGCCAGACTTTGATCCCACGATGGGCTTTGGCTTTGAAGTCCATGTTTGTGGTCATATCGGCGAGTAACAGGCCTGTGATGGAATACCAAGCCCACGACTGAACCCACCACGCTGTGATGATGAAGAATAGTGCGCCTTTGACGCGCCACGATCGACGGGTGTAAGGTACTGCCACACCAGAAGGTACAAAGTCAGTCTATGTCACAAAGAAGTGGGGCGGTACATTGCCTCGTGTCTCAGCTAAGTCAAGGAAAGATCCTCTTCTTGTATCACAAGTAGACAAAGACTGTCTTCCTTTCGCCTGGCAGAACAAACACATCCACTTTGTACCGACAGACTTACTGATAACCATCGTCATGTACACGGTGAAACTGCTTTTCGTCAGCATCAACGTTTCTTCCCTTGACCAAGGGTGGGACTAACCTCTGCATGTAGATAACATTGATAACCCACATCATCTGCCCGGGAAACGCATAACTTCCCGCTTGCTCTGAGAATCTTGTGGTAACCCAGAACAAGTTGAACACCGAGTTGAAGTAAATCAGCGCGTTGTCAATCTTGTAAGGCACCAAGATGGAAATGTTGCCCGTCTTCTCCGCGAAATCGTCGATGTATTTGTACCCAGTCGCGTGCAGAACCCCGGTGCTGATCGCCAGCGCGACAGCAACGGGGAACCACAAGCGAATGCCGCGACGAAAGATGGACCCCGCAATGGAAAGCTTGGTTCTGTCTTTCATGAATGGAATACATATCGTGCGCGCGCTAAGAAGGATGAAGGCGGAGTAGATGATGCCGTCGTTCCAGAAGAGGATGGAGACAAGCTTGAGCGTTTTGTGGAGCGTGGAACTGTGCAAGACTTCTTGAGCGTTGGTCGAGTGAGCAACGGAGGCGGGCGCGAAGACGAGGAGGAAGGTGTGCAAGAAAGACTGCATGACGAAGAAACCTCGCAGACCAATGAGGAAATCCGTTTTGGGATCATGAAGGGACAAAGGTGGAGTAACGACGCGCTTGAGAGTCTCCATTGCTATAGTTCCTCAGCCGATGATGGTATATATGCAAAAGTATGTCTTGAAGTGAACTGACTTGTGAGAACTCCTCCAACCTTCATCCGAGTATGGTGACAACCTGCAATACGAGAGTGCAATGACAGGGTGATATCGACGGCAGGCAAGCAAGAAAGCTGTGGCAGCATTGACTCCCTAAAGCCGAGCTGAACTACACCTCTCCGTGCCTATTGCCGCGTCTCGCTCCAAGCCCTTCCAGACCGTGCCACAAAGATTGACGTCGCTACACAACACCTATCTTGCTCATATCAACCAAACCCTAGAATCTATTTCCGTCACATTTCAGCAATTACCGCTAGACCCATCGGCGTCTTACAGCGACAAGTGGGGGTAGCGAGTCGACACGTCGCTAGGCCCTTGTGCGTGGCTGCAAATCCCACGCATATTCACCGAGAGATTGCCTATCTTTCGTGCTTTTAGGGCTGGTATGCTGGTCTTTGTTCCTCGTTCCAGGGGTGTGTGACAGGGCTAAGCGAGGAAGATTGGCAAGCGACAAATGACCTCGTTGTTGGGACTGCAGGAATGACAGTTCGGGCTGTCGAGTTCAGCTTTGGGGCTTTAGTGGCGCGCGTTGATTGCTGCTTCGGGACACGGATCAATAGGGCAGCGATTGTGGTGATAAGGTGGTAGTGGGAGTTACCGGTGGGTGGAACGTTTTACGCATTGCACTACCACGACAAGGTTCTCTTAGCACAGCATCTTAACGCAGAGCTCTTGATACGACGTTTGCAAATGGCGTTATCAAGACTACCAGATTTGTCAACTGAAGAGGTCGATTACGATTATAGTCTAGTGCACAGCTCGGTCTACCTTTGCTAATCATCCAAGATCAAAAATTATGTTCGGCTACTTCCTAGCCGTAGGATTCCAGTTGTTATAAGCAACGACCTGACGCGCATGCCCATAGATGCCGATCATACCCATGAGGACTAGATAGAAAGGGTAGAAGGCTGAAAAGACGATCATCATCCAGGCACTGACGAATTCGGAGCGCACACGCCAGGTTATGACTAATGTACCAATTAGGCAGACGAGACTTGGGCAAGTTAGGAATATTCTATGACTGAGGTATGCTGGATACTGACCTGATGATGAAGAACCAAACTGATAACGGATACGGAAAAAAGACCATCCTGGCGAGCTCGAACGGTGTCTTGGGAAAAGCGAGTAATAACATGCTGAGCACGAGGCAGGTGTACTACATTGTGTTACTAGGGAATAAAACACGTTTGACGCCATAGGGTGAGGCGCGCTCTGATACTCACCTGCGTGATAAGGTAGTAGGATAGCTCTCGTACCGCCAGTAGTGAGAAGACACCGAAGCGCTTCGTAAAGCTCCGAGTACCCTGTTCGGGCTTGTCCCACACCTGCAAGCCCAATCAGTAAAACTTTAAGGCGTAACGCCTTACCTTGGCTGCACTCACCATTGGCATATGCACCAAACTAGCCTGTGCCCAACCTTGGGCCCACCTCAATCGCTGCTTCCAGAATCCCTGAAACTCGGAGGGTGCGAGCTCGTAAGAGACGCAGTTGATTTCGTGCACTGCCTTCACGTTCTTCTTGACGGCTCGTAAAGCTGAATCAATGTCCTCTGTAAGCATCTCGCCATGCATCTTGTGTTCTCGCAATAATGGAGCGCGCCAATAACCATTGCTTCCTGTTACCAATATAATTAGTCATTGCTCATTTGGTTGAAGCCGCGAAATGTACCACAGAAAAGACCGAAGGTCATCATCAACGCACGTCCGGGGTGAGAAACGGCGTAGATTTTGTCGAATTCGATGGCGATAAGGCGTGTGAGCCACGAATCACGCGAATTGTAGATGACGCAGCGGCCTTGAACAATGCTGACTTCAGAATCGCCCATGAATCTCTCAGCGGCCCAGCGTGGATTATGCGGATGCGGGTAATGGTCTGCGTCGAAGATGGCGATGACATCTGCACCGGTATTGAGGGTGAAGAAGTAATTCAGATTGTCGGCCTTTGACTTGCTTCCGGGAACTTTGAGCACGCGGAGTTGGGAGTAAACGTCTTGCAGCTCAACGAGTTCGGTCTCCAGAGGTTCGATAGGGATTGGAGTATTGTACACACAGTTGATGCGGATGCGGTCCACGGGGTACACAATTTGTGTGCAGAGGTACTTGACGCGGTCCATAATGATGTCGCGTTCGTTGGGCAGATAGGCGACGATGATCAGATCAATGATAGGCAACTGTTCGTCTCGGGTGGGCCAAGGCCCCGATCCAGGCTTGAAGTCGAGCACTGCCATCTTGGTAACTCTCGCTCGTGCATCTCGCGTGAAGGACATGCTCAGGGCGGCTTCAACGACAGTTGTAAAGCTGACATACATATTCGTGAGCATGTAGACGTACCAGAACACCTCGATCAGCTTCTCGGTACAGACCATATAAAGACATGTTGAGCCGATAAAATAAGAACAGACAAGTGTGAAAGGTGTCCACTCCCAGACCCAGGCTGAACTCCTGGCGGATGCGTAGTCCAGTTTGCTCCGAAGAGAAGCCAGGCCTGAGCTTTGTGGAGAGGTCGTCTGCTTGGACTTCGAGTGGCCGAACATGTTGGGCAGCCTTCGCTCCTAGATAGATTGCAGCAAAGATGTACCAAGGATAGCAGCGAAAGGAAGGACTAAAAACAACGGTGTTCTCAGGATGATGTACTACCAACGCAGTCTTTGAGTCTCAGCACACTAGTCTAGGATCTGTTCATTGCTTGCCCTCCGTGTTGGTTAGACCATGGCCTCCTTGATGGCTTTTCTTCAGACTATTGAAGGCGCGGTCGAGACGCTTGAGCTCATTTTCACTACGCTCATTCCCAATTGGGAATGATCACATAGTGAGCGAGTGGTATCACCCCACGCCTCCAGCTCTGCCACAGCGCCATCTGAAGCTGAGGCACAAGGCCGGCTAGGAGTCGCGAAGGTGCAAATTATGACAACGACGCAGGTCCGAGCAAGCTCAACAAGCTGTAGAGTGAGGCACCAGTATCGTATCTGCAGTGAGGCGACTCAGGATCGCTCCGGCTGATGGAACAAAGTGGGTCTGAAGAGCAGTTGACGAATGTACTCCTTGCTCAAGATTCGGATCTGGGTGATTTTGGGGTCTGCTTTTGTTATCTTTCGCTAAACTTTTATTGCATGTCTCGCTAAGCGGTGACGCCACGCAGTATCCCATTCACGGATGGCCTAGGCTGTAGCACGTGACGGAAAGTGCTGCAGAGCTGAACTTACCGCCGAGGAAGATTAGACACCGGGCCACTACGACACACCAGACTGTGCACGGCCGGCATTGTGAGACGGGAAGGGTGACCACTCGTTCGTGGCTGGATCGTCAAGATGATGGCCTTTTGGAGGCGTATTTCCATAACTGCTCCTGTATCGCTGCTGAGCATCAGTTCGCAGCTACCAGTCTTTCCTCTCCCCTATCTGTACCCGGTACAACGGTTTTTGAGCAACCGTGTCCGACCATGGAGGGCACGCTCTTCATCCTCACGTTCATCCTACAACTTGTCATTGCCGTGACCGATGTGTCGTCCTGTTCCTGCGGCTTCGCCGACTCCAAAACCGGTGCCATCTGGACCGATGCACTAATCGCGTATGCAAACGAGACAGGAGAGTTACCCGAAAGGTCGTTGATCGCAGAGGACTTCCAGAATCCGTACGAAAAGAATTGGAACGCGCGCTATAGAGCTGGCGCAAAACCGTCTAATTTGGGACATGAAGAGTCGACAAGATCAGGTTGGAATGGCACAGCATGGACACTCAAGATTGACCCGCCCACCAAAGATCACATCGTGCTCGGAGCCTCCCTGCGGTCGATTCGACGCGACATCCAATATGGCACCTTTGAAGCTGCCCTAGGCGCACCGAAACCGGGCGTCGGCGGAAGCATATTTGCCATGCGACTTGACTACAACGAGACGCAGACGGTGAACTTGAATGTGATGAACGCGGATGCGCCAAAGGATGCTTGGACTTCGTTCATGATCTACGGCGACTGGAGAGGAACGCGTTCCAAAGGCGTCAACTTCAGTGACTTCGGCAACAGGACCTATGGCTTTCAAGACTCTCCGTGGGGTTTCGTTCCGTACCGGATCGACTGGAACAATGCAACGGACATTGACTTCTTCATTGGCGATGCGCTGGCGCGTTCGATCCGCTCCAAGGGCGTTGCGAAGCCGCTTCCCGTCACACCGATGACACTGCGCATCCAGCACTCCTCCATCGGCGATATGTACACCTCCGAGGGACCACCACCAGACGGGTCCGATGCGCGTGTGGGTATGCTGAGGGCCTTCTTCAACTCGTCCAGCATGACTTCAGATGACCATGACGCTTTTGACAAGCGCTGCCACCTAGCGCCGGCGTGTCTTGTTTCCGACACATCACTTAGAGGAGCCTCCAACTTCACGCTTGCAGCATCGCGACCGTGGGAGCACAAGACAATTGATTACAAGAAGCGATGGCCTGCCATCTTCGTGGTATCTATTTCTGCGGCCATTTCGACAATTCTTTTGGCGCACGCAACCTCCAAGCGGGCGCCGTGGAAGCCCAAAGAAGCCGCCACTACAACCATAAGCAGCGCCGACCCTCCAGTTGCGCCAACTGCGATTAGTAGCGGGCGGACATCGAGGGACCTGTCAACTCCTCCTTCTTTCATATATTCTGAACACGATGCATTGGCGTTCACTGTCCAGATGCCCGGTATGGGGACGCCAGGACAGGCAACGCCCGGCTCCGTCACACCGCGCGCCTCTATGCCCACTGGCTCATCGCACGGATCATCTCAGGTATTCTGGGCACTCTCACGCGACTCGCTGGACATCTGCAAAGTCGATGAAAAGAAGCAAGCTGGTAGTCAGATCGTCGCGCCCTGTGTGGAAATTGGTAAATATGCCGAGAAGAAGCAAGTTGAAGTCACGGTCAAGGAGATTGGCGAAATGAAGCATCCCGTTACCAATCACGCCACGCTTGCGAACGCAAAGCCACCCATCACGGCAGCTAAGCAGCGTGTCGACTACCTTGCCGGCTTGGTAAGCTGGTTCCCATGCATAGTGTGCGTCCAAAGGTACTGACCAATAGCAGGTTGCTTTAGCTTCAATTCTGGTGACGCTGATCCACTTTGCCTTGACGTTCCTTCCGGCCACTGAGATCCCATATACTCATGCTCACTACGAAAGCGAGATCTGGGCACTCAAGATCGTGACGCCATATTTGTTGACTTTCAGCTGGATCGGGCCCTTCTTCACCTCCTCTACTCGTTTCTTGATCGCTAGCTACCTCAAGTCGGGTAATCTCAAAGGTATAGCAGAAAAGACGGTCGGCCGGACGCCTCGTCTGATCATTCCCTGTGCTGCCATCGCCGCTCTCGAGTACTTCTGCATGCAAGTCGGGGCCACAAACTGGCTCGAATACCTGCCGTCTGTCACTTGGTCGACATGGCCGTATACTGCCGGCTATGTGACGTTTGGACACTTCCTCAGCGAGATTCTCGAGTTGATGTACATCATCCCGAATGCGGTCCCTCAGATCACCTTCAACTGTATGTTATCCATCTTTCCATCACTTCGAGGCAGCGCTAACGCTTCTAGATTGCATTGGTGTTCTCTGGACCATTCCTGTCCAGCTACAGAACTCTTGGCTCTCCCTTTTGGCAGTCATAGTCATTCGCGAGATCAAGGCGCCCTGGAAACGCATGGGCTACTACGCCTTTTGCATCCTCATGCATTACTACGCTATGTCATGGGGTACCTTCTTCTGGGTTGGCCTGCTCATCGCGGATCTCGACCTAACCTACAAGTGGAAAGAATGGCTGTATAGCCGTCCATGGGTGTATTACCCGTTCCTTACCTTTGTTGCTCTCCTGGCTGTCGGAAGTCCCTCGATTGATCTCGTCGGCATGTGGAAGGCAAACTGGAACTTCAATACGCTCGAATTCGGCATTCATCCGCATCAGCGCACCGGTCACGCGGTGCGCGACTCTTCCGACTATGGGTATCCCGCCTACTATCTTCCACGTCTCACAGCTCTCACCTTCTCCATCGGCTTCCATCTCCTCGTGGAGCTTTCGACCGTCGTGCAGAAGTTCTTCTCCAACCGCCTTCTTATGTGGTTATTCCCACATATCCTCACGCTCTATCTCATTCACGGCCTTGTATTCTGGAGCCTCGGGGCCGCCATCTGTGTCCATCTGGCAGCACACAATGTGCCCTACTGGGCCAATATGTTGGTTGTGGCCATCTGCACGTACAGCGTGATCTTCGGATGCCTGCCGTTGCTGACACCTATTCTGGAAGGACTCGGCAAGAGCATCACGCAAAAGATCTGGCAAGACGCGAGCTCGAAGCCGCCGCCCAGGAGGAAAACACTATATCCTTTCAGTCCAGAGATGTTCCAGGGAAACGGCCCGGACGGCGAGGCGATGGATGACGTGGAGAGTCAAGCTGTAAAAGAGAAGAAGTAGCTGAGTTGCTGTGAGACCGATCTGGACGCAATGCATGACGCTGCAGTCAATGCGGTAAATATCAGACTTGTTAGACACTAGACTTACACCTCGACTAGATGTTACTAGTGGGTCTTTGGTGACGAAGCTTTGGGACTGGGCTCTCTCGGCAAGATGAAGTTTGATCACGATAGTAGCGCGCACCTGGGGTCCCATGATATCATTTCTGCAGTATTTTGTTATCAAATCGACTTTTGGGTGAATGTTCACTACGAAATATTAATTTGGAAGAATCAGGTATAACACATGTTAATATAAGTTGATTTTGGCACTACTTTACACGTATAACAGAGTTCTGATAATAACAGAGTTATAAGGAAGGAGCACCCACCCTCAGTACCTTCTATAAAGCATACTCCTACTGTAATAGCTTAAGGGATACATTCACTGTGCAGCGCAACTCTGGCACTAATGTAGATCCTTGTCGATAATAATTAATACGCTACATCTTATAATACAGCATGCAGTACCTTGTATAGACCATTCACTATATAAGGCTTTAACCAAAGGATGCTATTAAGGCTTAAAAACGTCAAAAAAACTTTCATACGTTCACCCCCAGAGATATATCAGCTTTATTATCTTAGTATCCCTATTGCATAGTAGATAGTAATCGTATTACCTGCTGTGTCATCAAATTATTTTCAACATGGCCCTGTTGTGTAAACAGTGTTTAAATTAATAATAAAATCAATTCACCTTCCAAAATACTGTTGGATACATGACCTGGGACCCGGGGTGCGCGCTACTGGAGCTTACCCGCTTGCGAAACCTCTGTAGATCGAGTATGCACATTACATCCTAGTTTCATCGCTCTGCAACGCGTCTGAAAACTGTGACCTGATTCTTTATGGCCTACCTAGGTACATTCACGTTCAAGCGAGAGGCTGAACTAGTGCTCACCCACCTTTTTTCTCCTTCGCGTCTAAGACTTGAAGCATTTTCCAACACTTTACGCAGGTTTCCGCTCCGGACCAACGTGTTGTTGCAATCCATGACGAAGGAAAGAAAGCCTCCTCACTCGTTGCACTTGTTGTGCGCTGGCCTTGTATTCCGCGTACCTAACTGAAGCGCGCCGCAATCTCATGAAGAGCATTAGCCTTGTTTCGCCCTAAATCGTGCAGTGAAGATGCCTGAATCAAATTGGTTTACCTGTTACTGCTTTTTCACAGATTCACTACTAGAGATTTGCTGCCTTCCTCCTTATCGATCAATTCTGTCCTTTAATATATCCACTGGCGCTGGAAAATCATCTGCAGTTGCCTTTCCGTAGGACTTGCCTTCGTACCTATCGCCCCAACCATCTGATTTCCAAAGCGTATATTCGAAGTATCCGACTTCTTCATGTCTGCATAATTACTGTTAGCCTTCTTCTTGTGAGTCTGACAATTTGGGTTATCGGTGACACAGGAAGTGGACAGCATCAGACGGCCTTGTCACAGGATAAGCTTGCTACTTTTGTAAAGTTTGTGATTACGCTCTGGTGAAAATGTTAAATCAAAACGTAAACCTGACTGTTGGAAGTCTCTTATCGCCAACGGAGCGCTCTTGATTCGATCAAGTGCATTCATGCACCTATCTGCATGCTGCATGTTCCGCATTTTACCTGAAGTCATAGGCAAATTATGCTTCTATCGTCATGCTGTCTCTTTGTGCAAATTCACGGACCGAGAGGGAATACCGTAAAACTAAATGTCCAAGTAGTCTCACGCGACACCCCCAACCCTGACAATCGGTTTCGAGATGAATCACGGCCGCTTAGGTAACATCGCTGCTGAGTGCAAGGAGTGTGCAAAACGAGGCAGCTTATGGGGATTATAACATTATTGGCAACTCCAAGCCTCCCAACCGCAAGGAGAAAGCCGAGACATTGTCGCGATTTCTAAGACCAAAACACTTATTCCAGGGAAATTATTTCGGCGGCAGCTTTGCAACTCGAAGATAGTGTTGCGCGTAAATCAGAGCCTCCTAATTTTCGCAACAATGGACACAGACAAGGCCATTAAGCAAGTCAGGAGCAAGACATTTGCTTAATTTGCGCATATAACTACATCGCGAATCCGCGGTTTACGTTCTCTTCATGTCCTCTATGTCTTGCAGCTGATATCACAAGTGATTCTCAGCTATGTTTAAATTTGGGACATTGGTTTGCAGCTTTGAAGAAAAGATAAATTAATCTTTCGTCGTGGTCATCTGTCGGCCTACCTTGTCCAGCTACATAGTTGTCAGTTGAAGCTGTAGTGGGGTTCCTACTCTACCAAGCCTTGATGGAGCGATGTGAATGGCATACGAGTGTCGTTTGTTGATACGATCATCGTGGTTGCAGTCCTTATTGGATTGACTAAGATTCGATGAAGTCAAGTCCTGCGATCGCAGTAGTATAACTAATTTGCCGTGCTGTGATGCCAAAAGGTACATGAATGAATATCGAGGTTGGTGCGCGTTTGTGTGCCAGACTCTGATGCCAGTGTCTGTCACGAACGGCTGAGTAGGAAACTCCTTCCCATCAGGTCAAATCATGCATTGCAGAACGCACTTTGACGGGACTAATCTCAATCATGCTACACGTCACTGCAAGATCTATTTGACGCAACAGCCCGCTACACGTCCAACTGGAAGATCGTCACACAATCCCATTCATGTTATTGTGCCAAAGCCGCCACAGCCATCACAACCCTCAACCCTCCTTTGTCCACCCCAGCCAACAAAGCACGGCTATCCTCACCCACGCAGCACCATGACTTGGCCTCGTGCCCCTGCTAAATATGGCAAACATCTTCTTTCCTCACGAGCATCCTCCGCAAAACATCCATAACTGTGACCCACGAAACGATGCCTTCTCCATCCTCGGCCTCATCCTCGTCAACATCCCATCCCGCCTCATATGGGACATCCGTTATATAGCCCAGAATCCCAATTCCAGCATCCCAGACTGGCATCCCACCGCATGGACACGCACGCCACTCAAGCGCCTTCAGTTTCTGCAAACAGACAAGCAGAAAGCTGGTGCAATCCTGCGCGCAGCAAGGGCGCTGAGTTGGGAGATCCCGTAGCAGTGGCTAATCCGCGAGACAGATAGTGTTGGGTGTAAGAACGCCCATATCCAAACTCCAATGATAGGGTTCTGGGATTGGTGCTGCACTGCTGACCTATCTCAGGTGAAGCAAAGCTGCACTACATTGACAAGGGCGGGTTCAAAGAGTTTAGACTACAGGCTGCCAAGCGCGAAGGGCAGTGGGAAGCTACCGTCTGGCCGGGCCACGAAGATTTGGGGTGGCCGGAGGGCAGAGTTGCAGGAGGACGTACGTTGGACGAGTGTTTGAGGGAAGTGCAGGTTATGATTAGGGAAAAGTGGAGTATTAAGGCTGGGAGAAAGACTGGTGTAGGTGCGGGGGATAAGCTGATGGGGAGCTTTGGATAGTGGCATCGGATTGTATTGAAGTGAAGTCTGAAGTACAAAATCATACTGCGGAACGCGTCGGAATCACTACTTGGATGTGAGGTGTACTCACAACTTGGGCTTCGCGGTTTCAGTATCTTGTCGCAACCGAACTACGCCCTGAAATTGTTAGCATGTTTGTTTCATGGAAAGTGTGGGCACCTACTTCCTGCACACAGGTAGCAATAAGTCGGCCATCCCGCGAAAACAACTTCTGAAAGACAAGACCCCTGCCATCTCCACTCCAAGGAGTCTCCATCTCGGTGAACATCCACTCATCAGCGCGGAACCCTCTCGGGTCGTGGAAATAGATGGTATGGTCCAAGCTGACCATCATGCCAATCTCTTGTTTCGGTTCTTTGGGCTTATCGCTCTCCCCATTCTTGAATTTACGTATTCGCTCCAATTCATGCTGATGGAGGAACTTGACACGCTTGAGGTCTTCGTCGTCCATGGCCAGGAGTTTCTTTAAGACATCTTCATCTATGCTGCTCTTGGTCTTGCTCTTGCGCACTGCGGCGTACCGCCAGAGCTTGTGGACGCGGGCGACCGTGCCGATGAAGTAGCTATCCGACATGTAGGCGAGAGCTGCGAGGTGGGCTTCGTGGCCTCCGGCAGGGGATATGGTGCCGCGGGCTTTGATCCATTGTCTGGTCTTCTTCGTGTGGGGGTGTGGTGAGTCGTCTGTCACTGGTCAGTCACGCAGTTACAATAAGACCCTTGAGACGCACTGTTCAAGATCTCTATCCTCTGGCTCTGGAATGGGCCTGTTGAAGCGCGGCCATAGTCCAAGTCGTCTTTGCCTTCGATCGGGCCCGGTACGTCGGGCATCTCCACGGCATGCTTCAACACCTTGTCACCCGCACTGTTCTGTCGCACAAAGCTTATGGTGGTGGTAAAGATGACCTTGCCTCTCTGTCGCGCCTGCACCGTCCTCGTCGCAAAGCTCTTTCCTGACCGGACTCTTTCGACGTGGTATATTATGGGGATCTCCGAGTTGCCAGCGAGGACAAAGTAGCAGTGCATGGAGTGGACGGTGAATTGCGGCTCAACCGTCTTCTGCGCGGCGCTCAGCGTCTGGGCAATGGCAGCTCCGCCGTAGATACCGCGAGCTCCCGGAGGATGCCATAGCGGACGCCTGTTCGTAAAAAGATCGGGGTCAATGTCTGACAGCTGGGTGAGCTCGAGCGTGTTCTCAATGGCCGACTGCGAGGGATCAATGGGCGGCGGACGGATGAAGGTCGACATGGTCTTTTGTTTGTGAAGGATGAGCACGAGGGAACAGCATGCTATATGCCATCTTTTGGCGCGACATGTTCGGTGCTGAGCACGCATCCCACAGCCGAGGCATAACGGGTGTCGCATGGGATTGGCAGCTAACACCGAACAGGACTCGGCCAAGCGCTACGTCACACCCACCCGCCGGCTATCCTGCACCGTCCCTGGACGACGCACCGTGGAGCCATCGCGCGTTGGCTGCCATTATTCGCCGGCGGATGAGCGCGCAGTATCCACGCCCCAACGCCCATCGACTGTTCGCACGCTTCGCTCCACGATCACCCCCACGCTTCACGCTGGCGCGCAACCTTCATAGCGCCTTGATATGTAGTGGCGCGCCACTTTGATGCCCACCTGTCTGCGCCGCCCCCAGCAATTGTAACAATGGCGGACAACAACCCGGAATTGCAGGCGAAGCTGCGGGAGCTGGACCACGAGCTGGAGGAAGGCGACATCACGCAGAAAGGGTCGGTTGGCCCCGCTGTCACTGCCAATGCCCCTCTTGTCGCAAAGTGACGGAGCTAATGCTTTGACAGGTACGAAAAGCGACGGACCATCCTCTTGTCGCAGTACCTCGGGTCTGAGCAGCAGGAGCAGCTACAGAGCCAGCTACGCCTTGCCAATCCATCATCTGAGGAATCTGACTCACGTTCCGCATCGCTCGCCGCCCTTTCAGGCCCTCCACAGCCGCCCACGCTCGAGCTGCCCCAGGATGAAGCGCCTTACAGCGCTCCACCCAGGAACAACACCAACGGGGGGAGCCCCCAATATATGGCATATCCACCCAGCCAGGTCGGACGCTTTCAACAGAAGCAGCTGGGTCTGCGAACTAATTCCTTAGAGAGAAGGGCGTCATACGGTAGCGAGACCTTCATCCCGCGACCCGGAACCCCCGAGACGTATCCGTACTCCCGCGACGGTACCATGGTCGGGTCCAACTTTGCCTTCAATCCGGACACTCAGGGTGGCTACGATGGCGCCTATGGTTCGCCCGGAGGGGAGGGCGTCAGTCGGCAGAGCACGATGCTGGATGCGCACCAGGGTTACTTCTCCGACTTTACAGGTCAGCAGATGGACGACAACCGCGATTCGTACGGCGGACCGAGCCGATACTCATCTGGAGACGCTTTCTCCCCGACTGCTGCGATTCCACCGCCCATGATGACCCAGGGTGATCTTCCAGGAGGCATTATCGAAAGTATGCTTCCACTCGAGCCGCGCGACCTTCCCTTTGACGTATACGACCCGCACAACCCGAACATTCTTATGTCCAAATTCGACAACATTGGCGCGGTGTTGCGACATCGAGGGCGCGTGCAGCCGCGACAGCCTGCGTTTTGGGTGCTGGATTCGAAGGGGAAAGAGACGGCATCTATAACATGGGAAAAAGTCGCGAGCCGAGCTGAAAAGGTTGCCAAGGTCATACGAGACAAGAGCAATCTGTATCGTGGAGACCGCGTTGCGCTGGTGTACCGGGATACGGAAATCATCGAGTTCGCCGTGGCGTTGATGGGATGCTTCATCGCGGGCGTTGTTGCAGTCCCAATCAATAGCGTGGATGACTACCAGAAACTCAATCTTCTTCTGACCACAACCCAAGCACATCTTGCTCTTACCACCGACAACAACCTGAAGGCCTTCCACCGGGACATAAGCCAGAATCGCCTGAAATGGCCAAGCGGCGTCGAATGGTGGAAGACCAACGAGTTCGGAAGTTACCATCCAAAGAAACACGATGAGACACCTCCACTTCAGGTCCCCGAAGTCGCGTATATTGAGTTCTCGCGCGCCCCGACTGGTGATTTGCGCGGAGTTGTGCTCAGCCACCGTACCATCATGCATCAGATGGCGTGCATCAGCGCCATCATTACCACTATTCCAACGGGCGGCAGCTCAGACACGTTCAACACCAGCTTGCGCGACAAGAATGGGAACTTTATTGCAAGCCCACCGAGATCATCGCCCACCGAGGTCATCCTGAGTTATTTGGACCCGCGCGAAAGTGCTGGTCTGATTCTCGGTGTGCTGTACGCCGTCTATGGCGGACACACCACAGTATGGATGGAAGCGCAGACAGTCGAGACACCGGGATTGTACGCGCATCTCATCACAAAGTATAAGACTACCATCATGGTAGCTGACTATCCTGGGTTGAAGCGCGCTGCATACAATTACCAGACAGATCCCATGGCGACGCGCAATTTCAAGAAAAACATGGACCCAAACTTCGCTTCGGTGAGGATGTGTCTGATAGATACACTTACCGTAGACACCGAGTTCCATGAGATCCTAGGAGACCGATGGTTGCGACCGATGAGGAACCCCAGAGCTAACGAGCTGATAGCTCCTATGCTATGCTTGCCGGAGCACGGCGGCATGATAGTATCTGTAAGAGACTGGCTAGGTGGCGAAGAACGCATGGGCTGCCCTTTGAGCATGGAGGAAGAGGAACAGAGTGATGAAGACGAGAAGGTCGAGGATACACCAACCAACGGATACTCTAGTCTGATTGGCGGAGGCATAACGAAGAAGACAAACCAAAAGAAGAGTCGCACAGAGCTGACTGAGATTCTGTTAGACAAGGAAGCACTGAAGATGAATGAGATAGTTGTTGTTGCGATGGGCGAAGAAGCCCGCAAACGAGCGAACGAACCCGGAACGATGAAAGTGGGCGCTTTTGGGTATCCTATACCAGATGCCACACTCGCGGTTGTCGACCCAGAAACTAGCCTGCTCTGCTCGCCGTATACTGTCGGCGAGATTTGGATAGATTCGCCATCTTTATCTGGCGGCTTCTGGCAGCTGCAGAAGCACACCGAAACGATTTTCCACGCGCGCCCATATCGCTTCGTCGAGGGCAGCCCGACCCCTCAACTGCTAGAGTTAGAGTTCCTACGTACAGGCCTGCTGGGATGCATTGTGGAGGGCAAAATATTCGTGTTGGGATTGTACGAAGATCGCATAAGACAGCGAGTGGAGTGGGTCGAACATGGAGTATTTGAAGCCGAGCATCGCTACTTCTTCGTGCAGCATCTTGTTACGAGCATTATGAAGACGGTGCCAAAGATTTATGACTGGTAAGCGGTTGCGTCTTTCTCGCATGGCGTTGCTGACTTAAAGTAGTTCTGCATTTGATGCTCATGTCAACGGGGAATACCTTCCCATTATCTTGATTGAGACGCAAGCCGCATCAACCGCACCAACAAACCCTGGAGGCCCGCCGCGACAATTGGATATTCCATTCCTCGATTCTTTATCTGAGCGATGCATGGAGGTGCTTTATCAGGAGCACCATCTTCGTGTTTATTGCGTCATGATCACGGCGCCCAACACATTGCCGCGTGTGATCAAGAATGGCAGGCGAGAGATTGGCAACATGCTCTGCAGGAAAGAATTCGACAACGGTTCGTTGCCCTGCGTTCATGTTAAGTTCGGCGTAGAGAGAGCTGTGCAGAACATTGCACTCGGCGATGATCCTGCCGGGGGCATCTGGTCGCCACAAGCTTCCATGGCGCGCCAGAACTATCTTTTGTTGCAGGATAAGCAGTACTCCGGCGTAGACCATCGCGAAGTAGTCATCGATGATCGCACATCAACACCGCTAAACCAATTCTCGAACATTCACGATCTGATGCAGTGGCGTGTATCACGGCAGTCTGAGGAGCTCGCCTACTGCAGCATCGATGGTAGAGGAAAAGAAGGAAAGGGCGTCAACTGGAAGAAGTTTGACCAGAAGGTCGCTGCGGTTGCAGTATATCTGAAAAACAAGGTCAAAATCACAGCCGGCGACCATGTGCTTCTAATGTACACCCATTCAGAAGAATTCGTTTTCGCCATCCACGCCTGTTTCGTACTGGGCGCAATCGCGATACCAATGGCACCAATCGACCAAAATCGGTTAAATGAAGATGCTCCAGCACTTCTCCACATAATATCAGACTTCAAAGTCAAGGCCATCATTGTCAACACAGATGTGGATCACCTGCTCAAGATCAAGCAGGTATCACAACATTTGAAGCAGTCCGCCGTCATCCTCAAAGTCAATCTACCCAATATCTACAACACCACGAAACCGACCAAACAATCCAGTGGCTGTCGCGATCTTGGATTGACGATCAAGCCAGCTTGGGTCCAGACAGGATATCCGGTGCTCATATGGACGTTCTGGACACCCGATCAGAGGCGAATCGCAGTACAGCTTGGGCACAGTACTATCATGGCCCTTGGGAAAGTCCAGAAAGAGACCTGCCAAATGACCAGCACGCGACCTGTTCTGGGTTGTGTCCGTAGTACGATAGGACTCGGCTTTATCCACACCTGCATCATGGGTATCTTCTTGGCAGCCCCGACATACCTTGTCTCACCTGTAGACTTTGCACAGAACCCCAACATTCTCTTCCAGACGCTTTCACGGTACAAGATCAAGGATGCGTATGCAACCAGTCAAATGCTTGACCATGCCATGGCACACGGTGCTGGCAAGTCTATGGCTATGCACGAGCTAAAGAACCTGATGATCGCGACCGACACTCGGCCCCGCGTTGACGTTTGTAAGTGAACAGTCCGATTGTCTAGCTTCCTATTAATACGCCCAGATCAACGTGTGCGCATGCATTTCGGTTCAGCAAGCCTCGACAGAACAGCCATTAACACAGTCTACTCGCACGTCCTCAACCCGATGATCGCGTCCCGCTCATACATGTGCATCGAACCCATCGAATTGCACCTTGAACTGAACGCACTACGCCGTGGTCTTATCATGCCTGTTGACCCAGACACAGAACCGCACGCTCTGTTCGTGCAAGATTCAGGCATGGTCCCGGTCAGCACACAGATTTCCATCGTTAACCCAGAGACCAACACGCTGTCACTCGTTGGCGAGTACGGCGAGATCTGGGTGCAGTCGGAGGCGAACGCGCATAGCTTCTATGGGTCCAAGGAAAGGCTTGATGCTGAGAGATTCAACGGTAGAACATTGGACGGCGATCCCAATGTAAGATATGTTCGGACGGGCGATTTGGGGTTCTTACATAACGTCACGCGCCCCATCGGACCTGGTGGCGCTCCGGTCGACATGCAAGTTTTGTTTGTGCTTGGCGGTATCGGGGACACTTTTGAGGTCAATGGGTTGAATCATTTCTCGATGGACATCGAGTCGTCCGTGGAGCGGTGCCACCGGAATATCGTGCCTGGAGGCTGGTAAGTGCTACCCTTATCAATAACCCTACTACGCACACATGCTGACGATGCAACCACAGTGCCGTATTCCAAGCCGGCGGTCTCGTCGTAGTAGTCGTCGAAATCTTCCGTCGCAACTTCCTCGCCTCCATGGTGCCTGTCATCGTCAATGCCATCCTCAACGAACACCAGCTGGTCATCGATATCGTTGCCTTTGTCATCAAAGGCGACTTCCACCGCTCGCGCCTCGGTGAGAAACAGAGAGGCAAGATCCTTGCGGGTTGGGTCACGCGCAAAATGCGCACCATCGCGCAATACAGCATCCGCGACGGCGGTATGGACAACATTTACGAGAGTGCAGAGCCCCAGGGCCGTCCCAGCACCAGCACTTTCCGAAACAGCACCAGCGGCGGTCCGGGCAGTGTGAAAGGCAGCATGCGCGCAAGCAGTACGTTAGGCATGACGGCTGCAATGAACAGCTTACAACTGCAGACGGGCGGCAGCATGGTCCAGGAATTGCCATCGCAACAGCAACAACGACACATGAGCTTCGGTGCTCCTCTACCACAGGGTGTCTCCGAGTTGCCTGGAGAGCGGTATACCGAAAGCATTCCCGAGCTCGGCACAGGCAGCAACAAGGAGATGCGCGCCGACGATTTCACGCCAACCGAGCAGAAGATTCCAGAGTTTCTGCCACGCCTCCTAGACGATGGTACTGGAAAGCACTATTCGCCCGTCGACGCGGCGGGTGTCTTCGACTCGCCGAGTGAGCCGTACGGGGCAGGTTTCGATGCAAATCACACGCAGTATGGTGCCTCGGGGCTTTCTACAGCGCCTCTTCCGAGCGTCCTGCGTCCGGGGCCGCCATCTGAACAAGCTCCGCAGCCTCCGTATGGGAACAAACCGTATATGAATTACCAGTCTGGGCAGCACCAGCAGCAAGCGTACCTACCACAGCAGTACCACAGCGTTGACGACGGTAATTCGAATTGGCCACTGGGCGCAGGAGAGCAGGAGGAGCCGCAGCAGCAGAGAGGCGGCTTGAGAGTCGCGAATGCGAGTCGCGACTCTACGGATAGCGAGGCGGAGACCGAGTGGAAGCAGGAAGCAGCTATGATGATGAATTTCGCGGGCACAGGGCCCGATTCTATAGGGAGGTTGAACTAAGTTTTGTATATTGGATGATAAATGCATGATATCATGTCCATGGCATGGTTTTCACATGATAATTACGACATAGCGAAAAGCGTTTGGAATGGTCTACACGGGAACATGCACTCTTGACGGTTGTGAGAAGGTTAGAGAGAGCACGTGTGTCAGTATCGACGAGTGAGGCCGCGTCCGGCGCGTAAGTGAAGGGGGTACGAATGAAAAACCATACCTTCTCAGACGTTTCCTATGCGAGATGGGCGCACGTGTAACCAAGTGCAAGACGCTCATCAACGAGCGTGGCGTTGATAGGTTCTAGAAGTATCGCGGTGCCACCGGACCCTGTCGTAAATCATATCTCACAGATAGGGCTCATATCCGATAGAGTAGACGGATCGTGCTCGTGCTTGTGTTCTAGAATATGCACCTTGCGCATAAGAGGGGCAAACATGCGCATGCGCGCCTCTTCGAGATACGAGTCTCGAGATGCAGTCGTCATGTTTCTCGGATCTAGAGCACCACTCATTCGTCAAACGCGTGTGCGCAAGCATCAGCGGAGGTTCTGATGCACCGGTTATCAGGATGATTAGCGCAGTTCAGACGGGAGGTCCCATGGCGTCGTTTCGAAATCAAGCAATTCAACGTGGGAGGATAAACGAAGATAGTGGGGGCTTTTAGAACCTCTCGGGTTCATGCGTTCATGCCGAGAACAGCGAGCGTTTCAGATGTATTGATTGCTGGAATGTTTTTGGTGAGTGGGAGCCGAGGTGTTGGAGCTAGCCCTGACGAGATAGACAAGACGGGAGAGGGGTGTGGTGGATATTACAGTATGTTCTATGCGGGTCACAAATCCATGTGCCCAGGTGGTGTGGTTCGCACGTGTCAGAATACATCGTGAAGTCAGATTAGACAGGCAGGGATCCGGAATCGGACGTCTGAAACGATAGTGACCTGCGGAGTCTTGATAGGTAATGAGAAAGCAGTCGCCTAAGGCGCGGAGACAGATGCAAGGCTGTGGAGTTGAGCGCCTAATGGCAACGACGGAGCGAAGTACGCGATGTACATAGAAGAGCGTGATAATGGACTGAGAGTCTCAAGTTGGTCCGATGCGCTGGGGTTGGGTTGTCCTCGGAAGTGTGGGGACGTTCGGCGTGCGCATGATATTGTGTATTGATCGTGGGGCTCGGCGCCTAGCGTAAGGCTGGTGTCCGTTTGCTCATGATTGCCAGGATCGTCTGTCTCTTGAGCCCAGAGGGTTTGACTTTGTTTCTTCAGGCAAACGATCCGAAAGTTGAGACGATTACGACGATGGCGCGATATTGGCCATTGCAGGTGCGTAGCCCGAAGCAGGCAGAGGTGAGCGTCGTCAGATAGGCGCTGCAGGTGCACATAGCTAAGGCACGATGAGTCGCGAGACTAAGATGCGAGATGGGCCAGATATCTCGGTTGGGTGCTGGCGGTGAGGCTCTGGAGGCGCTCAGGCTGGAAGCGTCTGTGATTCTTCCGTGGGCTGCGATAAGCGCCTTCTTTTAAGCTTGTCGTAGCCGCGAGAGCGCGTGATAGGCGGCAAATTGTTAGCTCAGCAGCTCAGACTGCACAGCGGGCGGCGACGGTGGAGATTGCAGAGGCAGCGCAGCGGCTTGGTTGTTCCGTACTGCGCTTGGCACGGCGTGAGCGTGGGAGAGGTGCTGATCGGAGTCGGGGATTTGTGTCGCTTAACACGCCCGTTCCGGAGTGTGGGAGACGTCATTTGCGAGGGTGTTTCAGATGGGACGAGTTATCGCGACGTGGTGGACTGGTGGAGAGGGGGTGCAGGAGGGCGCCTTCCTTGCGGGCGCCGCCACGGGTCGAGCGAGGCAGCGGCGGCCGACCGAGGGAAAGAGCAGCGCAGCGCAGCGCAGGCGGGTGGGTGAGTGGCAGATGGGCGTGCAAGGCCCCGCGTCCGAAGTGCGTCGAAACGGCCAGCAACAGAGGACATGCAGGTACTGTGTACAGGCATCGGCATCGGCAGCGCAGCGCAGCGCCACGGCCAGGGACTGCGCTACGGCGTTGACAAGCATGTGTACAGGTGGCTTGGGAGCCGCAATAACGATGCGGTTGGCTGCGGCTGGCCAGCTCCGTTTCAAGCGTTTCGTTCCATCGGACCACGCCATCGAGTCATTGGCTGCCGGCCAGCCCGTCGGGCCCAGCTCTTATGCGCCCTCGTCCTCTGCTTCACCTCGACTTCGTGCGCACTGCTACACGGAGGATTTTGCCTTCACACATTCGTTTCTTGCGACCCAACTGTTGTTCACTCGTTTTGACAACGTGCCGCCGCCGCCTGCATTTTGGACCGTCTCGCCATCACAACCTCAGCCCACACCGGTCCGACTTTCATTCATAGACTCGACAGCCATTCGCACCTCGTCGACCGATCTGCCAGCCAGCTCGACATTCACGTCCGCCCTTCACCGACATTGTGCCGTGCACAATCCACTTTCACTTCACTTTCACTTCACGCTGACTTCGCTGTGCACACCAAATCTGTTCCGCCTCCCGCTTTCCAACGATTCGCGACAATACCATTGTCATGCATTGTAGGTGACGAAACAACAGCTTTGCCCCCTCCGCATTGTGTACATTCCTCGTTGCCACACCGATAAAGCCAGGCCACCCCTCGACGCACGCGCGGAACATCCCCTTCAAGACTTTTGGCATTCCACCATAGCACCCGGCTGTGCTTCGCAATAACACTGCTCAACGCAACGTCGACTTGGTTTCGAGTAGGAACTAAGTCTCTTGGCTACAAAGACTCGCCAGTAAGATTAACCACGAGCGCACTCCCTTGTGCAGCCGACGATTACTTCCTGATATACTCTACAATATACACATGTCCCCCCACCTCTACCCCCGGAGGGTGGAGCTCCCGACCCACGACACCAAACTCGCACCACGCCACTTCCTGGAAGGGTGGGATGCCTCTGGCTACGAGGCGCTGACGTACTCATGGGGTCTTAGTGGTGTCGAACAAGAGGGTAACTTTGTCTGGGTTCACACCTTCCTTACCATCCTTGGTGTTTGCGCGTTTGGCCTGCTAGTACTACGATTCACAAACATGTTCTACAAGCATGCGCGGCACTTGACTGTCATGAGCAACCCTGAAAGACAAGAGTACTGGAAATTGAACAGGTCAGGATGGTGGCCATGGCTTAACCGTCATGTCCTCATGGCGCCACTACACAAGAAAAAGCACAATGCGACCTTTCAAATCTCCTCCGCGATCGACAACGGCACCCTTCCAGGACGCTGGCACTTTGCTCTGATTGTCATCTATGCCGCCTTGAACGTCGCTTGGTCCCTTTGCTTAGACTGGAGCAAGGAGCGCATGTCTGTTGTTGCTGCACTTCGAGGTCGTTCGGGAACCCTCGCAGCACTCAACCTCATTCCAACCGTCCTCTTCGCCCTCCGCAACAACCCCCCTCATCTCCATCCTTCAGGTTTCGTACGATGACTTCAATCTGTTCCATCGTTGGGCCGCCCGCATCACCATCTTCGAGGCGATTGTACACACTGCGTGCTGGCTGCACAACACGCTACAAGGCCAGGGCGTTGCCGCCGTTGCCGCCGGTCTCCGCGAAGAAGCTTCCTACGGCTATGGAATGGTGGCAACCTGCGCTTTCGTATTCCTCGGCATCCAAGCCTGGTCGCCCTTCCGACACGCCTTCTACGAGACGTTTTTGGGCATTCATCGCGTCATGGTCCTTATATCCTTTATCGGTCTCTGGGAGCATCTTGCCAGGCACGGTCTTCCCCAAATTCCGTGGATGTACATCATTTTCGCTTTCTACATCTTTGAGTGGGTAGCTCGTCTTACCTGGGCCATCTACTACAACTTCGGACAGAAGGGATGCCGGGTCCACGTTGAGGCCATGCCCGGAGAGGCTTGTCGTGTTACCATCAAGCTCGCACGCGAGTGGACCCCTAAACCTGGCTGCAACGTTCACCTATACATTCCCAGACTCATGGGACCTCACTCGCATCCCTTCTCCGTTGCCTGGGCATACCCACCGTCTCCCTCGTCTAAAGAGCACAAGGAACGCTCTCTCTCGCAGCTCGAGGGCGGTATCTCCCCCCAACTCACCCCACACCCTCCAACGCACAAAGCAGATCAGCTTGATCTGCCGCGCTCGTACAGGTTTCACCCGCACAATTTACGAGAAAGCCTGCGAACAGCCCAACAAATCTTTCGACGCATGGGGTTTCATCGAGGGCCCCTATGGCGGACACCACAGCCTTGACTCCTACGGCACGTGTCTCTTGGTTGCCGGCGGTGTCGGCATCACGCACCAGGTCATGTACATCAAGCACCTCCTTGCTGGCGCACACGCCGGTACCACCGCTACGCGCCGCATCCTGCTCGTCTGGTCAATACCCGATTCCGAGAGCTTAGAGTGGATTCGCCCATGGATGGACGAGATTCTGCGCATGCCCAGCCGCAAGAAGCACCTGCGCATCAAGCTTTTCATCACGAAGCCCAAGGGCCGCATCGAGCAGGGCAGCTCAGAGAGCGTGAAGCTGTACGCCGGGCGGCCGAATTGGAAGACACTTATTGCAGAGGAGATGGCGCATCGCGAGGGCGCGATGGCCGTAACCTGCTGTGGGAGCGGTGGATTATCTGACACTGTCAGGGCGTCAGTGAGGCCGCTTACAACAGAGGGATGCGTGGACTACATTGAGGAAGCGTTCTCCTACTAAAAAAACCATCCCCATCGCATTCCCCGAAGCATCGAAGCGTATGTGTCCTTTTTGGTTGTCTGATTCTGCATTTCTATTCTGCATTTCTAGCCCTGCATTTGCATGTGCGTCACTCATAGTGTCGCCCTCCCGTATCATTACTCCTATCTATCCTATCCATACCATATCGTCGTTTTCTTGTCTTGTCTGTCGTTTTCAAAAACTTCGCTTCTTGTGTTATACTTCTTAGCTACCAGGTTTAGTGTATGAGCATGAAGCAGCGTTGGCGTTGTTTTGGTAATGGGAAGATGGTAGCTAGATAGCCTGAGCTAGTGTAAATATGTCGCGTTGCCTTGGTTCTGAATTATTACTTTGTCGCGTTCCTCACTGTGTGGTGCTTGTGTGTGCAGTCTCGCTTTGATCGGTTTGTTTTAGGGAGACGCTAGCCGTAACGCGCGCCTCGTGACGTCCAACGGGCCTTGTGGTGTACGTCTGCAATTGCGTCCTGACACTTTTGTTCTTGCTGGCATCGCCCTAATACCCTTCGTGATCTGCCTATGCGTCAGTCTTCTGCCTCGGGGTTTACGCCATGGCGCGTACGTTCAACGCCTGTTTAAGCCCTAGAGGTCATTTGTCAGCGACATTATCCGATGGGCTTCCGCGGAGGCTTCAATACCTAATTCTTGGGATCCGAGAAGCAGTTACTATCTTTACTGTCCAGCAGGCACTTAGTCCGTGTCGCTCAGTTTAGCCAATGCTCTCCGATTCATGATGGATGAATCAAAGACTCCCAGACAGGTATGAGCGCTCCTTTTTTTTTTTTTATAAAACTTTGCCGACGATTCATCGTGGTCCTTTGGCTAAGATTTGAATGCAAAGTCCTGTGACTTTTGTTATCAACGGAAAATCAAGTGCGACAGAGCGAAGCCTGTTTGCTCACACTGTACTACGTATTTGGTCGACTGTACCTATTCGGCGCCGAGTCGCAAGTCTCGACCGAAGAAGCGACAGGATCCCGTCGGCATCGACGATACTACCGGTCATACGCAAAACCGATTGCGGCACCTAGAAACTGTGATTGAGCAACTTAATGAGCGTGTGAAAGCCGCTGAACACCACGGGGCTCGACTTCAGAGCCAATTGCAGCAGCAAGAAGCGACGCCGATCGACAGCACATCACTCTCAGCCTTAGCTACTAGCGACCATGGAGATACAGACTTCGTTAACGACAGCCCTGTGTTGATGTCTCTCCCTCCTTTAGAGGATGTCCTACCTATCGTCAAAGTCTTCCTGCACACCTTCAACACGGCACTACCGCTGTTCCATGCCAACTCTCTTCTTTATCTAATTCACCATTTTTACAAAGTTCGGTTGCCGCAGCGGGATCCGGTAGTATGGGCAGCGATCAACGTGGTGCTGGCTCTCGCATACCGAAGCGACTTGGTGGGCAGTCGCAATACCAACCTCTCGGTCGAATATCTTAACAAAGCGGATTCAGTGCTCTCAGCCGTTGTGCTGGGAGATACCCATTTGCTCAACATACAGGTTCTTGTGGGCATGGTGTTTTTACTTCAAGCCTCGCCAGACCTTACACACTCGCTGGTCTTGATTGCTACAACGATACGTCTTGCCCATAAAATTGGCCTGCATGACCGCACCGCCTCTGCATGTCTAGACGCCGTCGACGCTCGACAGCGCGCCTGCGTCTTCTGGATGGCGTATATACTCGACAAAGACCTTAGCATGCGCTCAAAACAGCCGTCAATCCAGCTTGACGACGATGTCGACCTCGACCTACCCAGCCCTGGAATTGCTGAATACCAAATTAAGAAAGTGGGTGTTGCTGACATCGGCATCGATCCTGGCGTTTTCACTACCGCGGACGGAAACGTAGAGATGAACTACTTCGTGACTCGCATTCAACTGGCTGTCATTGAAGGTGGCGTGTATGACTATCTCTACTCCACGCGATCAAGAAATCGCAGCGCTGAGGAGAGATCACAAGCGCTGAAGAGCATTTTTCGTGCTCTAGAGACGTGGAAGGCATCTATACCGCTTGAATTCGATGCCCCAATGGCCCCGAAAACGATATCTCCCACCATGCTCCAGTTCCTTGCAGTATTGCACTCGACCAGCCTGGCGTGTACAACTCTTTTGAATCAAGCGAACGTTTGGAACACCCTGTGGATGAGTAGTATATGGAAGTATGCGACGGAAGGCATTACGCCAGTACTGCCATTCCAGTGGGAGGCCACAGTGGATCAGGCGCGACATCTGGCGGTTTTGATTGGGGCTTTGCCTGTACAGAACCGATGGAACTTTTGGTAAGTTTCACACCAGTATTGCTAGGACAGATTATCGTTGTGTATATTGTTTGTATGCTTCATACCGATTGCCGCTCGATGACGCTAATCTCCAGTGATAGGACGACAGGCTGCTCCCACATGACAGCCATGATGGTGTTGACTTTCAATGGCATGCAAAGGCCTCAACACGACAATCTAGCCTTAGACAACCGACTGGTTGATGATGGTCTGCGGCTGCTTGATAAAGTCCTGGAGGAAACCCAAAATGAAGTGATCCGCTCGTTCCGCGACACCTGCGTTAAGTTGCACCGTGACTGTCAGCAGAGACGCGCCGAAGCCACTTTGATGGCCAACGACCTCGATTTCTCCGCGTATCTCGTTACTCCCTAACGTACATCATAAACGATTGGGCATGAGAGGGGCTCCAAAGTGCGGCATTCACACGCAGACCGTATGGAAGTGATTAACTGTAGGGTTGAAACAGTCAACAAATTATATGAAATGAGAGCTACGGGCCATTACTTTAAGTTTCATTGTTCTTTCGAACATGGGATGGTGTTCCGCGGAAGGCCTTCCGAAGCTGTTCAGCCCGAGCTCATGTCTTATTTCTGGATTCCTTCTGAGCCATTCGTAACGTGCCATTTGTAATCGTGCCTTCCGCGGAATCGACGTCTCGGCCTGCTTACGTTCAAGATGTCTATATAAGCTGTCAGAGCCAGCCCTGAAAAAAGAGTCTCATGATCCAACAAGCTGTGCAAGGACCCGTTTTTCTACGCGCCTTGGCCGATTTTTCCACTTGCGAACGACCCCTTACATGCATCCCTGTCCATAAGAAATTGCCCACTTGAACCAACAAAATGACGGTCAGTAACACCGAACTTTATCCTGGAGACAAATTCTTCAAGTCGTTCACCAAGACATGGCACAACAAGCCTTATCCCCAAATCTCGCCCTTCCGCCCGGAGCTGCGGATCGCCGGCAGTGTCGTATTTATCACGGGTGGTGGCACTGGCATAGGGTTCGCCACCGCAATCGCCTTTGCACAGGCCGGTGCCAAAATCATCGCCATCTTCGGCCGCCGTATCGACAAACTGAGGTCGGCCGCTAAAGAGATCACCGAAGCAAACCCCAATGGGACAACAACCGTCATATTTGAGGGCGTGGACTTGAGCCAGCGTGCCGCCGTGGAAGCTGCCTTTGTCAGTGCTATCAAAAAGGCTGGCGAAGTCCGGATTGATATCTTCATACACAACGCTGGCATCCTACAAACCCAGGGGTTCGTTGCAGACTACGACTACGACCTGTAAGCAAATCATAGGGTGCTAAGTGGATGTGTCTTTCTGGCAAAAGAAAGATTTCTTTCTCGCTAGGCTGAGACATACATAAGGTATTCGTCCACCCTGTCTTGACTCACACTGACTTTGTACCCGCGCTATAGGTACCGCAGAGGCTTGGACCTCAACATGGATGGTGCCTTCAACACCGTCCAGGCGATGTTGCCCCTCCTGGCCCCCGAAGCCAAGGTTTTCAATATCTCCTCGTGTATTGCACATATCAGTCTAATGCCTCGTTGCTGGGCCTACGCTGCAACCAAAATTGCAAACGTCAAGATGTTCGACTACTTTCAGGCCGAGAATCCGAACTTACACGTTGTCAATGTTCACCCTGGGGTCGTGAATACCGAACTCAATGCCGGCACAGAGCATGATGGTGTAGGAGTCGATGATGGTAAGCAGGATCTCGTTCCTTTCCTCGTCTCCCGTTTTTACTTCTGCCCTTCTCCACAAGTCCATGTTGAGTTCTCCTATCTTTGCTACATTTAATTAACTATCTTTGGCAGTCGATCTTCCTGCTCATTTTCTCGTCTGGCTTGCATCTCGTGAAGCCCACTTTCTTAAGGGAAAGTTTGTGTGGGTAAATTGGGATGTGGATGAATTGAAAGATCGTACCGATGATATTGAGGGCTCGATGGCCCTCACACTCGGGCTGCATGGTCTTCCAATGTAGTCTACCGCGGGACTCCTCGGATACGCGATGGGTTGACTGCACGCATCTGACGGAGATGTTGATTGTTTTGGCCACGTCAAAAAGGGGGACCGACAACTGTTTCAGATCGAATCCTTGCCCACCTCAGGAATATCAACCGGCTTTATAACACTGTTCAGATCTCATGTCATTTACCTCCTTTGACCCGATGACCATGAGCGAATCGAGCCTCCGCTGAATTGTGCATTTTCAAGTGCAGTCGTTTTCTTCTCTTGTACTCTGGCCCCTCGCAACTTCTGCAATGTCTCGTAATCACCACTTTGATTAAGAAGCTTAGTACCGGAAGGTTGAAAGATTGCTGGGGTTCAGGTGGAGACGAGCTCGTATTGAAGTTGTGATACATAGCACGATGTAATGATGTGTTGCTGTTACGAGTCTTACACTGACAGTGTCCATTATATAGCATACTTGGAATTCCTTGCCTCTGCTCTACAATTCTCTTCTATCACCTTCGTGACGAACAAAATGTGATCTCATAATTCCGCAACGGTCTGTACCCAATGAATTTTTCCGAATTACACCAAGTAGGGGGCTCACACACCTTGCACTGGTATTTCCGCAATCACTCGCGACTCTGTAGTCACACCATTCGCTTAATGAGACACTTGAAAGCGTGTGTGGCGAAGTGTGTGCTAGTTCCTTTGGTTTGTACGACCCTGTAGTTGTCGTCTTTAAGGTCGTAACAGTCGCCACAGTATACGCCAGCCTTGATGCCCTTCAAGCATGTGCAGCCGATGTAGGTGCATGCGCGCTTCTCGAGTGGGATGCAGACGGATTGTTGGGTACTTTGGCGTCAGCGGCATAAATCGGATAGTTCTTTACCACATTTGATCCACGGAGTTCACAGTGCATTTTCCACAAGAGACCATGAACGCGAGAGACGCGAGAATTTGTGTTTTGGAGTAGGTCTTGATGCTATACTTCTCCACAATCAATATAAATTGTCAGACTGCAGCTGAGCTGTGTAACCTCAAGATGAAATCTTGTTGGCGTAGTATTGAGCCCTAAACCGAAGCTGAAATATGTGAAGAAACTATCACACCAAGCAATACCCATCTGAACCAGGGCCTTAGCCAATCTGCAATATCAATGTAGAGTAGCGTGCAGAAGGCTGCAGCAGAATCCATTCGAGCGTGGTGGACTGTGAGAAGTTGCTCAAGTTTTCCAGGGGATACACGAGGTTGACGAGTTTATAAACAGCCACTTGCGAGCTTTCAACCGCAAAATAGGCAGGTGCGGTATTGGGTCATAAGCGTTCGTCTCCCAAATGGAATTTTCTAAGGCCGGGTGAGCCCAAGCCCAGTCCTCTCATCAAACGCTCAGGCACCAGGCTCTTCGATTTCGACGTATACCCGTAGCTCCTTCTCCACCATAACATTGTACACCTTCCTTAGATCTTCCTGTCCCAGAAACTCCTCTCCCAAGTGTGTAAATGCCATCATCATGTAGTCTTTGCACCAAGGCAGGTGCGTTAAACCTCGAAAGAAGGTGTCCTTGACCCTCTTATGTGCCTCTCCTACTCTGATCTCCTCCTTGGATCTCTTTCCATCCTTGCGCGGCCTTATCCGGGATAATTTTTTATGCTCTTTCCGTGCCTCTGCAATTTCGAATAGAACATGCTGCTTCCACAAAGCTGGGCAATGCGCACCGATGTCTTCTTCCGCTTTCCCGATGAGAGCGCGGATGGAATGCGATGTTGAACCGGCGATCTCCCCTCGCAGGGTTTCATGATGGATTGCGAACGTCCAGCTTACGATCGTGCGGTCCTTGTCTTGAGAGCGTTGGTGCATTATGGACCTAACACGGTCATCGATGGCAAACCGTGCTTCGTTAGCGGCATAAAGTGATAAGAGGATCGTATTGTCTGGGAATTTCGCAATGAGAGGCTCTAAAGTTTCGCGTAGGAGTGCAGGTTTGACAATACGTGCGCGTTCGGTGTGCAATATCAGAAATTGTGCAACGTATTGAGCGTGAATCTCCGCTGCTGAGCTTTGTGACATGTTGTGGCGTGAAAGCCAAGTGGAAAGCCGCGAAAAGCTTAATAGTGCTGCCTCCGGCTTCTCGTTACTCGAAAAATACGTTAGGATAGCGATGAGCGATGTCGCCATGGCGGCTCTTGAGAAGTGGCTAGCCAGCAGCGCTCGCTCGCAGGTGTCGTTTAAAGTTCTTTGGGCCCGAAGAAGAGCAGCTTGGTTCGGGGCACCTTCAGCACCAGACACCTTTTCGATCTTGCCTGTAGGAGATACTAGACGCCAAAGCGCTTCCTCCCCGTCGCTTCGTCGTAAAGCTTCCCAAACCCAGCTATAGAAAATTTCAAGGCTGCCGCTTGTCGAGAAAGCCGAGTCTCCATTCTGCGTTGAGAGTGCAGCACTGAATACGTGGTCTGCCCTTTCGAAACAATTTCGGCGTGATTCCACTAGCCCATAAGCATTGTAAAGACGTAAGCTTGTAGGACGTGCTTTCAATAGCTCTTTGGCGGTTTTGAAAGATTCAGTAGGAAAGTACTGAGATTCAAGTGCGAGCAGATATTCCCCGATGGAGTCTCCATCCAGTACCTCACCAACAAGCAGTTTTAATGCCTTGCGTACGAATCCAACATCGACGATTCTGGGCGTCTCAGGGAAACCCTGGTAAAAAAGTAGCTGTGGAGTCGACTGAAACTTCTGTATTGGACATTTTGTGTATTTTGTAATGAGGCCGGTAAAACCAATCGGGTCTTCTTGAGGAGCTTCGTTCCATCCTGTCCGCAGAAAAGGATCCAAGGTATATCTGTCAACATACGAGCCGTTGCTTTCAAGGGGAGGTAGATCACAGAATTGCAGAAACGCGGAAATCATGGCGATTTGCCCGCAAGACCGTGGAAGAAGCTTCAGATACACTTCGATATCTGAAAAGAGAACCATGTGGAAGGGGTCGTCTTTACCCAGCTCATCAATCGTACGACCTGGATTTTGTAGCTTCGAGATGTGGTCTACCTCTCGCTTCCGGAAATCATCCCAAATGGCGTCCACGGTATCCGGTTTGATGAGCTGAACGATATCTGCCTCGAGAAAAGAGTTGTCATCCATGTTGGAGTTTCGCCAACCCTTCGCATTGTCCTCTCCAATGCGAGGTGCCTCACTCTCCCAAAATTCTTCAAACGTCTGCAAGGACCGTGGCGGATCCGTAGGGGCCAATGCATGATATTCAAGCAGAGCTTGCCATATAGCCAGCGCAATTTCTTGATAACCGGCTTGATGTATGAGAGAGGTAAGGCGACAAAAAATGTAGAGACTTAGATCTGGGTCGATGGCTGTCGTGCTCATTTGCATCGTTTTCAAGCATTGTTGAAACGTGGTTATACATGCTTCGTACCTGAAACTGATAAAACTCGATTCTAGCCAGTCCAAATACTTCAGCCAAAGCTCGGCGCTGAACGGAAGTTTCGCGAGGACCTCAGCCCATTTGCGCGCCATTTGTTCTTCATGCCAAGCTCTAGCGGCCTCGGTCATCATACCACAATATAGCTTGACCTGACCATGCTCATCGCTGTTGGCATTTTTTAGTGCCTGCTCGTAGATAGAAACTCGAATCTCGGCAAGATGCATTTTGTCTGTGGTGCACAGCTCGGTTGATGACCGCTCCATCTTCATCATGTCTTCTTGGTATTCGATAAGCTCGATCCAGGCCTGTAGATCTTCTGGGTGATCTTTCGTCCTGCGCACCAAGACCGAGTTTCGTGCAGTCACGTCAGCGTTCACAGCGTTCACAACAGATTCATGTTCATATTCTGCATCTGAATCTGCCGGCTCACTAGTATTCGTATCTTGTATACCGCGATAATCAAGATCCCCGTCCGCACCACCGTCGGACTCGTGTTCGCCACGCTTTCGTTTCCGTGTCGTCGAAAGTGCGATGAAATCGCGATCGTGATCGGCTACATCGTTCTCTTTCGATCTTCTGACGAAACGTATCGCCTTGGTCCGCTCCCGAACAGCATGCTTGTTCGTTAGTAATCTTTCCTTGCGACGTCCATTTAGAGTGGTGAGAACTATGGCTTTCTCTGTGGATAGGTTGCGGTCTATCTTCCAGTCTAAAGCAAGACCGAGCACGTATCCGCAGCCAAAGCGTCGATAGTCCGGTACATCATGTCGATTAAGGCTGCCGTATCTTACGATGTCGCGATCGCCTCGTCTGTCGCTAAAATATGATTTGGAGGGGCCGTTGAGCGATGTCGACTCCGCGCGTCGCGGGTTCTTCTGCCGCAATGTGCTCGTTTCTGGAGTCCTTTCCTGTAATATTGTTTTCTCTGGTCTTTGCCCTCTCTCTGAATCCCTTTTTCGCGATGGTTTCTTCGACTCGCTGGAGCTTCTCTCGTTAGGAGATCTCGCCGATCGCTCCCGATGTTCTGGTTCTGTCGGTTCTTTCTCAAGGCTCGCAGCATCCTTTGACTTCGGCCTGAAGCTCGTGAACTTCGGAACGCCGGAAACCATGCTTACTAGCAAGCAAATATCAGAAGATTCAGAAGTGGGTTGTTTGACTGGCAGTTAGTTCAACCACAGTTACGGGTGGTAGGGTTGACAAGATTCCGGTTTCGTTGCATACGCAAAGACGCGCCTCTTAAAGAGCAGGCAAATTGTGATTTCCACATCGTATGAAGTTCACGTGCGCATTTCACGTATCTAGGAGAGAGATGTAGGCGGCGAATGAGAGATGGGCGTTGACGGTGGAGAGCGGGAGTGAGCAAAGACCACCGAAATCTTGGCAGCGCCTTCTCCACCAAAAAAGTTCTTGCCCACATGCAAAGTTGGATCTCACTAAGCTGCGCTCTTTACACGACGACTTTTCCAGCCGCAGGGCTTCGTCCGATGGGCCGTGAGACCACTGCCACTCTTGCGCATACCTCGTAGTCGCTTCGCGCGTCAATCCCCATGACGTCTCTCCAGAAACAGCTCGCGGCCATCGCCGCCACGAGCACACACCAATTGGATCTCAAAGCACAGAAGCTCGCCCATGGCAAATCATTGCTCTTCGAACCCCGGATCGCCGCTTCGCAGACTTTCGAAAATATCTATCTTATCTGCTATGAAGGCTTCCGGGATCTTTGCGCGCTGGATCCGCGCTTCGTGCAGTTTTCGCGAAACCTGTTCAGCGAGCAGAGTAAAGTGGAAGACCGGACACAGATGACGCAGCAAGAAAATGAGAAGCTGGACGAGGTGTTGGAGACATTTATTACCATGGTCGGCCCACGATTGCTACTGAAGCCCGCCGAGAAAGCGCTGGATTGGTTGGTCAGAAGATTCCGGTACGCCAAACTCTCAGACATCAAAGACGAGAACTGATAACTTCTAGCATTCATGAGTACAACACAGAAAGCCTCGTAATGACATACCTACCATACCACGATACCCCGCAGTTCCTTGCGCTGCTATCTATATTACCATCAAATCCAAAGCCGGCATGGCGGTTCCTTCATCCTTACATACAACCTCCCACCAACCCACCGCGCCGGGTCATCGTTTACACTGCGACAAACACACCGACGTTTTTCGAAGCGCTGCAGAACTATATCATGAGAGTGCTAAAGGCCGGTCACCAGGGACCCAGCTTGCTTACATTTTGGTCTAGCGTGACCACCCAAGCAATTGATGGTATCCTTGACCACACTACCGGACGTAAAGAGGTGCAGGACCAAAGGACGGAGGGCCTACTTTTGCGAGTCTTGCGGGTACTCAATGTGTGCATGAGAGGGTCAAACGGTACGGATGCCGTTATCGCGTGTTACATGATCGTTATCGTGTTGGTGACGAAGTCCTCTTTGGAGGACAAGGTTCTGAATTCGATCATGGAGGCCGTCACCCTTAGTCGCGATGATGACACATCAGACGCATGCTTAATGTGTTTGGCTGTCATTGCCGAAGAAAGGACACATGTGCAATTGCCAGTACCAGTAGCAAAGAGGTTATCGAAGACTCCAGATCTAGCCCGAACCTTGATCTCGCTTTCACGACAATGTCGCGTGGACCGTCTTGCCCTGGGCTGCGCCTTGGCTAGCCTGGACGGTATCGCTGAGAGCGATGAGAAACAGCAGTCTTTCAAGAATATCATCGAGGCGAATTTGCTCGATGACCCGCAGTTGTCGGTAGCGCTGTCGGGTCTGTTACAGATCGCTCAAAATAGCGAACGCAGCTCGCCCCAGCATACCCAATTGATTGACTTTGCTTCGACACTGAGCGAAAATTCCAGCACAGCCCGCGTCATCAACAAAGTTGCCCAGCAACACGCGATCGACCTCGAATCATTAGGGCTGATTGTCGGTTCCTCTCTCACCGTCGATGAAAGCGCCGATATAGAAGACGAAGACGAAGACGAAGACATGTTGGATGCCGAAGATGATGAGCATACTGATGCCTCCTTAATCTTGCCACCTGAGATTTCAGAAGCGAGCTTCCTGAGCGTGCAATCCGCACAGTCTTTCCGAGGCACGCTTTCTCTATTCGAACGAGCTGTCGCGTTGAATCGAACCAAACATTTCTTAGGAGCGCCCGCTCTCCAACGCAAATCGGCCTTTAGCAAGCCTCTTTTCTTTAGCTTCCTGGCTCGAGTGTGGTGCAGCTCTGCATCCGTTAAAGCTCGAGCTGCAGCTCTTCGCGCAGCCATCTCTCTTATCAGAGAAGAGCAAAAGCCGATCAATCTGCAACACATGGTTCCATACCTCTTGTTTGCGCTTGCGGATCCTTCTGCCATTATTCGTCGGTCTGCAGCTGCGTGCGCTTCTGCGCTCTCGACTTCAAAGCCTGCAAGCAAAGTTTGGGCTTCCTCTGATTTATACGGCACTGCTTTTCCGAAGTCAGCACAGCTCTCTGCGGAGCAGCTATCGGAGTTTCTCACCGCCTATCTCGTCCCGGTCCTCGAAGAATGCGCCATGGATGCCAACTTCCTCATCACAAGTGCTGAGGAGGCATTGGAAGGATCGCACTCAAAGATTGGGAAGCGTGGACTGAAGAGTGCCACGCGAAGTCCTGTCGCCGCATTTCTAGCCACGCATACAGCTTCCTCGCCTCTACTCGATTTACGTCTTCGTCTCCTTCCCCTGTTTCATTCGTCAGCTAAAGCTTATACTGGCCTCCGCAAAGACACCCTACTGCCAATGTTGCGCGCCTGGAGCTCAAGTTCGGAAGTAGACCTTGCAAAGCATTTGCAAGGTAACCCCGATGAATTTGCGGATGCCGATCGAGCACACCTTGCTGCACTTTTGCCAAGAGAGCACGAGAGTGTGCAACTGGCGCAAGACATCATCTCCGGTCGTACCAACAAGGAACGGACACGGCTTGTGGAAAGAGCCTTCGACTGGCTGAATGCCAATTTTGGAAAGATGAAGGCTGAAGCGCGCCTGGAAGTTGGCCAGCGTCTGTTGGAATTGTCACTTCAGGAGAACGAGACGGGATTTGAGGCTCTATCCCGTGGTCGGGCGCTTGAGACTCTTCGCAATGTTCGATTGGACACCGAAACGCTCGTCATCTTCATCGAAAGCGTTCCATCGTCGCTGCAACTGGCTGAGGGACCTCCCACGAAGAAGAGAAGAAGGACCAGTCGTAATGAAATGGCACGTGCAGAATTCCAAACCCCGGACGATATTTCCAGAGTTCTTCGAAGGCTCACGCTGGTTTTGGAACTAATCGAAAGTTCCAGTCCTGTTGAACACACCGCCCTGTTCAAAAATCTGTTCACGGTCCTTGATGATCTCCAACAGTTGAAGCAGCAGTCGGGGTCCGATTTGGTCTACCTTCAAAGCTTGATCTTCAGTTCCTTAACGCCCATGGTCAACCGGCTTAAAGAAGAGGAAAATTCCTCTCAAGCTCAAGCCGCAGTGCGCGCCGACATCCTTATCGATTGCATACGCCATTCCACAAGTCCTCAAGTACAAAACGCGGCCTTGCTACTCATAGGAAGCCTGGCTTCATGGGTTCCGGAGATGATCCTGCATAATTTAATGCCCATTTTCACATTCATTGGAAGCTCGCTGCTTCGCCAACAGGACGACTACTCTGCTCATGTCGTGGACCAGACCATCTCGCGCGTTGTTCCCCAACTGGCTTCTTCGTTAAGATCAAAACACAAGAACTTTCTTATCGGCGTCGCTGATCTATTATTGAGCTTCACGGCGGCATTTGAACATATCCCATCGCATCGACGACTAAAGCTGTTTTCCGAGCTCGCCCGGACGCTTGGTCCCAATGATTCCCTTCCGGCCATCGTCGCGCTACTGGTCGACAGATATCCAAACAACAAGATACAACGCAGATTCTCAACCGATTTGATCATGTCTTTCGAACCGCTCACAGCCCTCGAAACTTTCAAGGGCTACCTTAACTTGATCGAGGAGGCTGCCGGTACGAAACATCAGCGCAAGATTTCCGAGACCTTGTTCAGCTTCAACGATAAGTCCCCTACCGATATCGAGCAAACCCTAAATAACCTACTTGCATCCTTCGCAGACCTTGTTTCTGAGGAAAGGCTGAAGAGCCATGCTACTAGAGCGTTCACACGTAGTAGAGACCCTGCCGTCCCTCGAACAGTCTTTGCATCCGTTGTTGAGACCGTCATCAGAATCTCGAAGTATGTAAAGCATCAACCAAAGCTATACCATAGCTGCAGCCGCGTGCTTGGGAAGTGCCTGGATCTCTTACCAACACCTGATCTAATTAAGTCTACCGAGCTCTTATTGGCAAAACAAGACCGAGAAGTTCAGATTGCCGCTATTAAGTCGGTTGAAGTCCGAGCAAGCACGGTCTTCCAGAACGACAAGTCGTCGGTCTCCTCACTTCTGGAATTCCTTCCTCACCTTGATGGTCTCCTACAGCAAGCTGGCGATGCGGATGTAAAACGAATCGCCATCAGTTGCATTGATAGCATTGTCGGCAGATTTGGCAAGAGAGACACGTCAACTGTTGCTGCGGTAGCCGAAACGGTCGCAGGGTCACAAGCTCTATCAAACAACGACGACCAGACTCGCATCCTATCACTGTTGTGCTTGACATCAATGATTGATGTTTTGGAAGATGAGGCAATCTCTCTGCTACCGACTATCCTACCCGTGGCTTTTGAGTATCTCGGAGCCGCTATCGAAGAAGAAAACACGTCTCTGCACAATGCTGTCTACACGATGTTGGCTAACATAGTCCAACGACTTGGTTTCATATTTTCGGGGGATTACCTGATCCCTGTGCTCAAGCTCTCTCAACAATCAGCAGCAGGTGATCTTGGTGAGGAGTGCGATGAGGAGCGAAGGCAATTCTTCGAAAAATTATCACAGCACCTGGAAGCACAAGAGGTCTTCTCTGCTATCAAGTCGACGTGGGCTGATGGTCTACAACAGGGCCCCGAGGTAAGCTTGGATCCTATCGTCGTCACAATCAGCAAAACTAACAAGATGCAGGCGGTAGAAGAGGAGCTGAAGTTGATGCGGGCCACCATTGAAATTCGCACGAAACCTCAACTTGTAAAAGCCAGTTCAACGCTTTTTGGCCTGTTGTTGCACATGTTCAAGCTCAGAGATAGTGTTGCCGATAATGAGGACTACGAAGACGAAGAAGTCGAACAACTAGAAGAGAACCTCGTAGAAACGGTCATTGCTATGACCTTGAAGCTCAACGATCAGACTTTCCGCCCGTTCTTCGCGCAGTTGGTGGATCAAGCAGCTTCGTCCTCGACCACATTCTACAAGTTCGCTGCCGCGTTCTTCGACAAGTTTAAAGGCATTGCAACGCAATATTCGAGCTACATCATCGATTGTGCATCCAAGCTGCTCACTTCACTTGTACAAGACGAGGAAGAATCTGAGCTCCGCACCGCCGTACTCCGTGCCCTACAAAGGACCTTCGAGCACGACCAAGAGGGCTTCTGGCAAGCACCCGACCACTTTGGCGCTATCATGGAACCCCTCCTGGCTCAACTCACCATCTCCGCCACCGGACAAATTACAACTGATGTGATTCCCACCATCACTGAACTCGCGTCGTCGTCATCCTCATCTACGGACAATCATCGCGAGATGAATACGGTGTTGCTCAAGTACATGCGCGCTGAGGAGGCGCATACAAGGCTAGCGACCATCAAGTGCGAGCAGGCCCTAACAGAACGACTGGGCGAAGAGTGGCTAGGTCTATTACCCGAGATGCTACCGTTCATTAGTGAGGCGAGGGAGGATGATGATGAGATGGTGGAGAGGGAGACACAGCGGTGGATTAGCAAGATTGAGGAGAAGTTGGGCGAGGATTTGGACGCCTTGTTGCAATGAGACCAGGCAGTAGATACAGTGTGTGGAGATATACCCAATCAAGAAATGTGTCCATGAAACAGTCCTTGTATGCGGAAGATGGAGATCGCTTCTGTACCCGTATGTTTTTGGTGTTCACCAGGGTGCTCGTGCGACACGGCTCAGGCACGGCGGGCTCCACCCGACGACGCGCCATCAGCCATCAGCGCCCGCATCGTATCGACAAAACCACCAACGGTCGCTTCTTTGCCCAAACACTATGTCCGCGGGCGTCTCGACAGCCTCGAGCGCGACAGAGGTCGATCGCGACCACGACGTCGGCGCAGAGACGGACCCGCCGCAGGTGTCGGCTCTCTTCCTCATTCGCTTCGATAAGAGGGTCGGGTACGTCATCTTCGATACTTGCAGCATTCCAAATACGCACTGTACCGTGCATTCGCTGACAAACATCAAGCTACACTGTCGCTTGGAAACGCTCGAATGCCTCCGTTACGCTTGACGGCGCCGTCGAATACAAATCACTCCCTTCCGGACTCCACACGCTTACATCCGACCTCGTATATTTCGTGCACGAGGGGTATGCAGGACTGAGCGCTTTTGCGAAGGGAGAGGCAGGCGCTGAGGAGCGGAACGCACAGTTCGTCAGCGTCGGCATACTGGTTAGTCGGGCATATGGGCGCCTAGGACGCAGTTGGTTGCTTGCGAGCAAGCTGAAGCAACTGGCAGAGACATTGTCAGAGGATGTAGAAAGAACAGCACCATTGGAGGAGTTTTGGGAACAACAGAGCAGTGGTGGGGAGGGAGGAGGCACCGCGGGGCCGTCGAAGAGCGAGGAACCTGCTACAAACGGTAAGAGTGGTAGGAAGAGGGCATTGAGCACCCTCACGTCGGTGGTACCGAGTGAGAAGGGAGGACTCGTGGCTGATCATCCTGCGTTGTCGATGTTGAAATATGTGGCAGATTTAGGGCCTTTGGTGTTCAGGCTGCAGCAGGCCGCGCTTTTAAGGAAGAGGATTCTGTTCATCGGGCCTCCGCCTGTGCGGACGTGTTGCGAATTTGGTAAGACTACTCATTCCCCGGAACATGTCCGGGCTGATCTTGCTAACAGAATAGTGTACAATTTGTCGGTATTATCGAGTATACCACCACATGCAGCCGATCTGGTCTCGCCAGGCACAGAAGCGCTCCTTCGTCTACCCGCCCTATTTTCGATTGGTGTGCACGATATCCCCGAGCTAGAACAACTACAGGCACAGAAGGCACATGGTGCGCCAGAGATTGGAGAGGATTTACCAAGTCAAGGATGGGTGGCTTGCACAACGGACGAGATCATTACGACGAAGAAGAAGCTCTTCGACATCGTGGTGAAAATGCCAGCAACATACGACGCGCCTCCGCAGAAGAAGGTCTGGCCCATCATGAAGACGTCAGATGGCACACAGATCAAAGCAAGTCAGCGGGATTTACGGCGGTGGAAGATGTTGCAGCTAGAACTCAGGAAACACAGACGCGGACGCTACGAGGATGAGGACGAGGATGACGGCGGCGACGACGACAACGAGGCGTTGCTAAGACCAAAAGCCAGTTGTGACGCGGAGGATGATCTGAGTGTCGATGACAGCATCATCGAACCCACAACATGGCCACAAGTTGCCTACAGTGGCTTCATGTGGTGGGCGTCGGCTGGCGAGCAACCGGCATACACAACAACGGAACGAGACCGTGACCGTGACCTCCTCGGGGATTTATCAGACTACGCAGACGCCTTACCCACCGCGATCATCGCATACTTTCACCGCTCGACGACGCAACTAATACAGAACCTGAATAGCATAATCGAAAGATCGGATGACGAGGAGACGGAGGAAGACGACGGAACACTGTTGTTGGACAAGGGGGACGTATCCCGCATGGGCCTCGACACATGGAGCGAAGCCGACAGGGCGTTCCTGAGCGAATTCAGCTGGCTGTGGTACGGTCGGATGGTCGACCTTTCCTACCGCAGGCATCGTGACTGCTGTGGTGTCAGGATGCCCGTTTTCTAGCGCACTTGGACCGGCGCGGTTGACGTTGCTACGTCTGCGTCCGTCGTTTACACGCATTGTGCAACTGCATGGTCTACTCTGATGACGTGTGTACTCGTGCGCTCGCGTCCCCCTGTGCATATACGAGTCTAGCAGGTGCCGTGTGGTGACATTGCTCGCGGAGCAGGGACGAGCTCCGTGCTGGGAGAGGTGAGGTGCAGCACTTGTCCCAGAAGAACATGGGCAGTCTGCGGCCGTCAAACCTCGAATTGTCAGTCAATGGGACGATCGTCGCCACCAATGCGCAGTATTCTGCACAGGCCGTGGAGCGACATGCAGTTGGTAAACAAGACGAGGTGCGTGGGTTGGTGCAGTGCTGTCGCCGACGTCGGCCAAAGGACTGCCCCGCAGCACAGAGCGGACCGCAGTGCGGGGCACGTGTGTGGTCAGCGTATTTTTGGGCGCGTGGTTCGTCATGGAGCGTCGGCTGGCGCGACGTGGTACCGAAATCTTTTTGCTGCGCCTGGCGACAGAGCCCTTTGAGTCAACGCTTCGCATTCTTGCTTCTCTTCTTCCTGTTCTGTACAATTCCACACAACTCTTTCCTGCGCACTCGCACTCGCGCCTGCTACCAATTGCACTTCTGACTCAACATCTGCCACCCAATTGTGAGCGACCAAAGCTCTGAGAAATGCCTATGCTCCAGGAGCCGTCGAAGAAATACAGGGCGTTCAAGCCGCTGAACCTGCCAGACCGATCATGGCCGAGCAAGACGATTGACAAGCCACCACGGTGGCTGTCGACCGACCTGAGAGACGGGAACCAGAGTCTGGTCGACCCTATGGTGAGTCAAGAGCGCGATTGCAACCTCCTATATAGCCACCTGCGCTTTCCTCCATCCTGCGCGACCGAACATGGCGGCTGACTTGCACAGGACGGCGAGCAAAAATGGAACTACTTCCAGATGCTTGTCAAGCTCGGCTACAAGGAAATCGAGGTTTCCTTTCCCTCCGCTTCCCAGACCGACTTCGACTTCACACAACGCCTGATTCGCACGCCTGGCATAGTTCCCGACCATGTCTGGGTGCAGGTCCTCTCGCCCTGCCGCAAAGAGCTCATCCGCCGCACCGTCGATTCCCTCAAGGGCGCGAAGAAGGCTATTCTCCATCTGTACCTCGCAACGTCACCGTGCTTCCAGAACATCGTCTTCAACATGAACAACGAGGAAAGCAAGGCTTTGGCCGTCGAGTGCACAAAATATGCCAGGTCAATTACGAAGGACGACCCGGAGCAAGCAGGAACCGAGTGGGCATACGAGTTCTCGCCCGAGACCTTCTCAGATACTTCACCTGAATTCGCTGTCGAAGTATGTGAGGCGGTCAAGGCAGCGTGGGAGCCCAGCGTGGAGAACCCCATCATTTTCAATCTCCCCGCCACCGTAGAGATGAGCACCCCGAACGTATACGCAGACCAGATTGAATACTTCTGCAAGAATATCAGCGAGCGGGAGAAGATCGCCGTCAGTCTGCACCCACACAACGACCGAGGATGTGCCGTCGCAGCAGCAGAGCTGGCACAGATGGCAGGCGCGGACCGGGTCGAAGGCACACTGTTTGGCAACGGCGAGCGGACGGGCAATGTAGACCTGGTGACACTGGCTCTAAACCTGTACACACAGGGCATACATCCGGGCATCGACTTCTCCGACATCACGTCTGTCATCGACATGGTCGAGTCTTCCAACAAGATCCCAGTACATCCCAGACAACCCTACGGCGGTCAGCTGGTCGTGTGCGCCTTCAGCGGCTCTCACCAAGATGCTATCAAGAAGGGGTTCCAGAAGCGGAAACAAGAAGGCGCGACATCGGAAAGCCCCTGGCAGGTTCCCTACCTGCCGCTCGACCCACAAGATATTGGTCGAACCTACGAAGCTATCATTCGTGTCAACTCTCAGAGTGGCAAGGGCGGTGTCGCCTGGATCATCCAGCGCCAGCTGGAGCTTGACCTCCCTCGTGGCCTGCAAATCGCCTTTTCCAAGATTGTACAGCGCGAAACCGACATGCTCGGCCGCGAACTCCTCCCCACCGAGATCACAAAGCTATTCGAACAAGCCTATCACCTGAAACACAACCCGCGCTTTTCGCTCGTCGACTACGACATCACAGCCGATCGATCCAAGTCACCTGCGCCCCCGGAGGCTGGCAAGACCTCATCGTCACGCAACTTGCGGCGTCTGTTCCGTGGTGTGATTGAGATTGACGGCCAAGAGCACCGCATCCAGGGTACAGGAAATGGTGCCATTAGTTCTCTTGCCGATGCGCTGAGGAATCTGGGCATCGACCTGGATGTTGCCGAGTACAAGGAGCACACTATTGGTACAAACAAGGATGCTAAGGCAGCAACGTACATAGAATGTACGGCGGCGGGAAGCAAGCAGAGGGTGTGGGGTGTGGGTATCCACCATGATGTTGTCCAGGCTTCTCTGATTGCGCTGCTCTCTGCGGCTTCCACGGTGAGTTTGTTGGAATACTTGAGCATAAGAAGCAATGCTGACTTTTGCAGTTCCTTTCTTCGAGACCTTCCTCGCCGGTACCTTTCCGCCCTAAGCGCTCAAACACGAACGACCTCCCTAGCCCGGCGTCAAGCCCCGGTAGAAATAACGACAGCAATCAGGACAATGACAAAGATGTAGAGGCCAGCCCGCTAGTAAGCCGTCTGGAGGCGAGCATTAACGGAACGCAGTAAGTCATTGTATGGTGAGATCATCACGTTTCAAGTTCAAGACTGTTTAATGAGTATTCCTGCATTCCAAGAGCGTGGTGCTATCTTCAAACAAACTGCATCTGATATTCATGTTGCACGTGAAAAGCTGGCGCGATGAGCAACAAAAGCGTGTAAAATCATTACAATCTATTGCCACATAACAATTCTCAATACTCATGTATCAATTTGTCTTAAAACTAAGCATTCTCGTGAACGTGGGTCTTCTAAAATGGTACCCTTCGGTTATCACCGGAAATAGCACTCAGCGTCTATAGCGTCCCTCGTCCTATCGATGATCTCCGCTACGTCTATCTGATCACGTGTTGATCTAGGGCCCGCAACTTCGCAAACATAGCAACACACTTTACAGTCTACTATACCTTCGCCTTCCTTTCTTCGTAACATCTCTTCGATCAATCGCCATGGCGCAAAACACAAAAGACAACATCCCTCCCGCTCCAGCCTATTTCCCCACCTCCGCCACCTCATCTCTGCACCCCCCAAAAGAGCTATATGCAAGATTGAAAGCCTTATCAGAAACCAAAGGCGACTTGATCAAAATACAGGAATTCCTCATCCCCCCACGCAGCGGCCACGCCTGGCGTGTCCCCGCCGGCACCCTCTTCCGGCTTTCCACGCCATTTGGCAGCCAAGTGGGAGACCTGAACGTCTTCAACGCTTCAGACCCACGCGAGCGATTTTGGGCCGCGCGAACGAGGCAGTTGCAGGGTAGTCACGTGCAAGAGGGGGACAGGTTATGGTCCAACCTCCCATTCATGCGGCCGCTGTGCGGGGTGGTGGAAGATGGGTGTGAAGTCAGTAGTGTAGGGAGGGAGGAGAGGAGGGATGAGAGGGGAGGCGTGACGAAGTGGGGAGGACGATGTCATGATATGCTTGGAACGAGATGCGACCCGTATGGTGGGTTCTTCTTTGTTCTGAATAAATGAAGGGATGGTGGGCTAAAAAGGAAGTAGTATCGCACATGCTGACGGGCGTGTCATATGATTACCACTGCCAGTAGGTTCTCTTCTTTTGCTGCTGTAGTCATTCATGTATCTGATAATGCCGAAGCTCCAACCTCGTCCGCGCGCTCCTACCATACGGTCTTACTGAGTTCGACGTCCATGATGTTCTCAATGTAGGTTCTTTGCTTCATGTAAGTTTGTTGCAGTAATACGATTAATCACCGTCAGGTCTTCCAAGTCACAGGTCTTGATTCCCAAGGACGATATTTCATGGAGGCCTCGCCCGCCACGCCAGACTCTACCCTCACATTTTTCGCTGAGCAGTCCCTGCTTTGCGCGCTGTCGACTTGCCCAGGTGGGGACCTCAGCGCCTGGGGCTGGCATCAGGCAGAAGGGGATTCGGGGGATCAACCCGACATGAAGTCCACGTGCCGGCCGATCAAGGTTGAGGTGTTTCAGCTGAGCGAAGGTGTGAAAGAGGAGGTGCTAAAGGGCTGGAGGGAGCCGGAAGTGAGTAGCTATGCGGGGTTGCATGGGATGACGGTGCCAGGAGGGGAGGCGTAGAGTAGAAAGAGGTATAAAATATGAATGCGGGTGAGTAGGACTATCATGAGCTCATTTGACCTTGTTTCATTTCATTTCGTACACCATGTATAGAGGTGTAGGGCAGTGAATGTATATATGCCCAAGCGTTCTTCCTAACCTTTTCAGCTGCTTGATGCAGCATTGTATCTTGAAACACCACATCCGACGTTCTAGCACACGGCATGGGTCTTTCCATGCTGACCCTGCAAGCTGTGATCGTCCTGGAAGTGAGTCGTCGGCTGTTTGCTGACCTGTGGTCCCGCAGTGCCGATCAAAGTCGAACGACGACGGATGTGAAACTGAGCAGCGTGCCTATTGTACAGTGTTAGCACCTTCTGTCACGGCCTGTCAGTTGTAAAAGCTTACTCTTTCTCATGTTGGATTTTCTTGGCGTCCATAGCATCAAGCGTCTCGAGAGCGAGTTTGAAGTCTGCAATGAGGGCATCGCAGCGTGACTTGGTGAAATCTTCACGGACAACGACACGCATAAGCTTCATCTTCTCTGAGTGTGGGGCCATTGTGTACGCGGGGACGACCCAGCCGCGCTCGCGTAGTTGGTGGGCGCTATAAGATTAGATGGGCTTTCAATGAACCGATGGTACGAAGACTCACATTGCGAACTCGTCGTACTGCTTCCCGAGGTCCTCATCCAGACGAGCAGCAACGAGTGGAAGACCCTCGCCGCTCTTCTGTGATAGGATGATGAAGCCTAGCTCTTCCAGGTTCGCAGAAAGGTAGTCCGCCGTCCTCGTCAAGTTCAGCATGATCCTCCTGTACCCTCTCTTACCCAATCGAATCATTTGGTAATACTGTCCAATGATCTGTGAAGCACCGCGCGAGAAGTTGAGAGTGAAAGAGGCTTGATCAGCACCAAGGTAGTTGATGTTGAACACGAGTTCCTTCGGGAGGTATTTGGGATCACGCCAGACGACCCAGCCCACACCAGGATATACAAGTCCATATTTGTGCCCAGAGACATTGATAGAGACGACCCTTTCCAGCCTAAAATCCCATTCCAGGCCGGGATTGACGAAAGGCGCGACGAAACCGCCTGAAGCAGCGTCGACATGGATTGGGACATCGATGTTTTTCTCAACGAGCAGATCGTTGATGGCCTTGGTGTCTTCGTACCTGACAGTTGTGAGTGCGTACATCCATCAACTGAAGCATAAGTGTGAAACATACTCTCCAGTGTAGGTGGTTCCGAGAATTGAGCAAATGCCAATAGTGTTTTCGTCAATCAAATCAACAGCCTCCTTCGGGTCGATAACATATCGATCGGACGTACAGTACACGTAACGCTCCTCAACATCGAAGTACCTTGCCGCCTTTTCCCAGCAGACTTGCACAGCGGAGTTCATAATGATATTGGGGTTGTCGAACGGCTTTCCCTCGGCCTTGCGCTTGTTGGACCAGTACTTCTTCATGGCGAGTACCGCAAGCATGATACCTTCCGAACTACCAATGGTAGAGGTACCCATCGCGTTAGCTTCGTCGTTGGACGGTACGTTGAAGAGGCGGGCTATCATCGAAACGCAGCGGTTCTGGATGTCGGCACTGACGGGATACTCCTCGTAATCGATGAAGTTCTTGCTGAAGGCGTCGACCATGAGCTTCTCGGCTTCGTCCTCCTGTTTTTTCATTAGCATCGGCAGCCGTTAGCGGTTCAGCACAGTGGAAAGCGTGGCCCCGTTTCGTGCAGCAAGGTCTTCTGCGTTGTGTTGCCGCTCGAGCCGGTAAGGTACGGATCATCATGTGGGCTTTGGGGCGGAGTCGTAGTGCGATACGCATCAATACAGTTCTACATAGTCCTACAGGTACAAAGTACCCCTTGTGATGGTTTCGAGTCAAAGTGATGCATATTCACACGCGCGTCCGAGTATCGAAGGCGGGGGCGAGAGTATACGCGGCTGCGGAGCTATGGTATCGTGCGCTAAGAGCGATCGACATAGTAGCATCCTACGACGTGCCTTAGCCTACATTCACTTCAAGAAGAGGATTAACTTACACAAATACGTGCAACGTGCCACTTGACCTCAATTCAATTGGTTCCATGGATTCGTTGACCCTTGGAGCCACAAAAAAAAGCCATTATAGCGACACTCGTGCTCCATTGGCGGGGTTCCACGCTTCCCACTGGTGCTGAACATGACCAAGCCACAGAAAAGCCACTCACCATGTACGTCGTGACGAAAGAGGCCAAGTTCAGCGTCGGAGTACCATCGAGGGTGAGATCGTCCTTGATCATGCGGTATGCGCTTCGTACGGTGAGCATGTGTGGCTGTTGGTCGACGAGGAAGGTACCTACACCTGGGGCGGCATCTCACGGTCCTGAGGTGGTCAATAACCAATGCCGATGGAGGCGATTGGGGGGAAACTTACGGGCATCTCGTGCCTAGGAAGGTCTTCGGCGGCATACTTACTGCCGTAGACGGTCGCCGTGTAGTCATCGGGCTCCTCCTCGACGGCGAGGGTGAACTTCTTCATGTCGTCAACAAGGCCCTTTGCGGCATTGACCTCCTTGTCGGTCGCAACACGGTTGAGGTGCACCATGTTGCTTTCTCGGACTGGAGTGGTGATTTGAGAGGGATAGGGGATTGATAAGAGAAGGAATAGGGAGAGAGGGGCTGTCAGGAAGGCAGTCGAGGGCGGAAGCTCTCAGGATATAAGCTGGTGCTGCCCCGCGAAGGAGGGGCACACCACACTTCAGCTTACGCCCATCTGCTGCCACGACGACGCGCAGCAAGCATCGTTCTCTGCGTCATTGTAAACACGCACGCCCAATGGCCGCGCTCAATAGCCGGACCTAAAGAAGATGCCTCGTCGCCATTCGACAGCGGGACCGGCGCGTCGATAAGCCTTCACAAGTGTTGCCGCAAGGCTTGTTTCGGCACTATCCCCCATGCAGCGGGAGCCCTTACACCGCCTGTTGCGCCACGGCATGTCGCCTGTGTCTGCCGACTTATGGGGAAGGCACAGGATGTTGCCTGGATTGTATTCATGATTTGAATCGTGCAAACGCTCGCTCGCCCCAATACATGTCGTGTCACTTCCAAACCAGGTATAGCCCTTCTACCTGACACCGTTGCTCCCGCTCCACCAACAGTTCAGATGCAGCAAGTAAACAGAAAGGTAGACCGTGACGAGACAGAAAACAGCCAACCCGAACAGCTACACCAGAGACCCCACCCCATGCTACGAGCTCCCCTCATTCTACGTGCTCTAGATGATGTTTGCAATGCTGATGCGGCTCGCGTTCGACGCTGTCGTTGGTGGTTTCGGAGACGTGACGGCAGGACCATCCTGCGCCAGCTGCACTCTTTTCATGGGATTGTGAGGCGGAGGATAGTACGTCGGTGCCGGTCCTGGCGCGATCCGTTCAAATTGTTTCTGTGAGCCCATCAGCATGGTCATCATATACTCAATCGCTCCCCAGCCAGGCCATTCTCTTCCACCAGCGTCCGGTGACGTCGAATGTGGTCGTAAAGGCAGCGTGCCTTGTGTAGGACCGCTACTTCCACGGGAGTGTGTCGTGTTGTGAGGGGATGTGGCTGTGTTTGTCATGGTTGCAGTCGCACCTGCCCACGCCCAAGAGTGCTCGAGGCTACTCTGCAAATCCCCGCTTGCGTAGGCGAGCAGCTCTTCGTCATCTGCGAATTCATACACATTGCCGTCTCCTCTGCGCATGCGTTCTGTGAGCTGTTCTAAGAAGAAGACGATGTTCTGTCCGCAAGCTGCGTTGATCTTCCTCATGTCTCCAATCGCTGCCAATGCTCCTACTAATATCAGAGCACCCTGGAAGTCCTTTTGCAAGCAAAGAATCAAGATACATCTCCAGAAATGAAGACACAACGTGTTGCTCGCAATGCGTTTGATCCAAGTTTTCTCCGGGTCGAGGGTGTGCAAAGCACGCTGCATGACCTTTGTAGTGTCATGCGCGACCGTCACACAGTTGATCAACGCCGCACCTCTATCTGCTGGTGAACATACCGGCGAAAGGTTGCGTCTGTACAGCTGGAAACGTGCGAAGTGGAGCGCGATGATCGGCACAAGGGAAGAAGGTTCCAAACGTGCGTCCGAATGTGGACGATAGGCCTCGGGAAGCTGACGTAACACTGATCGAAAATGCTCCTCATGAGTTTGCAGGTCGGTCTTGGTGACGGCATTCGACTTCAGTGACTGGCAAAGTGCAGGGAATAGTTTCGCAATTCGAATGAGCGCTACAAACGGAGACGCCGAAGTGTTGTGAGGATACGGCACGTTCAGGGAAGTGATGTAGCGGTCGTCGACAGATGAGGGGAGTGAGACGTCACAGTCATCCTCATGGATCGTGAGCGGTAGATTGGCCCCAAGCGATGTCAACCTGCGTGTAATTAGCCACTGTCAGCCTTGCCACGAGTACCACAACACACCTGTCCTGTACTTTGATAGCCCACCACACCCGTCTTCGCATCTCCACCTCAAACGCAGACTGGGATGTATCCTCACGGTTCAGCGATATGCTTTGCGCAACTCTGGTTACGCAAGCGAACCACATCAACCCTGCGGATTTCATATCGTTCTCCGTGGCGTAGAGACCAAGGAGAAAGAGATGTCGTACATGATCGATGGTTGCGTGTTGTGGCCAAGGATTCAACGATTGGGTTGCGATGTCGTAAAATTCGATTCCACCGTTGTGTCCATAAGGGGCCGCAGCTGCTGTGTTGAGACAACCGCAGGCAAGAACTGCAAAGTACATGCCAATCCACTCCCTCGAAATTCCAACGAAACTTCTAGCCGTGTATACTCGGTCGACTTCGCGCTGGAATGTGGGCCAATGTAGCACTGGATATGCTTCGTGTATCGTATCTAGATACGCCCGAGACATGTGAGCGAAATCTGCTCGCGGAGGGATATTTGGCAGCCTTTGCGCTGAATCTGAAGGTCTCCCATGATGGTAGGGTTTCGGCGGTTGGAAGATGCCGGCTGAGTGCATGTAAATGTTGTTTCGGACGTGGTCGAAGTTTTCCATAGCGGGCATCGGCGCTCTTCTCCCTATGCCTGGTGGTTGTGGCCTTGGTTCTCTTGGATTTAGAGACGGGGAAGGATCCACATCCATGTTGTCTTGCCCTCCCATCCGAGTTAGAAGGTGCTGTTTCTCTTGTTGGAGCTCGGCTATCTGGCTTTGCAGGTCTTGAACTTGTCTAGACTCTTGTCAGTAAACGTTTTCTTCGAGGTACTGGACGGTAGCGTACTTTATAGAAGACATTCGTCGATTTGTATCTTTTGTGAACTGGCACTTGTGGTTTCTGCTAGAACATTCAGAGCACGCCGTCGTCTCGGTTGCATCGCACTATGTGTTGGTTAGGGATGTCAAGGACCATGAATGCGCTAAATTGAGAGGGAATAATCGGACTCTTTGTGAAGAACGAGCGACTTCTGTATGGAATAGGCCCACAGCATCTCATGCACAACGCTGCGAGAAGCTTGCTAGGCAATGGTGACTCCAAACAAGGTGTGAACTACAGCCTGGTAAGACAATCACAGCAGCTCCAGCCTGCTCCAGCCTGCTCAACGGGAAGACCCCTGAACGGAGGACTTCTGAATACCCAACGCTTGAAGAATCCTATCGACTCACCTTGACTTTACGCTCCCGACAAGCATCGCACGATGGGTCTTTTCTTCGCTGCCGGTACGCTCGTTTTTGTGTGTTGAAATTCGCTGACGTTATGTGCGTGGGCGAAACCACTAAGCTAGATTGATCCGTTGCTGAACTTTCGGGTATGCCCCCCGACGCTGTGCTTGGAGACGTGGAATGTCTATATGAGGTAGAATTATATCCTCCAGGTGATCGTGACTCGAGTGGAGGCAGAGCGGGGGCAAGACCAGGGCCGCGGGAGACGGGTGGCAGGCCTGTAAATGGTGTCGGAGGATGTATCATCATGCTTCTAGGGGATCCGCCCAATGACCCTGGTGGAGACTTTCGTATAGTAGTTGAAGAAGGATCCAGACGGCGTTGTTGCGCATTCGACGCAGGAGTATCCATGACCTCAGGCCGGATATCTGTGATTGACGAGTGGAAGCGGGAACGAGTTATTTCGGTAGCAGCCGAGATTGTCGCCACCCCAGTAAAGCTCAGCTTTTCGGGGCTTCGGGTGGTCGATGTGCCTCAACAGGACCAATAGGCCGGGGTAGCCCAATACACAACGCTAGCTCGAGGTCAGCTTTGGCTCCAGGACCAGGCAAGAGCAGCCTCAAGGTAAAGCGGACTAAATGGCGACGGCAGCTGAAGCTACTGTGAGAAGCAGTGTGAGGTCCCACTCGAGGTTGCGGATGGGCTGTATTGCCAAATGGCCCACTGGACAGAGACGCGCCGCGCTCTCCACCCAGGAAAGCGGTTAGGTGGAGGGTGTTCAATTGAAGGGTTGCTTCAATCCCCCACGGTGGGCATGTAGCCAACACCAAAATGACTGCCACCCAATAGTAGCCTGGATTGGCTGGAGCGCGCAGCGTTGCAATGGCAGATGTGAGAGCTCTTTGACACACTGGATACGGGGCCGATGGTGGAGCCAAGGGAACACAGACTTGGGACGGAGCGGAGAGTCAATCAGGTAGTAAAGATGCCTGTACGTGCCATCGAGTGACGTTACGCCAGATAATCAGCTTCGGGTCTGCGTGCTCTGGATTGTTCGCCTAGAGCTTGTCTGAGAGATGCAAAAATAGCAGGGTCCACTCGCCACCATACCTTTCGATATCGGATGAGTAGTACAGACCGGAGCTGTGAATATTTGGCAGAGCAGATGAGAGCGGAATCGGCCAATTCAAAGATACACAGAGTCAGGGCCCGGCCAGCAATGCTGGGAGCACTTGGGAGCGGAAAATCTCTGTCATGGACTAGAGGTGAAAGTGTCAAGTACGGACAATGGTCGACATCCTTGTTCAAGAGGTAGATGCAGCGGGAGGCGACGCCACAGGGAAAAGATGAGTGTGTGTGCCGCGACGAATGGGCGCGGTGCAGGCTCCGCTTCTCGCCCAAACCCCCAAGACCCACCTGTTATGTCGAGGTGATGGGCATGTCAAGGCAGAGCTATCAAGTGGGCTAAGCTGCGAAATAGTCTCCTAGCGTTGTCGGATGGTGATCCGGTGGCTGGTGCGTTGGGTGCAAGGCAGCTACTCTCGGCTTGTCGAGAGCGTCGTTCATTTCTAGAAGGGAAGGATGGTGACTTGGAAACGACGATAACACGACGATCATTCCCAAAGTGTGCTGCCCACGACGGATTCGGGGGGTGGTTGCTGCAGGGGCCGAGGGAGTCGTTCGCTAATGCCTGTGTGAATCGGTACCCAGTGGCGGCCACGCTTCCTGGCTCCACGCCCCGTCCCTCGGCTGGGCGAGGTCGGGGCTTGGTCGATGATGGAGGTACAGCGCATGGCCGCACATCGAGGCGTTGTTTCCAAAGGCAGTCTAGGAGTCCACGCGGAAGCTGCACGCTAGGCGTACCGCCAGTTGCACCACGTCGGTGACGGCAGCACGTTGGGAGGAGGCCGTCCAGCTACCGTAGTCGTTCCGATTTGCTAGCGTTCCGGGGCTGCACAGAAGATGGGAGGCGAAAGCCATCTCAAAGAGGGTGCAAGCCCCTCACCGGCCGGGTTCAAGAGGGAAAGGATCGTGTCCATCGGCGGCGCACGCCCGCGGGCGCGCAGGCCCAAGAGGCGCCAGCCAGCCATGGGAGACGGGCAGGCGGTCCTGTCATCTCGGCGCTGCTGGGCCGGAGAAAGCAGGCCTTTCCCCACGTCTCAGCGTGCGCGTGTACGCAGCCGTTCCGCACGACCCACGCGCGAAGAACGTTTGTAGATGCTTCTAGCGGCGGAGCATCGACCGCGCCCTTGTCTACCGAGATGCCCATCCCAGGCAGGCGGCATGGGAAACTGGAGGGTGGAACTGCCGAGCCGGCGTCTAGACCGTCGACGAGAGCGATCGTCCGTCGCCCGGCGCGCCCATTCGACGCTTCAAAGCGTCCGTCCGGACGACCACCCTCACCAGGACCGCCCACGCGAGCGGGCAGAGGAGAGGGCTGCCACGGCGCTGTGTCTCGTCGCGTAAGCCTGCGCTGGCGTCGAGGTACCTCGGTGTATGTCGTCAACCATTGAATAGACGTTGTACCAGCCTCGTACATCCGACAGACGCCTGCCCCGCTAGCCTCGTTGCCATCGTGCGCGGCCCGGCTGCTTCCGCACAGCCCGCGCCCTCACGAGGATTTGGAAGACCCTCGAGCGCCACCCAAGAAACCCCCGGCGGGCCCTGCGCGATGCTGTTGGTCCGCTGGGTAAAGTCAGGTGGCGATCAAACTGTCAAGGCCGGCGCGTGTCGATCGCTGCGTGTGAAAATCGCGGTCGGGCTGGTACTTCGGCATGCACGCAGGCACACCCTCACGGCGGAGGCAAAGAAATCGTTCCTGCACCGTCATGGTGAAACAAGACGGGTAGGGCAGAGACTGCAAAACCTCCTGTCCCTCCCTCCTTGCCGACGTCTGAGGTGGCCGCTGCAAGCTTCTGCCCGTCTCCCTGCAAGATGCGATGAGCCAATCGCTCCTTTCGGAGCTCCAGTCCGCTACGACGCTCGGCACTGACTCTCAAACTCTGCTTTCTGCCCAACATGGTCAGGGAAAGCTCACCAAACTCAGGACCAAGGGCACTACTATAGTCCACCTTACGAGTCAGAGACCGTTGCGGTGCCGCTTCACGTGGCGACCAGGAAACCCATGCAGCCTTAAGTCGACCTCTCCACTTCGGCGGGTGCCGACGAAAGTTTCTGCGTACCAGGGCACATCCTCGGAGACACTGTTTGCATGTACTCGGTGACGAGATCAACGGCACACCACCAGTCCTGATCGACATCACCGAAAATGCCTGCACACCCGATTCGCGAATTCCTGAGATGCCTCCCAAAGTGCGAGCATCATATCCAGTACGTCAACCCCATGTCTGCGAGTGCTACATATCAGCAGCCGGCTAGCATGACTACTTGTACCCGCCTCTCCTTGTGACCATTGTATTAACTTTGTCCCCCGCTTTTAGTCTTGAAGGTGCTCTAACACCTGATGTTCTCTTCAGCCTCGCTGCGAAGAATCAAATCACCCTTCCCCAAAATGATGAGGCCTTCGAGTCACCGACCTCGCTCATTGAGCGCTACAAGAGGTTTACGTCGCTCGATGATTTCCTCCATTACTACTATATTGGCATGTCTGCACTGGTGACAGCTTCCGACTTCGAGGACTTGGCTTGGGACTATTTCCAACATGCGTCTGCAGATGGCGTTGCACACGCTGAAGTCTTCTTCGACCCGCAAGCACATACCACGAGGGGTATCAAGTATACAACAGTAGTAGAGGGTTTCGGCAAGGCGTGTAAGCGCGCAGAGAAGGAGCTCGGTATTACAACACTCCTGACTTCCTGCTTCCTGCGACATCTTCCTCCCAAGGACTGTCTCGAGATCTTCGAGGACGAGGAAGTGCAGAAGAGCTATAAGAGCGGCGTAGTGCGAGCAATCGGACTAGATAGCAGCGAGAAAGACTTCCCTCCCGAGAACTTCACAGAGCTGTACAGAAAGGCGAAAGATCTGGGGCTCAAGCTCACCGCGCACGCTGGTGAAGAAGCCCCAGCTTCGTACATCTCAAGTGCACTGCACAATCTGGGCGTCACCCGCATCGATCACGGCATCCAGCTCATCAACGATCCGCAGCTCATGAAGAAGATCGCTTTAGACAAGACTATGCTCACCGTGTGCCCGCTAAGCAATGTAGTCCTTCGCTGCGTGGACACAATCAAAGACGTACCGATCCGGAAGTTGCTCGACGCTGGCGTGCAGTTCAGCATCAACAGCGATGACCCGGCTTACTTCGGTGGCTACATACTAGACAACTACGTTGCCGTACACGAGGCGTTTGATCTAAACGTAAAGGAATGGGAGAGCATTGTGAAGGCCGGGATAGAGGGAAGTTGGTGCAGCGCTGAACGCAAAGACGAGCTGCTGCAACGCCTCCACCGCGTCCTCGCCGAATGGAAAGGCAAGATATAAGCAATAACCATCTCCTCTTTTGTGCCCATGCGGATCTTTGCCTTCTATCCTATCATTTCTCTCTCCTCATCATGGCCCAAGCCAACGATCGGCCTCCGCTCAACACTAGCACATTGCCAACACGATAGCCTTCCGCCCTACTACACAAGTACACCACAGCCGCCGTTACGTCTTCCGGCCTCCCCAGCCTCACGTTGGGGCTCGTCTTCACCCGTTCCTCGGCTCCACCACTCATCTCGATGAGCCCGCTAGCTAGCTCTGAAGGAAACTTTCCAGGCGCGATGCAATTCACGAGAATGTTGCTCGGAGCTAGATCAACTGCCAAATTCTGGACAGGACGGATGACTGTGGCTTTCGACGTGACATACGCGCGTGGGCAAGCGGGACCCGGATCCCCAGTATTACCATCAATCGACGATGTAATAACTACATCGAGGGATCCTCCGCCGTATGTCTCTTCTGTAACAACGGCGCGAATTTGTTAATCGTGAGCATTGCTCATCCACCTCGTGGGCCGGAGAAAGCGTAGGAAACAGGGCAATGCAGCGAGGAGAAAATCGTCTAGGAAGCAGATAGGAAACCGCAATCAGATTACTTTTATCCCATTCAGTTTCGAGCTGTCAGCAGGAACCGCGTAGGCTCTTCCTGCGAGATCGTTGTTAGGCGAGAGCGTTGAGGGCTGCGGCGGTATGGCATCCTGACGCTTTGCGGCTCGTGATGAAGATCTTGGAGCACCCAGCTTGCAGGAGCCGCCTGTTGTCACGGCGACTTCGTCTTGGAGTGAGAAAATGTCGGGAAGTTGGTAAGTTGGACGTCTTCTTCAGCCATGATATGTAAGGAAGCGCAAAATCAACGCGATCCGCTAGTCAATGAAGATATGTCAACTATGACTCCAAAGATATGGGGGAAGTGTCTTCTTCAGATTCCGATTTCGTTGTGTTGCGTGTGTATACAGAACCAGTCCGTACTGTGCTTTAAATGAGAGTAGTTGCCGAGGTACGTACAGAGTGAAACGCAGTCTACATCTTCACAGTGCAGCATCGGCGTTGGTGTTCTGATGGATCTCGGGAAGCATGACCTTACATTCTTTAAGCTTGCAAGACCACAGAGAATAGAATGCTAAGCGCGATTACCATCCACGCTCTTTGGCTTCTGTATAAATACACCTTTGTACACGTTTCCCCCGTATCGTACATGTTTTACGTGGTATCAACGCCTTCTCATCAACTCTATTGTGTCTCCTCTACATATCCCAGACTCTCTCCAACCTTGACCTTCTTACCCTGCTCTATGTTCCACTTGAACCCGCCTTTCCTGCAGCCTCCATAACCTTCGTCCAAACTTGGTCGGACTCCCTTTGGAGCCTCAAAGACCAGTACAATGGTACTTCCAAGCTGGAATCCACCCATCTCTTCGCCTCTCTTCAGCGCATGACCTCCCAGCACCGCACTTGCGTTGCTGTATGTAGCTTCTGCGAATCCAGAGTATGGCTCCCCGCGCGCCTGTGCTTCTTCAGCGGCACGGTCGGCAGCGGTATCAGTTGTAAGGGAATTTGTGCGCAGTTCTCGATCAAAGTTGATCTTGATGGAACCGACATTTGTCGCACCGACGGGGGTGTAGGAAAAGAAGCCCCATTTCCAGCGACCAAGAAGCACAACGCGCTCGTTGAGGGTGAAGAGGCCAGGGAGAGTGCGCTGGAGGTAAGGGGACACGCTGAAAAGCTCGCCAGCAAAGTGGCGTCGAGATTCGACGACCCAAGATACCGGCGAGTGGAAGCGATGATAATCTCCCGGCGCAAGATAGATGACGCAGTAGTATAGCGCGGTGGGTGTCTTTATTGAGTTTCCTGGTGCCCACCATGGTCTCGCAGACTCGCTCAGCGCAAGATCGGCGCTGACTTCGGCTTCGGAAGAGGGATGTGAGTGTGTGGCTTGGTCAGTCGGCATCTCTGCAGGCTTTCCATTCTTCGGCCATGGACCTGAGAAAAGGTTCGGAAGGGTGTATGAGATGCCATTGACATTGGCGAACTCCTCGTCCGCCCGCATCACATCCTCAGATCCAACCTTGGTGTGTTGATCGCTGGTATTTTCTCTCGTGTCTAGACTTTGCGGTGTCGGCTTGGATGGGCGTACGGACCCTAGCAAAGCATCTAGACTATAAGTCACGCCCTTAATCTGCTCAACCTCTCCATGCTCGATGGTCCCGAATTGAATGACCTTTCCATCTGCGGGGGATAGCACGGCGTTCGAATTCGGATCTAGAGGACGCACGCCGGGCTTGAGTGTTCGGTAGAAGAAAGCGGCAAGATTGGGGTAGACGTGCAGGTCAGGTTCCGATACTTCGTCGAGGCTACCTGTGATTAGCACTTTTCATGACAGAAGTAGGCGGAAGAGCTCACTTGACACCGAAGATGAATGAGTAGAGTTTGAAGCCAGGTACACGGAAGTAGTACGGTATGTCGATCTCGTTAAAGCGGCCCCAAAGTCGCGACAGCGCCTTCAGTGGCAACGTCGACATGATCTGAACAGTCCTGTAGATATGAGCATGTATCTTGCACTTGCGGTCGCGTTCCACCTACCAAGGCCCGCTCGGTCGTATCCTTTCGCGCTTCTTTGGCGTGCCATACTGGTCTACCACGGTCTCGGTATCATCTCCTGTTTCCCGGTGCGTATGCTTTTCTCTTTTCTGAACCTTATACAACTGCCACACTCCGAGGAAGCCTACACCAAGAGCAATCGGTATGGGCTCCCATTTGATTTTCGTATTCTTCAATGCTGAATTGAGCCGGGATCTGAATGACTCCTTCCTGTGGAACTGCTGGTCGAAACAAGGTCTGGAGGAGGAGAAGTGGCGCGACGGAAGCGATGCGCGGACGTGTGCACGTCGAGGGCAGCGCGCTCGGACAGCGGCTTGAGGAAGCTGGGAGGCGCGTGTTGATATCATTGCTACTCCATGGAGCGAGGTACCACAATACAACAGAGGGCGATATGGGGAACAAGCAAGAAACAGTGGGTCGACGGGTGACGGTTCGTCGCAAGTGCACTGTTCTTTTTCGACGGCCAATGACGTACGTCTGTGTTTCTTGGCGTGGACATCGTGGTTGTGCCGCTGCTGTAGGGCTGAGTCCCTTGATCTTTCACTTGGAGCACCATGTTCAAAATTATAACCTGATAACGGGAGACCGGCGAGAGAAGACCTACCCTCAAACACTTCGACGCTCTGAACGGCAATATACCCGCATTTATTGCTGCGCAACCAGCGATTGCGTGGCCTCTTCTCTAAGCTGAGAAGCTCTAAGCGCAACGTATCCAGACACGCCCGCCAACTCCACAACGTGACCTTCTACCCTCCACGCAACCGCTTACAACCATGGCCGAGGAATTAGAGCTAGCAGTCAACCTCAAGATCCTCTCGCCGTCGACCGAGGTGGAGGGCGGCATTCACCTTGCAGATCTCCCCGCTACCACGACGATTCGAGAGCTTCGACAAACAATACAAGATGCCGCACCGAGCCGACCGGCAACTGATCGCATGCGCCTTATATATCGGGGACGAGTAGTAGCCAACGACAACGACACACTGGCCAATATTTTTGGTGCCGACAACATACGCGAATCCAAAGACCAAAGCCTCCACCTGGTCCTCCGCGAGCTACCTTCCACAGCTTCTGCACCCTCACCAGCTCCACATTCAGCGAGCGCCCCGCCGAACCCACTGCAACCACCACCTCAGAGCCCTCTGCAAGCGAACCCCTTTCGCAATCTGCCAGAACCTCGACCGAACTCGCAACCACAGGTACCGCAGCCGCACCACCACCATCACCCACACCATCATCACCACCACCCACCGCCCCTCATTCCCCTGGGGACTCGACCGGTTCCGCTTCCTCCACATCTACAATCTGCGCAAAGCATTAGGAACCCGCAGCCGATACCATTCGCGCAAACGCCGTTCCCTCCACACCTCCAGCAGCAATTTGCCCAAGTAGTAAGGGATCATGAAGTCCAACTCCCTAATCCCCAGACACCCGCACAAACAGAGACACCGACTTCGGAAGGAGAAGCCCAGGGACAGCAGGTCCCACCACGGCCACCCATGGGCTTGCCAAACCTTCCCACTGGCAACCATACACGTACAGTTCGTCAAGAGGGCATTGGCCCGAACGGGGAGCGCTGGACGGTGACATGGAACAACATCACCAACGTTGCTTTCAACCCTAACCAGCAACAGGCCATACTCTCGCGACCTGTTCCTCACCCAGGCCCCGGTTTCGGCTTCCCTGGGCAACGAACCCCTTCACCTTCGCTTGGAAATGTGTCGGATCAGATGTTGCAACGCATAAGGAGGACTATGGAGTACGCAAGGCAGGAGATGGAAAATGTGAGGGTCCTACTTCAACCACCTGGCGGTCAAGCTGCCTCGGTTAGTGCACTTGCTGCGGCAAATCCACCAGTCTGGCGCGTGGACCAAATCAGGCTCACAGTGCGGAACCTCATCACGGGCTTAGACAATGTGGACCGAGGCCTTGCGTCTCTGGTGGCGGACCCCTTGATGGCACAGAATCGTGACTTTGTCTCATTACAGCAATCGGCGTCGGATTTGCGCCGGCAAGCCGAAGAATTCAATAGGTTGCTCGACCAACTGCCCCGATCGGATGCCCCTGGGCCAGCAACTTCTTCAGCCGCACCTTTAGCCGCTAACACCAACGCACCAGCTGCTTCGACCCAGGCCCAAGATATCACTCAGTCAACACCTTCCAACGTACCCACAGAGCTTTTTATCCTCTCGAGCCCACAAGGTCCCGTGGGCATCTTGTTCGACCAACGCGGTACCTACAGTACAACTCCCCCGGCTATGTCTTTCCAGTCATTTTCCCAGCAATTCAATGTCAACAGGTACCAACTTGGTAATCTCGGGCGCCAAATTGCCGTTCAAAACCATACGCCTAGACTTCCTGCTTATGTCCTCCCTGCAACTGGCGCACAAACTGCTCAAGCTCAACAACCAGCTCACAATGCGATTCCAGCCCAAGGCCAAGTTCACGGCCAGAACGCGAATCCTGTTCAACCTGCCGCGGCACCCGCACCTGGAGTCCAAGTCAATCGCGTCGACAATATCGCAGGTCACCTGTGGCTAATCTTTAAGCTGGCCGTGTTCGTCTACTTCTTCGCTGGCGGCGGCGGCTGGTACAGACCGGTTATGATCTGCCTCATTGCAGGTGTTGTCTACCTTGCACAAGTTGGCATCTTCGAGGAGCACTTCGCCGCTGTGCGCGGGTATCTCGAAACGCTTCTTCCACCTGGAGCTCTTGGATTCCCTGAACGGGTAGCCGCTCAACAAGGCCAGAATCGTCCAATTGCCAATGTGCAAGGCCAGGAGAACCGGCGAGCACAGCCTCATCGCAACTCAACCCCGGAGCAGGCCGCACGGAGACTGCAGCAGCAACACCATGATCAACGATTTGGATGGGTGCACGAAACAGCAAGGGCTACGGAACGCGCCTTCGCCATTTTTGTCGCCAGCCTGTGGCCAGGCATTGGCGAGCGAATGGTACAGGCGCAGGAAGAGAGATTACGTGCCGAGAGAGAGGCGGAAGAGGTACGGCTTGCGGAGGAGGCTGCGAGACATGAAGAGGAGGAGAAAAAGAAGAAGCAAGAAGCTGAAGAGAAGGCGCAAGGGGAGGCAAGTGGCAGTGTGAAGAGGGGGTATGCTGAGGGTGCTGACCCTACGGAGGAGACAGACAATAAAGGCAAGGGCAAAAAGGCTCGTGTTGAGGAAAGGGATGGAGACGTGGACTAACAGGTCCGGGTCAAGCATTGCAGCCAAAGGTGGCACTCACGTAGGTCGCACTGTGGGAAAGCGTATAGATGGTTCAAGAACAGGGGATTCGCGACAGGTTTGCATGATCAAGCGATATAATATCCTAGGGCCCTTATCGATGGTCTACTTCAATTCATCTCTACCAAACTCCGGTGTGTCATACACGATGACCGCGTCGCTTCACCACCGTTCCCTTGAAAGCAACGAAAAACAGCACAACGATTCCAATATTAGCAGCAGCGACATCGGTCTCAATATTCATCAACCTACAGTGATAAAACCCATTCACAATTGTTCTGGAAGGTGTCAATTGCTCATTCGTGACAGGAGGCTCCGGGGCTGCGAGCATGCTCAATCCAACTTCACCTTCAACCTTTTCGCAGACTGCCATAATCAGCAAACCCTTGTTTGTGTCGTATGGTGACTTACGCATCCATTCTCGAACAGCCCGCTGATCTCTCTCAAGCGAGGTTCGGAACTCTACATCTGACACACCGGGCCCTGGAGCTGCTAGAGCTTCTTGCGGCAAAGCTTCGTCTCTGTATCAAAACCATTAGTCCCAGTGGTCTCATCCACCCTTCACTACCTCTTCTCCGCGCGGCACTGTCATCAGAGTGCCCAGACAAAGTATCCTCATCTGCGCCGGCGCTACTATCAGCGCGGTGCGGTGACAGCTGCAAGTACTCGGGTTGAATGGCGGTATCTGGCTTTGAAGACTCCAATGTGTTATGGATGTGAGTCGACGTTATGTTGGGTGGCGGCGTTAGCGAACGAGTGTGCTTCAAGTGACGGAACAGTGATAAAACTTGAGGGTGTGAGAGCTGTGAGGAAGACGCGGCAGTCCAGGCGACACACATAGCATATGGCAGCGCGTTGTGTCGATTGTATTCATTGCGAGTTGATGTAGCCTATTCAGGAAAAGACGGTACTGTTTAAGCACTACTTGAGAAAAGCTCGCTTCGAGCAACTACCGTGACCGCCTCACACGCCCAGCTCCTCCCGTCCATATCGACCCACAGATACGATCATCTTCACCACAGCTACACTACACAGATGTGCAGATCACCGACCTCACGCGGTCCTCCATGTGCATATAGTCGTCGGTCGACAAATCCGAAATATCAACTACGGTCCTCGTCAGCATCACATCAATAGTATCTTTTCGAATTTGCACGAAGCTACTCACCATTGAAGAACCAAGTAGCATTGTTGACATCATCAATATTGCAGTCCTGATTTGCAACCAGGCGGCAGTTGAAGCCGCTATGGGAGCTTAAGCGCACCGAGCTGGCTTTCAGATCAGTGGAAGAAGGAAGGGTTGCGGCGACGCCTAAGCATATTAGTGTGCACCCGCGAAAAGATTAGGGAGACACACATGTTGCCCCTTCAATGTCGAACGGAATGGTGTAGCCGGCTCCGCCAAAATTCTTGTCAGGGAAAAGAGTGATGGAAGCAGAGACACGCTTTTGCAGCGTTGGGGCTGCGGAGGCGATGGCAGAAAGGATGAGGACGATGAGGGCGTTAGAATACATTGAAGCGAGCTTGAGTGGCGAGCTATGGAGTGAATAATAGGAACAAATGGGCGAGAAGCTTTCGATGTGATGGTGCTGGGTACAGTAACGGGGAGTAGGGACTGCTCTTTATACTTCTTTAGTACGACTGTTCTCAAGTAGAGACACTTCCAACTCCTGCCAGTCGCACGTTGCAGTATCTGATCACTAACCTGCGGTGCATTGTTTACGTGTAAGTCACCCGCTCAAGCACTGCTCCGCGCTCGTACCTCGCCTCTCATTAAGTCAGCTCATGTGGCGATGCAGAGTGAGAGTGAGACGGTAGAGCCACGGTGCGCCCAATCACTGTTCTGCATGACAACGCGTATGCGAGAAGGAAGTATTACAGAAGGATGCAATGATCCTTCACAATTGAAAAACCCTGCCTATAAAGTGTAATATCGTTATTTGGCTCGCAGCGAACCGGCACACCTGGCTCATAATGATTTTCTTTGGTATCTTCCGTTTAGACATGTATGAGGTTTTGTAGGGTAACTCAACTCCTGATACATCCCCGAGCTACTTTTTTGTGCTGCAGCCTAATTAGCTGTAGCACTTTTTTCATACGCGACTGGATGTGCGCTCGGATCTACGAAACATAATATCTGACATATAGTCCATTGCACCAGGCCACGTCCACACTCGTGCGCAAGAAGGAAATGAACCTGTGCGCTATACGATCCTTGCTTACTTCCTACACTATGCATCCACTCGGGAATTGATAAAGTCCGATTAGACATCTTCGTTTATTTGTGCGCCGTAGTATTTTAGCCTTCTGCTGAAATTGATGTTAGCGCTCGAGAAATGTAGGATCTCAAACAGTGAAGGGGCTGCGTGGGTGAACTCATGAGCCTTTGATGCTGACAATCACACTTCTGCATCTCTGGCTACCGCCTTAGATGGGCAATGCGTGCCTTAGTTGATTGTCACCTACATCCTATACATCTATGGCTAGCTGGATGAGCCTTTACAAATTAGAGCCTAGGAAATACTCTAAGTGCGCATGAAGGGTATCATTTGTGGCGGGATGAAATATGATCGAAGTGAACGTGAACGCCAACCGCTACCACGTACCCATGCGTGGCTTTATCAGTTGTGATGTCCCACCCAAGTTGTTTCTCTCATTTCCTCACAACTTCTCTTACATACGTGCACACCACTTTCCAGCACTAAAAATGCGTACCTACGTCGATGCTGTGGTTGACGCTGCCATTGCGGCACTGGAATTGAAGGCTGTCCGTACAGACAAAGACGAGAGTTTGCTGCACATCTGCACGGCGAGGCAGCAGTACCGCCAGTTGCGGCCGGACTGGACTAAAGAGTATCGCGCGTCCAGGAGGGAGAGACTGCCCATGGTGCTAAGTCAAACGCAGTGTGCCGCAATATGAAGCTACTAAGGATGCTAAGGAGCGTTTCGAGGGGCGGCCTGCAGGATGGACGAAGAAGCAGAACGCTGATAGCAACGGTTCCGCTCAAGTGGGCACTAGGGAGGAGGCTACTGGTAGCAGTGCGGCCCCCTCTACTCCGTAACGGTAATGCGGGTCGGACCTTGGTGCTTCCGGCTAAATAACAAGGCCGTATAGCTATTTCAGATTTGGGAAAAGTAGTATGAAGGCGCCGGGTGTTTTAAAATAGAGCAAGTAGGCGTACTCATCGGGTGGCGGGTTCGAGGCAATGACGCGGTTGGTGAAGTGTTGACCGTTGCAACTAACCAGCAGTGGTGCTGTGTCGAAAGATCCAGGCTGTCAGTAGAGTTAGATTCAACTCACCCCAGCGATGAGATTCTCAAACGTTCGGATAAGGCCAACGTCAGACTGGGGTGTTGCAGGCTTGGTGGTCGGCACGAAGCGGACGTGAGGCAGGAGCTACCCTGTAATGGCATAGTGCGGCTCACAAATATTCGGCTACACCTTGGATTACTCAGAGGGACCAACCTGCAATGTTCATCAACCTTCATCGTCAGGTTGCGCGAATACGCGGCTTATGGGACGTTTTCATCAACGATCGCCTTCCGATTACATGTGACGTTATAGCTGCATCTGCAGTGCAGCATGTGCCAACAAAAAAGCTTTATCCGTGCTTTCTCCGGCCCTCCGATCGTCTGAATCCCGAACTTGTCACTGCCTCAGACTCAATGTTGCAGCGATACAGCAGCTTGTAAAGCGGAGTGTCCGATCACAAATTGTCTCGAAACTTTGTTTGTCTTTGCGATTATGGCGAGCAAGCAGGCTGCCTGCATGGCCTGTCGAAGGAGCAAGATCCGGTGTAAAAGAGGCCCTGGAGCCGATGCTTGCGAAAAATGTCTTCATTCAGGGACCGAATGCGTAGTTCCAGGGGGTTTCCATATTGGACGACAAAAAGGAGTTAGGAAGTAAGTCGAAAATAATCCTCTCTACTATTCCTGACAACTTCCAGTAAGCGGACTGGGCTTGAAAAGGCGCTCCACCAGATTGAAGAAGCAATCAAAAAGTCCAAATCAGACCCAAGCTCAAGCGGAAACACCGTGGAGCAACTGCAGCAACTTCTCCTCGAAGCACGCGGTAGTCGGGCTTCATCGAACAGCAGCCCTTCAAGCAGCGTTCCTGCACCTTCAGAGGGAGTGGCGCACGTGAGTGATGATCAGCAAGCATTAGATGATGCCGAAAATCCTCTTCAACTACTTGCGCGCGCCTCGGATCTGCGCTTGACATCGCCACAGTCCAACGACCACCCTTTCACCCCATCTACCTCACATTTGTGCAGCGATGTGGACCAACAGTCCGACGTCCACCGATTCTTTCTACCGATCAAAGCCAGTCTGGATCGTGGGCCCAGTTATGATCCGATTGATTTGGGGCTAGTGACTGAAGAAGAAGCCGAGCTGCTTCTGTCATTGTAAGTCTGATTCAGTAGATTCGCCAAGATGTTGTATATCAAGCACGATTGGCGCTTGAAGGGTGGGAAAACTTTGAGGGCTGACGTTGATCTAGTTATCACGAAAAGCTGGCCCACACCCGCTGGGGTACAGACAAGGCAACTCACACACTAGCGTTCTGCCGGGGACAGTCAGCATTCCTCCTTACTTCACTGTTGGCAGCATCTTCCTTGTTCTTACCGTCAGCTGCTGCCATGTGCAAACGACTGTTAGTGCATAGAAAATTCATGGCTGAGCAGGTGATCGCGCGCAGACTTCGTTCAGTAGAGATCGTTATAGCATTCATGGTAAACGTGCCATGGATGCATCCCGGACTCAATGCCGGTGACGACGATACTGGACTATATATGTCCACAGCGCTGAGCATTGCGTTAGATTTGTCACTCAACAAGATCATTGTGCCATCGTCATGTTTCGATCAAGATATACTCAAACGAGTACCAAAGGGACATTGCCTCGACGCGAGGAAAGCATTGACGATGGATGGCTTCGAAGACGTTGAGATAACATCAGAGTTTGGCAAGCAGATGCTTCGAAGACGCGAGCGGGCCTGGATAGCGCTTTTCGTATTAGATCGCGGCATAGGGTTGGCTCGTGGCCGTGCCTTTTGTGCTACTGTCACACCATTAATTACCTATTGCGACATCTGGCACATCGACATGACCCCAGATCCACAAGATGGGCCGCTAGTGTCTATGGCCGTGCTGAGACGCGATCTTGACGACCTCTTCAGATCTGTTCGCTCCAAGTGCGACTCGTACCAGTCTGGCGACGTTGGATCAAAGGTTGCTGAAGACATTGAATCGACCATCGAAGGCTTCTTCAACACATGGATCGCGAAATGGACACACACTATCGGCGAAGGAGAGCAGAAGATCCTCCCACCATATGTCGAGATACTTCTCCCGCATACGCGACTGTCGGCGTATAGCCACGTTATCAATCATCCCACTGCCCCACTAGAGGTCAAACGACTGCTTCGCGGTTCTACCTTGTCAGCAGCCTTGAATGTCATGCGTGTGGCAATACAAGGCGAGGTGCGTTTGAAGTCGATGCCAAACAACACAGTGACGATGATTTGCTTCGCCGCTTGCGTTGCGCTGACACTAAGCGCGCCATCTCCATACGGAAGTTACAATCTAGCACCGAGCGTTCGTAATTTAATTGAAGAGACAGCTACTGTACTGGAACGCATTGGAAGCACACCAAGCCACAGGAATGGGGCTTCGGTGATATACGGCAAGAGTTTACGCGAGCTGGTCAAGCGGGCACCAGAACTACCTCCACCTGTACCGCCGCCAGCTTCATTCAACTACGTCTCCCAGCCTCAAGCTCCGACCAACTCGCTGTTCGCACCCGCTGCCGACCTGCTACAGTCTTCAGCTCAGCCTCAGTATCAGCTTCCTAATCAATGGCCAGAGCCACTCCAATTCTCCGCCATGTCCGGTAATGAGATTATTGAGACGGTGATGAATGTTGGCGATTTCAATTCTTCACTTCTGGATATACCGATGCAGGATCCAAACTCTTTCATGTGGATGGATTGGATCAACCCGCTGGACCCAGGATTCTAAGAGCCGCCCATACGAGCCGGCTAGGTTCACCAATCTTGTAGCGTCACGGACTTTGTACAATAGTTTCCTTTCCGACGACAGAAAAGCCATCACAGTATTCTCGGTCAAGGCTTCGTCCAGAATGACGCAACGCCTCCGAATTCCTGGACATTCGGATATGTTCGTTGAGTACAAAGATAAAGCCAGTGTCAACGTTCAGCCACACATGGAGTACTCTGCGAGACCCGAATGCCTCAAAACAACTCTGAAGTATACACTGCAACCAGGGTCGACCAGTAACCGCGGCAAGATTACCGCGCGGCCCCACCGCGGAGGCATTTCTGGCTCCGTCGCTGAGCCCACCTTTGCGCGCGTCATCGGTTACCGGTCTTCTACCGCGTTCCACTGCGCGCATCCTCTCTCCAATGTCCGCGACAACAGCTGTCCGATACCGGTAAATTCCGACGTTATTCCCGTTGCAATATATTCGTCTCGCGAGCAATTTGAAACTTTTGATTTTCTCGTTTCAAGTTCACAATGGACGGTTCTTCTCGGTTGCTTCTCACCCTTCCCTCGCGCATATGCGCAAATCGACCTGTACCTGCACAATTGCGTGCCGCGCGATATGTGGATAGCAGATGGAGGTTCGCGTCTCAAAAGAGATTCAAGACTGTTCCAGCGTCGCGGGAGCCTAGGCAACCTACAATCGATCGCTCTCGGTCGAAACTTTTCAATTCCGCCGACGAAGCTGTCGCAGACATCCAGTCAGGGTCGACTGTACTTAGCGCAGGCTTTGGATTATGCGGTGTCGCGGATACCTTGATCCACGCCATTCAAACCCGCGGCGCCAAGTCGTTGCATTCGTTGACCGCCGTATCGAACAACGCTGGCATTGAAGACGTTGGTGGACTGGCTCTGATCACGAAGTCGGGGCAAGTCAACAAGCTCATCATAAGCTTTCTAGGGAACAACAAAGCACTGGAGAAACAATATCTTTCTGGTGGCATTACGATTGAGCTGTGCCCCCAGGGTACCTTGGCGGAGCGGATACGAGCAGCGGGTGCAGGCATCCCAGCTTTTTATACCCCGACCGCAGTCAATACCTTGTTACAGGATGGAAAGATACCGGCGCAGCATGACAGCGAAGGGAATGTCATCGGATATGGTACGCCGCGCGAGGTTCGCGAGTTTAACGGTCGCAAGTACTTGATGGAGACTGCATTGCCTGGCGATGTTGCGATATTGAGGGCATGGAAAGCTGACGAGCAGGGTAATTGTATCTTCAGGTACAGAACAACAGCCAAGTAACACGGTGCTTGCTAAGAAGTACAGATATACCACCAAAGCCTTCGGGCCCATCATGGCGAAAGCCGCGCGCCTGACCATCGTCGAAGCCGAGGAAATCGTGCCGGTCGGATCATTAAGCCCGAATGACATTCATTTGCCTGGCATTTTTGTCAACCGGATCGTCCCAGCCACCGCACCGAAGAATATCGAGATCAAGAAGCTGCGCGATTCAAAAGGCGATGGCAGACCATCAAACCAGAGCGAGGATGCTATGCGCCGAAACCGAATCGCACGACGAGCGGCGAAGGAGCTCAAGGATGGATATTATGTCAACTTGGGTGTCGGAATCCCGACAATGGCTGCAACTTTTGTGCCCGATGGCACCAAAGTATGGCTGCAAAGCGAGAACGGTATACTAGGCATGGGTCCACACCCTACAGAGGAAGAAGTTGACCCCGACATCATCAACGCCGGCAAGCAGACGGTCACGTTACTTCCCGGAGCGTCCACTTTCGACAGCGCCGAATCATTTGGCATGATTCGCGGCGGTCACGTTGATGTGTCGATTCTCGGCGCGCTCCAGGTCAGCACATGGGGAGATCTAGCAAACTACATGATCCCCGGCAAGGTTTTCAAGGGCATGGGTGGTGCAATGGACCTTGTTGGCAACCCCGAAGCTACCAAGGTGGTTGTGGCTACCGAGCATGTGGCGAAGGATGGTAGCAGCAAGATTGTGCAGGAATGCAAGCTGCCGCTTACAGGCGCAAAGTGCGTCAGCACCATCATCACAGACATGTGCGTGTTTGAGGTGGACAGGAAGAGGGGCGGATTGACGTTGACTGAGGTGGCGGAAGGGGTCACTGTGGAGGACGTGAAGAACAAGACGGATGCAAAGTTTAGCGTTGCAGAGGACTTGAAAAATATGGAGGAGTGGTGAAGGCGATGGGACGATTTTGAAGCGATTCATAGCATCTGATAGACTTGGATACAAGTAGAGGCATGCTAAAAGTCTTGAATTTCGATGTACATCTGTCGGACAAGCTCGGCGTAAAGCGCCCAGACATTGGCGGCCAAGCCCTCCCGTCCTCAGCGCAAAGCTTCGGTGAGCTTGCCACGTCCCGCCCAGCCTGCTCCCTCTTATGGCTCTTCGGTTCGTCTCCGCCTTCGGGCCAGGAAAACAAGGTGGCCGCGCAGAGTCGATCTGGCGGCCTGGGTGACGCGCTGTTTACATATTCGAAGCCTCGGGCCCAGATCAGGTGCCGCCGGCGGTCCCAGAGTCATGTTTCCCCGCTTTGGCCATGGGTCCGAGGCCGCGCTCTGTGCTCCCGAACCCCCCACGGGGAAGTAACCGTAATCCTGGCGCTTTGTGTCAAGCGTCAGCCTGCTTATATTAAACACGTCCCCAATGGCTGCTAGCCTTGTACCTTCTCTCCTCGCCTACTGTTTTCCTTTCTACAACGGCAGAGCTGAAGATAGCCGGAGCACGAGTTGGAGCCGCCATGACCTTTGCACCAGACAAGATGCGCGACGAAAAGATCGAAGAAGACGCGAGGCCGGACGAAGAAATGGCGGCTCATCTCGGACATGCACCGCATCTAACCCGCCAGGTGCTGTGGAAGATGGACATCAGGTATCATGGTAATGCACATTCAATCCGCACGCCATACTGACGGTTGAAGGATACTGCCCGTACTAGCCTTGTTGTTCCTCTGCTCCTTCATTGATCGTACCAATGTGGGCAATGCCAAAATCCTTGGCTTGCAAGCCGATACACACATGACGGATCATGAGTACGCCATTGGCCTGTGCGCATTCTATGCCACGTACATTGCGAGGTGCGCCGTCCCGGCTGTGTTGAAGATCGAATCGAGGCTGACTTCACATCCAGTGAGCTACCGAGTAATCTGGTCTTGAAGAAAATGTCGCCGCGCATCTGGCTCCCTCTGTTGACTGCTCTCTGGGGAACTCTGACCATGTGTCTTGGCTTCGTGGAGGGCTTTGGTTCGTTTGTCGCTGTTCGAGCGTTGCTCGGCATCGCTGAAGGTGGCCTCCTCCCAGGCATGGTAACACTCTTCCTACAACCTACCAACTACAATGTCACTGATAATCACAGGTCCTCTATCTCTCACACTTCTACCGGCGCACGGAGCTTGCTCTCCGCATCGGCATCTTCTATACTGCTGCTTCTCTTTCCGGTGCCTTTGGTGGGCTGCTTGCTCGCGGCTTGAACGCCATTGGTCACCGGGGCGGCCTTGCCGGTTGGCGGTGGATCTTTATCATCGAGGGTTTACTCACCGTATTCATCGGAGCCTTCAGCTACTTTGGCCTTCCAAACTCCATCGAGGCCGCACGCTTTTTAGATGCGGAACAAAAAGAACATGCTCGCCGGCGCTTGGATGAGGAAAACAGCGCTCACGAACCCTTCTCCTGGAAAGAAGTCAAACGCGGCATCTTCAACGTGCAAGTTTGGCTTTCCGCCCTCGCTTATTTCTCCATTCTCTGTGGCTTGTACTCGTTTGGCCTTTTCCTGCCTACAATCATAAACAACTTAAAATTCGCCAGCGACCCCAATGAAGCACAGCTTTGGACGGTCATTCCATATGCAGTCGCAGCGGTATTCACAGTCTTCGTCGCTATCCTCTCCGACAAGCTTGCACTGCGTGGGCCTGTCATGCTCTGCTCCTTACCCGTTGCCATCATCGGGTACGGTATCATCTCGCAGACTACCAATCCACACGTCCAATACGGAATGACCTTCATGATGGCTACGGGAATGTATGCATCTGTGCCGTGTATCCTTTCATGGAATAGTAATAACTCGGCTGGACACTATAAGCGTGCAACGACTTCGGCGCTACAGTTGATGATTGCGAACGCTGGAGGTTTCGTTGCAAGTTTTGTATACCAGAAGAAGGAGGCTCCTCACTTCCACAAGAGCCACACCATTATGCTAGGCCTGCTCTGTGCAGCATGGATCTTGTAAGTGCCTGAGGTCCGAGAGTACACATCGGCTAATGAGACATAGAATCGCTGCGAATACGGCATGGGTGTGGAAGCTGAACCGTGACAAGGCGAACGGAAGAAATGCAGCCTGGGAAGGTCAGGGCGATGACAGAGACCCGCGTTTCAAGATGGTGTTGTAATCCGTGTAGAATGGAAAGGGAAACGATTGCGATCGTAATCGCAAATGATAACGATGACGCAATTACGAAATTACATGCATCTGATGCTCATTAACATGGCTTTCCCTTCCTTTGCTCAGGTATGTCTAGTCTGCACTACTCGGGAGCATCTTGGTGGAGTCTGACCCCAATGCCGACGTTTGACAATGCCGTTGATGTTTCAAAGTATAGGATAACTCGATGTTCATATCGCCAGCAACTACTTAGATCGAGCCCAGAGATGCTGCTTTCAATGATGATATTCCGCAAATCCACATCAAGGGCGATACTTTTGGTAGGGTGATTGGAAACCTCTAGTAGCAGCGATCGAACAATGTCACAAAGTGATCTGTTCCGGATGGGTCACCCCAAAAAGAGCCATGTCAATGATTTGGAACTGTAAACGGGTGACACATTAATGCGTTAATATCCCCTCTCTGTACGCATGTGTTGGAATGTAGTATAGCAGCAGGAAGTCTTAGGTATACCTGGTTTACAGAGGCAACAATTTGCGAGAAATTCAATCAGCAAGACTGCTATCGAATGGCGAAACAGAGTCTCAATCACGATGAATAGTAGTAGCGGAACCTCTTATGTCGGTATAAATATATGCAGCAACGAAAGTGCTCTGTCTGAATGCGTGCGCGAGCGCGCACGACATCCATTATCCTGATACTCTTCCAAATCACACACCTGTGTGTGATAGAGCGTTCCACACCTTAAGAATTTTAGGCTCGTCTGTTGGTTCAAGCTCGCTTGGCTAGAGCAATGTCCATAATGTTGCGAGAATTGTGCTCGAACGCGTCGCCGCCGAGCTTCACGACGACTTCCTTTCCTGCTCAGACCTTTTCGACCAACTTCTTCGCCATTTTAAACCTCGCCAACAACACGAACAAAGACGAAGCGGTGGCCACTCCGCCAGCGTAGAAGATGGCAGGTCGATACACTTCGATGCCCACGCCCTGGCCGCCCTGCTGTTTACCGCCTGCAGCCTGTAGAAGATAACCCGCAATGGGCGATCCCATCAAATAGCCCCCACTCCATCCAGCGACAGCCATAGACATTGCCACGGCAGCGCGACCTGGACCAAACATGCTCGCAACAACCGTCGGTAAAGTTGTGAAGAATGAGCCGTTCGCTGCACCATTGAGAGCGGCAAAGACAGCAAGTGGGCCAATTGAATTGGAGACTGGCCATATAGCCAACATGCTCGCTCCATTAACTACACTCGTTATAAGGAACATGTTGACGGGCCCAATCTTATCGCACAAGGGCCCTGCGGCGAACCTCCCCAGGGCATTGCAACCGTTGAATGCGGCAACCAGGCCGGCACCAGTGCTCGGGCTTAAATTGATGCTCTGGGCAAACAACGGTAGGAAGTAGGGTGGGACGAAAAGTGAGAACGATCCAATCGCGCCCGCAATAAAAACTGTCATAAATGGAACAGATCGAAACATTGAGAAGTCGACCAATGGAACACGGCGCAATCGGACACGATCTTTTTGCATCCATGCCGCTGGAAGGCCGGTCGCAAGGGTAACGAGGCCTTGAATTCGGAACGTCCATGCGATGCCCACGCGACGGTACAATGCTTCGATTGCAATAGCGAGGACACAACCACCGATACCACCACCCAGCTTGACGATGCCATTTGCGAGCCCCAGGTGTCCGGAGAAGTACTGCACTGGCAAGCCATTTGACACTGTATATACCATGCTCATCCCCAGACCTGCGAGGATGCCCATCGTTCCGAAGAGCGCCCCAACTTCTCCGGTACAGAAACCGCTACTGATGAGGCTTGCACCCATCAAACAAACGCCGGCTATTGAAGTGCGTCGACTCCCGGCCCAGCGCATGAACTGAACCACAAAGATTCCAAGGAAAGCGCTGAGTGCAAGGCCTAATGAGCCAACCCACGAGACTGTAGCCGTTGGGACCGAGCGTAGGGAGGAATCGAGGAGTGCCGCTTGGAGGACCCCCCAACAGTTGATGACCCCGTTGCTCCAGAATGCAGTGACAGAGCAACAGAATATGACGACCCAGCCGTGACCGCCATCAGGGATCGCGGTGGTGATGTTTTCTGCGTCTTCTGGAACTTCATCTGGCGGCTGAATGGTGTCCGTTCGGCGCGCTGTGAGCGAGATCCTGTCTGTACTGGCAAGCTCAGTGAGCTCAATGCGCTCTTCGGTCAACGTGGAGGACATCCTAGGACAAGAAAACTGCGGTTCTGCTAGCCGTTCGATGGAGACGCATCCTTTGCGTTTTGTAGATTGTCGGAAGGATGCACCAAGCGTTTGCGCGGGTTAGCGCGCGCCCTTTGATCAAGCAATAATCGCGCGGAGGGCTAAAGATGCCGGAATCTAGTAGCTGCACAGCAACTGTGGAACTCGCTCTGAACATGTTAAAAACCAGGCTCACGTATCTGCAATCACACCTCAAAGCCACTGCCAGTACGATGCGCGGAAGATCGGACGTGAAGCGTGATCCAGTCACGTGCTGCCATCCGGAAGGTCACACGCGTGTATCCACCATGCTTAGACTTCGAAAAGCTATCGTTCTCTCAAGGTAGGTTTGAATATACTCGATGGACGTAAATACTCCATGTCGGGCTGCACACTCAACGCTTTCGACAAGGGTCTTGTATGAAAGTATCATGACATGATATCATGAACTTTTGGCAACTCACAATCCAAGGGTGCATTTTCCCAAATTGTCACCTTCCCAAAAAAAAACATTTCCTCCTATTTCCGAACCAGGTCTCTGATCGGCTAATCTGGCCCAAGTCCCAGTCAGGGATCCTACAACCCCACTTCTCGTGAACATCTCGCATCTGCACGCTCAACATGTAGCTTTCGCCCAGATATCTTGCCTGCAGAGCAAAAGACATATCACGACTGTACTAGAACATTACAAAATGCCACAGTCAACCCTATCACGCCTCCTCGCAGCCAACATCCCATGGACTCTCCACATCGCCGCACTTCTTACATCCATTTGGTTCCTCTCACCGGCATCACGCTCCATCTTTCTCCTGTTCTATGGTCTCACCACATTCCTCTTCGATACCGAGTGCCTCTTGGCCGCGCTCCAAAACGCAGACGAACCTCCCCTGATCCCGCACCTCTACCTACCCTATGTAGGTCATGTCATCGGCATGTTCTGGCATGGTGCCTCCTACTTCGCCCGTGTCAACGCGTCAACCCAATACCCCATGTACACCCTGCTCACACTGACCGGCCGTACCATCGTGGTGATCGATCCCGCCCTCGCAGGCACAATTCAGAAAGCCAGCAAGAATACTAGTTTCTACGGAATGATCCTGGAAGTCACGAAACGGCTGGTTGATCTAGACGAGCCGACGATGGAAATCATTCGGTGGAACATCAGCGGCGAACATGGACCGCACGAAGGGCTGATGCATGAGGCGGGAAGCATGGTGGCGAGGGAGTTGAGTCCGGGGCCGAGCCTGAACGAGATGAGTGCGGTGCAGCTGCAGCAATTTTCGATGCTGCTGAACGCGTTCGTTCCGGGCTCAACGGGCGTGGAGATTTCACTCATGGACTTTGTGAAGCGGATATTCACTGTCGGAAACGCGTTCACCATCTACGGACCACAGAATCCCTTTGCTTTGAACCCGTCTTTAGTGCAAGACTTCTGGACATGGGAACAAGGAATGATAGCTGTAATGGCCGATATCTTCCCCTCTCTCACCGCGAGGAAACCATATCTCGCACGTAAAGCCATCAACGCCGCGCTTGAAGAGTTTGTAGCCAAAGAACACTATCGCAACGCATCGCCCATGATCCAAAAGCGCGTCCAGATAAATCTCAAGCACGGGTTGACGACGAAGATGGCTGGGCACGCTGAGCTCATCCTGCTCTTCGGCGTCACTGGTAACGTTGTGCCGACAACTTTCTGGGTGCTCGCGAACATATTCTCCCGCCCGGAGCTTCTGGCGAGGATCCGCGAAGAAACGAGCCAAGCAGTGCTGTGCATGCGCAGCGCACCGGTTGGTCCAAGAGAGAAAGTAATAAACGTAGCGCAATTGAAGACGAAATGTCCGTTGTTGGTATCCACGTACCGCGAGACAATACGCTCGATTGCGAACCTATCTTCTGTCCGCCTTGTTATGCATACGCACACCGTCTCAGCGCCCGGTCACCGTCCCTATCTTTTGCGCCAAGGGGGCATAGTACAGATTGCCTCTGGAGTCATCCATGCACTAGATTCGGTTTGGGGTTCTGATGCCAACAAATTCAATCCCTCACGCTTTATGTCTGCCACGACCACTAACGAGCAATTCTCGGCATCTTCGTCCGCAACCGAAATAACCGCGACTGCGCTTCCCAAGGGCGTGTCGAGTGCAGCGTACCGAGGCTTTGGTGGAGGCAGCGTGATCTGTCCAGGTCGACATTTTGCGCAGAACGAAATTCTAGGGTTCGTGGCTCTCTGCGTGCATATGTTGGACATCGTGGATGTGAAGACGGGTGGTTCGTTTGCGTTGCCAGTAAAAGACGATGGGAGGATTCCACTGAGCGTTATGAAGCCGGCGAGGGAGCCGCAGGTGCTGATCAAGCGTAGGGAGGGAGAGGAGTCCGCTGCATGGAGCCTAGAACTCTAATATGAGAACAAGGATTCAATCCAGCATGTAGCCCGCTCCAACATGTTCATACGCCAACCTTTTGGCGTAAAGGTGCGATCGCTGGTGTGCTAATAGTTTCGCCTGTTAGCGTCCTTAACGTCAATTCTGCGATGGGATGGACAAAAAGTTTATTGTGCAGCTACTAATTGGTATCATTAAGTACGCTCGTAAAGATCATCTCACACGCGACGCGAAATCTGACATCACCCAACCCTGTGGGTATTTATAATTTGTTCTCAGTATGACTGATGACGCTCGCTCTCCGAGCTTCCAAAACGGTCTCGGCTTGCGTAGGTGGTCCCTGGTAGTTCTTCTTTCCCCACACGAAGTACCACGCAGTGGAGATAGCGATGAAACCTGCGAAGACGACGCTGGCGTAATTCATGGTCGTGAGAGTAATGGGAAGGAAGGTGGGCATGCAGAATAATGGGATGACCAAGAGGGACCAAACTGGAAAACCTGTTAGCAAAGGACTTGCCAGCGGAAAATTTTTCTTACGGATAGAGACCCAGTTACAGAAAGTTCCTAGGGCACCGAGGTGGAAGCTGCCTTCCTTGACCTGCTTGCGTCCGTTCGCGACCGATGCCACAACCGGTACAGCGTAGCTCAGGGTCAAGGTGATTACACCGACTCCGGAGAAAGCGTTGAAGGCAGCGGTTGAACCAAAGTAGATGAGCCCAAGCAAGAGTTGAACGACCATACTGAGCATCATGGCATTTAGCGGAACATCAAGCTTTGGGTTGACCTTGTTCCACCTAACACAGGCGTTAGTAATGTCCCTGAAATCCAGATGAATAAAACATTTACTTACCATTGGAATCCGGGGATAGCACCATCACGAGCAAAGGCCCATGTGCACCTCGAAGCAGCTGTCGTGCATCCGATGCCGCAGATGAGGCCAAGCACGAGAAGGGGGATGAAGAGGGCGAAAGAACCACCGGCAGAGCCAATGGCGGATTTGATGATAGTAGGCACGGGTTGGCCAGAAGCAAGTGCAGCGAGCATCGCTTGGTCGGGGAATACAAAGAGGAGCGGGACGAGGAAGATAATGCCCATAATCGTGTTAAAGACGATGGTGCCGACCATGGCCTTCGGTACCTGCGTTGCCGGCTTTTGTACCTCCTCGCACATCCTATGACGAGTCAGCATCATGTACTTTGAGGGAATTCATCTGACCGATGTGATGAAGTTGCAAGGGCAAGGTTGCAAGGGACTTTGTCGCATGGGAAATAGGTATGTTGCTGCTTTGGAAATAGGCCGAAAGTGTCGCTTTGGCGGGGAGTCTCACGAAATAATCATTCCCGTCGATGAAGTCGCATAGGCAGCGTGGAGAAGTCCTACGAAGAAAGACCAGCCTGCTGGCCATCCGCTGTTGCTTGTGTCAAATTCCCCAAAGACGTAGCTAGCATTGCGACGTCCTTCTTTTGCGATGGCCAGAATGCACACAATAATGGCAATCACACCAGCAAATGTCCAGTAGATGGCAAATGTCTAAGATCAGAGGTTAGAGGCGCAAATCACGGTGTAGGGGATATTCTCACATCTAACAATGGCAGCCAGCGGTTGCCGAGGGCAGAGGTAAGGTTGCACAGGATTGTGATGCCGAAGAAGATTAGGTAGAGTTGGTAGGCCTCGCCGGGGAAGATGCCTACACCCGGCTCGGATTCGAATACGTTGAGGCAGGCGGCGAGGAACGAAGCTGTTCCGAAGTTGACGGCAAGGGTGATGGTGATATTACCAACAACGAAGGCCCAGCCGCAGACCCAGGATATGATCTTCCTGTACTGGGGTGGTGAGAGCATGAAAGACTGGTAGTAAACACCTCCGGCGGTGGGATAGACGCTGGTAATTTCGCCCAGAGAGGCTGCGACGCAAAGAATGATGAGCGAGACCAGGACCCAGCCCCAGATGATATCGACGGGCCCTCCATTGACGACGGGGTAGTACAGGGTGGTGGTGAGACCGTAGGGAACCGAGGCCATGACGAACGACATGAAGGCGACCTGGAAGGTTGACCTGCTGCGCACGAGTTCGCTCTTGTAGCCCATGGCTTCGAGAAGCTCATCGGCTGCGACGACGCCTCCGTCTTCCGAGTGCCCTTCTCGCTTCCCATCTTTAGTACCCAGGTTGCGTCGGTGGACGTCGTTTTCGGCGGCGAAAGCGTCCGATTGGGTCCCGTAGGCCTGATGGGCCATGCTGGAGAGAGGTATGAAGGAGCGTGAGAGGGGTGAGAGAGGATCGACGCGGGAGGAAAAGTGCAGTCAGGGTGGACACGCGACGGCTTTCATAGCTGCAGGTGAAGGGTAGCATGGGCACGGGCGGCGCGCTACCAGGACTAGGCAGGTCGAAGCAGCAAGACGGCTAGCCGAGAGCGTCGGTGGGCGGCGGCATCCTGGCACGGCGCGATGCGATGACGCGCTAGCTGTGGTGTTGCGCGGTTGGCCCTGGGTAGCCTGCACCAGTGGGCGATGCTGGTGCGCCAGAACGAGTTGGTGCGACCGTGGCTGCCGGAGTAGGGCTGAAAATTCAGATTGTGCGCCACGCCGGCGCCGCGCCCATGAATGGAGCGTCCGGGTTCCAGCGGGTCGTGGGCGACGTCGACGGCCTCTTGTCGGCGTTGCGGCATATCTGAAATGACGTGCCGCGGTTGTTGCTCTAGAACGCGACGCGGTGGAGGTGGTTTGGCGCAGGGCGGGAGAGGAAGAGCAGAAGCTTCATTGGCAGCGGGCCTGTGGGCCTCTCTGGGGGGCGGCGCGCTCCCGAACCCACGTCGAGGAAGTTGCGACCGTTGCTGGAAAAAATTGCCATCCGCAGCGCGCTTTCCTCGCGTTATCAGATTGCGGGGACGCATTTCCATCTCGAGCCCGTTCCTCCCGCAGCAATCCATCCGCTTCCTTCCTGATCGCCAGGCTCCCTAGGACGTTGCCCATGTGCGGCCGAGATGCAGCCGTCATTACCACCGTCTCCTTGGGGCTCGGTGCCCATTTTTCGTCGCCCACCATGACGCCGCAAGCCGAGATTATGGCGCCGCTTGACCCATATCTAGCCACGCCCGATACCCGATGGCTGCTACTCCTGACTTGACACATACGAGATAGCGTGCGGGCCTGGTTCACAAGGGACAAAACATCTGCAACCATGCCCCTTACGTTCCAGAAGCGTGCAGACCTCATGGCCTGACTGCCCGTCAAAGTCGATTCTTATGCCGTTCGCCTGGGACTGTACACGGTCAAGCTTGGGTAACATGGCGTCTGCATGCAGTGTGAAGGCGCCCATGTCAGTAGAACGATGTGAACAATGTGTTATATGCTTCACACCAACAATTGATCCACAATGGAGACCTCACCAACTTTCATCACACAGTCAGTTACCGGTCGAATTGCCCGCCCTTAATTCGACGTTGCAATGCACTGATGTCAGGATGACGTTTGGTCGTGGAAGGAAGCGACGACGTTGTACATTGAAGACGGCCGTCCTTTCCATCTCAACTCCCTGTCTCAACCCTCTGCAATGAGTTCAACTCAAGAATCCAGCGAATCGAAGAACATCATCGTGTCCGGCGGTGCACGAGGCATCGGACGGGCTCTGGTCCGCTACTTCCTCGAAGCCGGTCATCGCGTCTTCGTCTTCGACATTCAGGAAGACGAACTCCAGTACGCCGTTACGAAGCATCTAGAGAAACATTACAAGAACGGAAACGTCGGCTATGCAGTCTGTAATCTCCGCCATGTCGACGATATCCGATCGAAAGTCGACCAGGCCGCCAAGTTTTTTGATGGGAAAATCGATGTACTGGTGAACAATGGAGGCATCGCATCCCCATACTGGAAGGACGACAAAACCATGGAAGCCAAAGAGACCTACGACCAATGGGTAGCTTACATGGAGACTAACCTCACAGCGCCCTTCGCCATGTCGCAGGCCTGCATCCCATTCATGAAGCACCGAGAATCAGACTCAGACAACTCTCAAGGCGCACACAAGCACATAGCAGGTCCATGTATACTTCACGTCGGTTCGTTCCGTGCCCATCAGAGCGATCCGAATCAGGAAGGCTATGCCGCAAGCAAAGCTGGACAGCTCGGTCTCATGCAGGCCATGTCGATCAGTCTCGGTCCCCTGGGGATAAGAACGAATCTTGTAGCACCAGGCAGGATCAAGGTTGGACATGAAAGCAAGGAAGGAGACGAGAAGGGCGATACCTGGGAGGGCCAAAACACCGAGAAAGATATCGATGATCATCCTACGAACAGAGCGGGAAGGCCGAAGGATATTGCTGACGCGTGCTTGTACTTGATCAACGCAGGCTTCGTCAATGGGGTAGACATCACTGTGGACGGAGGAGCTTTGAGAAAGAAGAGTGGCTGAAGCGGGCATATGCAGTATCTCTTACGAGTCATGGTTGCATACTTTACGAACACCCAGAAATGCACATATCGCGCACGCGAGCTCATCGTCTTCCGCCTAACCATCCGCGTTCCAATACGGATAGCAATACCCCGTTGGTCTTACCGGACAAGTCTTTTCACTATCCTTCTGCAGCGGCGGATCGTAAGCCTTGCACACAAACCTATCATGACACATCGTATAACCCGCACAATACTCATAGTCTGGATCAAAGCACCCTCCACCCCAAGATGGGTTTCCAAACATCTTCTGACAAGGAAACTCTTTGCCCTTAAAAATCACCTTGCCAGCCGCCACGCCAATCTTGTAAGCCGCTGCCTCGGCGGGGATCTGCACGTAAAGAAAACCGCGAGGGTTCGGCTTGTCGGCCCAAAAGAAGGCGCTGGTGTCGTGGCCTTCGTAGCGTTGGTAGGGTGTTGCGGATTGTGGCATGTTATATTGCCATTGCTGGGGCGTATGGGGACTGTACAGGCCGATATGGGACCAGGTGCGTGTGGCGTTGTTGATGGTGTTTGGGTCTTTGGAGGGGTCGACGAGGTTGCTACATTGAACGAGGTGGAATTCGAGGTCGAAGTTGGCTGGGACGGTGTCGTTTGGTTGGGCGGCTGTGCGTGCGAGCAGAGCGCTGCTCAGGACGATGCTGGGCACCCGCATCGCGAATTTCTTTGAAGAAGTCGATTGAAGAGAGCCTTGTACTACATTAGCTCTTCTCATAGATTATAGGCATTTAAACAAGTCGACGTTCTCGTGCGAGTAGGAGAGGTACGTAGTTCAAGCGTGCATTCTGCCTCAAAAGAATCTTTTGCAGCGTAACGTTAATATCGAGCATGCGATGTCCTATTGGAAAGCATCTAGCCCTCTGCAAAGTACCTGCACGTCATGCCCGAGGTGCTTCATTGAGCGTGGCTATTGGTATCGTGAACATTGCCACTACTGGGGCAAGACAATGTGCTGCGCTGTGCCTTCCGAGTGCGTGCTCCGTAGATGAACCGACTGAGCATAGCAGAGACGTTCCGCCCCGGGCGCGTGCACGAAGCAGCGCTGATTCTCGTGTTACTTCGTGGGTGCAAAAGGTTGTTTGACAGAGCAGAATCTTGCAAACAAATGCTCCAGCAGAGTTAATATGCTATGCACGTTAGCGTAATCCGACAATAACCCGCCCGCGTGTGAACATGGTCAGGGTATTGTCGTACCACTTCTCCCGGCTCAGCCCCGCGAAGGAATCGATGGGGTGACAATCTTCGCGACGTCTCCCCACCAAACGCCTGCTTCCCCAAGCGCGACCGTCATATCACACGACTCCCGCACCGTAACAGTCCGAACCTGAGAGCGTGTTCCTGTTTTCAGCCTATCTGAAAGCCAATCACACCCGCGCAAAAGGGTTCGCTCACACCATGCGGCCTCCTCCAGTGAGATTTGCCCAATGTCCAGCAGCGCGCCTGACGTGATGCGCGCTGCGGCTGCGCTTGGTATCGGACGCCTCCGCGAAGGAGATGCGCGACGAGTCGTAGCGAGATGATAGCGAGATGAGTATTTAGAGCGCAAGGCCTGTTTGGTGTTGAAAACATCGCACAGCACCTTCGCACCGCATTCAGCATTCAAAGCACTCCACTACAACCAAATCGAGTCTATCACATTCACCCTACGCTTTCCATCTCCACAACTCTACCTTGCCACACTTGGCTACCATCTTCTCGGTACCTACCCACAGAACACACATCAATATGCCTGTCGCACCAAAGTCCTTCGTTGGCGCTCTCGCCACCTTCATCGGTGAGGTCTCCTGCTTCATCAAACTATGAAGTACGCTCTAACATCAGGATAGTCGGCTCCTTCACATACACCGCCTACGTCGCACGATATGAAGGCAACCAAATCGACGCCGCTCGAACCCGCTGGCAAGAGCAGATGAGGAGAGGCAATGCAGCAATGTCCGGAGGTGCGTCGCTGCTAGAGCCGACAAAGTAACCACCCGGAGCATGAGAGTAAGGCAGCGTTCAGCATCAAACATGGAAAATGGGCGTTTATGGAGTATGCATGAGATATCCCAGCGTGACTGAGATACCCGGTAGGACTTTTTGATAATCTGTTTTGGATTTGCGGCTTTTGCCTAGTTCGAATTGAAACATATACTCATCCATGCCTTGATTTGCCAACTTCGTATTGCAGGGACCCGAGAAGCAGATTCCACCTTTCTGCTGTGGCGTGTGCTGTGCTCCGTACATCCTCTCCGCGGTGTGTGCCGACTCCTAATCAGGCTTCTTTGCGTCCGCCCAGCTCGGCACGACCCCCGAGCAAACATCGACATATGCATCCCACCTCGTCATGTCCTTCTTCTTTGCGTTCACTGCCTTAGCAGCTTCTTCCACCACGCCCTCCGTCGTCCAGAACATAGTCCAATACCCATCGGGTAGATCCCACATGCCCACCGCCCTTTCAAAATACCACTTGTTCACCGGATTCGTCGTTCTACTTCGCCAACAGACACCTTGCGGGAATGCCGTTCGTGTTAAGGCGCCCCAAACGATGTCTGCGACGCCGCCAGAACCTTGAGACTTTGTCAAGACGGCGAATTTGTCGAGGTAGGGGACCCAAAGTGGTGAATCTGGAGGTGGAGGGGTGGATGATAGTGGATTTGGCGCCTCCCAAGTGCAGATCGCGCCACCCTCATAGTCACCGGCGATAATGACACCTGCGATGCGGCCGCGGATGCGATCGAGGTAGTCTCGTGCGTCAAGTTTGCGGCCGAAAGAGTCTTCTATCAGCTCCACCAGTTTTGGAAAATTTATACGTGGATCCTTTTCGAGCTCGATGCTAGGGTTCGAGGGAGAAGGTGGTTGCCAGGGTGAAACGCGCGGATCAGGGAGTATGGTCACGGGAATACCCTTCTTGAGAAACGTTGCCGGGTTAGGATCCGCTGATGCCAAAGGACGGGTCACGAGCGGGTCTGGCAGCGACGAGGACGTCATGGGCTTGTCTGTAAGGAGGTTGTGGATTAGCGGATTCTTGGATCTTCGTGTTCGTACGCCCGCAGAGGAACTTTTTCGGAGTGCTGCTTGGGAGGATATTGCGGCCTCGGCCGGAGTGATGATGATTGCGGAGGACGAGGGTGGTAGAAATCGAAGAGCCCGGTGCACTACATCGAGATTCTTAACGTGGCGAGACGATGGTGGATCGACAGAAATCTGCTTTTGTCCGGCACCGGGCATCGGTGCGACCTCCGACTCTACCAACGTCGAAAGAGGGTTACTGCTGCCAAATGATGATACTGATGGGTTTCCAGTTGGTTCTGCACTTTGGGGAGGACGTTCTAGCTCCTCTCGCACATCGCGGTACTCTGCCTCGAGATTGATAAAGACATGTGCACCGTCAGCTCGATGTTCCGCCGGTATGCCTCCCAGGGGCTCCAGAAGGATGATGCGGTCCAGCACAGGTTTCCTAGAAAGTTCTTCCTCTCTTTCCTTGAGAGCGCTGTCCGAATTTCCCGATCCCTCTGAGTCGGCTCGTGGAGTAAGTCCTACAAACTCGCGCGTCAGAGCAAGCAGCACGTCGTCAGGATCGACCCGGATCTTTCTAAGCTCTGATGTGTAGGCAAAAGGCGGAATCACTGGGATGATGCCATCCTCAATCGGGGGGAAGAGTAGGTGGTTATTCTTCACCTCAACGGCCCCGTAGCCTTGCAGCCCTGCACCAGCCCTGCTCGCATCCTTGTCGGTGTAGGATAGCGCATGGCCAACCTCGAAAGCACCAGGATCATTGAAGTCTTCCAACGCGTCCACAACACGTGTCGTCTGTTCCCGTACCGTGCTCTCCCATATTGGATTCACATCAAGGCTGGCCGGCCCGTCGTCCCCTTCACAATCCACCACAACAGCAATATTCAATCCCAGCTTCGCCATCTGACTCAGCGTCAGGGCGATGCCTCCAAGTGTCTCATCATCCAATGCTTGAGGCTGCCGGAGCTTGACCAATGCCAAATGCAGCGGCTCTAGATCTCTATCATGGAGCAATTTGTCTGGCAATTCTTCTCGCGTGAAGACAGGGTTGTTCTGAATCGCCTTGGTAGGCTCGTACAAGTTGCCCAGGTTGACACCCGTCCGACCTAGCCTCCATTCATCATGATGTGCTTTCCGTTCCGCCTCAGTCGTGGCCCGGGGTACTTCAGCTTTCGCTGGCTTCGGCGTCGGCGTCGGCTGCCACTGATCGAAGTGCTTGAGGAAGTTCCGCGCATCGCGTTTACCGGGTGACTCTTTGAGCAAGCGGGTCAGTTGATCGCGTTCGGCGCGCTGTCGTTCTTTCGCAACGCTCTTTCTGCCATTGCGGCCCGTCTCGATGTGGTTTCGCGTGGTTGTGGAAAAAGGCTGGACGAGACGTGTCCCGCAACAGGCACATATGTTATTGGGAGGAAGAAGTGCCTATCCGAAGAGCTGGTCAGACGTGTAACAGGCAGCGGAGCTTGTGCATGTGTGAACTCAAGCCGGACATGCGACTCACCCTCTTCCAGAGCGAGCCCCTCGTCTGGGCTCTGCATCTGAACATTCTTCATGCTCGAGGCTAGCTGATAGACCGCCGGGAGGAGACGGCACTCGTACAACAATCGCAGAAGAATGACTGTTCAAAGGGCGCGTGTGCTGGCTGCCAAAATTCGGCCCGCTGCCCGCTAATCGATAAACGCCTCGCAGCTTTAGCCGATATCGGCCTGACTGGGTTTAGTCTGTTGTACGAGAGATGACATGGGCTTGGCTGTGGGATGACGCAACATGGCCGCGGTAAGCATATTGCTTTCGTCTTGGGGTCTCGAAAGCTGCAGACACGAAGAACGGTAATCCATTTACAGCCAGAAACAATACCACTCATCATGGCACCGCAGCTCGCATGGATCGGCCTGGGCAACATGGGGAGGGTACGAATAGCCGGGCTCTCGTAGCTAACACTGACCGCATCAGGGCATGTGCAAGAACCTCGTCGAGAAGGGAAACCTCGATAAACCTCTCATACTCTACAATCGGACCAAGAAGCGGTCTGATGATCTTGCCGCAAGTCTTGGATCGGACAAGACGAAGGTCGTTGAGACAATCAACGATGTAGTCAAGAGCGCGGACATTATCTTCATGTGCTTAGGAGATGACGCGGCTGTCGACGCGGCCGTCAATGTTCTCCTTCAAGAAGATGTGAAGGGCAAAGTTGTTGTCGATGCTTCGACTGTGCATCCGGATACCACCAATGCTCTTGAGAAACGCTTAACAACGAAAGGTGCAGAGTTTGTTGGCATGCCAGTCTTTGGGGCTCCTGCAATGGCCGACTCAGGTAATCTCATCTGCGTGCTCGCTGGCGCAGGAAGCTCTGTCGCCAAAGTGAAACCTTTCACCAAAGGCGTTATGGGACGTGCCGATATCGACTACTCGGACCAACCCGCCGGAAATGCTACCCTCCTCAAAGTCGTCGGCAACACCTTCATCCTCAACATGAACGAGGTCCTCTCCGAGGGCCACGTAAGCAAACCATAGGGTACTAAGTGGATGTGTCATTCTGGCAGAAGAACAATTTCTTTCTCGCTAGACTGAGACATACAGAAGGTATTCGTCCACCCTGGCTTAACTCACACTGACTTTGTACCCGCGTGTTAGGTACTCGCCGAGAAGAGCGGACTTGGCACACAGAATCTCCACGCCTGGATTGAAACCATGTTTCCGGGACCTTATACTGCGTATTCAACTCGCATGTTGGCAGGCGACTACTACAAGAGAGATGAGCCGCTCTTCCACGTCGACCTTGCGCGCAAAGACGCGAGACACGCGCTAGATCTGGCAGAGAGAGCCGGAGCGAGTGTGCCGGCGTTGAAGGTTGGGGATGCGCACCTCGCTAAGGTGAAGGAGCATCTTGGTGACAAGGGGGACATTCCTAGTATATACGGCGCCGTCAGGCAAGAGAGTGGGCTGAAATTTGAGAATAAAGATTGATGAAGATTCGAGGTATCTAATACATGTTCATGACAGGAGCCAGTAACATTGCTTCGCTCTCTCTCGGATCAGCCATACCAGCGATGGCCTCCGTGCTGCTTCTTCGCCCGTATGTCGTACATGTCTCTGTGAAATCTCGCGTCGTTCACGCGCGCCCGGACATATTGAATGGACCATCTTTCGCGCCGTTGAGACAATGGCAAAGTCTAAGCTGCGTATTTCGAGTTCCGCCTAAGCACATTGCGTCCCACCCCTGTTCTAGCCTTAGGCTCCCGACTCGCGGCGCCAGGCCCGTTCCAACCGCAACTGTTGGGCATGTCAACAGTCTTGTAGGGACCTTCTGTCTAGCACACATATGCTCTATTTAGGCTTCGTGGCTTACATCTCTTTCTCGACGACGCGGTGCGCAAGCAGCTTTGCACAGTGTACCTATGGTAGCTTGTCTCCAAGTTAGACCGTGTAGCACCGATAGCTATTTCACGCTGCGCTGATTGTTCCGACTCTGTTCTTGCCGTGTCAAGCTGTCCATCTCGACAAACAATTTGCCATTTTGAAAACGGTCTTGGCAGTTTCCGCGGCGACCGTCTATCTTAGGCCTGCCTAGTCTACCGTTCTGATCTCCCGTGCTCACTTTGGCTTGCATTCGCGAACAATCCACCGGGACGCAACATGACGAAGAAGAAGCCCCAACCTCGCTCCGGCTCAGCCAGTACGTTGACTTGCTTCTGGAAGCGGAACTAAGCCTGCTGACCCTCTGTAGCTGTGCCGATAGTTAACAAGGAAGAGCGCATAGTCAACACAGAGATCTTGCCCTCAGGCGGACTCGCGTTACCGCAAGATGTAGCACAGGGTTCAGCCACCACCACGCCAGGTAAGTCGAGGGTCTGCATACTCCATGCAAACCATACGCTTATGAAGACCAGGCGCAGCGACGCCAGCATCTGAAACGTTGAGCAGAGGCGATTACTTCGCACAATTCGAGGGCTTTACGTCGCAAATGGATGCCGGCTTTCTTAACCAGTTCAACAAGCTCGCCATCCACGAGCAGTAGGTCAATATCCGCACTCTTTCCTCAACTCATCTTACCGAATGTTCCTTTTTAGCTGGTCGACGCGAGAGAAGGCACGCCGCCGCAATGAAGCCGTCGAGACCGAGTTCGATCACTACTTCGGTACGGACTATCACGATGTTGCTAAATGGCAGGAACTCTGCGGTTTGGTGGGCCTCGAGGTTCACGATTTGTCATCCATCACAAAGTGTAAGAAGGTGCGTTTGCGACCATCTCGCGGAGGGTGACATGACCAACTGAAGTCTGACAGTATGTAGGCACTAGGCTCACGCAAGGTCATGATCAACCTTGTCAACCTGGTCGACCACCTCAAGAATGGTACGCCGCTCAAGAAGTTCAATAACTTCTGGAATTTTCAGCGATACACGTTGAAGCAAGGCCGGTGTATGGATCGGACGCTCGCGAAGAAGAACGCTTTTGTGAACGTGTTGCTGAGACATGTTGCATAGCTTGTCGATGTGTTTGTGAAGCGCCAGGGAGTCCCTTCTTTTATTAATGTGACGATCGTTTAGGCCGTCACATAGGATTGGCGTAGGGCGTCCTGTCATGAAAGTACAATATATCGAGGCGAACCATGACAACGTCTGCAGATATCACTATTAGGCACTTTCTCGCTGAGACGTTCAAGTAGTTTGAGCATATAGCTTGGACTTCCTGCGTGCATGCATTCCAGTGGCATAATCGTAATTGTGGAGATGAGAATATTATACAATAGCATACCGTACGGAAGAACTGAACTTCCAACGATGCTGTAGACGTGATTCAGAAATAACCAACCACAGTGGCCGAAGAGAAATTCGAACATCTTAACAGGCAATCATATCCAAGCTCTTGCGACAATAACAAGAAGGACGAATAGACCCCCGTACTAAAACTTAATTATATGCTAAGGTAATTCAGGGTATAGTGAGTCCCTAAAATCTAAGACTGGTAGTTTACCGCTAATATTCACATTGATGGGAGAGTACGAATTTACTTTCCGGCCATTGTGAACAATAACTCCATGTCAAATGCGCCAACGGCCCTCGCTCCTCTAAAAATGTATTCTTTCACTCGATATTCTTTCCAACAAAGACGGCCTTGCGAAATTCGAGATCTTCAGGGGTACGGCCGGTGGTGATCTGGGCCTATCGATGTTCGAAGAGTTTGCACTACGACATTGATACCGATATTCCTCTTGAAAACATTTCCTCCAGTGCTTGCACCAAGGCTCGCCGCCTTTGACCTTTTGATTCATGAGCAGTTGGCACTCGCTTGATAAAAATGAGACTTACCCATCCCAAGAATTCCACTGCTAGTCGAGTGAACTCCGCCTTGGGCGCCGCATCCGTATTCAGGGTGAAGTCACTGTCTGTGCCTAGCTGTGCGATGTACGTCAATTGCTGCTGCCGTATCTTCGGGTCCAGAGTAGCCATCGACGACTGATGAAATGCGAGGTTTAATAACATGAAATGTAAAAGACTGCACTGTGTGCAGGATCAGTATTGCTGAAGTGAAAGCCAAAGGTTGCGGCGGCGAGCCACCCCATGTGTTGTGCAACATCATCGGCGAACGGCTCCTGCCAATCATCCTTGTCGAAGTAATCATCTACCGTTCAGAGGGATTTTGGTGGTAGTGCCTCTAGCTCTGCCCGCTCTGAGCCTCAACAACCGCTTTCTGTTTTCCAGGTACCGACGGGACGGTCCGAGGGGGTGGCAACACCGGATGCGTCCATCTGCCCTTCGCCGTGAAATCCTTGCCCATCACGGCCTTGAGCCCAACCATCTTTATGTTTGAGCCGCCTAGAAAGTAACAAGTAAGTGAGTGGAAGCACAACGGACGGACATAATGGCTGTAAATGATTTGGATCAGCGAAATGTTGTATCTTGTATGCGCCACTGTTCAGGAACATGGATGCGAGCGATGGGATTCTAAAGTATGGCCACGGTAGCCCCATGCATGGGGAAAGATGGTGCCACCGGCGATGAACGGCAGCGATGCGTTCAATTCTTGGGAGGTTCCGACTGTAGTCCCCATTCCGGCAGTCATAGTATGTATGTCGCGATAGGGATTTTATCAGGACCATGGGATTGAGTGTGATGCATTGTAAAAGGCTTCGCAAGCGTTCTGGTAGCGGCTCGATCGAGCTGGCTTGAAGGCGGAGATTTCACGGAAGAGTGGAGTAGAATTCATAGGGAGGCACTTGAGAACGCATGGTGACGTTGATGGCTTATGTGAAGTAGTGAGTGAATAGAATACTTGCGGAAAAAACGAGCGGCAGCGCTTGTGAGGTAGGTGGATACTTGGTCTTGAGAGCCGGCATAGATGGTATCCTCGGATGTAGGACAGTGTTGACGTGCGGACGCGCCGAGGTCGTTTTTTCAACTCCCTGTTAGAGCCCGCTGCATTCGAACGGTCCGGTGTAATGATGTGCATCCACCAGGTGCTTCGTCCGACCGGTAAAACCAGATCTTCGGAACCTGACACGTGCGCAGTGTTTGTTTGCCGCGGACCTAACATTCACCTGCTTCTGTTGGAAACATAGCACGTACTGTATAACGATACAAAACTTGAGGTAATTAACCAGAGCAGTTGTCGCCTGTTGCCATGTCGAGAAGGAACGGCCTTGGCACGCGCGTGTGATGCATGCTCCATTGTCCGAAGAATTGAGTGGATGGCTTTAACGAAAGATCGAGTTCGAGTCCATATTTTGTCTCAGAATGAAAACCACTCATTCATCGCAGGGTGGTAGAATTCGAGACGACTGAGTGTCTGTGGAGTCGTCCCTGGCGCAGTTGAGCGCAGAAATTAGGCTTACCTCATTCGCACGATGTCGAAGAATAATGCCGACCCTCTGGTTCAAGTATGGCGTGTCTGGTTGTCGTTAAGTACCTATGGTACTGTAAGGAAAGAGAAGGCCTGCTGGAATGGACTCTTTGCGAGCTTGACTCCTCCTAGTACATGTTCATAGATATCTCGGCTACTCAGTATCGCATTCTGTCGCTATCTTCAAACTATGCCACAAGGAAAACAGGGAAAATAAATTAAGCATGCTATTCCATAAGGACTCCGATGTTTCTAGGGTTAGGTGAAGACAGGTATTGTGGGGGATGAAAGAAAAGAACGGCCTCTTGACGTTGTTGGCTATGACACGGTTTAGCGTTGACTTCGAGGACGAAGAGGTGACAAAGTACCTAGGAAACACTTCGTAGCACGTGAGATGAATGCGGCCCCGGGGGAACGTTCCATGCGTCTTGGGCAGGCTAGGATGTGTGATCGAGATGTGGCTGGGCAGCGGTTACCAAGGAGGCGCAGCCAACCTTCCGACAACGGTCTTTCGATGCAGGCCAACTGCTTTGGTGATTGGTCTTCATGCAGCCATGACAAGACACTGATGCAGCGTCCCACCTTGGGCTGCACGTCGCCACGAAGGAAAACTTGCTGCCTGCGGCTTCTGTGGGCAGTCACTTGCCTTTACCTGCGCATCGCAGTTGCCACACAGAGCTCTTCGCAATGTACCTTCGAAACAGCCATATATTTGCTACGACGCTGCTCATTGCTATCTCTCCTACCATAGCTTTTCAGCCATGCACTCAATTTTCGCCGGAGCCCGTCTCAGTCCAGCAACTCCCAGCCTATTTCCTACCGCAGCACAGTCTGGACATTACCACACTCCTCGACATCGAAGCAATCCGCCAAACACTTGTTCTGTACCCATACATCATAGATGGTCGTGACTTCCCCTCTTTGTCCCGCGTCTTCACCGCAGACGCCATCGCAAATTATTCCGTGCCTATCGGTGTCGTGAACGGATTGTCAGGAATCGCATCTACACTTGAAGCGGCTCTAGCATCGTTTCCCGGAACCCAACATCTCCTCGGGCCGCAGAGTGTGCGAATCTGTGACAGCAAGACTGCCATCAGCGTGGCATATTACAGAGCTGTTCACTTTCTTCCCCAGAACGGAACAGTTGGGCCAGGAGATGTTGTGACAGGGAACGCCGTGCTGTATGCTTACGGCCAATATCAAGATTCGTGGGAGAAGCGCGATGGACTGTGGAAGATCAGGTATAGGAATCTAGTGTACATGGTAGGTGATGCATGGAACCCGATTTCGTAACGATAAGCTCACTTCGAGTAGGGGCCGCTCGTCACAGGTATCAACTAGGAGTCGAAAGCGCGATATCCCGCTTATCAATATAGATGTATGGCGCTCACACGCAACGTACAGATTCTGCCTGAACTTTAATAACAGGATTGAAGAGGCATCAAAATTGCGAAAGTCTTGGTACAGATCATGTGAATCCGGTATCTCGGAACGCGGGCCGACGCTGTCAAGCTTTGTGACACTAGACGGAAGCTTCAACACAACCCTACTTGTCCAAAACAAGCTCCCACGGCGCGAAGCCGCAATAGCATAGTCACTAAATGCCGCGAAATCTGGCTGTGCGGGCCAGAATGACTTACGGGCCATAAGTGATATTGCAATCTAAATGGACACTACAATTTAGGGTAACGTAGCGAGCTTGCCCACGGAAGATCTACTACCGTACGACTCGCTTGATGTAGTTGAGCCTCGACGCGGAACTACACTGGATCCCATTCGCGGACTCGACAATGACATGGATCCGTAGACCAGGTAACAGCTGTCCGTCGGCTCGACGGCCAGCAATTTCACAATGTAAACCTAGGATCGTGGTACTTCTCGCGTCAATAGATATAAGGGAATGGCCCAGTAGATATTCGAAAGTAGAGTCGACTACTACCTTTCAGATCTGCAGAGCGATCGACTAGATATCTCGACCTCATAATGGCACTGAAACTCTCCAGCATGCTTGCTGTGGCTTTGGCCGGATGCCGGCTTGCCACGGCGCAAAACCCCGACGACACCGCAGAGGTTCACCCGAAACTCACCACCTACAAGTGCACGAAGGCAGGAGGGTGCATCGCACAGGATACATCGGTTGTTATTGATTGGAACTACCACTGGTTCCATACAGCTGACTGGTTATCCTGTACAACATCGGATGGGAAAGTTAACTCGACGCTCTGCCCAGATGAAGCCACCTGTGCCAAGAATTGCTTCGTGCAGGGCGACACAAATTACACTGGGAATGGTGTCACCACTTCTGGAGACACTCTTACCATGTACCAGTACACAGAGCAGAGCGACGGCACGTACCAGAACGCTTCTCCGCGTCTATACCTCCTAGCCTCTGACGGCAACTATGAGATGCTTCAGTTGAACGGAAAGGAATTGACATTCACTGTTGATCTCTCGCAGCTGCCCTGTGGTGAGAACGGTGCGTTGTATCTTGGCGAAATGGACAAGACCGGAGGCCGCAGCGAGTACAACCAAGGCGGTGCCAACTATGGAGGCGGCTACTGCGATGCGCAGTGCCCAGTACAGAACTGGAAGAACGGAACTCTCAACACGAGTGGTGCTAGCTACTGTTGTAATGAGATGGACAGTGAGTTGTCTTCGTCACATCTCTCTGACGACTGCTGACGGTAGCTCTCTCACAGTCTTGGAGGCCAACTCAGAGGCTATTGCATTCACGCCTCACCCATGCAGCAGTACTGATTGTGATCGAAACGGTTGCGGCTTCAACCCTTACTCACAAGGGTACAAGTCGTACTACGGTCCAGGCGGTACTGTCGACACCACTAAGCCGTTCACAATCGTTACCCAATTCAACACCAACGATGGCACCGCCACAGGCATTCTGACGTCAATCACTAGGAAGTACTTGCAGAACGGTGTATTGGTCGCTAGTGCTAATTCTGGTGGTGACACTCTGACTACGGAGATGTGCAATTCTTTGGACAGCACTGCTGCTGCGTTTGGCAGCTTGGCAACTTCGGGTCAAGCCCTTGCTCGCGGAATGGTTCTCACCTTTGCCATCTGGAACGACGCTACAGGCTACATGAACTGGCTTGACAGCGGCAACAACGGTCCCTGCGACGCTACAGAAGGCAATCCAACACTCATCGTCCAAAACAACCCTACCACACACGTCGTCTTTAGCAACATCCGCTGGGGAGACATCAATTCCACATTCTCCAGCGGCGGTGGCTCTGGCACGACTACCATGTCGACGGCTGGAACCATACTCACTACTTCAAAGGCATCAACGGCTAGTGCTGGTCCTAAGACGACGACGACAACTACGAAGGTCACTACCACTTCATCCGCTGCGACGCCTGCGCAGACGCACTTTGGCCGTGAGTAGCAGTTCTCGATAGCAACTTCTTCTTAACAACTGATTGTATACGCTAATGCGTCTCAGAATGCGGCGGAACTGGATGGACTGGACCTACAACTTGCGTTAGCCCGTATACGTGCAAAAAGTCGAACGACTAGTAAGTTCACTTCAAGTAGCAGCTCGATTCGCAATGGTTGCTAACGGCGTCGTAGCTACTCCCAATGTCTATGAGATCGGTTCAGATGTTTCATGGCTCAATGCAGGCGCGAGGGGATGGATTCAAGCGTTTCTGTACCAAACTTCATTATTGCGATAGTACGCACAATACGGAATGTCACTAGAGCGTGCGCTTTATTTTATGCTCGGCAAAGCTTTGCCAGAACCTTGACGGTGACATTTTAAGAAGGCATACCGCGCCACGGGGCCCACACGGAACACGGCTGCCGTAAAAGCCGAGTAGTCTGTGTAAGAAAATTGAACGGGTGGATACACAGTAGCTACCATAGTATACAGGTTGCTATGTCATTAGGCCGCCCCGTTGCTGCCTAGCACTAACTGTTTGGGGGTGGCACGGCGTGGTGCACCGCCGTGTCCTAGAGGGGCTGCCATCTCCACCAACATCTTCATGTTTCCAACATTCTCTTCTTACATCCTGTCGCTGCAAATTTCGCAGCTTGCAACCCACAATGCCCTCATCAATAATGTGGACAACTGTCCTCGAAACAACAGCAATCTACACGGCCGCTAATGTCCTCACGCACCATGCTAGCAAGAACCTATTGTGGGACGTGTTTGAAAACCCCGGGATGATGAATTTCACCGCAGCCTTTGTGAATTCTACGATCCCGGTGAATGCCCTTAACTATACCGGAGAGGGTGCATTCGGCAATGAAGTCACCGACCGACTGAGGTTCGAGAAAGACCGTACGAAAAAAAGCAACGGAACAAGCGGACTGCCCTTCAGAGTTACTATCACCAACGGTACAGCCCTAAATGAGACCATCTCGGCGGCGAAGGAACAGAAAGAGCCGTTTTATACGAAGGAATTGCCACTCGGTGTTTTTGCACATTTTGTCATGTGCACGCTGCAGTACGTATGGCTCATATGGCTGGAGCGTGTTCTGCCTGCGCGGTCGCGACGACGCGACGTCATCGTCAAAGAAAAAGGCGAGATGAGTGAAGACCGCGAAGAGGAGGTGGTGAAGAAGTGGATAGCGCAGGGACGTGTACGCCGCGCTTCGCTCAACTGGTGTAATACTTTGTTGAAGTGGGTGCTGAGCCTGACGGTTGGGCGCGTGTGGTGGTTCGCGGTGTTGCATATCGTCCGCCGCTCTCTGAGACTGGAGTCGCCAAGGAAAATTCGGGAGGACATGCTGGGGGTAAGCACTGCCTGCCTGTGTCTGACACTCGCACTCGCTCGTATGGGAAGGCTGAACAAGACTTGTAGGTCGTCGCAATGAGCTTCGCGGGATCCTTCATCTCCATCACTCCGTTGGCCGAGCTCATCGCCTTCGTCGCCATACCCGCGTATAAGCAAACCGTGTTCGTGGCTGGTGCGGATTTGGCATTTCACATCTTCTTTGTGACGGTGGTAAGAAAGTTGGCTAGTTGGGCGGTGCAGACCGAGTTCGCGCAGGGGCTCATGCAGAATGTGACAAAGAGTGTGGTCGACGGTAGGAACGAGGCAGAGAGATACGCAAAGTTCAAGAACGAGCTGTGAGGCATGGCCATCAGTGCAAATGTGCTGGAGGATGGTGTGGGGGTGCGCCGAAACGGAGGGTCACACGGCGTCGAGGGAGCAGGTGGCGTGCATTCGTCGGCCACGGCAACCATAGGATCCAATCGGAAGCTGCATGACGCTGTGAAGGTTGGATAAGGAAGCGTCAGTGTGTCGGGGCTTCTTGGGAGTCGTGATCGTCTCGAGGGCAGTGCGATGGGAGCGACGGGAGCAAATAGGCGGGGCTGGGTGCATCCGGCGGGCCACGGTCGGGAGAGGAGAGGAGCTGGGCCGTGCGTCGCATCCCGGTTGAGAAGCTACGACGGGCTGCCCCCCTCTGCCATGGTCGCTGTCATGAGCTGTCCTCGAACACGCGCCGACAGCTCACACTATCAATTGCGGCCGCGCACTCGCTAACTTGTATTCTTCTCGGCCTGCGTCGCACGCCATCGCCTGCATAGCCATCCATACGGGTCGTGTCACGTCGCGCACTATTTTATCAGTTGGGCGGCCCGCGCCTCGCTCCCAACCTCCCGCAAGCCTCCCCATTTCTCTCCACTCAACAGCGCCGCTGCGCCAGACGTCCAGCCTCCATTCGCGTGCGCCTCTTCTGAGTTGCTATTCCTTCGCTTATATTGCATTCCACCCACTCGCGCGCTCCTCGACTCTTACTTCCCATAATGTTCTTCAAGCGTCGCTCTCGAGCTAATAGCTACATCGAAAACGACGCCCCGCAGCGCTCTCAGTCCTACGACGACTACGAGAAAGTCAGGCCCGAATCGTCCCACACGCAGCAACAGCAGCAGCAGGTCTCGTCGCCCACCGAGCAGGACATGTACCCACGACCCCAGCAGCCCCAGGAGCCCCAGTACTCGCGCGGTCTTTCTAACGCCGTCAACGGCATGTCTCTAGGACAGCCCACGCCGCCTCTGAGCTCCGGCCTCAAGCCTGAGCCGATGCCCGACCTGCTCACGCAGGCCTTCAACCAGGCTGTTCGACCCTACACGGAGAAGATTGAGCAGCTGGAGAGTCAGCTCGCCGACATGCAGGCTTGGGTAGAGCAGCTGGAACAGCAGCGCGCCGAGGTGCACAGCTGGATTGACAAGCGGGGACTGCGACCTGGTATGACTATCGACCTCTCGTCCGTATGCCAGCTGACTGACTTTTGCAGATGTTCCGCCTTCCATTGCCAAGATCATGGACACGACCACTGCCGACGGAGCTGTAACACTCAACGCGCAGCTCGACCGCAAGATCACCATCGTGAACTTCGACCTCCATCGCTTGCAGGACGACCTCAACGACTCCATCTCTTCTGCTCATTTTGCCTCAGCTATGCTCAAGTTCTTGCCCGACATTCAGCGACTGGCGCTCCTACCCTCGGGACCTCGTCACGCCTTCGATCTCGTCCTCAAGCTTGGCGGCAACCTGAACTCCCACGGTGGTCTCGATACAGGAGATGAAGACGACCTTGCTGCCCGCCGCGACTTCTACGGCCGCCTCGATGCCGCTATGGTTGACGTGGTCAGTAGGCGCTTCGGTGAAGGCGAGGAATGGAACGTCCAGCGCGAGATCAAACGTATCGAGAAGACTGCACAGTACTTGTCGACTTACGGCATCAAGCCGTACTTCCCGCAGACACTAGAAGTCATGCGGAGCGAAATGGACCACCGGGGAGGGGGCTATCAAAGCACCAACGGGGCGCCAAACGGTCAAGGGTCGCCTCCGCGGTACCACTAAAGGCCATCTTTGGTGATGCGCGTGGCTAACGTGAGTGCGCAGTGAGAGCAACGGAACGCTGAGAGGCTTTGGTGTGTCATGCCAACCCGACACAGCTCAAGCTCAATTCGCTGTTCCTGGTCCTTTGTCCCTTGATGGCTGCACTCGGAAGCGCGCTAGAACGAGGAGCGACCCAGGTCCGCCTCGGCCAACATTGTATGCAAAGACCTCACGCAAGCACTACGGCCGAGTGCTCATGCCTGCCCGACACTTTCACTACTCAAAGTCTTACCTCGATGCTGCCAAAAGGAGCCACATCTGGCGCCTTTCTCATTCATCTCGCTTCAATTCCATTCACTGTATGCTTCGATTAAACACCTTCGTCACACCTCTCCCCGGGGAGAACTCGACGACGATACGAAGAGCAACCCGCTGGCTTGATGCTTGTAATTAATACTCATGACACGAATCTCCTTGCTGTATCGGCGTTCTGAATGGATGACTGCATTGGGTATTTTGCGCTGTCCGCGTTTTGGACGATTTGGATATCCACAAAATAGGGGATTTGAAGTTGCGTGGGGGGAACAAACACGGAGACTACTAAATAATAGGTTAAGGATGCGTAGCATAGCCAGTATGAGAATTAAATGCATTGTCGATACCCAATACTTGGCTCGACCGTTCCTCAACCTCCGTGCCGTGCCATAGATATGATGCCCTGCACTACTCAGAGGAATGCAACACGGAAGCCGACTTGTGCTCTGCTCCCAAGTGGAGTATTTGACTGATATCGACTCCGCATCTTGTGCAGATGAGTCGGCAAATAGAGATATGACTGCAAGCGGAAATGGTGGAACTGGTGGAAGTATTGTAGCGTATCAATCAACCAAACATTCAATGTTTACAGCGGCGGGCCTTTGATATTCACAATCCTCTACAGAACAAGTCGCTCTTCCTTTTCCTGCGGAGCTTAGTGCGTCTCCGCTACCTCGTCTTCGGTTGTTGATCAACGGAACGCATTTGGGCAGCATAACAGTCACAGCTACGTCTACAGCCCGTAACATATCTCTACAAAGCATGTCACCCGTCTTTTCTTTTATCAACCACTACTACAACATAACATATATATGATTGATTTCGAAACCACCACCATGCCCGACTTCCCAACCCTAGACAAGGCCTTGGTGATCTTGCAAGCGAGCGACAGCGTGAAAGAGGTCTTGAGGGACCTGCATGTTCAAGCGCTAACTGAGATACCGAATGTGAGCACGGATGACCAGCCTGCCGGGGTGGCACTGCAGAGATTTGTGGCTCTCGGGCCGAACAAGTGTGCACTTGTGTATTGTGAGTCTGAACCCATCATTTACTCAAAACGCTGCATGAGCTCCAGAGGATTTACTCTTACCTTCGTCGACTAAAGTCTCCTATTTTCCACGAGACATCTGGACAGGCAATATGCCTGGTATTGATCTAACAGCCCCAAGTGCTCCTCCGTGCCAGCAGAGCAACACATATCGTCGAAGCAGGCGCCAGCTTCGGTGTGAGCACGATATGGCTCGCGGGACCGTATCTCAGAATGCCGCCTTCTCTGGTGGACAATGTAAGGTCATTGCGACGGAGAACGAGACAGTGAAGGCGGATCGTGCGAGAGGTCATTGGAATCAGTTGGGCGACACAGTGCTGCCGTGGGATCGACCTACGCCTTGAAGACATACGTGAATCGCTGAAAACGGATCTACCAGAGCAAATTGACTTTGTATTGTTGGACAATAAGGTGATTTACTCAGTGGTCCTATTTCTTGGCAATCTTTCTCAATCTCATCGATATCCTCCGGTCGATTTTTAACTCTGCTTTCCGTCACAACTCCAATCTCTTCAAGTTATTACCTTTGTTCAATAGTTCCCATCTTTATGTAACCCATCCAGCCCAATAGATGCACCATTCTACCCCTCCCTTGGAACTTTTTGTTACTTTCAGCCTTCACAATCCTTTCGAACCTGCACACTCACAACACTCCTACATGCTAATGCTCTTAGTCTGGTCTTACCTCGCCCTCCCAACGCTCAAGCTAGTCCAGCCGAAGCTTCGAGTCGGCGCGACGGTCGTTGTCGACAATGTCATTGCTGCGGCAGAGGGATACAAGAACTTTCATGGGTGAATCGACGACCCGAAGAACGGATTTAAGAACACCATGGTGCCTTATATAGGTGGTTTGCAGGCTATTGTGTATGTGAGTAAGGAGGGGCGATAAAGGCGGCCATGAACGGTCATCCATTAACCTTGATAAGTTTACACCCGGAATAATGTGATACTTCACTTTCGGACGTGTGAGGGTGCACGCATTCGTCAAATGAAATAATATTCCTTTGGTATTCCTCCATGAGCTCCTCATTTGAAGCCTGTGCAAACAGGGACACACTATCCAGATAACCAACTGTTCTGGAGACAGTCCCTTGCTATACTATCGACTTAAGAAGCCCGATTGTTTAAAAAAAAAAAAGCGTACGCCTGACCTACAGTTCCTCTTAGTCTTTATAGCTGTTCGATTATATCTTGAAAGCGCGCTTCCATTCGGCGCTGGAGACGCTACAGCGGCTACAGGGCTTTTTTTCTCATGCTAATGATGGTATCTGATCTCCCGAAGGAGCCGTTCGAAATTCAGGAGCTGTTTGAACCTCAGAACGAGTCGGTTGCTCTTCAGATGGGACCCGCTCTAAGAGGACTGTCGGAAGATTTCTGGGCGGATATGGGTGAGCAACAGACGGCGTGGTGTTCAGGCTGGCGTAGCCTTCCTTCATGGCGTTGTTTCTCGAGGGTTCGTCTAGACCAAGAAGATCGATTCGAGCGGAAATGGAAATTTGTCAATTTACGCGGCCTGCGATGGTCTTTATTATGCTAAACCTCGACAGCTCTGACGTGGGTCGTGTTCTCAGTGGCGAATTCACCGAAGACGCGGGGGACGAATGCACCATCGTTATCACCCGTTGGACTATTGGGTCGATTGCAAGAGTGAATGGTGGCACTGAAGTCCAAAGAGATCTGGCGGAGTGGCCGACGTAGGATAGTCCACGGGTGTAAATCGCTGCCATGTAAGTCAAATGCATCTTCGTCTGAACGTAGACTAGTCAATAACAGTGTTCATCACAGATTAGATACAACATTCGTGCCCTTCTGTAAATCTAAAACATTTCCGCAAAGCCTTCTCGACGTTGCTTTTAGCACATCAGCCTAGTCGCTGAACTGGTGGTTAAACTCGTTCACCACGCCAAGCCTATTAGCTGGTGTAGAGGAGGGAGTCGGATGCATCCTCCACCACTTCGCATAAGACGCGATTGCCGCAATTCTTTTTAGCCATGTACACGTGGTACGCACATTACTTCCATCGGCGCTCACTATCCATATCATCGATGCCTATGGTAATCGAGGAAAAGAAGATGGGCCTCCGAGCGTTCCGGAGCAATCACCGACAATCAACAAGCCTGGCGAGTTCGCAGCTGCAAGAGCAGGTCTGCGGGCTTTCCACACAAGGTTAAGGGTCTTCTGGAAAGGCAAAAGGGGTGGTATGCGACGCAAGAGAGGCTAGAGTGAGGCGTAGCTTTTGAATCGTACAGCTCGTGGGTTTGACACATCGTCCAGTTCCCACTCTATTTTACGTCCAGTGATGAATGATATCGACACAGACGACCAATAATCAACACTCGATTCCGAAGAGCACATTGCGCGATACAATCGCTCGATTTACCGAGGGCGGGAGCAGGGTACCGAGATCAATGCACAGACTGGACACTTTGGCAGGTGCATTTCTCTCTCTCCGTATCTAAGCTGTTGATACTAGTATAGGAAAGGCTTGAAGGCTGATGGGGAGAGGGATGTCGCCAAGGCGAAGAGACAGCGAAGCAGTCGAGGGGGGGCAAGGCTTACGCAGACTCAGCTAACAACGTGCCCATAAGCCGAGAAGTGGTGCGACTAAGAGAGCAAGGCGGACTCTATTTGTCCAGCAATCATGCGAACAAGTAGGAGCACTCGATATGTTCGAATACTGTACTGCAAATCTAGGCTGATGCACTTGATTTCGGCCTGATTCTGGTAAACCAAGTGAACTTTCTGCACCCGAAGCGACGTGGATAAAGGACCGACCAAGGGAGGTATCAAGCTTGCAGCTCTCACGTGTCATTACCGCACGCGGGCCAGAGTCTGCCGCTGTTGAACAGTATCAGTACTGCTGATCTCTGTGTTACTTATCTGCAACGGGGGGAGAGTGAACGAGTCTGACCCAATGGATGCAAAAGACGACTATCGAGCTGTCCTTTAAACTTGCGATGCCGGTAGGAGGCCTCTACTTTAATACACCCTCTAGATAAGTATATACTATTAGGTGCTACTTATCTACTTAAAGTCTTAGCAGAAAATACTTATTAGCTTAGTTATAGAGGTAGTATAGTATTTACTTAGAATAGTATTCTATTCTACTATAATCTTATTAGCTAAGTAACTATAAGGTAAGAGATAATAGTCAGACGCTAGGATTTGCATCGCTCATACATGTCAAGCAGTTCGCTGTCGCAACTTAATATTCGGAGGGATTCATTCCCTATGATAGATATGTGCTATCTACGTCTGTTTTAGAGTGTCCTTCCTTGCGTACGGATGCTGCACCTCCGCCTTGACACTGGCATGACCATTGGCATGACCCTTCCTTTGATCATCCTACGAATCTTACATCCCCAATGATACCCTCACTGACTAATTCCAACCCAGCCACGAACACACCTAGCAGACTTGCAATGACAAAATGGCTAATCGTGGTACCGATATCCAACCAACTGCCTTCATCTTTGACCTTGTAGAAAAATGAAAGTGTCATAACGTCGCTGACCGCCATCACGACCATAAACAACGCCGAGGGCGCGACGCCAAGTCTGCGATTAAGGAGACCGAAGGTAGCACTCAGAGCGGCAAATGGGACCATGAGCTTGAGGATGAGGAGTGCACCTTGGGAAAAGGGATCGAAGATGGGGACGAGACGATATACGGCGTCCAAGGAGAAGGATGAGACGGATGCAATGTTGCTTGCGCTGAAGAAGGCGGATTGAATGAAGAAAAAGAAAAACAGGGCGATTCTGGCATCCGCCAGCGTCAGCGATCGATAGTCGCCTGTCTTCAGTGCGGCAAGCCGGTCTGTCGCCGCCGCCACGGTTGGCTTTAGTGAATTCGCTGCTATTGCAGTTTTGTCCGGAACGTTGATTGTATGTTGGTAGACTTTGTGTTCTAACCGCATCCAGCTGAAGAGACACAGAGAGAATGAGAAGTAGAAAAGGCCTTCGTACGAGATGGTGAGGATGATGAAAGTAGGCGAGAATTGAAGGAATATGACGATCAACCTCTGAAGGTAGTGTTGGTTGGCGTGCCGAGGATACGCTGATGGAAGAGCAAGTGATGCCACTACGACCGTCAGTAAGGGAAAAGATAGAAGTGGAAAATGCCTACAAAGTGTGAACCATCCGACATAAAGATTACCAGATCCAAGTCCTTCTCGAGCTCTTAACGTGATGACACTGGATCTAGTGACGATCATAGCAAGAGCGACCAGTCCTGTCTGGGCTCCAAAAATGACCGTGGACACGACATCAGTTTTTGCGTTGGCTCGTTCCGAATCAGTGGCGAAGATGTCACTGAGCGCTTTGAAAGCCATGTAGAGTACGCCCACTGTAAACATGAGAGCACCTCCATACATACTATGACCAAAATCAGCACATCGTTCCAAAAGCTGGATTCAAGGCTTACATGTTGCTCAGATTTTCTGCTTTGTTTGCTGGGAGCAAGGTGAAAGTGCTCATCAACATGCAGGATACCACCCAGGAGAAGACAGCACCATAATTTTTCTTCATAAAGTTTTCACCATAGAAAATGGGCCAGGATGTCGCCAACAGATAGCATATGGTGTAAATCTCTCGGCTAAAATAGCTTTCCCCCTGTGCTTAGATCAGTTGCTGCAAGCTGTGAATGGTGGTTAAATAGGCCTTACGAGAGCAACTAAAAGGCCGAAAAAGCCGACCGTGGAAAGTGAAAGCCTTAAGATGTCTGCGGCCGAATTGACGTTAGCAAAAAGCACTTTGCCGCCCTGCTTGATTGCCGGAAGGCGAGCCCAGACTTCTTCCCAGAATAGAACGGGAAAGAAGGCGTAAGCATAATAAATCCAAGGCGACCGTTGCTGAAAAAGCACAGAGTAGAGTAACACTAGTATAGACGAGAAAACAATCTTGCTGGGTAGAGTGCGAGCCGTCTCCGAGTCTCCGTGAAGAACATGAAGGTCAATGACGGTTGTGAGCGCGAATGCGATCCATCCAAGGTAGCCAAAAGTAATTAAAGTTCGGAGAAATAGCCAGTCGTAAGTTTGAAGGTATCGTAAGCCTTGCAGTCCCAATTGGATGAGTTCTTGGCTCTGTCGGATCGCGTTGTCCGCATCGCCCTCGTCGATGGCTTTCTGAATCTGGGCAACGCGATACTCAACAGAATGGGTCTCGTCGCCTAGGCCAGGAAAAGGTTTGTACCGCAGCTCATTAGACCTCTTCAGGTCCTCTTTCACGTGGTACATCTCTAAGATCTCTTGGGCATTGACGAGGAGAGCCTCAGCTTTAGATTCGGGGTCTGTGTCCAGGTACGAAAGTGGTAGCTCTCCGACAGAGTTTGTTGGAAACGCCAGTCCAACCAGATACGCCATGAGAGCGGCGACATCAGCCTGGGCGACATCATGCCGCTGGACATGATCCAGTCCCCAGTCGGAAGAGAAACCGTCCTCGTGCCCACGCGCTATGCCAGACTTATTGACAACGGGCGCTGAAACTCCAGAGCCCCAAGCGATTAATGGTGTGCGAGTATTGTCCGGATGACCGTCTCCATGACTTCCCCAATCGCTCATCCCATGATCTGCTGTGAAGACAAACGCAGTCTTTCCATCTTTGTAGAATTCCTCAATGAGCTCAGTCATCTCGCGAACACCCTGGTCTACAATCTGAATGTTGTGTAGGTATTGCCATGAATATGGGCGATGCGAGTGTCCTGTGGTATCTAGCCCAAGCAAGTGCATGAAGAACACATTCTTATCCTTGCGCAACTCCGCGTCCAACGTGGCATTTGTCTTTGCTTCTGCAAACATGGTCTTGACTTTGTCGAATACCCACGTGTCCAGGACCCAAGCATCTTTCGAATTGTCCTCCGCTTCAGCATCATAAGTGTCCGCGTAGACTCTTCCAGGCACGGCTCCTTGCTCGAACATGGGAAGAATGTCCGGGCTCCCCCAACTCCAAGTGTGTCTGCTGCGGTTGAACACGCTGTCGAAGTGCACGGGATTCAGCTTCCAGCCAGTTGTAACCGCGGAAACGTCCTCGTACAGTCCCGCGATCAGCGCAACATGGCCTGGTCGGGACTCGGTTGGAACTCGCGTATGAGATACGCCGAACGTGCCATGTTCGAGGACGCGGGAGCGGAGGAACGGCGCAAGACGGCGGGGTACTCTGGCTTCTTTCGAGTCTTTATTTACGGGATCTGGGTCGGGAAAGGACTGGAATGCCTTGTCCGCACGTAGACCGTCTCCTACACTTCCAGTCAGCAAAAGCACCGCCAATCCACGAACCTAGCTATCGACTGACCAACGAACAGGACTAATCTTTTTGCAGGCGCTTCTTTGTTCTCGAGACGGTGCTCTCGCATGCCATGGACGACCGGGCTCACAAAATAAATCGAGAAGATGCTACGGAGACATTAGCGTGAATTGCTTCCGAGCTTGTCGGAACGAACCTGTAAATGTAGACCAAGTGAAAAACCACCGCTATTGTAAGAAAGCGGTAGCGACCGACCTGCGCCATGATGGGCAGCAAAAAGGAACGGATGTCTATGAAAAGACGGCGGAGCAGCGTTGGTGTCGTAGTTTTGAGCACCCTGGAGGAGTACGCGACGTGGAAGACGCTACTGCCAAGAGCTTCCAGAAAGGTTCCCTTTTAGGCTAGGTCATTTTACTGTGAAAGTGAGGGGTGCTAGCATCTTACCATCTAATTTGGGATTAGCTTATCTAATGTGTGCGTGTGTACAAGAAGAAAGCGGATGAAAAAGTACATCACAACAGCCGGGTAGTCCGTTACTGTAGCATCAGCAGGGCTAAAGGGTACTTCAGTTCGCCTTCCGTAGGTATAAGTTGTGGGTTAGTGCACTGTGTTAGGCTATCTGCCTCATACAAATCAGTACGAATGCCTGAGTGAATGAAAGTTGTCCGCGCAGATGCACTACTTCGAGCCTCTCAGAACAGCGAAATAGCAGGAAAGTGGAACATATACATGTATCAAGGTTATAACCCAAGTCGCCGGACAATCAATCGCACGCAATATACCAAATTGATATTAACTCTTCGTTCAGTCATCACTACCCGTGGACATCTACTGCTCCACGTTGAAAGTACCCTCCCGCAGACCTGCAACCACAAGCGGCTTGCCTTCTACGCGTTGGTAAATGTCCTTGATGTCATCTGAGACAGGTCAGTGAATAACGTCATCGATTCCTTAGGGCAGGCGTACCTGTGGTGGTCTCGAAGTGACTCGTGGCGTCGTAGCTCTTTGAGATGAAAACGTTGTCATTCTCACCACTCTCAACAGGCTCATAGAGCGGAATGGGCGAACCCTGGAAAGTCTCCAAGGGCTTGCTTCCGAGTCGATCAACGCCGGGCGCTAACTCTTCGTGAGGATTGGCATCATTTTCGGCAATGGTGGATACTATAGCGATGTAGTAGCCCTTGGGGCACACATTGTGGGCGGAGCCAACGACAGCGATGTAGATGTCTGCAATTGTAAGCTTTTCGTCCCGACGTGACATACGAGTCCGGCCTTACCATTTTTCCGGCCCACCTGCGATTGCGGGATGATGAGTTGCAGTGAGTCGGAGTCTTGAGTGTTCGGTATAGGATGTTTCAAGATGTAGATGGCCTTGATAAGGTACCCAGTGACCCGCACCTTACCAGGGAAGTACGAGGGGTCGGCTAGAATCCTTTTAGCCTTCGTCTCGAACTTCATGCCTGGGCCATCGTCATGCTTCATGGTAGCCTTGATACCGACCACCTTCCCTCCTTCCTCTAAGAACTCGTCGACATCGGTGTTCAGCATATATGTTCCTCCGTAGATAGCGGAGAGACGAGCGAAGCCCTGGGGGAGTTCTCCTAGACCGTAGAGCGGGTAGATGTATGGTGACTTGCCGTACCTGCTCATCGATGTGGCGTACAGCTTGATGCGCTCTAAGGTTTCGTGGACCCGACCCTTTGCATTGATGTAATCGTCTGTCGTGTACAGAGCCATCGCATGGCCGATGAAGTCCTGTGTCGTAGCCTCAAGACCGAACTTAGTATAAACATCCTTCATTGTGATATTGGGGATGTCGAGGCCTAACCACCTTCAGTCGGTTGTATTGTTGCATTCGCTAGACTTCTCACCTTTATGGGTCGCTGGATCGTCCAGCTTGTAATCTCCTACCCATTCGAAGAACGACCTGGCGCGGCGCTTCTCAAAGATGCCCATGAGCGATGAAGCAAGAGCCTCCTTGGGAGTCGAAGGCACCTTCGCCACGGTGGCCTTGGGACCTTTGCCCTGCTGTACAAAGCTGCCCGCAATCTGTTTGAACTCGAGGTACTTCGTAACGTCGGTCGAAATGAGGATGTTGGTGAGTTCGCCGTTGGCCATGAGGAGCTTCGGAACGAGATCAATGTTCCAGTCGTTGGGGCGAGTGTGACTGAGTTCCCCACTCGGTTTAACACCATACTTCTTGTAGAGCTGGTGGAGTCAGCGAGGCACAACATGTTGCTTGAATGTCCGTACCGCATCCAGGTTCAGCGACGCAGACTCGCTTCAATATGTCAGTATCTCTACTACGAAGGTGAGGAGGCGCTGCATGACGTACCCTCCGTAATGGTCGTTGCGGTCAATGTGCAACACCTTCTTGCCCTGCACACTGAGAACACTACGCACAGTCAGTATAGGTCGGACCGTGTGGAAGGGTTGTGTTACCCTGAAAGAACGCATTCAGTCAGGCCTGCGAGGCGTTAGCATTGGTCTCTGGAGGCATTAGCGGGGTCGAGACGCACCCGTTCCCAACACGAGGACATCGTACTCAGGCGCAATCTCATCCATGATGGGAAGTCTAGCAGATCACGTATGAAGTTTTCGATCTAGTGGGAGTTGAGCAAAGGAAGAGTTGTTGTGGTGCGGGCAGAGCGGTGAGCGGGTTGCGGGCAATGTGGGGGTGCTTTGGATGCTTGTCGGAGCTTCCTTTGAACTCGCACCGCTATTCGCTCAAACGGCGCAGGTGCCTCTAGGACCAACTCGCCACGCGCTTTCTCAACGCGTCGCTTTCCGGCAGCCAACATCGAATTCACCAAAGCTTTCTGTATACAGCATCGATGTCCGTACAATTCTCTAATGCATATCTCCAAATAGCCGCTCTGGGCCTACACGTACTTTAACATATACTACAGCGGTGTCTACAGCACCGCAGCCGAACATATGCACCTGGTGTTGCCGAGAGGCATTACACAGGCAGACAGTATTCCAGCCTCCCAACATGACGCTGTACGGTCTAAGCTTGCATACACTCAATTCCGTCCGAGTCACGATTCTTGTTTGAACTTCGTGTTATTACGATGCATTCGGCTGCTTGGACAGCTCTTTCGAAGGGGATGCTTCTGATGAGTGTTCGGTCGAGCGCTGCGAGACTGATATCGTCTCTGATCTCGGGGGCTGTCCTTCCGACGCCTCTTTCGGTACCACACCAACTGGGTCGTTCAAGGTATCTTCTTGCTGGTACATGTCCTGCGGTCATTAACATGGTTGTCGGAAAACATAGGACGCAGACATACCTCTGCATCATACGAGGACTCCTGGTATTGATGCCCAGAACGGCGTAGGTCGATGGTTGGATCGTGTTTTGCCAGCTTGTATGCCTCTTCATAGGCTCTGTTCCGCTCTGCAAGGGTATCAAGAATGGCTTTCATCGTCTCCTGTATCGTCTCATCCCGCTGCTCCATCTCAGTCTGGCCGTAACCGGCGCCCTGTCTCTTGTGTTCGTAGTGCGCCGTGGCGAGACGATTTCTCTCCTTGACGCACACCCACCATAGCTGCTGCAGAGTTTCCCAATCACGGTTTCGCAGTTCGTTGACAGTCCACGCTCGACCTGGGATATCGTCAGCCCGCTTCTTGACCGTCTACAATTGCCGCTGCAATGGACGTACCATGTCGTGCCTCTTCCACCGGGGTTAACAGCAGTTTCTTGTCTTTGAAGAAATCGTAGAGACCATGGCCCGGGTCACCGTTGATCTGTGAGGTCGGCTGCACTGGCGTGGGCAGCTTCTGGTTCTCGTGGTCCTTCCTCTTGACCGAGAGTGTCTGTCTCGGCCGCAATCCTGTGTGTCGCACGCCTGACACGCCCCGGTTCTTGTTGTTATCTCCTCGTCCCGGGCCTTTCAATAATGACGGCGATGTCGAGAAGCGTGCTAGGGGGGCGCGGCGCGTGCATCGCGCAGAGGACGCAAAAAGCGAAAGAGCGGTGTCGCAGGGCGCAGACGGCAGCGACGGCCACAGAATTCGTGATGTCGGTATGGCCATTGTGCAGGGCTGAGTGCAGCTGATGGCAGGCTGTACTGCGCTGCTGCAGACAAAAGTTAACGATCCGCTGGGGACCATGCGCGCTAGACAGGGGCCGGGCGGCTGTCTCTGATTCTCGCCGGGCGGGCGTCTCACCTTACACGTGATCAGCCCTTCCGCTGAAGCATAAAGGGCCCTGCGCCGTCTTTCGCTTCTGACCTTTATCCACCAACCGCCCTCTTCACCCGCGTGCGAGGGGGCTTTCTGCTGAACAAATTCTATTTGACGAGTTCCTAGATTTTCCAAGCGGGTATCAGGACCCGCAACACAACATACCAGAATGCAGCGAACAATCTCAACCTTCATGCCAGTCCCAACCTTGCGGGGTCTCCTCTGGTTCTCTCCACGACAACTCGGCGGTAGTCTCAGGCCTCCATGGCACAGCTGTTAGCTTTGGCTGGGACCAACTATCGTCATATTCGCCTTCGTATGACTCCTCCGGGGTTAGCTCTGTTCCGTTTCCATCCTCTTCTTCTACTTCCCTAACTGCGTTGACTGGCGACCTACTTACTACTTCTCAACCTCACTCGGTTTACGATACTTCTGATTGGACCGCCTTCTCCTTGCAACCTGCCTCTGTCCCGTTTTCCTGCGATGACTTGTCGACTTACCCTCTGGTGTCTACTGGCGGATTGGGGGTCTTAACCATGCCATCTCCTCCGGGCACTACTACCTACAACACACGCACATCACAGTCTATGGAGAAAGGTATGTCCAGCTATAATCTTCGCATGAGCTTATTCTTACCTGTCGAGGTCTTTCGAACTCTGGCTCTTCCGCTTCGTCAAACGCGTACCACCGGACTTCGTCGTCGCCAGAGACAAGGCCTACCAAATTGCCCACCTCAAAACTTCCTAGTCCTTTTGCCGACTCAGCGCGCGTTGAAAAGCGAAAAGCCAATACCATGGCCGCTCGTCGCTATCGTCAGAAGCGGGTCGATCAAATGAACACCCTGGAGTCCCAGCTCAAAGATACGCAAAACGAGCGCGATGCTCTCAAAGTCCGATGTGCCAGGCTAGAGGGTGAGGTCGAGACTCTCCGCGCGATGCTTGCTGCGAAGTAGTAGCCCTATCGGCATCAGCTACTCTGTTCTGTTTCGTTTCTTCTTTCTTATCCAGTCGAAGCTGGCCATGTTCTCAGACGATGTCGGAAAGACTCGATCATGGCGTGTTCGTTTGAAACGCTCATATCGGCAAAAAAAGGGTTTTAATCTCCATGGCTTCGAGATGGGGGATCGTGGGGTCACTCACGTTGATACGGTCACAATAGTGTAATTGGTTTTTGAACTCTATGGCACATCTACTCTACGAGTCTTATACCTACGTGAAGACTGCATCTGCTCACTCTCTATCACGATGAGTCGAGATGAGGGCCGGACAGTTCCCCTCATCTCTCGTCCTGCCGCATGCTGAGGCTGAATGGCTCCCGGACATCAGTGAGGTTGTACTCGTCTGTTCGCCATGGAAAAGATAAACTCTTTATCATGGAGCTTCAGCTGCGGTCGACTCGCTACATTCTGTCTCGTCTCTAGCCTCAACAACCTCCTTCGACACTCCCAAGCACCCAAAACTTCCAGCGCTCCGCCCTTCCACCACGGGCGCATTTGGGGGGGGGGGGGGGGGGCCGCGCTCTGATTGGTCACTCGTGACTCATTTTCCGTTAGAAGTGATGCTAACCCCTTTAGGATTAGAGGGACTGTCGAGCTGATGCAGCCTTGCACGAAAGTGGGCTAGACATGTAGGCAAATCATTATGAGTCGAAATGTTGGTCGTAGAGTGGTCTCAAGCCTGTTCACGGGGTTTGCACTGCCCGATCTCGTGATGCTGTCGGATATCAAACCGAACACCATAATCGGGGAGGCTCTTTTCGTGATGCGGCTCTCGACGGGGACGTGGGTAAGTCTAAGCCCGCGCCCGCAGGTGACGGGCACGTGATTAGGAGACATGGATCCATGGATAGAAATTGTCAGATTCAAAGCTGGCTTCCACCAACCTGTGTCGCCAGAGACGAAAGCTGTAATCTTTCGGTAGTACCACCGTGGGCGAGCCGATGAAGCCTCGGGCTTTTAATACAGCTGACTCAATCAGAGACGAACTCAGTGCTGCATTACCGGTGAACGAGAAGAAATGGAGCTTTAGTCCATTAAGATGACGCGTGCGTCTATCCCTTTACTCTCCTAATATGCCCACGCAAGGCGTTTTAGAAATGTATGCCAGGCGAAAGTCATCTTACGCCATGCCATGCATGCATTACCCGCCTGGTTGAAAGAGCACATGTGCGAGCAGCGAAGACTTTATCTATTCCATGAACAGACAACATGATGTTGAAACCTCGCATTCTTCTCGCAGCTATTCCTTTCGCTCTCGACAGTCCGAAGAACAACCATTTCCCCAAACTCAGCTCCATCATTCTGGATAATTAAGTTAACATGTTAAGCTCGCAAGCTTGGTGTTGAGGCATCAATGTTGGGATCCACCCGTTCCTTCCAAGCTTCAGTCCAATACAGAAGGAGCTAATTAGGCGAGGCCGCTCCGATCCCTAAAGCCAAGACTTCGTTGCAGCTGCGACAACGCGAACACAACTGCCAGAGCGCAATTGCACACACCAACCACGATCGACAACAACACCGAACCGCAAAGCCGAAACAAGAGTCTGGACGAGTCGCGGCGCGCTATGAATCGACCAGGTCTGTCCCTCTACGAATTCGTTTGAGCACGCACCCGTCCTGCTTCACGCCCGCCGCCTTGCGCATACGTGCCTTTACTCCCGTCCTCCCATACCGTCCTTATTTGTTTGCACACTGCAGCTGCGTTACAGAAACCTACGAGACGCCAAGGCAGTGTGCCACCTGAAGCTCGGCCGGAAACAGCGCCCACTCCAACCCTCGTACACACGCCTGTCTCTATCCACGCCTTCGCTACGTACGCGCCCGCCGAGAGGTCCTTTCGCTAATAGTGCGGTATAGGACCAGGAGGTCAAACATTGCGCAATATTCCTACGGGCATGTTCCAGAACCAGCAGAACACCGCCCGCGGCGGCCCGTTAGGCGGCAACAGATTACAAAATGGAAAGCTGGGTAAGCCTGCGCGCATGTCGACAACCCGGACTATGGCTAACCGCATTGCGTGTATTAGGCAGCGGCTCACAATGGGCATTTGGCGGATCCATGGGCGCGGCTCCTGGCCTCTCTAATGCACAATCGCGAGCAAACGGCGGTGGGCTATCGAGCTTTGCACAAACAATCGGCAGCTCTCAGTCCCATACCCCTCTAAATCTCGAGTAAGTCTATTAGCTATGAGGCTACGCAACACCGAGAGAAAGGCGCGTTGTCGCAAGATTACCCTTTGTCAAGTGAAGGTGAAAGAGGACTTCCAGCTAAACCTTGGCGATGACAGAGAGTTTCCCTCATTATCGGGCGCGCCACAAGCACAACAGAACACGTCTGCACAGCAGATGTGGTCAAATCCAACGCTACGTACGACGCAACAGCACTCTACGATTCAACGACCGCAGGGGCAAGGCGTCCAACAAGGCCAAGCCGGTCAGCCTGCAAATCAACAGCTGAATCAAGCGCACGATGAGGGTGTAGGCACCGCACAAGGTCAATTCTTGGCGGTTGGGGATGATTACAGGTTCGGAGGACAGTCAGGAGTCGGACAACTCTCAGGCGCGTCTCAACCTCAGACGGGCAACATTGACGAGTTCCCACCACTAGGAGGCAGTGCTGACATTGGACCTGATCGGAGAACCGGTATGATACAAAATGCTGCGGCCTACGGTGGCAATGCGAATACAAATGCGTTTCCTGGGCTCGGGCAAACAAGGAACGGGCTTTCAAGTCCCACCGATACGCAGCAGGATCGGACAATCAACCCGACAATAGCAGGCAGAGGGTTGAATGCTGCCACAGGTACCTTCTGCAAACTGTGTTAGCGAGAATCAGCTAATCGAGTCACTAGCGTCTCGATCCCCCTTTGACAACATGCGCGGTAGTGGCGGGACTCCTAGTCTACCAGACGTAAGTGAACCTGGCGACATTTCAGAAGCCACAACTGATAGCGTTGATAGAATCACCCACGCGCTGGACACGCGTTAGGAGACATACAAAGCATGTCTTTCATGGGCTCCACACCGCAGAATCTCCCACCAGTGGGACAACGACCGCCGCAGAGTCAATTTGAGTCGGCATTTGGCGCTGACACTGTGGGTTCTCCGAACGCTCAAGCACCACACAAGAGACTAGCGGACATGACAGAGGCGGAGCGGTATACTCTTCCTGGGTTGCTGTCTATGATACCCATGGATAGCCCCGATTACTCCTCGCTTGCGGTCGGTCAAGACCTTACAGTATTAGGGCTTGACCTTAGCCGTCCGGAGTAAGATGCTCGCTTCCTTGTATTCTTCTATGCTAACGTCGTAGTAATTCTCCCTTGCACCCCACGTTCGGCTCACCGTTTGTGGAATCAAACGCCAAGCCTGTAATACCACCTGACTTCAAGCTTCCTGCAGCCTACACTGTGACAAACGTACCGCCACTGCATACCAAGGTGACCAGCTTCTCCGCAGAAACACTACTTGCCATATTTTATCAGTTCCCGCGCGACATAATGCAGGAGATTGCTGCCAACGAATTGTACAATCGCGACTGGAGATGGCATACCAAACTCCAACAATGGATGATGAAGGATCCGGATTTACCAGCACCTGTGCGGCTGTCTCCGAAAGTCGAGCGCGGATGGTACTTGTTCTTCGATGTTACGAATTGGCGGAGGGAGCGGGTAAGTGATGTCTTTACGCGAGCTCTTGATAAATTGTATGGCGTCACCATACACTAACAACATGCAGCGAGAGTTCGAACTCGACTACGATCACCTAGATCAACGCCACGGGCCAGCCATGGCAGGTGCTGTCTAGAGTGGGATGTTGACTGCGGGGTGGTTTTACGTCCTTTGACGAGCTGCGAGGACATGGCTAGCAAGTAGCGTGCCGGCGATGTCCGTGATACTGCAACAACGTTTTGAGTACCCTGCGTCACCTTCGTATAAGTAATACAGAGACCAGTAGTACGGCAAGTGAGCTCTAGCGCTACGCATGGTACTTCCACGGGCAGCAATGAAGTGTTCTTTCCACTCGCACGCAGGAGTCTCCCATGTTTTCTCAGAGACCACGCCAAGATCAATTTCACTACCTTGTATACGCCGCGATGTTCGACTTTATTGGGGTTTGGAACGGTACTTCCCCTTCATACATCCCTCAGCGAACCACGAACGCCCCGTCACGCATCCCTATGCCTGTGCGCTCGCCGACAATGATTTCTTCCTTACCTGGACGTCAATTTTTTGCGCTAGTTCACATGATTCCCCTTCCCGATTCCGAAGCACGAATTGCAGTGACAACAACAACCGAGCAGGAAGCTTGCCTACTACATGAGCAGTTGGGATACCAGATCTTCATGCCTTAGATATCGCGATCGTGGCATTGGATGAGCATGAACAAGGTTGGCACTGGTCGGAGCAGTCGGCGCAAGGATTGCAGCCTGGTCGCGCGCGTACAACTCCCATAGTTGGGGATGGCACAGTAAAATTGGCATCCCACCTTTTTCCCGCAGCTAACGGACCGGGCCGTGATCGTCAAGCATGTTGTCGAACCATTGACCTCGTATACCCTGGCTCGAAACATTGCGGATCTATGCACCTTCGGTCACATCCTGTGTCGACGTACAAGGCACTGCATCAAGCTTGGAATGCTGCGCATGTTGATCCTGCGGGGCGGGCAGCGACATTATATTGGGCTTCATCAGCCTGAAGTACAATACTTTTGAGTCCGGTCACCGTACTCAGTACCCTTGATTTTACTAGCTTCCAGGACGATAGTATTTAACTACACAGCTATACAGGGCATGTATGAAGTGTCCTGATGCAAGGCCTTATGGGGCAAGTAAGTATGCAGACGTGCGATCATGGATCCAAAGGGCGAAAACAGGCCGTACTTTTTGTAAAGTTTTCCTCGACGTTGCAATCGAAATACGCGGTGGTCAGGTGCGGGAAATTGGATATAACATCTTTGTTGATTATATTCCCGGCCCACATGACATTGTCTTGGCGATCATAATCTACAACGGTCTACATCCAAGAAGATTCATCTATACACTGAAGACAGAAAGCTCAATATGAGTACCCGAGAAAATGGGTTTCTGACTGTCCAGAACAAGTAACTCGCAAGTCCATCTTGATCGAAAAGGTGAATTATCGATATGCTGTCGACCCAATATTCTTCTCGAGGACTGCCATACTGACATGAAAAGCAATTGCTCGGTTTCATGCTCAGATACGCTCCTGGATCAACTATACCAGAATGTGTGTATGCTGGGGCATGCGAGGAAACTTTATGTCTGTGCTGACAGACTGCTTGCAGAGAGACGAAGGACCCGGGTGGTCTGGTGACTTGGCTGTGTTCGCGCCTACAGTATGTCATCTATCTTTGCGTTGGAAGGCTGACGAGTTGGCTTGTCGACGTTGAGTATGATCAGGGAGTACTGAGAAGCGTACCGCCTATGCTCAAACCAAATTATACGATCTTGGATCTCAAATGGTGTAGGAGGGTACCGTTTGCGGTATGGCATGATGTCATAATCTTAGCACCGGGGACATTAGACGAAGAGACTGGCGATGTGGCTACTCTGGCTGGCCAGTACGAAAGTGTGATCATCTGGCTACGGGTTCTGCCGAGGAACAACATCTTTGAGACAACTCGATTTTCGATCTTGGTGTACGTGGAAATTTAACTGTCCTTTGCGAAAGATTCAAAGTGCTGAGGAATACAGGACTGGCTCGATCCAACGGCGCTTCCAGAGACACCCTGGCGAAACCCTGATCGACGCAAGAATAGTCGCCGATGTCTATCTGAACCATAGTCATGATCTTATGACTCTTATCTTCGATCGTCTCAATAAGGAAGAAGAAAAGACCTATTTCGGGACCGAAGCTCTAGCTGCGCGATCCCAATTCCACGATGATTACGTTACTCTAAACGACCGCGTCGTCTCAGACACCATATTTGCATAGCCAGCAAGAGCGAGCTGCCGAAAGGCTCGTCTGCCTAGGACGGAAGAACAAAATCAAGATTGGCATAAGTTTTGCTGCAATGTCTCTCATCTGGGAAGCCCTGGTATTCATAGGGAGCATTCAAATTGTATATAACAGATGATCATCAGATCGCGTGAGTCCTTCCCGGCCAATGTTTGTTTCTTGACTAACGTGGACAGCATAGACGCCATTGTGTTCGCGAACGAAAGTTCCATATGTACGTCTTCGCTTTCAACATCAATGCAGAAGGTGCCCTTTATCTTCTTCACCTGGCCCTACCGGATGGGGTTCCGTTCGGCCCGTCGATCGAATCATCAGTATCGCGACTCTGCCTTTTTTTTTACGGCATATACGGCAGAAATGATGGCCATGTATACATTCTGGGCCATCCTCGCCATCAGCATTCTGGTTGAGTGTTTGCCTTGCAACAGGTAGTTCTGACTAGCAAGCTCCTCTCGTGTTTTGGGATTGGTTGTCTCCAATCCACCTGTCCACCATATACATCTGAAGTTACATCCATACGCATCCGCGGTAGCTTGTTGATGTATTACTCAGTCTGGTGGATAGTCGTATCCTTACTCTCGTACATTGTGATTCAGACTATGGCGAAGAAGCCTTACCACCAGCTCAAAGTAACATAAACCTAATGGGCACAGGTTGGTATCATGTTCAACATCTAAGTTTTCTTATTTGAGAGTCCGGCATGGATTTTACAGTTGGCAAGATTGAAAGTGCTCAGAGGAATGACCAAGCTCAGGGGCAATGTTACGGGCTTCAATGTTGATCAGCAAGTATAGATTTTGGCTCTGGCGATCGGGAATGAGTGTTCTATGGCTTCTGAACAGCGCAATGGGAACTATTATGTCATGCAAATGCGGTCTGTATCCCTTCAGATGAATTCTCAAACAGAAAGCTCTTCGTGAAGAGTCTGAGGTACTAATGACATGCGCACCTTGGGATCCCTGTGGACGAGAATTCCACAGCGTTTCACTCTCTGCTGGCTTGCATGTGTGCTGATCCGCATCCTCGGAATAAAATAGCCTGTACGTGCTACTGGCTACCTTCCTGTCTTTGTCGCTGTCTTCTGGAGCAAGTGGCTTGACTGCTGGGATCAATGTGAGACTAACGCGACTTCAGACGTTGGGAACACAGCAAAGGGCGTTTTAGGCTGGTGCTACATTGGCGGTATTTTATCGCAGCGACTGCGTCTATTTATAGCTGGTTTTAGAGCGGCTTCTATATGCTTCGTCGGCGTGGTGGTTGATGTACTTGTGTCTAAGTTAACAAATGCAAACGGTCGGGATTGAGGGGTTACGAGACTGGATGGTTCTACGCGGGCATTGGTCTTCCCTTCGCACCGGTATCTGGTTCTGGATTCCGGAGACGAAGGATAGCAGTGTGGCAGAGGACGAGCTGCTTGCGAGGGAAGATCAAGCTGTAGTGATCTGCGAAGACCAAGATGGATACACAGCGATTGGTGAAAGCTGAAGCGTAGCGTGGGTGGGGCATCCTTAAAGATCCAGGTCTATAATAGAGCGACGGCTAGCACCATGGTAGGAAGAGATACTGAATAGGCTGCGTACGGACGCGTGTACTGTCTGAACTCTATTCTTCTACCAAGACTATTCCACATGCCTGCTCCTTCTCCACTCATAACTCGATAATCTCAAATACTCAGTAGTGCGACCAGTTCCACATCAGTGCACCATCCCGCTCTTCGCCATCTCATCCACATAGCCCTCATATCTTGACACACTCGTTTCCCTCAGCCCCTTGCCATACTTTATCATGACAAACACCGTGCACACTTGTGCTAGCCCCACAAAAGCTGCCGTGATAAAGCAATTCTGGAGCCCCATATCCTCAACCCACGGTGTGATCCCATATCCGATTGCGAAGCTCATCGTGTTGCGAACAAGGATGACCGTAATGATAGCTTCGCCAGATAGTGCGCGGTAAGAGTCGATGCAATAGGCAACACTCAGTTGTAACCCAACTGTGTTCGTCATAGCAATCACACCCATAGCAAAAACGGGACCAAACCAATGCACGTGGTGCGCGGAGCCAACGCCCCAGAGTATCAACCCGGAAGGGATCAATACCAACGATGGTATAAATAACCAGAGTCGATGCTCAGATTCCATAATACCGTTGTTCTTGCGCGCCTTGCGCACGATGAATGCATCACCGAACCAGCCTGTGTACGCTGCGCCAACAGCGACTCCGAGCAAGGGCGAGATGTAGCATACACCGACAATGCTGGCAGAAAATCCGTAAGTGCCGTTGAGGATGACGGACGCCGTTGCGTTGAGTACGTTAAACCAGACAAGGTTGGAACCGTACGAAAACCCGGAATAGAAGATCACGGGAAAAGTGAGAAAAATCAGAGGGCGTGACATCATGCCTTTGAGTTCGTTCGGTTTGTGAAGATCAGAAATTTGAAAGAGCTTCAGCTTGTCGTAGTACGTTTTACGATGCGGGTAGTAAGATTCAGTTAATGGTGGCTCCTGAAGCGCCTCTTCTGTTGATGGCTTTACACCAGATGCAGTCCCTGTTGGTCTAGGGTTGTTTGAGGTATCGGTCCGTATCCCAGTGTACTTTCGGATGTAATTTGTTTCTTCCATGAAGAAAAGGTTGAAGAAGAAACCAATGGCGTTGAATATGGCGCACCAATACTACGTTGGAGTTAATGCAGTCATCTAAATGAGAGTAAATTTACGTACCAGAACCCATCTCCACCCTTGCCCGTCCGCAATGAACCCTGCGATGATAGGAGCGAAGAAGTTACTTCCCGCTAGTAAAAGCCCGTACAAAGCAATATATCTTCCTCTTTCATGCGTGAAGTAAATATCAGTTACACTGATCTCGCATAAACTTTCGATCGGAGCACCGACAAAGCCTTGCACGATCTTGCTTGCGATCCACTGACCATTAGTTGTGGTGTGCGCAGCCCAAACTTGTGTGGCGAGCGTGGCCAACATGGACAAGAGATAGACTGGCCGCTTACCATATTGCAGTGCTAATGGCTGCCAAATCAAACATCCCCAGCCGAAGAAGAGGAACATATAGCTACTGTAATCAGTAACTCTTCCATGCATAGGTTTGACAGAGAACGACGACTAACCCAGTGCCTTGATTCAGACTGTTCAGAGACATTTCAGTCTCTTCGCTGATCGGAACCAGCACAGAATATATTGCGGCACTAGCAATGCCCACCATGAGCGTATACACGCACATACAGACCGTGCTCAAAGCCTTCCGACGTGGTGACCAATTGAGTGGATCATCAGGGTCGGAGGAAGAGGCCGGAACAAGCACAATGTCTCTCTGGCCACTCTCTGCATGGCGAGCGCTCACCGTCCCCAAGAGGTCGACGAGGTGCACCGTTCCTGGAGGTTGGGTGTCTTCATCGTGATTCAGATCATTGCCCATATTAAGCGTAGGTATTCAGAGCTTATGGTAGTTGTCGACGTTGCAGGCCACGAGCGGGGAAGCTATAGATGCTGCGTAACGTCGTACGACACCACTGCAGGATGCGTGCGGGTTTGCCTCGGCCTTTTATAATGCTTTCCTTATCATCCCCAATTCATAAAGCCGTTTGCCGGCTTGTGATAAGCGTTTGGGGATCTGCATGGGGCATGATGCATGCGTAGGAGGGGTAAATAAGGGCTAAGCATTAGAAGACGGGACGGGTATTGAGAACCTGCGAAAAGAACAGGCAAACGTTGTCAGATAACGTTCGACTTGGGATACTGGATATGCCGATCTCAGTCGCTTATCTTTTGGTGTTATAGACTAGACTCAGGATTGCAAGACAGACTCGAGGTTGAGCTGTGAACTAATCTATCTACGACTAGCGTGTTATCAGCGCGCTATCGTTCGGTCTCCCTGACGCCCTTTCACATTTGTATTTCAGCCTTTCTCACAACAATTAATGACCGCAAATCATTAACCTCAATTCCAATATGCCTTCGCCTTCAAGACTGTCCCACGTTCGGAGTCTATTCATTGGTATGCTGCCTTGCCATGATAGACGAAGATCTCCGGTGGCTTCAAACCAGCCATAGTCTTGCTCTTGTCATCACATATCGTAGTCGACTACAGATGAGCTTTAGCATTGTCTGCTCGCTGTTTCGATGGTTGCTGGAGTCCTATATCCGATTATGGAACCGCTACTTACAGGCTCAAAGTTCAAACGTAAGTATTAATAGACTCATATCTGGTACCGCGAGCGGGGACCCTGTTGTATTCGCCGTCTTAAACTGCGCCCGCAACGTTGTGTGTCCGTCCGGGCCTGGCAATAACCCAATAGTCTGCACAAAGATATTGGTGCTATCGTCAATCTTGATGTTGTAACGTGCATTTGGACGGATCGCGCCATTGGCATCTATGAGGCGCCAGTCGGCGCCGAGATCTAAGACGTTGCTTTCGAGACTGTAAGCGTGACTGGATCACCAGCACGACTAATGCGGAACGAGATGAGGCTGAATGGACGTATCTTGCTTACCTGATAAATCTGATCCCTTAAACATACCGCCCACAATTGTGATGACGATGCGATCCTGGCTGTTCGGCACGGGTCCTAGCGAAAATCTGTCTCCAAGCAGAGCTTCCATGCTGTACAGAAATGTCAAGTCTTGGGGGGTAGGCCTTGTTTGTGGCATATTGGATGCAATTAAAGCTGCGACGGACATGAGAGCTTTATAGAGATGCATGCCAGAGAATGACGAATTTCTCTTGCTAATCGGGACGGTGAAAAGGTGTGAAGCTAAGGCCTATTACTACATGTTCATCGCTACCTATGGTATCTATATAAATCCATCGCTGTGCTCCTCTCATGTTGCATTGTCGCGTCTAAGACCCAGGGATGGTTTTGGCAGGCCTTGGTTTGTGGAGCCTGGTTTCGGCATACTTTTCGATACCACAGTTCTCCCCGCGCCTTCTTAACCCCTGCTCCCACTCATGGCGAGCCGAAACCTTGTCACAAGAATTGGGAGAGGCCCCTGCAGGTTGACCATCGAGTCCATTGGGCTGACAGACGTCACAATATCAGTACGCAAGATAGATAGAAAGACGGTCAACATTGGACAGCGGATTTCATGCACTGCTGCATAATTATTGCCACTACTTAATATGGCCGTCCTTCCACAAAAGCTTGCTCTTTCTCATGAGGAAGTCAGTCTTTGGCCGGTCTTCCTGTTCTCTTGTGAGTTTCAAATTACCAAAGTCGAGTATACATGCTGTCTTTGCCTTTTTAAAAACGCCGTTGTAATGCTCCTACCATCCGTGAAGACCGTACGATTCCATGTCTTCCCCTCCGCACCAGCCTCGCTCATAATATCTATCGTCCGATAGATGCTGTTCGTCCGCGTGACTCGAGTAGCTTCTGTAGCGACGCTTTTGGTCAAAATGATGGCGTGCATGACTCAAATGGGTATGGAGGAACTTTTGGCAAGACCACCTTCGCTCATCATACCACAATCGGTTCATATTGCAGGGTGGCCCCTTCCAAATACAATACAGACCAATTACACACATCAACGAAATCAGTTACGACATTTGTACAAATAAGTGGCTCTTTGCTCATCTGCGTCCGCAATTTGGCCATGCGATGCGCGCTAAATGCGTCCACAGTTCGCTCACCTGCGATCCATGTCTATCCGCGCACCATAAGGTTCATTTATGTATGAGTACTGCTTAGTTGCTTAAACGCCAAAGAATACAGCCCGTTCCATATCTCGGGAGCAGAATCGTCGTGAACAAATCGCTCCTAATCAGCTTTCGCAACCTAACCCTTCCTGAGCTCAGTCTTCTTAGCCATCCCCCTTCTCTCCCTTTCCTGCTGAATTGCCCTCGTCCTATCGTTCGCCATTTGAATCCTTCTTCCCTGCCAACTCCTCCGCAAACCGACTCCTCTTCCTGATATTCGGCCCGTAGTAGAACACCCACAGGCAGACAAAACAGCGCCGCCAGCCCAAACAACACAAGATGCGAGTCGTGAATCCCAAGGCTCTTATACTTCTTTCCCGTATAAAGCGCACACATGCCATCGAAAACGTTGTGCGCGGAGCCGCTGCCACCGGTCGTTGAGGCGGAGTATTACCCGTAGGACGCGACCATATAGTCAATGGTGGCGTAGTAGATGCTGAAGCTCGCCATACCGATGAGCATACTGAAGATGAGGACGCAGGACCAATGGAGCGGCGGGCCGGAAGCGACAAAGGCACTTCCCAACAAACCCAGCGGGAGGAGCGCGGCTTGGAAGACGCTGAATTATGTTGAGGTGAAGGACCATTGGGCGAAGACGTAGCTGTAGGACTCGAAGAAGTTGAAGATAAGGGCGTCGGTGAAGCCGGAGAGCAGGGAGAGGAGAGGACAATGGGCTCGATGAAGAGCATACGGTAGGGCCGCCACATCGTCTCTGCAATAATCTTGGAGTCGAGGCTGCCGGAGGGTTTTTTCCCCAATCGATCGCCTCGCTGGGACCGTACACCTCCCTTTTTCCGTACTTTCTTGGTCTTGTCGAGCACCTTAGTCGCGCCCGTCTCTTCTGCAACGAAGTAGTGAATCATCTGTATTATGATGCTGAAGCCGAGTCGGATCCAAAAGTTGAAGCGCTAGGGGAGGTACTGTTGGATAGGTCCTCCGCCAATGCCACCAATGACGGCACCAAGACAGGTCCAAAGCACCGCCCATATGACGGCGTGCGCTGGCGAATCAGTATCGACTATGTCTGCAACCATACCCATGGTCACTGGACCACCTGCACTACTCAGCCCTCCAATAACCCGCCCAGCAAGAACCCCACCAAAACTCGGGTTCAGCACTCAAATCAGGATGCTCAGATTGACACCCCAAAACGACATTTGCATCACAATCCATCTTCCTAGCTGCTCCCTCCACGGCGCCCATAGCTCGCAGCCGGAAGCATACGACACAAGGAAAGCCACCATGCCCATGCGCGCGTAGCTAATGCCAAAATATTCATTAAGCGGCACCACAACGTTGAAGTAGATCGCCGTGTTTAAGTTCATGCTCGTTTGGCGGAGTGCGACGACAGTGAGGAGCGTCCATTTCTTCTTGATGGACCAGGCGTTAGCTGTCTTATCGAAGTCTTCATAGACGTTGAGGATGCGCTTGCCCTTGAGAGCGTCGGGAACGGGCTTGCCGTAGAGGGGGTAGAGGTGGTGGGTGTGTTAGGCATGTTTGCGGTACTTGGAGATGAATCAATACTGTGTATCCGGTAACTTTAGTCTCAAAGTCATGTACTCAATTCTTAGTTAGAGCAGGAAAGGCGAGATGTGCTCCAGGAGTTATGCAGCACACTCACAAAATTGAATTACAGAAAGGATTGTATGAAGGAATTCTGACATCAAAGAGGAGATGGTGAAATATGGGTCAGGTGGCCTCTCGCTTGGGTGAACCACGGTTTTCGGCATAGTTTGGATCTTCCATCGTTCATCCTGGGGGGAACACAGTGTACCCGAACCAGCATCGTTCTCATCGATCTATGTCATACCGGGAAAAGAGAATATTAGCGACGAAGTTAGATATTGTACTCTCTCATAGAACCCTGTGTTACCGCAGGCTGGACCATGCAGTACCACAAAGAATGATCCAATACTGTAGCATCGATGTGCAACTAATACGTGCCGGTGGAGCAGGACATGAGACAAACTGTTTCCGATGTTCAAATAATTTACTTCCTATCGATGTGCTCTCCTTCTCAGCGGACTATCCTGGTCGTAGGCCCCCTCGTCTTCATCCTTGTCAATGTCCACATCTGCAAGATCAACGCCCGTGACACCCTCATCGAAGTCCTCGTCATTTTGCTCATCAACCAGCATGCCAAAGACAGGACTAGTCGCTATCCTTGGGCGACTCTTGAACACACTAGCGTAGTCCACCTCGTCACTGAATAAGCTCTCTTTCGGTGTCTTCTCGGTCTCCTCCTCCACAGTGAGAAAATCTGATCTACGGGCGCGCGGTGTGTCGAACTGATTGATTGGGAAAACCTGAGATGGTCTCTTTGGCTTGCGTTCTTTAGATGCTAGCGAGGCGCGCGGCTTAGACGACATGGCTGCCATGCTGAGGCGTGTGCGCTCCATTAGAGCGGCGTGCTTGTCTTGTACGGTGGCGGGCTCTGGAAGGGGCAGAGAGGGTGACTCGCTGATGGGCTCGAAGCTGGTAGTGCGGACCATGGACATGCGTGTGCGTTCCATAAGGGATAGGCGCGGCTGAGATTTCTTGCCTGGCGAAGGGGTAGCGTCGCCAATGGTGGAGACGATGTGCGCAGCGATGACTTCCTCGGTACTGGCTGCTAGAGGGCCGAGGAAGAGCGGCTCGGAAGGGAAGCAAGAGCTTGGAGGAGGTGGGGATGAAGAAGGCGAGCGTGGTTCATCTAGTGGTACCGTCATGGGCGATTGATCATCTGCAAGAGGGTCAGAGACGCTGTCGTCGGGTTTCCTACTGAGGGGTTGCACAGTAGGCGATTCGGCAGGAGACCAAGGCGGAGAGGTAGGAAGCGTAGACGCCTGGCCTATCAGGGTCGCTTCAGAGTCAATCGGAGGTGCGGCACTCCGCTGTCTGAAGCTTGAAAACTTTCTAGGCTTGATAATTTCTGACGTAGTCTTGACCGACTGAGTCCTTTCGAGATTGTTTGGAGAGCTTGTCTTCTTAGGTATTGGGTCTGCCCGTGATTCCGGGCGTGGCACTGGCGAGTGAGCAGCATGCTCGGTCCGTGTTCGTGCCGTTGTAGAAAACTGGTTGTACCTCGCTGAAGATGCTTCACATAAATCGTCATTCATCTCACTTATGATGTCTTGATATATTGGCCGAAGCTTCGGTGGTTGGATGGGCTCGCTCTCGTTTGCCTTTGGCCGTAGCTGGAGCTGTACATGGTCATCGAACTTGAAATCTTTCAAAGCAGTTGTAGCGTTCTTTGGCGGCTGATCAGTCTGTGCACCCCCTCCTTGCATCTTCTTGTGAAAGTTCCTCCATTCCTGCAGTCTTATCTTCTGCTCGTCGACCCTCAGCTGTAGGTCCTCCAACAGACCGACCTCTGGCACAGCATCCTCAAGCCTGCCACCCTGCTCGACAATGTGCCACACCTTCTGGAACGAGCTGTTTAGGTAAACGGCGTCACCCTGAACATCGTCCCCATGCAACATCACATCCACCCATTTCCGGTTGCCGATCCAGTTATCCTTCAATTGCTTTTTTATCGCCTCCGCCTCTTTCTGAGAAATAGCGGACTTGCTAGCTCGGGGGGTCTCCGCGGTTTTCCGAATACGACGGTTGATCTCGTCCGCCTTCTTATCCAACAAAACCCCGAATTCGGTGAATCTACTACGCCTCTCCTCCTTTTGTTGCAATATTCTCGTAAGCGCAGCTCTATGTGCAATAGCCATAGGGAGCAAGGAATTTTGACCCTCGTTCGAAAGCGTAGCCGAGGTGGCCAGCGAGCGCGCGACGGCCGGCTTGGGACCACGTTTCGGCTGGGTAGCTACTACCTTCTTCAAGATAATGGCGGAGAACGAAGCCAGGATATCGTAGAATCGATCGCCTTTGCATTCGTCCAACATTGTCTTCCGAAGAACAGCTTCTCTACCGAAGAGGCCATCTTTCTTCAGAGCCTCCAATGAGCGGTGCAGAGCGATGCGTAAATTGCGGGATTGGAGCGGTTCGAGGGGCGGAAAGAAGGGTTGGAGCTTCTATAATAGGTGTCAGTCCTAGCTCATCCTTAAGAGCTCAATAAGCTTACCTGACTCGTCTCTACAGGGTCCCATATCTCAAACAGGCGGAAGAGGGCCCATTCGACGGCGTGGATGCGCTGCCGCTGGTCTGCTTTCTTCGTCGAGAAGGTCTGCACCGTGATTTTTGGCCAGTCTGATCGTCGATCCAGGTCAAGCAGGCGCAGGTTGGTCACGAAGAGCTTGATGTCTGAGGACTGCAGCAGGTTGCTAAGGGCGGGCTTGATGTTTGTTTTGAGGGACAAGCTGCGAGCGGGCCCATTCGTGGTAGTTCCAGAGACAGTGGAAGTTTGCGAGGTAGTGCGTGACATGGTCGGGCTATACAAGAGGCCGTATACGCCCGCTTGGAACAAAATAAGTGTCACACACTGCACCTTCATCCGTAGAACCAGGAGTTGCGAGGTCAAAACAATGCCGAGGCGCCTTCCTGTGCTGAGCCTAGCGCGCCCGTTATCGATTGTCAACACGCCTCAGGCGCCGTCATCACATTTGCCTTGGTTGGGTCGAGCTGCGTTCCCAGGCTTTGCACAGTCTCTCCCTCTACTACCCGGCCGAAACTTTTCCTACACGCGCCTTCGCTCTCCTGCTTCTCCCTCACTCGTCGAACGACTTCCGACTACACTCGCAAGAGCCATGACGACATCATCTGCCGCCCCGCAGACCAATAGCAAGGCCAACGGCACCACCGAAGGCAGGCCCAGAACCGCCGACGAGAGCACGCAAACCAATGGCTTCTCTGAGCCCGATGCTGGCAAGCTGAACAAGGAGGGAATGGAGAATGAAGACCGCTGGTCGGTAGAGAGTGGTATGTCGTGAACAGGGAGCGCTGTCCGTATGCGACACCTTCTTTAGCCCTACACGTAGAATCAAACCAAGTCTTGATTTGACATCAGTTCTGGCTGAGTCACGAGCCACAATGTTTCTGCAAACATACAGTCTGGTGCTCGAGCTAACATGTCCTCAGTGCTATCCGATGAGAAGCTACGCTACACCGAGAACGCCAACTCCCCCATCCCCTTCTTTCACATCCTCGAGCGCCTCAAGACAACCAAACGCGCAGGATGGCGTCGTTTCGGTATCGAGAACTGCGAGTCCATCTCTGACCACATGTATCGCATGTCCTTGATCACCATGATGGCACCCGCCTCGCTAACTTCGAAGCTCGACATCGCCAAGTGTACCCGCATGGCGCTAATACACGACATGGCCGAATCTCTTGTCGGAGACATCACTCCCGTCGACAACGTATCCAAGGCCGAGAAGAGCAGGCGCGAGTCAGAGACCATGGACTACATTTGTACAAACCTGCTAGGCAGATTCAACGGCGGAATCAACGGCCAGCAAGTGAGGGCGATCTGGCAGGAGTACGAGGACAGCGAAACGCTAGAGAGCAAGTTCGTGCACGACGTGGACAAGGTAGAACTCATCTCACAGATGGTCGAGTATGAACGCAAACACAAGGGGGAAATAGATCTCGGCGAGTTCACATGGGTCACCAAGAAGATACTTTCTGCAGAGGTCAAGAGCTGGTCTGATCAGCTACTCTGGGAGCGCCTGGAATTGTGGAACGCCCTTGGAAAGGAACCTAAGTGGGCCGAGGACACCAAACCGCATCCCAAGCCCGTTGGCTCCTAGGAGATGCAGGTGTTTTAGAGGACGCTGAGGAGAAGGTTGTTCTTTCAAAAGTATGCATGTCTGCATAGCCTGCGAATGAGTACAGCATAGCACAGTGCATTGAAAGGATGCTTGGAGGTATTGTTTTTGGCGTTCAAGAAGGTTTAAAACAAGACGGTGAGCCTTGAGACCTTTGATATCTCTAGCATTGTTCATCCGGGGTACTGTTACTATGCCGCACTTTCATAATTTGCATCGATTGCTTTCCCCCATCCTTAATCCCCAAGTCCGTCCGTCTCATGTTCTGTCACTGACAGCTCGCTACTTCGCCACCCATTAGTACCGAGACACTGTGAAGATTTATCATCAGTCACCGAAGTCCGTGCTGGGAAAGGTTATTGCAGTAAGTGGCTAGATCAATGGAAAAGCATGAACAGGCATGGCTTTTCATAACGTACAACAGATGCGCTGATGAGATGTCAGAAAATAAAGTGGATGCATCCGGAGATTTAACCTAGCGATAGCCACGTAGTCGATCTGCGCTACCGGTAGTGTACACCGCGCTGGACGGGCCGAGGCTTGGCCCGAGGATAACATTGCTTGGCCCGACGTCTGAGTATGCAACATGCAAATTCCATGACAGCGTTACTCGCCGCCTTGAATGATACGTTTTGCTCTAGGGTAACGCAAGCAACTTACGTATACCATCAAGAGCTTGGCTTAGGAGGCGTTTGTTGGTTTCTCTTGACCGACGCAACTTTCATGTCCGGACGTCCTACCACGACAGACGTAAAGAGAAGAGCATGTCGGAGAATTATTGTCTAGCCAAAGATACGCGCATAAGTCTGTGGCTCTATGTAAGGTGCCAAGGATTAATCCCGAGATCAATCCCACATGCTGACATGCTCCGCATAGCCTACATCGATCACATCATTCGTAATGAGCGACCCCGTATAAGAGTAATAGATTCCGCATTAGCTACAATTCACCGCTTGAGAGGGTGAACTTGCTAACATCCAACATGCACCTTACCATGAGTGCATTGATACTAGCGGCCACAGCTGTCACTGCTCACCCCGGATCCCATTCTAGTCGTCGACCACCTTTTCAGGGCGACTTTACAATCAATCAATACCAACTCTACCCCGAGAACGCAGACTTCGACTTCAAGACCGGCAAGCTCTACATCGGCCAGCTCTGGAACGCCTCGCTCGGCATCTACGATCCTTACACCCAGCACCATGAAGTCGTCGACTTCCCGGGTATCTCTCACAACCCACTGCTCAACATGGGGGGCGTCGGCGTAGAAACGCGCACCGGCCGCGTATCCATTGTCGCAAACGGGCCTTTGGAGTTCCCCACCAACGGCGCGAACATCGCTGGTGATCGCTGGCTTATCTCGTACGATGCGAAACAGAAGAAGGAGGTCTACCGTGTGAACCTCACTGCTACCTCGCAGGGGAAATATGGCGGCTTCCAGGACGTCGATTACGATCCCGCTGGTAACACATTCGTCGTTGGCTCGTTCCCTGGCACACTTACTAAGGTGTCTAAAGACGGGAAGAGGGTTACGCCGTGGTATCTCCCCGCTACCATCAATAGCACCAATAAGGGCTTGACCGGTATTGCGACTGTTGGATGGGATTTACTGGCCTACGGCGACGAAAGCGGCGAGCTGTGGAAGTTCGACACCCGCGCTGAGAAGGGCGTCCCGACTGTTGTGCCTGTGAGCAGAAACCACACCTTTGCCCCTAGCGATGCTATATACCTGCCACTCAAGTACGGAAACAAGGTCTTGCTCGTTGCGCATAGCGCTGCGGGCGTGAGCGTGTTCGAGTCGAAGGACGGGTGGAAGAGCGCGAAGTACAAGGGTACTGTGCCGCTACCTCAGGTGAGCAACCTCTTCACCTTTCTGTTATGAAACTGCACAAGGTTTCCGTCTTGAAGATGGCATTGAGGATGGTGACATTGACCCATGGTGGTAGATTGCTAACTGTGCTCATAGCTCGACCCCGGAACTGTCCTCGTAGCACCCGTCCAGATCGGTGACGGCATCTACCAAATCTTCGCGTACTTCGGCGATTCGGGTCTCGGCGGACAGGGTACAGCGGGCAACCGAACACAGTTCCCTTTCCACGATATCTCAGATCAAGTGGACATGCTGCTAGGGAAGTGTGACAAGGAACATCAGCGACGGTCTGAGGACGAGGAGATCCCTGCATCGCATTGGTACTACAAAGTACATCAGCGACGAAGCGAGGAGACAGGAGCTGTGAACCCGGCGAGCTGGTATTACAAGGGCCAGGAACGACGAGATGAGGCTGTTGGAGAAGAGATCATAGAAACGGCCGGTTGGTACTACAAGGGTCATCAGCGAAGGAGCGAGCAGTTCGAGGAGGCTGGTCTCGAGACAGCGGGGTGGTATTACAAGAGTGGAGGATCATGATTGTATAATGGGCTGATGACTTGAGCTGTCCTGACACGAAAGTGGGGCTCTCGTCGACTCCATAAGAACTTAGGGTATGTAACATAGGTCTTTTTCGACCATTGTGCTGTATTGAACTTTTTCTGATCTTGTCTGAGGGCCTATGCATGGGAGGACGCTCTGTGCGAGGGCATGTCTGCACGAAGTCTGCCAGCCTATGGTCGACTCAATGATGAGGACTGCAACAAGCTTCCAGTGCTCACTCCCTTGCGGTTCCTTAGACATAAGATGATTAGCTTCCTTAGGATTGCCCCCTGAAGTGTCGAATATTCTGGGCTAAGGACATAGGTAGTGCCTACGGCATTAGGTGAACAATCACAGACAGAACACTCAGAGGCAAGTCGCGCATGGAGGTAAAACAAGATCCGCGAAACGCCACTAGATGGCAAAGCGGGGATCAGACTTTGTCTTTTGTAGCTTGTTAAGTCACAGTCTTAATTGAAGCTCGATCACAAGAGCGATGGGAGGCTAGAGGCTGACTGCCTTTTCAGTGAACAGACGTGTCATGTGTTCACGAATAGGACGTAATTTCTCCAATCGACTTTCGGACTATTTGGACTAGTGTGAAAATCACCGATTGCCATCTATGTATCGGGAGATTGCTAGTAATCTGTTTTGGGCTCATACTTCGCCCACTATCGCATACTAGCGGAAGTCCTAGCTATGCTGCTATCAACCACGCCGCCATACGTACACGCAGTGAGACTGAAAGCTGGACACGTATTGGAATGAAAATTACGCGTTATTCAAGGAGCGTTATGAATATGAGCACACTCAAGTGCTGTTGCTGTAACTTGAAAATTCATCGGGTTCAAGTAATATAAAGCCAGTTAACAGAGCCATAACATTAATTCATCCATTTGTTTGTATCAGCCTAACACCCCTTTCTCTAGACCCGACCTACCACCACCTCTTCGCCAAACTCTTCCAACCTCCCTTCAGCGCGAATTGAACACCCATTTGTCCCACCCCTTCGCTGTCCACCTTGCAGCCCACAACACCCCGACCCAAGCATACCTGCCTCCGACTTTGGCCAGCCGGAATGGTGCCCCCACAGCGTGAACTGCCTCCCGAACGGCGTCCAGAACAAAATATACCGCTATCAACGCATAGAGGACCAAACACACCTTCACAATCAGACTGAAGAAGCTCGTGATCTGAGCAAACCCCGAATCGAACTTGATCTTGGGCGTTGGCCCCACCGCTGGAGGAGTAGTACCGGCGATCTTCTGCGGAGACGCTGGGCGCGAGGTCGCGGGAGTTGTGGGCGGTGGAGTCGCGTGCTTCACGAACGGATCGAGGTATTCGGATGTTAGCCTTGGTGTAGGCGTGGGAATAGCAGAAGGCGCTGGTTTTGCAATTCGCGGGCCTGCGGGACGCAGCCAAGCCCAGCGGCTTGCCAGCGTTCGCTTTTGCTCGACCTTCTTCTTCTCCCGGTCCTTCAGTATTTCGGCGAACGTTCTTTTAGCCGGTTCTAGCGCCGGTGTACCCTTGCTCGAGTTGGTGGTGTAGCCAATGACGGCGTCGTTTGTGGTCTTGAACTGCTCGCTTGCGCCCGTGGTATACGCAAAGCGCATGTTCTTCTCGGGGGAGCTGGGGGGCGAGCTCTCAGCGGCCAAGGTTTGCGGCGACCGGTTGTAGAGCGCCCACCAGGTCTCTTTCTGCGGGAGGCCATTGTGCGTCGGAGCATGGGGTGGAGGCTGAGGAGCGGTCGTCTTGGGTACGATGCGTACTTTGATCTTAGGCGGGCTGCCAGACCGAGAATGCAAGGTACCTGTGACGGAGTCGCCGTGTTGAAAACGTGGGTGCAATGATGAGGACGTGTTACTACCCAAGCTTGCAGGCTCCTTTGCGAAAGAGAAGCTGTTCGTGTCGCTGATTGAGCGTGGACCTTGGACATGCGAGCCGAATAGGTGCTGCTTGCGCGGTTGCTGTGCGGCCGCTGATGTCGCCCATGCATGCTGCGCGATCGGCGGGCTGGCTGGGAAAGAACCCGCGGGCGACAACTGTGGCGGACTGTTCGGTGGTGTCAAATCTACATGCAATGGCGCAGTCTCAGACTGTCCCTTCTTGGTGGAGTAGGCGTAATCATAGGACACGATCTTACTAGGCACCTTCACTCCCTCGTTGTTGTTACGCTCGCGGACCTGCTGGGCCTTTTGCTTGTACGTCTGGTATGCATCAACCTGCGCCTTTGACGGAGATGGGATCTTAGCTCTGAAGACAGACGCTTCCTTGGGGATATCGAAAATGGGTTCTCGAGTCGTGGGCATTTCCACTGCGAAGGCATCGCTTTCAAACGCATCCTCTCCCGGTGCCTCGGTGCGAATGGTCCGTCCCCATGCTGACTTCCTACTTATGGGTGCTTTCGGTGCGGGGCTCCTTTTGATCTCGAGAAAGTATTCCGAAGACTGCGAACGGTCGAGCGGATGTCTAGATCCGTTGGAGGTAGCGGAGCTGGTCTTGCTGTGCGAGTGACGTGGCGGTGTAAGCGGCGGTGTGGGGGTGAGCGATAGGGCTTCTTCGAGCGTTGCGGGGGTACGATAGCTTGATATGTAGACCTTACCGGGAAGGATACGTGTGCTTTGCGGGTTGGAGGATTGTGCAGTTATCATCTCTTCTTTCACAGGAGCCTGCCGGCGGCCGAAGAAAGGCATATCGTCTATTGATGAACAGAGAGCGAGGATTATACGAGAGATAATCCTATGCAGCATCAGGAGACAGCTACAATATAATAGCATTTCAGTCAGATTGGTAACGTACGTGGATGGTTGGAATGTGTGTGGCTGACATAGTGACGGGGTGGAGTGGAGGAATGTGGAGTGACGCAAAGCGCATATCATGTCTTGAAATCGGCCAGCTACGTCCTTAAGCGGTGCTTTTGACTGTCCAGGCCAGTAAAAAAAGCCACCCAATAACTATCTCTTATGCACAGCCGCAATAGTAGTAGCGAGTCTGAACTTCGTCGCGAGCATCGTAAGTTTGGACTAAGTGGTCCATATCCCGTCATCGATCCTGACCTAGGCTTGAAAGTACATTTTCCAAAGGGTTATGTGGAAACAGTCGGATGTCCGACAATGGTCAGAGGGTATCTATCGTGATGCGACTCCAACGCAGGGTGGAAGTCGTGGTCAAGCTCAAAAACGACACGCCAGTATGCCTGAGCCCGTAAATATTCAAAAGCCTACCCCGATGTGTCGCCGCTCATAGGAAAAGAGGACACGCAGTGTCCTCGAAGAATTAAATGTCGCCTGACGTTCCGATCTCTGAGTACTCAAGCCAATGTCCGTTGACGGCTTTTTTCCAGGTGCGGATCGCAGCGTCGTCTCCCGTTGATACAAGAAGATCACCTATGTCATGTCAAAACCCCTATGTATGCATGAAAGTTCACAACCCACCCATCTGTGAGAAAGCAACCCGCCAAACGGCACCTTGGTGACTGTTGAGTTCGTCTACAAGCTTCACTGCCTGCGTGATACGGCCAGGGCCCTGCTCGTAGTCCTGAGCTGGCTCTGAGCCTTTTGATGCGCCAGCTAAACCTGCTCCGATTCCAGAAGGGGCCCGAGACTTGCTCATTTGTGGGGATGAAAAGGTGTCTACGGCAGTCGCAGTCAATGGCCCGGTAGTGGAGGCTTTATCGGAACGAGGCGTGGACAGCTCATAGATGCGTATAGCGCCATCCTTACTAGCGGTTGCAAGGACATCATAACCCCTCATGGACCCATTCGCCCAGGCCACGTCTCGTACGATCTGTCTCGCACCTTCAAGCTCTGCGACTTTGAAGAAACGCTTGGTTTTGTCAGTTCTGAAGACGAGGACCTTATTCATCGCCGCCACGGCTAGGCCAAGGGACTTGCGATCCAAACCTGCCAATATGGCCGTCCAGCAGGGAAGCTTTTCCTTGTGAAAAGCAACCTTGAAGCCGACCTCTTCTTGGCGCTCAGGAGGATTGTTTCCACACACCCAGGTCTCGGCTATGATGCCCCATTCATTGAGATTGCTCTGGTCAGTGGGCTCGTAGACGAGAAGCAGACCATCCCGGGTGATGAGTGCAAGCCAGGTTTCTTGCATGATGTTCTTGAAATCCAAGGACATGAAAGGGGCGTTAGTCTGTGATGCGAGGTTCGTGATGAGCTTGAAGCGATTGCCCGACATGGGTACTTCGGTTACATCCTCTTGCCAGAGCTTGCAGCGGCCGTCTTCTCCAATGCTGCCGACTACCTCACCCATGAAAGGGCCATTCCATTTGACCTAGGCGGCGTCAGACGGGAAAAGGTGCATGGTACTTGTAGCGAGCGTTGTACACAGGGCCAATACTCTGGATTGCCGATTTTCAGGGTAACACAGTAGGCTACGCCATGGCGAATGCCACGATAAGGTGTGGCAAAACGGCTGTGCAGCTGCCGGGGTTCCAGCCAGGGGTAGGTAGATGTGGTACCACTTACATCGACAATCTCAGCATCGTGCGCCTTCCAGCTCTCCACAAGCGACCAGGAGTCTTCTTTCTTATCCCAGACTTTGAGCCGGTGATCTGAGCCGGCGGTCACCATGCGCGTACCAAAATAGTTGAAATCGACGGCGAGCACCAGGTCCTGATGGCCATGGGCAAACGTCTGAAAGCCGGCGGATGCCATGTTGGAGTAGGCGTCTCTGGCAGCGCAAAATGCAGTCTGGAGGCGGTGCTGCACGTTTGCGTCAATGGCGGAAGCACTTCCGTCAGCAGAGGGCTCTTGTAGCAGCGGCCACACCAAGTCGGCTTCTTCTACAGCACCATCCAGCGTGACGATGTTCAGATGAGAATGGCCGCGGTGATGGGACCGTGCCTCGGCGTGGTGTGGGGCGTTTGGGGCCTCGCCGGGCGACACGCTGGAATCTGATGCTGCGCACGACGGCAGGCGCGACGGCGTCAGGTTGGACAGGAAAGCCGGGCGGTGGAGTCTACGCGTCACTGCGTCTAGCGAGAGCTGGATGGGATCGTGCTCGGTGGTCGCGTGTTGGTCCATCTTGCTTGCTCGAAGCGGGCGCGGCGGCAGCTCGTTTTGGGTTTAGGTGGAGCTGACGAAGCGTAGAGCCTCAGCAAAGGTGGCTTCGACGACAACGACGCGCCGCCCGAACTCTGCAAAACTTGCCAGTCTGTGCCGCGAGACGCTGTTTGTTTTTTTCTGTGTATACTGCTTACTGGTCGCTATGTCGACTGCCCTCAGTTCGACCGAGGCCTATTCGCTGCTCTCTCTCTCCTTGGCGGCCGTGGGCGTGCTGTTGAACACTTTCACGGGCGAAGGCGAGCCTCTGATCGCATCGATTGCTTTTAGCTGCCTCGCGTTCGCCTCCTGCTATGCACTCATACGATGGCTCGGGAATGCCTTTATACGCCGGGGGTTCAAAGGCAAGGATCTGTGCAAACTCAAACAGACCGACATGTACGACCACCAACCGCTGCCCCCGAATAGCCCTGGAGAAACGCTGCTCACATGACCCAGCCCGGAAACCATGGGCGCCGTGTGCGCCATGGTCTATCTCTTCACGATAATAACCTTCATCCCGTGGCCCTTCTACAAAGACATCGTCGTGGCAACGTCAGGCGGCGGTAATCGCGATGTCATAAAAGAGCTAGAAGAGGTCGAGACGGGGAGGCTACTGCACCGATTCCCTCACAACAAAGTACCACGCCCCGCCCCGTATCCATCGCCCACCGGCTGACGGTGATCCAGCTCGCGTCGTATCTATCCGCCATTCTTTCGTTGCAGACCATCGTTCTCTTGGGCATCGGCGATGACCTGTTCGACATCAGATGGCGGCATAAGGTGTTTATCCCGGCCGTCGCTGCTATCCCCATGCTCATCGTCTACTTTGTGGACTTTGGTGTCACTCAGATGGTGGTCCCGATACCACTAAGACGCTATCTCGGAGAGCTGTTCGATCTTGGTGCGTGACAGTTGATGGCTGTGGGACGGTGCTAACAATTGCAGGCTGGCTGTACTACGCATACATGGCACTGCTCTCCATCTTCTCCTCGAACAGTATCAACATTCTTGCTGGCATCAACGGCATCGAGGTGGCCCAGTCACTGGTTATTGCCGTGCTGATTGTGGCCAACGACGTACTGTACCTGTCGCCCTTCACAGCGTATCCGCACCCTGCCACAGACTCACACTTGTTTTCCCTCTATCTCTTGTTGCCGTTCATTGGAGTGTCAGTTGCGCTTCTGAAGCACAACTGGTTCCCGGCCAAGGTATTCGTCGGGGACACGTACTGCTACTTTGCAGGAATGGTCTTCGCCGTGGACGGCATCCTGGGTCACTTCAGCAAGACATTGATCCTGCTGCTGTTGCCGCAAGGGTTCAACTTTATTTACTCGGCTCCGCAGCTGTTCCATATTGTACCATGTCCCCGACATCGGCTTCCGCGCTTCAATGCACGGACCGGACTTCTCGAATGCTCGCGCGTCGAGTTCAAGAAGCCTCTTGCGCGCCCGGTCGCGGAGAGCCTGAAGCTACTGCACCGACTTCGGCTGCTCGACGTGGAAACAGACGAAAACGGGCAGGTGGTGTCGTCGTCCAATTTCACGCTCATCAACCTGTGGCTGGTGTGGTTTGGGCCGATGCGGGAGGACCGCCTTGCGTTGGGTCTATTGGCGTTTCAGACAGCAATCGGGGTACTGGGACTACTTGTACGGCACCGCATGGCGCTACTTGTATTCACAGCAGACAATTGGTAGCAGACTGGCAGTGCAGGCCGGCGACGGATCGGCAAGTGTACTGTGTAGGATAGGAATGCATCGATGCGTTTCGGACCGTAGGCGGGACCGACCGATCCAGAGCATCCGAGCAGCGGCGGTGCCAATCGGAGGGCGCGCGTTGTGTGCTGACAGGCGCGTGTGGCGGCGGAAAAACTGGCTTAAGCGCGGGGCCAGGCGGGGCTCGTCTCGGCGAACGAGAGCGCGTTCGAACGTCATCAGTGCCGACCTTCACCACTGGCCATGGGCCGCAATCGCAATGGCCGCCACTTCTTACATGAGCGCCTGCGAACCCCGCCACAGCTACGCCTTAGCCGACGAGCGCGACCGTGATATGCGCTCCGAGAATCGGCCCTGAGCGTTCTGGTGTAGTCCGCTATTTGAGTGCCACAGCTCCTCCTCACTTGCGAGGACGACGCTTCCGCCGCTTGACCCGTCTTCTCTGCTCTCTCCTCTTCGCCGCTGTCCCTCAGACACACCACCATCGTCGCCCTCGCTGTATCTGTAGCACAAAGAGCGCCTGCCAACATGCCGTCTGCTGTGAGACCACCACGGACCTTGTACGACAAGGTCTTCGAGGACCACATTGTCGACGAGAAGGAGGATGGCACGATCCTGCTATACATTGGTACGTCTGTCGCCGTACACACTCATGCCCTTGCTGACGTCTTAAAGACAGGCATCTGGTGCACGAAGTGACGTCGCCAGTATGATTTTCCCCAAGTGGCGCCAAATGTGAAGATCGTACTGATAATCTGCCAGCAAGCATTCGAAGGCCTCCGAAACGCCGGCCGCAGAGTGCGAAGACCGGATTGCACACTCGCAACCGTAGACCACGTAGGCCGCCTTCCAGCGCCTCTTCCAAATCTCGCTAACATGCGCAGAACATCCCCACAGTCTCGCGAAAATCCCTCACCACAACCGAGAAATTCATCGACGAGGCCGACTCGCGGACTCAGTGCATGACCCTCGAGGACAACGTCAAGGCATTCGACCTCACATATTTTGGCCTGGACGACAAACGACAGGGCATCGTACACATTATCGGCCCTGAGCAGGGCTTCACGCTGCCCGGCACCACTGTCGTGTGCGGCGACAGCCACACATCCACCCATGGCGCCTTTGGCTCCATCGCGCAGGGCATCGGCACAAGTGAGGTCGAGCACGTTCTGGCCACGCAGACGCTCATCACTCGGCGGAGTAAGAACATGAAGGTGCAGGTTGACGGAGAGCTAGCACCTGGTGTCAGCAGCAAGGATATCATCCTGCACGTAATAGGAGTCATCGGAACGGCCGGCGGCACCGGCTGTACCATCGAGTTCTGCGGATCCGCCATCCGAAGTCTTAGCATGGAGGCGCGTATGTCGATATGTAACATGTCGATTGAGGCTGGTGCACGTGCGGGCATGATTGCACCGGATCAGACTACCATCGACTACCTGAAGGGACGTCCGCTTGCACCCAAGGTCGACAGCCCGGAATGGAAGAAGGCCGTCAACTACTGGCTCACATTAAACTCGGACCCCGACGCGAAGTGGGACCACGAGGTATTCATTGACTGCAAGGACATTGCGCCCACCGTCTCATGGGGCACTTCTCCTCAAGATGTCGTCCCGATCACCGGCAAGGTCCCCAGCCCAGATGATTTCCAGGATGAAGTCAAGAAAAACGCCTGTATACGTGCGCTTGAGTACATGGGTCTGACGGCTGGAGTTCCTATGCAAGAGATCGCTGTGGACAAGGTCTTCATCGGTTCATGCACAAACGCCCGTATCGAGGATCTGCGCGCGGCGGCACGTGTTGTACAAGGCAAGAAGGTTGCTTCAAATATCAAACATGCTATGATTGTTCCCGGATCTGGTCTCGTCAAGAAGCAAGCCGAAGCTGAGGGTCTCGACAAGATCTTCATCGATGCAGGTTTCGACTGGAGAGAAGCAGGCTGCTCCATGTGCCTAGGCATGAACCCCGATATTCTCTCCCCTGGTGAGCGCTGTGCCTCAACGTCAAATCGAAATTTCGAAGGACGACAGGGTGCAGGAGGCCGCACACATCTCATGTCCCCGGTCATGGCTGCCGCAGCTGCCGTCGTTGGGAACCTCGCTGACGTCCGTAAACTCGCGCCGCCATCCATGTCCGCCGCAAAGGGTTCCCCGAAAGTCGAAGTTCAGGGCGACGCACACATCGAAGATCCCACCTCAGACGAAGATCTTGACCAAATCATGGACCTGCCCGCCGACTCTGTCTCCCACCCCTCCTCCACCTCCACCAAGGGCGCCTCAGCAGGCATGCCCAAGTTCGAGACCCTCCGCGGATACGCCGCACCCATGGACATCGCCAATATCGACACCGACGCTATCATCCCTAAGCAGTTCCTCAAGACCATCAAGCGGTCCGGTCTCGGCTCCGCGCTCTTTCACGCCTGGCGCTACGAGGCCGGCAGCGACGTCGAAAACAAGAACTTTGTCCTCAACCAGGAGCCGTTTCGCCAATCCAAGATCCTCGTCTGCACAGGACCCAACTTCGGATGCGGTAGTTCGAGGGAACACGCGCCTTGGGCGCTGCTCGACTTCGGCATCAAGTGCATCATTGCCCCATCATATGGCGACATTTTCTTCAACAACACGTTCAAGAACGGCATGCTGCCCATCCGCATTTCCGACCAGGCCACCCTCGAGAAGATCGCAGAGGTCGCTAAGTCCGGCAAGGAGCTCGAGGTCGACCTGCCGAACCATGTAATCCGCGATGCGGATGGCAACGAGTTGTCAAAGTTCGACGTCGAGGAATTCAGGAAACACTGCCTGATTAATGGGCTGGACGACATTGGTTTGACTATGGGCAGCGTGGAGCACATTGAAAGACACGAGACTAAGCGGACGAGGGAGTGGCCGTGGTTGGATGGCAGCGGCTACCTGGCGAGACACCGCAAGGGGCCAGTGAAGATTGAGGCCGCTGCTGTGCCGAAGACGAACCGTGGTGAGGTCGTTGGAGAGCCGTTGGAGTGGTAGTCGATCCTTATCTTCTTGCCTACGAGTTACGATCGGGAGAGATCGGGAAGGTAAAAGGAAACATATGGATGGTATCTGCGTCTTTATAGCGATGCGCTGTGTTTGCAGTAATATGGCTGGGACCCTAACCGTGGAATGGTCCTCTTTCAATACGTTCAATCAAATTTCCTGTTCGACTTGGGTATTCCCCTATTTGATCTTGGTCCTGCTATTGTGGTATATGATACAAAAATATCCCATGGTCACAAGGATGGGTTGACCAGACTCCGTCGAATGCCAACCTAAAACGCCGCGCTCTTGTGCGAGAAGCCCGGCCCTACTGATACACGAAGCGACCTCTCTCTGCAGGTCTGAAGCCCTACCTCACTTGCCCTTGCAGTCCCGGCCCATCCTTCGTCCACCCATTCCTCCTCATCCCCTCCTCGATCCTTACCCAGATCCTCTCAACCAACTCCCTATCCCTCCACCTTCCCTTCTCACTCCCTGTCCATTTATCTACCTGCACACTCGTGATGCCCCTACCCCACGCCTTCACATTCTCCGGCTCATCCTCGCCCCCATACCCCACGTAGAAACCGGGGTAGTGGGTGAACAGCTCAATCGGATTCGGATACTTGTAGCTCTTGAACTGCCAGCTTTGACCGGTAGTAAATACAGCCACGACGCGTGACCAATAGTTCGGCTTGAACATGGCTGTGCCGTCGACGAGGATGAAGCGGAAGGCAACGCGGGGATCGATGGATGGGAGGACGCGCGTCATTTGGAGGAGGTTGGAGGTCGCATTGGAGGAGGAGTCGAGGGCAGACGGAGGGATGAAGACGCCTTCTTCGAGAAAAGACTTTACGTTTGACATGCGCAGGAGGGAGGAGGCGGAGGGAGAAAGTAGGATAATGGGTTGTTCGATGCGGCGGGCGGGCTTTTTCATGTTGGTCGGGAGGCTTTGCGGGATGGATTCCTTCTTTAGGTTGGTGGAGGGATGGGAGCGGAGGAAGGAGGTTGCGAGTTTGCGGTAGGATGAAAAGTCCTAGTATGGTATGTCAGTAATGTGTCTCTGATTTTGGGGGTACGAGTGGGCCTACGATTGGCTTTGTTCCTCTCAGGGCGGTGTTATGGTCGCCCATTCTCCGCTCGCCGTCGTAGATTTGTAGTAACCGTGCATCCATCATTTTCTGTCCCGCTGCTGTTGTTGCGCCTTGCTGCACAGGCACACCCTTTCCGCCTGCAATCGCTGCAGCATCGCCAGCCGCAGCGCTTGCTGCGCCGCTTTCCAAAGGCTTGATGTTGTCGCTCGTGTCCACCTCTCCGCTTAGCCAGCTGATCAATTCGATCTTGTGCGCGAAACCTAGATTCACGATACTGCCACCAGCACCACCCGGCAGGTCCTCATTTAGCCTTTGTACCGCAGCGACGTAGTCGGTGACTGACGCATCTTTGTTCAGCCAGGCGAAGTATATGCTGCGCAGGTCGATAGGCTTCTCGGCGGGTGCGTAACGTGTAGGTGTGTTAAATTCGAAGGTTTTATGATGAGCGCCGTGCAATGTGGGCTCGTTGAAGGATATGTGCGTAGCTTGCGACAATTCTGTGACCGTGTCTGAGGGCCCCGATGGGTCCGGCGTCGTTGCGAGTATAGGCGCATTGTTGGAGGTGATGCTGAGGCGCAAATTGAACAGCGGGTCGTCTAGCTCCGCCTGCGATGGAGCCGCCATGATTGACGATATCACTCAGCTCCGTGTTTGAAATTGGCAGGGCGGGGAGAGGTAGAGTTGTCGCGGGTGGAGTGTGGAGCTCTGGAGCTTAGCTGGGATTCTTTTCGATGTAGACCGCGCCAAGAAAGGCAGGGCAGCCTACGCGCGCTTTGTCTTCCTCACGTCTATCCCCGGCCGCGGGGACAGACTGATCATGTGATTCCGTACGGTGCTCTACACGAATGCGAAGAAAATTTGGGTCAACGCTTCCTTTCAACCAACATGGTCGCACAGCTTCCTCGACTAGTGGACTCTACCTATGCTTTCAACACGCTCTTCTCTTTTTATATAGTGTTGTTGTTTCTCAATCAATCGCGGATTCACCTCCTTTCAATGTGTTCCCAAATCTCGCCTTGTCATACTCCGCAAGTCGCGTTTGCCTGCTGCTCAAGACAAGGGCACATTGTACAGCCACTAACAACAACCACTTTAGAAGACAGACACCATGGAATTTCTGACTTTCCAATAAACATGGGCAGCACTATGCACATTATGGTAGGCGACTACAACGCTACCTAGGGTGCCTCATCTCCACCATCTCCGTAGCAGATACCTTTTCATAGTAATCCTTGTTACACGGCGGAAGATGCTCCTAAACCTTGGATACATGGTCTAAGCCTTCCCGTACGCTGATCACTTCCTCGACGCTCTACGCTCTTTCATTGCTCTTTGCTTTACAGCCACTCCCTCTCCCCTAATCACTTTGCAATTCTCTGTCAATGGCCTCCTTGAGGGATTTATGGCATCAGTTGATAGAAGGTCTCCTCTTCCTTGCGGGTATGCAGTATCGGAAGTATGAAGAAGCAATTGCGCTGGGCTATTCCGTCGAAACCGTCACTGATGCCGAATGAGCCGCCTTAATCACCGAAGACTTTGCTACGTTCAAGGCTATTGTCGTTCCTGATCCAAGCTACAGTTCGCACCGTCAAACCAGGTTTCTGGAGGACTCGAGATGTGTGGAGCCCAGCGGTGACAGGCAATATCATCTTCATCGGTACCTACATCGATGGGAAATGAGCCTGTGGCTGCGAGGGCAAACATACCACGAACCCCAATGCACTCACCACTTTACCTCTTATCACCCGTCACGGCTGAAACTTTTTCGGGATATAAAATTCCGCCTAAGTCATCCTTAGAAATGATCTGTCTTTTCAATCCAGTGCAGGCGGACCTCAAATTTTGATTGACAACTCTATCAACTTTGCGGCCTCTGCAAAAGGTGCACGTGGAAAATCATTAACTGGACTATTATGCTCTCTTTCTACTACTACACCGGCGTTGCGAGCGCTAAGATTGATGCTGTAAGTGCATCTTTCCTCCACATTCTTCAAGACTGATTATGTCAGCTTAATAGAATCGGTGACTTTACGGTTCGTGGAGATATTGGCTGCTACGCCAAAGCTCATCTCGTAGCCTCCGCTGCCTTGGTATCTCTGGACGATGCCGCAATTTCCGACTGGAGCTGCAGTGTGCACGAAGCTTTCTCGTCTTACCCCTCCCTCTATCGGCAAGAATGGCTTCTGAGCACTTGCGACCGCCCATGACGTTCTATTCATGGGCTCACAAGAGTTTGGCAATGGCAGTGTTGATCTTCCATACTTCCTGTCGCGTGGCGTTACACCGGCGAAATGCGGTGATGGTACCTGGGAGCAGAATTTGGGCGAAGAATACGGTGATAGGAATGCTATCAATGGCAATGTCTGCTCGCTGAGATGCAAGTGTGGGAGTAATTTTCCGAGCGGAGGCGGTACTTGCGAGCCTAAGGTGGTTCCTCAACTCCACTTGCACAGCTCTATGCGGCACTGCCTTGCCTCAATCGACCCTCTCGATCTCTTTTGGAAGCAGCCCCAACACCCCATCTGACCAATCGACCGGGACTAAAGCTACATTGTTTCATCGTCTGCTTACCCGTTCACCATCTCAACATGTTACTGTGAAGGATCATCAGCGCATTACTCTACACTTAGCTTCACGAGCGGCTACTCGACTGAAAGCTCAACCCGTCCTGCAGGTTATGCTCACTCAAACTACTCAGCGAGCAAAGATTCTCACTCCGGCTACATCACTGGCTACCCTCATTCCGGCTGCGCTGCAGGCCATTATCACAACAGTCACAATGCGGAGTATCATCATTCCAGCTACGCTGCGAAGCTAATCTCAAAGGGAGACCCTCACGGTTACCCACACGCCACTAGATCCAAATCCTACCACCACGGCGTGCCTAGCTCCACTCCCTATCCCATCCACCGCCCCTATACCCCTCACCCTACATTATGCCTTCTTTCCCCACAGGCCCAAGATCATCGGGGTAGAATACATTATCGAAGAAACCTACATCACCTCTTCCTACATTCCACACCAAAACCCTCTTCACCTCATCTACGACTCACCCACCTCAAAACTCCTTTGCTACATCTGCACCATCTAATCCGTGCACGCCGCCTACACCACCACCAATTTCATCACCGGTCACGACCACGACAGCGAAATCCACCGATGCACCGAGCACCTAATCCACGCCCGTCGTGAAGCTCTGCGAGACGTGCGAAGTGCATACGCTGACAGACACTGAGGTTGTTGGTGTGCCGCATACAATGTACACGGCGATTCCTCACGTGTCGCCGACGCCGCCCGGGCGCATGTTCATAAGAGCAAGTAAGAGGATGGGTACACAGCGAGCGCACGTAACCCCGGCAGTATTCGAGACGGCATATGAGACGAGCACAAGCTTTGTGAAGTATCCTCCTGTAGTCACCGTCACGCCAACCAAGCCCGGTGAGTATTATCCTGCTAAGACCTCGACTGCGGTGGAGTACACTGGTGCGGCGGTGACGAGTGAGGTTGAGAATGCTGGTATGGTTGGTGGTGTGATCATGACTATCCTTGGGTGGTTGTAACTTTGAGATCGCCGATATGATTACTAATGGGATAGCATAGTGTTTTACTCGAAAGTGAGAGTAGATGAGAGCTCCGGGAACAGCACACAAGGCGATTTGAACGTCACGACAATTAACCATGGTGGAGCAATACAATTGTTATACATTACCAAGACCGGCAGGTTGAGTAGGTAAGACATGATGTGATCGTCATGAGATCCTCAGATGATGTATTGGTGCACATTCAGCTCAATCTTCATTAATGTGAAAATTTTAGAACGCTATATCCTTTTTGTCCCACCGCGCTGTAATATATGCCTGATGGTGTGCTATATTGCGAACAACACTTCCTCATCGCATACGGGTAATACCGATTCTGTGATGAGTGTGCATGAGTGTAATCATGATTTGTGGATATAATGTCGCGAAAAATCGAGGTGTGTCATCTCGATGCCTAATCCTGCCATCTCTTCTTCCATGCTCATCGCTTCCGCGATCGTATTTTCTTCAATACCGGCTCTTTAGAAGCCCTAGGGCTCTTTGGAATGAGACCCTGGCCCTTCTCCTTCATTTCGCCAAGCGCAGTTTCGACGTTTTGCTGCCTCTTTGCTACATGGCGATATCGCTTCTCCACTTCGTTCTCAAAATCCCTGGCTAGCTTCCTCTTATTCTGCCTAGCCTCTTTCGCACGATGAATGATACTACCAAATTGCTCGAGGAACCAATCGCCAGCATCCTCCCATTCACGTGTGGGCAGGACGCGAAAGAATTTCTCCTGGTCGCCAGCGTTGAGATTCTTCTGGACGTGGACCAAGCGTTCAGTGAGGTCGTGCTGCTGCATTTCGTCTGACAGAACCTGAACCTGACCACGTGGTTCGGCGTCGAAGTCTTCGGCTCGCAGCTGGTCATAGCTCATGTTGAAGAGGTCTGGGGTGTCGTAATCGCCAATCGGTCCCTCGAATTCATGGACTGGATCTTGTTCAATGGATCGGTAGTGAGCGACAGGCTCCTCTTTCGGGGGGATCCGGATCTGAGGATGTGCGGAACGGAGGGCTGATGCAGGAGCAGTGGGTGACACAAGCGCTTGCTTGCTAGCCGGAGCATGCATTGGAATTGAAAAGGGTCGAGCGCCGCGGTGGGGGATTTGGCTCGCACGAGCAGGTGATTGCTGTCTCGGAGCAGCTTTTGCTGGATGAGATGCCTGCAAGGTGGCCTGGCTGTAGCTCGGCGGTTGACTGGAAACATCTGGAGCAGCCTTGGATGAAAGGACTGCTCCGGGCGTGTTGAGTTTCGTATTTACACGCTGCTCTGTCTTCCTAACAGTCTCGCCTTTCTTCCAGATGTTGACCGCCGGCATAGCCTGAGAGCCGGTAGTCGGTGGGTTCGCTCGCGCTAGTGGTGGTTGATTTTGATAGGCAGTGTCACCCTTGGCGGGATACTGTGTATGTGACTCGGTCAGATCGCCAGACTCGATGTGGTCAATTGGCAGTTGATGCTTTACGCCCCATTGGTTAAGCTCATGCGGGGGACCAGAAGTAGTGCTTGGGTACGAATCACCCTCGCCCAAGAAACCTCTAGTTGCTAAGGCTCGATGCGCCTCATCACGGTATGATTCGAGGGCTCCGCTTCGGTACTGGTCATGACCTTGGTCCTGGCCTTCATTTTGAGCTTCGTCCCCTTCAGTTTCACCATCTTCAGAACTCTCTTCACTGCTGCTCTGTTGGCCTTCGAAACGGTACTCGTCTTCACCGAGGCCAGCATCGTGAGCGTACGGCCCTTGCTCGGATTGTGGTCCCTGTGCTCCCTCGATCAAGGAGCGCTCGTTTATTGTCGTATCAATGCTGCTGCCGGCATCTGTTCCGTGAAGATCGTGCCTTCCGTCGAAAGTCTCACCTGACTCTCGCCGTTGACCGTTCTGCAGCTGATCAGCCTGGTAAATGAGCTGAGTACCTGGATGACGCCGGGCAGCAGTGTGTTGCTGAACATGGTGGTCACGTAGACTTGTAGACGGAATCTGCATCTTTGCTTGTGCTGCGACTATGCGTCTGTTGCTGTTGGCGGATTGTGGTCTTGACGGGCTGCCTGCTCTGTTATTTACGAAACCTTGCATCTTCCCCGGCTGCATTGTAGAATTTGCAACGCGCGTGGTCCCAACGTGTGTTCCTTTTGACGCGTGAGAAAAGTGAAGTGAAGCGTTTTGAGTCTACGGACGACGATTGAAGGTTGAAGCTCGAACGGGAAATCGCGATGTATGTTGAGGTCTAGCCATATTCGGTACTAGCCTCGGCTTGTCTTAACCCTGATGACGGCATCCTTCGAACACATTGTATCTCAATCACTATCTGTTGGCACACCGCTGTCATTGTTTCTCTTCTCACCGTGAAGTATATTGTACTGATACATATCATCAAAATGGCTGATTGCTATCTTTACAGGCTTCCTAATGAGGTACACCGCACTCTTCACACCCTTGCTGCCATCTACTGATCGTACCAAGCTCCTCATACACCTCCTCACGCCGATGACCACACCCCAACTCCTCCCTCTAGCGCTCCTCTCGCACCGAATCTATACTATTGTTCTACGCATCCTCCACAACCGTCTTGTCATAGCATCTGAACTCGAATCGCACTCAGTGCTCCTCGAATGCTTCCATCCGTCTGCGAAGCTTACCGAGCCGCCCTACTTCTGCTCCTACCATGGCACCTACGGTCTTAAGCGCTACAATGAGCTTCCAGAGAATGACAAGCATTTGGCTTCGCGATTGGGCGAGATGCGCAACTTCTATTCACGGTTTCGACCACATCGACGGGAGCTGGAGACGGGCGGTAGGAGGGTGAGACCACCAGGCGACGTGCCGGGCAGTCGCACATTTGCCGGCACCGCGACGGATGGGTTCGAAGGAGATACTGTAAAGCAAATATTGAGTCTGGACGGACATGAACTGTTCACACAGCTAGTTGCTCAAACCAATCTCGTCAAAATTGGACCCAGGAATGGACTTTTTACATGTTTTGTGGGCATAGAGGACGGTGTCGTCAGGGTATGGAGAGAATGGTTGAGAGATACGGCGGCGAAACGACATAATGTGAATATAAAGGAAGAGATCGTGGATGAAGTTTGCCAAGAAAAGGGAAAGGCAATTGCCAAGAAAACGTCGGAAGCGGAAGGCGATGAGCAAATCGACAATCCAAAAGTACTATGGGTCAGTTCAAACAAGAACACAGGCATACGTCTCAACGTACGGGAGAGGAAACTCAGAAGAGACATACCTATCCTTGTACGGGCAGATGAAGAAGACATGCCCGTCAGTTACGAAATCGAGTATGATGGTAGGCGCTCTGATACCACACTTCTGCTGAAACTCATTGACGGTAATCAGAGCTTTTAATTCGTACATCACACTTGCTCTTAATGCTCGAGAAATCCCTCGTACAGGAAGACAATACTTCTGGAAAAGCTGTCGTTTTCGGTGCTTTTGGTTGAGAGCCGTCCAAAATCATCGTTAGCTTTCAGCAAATTTGCAGTCATGGTAGATGTGATACACTGGCTAGGTTTAAGTCAATTGGCATGGGAAGGGATGCATACCAAGGATCGAGGGCGTTTGCGAGGCACGCCTTGATCAAGATGTCTGAACCGCCAGCGCATGTGAGAGTGCGATGCTCAGCCCTGCAATGGAACGAGGTGCGATTGAAGGAGATGAGAGCTGAACTATTAGCGTAGCGTCATGCGAAAGGATTCTCTTGGCGGGAAAGCGTCTCGCACACTGACATACTGACCAAATGAAGCGCTAAGCGTACGCAAGGTGTATATTACCGCGCCCCCTTCGGAACCAAAACTCCGTGTTCCGTATTCTTCAAGGGATATATTCTGTCTCTGGCCAAGATGGCTGCATTTCTTCTACCCGTATGGTTGCACACGTTGTTGCAAACTATGGAATTGTCCACATTTTTGGGCCAGCTTGCTGGGAGCATCGTTGCGGGACTGGTTTCATATGTTCTGTGGAAGCTATATAATGCACGAATGGTATTCTGGCAGCTGAATAAAACTAAGCTTGGTAAGCTAAACTCTTTCGTGTTCGTCGTCCATTGCTCAAATGTATAAGCCAATGCCTCCATGGAACCCAAACCTCGGCCACCTGCCCATATTTCTGCCTATAATCAAGCCATTTCCAAAGGAAGTATATTAGACTTGGCTTTTCAAGTGTACAGCGTGCGATTTCGTAGCCAGTGACGTTCTACCTCTGGCCTTTCTCTATGCCCATGATCCTCATCACTGACCCGCTGATTGGAAATCAATTCTGCATTGAGCACGACTTCGACAAGCCGATTATGCTGAAGCCCTTTCTTCACGACCATCGTGGGTGGTGACGGCATGTTCACCGTGGATGGCCCGGAATGGAAGAGGAGCCATGCGCTGTTCGCGCCAGGGTTTGCCGAAAGGGTGGTCTTGGAGAGGATGCAGCAAGTAGTTGAAGAGTGTAAAGCATACATAGGAAGGTTGAGGGATAAATCTAAAAATGGGAAGGCACTCTTATGCGTATAAGTATAGCAGTTGCGAAGCTGACGGTGGGGTTCGTGTAGGAGAGATATTTAGCTTGAATTAGCTGAGCTGCGCATACGCAATGGACCTCATTGCAACGGTGGCAATGTAAGTCTCAGTCTAGGGAGGTTGGCCGAGTGGGCACTGACTTGAAACAGGAACGTTCGGTTTCAATCCGCTTCTTCTAAGAATAACCCGCTTGCTTCAGCCATGCGGGACCAAATCAATGTTCACGACCGAGACGGAAAGGTGAATACATTTGGACGCTACAGTCCCGTCCAGCTCTACAGAGAACTTCGTGATTCCTATATTATGGATTCCTACATTACAACCAAAGTCCAAAAATGCTATACAGAATACTCTCCATAGCAACCAAAGACAAATCTCTCTCAAAGAAATCCATCATCGACCTCGTGATCGCCGACTACGTGCGCGACCGACCGACCGGCGTCACTCTCGACAAAGCCTTCATCAAATGGGCCTACGCCTAGATCCGCCTCTTCCTGTTTGTCGGGCACGACTCCACCGCCTTAACCATTGTCTACAGCTTATACTCTTTATCCAAGCACCCAGAGGCGCTCTCCCAGATCCGCGAAGAGCACACCAAAGTCTCCGGCTCCGACATCACCGCCTCTCCAGCCCTCCTCCACGCAAAACCAAGCCTTTTCAACCAACTCCCCTTCACGACAGCTGTAATCAAAGGAACACTCCGCCTATTCCCACCCGCAGCAGCCCTACGCGGCGGAGAACCAGGAGCATACTGCACTGACGCATATGGCACACGTTACCCTACCTAAGCCATCGGTCTCAATGTCCTTCACAACTGCATCCATCGCAATCCCAAGTACTGGACTCGGCTGGATGCTTTCCTTCCTGAGCGCTGGATGGTCGGCTCTGAGCATGAACGTTACCCACGGACGAAGCGCGCATGGTGGCCTTTCGAGTACGGGACGAGGAATTGTCCCAGACAGACCTTAGTCATGCTTGACGTGAGGGTTACGCTTGTACTGGTGGCAAGGAAATTTGATGTTAGGGATGCTTATGCGGAATGGGATGCGAAGAATAAGAGGGAGGGGGAGGTAAAGGACTTGGCGGACAAGAGGGCGTATCAGACTGGAGGCGGGGTCGACGCATGCAGCTGATGGTTTCCCATGTTGGGTTGTGAGGAGGCCTTGAGCGGAGGACGAGCAGAAGCGTGACAAGAGAATAAACGAGTAGTATATCAATCGGCGATTCGTCGCTTGACGTCGGCTAGCAAATATGTATAAGCAGAACTAAATCTTCGCACCTACAGCTTCGCCTTCGACACCACCAATGAGTTCGCCTGCGCCAGCCACTTGACCGCGTCATTGACGAACTCATCCACGATTTCCCTTGCAGTTTTCTTCTCGTTGACGACCGCAGCGACCTTACCCATCAGGAACGGCCGCGCGTTGTCCATGGTATCATCGTCCAAATCGTCGCCCAGCTTCTCAAGATCATGCTCCACAGGGATAACACCCTTGGCCGTCAACTCCTTGATCTCCGCCTGCCTGTTCTCCTCCCAATTCTGGATGTAAGAGTTGTTGCGTACGCGCAGCGGTCGACCTGTGAATATAATGGTTCGGACGTTGTCGTCGAAGCCGGAAGTGCGTACGGCTTCCTGGTGCGCCTTGGGTGCACCGGCCTCTTCAGAGAGAATGAACCGCGTTCCAACCCACACACCGCTCGCACCAAAGGTGAGCATAGCAGCAAGCGACTTTCCGTTGAACAAACCACCTGCGGCGACGACCATGACCTCGGCGCCGGACATGGGCGACTTATGTCCTTTGACCATATCGACGACAGCCGGGATGAAGACAGATGTTGGGACGTCGCCGGTGTGTCCACCACCCTCGCCACCCTGGGCACAGATGATGTCGACGCCGAGGTCGAGGCACTTCTGTACGTGCTTAGGATGGCCGATCATGTTCATGTAGAGGATGCCGTTCTTGTGAAGTTTCTCGACGACAGCTTGGGGTGGGACGCCGACGGCGCAGACGAAAAGTTTGGCGCCGCTGTCGATTATTATGTCGACGAGCTCGTTGAGCTTGCCCTTGGTGTAGTCGTAGCTGTCCACTTCGTTAGTCTTATTGCCACGTAGTGTCGCTCTCCGTCGGCACGTACTTTGTCTTTCGCGCGCTGCCGCCGACTTGAGGAAGAAGCAGGTCAACACCGAACGGTGCGTTCTTGTCGTTGAGGAAGCTCTTGAGCTCGGCGATCTGCTCGCGGAGCATGTCCGGGGTGTAACCAATGCCACCAAGCACACCAAGACCTCCGGCGTTCGTCACGGCGGCAGCGAGCTTCGGACCCGCTGCTACATTCATGCCGGCGAGCAGCACGGGGTGCTGGATCTTCAGCAGGTCGGTGAGCTTCGTGCGGATTTTCTCTGCGCATTGTCAGCTGAGACATGTGAAGTGGGCTCGACGAGTCGGCGTACGAGAGGATGCCATGGCTGCGACTGTGTTGATGCTATACTCCTGGGTTACGAAGATCTAATGGGATAACCAAAGAAGGAGGACGTAGAATGTGGAGGAGAGAGAGGACAGCCGGCGTTGTGGGGAGGAGTCGAAGGGTATTTGTCGTGGATCCTGCGCAACATGCCGCGTACCTCGGCACAGAACGTATTGGGTTTACCGCGAATGGCCCGCATTGTCACGAGTCTGGGGAAGCGCCCCGTGCATGGGGGAACGAAAATCGACGCTAATGCCGTTCGAACCGCCGCCGCGGCAATTCCTCGCACCATCCGTTCGGGGTCCGATGCTGTCCCGGGCGGACATTGTATTCGCTTTCGGAAGCATCTTCAGCCCAATGTCTTTCGTTTGCACAAGCAGACATCGCGTCTCGCCATCGGGTGTTCTGAAAGCATTTCCTGGGTGTGCTGAAGAGGCTAGCCGCAGAAGACTTTTCACCAATGGACGGGGCATTTCTGCTGCAAGAGAACCGATCAGGAAGGCCATTGTACAAAGCTGTGTCGTAAAACCCTTGCGAAGTCCATGCCAAAAATCCGACTTTCAACGTCCCGGCTTGCCTCCGGCTCGTTTCAACCACAAGTCTGTTAAGATGAAGCAATGTGCTTATGTTGCCCTGGGAAGCAACCTAGGCGATCGTGTGGCCATGATCGAGCAAGCATGTAACGAGATGGACCAGACCGGAAAAATCAGGGTTCTACGGACGAGCAGTCTGTGGGAGACCAAGGCCATGTATGTTTTGGATCAGGACAAGTTCGTCAACGGCGTTTGCGAGGTGATTATCCGTTCTTCCAATGCTATGCACGTGTTAGGACGAGCGTTTGACATATGCAGGTTGAAACCTCGTTATCCCCCATCGAGCTTCTAGATGAGCTACAGGGGATAGAAAACAAGATGGGTAGAGTGAAAGTCGTCGACAAAGGACCGCGGAACATTGATTTGGACATTGTGCTCTATGGCAACGAAACCTTCATGAACGACAGGCTGCAGATACCCCACAAACTTATGCTGGAGCGCGACTTTGTTCTGCGGCCGTTATGCGAGTATGCATACCTCTTGCCTGGATCAGCTTGCGTTTCAACAATACTGACCGTGGTCTAGATTAATACCTCACCACGGCCTTCCCCCACACGTCGATCTCCCGGCGGGCTCGTTCCAATACCAGCTTTCCCACCTACCCAAGTCTCCCGATCCTCTCTCTCCTCTAACACCTTTGGCTCCAAATGTTGCACATATCGCTTCGCAGCATGCTCAACGCAAAACACGCGTCATGTCCATTCTCAATGTCACACCAGACTCCTTCTCGGATGGCGGCAAACATTTCAACATGTCCTCTTCGCAACTCGGTGACGCCATTCGCTCTCATATAGCCAATGGAGCCACGATCCTTGATCTGGGAGGGCAATCCACACGACCTGGCGCGCCCCAAGTTTCTTCTAACGAAGAGCTCCAGAGGGTACTACCAGCTATCGAGGCCATTAAAAACACCCCCGAGGCCAATCATGTGGCCATCAGTGTAGACACCTACCGTGCCGATGTCGCCGAAGCCGCCATCAAGGCAGGCGCACACATCGTGAACGATGTTTCTGCCGGATTACTAGATGATAATATGCTATCCACGGTTGCACGACTAGGCGTCACGATCTGCCTCATGCATATGCGCGGCACACCCGAGACAATGAACAGATTCACCACCTACCCCGACGGCGTCATCACAGGTGTAGCAGTCGATCTTCTCGAGCGTGTAAGGGCTGCGGAGGAGGCGGGCATACGGCGGTGGCGCATCATTTTGGATCCTGGTATCGGTTTTGCGAAAAATCAGGAGCAGAATTTAGAGTTGCTTAGAGGACTCGATAAGCTCAGGAGATGGCCAGGACTAGAAGGGTTCCCTTGGCTAATAGGAGCGAGTAGGAAGAAGTTCGTAGGGAGCATTACGGGGGTGAAAGAGGCGAAGGAAAGGATATGGGGAACCGCTTCTGCGGTTACGGCTGCGGTACAGGGCGGTGCTGATGTTGTGCGTGTGCATGACGTGAAGGAGATGACACAGGTGGTCAAGATGGCGGACGCAATTTGGCGGTATTGAAGTCTCACCGAAAAGATCGAATGATTGCTTATGAAGACAAACAATAATCTCGGGATCTTATCATTCACATCAGGGCCCTACCAGCTACGAGCTTGTCGTCTACCCGTTCGCTGTTCCGGTACCCTCGACGTTCCTCCTCATCCCCGATGTCTGTGCACCCAGACGTACGATGAGAGTTCTCCGGAAAGAGCGCAACAACACGATGAATCGACCCCAAGCACTATTTATATGCGCCCGATCCTGCGGCGCATTCACGTACAGCCAGATTAAACGCTCCATACGCGGTGTAGCAACCGAGGTATCTCATGATGCTTTTTCCTATCAGCAACATCATACACATCTCGTCTCCTGTCCACTTACCACATCCCCAGACTTCGTCCCTTTGTATCTCTCCGCTGGACGAGCAGGATCAGCAACTCCCAGCTGATTGGCACTTATAGCACAATTCCTGTCCAATACGCCGTAACCTGCTCCCTTCCATCTGGCCACGCCGTATCCAGCCTTTGCAGTGCGCCTATCCCCATCACTGTGCCCAACCAGTAAACCCACCATACTCCCCTATACCTTCCTTGGGTACGCACTATTAGTCGCGACACCAACATATACTACATCTATAGCAAACTATACCATAAACCCCCACCTCTCGAACCTCGCCATCCTAGTAGCCCCGGAAGTCGTCATCATGACCATCGTGTACTGCAGCGTGGATGCCATGGTAGTGCCCATGTAGAGCGGAGTGCCGGCGCAGAAGCTGTCGGCGTAGGTTCGCATCAGGTAGAAAAAGTAGCAGAGAGCGTACGGGAGGTCGCAGGTTATGGTGAGAAGTTTTGGATGAGGTTCGTGGTGTTGTGGTTTGGGCGTATTCGAACATTGTGTAAGGAGATCGGCTGTCGTGTCGACTCGGTTCTGTGGTGTCTCTCAAGTTGTGGAGGTGGTGTGAATTGTAGGGACTGTCGGTGGTCTTGCTACAGGACACGCAGACAATTGTTAGGCTACTTTGCCTTAACTTAAGTCTTTAAGGACGGAAATCATGTGCATGTATGCTTCAACACGACCAAACTGAAGGAGCATATCGAGGACGGCGCACCGGATTTACGAGAAACGGTGCGTACAAAGTATCCATACGTTTCCGGGTGGGTGTATGTTGATCCACCTGCACAATGTAAGCTGACCATGACACCTTGGTAACTTTTCTACAACTGACCGTTTCTGACAGAGACACTTGTCGTACCACTTTGCCCGCATTTGTAGTAGGCAAACATTAGCATAGCGGAGCACTGCCGGCGTCGCATGCCCCAGGTCTTATCACAGCACCGAGTCCAAATCGACAAACAAATCTTGCCTAAAGGTGGGGGTACGAAGTCAGTGTGATGTTCACAAATCAGGGAAGTGGGTGAAGTAGGTGTTCTAGCCAGCTACCAATGTCTGAAGATCTCGGACTTAGAGGTGTAAGGCCTAGAGTTTTAGACAATCGCCCAGCATGAACGCCTACTCTGTACCCCGACATTGCGTACCACCCAAGCGGCACATGCCTTAGGTTCAGCCCCGGAAAGTCCCACTCGAAGACAAATTCGCTTGGTGCATACTCCTGGAAATCATCTTCTGCGTCTCCTCTGCCGCCGATCTCTACTCCTTCCACTCCGCTGGCCTGCTCCAGCCTTGCCATATGCTCCTTCAAGGCACCTTCGCATTTCTCCACGCTCGTCTGGAGGATCTGGAAATATGCAATGTGTCCAACGGTGATCTTGTGTAGCTCTTCCAGGACCTGGTGTGCGTCCCGTAGAAGCAGAATGATGGAGGGTAGTGGATCGCGAAGAAGTAATGATAATTTGAGCACGAGGAGGACAGAGAAAGCACATTTTGCCCATACAAAGTCGATAGCCCACTTGAACGTCGATAGGTATGTGGGCGAGGGGGGTTGGCTGGGTGACAACGAGTTGGGCGATGACGGTGTTGTTGGGGTTTCGAGGAGGTGCTGGAGATGTCTTACTGCGGCCTCTTTTGCGGAGCGCACCATCTCGCGTTGGAAATCCGTCATGAGTAGGTCCCCGAAAATGGATAGTGCTTTCAGATATAGTGTGATGAGTGCCCATTCGTACTGAATATGGAGGTTGGTCATGGCGCGTGGGCGATCTGGGGCAGCGGTGTCGGAGCAGATGATGGTACTCCATTCCTCGAGCCATAGTGAGAGCTCAATGGCGGTATCTCGGACGGTGGAGCGTAAAGACGATTCATCTAGATCTTGAGAGTGGCGCGCAATGTTCACGTACGCATTGGAGCGCAGAATGTTGAGTTCTAGTTGCGAGAGGAGACGAATGTCGGGCGAAGTTCTTGAGGGGTGGTTGACCAAGGCCCGGATTCGCCGCGATGTGGTGCGGAGGACCGTTGCTGGCATCTTGCCTCCGTCTAGAGAGAAGAAGAGTTCCAAGTTGCACACACCGTGCCATACTCTTGCAAGTCTGTAAAGATAGTTTTCCTCTTCGCTTATTGGAGCCGACCGTGTTGAGAGCTTGACCATTAGCTGCTCAACAGTGTCTTCCAGCCGTAGTTGCATGGCAAATCTCAATGCTAAGGCGACTAATAGCATCCCATTCTCGGTGTAGCCAGCCATGACTGTGATTGCCTGGATCATCTCTAGGGATGGTGTTTGTGTGGTGACTAGAACATCAGTCAAGTGCTCTCGAAGCCGAGCTTGGAGGCGGTGATAAGTCGGTGAATTGCGCCCCCCTTCAGCTCGACAGCCAACGCTGATGATGCAGTCGAAAAGGAAAGGACTCCGTGATATAACAGAATCCAACGTATCAGTCGCTGTGCAGAATATGGGTATCAGATAGTTCTACCCGAGTCAGCGAGACCTTACTCCGAGCAGCCACCTCGTACACTACCGTTGAAGAAGCTGAGTTACGCTTAGCTGTTTTATTTGCAAACAGAACTTTGCTCCGAGCCTGCTCACCTTTGGAACCAAAACGTTGCCTGTGCCCATGTTACCAGGCCCGCTTCCATGGCATTGGTGTTCATACTGGGCTGTTTCCAATGCAGCTCGCTCGTAGAACCAGTGATGGAGCGACGATGGTGAGGAGACGCATGCAATCCACCTTCAAGAGCGGTAGGAATTGTGGTAGATGGCGACCGTTGAGGTAATGTTGCGATGCTATTGGTAGAGTGTTCCGACATGTGCACAATGTGCAATGCAGCCTTCAAGTCGTCCACCTCGGCCTCCAGCCTCTCGATACGCAGCTCATTTACATCCTTGACAGTATCAAAGTATCGGCACTCGGCGTCGTTTCTTGTGCAGCGCTGACAGGGTCTACCACCATCGCACCTCACCTATACAATTTCGAGTCAGCATGCGGTGGCAGACCAGGGCACCCCCACAGGACATGACTCGCGGCCCACCTTTGATTTGCGGCAGAGGATGCACGCATTGATGGCGCGCCGCTTGCGTGGGCGCTCTGAAGAAATTGGGGTCGACATGTCTGTCGGGATTTTCGTGCGAGGTGGGCCTGCCCCGGTCTTTATGTGCGGAGGGCAGAACGCGGGGAAGGACCTAGACCACGTGCCGTGCGACCGTCTTACGATTCCAAGGCTGCGATTTCGGGCCAAGAAGTCGTGCCGTGTCGCCTCAGCAACAATGGTGCGAGACTGGTCTTGGGCGTCTGCAGTAGCTGTTTCGTTGCATCTGTTGATCGATCGAGGTTGCCGTTGGGGAGGCAGCGCCATGCCATGACCTCCTACAGGGTTTCGTGCAAGATTTCAATCATCACCAGACAGCAACATTGAACTGTTCAACTACATTCGTGACTTCACATGTGGAGTGTGGCACTGGATCTAACGGATGCGAAGCAAAGACGATATGTATTGCTATGCGAATGAGCACTTGAGGTGATTGCATGTCATTAACTGCTTCCCCCGGATGCTCCTTCCTCAGTACAGATAGATAAAGTCCTCTGCAACAAGTCAGCAAGCCGGTGGCAATCACGACCGACGGGTGCTTACCGTTCTTGATATCAGTTATGTCATCGAATGCCTTATCACCGACACCTCCTTGGCTCGCGCTCACCGCTTCCTCACCCTCCAGCTGTTCGCTTGTCTCCATGCTCAGATCGATGACCTTTGCCGACTTTCCAAGACGCTCTCGCTCAGCGGCGTGCTTGCGATTCAGCATCGTGATCCACACCACAGCCAGCACGACAAAGACAATGATAGCGATGAATAGACCGAGGTTAGCGCGGAGACCTCGCCTGTAGTAAGGCTTTTCTGAAGGCTTGAACAGGTGTGGACCGATGATATTGCCAGCGCTGGCTCCGACGAACAGGATGCCTAGACGCGCAGGTACGAAGTCAGTCAAGTTAGAAAAGTGGGGATAGTACCAAGTGTTTATGTCCAAGACATATCGACTTCGTACCCGGGCAATACTGACTGGTCGTCACCTTGCGCTTGGTGTCGCCTCCGGTGTTTTGTCCAGACCACGAATAGATGAGCGGAGAGATGCCTGGGTAGAACGAAGTCATATAGTATCCGAAGAGCAGTACGCCACGGTGCTGTTTCTCACGGCCGACGACCATCAGCACAACGATACCGACAATAGGTGGGATGCAGAGCAGAATGAGGACGGGCGACTTCTTCTTCAGCCAGGTAGCGAGCCAAGCGCCGCCGATAGTGGCGATGATCTGGACAGCACCAAAGGGCATGTTGAAGAGGATGGTTGCGAACTTCCCGAAGCCGAACGACTGGATGATAAGAGGACCGAAGGTTGTGATGCCACCGCTGGGAATAGAGACAGCAGTAAGCATGAGGAACCACAGCCACGTCTTCGGGTCGATGAATGCTTCGAGGACATGGTCCCACTTCCAGACCCTGGACGCGACACCCATCTGGTTCATACGCAACCGCTCAACCGCGATCAGTTTGTCACTACCCTTGAGGAATTTGGCTTCCATGGGTGAATCTGGCGTGAAGATATATACGAAGACGGAAACGACGACGGTGAGCAGACCGCAGAAGAGGAAGATGATCTGGTACGAGTGCAGCAAGTCGGACTTGATATGACCCAGGCCATAGGATAGAAGGCTGCCCAATATGTTGACGATTCCAAGCATTGCGTACCAGGCGGCGTTGCGATTGGTTTGCTCGGAGCGCTTGTACCACATCTGTACAATTGCGATGAACGCCGGGGCTGTACAAGGTCAGTCTGCATTGTCTTCAGGAGACCGAAATAAACACTTACCAACCGCAGCCTCGAAAGCACCTAACAAGAACCGAGTCCCCATGAGCCCACCGAAATTCTTCGCACCAGCCATACCGCAGAGGATAGCTCCCCAGGTAAACACCATGACTCCGAGGAACTTTCCGATCGGCAGCTTGACCAGCAGCAGGGCCACCAGAGGCTGCATCACCATCTGGGCGATATACACGATCGAGCCAAGCCATGAGAACTGATCGGAGTCTGGATCGAGGTTCGCATCTTCGATGAGTCCAAAGACGGAGGCGTATGAGAGTGTCGTCTTGTCCAGACTCTGGAGGAAGTATACAGAGAGCAATATGGGAAGCAAGACAAGGTCAATTTTCCGCAGGACGCGTTTGTTCTCCTCGGGCGTTACAATGATGCGCTCATTCGAGGCCAACAGTTCGGCTGCTTTGTCCATGCCTTTGGTGATTGGGTCTGGCTTGTGGTATTCCTCATGTGTGTTGACATCCTCATTTTTGCCGATCTCCCCCAAAGTCGCGGGTGCAGGCGCGTCGTCCTTCGACATGATGAATGCTTTGCAACGAAAATTGGAGCTGCGTGCAACAGCGGTGGACCAGAAAACCGTTGGAACGGTAACGACTTATATGTATGGAAGACTACATGGGGAGCCTGTACGGAGACATCCCTGATTGGTGATGGTTTCGGCCGAAGGAGGCGACTCAGCCTTTATGCCCCATGGGACGAATCCGGGGACCCCAAGCGCAACGACGATCCGCTTGTGGAGGGCGCGGCCGAAGTTACCGATGCGCCTCGGAAGATGCACCACGACATAAATACCTAAGAATTGGCCGTTCGGGAATCACTGCGTCAGCTTATTCGAGAACTGAGTCATTGATTAGACATCAGATCCTCGGTGAGTGCTCTATTGAGTGAAGGATTGTTGTCTTCACTGACTCGTGCGCAGTTCACAATGGTGCAGCTCGAGGTCGTCCCCACAGGCTTCCAGCGCGTATCGAAAGAGGATGGTACTCCAAGCGTGTCTCTCCAATCCATGAAGAATGGAACAGCGTTCAACTTCACGTTTGAAGCACTTCGGCCAGGGCTGTTCCGAACGAGCTTCACTTCTAAAGACCACCGCCTTCCACCTCATCGCGCGGCACCGGTACCAAGTCGCAAACTAGACGATGAAAGAGTCACAACTTCGCATACAGATAATGTGAGCACTCTTCAAGTGGAGAATATTACAGCCAAGGTCGACTGGAGCAGTGGGCCTCCTTTAGTCTCAATCACACTCCCAAACCAGAAAGCCCCAATTTACACAGACCTGCCCAATCGCTCCTACGTAGCCGACGGACCAGGAATTGCTCATTATACACGCTACAACTCCAAAACGCTCCATCTAGGACTGGGCGAGAAGCCAGCGCCAATGGACCTCTCCAACCGACACTTCGTGCTCTCGGCAACAGACAGCTTTGGATACGATGTCCATCGCACCGATCCCATGTACAAACATATCCCGCTCCTGATAAACGCAACACCTAGTGGATGCGTAGCAATCTTCTCTACGTCACACGCGCGGGGTTACTACTCAGTCGGTTCCGAGATGGATGGCATGTGGGGACGCTTCAAGGTGTATCGCCAGGAATACGGTGGCTTGGAACAGTACATAATCACTGGGAAAACGTTGAAGGACATCGTAACCATCTACGCCGACCTCGTCGGCTACCCGCTTCTCGTCCCAAGATGGGCGTTTGGGTACCTCGCCGGAGGGATGAAGTACTCCATGTTGGACGAGCCACGCGCCTGTGATGCCCTCATGGACTTCGCCAGCAAACTAAAGAAGCACGATATCCCCTGTTCAGGATTCCAGATGTCCTCAGGTTACACGGTTGCGGAAACGGAGCCAAAGACGCGCAACGTCTTCACTTGGAACTACCACCGGTTTCCGGATCCCAAGGGCTTCGTTGACGCATATCACAAAGCAGGCATTCGGCTGATCGCCAACATCAAGCCTTACGTGCTGGAGAACCACCCAGAATACGAGAAATTGAAGAAGGAAGGCGCGCTTTTCACAGACTCGTTGACTATGGCATCGGCCGAGGCACGTCTCTGGAGCGCAGGCGGCGGCGAATCTGGCGTCGGCGGCCATATTGACTTTACTTCTGAGGCGGGATACCGCTGGTGGTATGAAGGCGTTCGAGAGCTCCGAAAACTTGGTATCGATTGCATGTGGAATGATAACAATGAGTACATTATTCCGCACGACAAGTGGCAATGTGCGCTTACTGAACCGAACTTGAAGCAACAAGATGGCCAGGACTATGGGAAGGATGTTGGCTTTTGGGGACGCGCGCTGAATACAGAATTGATGGGGAAGAGCTCACATGATGCGTGTGTGGAGGTGTATCCTAACGAGAGACCGTTCGTTTTGACAAGGAGCGCGACAGCAGGGACCCTGAGGTATTGTGCTAGTTCGTGGAGTGGCGACAATACGACGAGCTGGGACGGGATGAGAGGTGCAAATGCGCTGTCGCTCACTGCAGGAATATGCTTGATGCAGGTCAGCGGCACGCTGCGTTTCTTCCCCGTAAAACCTACTGACCGTGCTCTTAGTGCTACGGCCACGACATCGGCGGCTTCGAGGGTCCGCAACCTAGCCCTGAACTCCTCGTCCGGTGGTGCCAACAAGGCATTTACTCGTCGCGTTTCGCCATCAACTGTTTCAAGACATCGCCAGAGAATAACTCGGTCGGAGATGTCATCGAGCCCTGGATGTACGAGGAGACGACATCACTCGTCCGTGACATCATAAAGCGAAGATACGAACTCATCCCCTACCTGTACTCCCTCGCGCTCGAATCTCACACCACTGCCGCACCACCCCAGCGCTGGACCGGCTGGGGCTTCGAGCAAGACCCAGAAGTCTGGCAGAGCAAGCTCCTCACGGATGGCGAGACGCAATACTGGCTCGGTGACGCGCTGCTTGTGGGCGGCGTGTTTGAGCCGAAGCAGGATGTTGGAAAGGTGTATCTTCCCAAAGACCCTGCGAGCCCGGATTTGCAGTTCCTCGACGTCAATGCCAGCCAGAAATTCTACGATGCAGGGCAGTGGATCGAAGTGCCGGCGAAATGGCAGGATGAAGGCATACCGGTGCTTGCAAGAGTGGGTAGTGCAATCCCAGTTGGTAAGCCAGTACAGGTCCGTTCTCCTGGAGACAAGGAAAACTTTGCGAAGTTGCCTGAAGATGACTACCGGGCTGTGGAAATTTTCCCGCCGAAGGGATCATCGCATGGTAAGGAGTTTGCGAATAGGTGGTTCGAAGACGATGGCGTGTCACCACCGCCTGTGAGGATTTCAATCTTCGCGGTCAAGTATACCAGTGAGGAGGACACAGTGTATGTGACGTTTAGCGAGCAGCTGCAAGAAGGGTATGATCCGGCGTGGAAGGAGTTGGAGATCATTCTTCCGAGCGGCGATGCGAGAGCGGTGGCATTCAACGGGAAGGGGGCGGAGAGCATGGCGACGGATGAGAAGGGTCGGAAGCACTTCCGGTGCGAGAGTGTGAGGAGGGCTTGATGGGGTGAGCATGAGAAAGTGAGTGATGTGCACGTCACTGGCTATCATCAGGTAGTTAGACGAAGGCTTTGCAGCGTAGTCGGTGAAAGAAACAGTCGTAGTTTGTTATAATAGATGATGATGCACACACGGAAAAAAAGTGTCAGCAGGTCAAAGCGTGTGTAGATGGTGTATGTTGACGCAAGTAAGCGGATGGTTGCGCGACAGGACCCTCGGTGACAGCGGGACGTTGCGAGAAGTAAAAGAGCGTCAACGGGAATCATCTCGTGCAGATATGGCAGTTGTCGTTGGAGGGTTCGTGTCACTTCGAATCCAATTGGTCAACATTGCGTCGGTCAACCGAGGAGAAGCGCACGTTGGGTGGAATGATGCAAGGACAAGGCTGAGTGAGGGGCTCGCATGCAGCCACCATGCAAGTACCGAACGTGGTGATGGAGACGCGGTCGATGACGGTCTGGGAAGGAGCGAGATGGGTTGCTTTTGCCGTCTTCTGGAGGGGCCCGCCCATGCAGTACAACGGAACTGGCGTCTACGGGGACGCGGAGGGCTGATTGGATGACACGACGATGTTGAGGGAGTGCTGAAGCCAGACAATGCCCATTTGCTGGAGCGCCAAAGGCAGTGCATGAACGATAGCTACGTGTCAGCGACGCATGACGCAGATGTTCTGGATGCGAACCTGAGGGGCCAGTGGTGTGCTGCCGTGGCTGGGTGGTGCTTGTGTTGGTGTGGGAATCAGGGAGGCGCTCCTTCACTCTCCACAGGGTGGATGAAGAGGCTGGGGAAGGCCACGAAGCGGTGATCGCAACGCAGCGCCCAAGTTGGTGATGGCTGGAACCATTCGCAACGCAGCGCCCAAGTTGGTGATGGCTGGAACCATTCGCAACGCAGCGCCCAAGTTGGTGATGGCTGGAACCATTCGCAACGCAGCGCTCCAAGTCGGTGATGGGATCAAACCCTCGACCCAAAGCAGAAGGGGTTGCAGGACCAGGAGACGATGGAGCTGACCCCGAGGCCAAGACCGACCGACTGCTCACCGCAAGTGGCAGCCATGCGCTGGCGGCCTCTGCGCCTCTGCCACGGTGACTCGGCGCAAGCTGCCCCTACTCGCAAAGCGCTCTGTGCAACGCTCTGCGCCGTCAGCCTCCTTTCGACGGTTGGGCTCCCGGCGCACAAGTCGCTTCGTCGCTTGGGCACTCTGGCACTCTGCCTGCCTCGGACGCCCAATCACAGCCATTCTCCGACCTCTGCACGCACGACTTCGTTCACGCTGCACTGTCGAGTCCGCCGCCGTGCTCCCACTCCAGCCCTCCCCGAGCCTCACTCCGCGCCCTCCCTACCGGCTGGTGGGTTTTGCAAGTGCACGCCAGGCGCCAGCCCCCGTGTGCTTGGTCTCGGTTGACGCCCAAGCAATATCGTTGGGTAGACAAGCCTGCCTGTTTACCGACTCATCCAAGCCCCGGCCGCACCGCGCATCGACCGTGCCCACAAATCCGCGCCCGAAGAGCGGTGCAGGAGCAGCAGGAACCGCCCATGTTGGTAGCCGCTCCGCTGTGAACGACATCTCATGGATGCAAGAAGCCAGAGCCACCGTTGCACACGTCGAGTCCACGGCATGCGTCCCGCGCCCCGATAGCGCCGTCTTTCAAATCCAGGAACAGCCCCCTCCGACACGCGCCCGCGCCGTCGACGATTGCTTTTCCCGCCCCAATTCCTCGCACGCCGAACGCGAGGGCTGGGGGGCAGCGAGCGGCGAGGACAAAGCCCCCAGACTAGTACATTCCGCGCCTGTGTGACCGCCCGTTGCCAACATGCCCAACTTCCTCGCCGCCGACAATGGCGAGTCAAGCAGGAGCCGGAGCAGGCAGAGGGCGAGGACCGAGGTCGGTGAGCACAGGAGCGTGTGGGATCGATTGAGCTTTCAGAAGATAGGCAGCTGGCTGAAGAGGGACGAGGACCCGCCATCGCCGACCAAGGACGCTGCCCAGACGGTACATGACGAGGACAACGCGAGGCCACACTCCAGCGGAGAGCATGCGGCCACGTTAAGACACGGCGGGCTGCTGAACCGACGGTCGAGCAGGAAGGTCGTTCCCGGTCTGCCGAGGCCGCTCACCTTCAAGAGAATGAATAGCGAGAAGAGGGAGAAGCTGCTCGAAGTTCCCGTCTCCCCCGAGCAAAGACGAGCAGCTTCCGCCGACCGACGAGCATCGAGCGGCCTGCAACGACAACTCTCGCCGCCTCCCGTGGCCGCTCCCTCCATGTCCGCTCCCGATGTCCTCAGTCCGCCCAATAGCGAAGTCGAACACAGGCCCCACTCCACGATAGGCGGCGAACCAGACTCGAACATTCCGGCCGGGTCACGACAGGTCGATTACGGTTTGGAGGAGAGCATAGATTACTTGGCTACGGAAGAGCCCCCTCCTTTGTCCATCGCTGGCGATTCGTACATGGAAAGAGAATCGCTGCGCTCGACATCAGACGTGGATGACCTGCAGCTGCAGGAGGAGCTGGAAGCGAAATGGATACTCAACCTGAGTATGCACTTCCGCGACATGTCAGATCGAGAGAAATTCTTCATCACATTCGCTGAGGAGCCGAACAAGTGGAGAAGGGTCACTGTTTCGATTGACTACCGCGAGCTTGGGCCCGAATCGCTCGAGGCCGACCTCAAAAGTCTGCACTATCAACGAGATAAGAGCGCAAGGATCTACGAATCTATCCGCGACTCGCTGCCAGACATACAATTCTATGAGACGGTTACTAATCTTAAGCTCCAGACTGCAGACGGACGCCTTCACGTTCATGTCACCGAGGACGTCAATGAAATCATACCGTATCCCTCTCTATCTGCTTTAGACCATCTCGATTGCAAGCGATTCCGAGAACGCGCCATTTGCTTTGACTCGCACATTTCTGGCTTTGTGTACAAAGTCTCCGTGGGCAACAAAATGTACATCAAAAAGGAAATACCTGGCCCAGATGCTGTAGAAGAATTCCTTTACGAGATCAACGCCTTGTGCAGCCTATCCGAATCCAAATCGGTCATCAAGTTCGAAGGCATCATTGTGGACGAAAAGAGTGAGCTCATCAAGGGATTGCTTATCAGCTATGCGGAACAAGGTGCGCTTGTCGACCTGATCTATGACTTCAAAAATTCGGAGCAAATGAGCTGGGAGCGGCGCGAGAAATGGGCCAAGCAGATCGTGCAAGGCCTGTCCGAGATTCACGAAGCTAGCTTTGTGCAAGGTGACTTTACCCTCTCCAACATCGTCATCGATCATGATGACAACGCCAAAATTATTGATATAAATCGACGTGGCTGCCCCGTTGGTTGGGAACCTCCAGAGCTCGCTCGTCTGATTGAAAGCGGCCAACGCATCTCAATCTATATTGGCGTCAAATCCGATCTGTTCCAACTTGGGATGGTACTGTGGGCTCTCGCAGCACAAGAAGACGAGCCTGAACGACAAGAGAGGCCATTAGCCAGGTCGCTGAACAGACACAGCACTGTGCCGGAGTACTTCAAGAGCATGGTCGAAGCTTGCTTGAGCGACAGGCCTCGGGACCGACCCGCCGCAAGAGATATCCTTCAGAGATTTCCCGACAGAAATCCGGAACACAGACCGCCTGTTCCCAATAGCTCGCGACCAAGTGTTTCCCCGCATAGAGGTGACAAAGTGTATATTGATCCCCGGACAGCCGTTGGCCTAGACGACATCCCTCCACGAACACGCCACTCGCATTCTCGCTCTTCTTACTCACACGTCAACATGCCGTCTACGGAATACATTGGATCATCCGGATCTTACATTTTGCCAAGCTCCACCGCAGCTCGCGGTCGATCTCCGAATGGGCCACGAAGTGACAGCCAAAATCGGCGTTTCGAATATTCGCCTTACCCTGCACCACGCTCAGTCATGTCACTCGATGATTCCGAGCTCGAGAATGAACTCGCCAGTCTGCCCGCTAGCCGAGAAACAAGATGGGAGCAGGTCTACGTGGACGGCGACACCAAACTGGTACAGAGGGGCTGCGCAGAGATTGATGTGCAAGACTTCGCCATCCAAGAGCCTAAAGATGTCTGCATTACCACACCGCCAGGCGAGCTTGACAACTCATTGATCGCCAGCAAGCATTCTGATGAAACTTCGCTCTCCTTGACCACCGTTGCCGCGCTGCCAACGTACGACTCTCAGCATTCGGCGCAAGCTACGGAGGCAAGGGATGGAAGTCATAGAAGAAGTATCGAGAACAAGGCCTCCTTTAGCGATCGCATCCATCAACTTGCTGATCTCCCCGCATCTGATGAGCGTGCCGCGCAGATACCTAACCCCACTGCTCTGACTGAGCTCGAGAACGAATTAGGTTATTATTCGTCTGTTCCCTCTTCTGCAGCTCCTTCCCGCGTCGGAACAGGCTTTTCTGAGATCTTTTCACGACCTACACACAAAGATTCTGGCTTCAGTGAGCCCTTACTAGAGCGTCCTAGCTTTGATAACGAGCGCGTGCGACAGAGCCTCGAAGCTACCATGGCCAATATCAAGGTTCCACACCCAGAAGCACAGCGCGTCAACGAGCAGTTGTGGGACGAGAAAGGAGGTGTCGCAATTGGGAATGGTGTTAGAGGCGAGCAGCTGGTCCTCAGAGCAGAAGCCCTACCCCCAGCCCAGACAGCTTCAACCCTCAAGACTTTTGAACACGAAGCCAAACACAAGCCACTAGAGGAAAAGCTATCTGATACCACAATACGACCGCCTGGCATCCTGATACCGGATTTTCATCACGCTGTCCCGAGAGCGGCAGATGCGAGCCCACCCATATTTACACCTGCCTCATCACACCGCGCAGCACCAACAGGACCACTAGCCTCATCATACACGTCCACCTCATCAACTTCGAGATCCATGTGTTCTTTCGATGCAACCCCAAAAGTTTGAACACAACTTAGCACCCGCGACATTCCGTGCCCTCACACATCATTCACACACATACACGTCAAACTCTCTCCTTGTTCCTTTTCATTAGTGGTGCTCACATTTTCTATCCATGTCATTGTCTTTCGGTCCGGTTGGCATGAGGTTCGATTGTAAGATTTCGCAAAAGACGCATTCTTAGCTTTGTATGGCTCGCGGCTCACGCCTCGCCCTATTTGGTATCTGGGGATGGACGGCACTGGTTTCTCTCTTTTACTTTGTAAGCGTTTCGGCATTGGCGTGCGACACAATCATGATAGCGACGGATTTGGGTTATTTAGGATACCAAGCAATCTCTTGTTGAGCGTGCCCTTGTGCTTCAAAACATACTTTTTCTGAGGACGTCTCATGTCAACGAGTTCGAGACTCGGCAAGCCGCTGCTAATCGGGTCCGCCGTTGCTGCTTCACGCTCGCTTCGGAGTGCATTGTCAGTGTTCGTCGTTTGGGCGTCATCGCTGTCTCAATGATGTGTTCTTCCCTAGGTCGTCTGCGTTACTGAGCTCAGCGGCGTTTGCTGTCCTGACGTTATAGGCGTCACCGTCCCCGACTGTACCCCTGACCGCAAGCCCTCGCTCCGCTCAGTAATGGTGCTCATGACAGATACGCCGCGCCGATGCCACTTGCCGCCTTTGCGGTGCCTTCCTTGCGGCCTGTGCACTTGTCAGTCTCCTCTCTCCTCTCAGTCACGCAGATCGGCCTTCTTACTTGTCACATCGACAAACGCATAGGATTGCCATGATGAGGATTATGATGAGGATCGCGAGCGTGGTTTGGAGGAGGCTGGTGGGATCTGGCTTTGGAAGTGGGGGTATCATTTGGGCGGGATGGTGAGATGCGTGAGCTGGTGAAGCGGTCGGTTTGGCGAGTGAGTGAGGCGGCATAGGGAAGGTGATGGGAAACGTGGTTGGGTCGAGGGGGAAGGTGAACAAGGAGAGTCTACAGGCGCACTTCAGTGGATTTTGAAACCTAAACATATGTGCGGCAGGAAGTCCGTGAGCAGGGCCATTGCGTAACCACGAGGGGTTGCGCGTGCGACTTGATACACGTCTTTTTACATCTCCTCTAGGGCAAGGGTATCTACTGTTTTGGCAAGTACATCTTATCCCAGCATCTCCTGAACAATGGATTGTCCAGCAGAAAGCACCAGCTTTATCGGTAGTGCAACAGGCCATTCATCGCCGACATGGACAAAGAACTGTCGTGTTCGCCGCAAGCGACCACAAAGAAGAATCACGCCACCTTCATTAGGAAGACGATAGGTATTAGGTCATGCGGACTTATCCCGAAGCTAAAACCGTATAAACGTGCCGATGCCCAGATGATCTTGGGTTTGGACTCTTGTGCGCTGGAACTCGGTGAAGGTGGCACGTTAGTCCGCGTCTATCGCGCCTTCTCAGGTCATCATCATCACCCAGAGTTGGCACTTGCCTGCGGTAGTAGTGTCCTTTGCACGTAGCCCAACAATTTCTCTCTGCTTTTTGCACCCAACTCTCCAGCTCCAGAGCCACTCCTTACTCCAATTTCACAACCACCGGTCTGCAAAAAGCACAACCGTCCAGGCGCCGCTTGATCTGCACACACTCGCACGAATCACTCGTGGTCAAATCTATAACTTCGGGGATATATCAACCCCAACTCAAATTCACTCTCTTCCTAATAGCTCAACGACACTCAAGTAGGCTCGCTAGCTGCACCAGCTTTTCCCATACTGACAGCTTTTAGCGGCAACATGAAGCTCAGGATTTTGTCTCTCTTCTTTCTCAATCTCGGATTCTCTGCCGCTCTCCCCAACTTCGATATCACCACCAGCCTCGTCCCCCGCCAGAACGACGGCGCAAAAGGTTGCGGCATCGTGACCAACTCCGACGTCACCATGTCCTATACGCTCGTAGGCGACGCCTACTGCCGGAACTTACACGCTAACGGCGCCGACATCAAGACATACACCGTGGCCGAGGGTTGCATTTGTCTTTTCTATGCCAACGATCACTGCAGCAAGCGGCCGACCGAAGAGTGGACCGGTTGGGTATTTGGTCCAGCGCATGGAGACTTTACGAAGAAAGGAACGACCCATTATCTGTGTGGGGAGGGGACAAATCCGTTCAAACCGCCGAAGAAGTTGTAGGTGTTTTCTCTGCTAGGGTCGCTTGTGGGTATCGCTTTCGGCTGTACGTGTTTATATATCTTGTGGCTACTATGGTAGTATTGTACGCGCGGTTGGAAAGCATGTGCATACACGGGACATGATTAGCTAGACGGTGGCACATGGATAGCTACGCAAGGTCATGGACACTGGAATACTGACACGTCAGCTCATCCTACTCTAAGGTGTGATCATCACGGTGGAAGGGTACTATTGGCCCTTAGTTCGCATACTCGAACGTGAGGAGCTGATACAATAGAATACAACATAGTATGCCTCAGTTCCAAAACTCCGACCAGCACCCACAAAGCCCATACCCCTCAAGGGCGCAACGCAAGCTGACCTACATGTGACACTCCTTCGTGAAAATCTGGAGCAAGTCTTCAAAGTCGCAAACGTTCATCGACTCGAAGACATTCTTCTTGTAGATGCCCTCCTGCGTCATCCGCGGACTTCGGATCCCAAAAGCAATCTTCGCAAGATATCTCGGATCGTCCCGGGCAGGAATTTGCTCAAGGATTCGCTTCACGAGAGCTGGATCCGGTGGCTGAGCCGGCTCGTCAGGTAGTTTGACCTGTTGATGGGTCTCGCACCAAGTGCAGTGACCACATTCTTCGGGCATGTTGTTGGAAGTTTCGCCAAAGTAGGCTGCGAGTGCGCGGGAGAAGCACTTCTTGTCGGTGACTAGGTTGATCAACGCTTTCGTGCGATTCAGGTTCTGCTTTTCTTGCGCTCCCATTGTCTTGTCAAGTTCATCCACGATAGAGCAGATCTCTTGTTCGGTGGAAGGAAGCGCCTTTTCTATCCGGAACATGTTCTGTACGCCTGTGGCTTGTAGAGTGATCGCACCGCGATTCTGCCAATCATTGAGCTTGCGAACGAGGTCCTCTCGTGCAAGGCCCGAGGACCGCTCAATCGCTTCGATTGGGACATACGACCAAGTTGCTTTCTTGCTGGAGCCTTTGATAATAGCGCGCGCAGCAGGGTCCGTGTCTCTCGAGATCAGACCGGCATCGTTGGGTTTGAATTTGTACTCCGTATACTTGGATCCGGCCGCTCTGATCAGACCATAGCGCAACTCTAGCTGTGCATATAGAATGCTCAACATCGTCGGTCCAATGTCGACTTCTTTGGCCTGGTGGTACATTGAGATAGCGAAAGTATCCCCAACTTTCAGCCTCCTGCTGTTGACTACGCAGATGTCGTTAAGCAACAATTTCAGCGATCTTAAAGATGGCCGATCACCGTATGTGAAAATGTTCCGAAGATAGAAATCTTTCGTGGACAAGTTGAACAAACACACGCTCGGAAGTCCATCCCGGCCCCCGCGACCAATCTGTTGGCTGTATGACTCGATGCTGTCTGGAATATCGAAGTGGATAACATTCCGAATGTTCGGTTTGTCAATACCCATGCCAAACGCAATGGTCGCTACCACTATCATTTTGCCGCTTGCGAAGAACTCGTCTTGGGTCTGCATCTTTACTTCGGTCTTCATGCCAGCGTGAAAAGCCTTGGCTAGGAATCCATGCTGTTTCAGATCTTCGGCCAAGTCTTCCGCACCTTTCTGGAGGGTGATGTATACAATCGTTGGGCCTGGGTTCTGGCGAAGAAAATTCACCAGTTTAGTGGCATTGTCGGTCTGCTTTGGGTTTGACTTGACCAAGAGCCTCAAGTTCGGTCTATAAACAGTCGTCCTAAATAAACCTTCTTTCGGAATGTTGAAAGCATCGCATATATCTTGGGCAACCTTGGGCGTTGCCGTAGCTGTAAGGCACGCGACCCTCTCAACATCGGCCTCCTTTGCGAAGCGGGCGATCTTGAGATAGTCTGGACGGAATGAGTGTCCCCACTCAGAAATACAATGTGCCTAAAGCGTGTCCGTTAGCGAACGCTATGATGAATACAGCGCCTCTTCAAGTTTTGGGTAGCCTGTGTTACCCCAGGATGAGCGATGCAGTTCCCAGTCATCGGCCTAGTACTGTTGGACGTACACGTACCTCATCAACAGCGAGCAGACGAATACCACCTGGAACAGCCTTCAGCGAGGCGACGAATCCCTCGTTGTTCAGTCGTTCTGGAGCACAGTAGAGCAAATCGAGGCTACCGTTTCTGAGATCTTCTTGTGTTGCCAGGAACTGCTCCCCCGTGATGGAGGAGTTGAGAACTGCCGCATTGATTTTCCGCAGAAGAAGCGCATCGACCTGATCCTTCATCAACGCGATGAGTGGTGAGACAACGAGTGTGACGCCGCTCATCTCATGACTTCGTGAACCAATAGCCGCATCCTTATATCTGAATGCAACTGCCGGAACCTATGTCCGTTAGTGGAAGTCTGGATCAAACTTAGAGACACGTACCTGATAGCAAAGACTCTTGCCTCCGCCTGTCGGGAACACTATAGCCGCACTCCCACCATCCAAGAGTCGTGTTGTTGCGGCTTCCTGTTTAAGACGGAATCCACCTAAGCCGAAGCGCTCTTTGAGAACTCTATTCACAAGTACAGTTGAGGGTGACTCGTCGAGTTTTGAATGTTTATTGGGCGCAATCGTGCCGTCATCATTGTGCGCTCTCTTCTGGCCGTTCTCAACGGCTTCTGTAGCTGCAATGAATTCGTCTTCGTCTTCCAACGACGCAAGAAATTCGTCCTCATCTTCAGCCGACATGCTCGGAGGTTGTGACTCTTCTTTGTTGAGATGCGCCAACACATCGCGGAAAAGCGGGCCTAAATCTGGATTATGATCGATAGCCGCATGGACGCGGGTGCGCAATCCGTGGTTTCTGGCGAAGGCAATATCTATCTCCTTGGGACGGGCGGGCGCCATGGTGACTCTCGCGAACTCAAACAGGGGGTACGCTAGAATCGTGATTCATAGCTCCCGGAGGAAAGTGATCGATCGCTGTCGTGAAAGTACGAGGTGCAGCGTTAGTAGCGCTCCAGGGCTGGAAAGGGAAGTCGTGACGCGAGTGTACTAACCCGAAGGAGAAATTGCTGGAACGCGAGCTCACGTGTTCATGGAGAGCCCGGGCCCGGGCAACAATTGAACAGTATCGCAACACAACTCCCTCTGCTCGATTTATCAAGCTTGAGGTGTCCATTGTGGACTCGAGTCACTTCATAGACAATCATTCAGCCCCATGGCGATACATAACAGTTGCAAGGAATAGCCGATGTACGGTCACATACGCGCTGAATGTTCTTGTACAATCGAAGCCTCTGATGTTACGACACTTGCCTATTCCAATAGACATCCACACCCTATCTTCGGCGTGCGCTTGATATATATCAATACCTTGCACGCAGATTTGTATCATGCAGCAGCCGACTGGCCAGAATCACAATGCCGCCGACCAAGAGCGTTGTACCCTGCAATGTCGGTCAGAAAAAGCGCTCTTTCCAAAGAAAAAGAAGGCAAATTGTATCGACTCACCGAGAACACAATCAGTCCCAGATAACCCTGTGCCTGATCGCCCTCGCCCAATCCAATCCCACTTCGAATTAGCGCTCCTCCGATAGGACTTCCCACTAATTGCGCCACCGCAGAAGCCATGTAGAAAGCACCGATTCTGCCTCCGAGATTTTCCGACGGCGTTATCTGCGCAACGATAACAGGTAGCACTGCGATGAAGACGCCGCTGCAAAAACCGTATAACAAGACGAAGGTTACAAGCAGAGGTATAGACGATGTTACGGCCCAAGTGCCGAGACAGAGAAGTCCGGAGAGAATGGTCATAGGGTAGACGGTGTTGGCGGCACCGGTGGAGTCGGCTGCGAGGCCGCCTCTGTAGCGTAGATGATGAGTATAGCAGGGGGAAGTAGGGGAAGAGGAATATACGCACAGGATGCGGCCAATGATGCTAGCGGCATTCATGAGAGGTAGGAGATAGTCTTTTGCGCAAGAGGTTGGATTCGTGGCTTGCATATATGTACCTGATCGTGTGAGATATCTGTGTGCGGTACATCTCAGAAGAACAAATTTGTACTTATGTAGTAGTAGGGTATGAACTGTCCCAGCATGGCGATGAATGCTCCGATAGCTAGGACTGAATATCGGCTGTCGCGGAAGCCCTGAAGATCGAATAGTCTGTTCAAGGACATGGAAGGCTGCCTGAGCATGTTCGTGCATGATAACCATATCGCGATCAGGTAGCAAAGTCTAACCAGGCATATCTTTATCAGTTTGAAATGTCGCAATGGCAGCGTCTTGTACGTACGCGATGATCCCGGATACGACTCTCAATGACCATGCATACCCGATTCGCCTGTCGTTCGCCATTCTGGCAAGGAGAGCGGGGAAACAAACACCACCGACACTGCCCGCGGCAGCCACCATGCCCATGACTAGAGCACGTCGGCGAATGAAGTGTTGTCCGACAACAACGAGGGCGGGCTGCGAGCCGAATGCGTTTGCGAGGCCGAGGAGAACGCCTTGGACGAGGAAGATTTGCCATAGTGAGCCAGATTGAATGAACGACAGACCGACAAATGCGCCCGAGCAGCTAATGCCTGAGAATATGTACAGTGACTGCGATATAGTTAGCGTGAGGTTCGAGTACTCCAATCGTGAAAGCATTCCAAAGCTGCTGCTGCCTCAGGTTTTACGTTAAGATTCAAGTGTGTCCAACCTATGGTCAATCCAATTCAGAAACACATACCCTTAGCCCATAGCAATCAAAGAGAGCGCCGGCGGGTGCGGCGAGAACATTCATAAGCGTAATCTGCAGCGTCCCAACGAAAGAGATAGTCGACGCCGGAACCCCTTGGAGAAAACGATGCTCGTAGTAATTCTGGAAGAAGCCGAACGAATTGGCAGAGCCCAAAGTCGCAAAATAGATCAGGGACGAGCCGGCGACGGTAAGCCACGCGCGTCGCCCGCCCTCACGTCGTTCCTCCTTTTTTTCATCTGACCTGAAGTTCAACTCCAAGCTCTCCCATCCCAGCTCTTGATTCTCCGAGTATCTTTTGCCCTTGATGAACGAATCTGAACTCGTATCCGAAGCAGACATGCTGCCGGTGAACCTGGGATGCCGGATCAAAATTGAGGAGGACAAAGCACGCAGTGTTCCACAACAGGTCGAAAAGTCAGAGCACGACCATGCTGATGTTGTATATCCTCCGCCAAGAAAGAGCAAGGAATGTGCATGACGTTCCACGGATACATACCGTGGTCCAGGTGCAAACACCGTGAGCATGCAACCGATCGATTATAGTTGGATAATGTATTCGTTCGGATCCTTTCTGGAGTGTCTTCAAGCGTTTCCCTGATTACGCTGTCGCACATATGGTGTGTACGTCCATGTGCAACCGTACATTCCGCGGCAACGATGGTGTTGGGGTGCGACCAAGCGCCTCAGCAAGCTAATGATGGCAAAGCTGGACACACTTGTAGTTAACGTAACGAAATATAAATTTTCGGTTCCACAATTTCCCCAAAAGTTTCGCTTTAGGGGCGCGCTCTCCACGGTTCACTACACACGGAAGGCTGCAGCAGTCAACAGTATCACAAGACAGAAAACATCGAGGTACTTCAGAACACGATGTTCGGTGCTTGTTACATAAGCTACGTCACCCACTAATAGAGGACCAGTCTATAGCAAGGTCACGTATATATTGCTAGTGCGTATCTGACATGAGCATAGCGAATGTCGAGGTGCTCCAAGCGGTCATGAGGTACCGCCCTGCGATTGTAAGTAAGGTATATGTCCAATTCCGTCTTGACTTTGCTTTGTACAAATGCATCTTCAATTTGTTCATTATATGGCCCTCGCTCGCCTATATGTTGAAGGTGATCTCATAGCCTTTTCTGTTCTTCATGGAGAAACTCGCATCAGGCTTCCACTCTGGTGTCCGGTCCTCCAAGCTCTCAAACCTCCTTACCAGCCTAGCAAGTAGGTATGCTGCCTCAACCAACGCCTTTTCCTTTCCCAGACAAGCCCTGGGTCCAGCCCCAAAAGGCACGAACTCCTGATTACCAGGCTTGAAGTTATTCCATCTCCCTGGCCTCCACTCGTTCGCATCAGATCCATAGATCTCTTTTGAAACATGCAAGCCCCACGTATTTGATATTGCGAAGGTCCCAGCGGGTACGGGGAGCGGTTTATCATGGTCAGGGCCGCCGCCAGAGGGAAGGAACGTGTCGCGGATCGCGGCGCGGCCGATTTGCGGGAACACAGGTCGTAGGCGCAGTGTTTCCGAGAGTATGTTTTGAATTGTGGTGTTTGAGCGGAGACCGTCCCACGTAAGGAATTCAGGGTTTGCGGAGGAAACCTCTTTGCGAAGCTGAGCCCATACTTCTGGATGGGTACTCAAGAGGTGAATAGTGTTACATATCAGCACGCCAGTCGTGTCTTGCGACGCTAGCATTGTCTGTGCGAGTTGGCTACGGGCATCGGCTCGATCTTTAGCTTGGGGTGCTACAATTTCGGCCATGGTCTTCGTCTTCTTTGTCGGGTCTGAGTTTTCTGTCTTGCATTTATAAATTGCAAAGTCGATGAAGCTGTGAAGCTGATTACACACATGCCGGTACCGTGCTTGGGGAAGAAACAATTTAGAAAAGGTCTCTCCTAGCAAGAGTCGAATGCCCATTCCGAGAAGGCCCTCTTGCCAGAGTTTATTGAACATTTGCACATCCATAGGTCTGCCATCGTTCTTCTCAGTCGAATCGATTCCAAGGATGAAATGCATAGACGAGTGCATGAGCTGGATCTAGATTAGCTACCATCATTTCTCCTATCCTCCAGCTTGCTAGCACTTACAGCGTCATACATCAAAGAACTCATTTCAACCTTCCCGTTCGCAGCTTCGATCGTTGCGATGATATTGTCCGCGACTCCTTCCAACACGTCGAAGTTGTCAATGTTCGGCCTGTTGAACGCTGGTCTCAACATCTTCCTGCTTCTCATCCATTCGTCCCCGTCGTTGCAGATGAATCCACTCCCGAGCATCTGCCCCATACCTGCCTGGCGGAACTCAATGCCCCAGTCTTTTCCTGCCATGATCGTACGCACGTTGCTGGGATTGCATGTTACGATGGCGGACATAGGATTCATCACTCTGGGCAGCCGATAAGTATCGCCATATTTCTCGAAGAGGTCAAGCTGTTTCTTCGCGTTGAGAGCTGTCGAGAAAATCCAGTCGAAGTTCATGAACGGGTCGAAGGTCCAATACTTTGGGGGCAGGTTCCTCGCGCGCATGCGCCTCCGGATGAAGAGATAGATCGCATGGCAGGCGAGCAGCGTGCCGACGATAAGCAAAAGTGACTGCATGGCCAATCGTTGGGCTAGGAGGAGGACGAAGGGGACGGGGTGCTGCACAACATCTCTCGTCAACACTCCAGGGCTTGCCTTCTGTCACGGGGGCGTAAGCAAACGGTGCTCATTCGGGAGAGCGGCTCGCGGCTAGTCGGCTGTCGGAAGGCGCGATTGGTCCGGGTTGCACTTTCCCATTTCAGATAGAAGCATTTACTGATTGGTCTTCTGGTGAGGAAGCTCGCTTGGTTCAAATTTATTGGTGATAAGTCCATCGCATGAATGGCACCTCACCTGAGCAAGTGCACTTATTTCTAGCAGTCGGTACATGATGAAGTCTAGTGTTTGTGGAAAGGCCAATCACATGCCGCCGGTCTGTGCTCAGCGGACAACAAATGTGAACGTACCTTGAACCAGCCCTATTCCAGAATGTTGGTGGTGTTGGGGGAACGGGGTTGGAGAATGTAACCTTAAAAGGAAACCCTTTTTGCGATTGGGGTAGAGAGACGCTGGCCATCTGTCGACCTCTCAACATGTGTATTCAACCAGAGCTTTATCCGTTGTGCTGGGAGGATCTGGGTTGCCATCGAATGCTTGTGCATTGTTGTTTTGGAATTTGACGGAAGGATTGAGATCATATATACAAGGCGATCGAGATGAGAAGGACACTATGTACTCCCATTTCGACTCCGGGTCCAGCGCTCCAAACGATAAGAACACAACTACACGTGCGTTACAACTCAGGTGTCGTCGCTGATGCAATATGACTCTCAGCCTTCCGCAATTCCTTTTGCCCAGTAACTGGTCGTCCTTCCACCGCTTGAGGTCCACCGATCGCCTTGAACGCGTGATAGAAGATCTGCTCCGTCAAGTGCTCAATTGGTTCGTCGAAAACGAACGGTAGGGCTGGGACTGCAGCAATACCAAGCTACCGACACGTTAGAAATCACTTCGTTTTGACGCAAGGATTGGGGCTTACTCCGATAGGACCCCAAGTCCTTAGTCGCACGTTCTTCACGTTTTTCATCGCTATTCCTGAGTACCGCACGATGCTGTGAATGGTCAGGGCGGGCAATCCCATGCTGGCAACACTCTGGAACACAGCTCGTTGTGCGGCGACAGCCCTCCAGTCCTCAATGGCGGGTATGCGACCCGGCGAAACTTCGCCTCCAGTCAAGCTGGTGCCGTCTGAGTCTCCGGCCTTGATACCAGAAGTGTCTGTAATGTTGTCCTTGACGCTCTTGATCTTGTTTACGATATTTCCGTGGGCGGTCTCGTGGGCGGTCTCGTGGGCGGTTTCTGGGTTCAGGACGCGCTGATTTCGCATGTATGCTTTGTATCCCTCATTCGCTACATCTCCTGCGATATAGAGCCATGAGATGCCGTAGGCGCTGCGGACGATGTAGGGGTGGGCGACTGGCCGGAAGCTCTCTCCGATATCTGTGTATCCCCAGGGCAGTCAACGTACAGTCCCAATCCGAGTCACCCTAGCATGCTGGTCCCAAACAACACATGCTAACTGAGCCCTGCCATCACGTACCAGAAGTATACGCAACGTAGCGATGCGCGCTCATCATAATAGTCCTCACGCGAGAGGCATACGCAGCGTAACGGACGTTCGTATCGGTCGTGTCTTCCGCTCGTCCATCGGTCAGGATCTCCCACATCTTCTCGTCAGAGTCCAATGTCTGCTGTAGCTCCTTGGGCAGCTTCTTGCGCGGCGGTGGAATCGAAAAGTCCGGTCGTGTGCCCTCGCGCTCCCGTGGCACGCCGTCCACCTCTTCTGTTGTCTTCTTGTCGTCTCTCGCCATGCTGTCCTTGTGTTTTTATGGAACTGTACGTGATATGAACGTCGGTAAATGCCTTTCTGCAATGCGAGGAAGCACGAAGAGAAGCTACCTAAGCAAGCACAATATGACCAAGCTCTCCTCTCGACGTCACATCACTCCAGAACAGCCACGGTGTGGCGTTCGTTCCTTCTTCAGTGGCTGGTGGCACGATTAGTCACGCCTTTTGCCGCGCTTGCAGCTCCGAAAAGCTTCCCCGAGTTTAAGCCACCCAAAGGCCGCACTCCCCCCATCAATTGAGCCCTCATCCGCCCTTTCCCGGCCGAATACACCCAAGATACCGCAATCATGGTTGCTATGTACACCATCGCCGGCCGCCAGGTCGGATCGCACGTCGTACGTTGTCCCCGTCCGCCCCGTTGCGCAAATGTACAGAGCAGCTACTTCTCCCACGTTCGGAGCTACATACTCGCTATACAAGCACCTTGGTTGGAGCTGTGAACGGCAAAAAGAAGATTAGAGATTGGAGACGGATGGTGGTCGATGGATGGACGCTGACGATGGACTCACAGCTCGCTATGGCAACTCTCGGCACGACCTTCCTCGGCGCCTACCTCTCCATGGGCGGCGGCAAGAAGACCGAACAGCAGACACCTCCGATCAACGCGAAAAGCAAGGAGGAAGAGAACTTCGTAAAGTACATATACGCCCTTCTCGCGCCAAATCGAGATCAGCACGCGCGCCGTAAGAAGAGTCAGGCTGACAACCCCACAGAGACTTCGTAAAGAAGGCTGAAGAGAAGGTCACGGGCAAGCACTAAATTCTACATGCATCGAAAGGATTGGGTCGAGCGTGGGTTGGCGGAGGCAATTAAAAGGACGCGGGATGGAGGCGAGCCTGTAGAAATGTAGATATAGCCCCAATTGTACCAACACCCTCCAAACGATAATTCTTCACGTCCGCTTGACACACTTTCCGTAGAAATTTGGCGAGCTTTCCGCCTCCATAACAGCCGTGGGCCTTCTCGCACTCCCTAAACCAACTCCCATCTCCATGATCGGCTGCGAACAGGTACACGCAAATGGCCAGGTGCCCTCTATCAGCAACAGATTAGATAAGTTTATCATATAAACATACAACACGCTCGGCCAACCCTATACCCAGGTATAACAGAACATAAGCGGTATCTAAAGGTCTCACAGACGCCTAAACGCCATGCAGCTTTCCGACCATCATAACGCACATAAACACAGACCGTCTCTAAATCGAAGCTGTACAGTCGCCCTTCGCGGAGGTGTTTCAATACATCTTCATCGACTACCTTTCTATTGAGGTATGCCTTCCCATCAAGGAACACCTAATCCTCCTCGAGAATGATCTTCTTGGACATGGAGTCCACCACCTTCGTATAAAACTTCGGCGCCTGAGCGCGTGGGAAGCTGATCTCCTCGGTGAGGTAATCCGGTAGCAGCTCAATAAGCTCCCTGTCACGTTGCTCGTCCAAGAGAGGCTGGTAAACGAATTCATGCTCGTTGTACGAGTCGCCCTCAGTCATGACGGAGAGCTGGAAGTGAAGAGCTAAACACAAAGTTAGCAGTGCTTCTCCATTGGTATATAAGGGCAGCTCACTCCCATTGCGACCAGTCTGTATTAAGTCGTAAACATCGTCACCCTCCTCACTCTTCTTCACGCTCATCACCAACAAGTTGGTCAAGTCGCTGTAGAGCTCCACCTTCTGGTCCTGGAATACCGCCTTTTTAGCGGCTTCTATTTGGCCCGGTAGCACAACGCCTGCTGATCGAGCCTTGACCGCGCTTCCTGGCACGTTCTTAGTCTCCGGCGGGGCTATAGATCGCGCAGCTGCAAGTTTCGTCGAGAGCGTCTCCTTCTCTTTGTACGCCGCAGTAAGGGACTCATTCATTTTCTGGTGCTCTACCGATAGGCGAGCGTTCTCTTTCTCTGCCTTGGCGAGGTCTTTCCTCAGAGCGGCAGTTTCGGCGGTCCGTGACTGCAATTCAGCTATCTGTTGCTTGAGCGCCTGGATCACTGCATCTTGATCTATCGGAAAGTTAGCATATTATGCAGAGTGTCGTCGCGCTACCGACCCTTTCCTGTTTGCTCGGACTTTCTCTTGAGCTGATCGAAGTTCGACTCTCTGCCCGATGTTGCTGCCTCCTTGAGGTTTTCGTATTTGACTGACATAGCCTCAAGCTTCTGAATGAGGTCGCCAACCTTGCGCCTTAACACCGGGTCGCGCTCTGTATCCGAAGCGCTTCCTGCTCGTCTCGGGCCGGCTGATGCCTGCCGCGTAGTTCTGGAGGTCTGTCGCGCACACCGCGGAGCCGGCTTTGGTGGGTCTGGCATGCTTTCAGGCACCTCCTCAATTTCTATTGACGGCTCGAACTCCATCAGCTCAGGTTCATGCTCAGGCTGTGTCTCTAGAATAGTCGCGTCGGCTTCAGCATGTACATGTTTGGTAGCCCTGGATTTCGCTGCTGCCTTCGGCTTGGCCTCTTTCTTGGGCGCATGTTCCTTCTCTACCGCTTTTCGGCCTCTCTTCCTCGGGCCTGGTTCTTTTGCAAGTTCTGCTTCCTCCTGTGCGGCCCTCGCTTTCGTGGCAGGTCGACCCCGCCTTGTCGTCTTGTGCTCTACGGGCGCAATGGGTTCTTCCTCAACATCAAACTCGTCCACCTCTTCTGTCTCGTTCCCATTGTTGTTTGGTCGCTCAGCAAGCGCGTTGCGACCACCGCGGGCACCCGTCTTCTTCGCAACAGCTGCGCCTTGCTTCTTTGCGCCGAGCACGCTGTTCCCACTCGCACGACGCGTTGTTGTCTTTGCTTTCACTGCAGCCTTTGTCGCAACTGCAGGTTTCGCCATTTGCGCGACTTTTCCACGCGGTTTGCGCGTTGGCGCTTTGTTTTCGGTGTTTGAATCGGGGGTCGGGAAGGCGTTCAGCTCGTCGATAGATTCGTCTTCGGATGCAGAATCGACGGTGAAGGAGAGATTAGCTGCAGTGCCGTGCCGTGCCATATTGCGTCGTCTTTTCCAGGGTTGGCGTTGGTTACTGCTGGCTGGCGTCGCATTGGCAGATAGGTTTCGGTGGGGTATATACACAGTAAACAAAACACAACACCAAAGCGGCAAGCACGTCCGTGCACCACCGTCCATCACTCTGAGGCTCTTGCTTTAAGTTGGCGATCTATCAACGCACTCTTTGCCTTATTTCTGAACGAGGAGAACACGGATGTCATTTTGTTCTATCGCTGTTGATTGAGAAAGTTGCAATGCACGACAACAAGTTCTCATCGCCAGATATTATGAGCAACAAATACTTTAATTGCAAACCGTGCCTTAATCTCGATGTCATATTTAAGCCCGCAACCTTAGTGCGCCATCTTTTCGTACAGAGGTTGCATACTGTCCTCCCAAGTGCTAATGATCTTATTACCTGGTCCTGCCGTAATCAACGTGTCGCCCTTCTTCCACTTCTGGATCACCTCATCCACGAACTCGTCCGTCGTCATGGTCTGTGGAGCGTGCTCTTTCTTGTTGTCGTCTGGGTTGTCTCTCTCACGATGAAGATCTGTGGCGACCATAGGTGGTGCGATCTCAACAACATTCACCTTCTCCACTTCCAGCTGTTTTCGCAGGCTCATGCTCCAAAAATGCATCCAGGACTTTGTAGCGCAGTATACGGGATTGACAACGCTGAAAGGCACGAAACCAAGGACTGATGACACGTTCACGATGAGCGCGTTCGGTTTCGATTTGAAGTGCTTGAGCAACTGCAAGATCAGATGCATTGGGCCTCGGATGTTGATGTCGATCTCCCGGTCCGCTTTCTCGAGGAATTCGCTTGGATCTTGCCTATTCGCATCAATAGGTCGTTGTACTCCGGCGTTGTTGATCAAGCAGTCGACATCTGGATGCTCAGAGATGAGCTTGTGGACGAACTTTGGAATCGACTGAATGTCTCCCGTATCCAGCACGTAGTATGCGGTGGCCCCAATATCTTTGGCGGTCTCTTTCAGTGTCGATTCGGTTCGACCCACGATGATAACCTTTTTCCCATCCTTTATAAGCTGTTGCGATAATGCTTTGCCGATGCCACCTCCTCCGCCAGTGACCAGGGCTGTCTTGAACTCGTAGGTTTTGGCCGACATGGTAGGAATACTGAGAAGCAGGCGTTTGCAGGTACGTTCTAAATATGCTTCATCTTCAAGACAAGGACATATCGTTATATTCTCGGATCCACATTTCGATCGCGCTCCGCGAGTGTCCGGCCATGACGTTGACGCAAGCTCAACACCACTGAACTGTTAAATCAGTCATATCATACTGTATTCCACATGTTGAAAGGTGCGCAACCTTTTCCCTCTAGGTTTGCCGATGTCTCCGATCTTGGGGTCTAGCCCGCATCATGACGACATGCGGGATCTGCTGTCACGCATCTGATCTCTCATCCGTTCGGAGGTCGGGCACAATCCGCCTCGACACAAGCTGAATGCCTGGATACATATATATCTAGCCTCGGGAATGAGTACACTGCTTATCTTTTTCGGAATATCAACCGCCACACGATTTCTGAATGCGATGGCATTTGCTGGGTCGGGAGCGGGGTTCATCACCCCTGCCCCGCATCCGCAGCTCTAGGGGCATCGTACCCCAAGGATGGATTACGAATTCCTGACTATTCATCTACGCTACGTTTTGCTACGCCTTTCAAGCTTCTTATATCAATTCAAAAAGGGGTAGCCCGTGCCCCATGCGGCCATGCGAGGCTCGGCGTCTGGTGTGGGGTTGACAAGTCGCCTCACACAAGGCCAGAGTTCCCCGCCCATAGGTCGTAGATCCTGGAGCCCTCCGAGACCGATTTCCACTGCCGTGGGAAGTAGGCGGTAAGAGTAAGACAGCTAGCTCTCGACTTAAATCAGGCGCGAGCCCGGTGGCCGTCTCGTTTTACTCCTCTTGTTGTTCTTTCCCAGTCTCGTGAGGCTATCGTTGGACTACAACAAGACTTGTATGCACGGCTGGCAGTTTGACCACTAGTTTTCGCGTATCAATCCATCTACGTGGAATTTGCATATTCTCGAGCATCCATACGAAGGTCGTGCGAGGATCTGTTCGCAGAGATCTACGTCAGGCAGCCATTGGCTACTATAGGACACAGCACCAATCATGACGGTGAAACAACTTCCCGAGGCAACATGCGATATGTGAGTGAGCTACGAAAAAAGAATAGACCAACGTGTTGATGCTTTACGTAGCTTGATCGTTGGTGCAGGGCCTGCTGGGTGAGCATAGAGAGCGCAGTTTGATAGCGAGAGCGTAGCTGATGTATTAAAGTATGATGATGGCCACTTGGATGGCCCACTGCGGAATCAACGCCCGAATAGTCGACAAGCGCAGCACGAAGATATTCAATGGTCAAGCTGACGGGCTCCAAAGCCGCAGCCTAGAGATTTTCGATAGCTTCGGGTTTGCGGACCGGGCCTGGAAGGAAGCAAATCATATGCTTGAGGTTAGTAGTGCCATACAATCCACGATAGTCTGCAATCATGGCTCTTATGGAAGTATGTTACTAACAAGGATACTCACAGATGTGCATGTGGGTGCGTAAACAGCTTCGTAATATATTCTACGACTCACATCTTGCTAGAATCCTGGAGAAGACGGCATGTTGCGAAGGTCCGATCGCGTTCCTGATGCTATAGTTGGCCTTTCGCGATTTACACAAATCGTTTTGCACCAGGGGCGCATCGAGCGGTTCTTCCTGGATAACAAAAAGCATTCCAAGGACTCGCTCCGCGTCGAACGCGCGGTCCTTCCCGAAACCCTTTCAATAGCAGAAGATTTGTGCGATGATCACTCTGCCGACACTTACCCTCTAAAAGTACAGCTGAGACATCTCACAGAGGATGAAGCCACTCCTGCTCAAAGTAATGGAACCACCATCGAGGACGGTCTTTTCAGAAGTAATTTGGCGGAAGATGATACAGACGATCTTATCGCTCAGAGTAGGGCGAATGCAGGGAGCGCTGAGGTGGTGAGAGCGAAGTATATGGTTGGATGTGATGGTGCACACAGCTGGACTAGGCGGCAGCTTGGCTTCCAGTTAGAAGGAGAGCCGACTGATTTCATCTGGGGAGTGTTAGGTATGCTAAATCTACGGCGTCACGAAGCTCAGACGCTGACTTTGCGCAGATGTTATACCCATCACAGACTTTCCGGATATCCGTATGCGCTGTGCTGTTCACAGTGCATCCTCCGGTTCTTTGATGGTCATTCCCCGCGAGAACAAGCTTGTACGACTATATATTCAACTCACGGAGATCAAACCAGACGCGAGCGGCCGAGCGGACCGCTCGAAGATCACGCCGGACACCATCATTAAGGCCGCTCAGAAGATCATCGCACCGTACAAGCTATCGTACGAGTACTGCGATTGGTGGACAGCGTACCAAATAGGACAACGAGTCGGGACTAACTTCGACTATCGTAGTAGAGTATTTTTGGCTGGTGACGCTGTACACACGCACTCTCCCAAAGCTGGCCAAGGTATGAACGTGTCCATGCAGGACGCCTTCAACCTTGGCTGGAAGCTTGCTCTTGTAGTAAAAGGAGTAGCACAGGCGTCCATCCTGAAAACATACCAGTCGGAGCGAAGGCGAATTGCCCAGGATCTTATTAACTTTGACCACAAGTTCTCCCGCTTGTTTTCTGGTCGTCCGGCAAAGGATGTCCTGGATGAGTCCGGTGTTAGTATGGTTGAGTTCAAAGAAGCATTCGTAAAGGGTAATATGTTTGCATCGGGGCTCTCGGTAGATTATGGCACCAGCATGCTTGTAGCAAAAGGAGGTGACGCAGCTGAGCAAGGCGACGGCACAGACGTTTCTTCGTCCAAGACGCAGATCATTGGAAAGCAGGAGCTGGCGACTAACATCAGGCTGGGGATGCGCTTTCCCAGCTTCAAGGTCCTGAATCAGAGCGATGCGCGACCATGGTACGTAACCTTGCGATGGGCTTGCACTTCGCCTTTGGCTGATGGTTCAACTCTTAGGCATATTGCAGAATGGCTTAAATCAGACGGCCGCTTTCGCCTCATCGTCTTTGCAGGCAATGTTCACTCAGCAACACAAAAAGGTCGCATCGATGCCTTCTGTGAAAAGCTCACAGCCTCTGCGTTCTTCGCACCTCACATCCACAAGGATATTGCTATTTTGACAGTTCATTCGGCGAAGCGAACCGACACTGAACTTCTACGCGACTTTCCAGAAGTGCTACATCCGTTCGATCCCAAGACTGGCTGGGACTACAACAGTGTTTTTGTAGACGACGTGAGCTATCATGAAGGGCACGGAGAGGCGTACAAAAATTACGGCGTGGACAAGGAGCGGGGGTGTGTTGTAGTCACGAGACCAGACCAGTATGTTGGTTACGTGGGAGAACTGGATGGAGAGGGTGGTCTGGAGGGCGTGGAGGCATTTTTCCAAGGAATCTTCATAGCTTGAGCAAGGGAATAATGGAAAGCCCGAGGATATCTGAAAAGAACAATACAACCCATTACAGCATAGGACTCATAGACTGACCATATCATAGTGAATCCTGTCGGCAACCCGTGTCGTTCTGATGTTCGCTCACATGACAGTGCCATTCACTCAGACCGCTATACGAAGTCCTTGGTATAGGTAGCTCGGCGCGCTGGTGTTAGCGGGTCATGTGGCCGATCTAGTTTCTGCATGTTTACCCAATCACAAACTCGTCCATGCGATTTGGCATGTTTTGCATCCGCGGGGGCTTTGACGGCGCATCGCTCGCATGCTCCGGCTTACCGACCGCGTTCTGGAATCTGAGACCCACCGCCTGGAGCGCACTGGAACAATGCAAACCTCGAACGGTGCTCAATCGCATCGCACCGAGATTAGCCTCGCGTGCGTCAGATGGCAGCCAAAAGTACTCAACATCAATCCTGCATCCTGCCTTCGCGCCGTCGGGCCCCGAGGCTGCTGTCGCCCACCCACCTTCACTTTGTGCCGCGCCTGTTTCCGAAGTGCAGGCTGAGCGGTATTCTGGATGCTCGTCGCACCGCTCAATAAGGCGTTGGAATGCGACTCGTGCTGTCCGAAGGCGATTAGCAATTCCACAAAAGTTAATGCGATCGGGCAGCATGATTTCCGTCCCTTCTCCACACGACCGAATGCTCGACCTGGAAGCATTAGAATCGGATCCTCTACCAACGTTCGTTATCAAGACGTCGGACCATGCCATCCCTTTTGAACTTCTCTTCCGTAATAAGGCCTTTCGGCTGGCCTCGCTGCAAGACACCATCTTAGGAACGACCAGAGAAGCAATTTTGTTCCGATCTTGGGCTTTGGCAGTGCGACTTTCCAATCCACAGCATGTATTCGATGACCGCACATGGACAGCGACCGTAGCCGGCGCAAAACAAAACTGGAAGATTGTACAAGCAGGAGAAATGTTTCCGTCCGACCAGAACCATGGAACTGCAGCTAGCCACTCCATTGCGGACGTCCAAGAAGAGGACGACAACTTCCGCGAAACATCGAGAGAAGGGCCAGTGCGACCGCGAGTTCCCCTGGGAGGATTTCCCACAGCCAACGTTGTTGCCCGTTGGGAGTCGTTGCAGACCATGATGGAAATGACTGATGTTGGTGTATTTGAGTATCTGCCAAGTGGAAAATTGATACACGCCAACGACGCATGGTACCGACTCAGCAATCACCCAAGGAACCTCCCTGCACACGTCGAATTCTCCTTCATGGATCTGGCTTACCCGGACGACCAAGCCAACATCATGTCTGCATGGAATACCTTAGTTCAAGGTAGTTGCGTTACTTTTGAAATGAGATGGAAGGCGAAGCCTGGCTCCGAAGACGATGCGCAGTGGGTGCTTTGAGCATGTGTACCGGTATTCGACGAAGACCAGAACCTTGTAAGCATAGCGGGAAACACGATCGATATCAATGGCCAAAAGAAGCTTCAAGAAGTTCAACGCCGTCAGATTGAGGAGGCTCTCGAGGCCAAACGACAGCAGGAGAACTTCATCGACATGACTAGCCATGAGCTCCGAAACCCTCTCTCGGCCGTTGTTCAATGCGCGGACTCCGTCATTTCTACACTACAGCAACTGACACCAAAAGAACTTATCTCGTTGCAGCCGCAATTCGAGAAAGTCAACAATGAGATTTCTGCCTGCATCGATAATCTACAGACGATCGTGGCCTGTAGTCTGCACCAAAAGCGCATCATCGACGATGTACTTACACTCTCTAAGCTCGACTCAAACCTTTTACTAATCACCCCGATGCTGGTGAAACCTTCTTTAGTTGTTTCCGAGGCGATGAAGATGTTTGATGTCGAGTGTTCCCAAATGCAAATCAACCTCGTATTTCAGGAAGACGAAAGCCTGTCAGAATTTGAATGGGTAATGATAGATCCATCGCGGATGCTTCAAGTCCTGATCAATCTTTTGACAAACGCCATCAAGTTTACGAAAGACCGTGAACTCCGCAACGTCACAGTCACATTGGGAGGATCATGGACGCATACTCAAATCGAGGACCCCAGTGTGACTTTTGCGAAGGATACCCAGTTTCAGTTCAACATCTGCGACAAGCCGGAGTGGGGGAATGGGCGCAAAGGCTTTATTTGGCTGCGTGTCGTCGACACAGGTTGCGGGTTGACTAACGATGAACAGGCGAAGCTCTTCTCGCGGTTCACGCAGGCAACACCTCGAACTCATATTAAATACGGAGGCTCAGGTCTCGGGCTTTTCATTTCGAAGTCGCTTACCGCGCTTCAAGGAGGCTCTATAGGGGTGAAATCCACAGCCGGCAGCGGTTCCTCCTTCGTTTTCTACGTCAGCGCCCGAGTTGCAGAAAATTCCCCGAAGACGACAAAACAAGAGCTACAACGACCAGCAATTCGTCGCGCTGCATCTGCCGAAGATGATCTGAAGAATCTGAAATTAAACATCCTCATGGTCGAAGACAACCTCGTCAACCAGAAAGTTTTGAGTAAACAACTACAAAAAGCGGGCTGCAACGTTAGCGTTGCCGGAAACGGAGTCGAAGCCCTCGAATGGCTCAAAACAAGCGTTTACTGGAAGGGCGAAAAACATCAGGACGACGCAACATCTTTGAAATGTGATATTGACATAGTCTTGATGGACATTGAGATGCCAGTCATGGATGGGTTGACTTGCGCGCGGGAAATCCGTCGTTGGGAGTCTCAAGGCCTACTTGCGACCCCGACCGCTAATGGACTGCTCATGCCCCAACTGACTTCTACATCAGTATCACCGCTAATACCGTTACATGACCTGAGTATCAAAAAAGACTAGAAGTAGACCAGTCTTCAAGACATTTGCCAATACTGGCAGTTAGCGCAAATGCGAGGAGCGAACAGGTGGAGCAAGCTCTAGCGGCAGGCATGGTGAGAATCTATCAACAAGCTCGTGACGAGTAAAAAGCTGACGTTCGGGCGTACTTACAGGATGATGCTATCAGCAAACCTTTCAGGATACCAGAACTGTGGCCGAAGATGCGCGGACTGGTGCCTCGCTGTGCGAGTCCATTGAATCAACCAAATCAGAGGCGACACCCTACATGAGCGTAGGAGATGCCTGCGTCGCTCTGGTTAATCAAACTAGGGTCGCCAGTTGCACTTGCCATGTCGGGGGTTCTGTACTGGATCAATTGTTGCTTCGAAGTGCTGGCGGACTCCCCTCAAGGAGACTACTTGGATCGCATGTACTCCGTGTTGGTGCAGTACAACATAGCGCAAATGGAAGACGCTCTAGACTCGCTTCGCCCCACTACGCATCCCGCATCACCCCCACCTACGTCATCCCCCAACATGTTGAACAAATGCAGCCCACGCTCGGCGTCTGTTTCACTTAACAAACCGGATCTGCAGGGAGCGCGGGAGATAACCTGTTTACGAGCACGTGGGATGCAGGGCCCTGGCCACTACAGAATGACGGAATACTTTCCTCAACATGCGCTTATAGCTGCCATGTTGAGCTTGCACGATAGCTGTTCAACTCTTTTCACTTCTCCTTTACCGTCGTCGGATTTATGTTAGATAGCCTGATTCTTGTCTAGCAGGATGGGCGAGGAAGGTAGGAGATCCTTGCAGGATGATACGACAAAGACTTATCGCGAGCAGACCGCAGACCGACCTCCGAAAACGCCACTCTTTTCCAGGCATTCGAATGGAACGTCCCTGCCGATAACGCACACTGGAAACGGCTTACTAGAGTTCTACCCGCTCTCTCTTCCGCCGGCATAAGCGCACTCTGGCTGCCACCGGGCTGCAAAGCTGCGTCCCCCGAAGGTAACGGCTACGACATCTACGATCTGTACGATCTAGGCGAATTCGAACAAAAGGGCACTCGGGCAACGAAATGGGGCACTAAGGAAGACCTTCTTGAACTCAGCAAGCTTGCCAAGGAGAAGGGCGTAGGTCTCCACTGGGACGCGGTGCTCAACCACAAAGCGGGCGCAGACAAGACAGAGAAATGCCGTGTCATTGAAGTCGACGAGAACGACCGCACAAAAGAAATCTCAGAGCCGTATGAGATCGAGGGATGGCTGGGCTTCGACTTTCCCGGCCGCGGCGACAAATATTCCGCGATGAAGTACCACTGGGAGCACTTTTCAGGCACGGACTGGGACCAGGCCAACGAAAAGAAAGCTATCTACAAGATCCAGGGCGATAACAAGGGTTGGTCTAACAGTGTTGACGCAGAGCAGGGCAACGCCGACTACATGATGTTCGCGGACATCGACTACAGCCACCCTGAGGTTGACGCCGATGTAAAGAATTGGGGGACATGGATCACGAAAGAGGTCGGCCTAAGTGGCTTCCGGCTTGACGCCGTGCAACATTTCAGCGAGCGCTTCACAAATGAGTGGATCGATAACCTGCGCGATACGTGCAGTCACGACATCTTCCTCGTTGGCGAATTCTGGAATGGTAATGTAGAGCAAATGCTTCCCTGGCTAGACGCTATGCACCACAAATTCAGCCTCTACGATGCACCCCTCGTGTACAACTTCAGCTCTATTAGCACGACCGAAGGCGCCGATCTACGCAAAGTCTTTGACAATACGCTTGTCCAACGCGTACCAGAGAAGGCAGTCACAGTCGTTATGAACCACGACACGCAGCCCGGACAGACAGTCGCAACACCCATCGAGGGCTTCTTCAAGCCGCTGGCATACAGCCTTATCCTCCTGCGTGGGGAGGGCTACCCTTCCGTGTTCTATGGCGACATGTACGGCATGCAGGGCGATCATGCGGAGCCACCTGCCTGTGGGAATAAACTCGCCGACCTGGTGCTTGCGCGAAAACTATATTCGTATGGCGACCAGGAAGACTACTGGGACAATGCGAATTGCATTGGGTGGGTGAGGAGGGGGACATGGGATAAACCGGCGGGGTTGGCGGTCGTTATGAGCAACAAGGGACCTGGAGAGATACGGATGGCTGTGGGAGAGACGCACAAGGGTGAGAGATGGACGGATGTACTTGGTTGGGAAGAGGATGAGGTTGAGATCGACGACGAGGGATACGGGGTGTTCAGATGCCCGGGCGTCAGTGTGAGTGTTTGGGTGAGGAAGGATGCCGAGGGTCGGGATCAATTCCCCGTGAATCTCGATTCGAACATCTACGAGAAGTAGAGGGTTGCGATGGGATGCGTTAGTCTTCGTTCACACTGGAAAATTTGATAGATATACAATGCTGGGATGATTTAGAAGGACTCAGGACGGTTTCTGACTTGTGATAGATGCTAGGCTACTTTTTCTCTGTGATACCCGTATGTATGGCTTTTGATGCACCCTGTGATCACTTGATCCAATGTGTGTCTAAGTTGAGATCGAGACCATAGTACGCAATGGTCTTGTCATACTGAGGATGAGAGTGTCATTGATACAGACGAAGGTCTGCTTAAAACTCAGACTCCATTGAAAAGATCATTAAGCCGAGCAATTTCGATTGACGCAAGTACGCTCTATGAATCGGCGTCTCTATAGTCGAAGTGTTACCTCAACTCATGCAGACAACGGCTCAGCAAGCGCACTCATCGAGCGCTTCGCTCTATCATTACCATGATATGCAATTACACTATCGCTCGCAAGTACAGACGCACAAGAGCTTATTTCATGTGAGCGTGGTCTGTAATTTTGAATTAAGAAGACTTTGCTACTTTTTAGAAGCTTTGTATATCTGATTAAGGTACTATCAAACATGATCATGATTACTATGTTACTAGTTGATATATATGTTCCAGCTCTCTCTAAGCTAAGAGCCTCGTTTCAGTACAAGCTCTATATAATAACAACATACTTTACACCTCTTTAAGCCTAGATATACGATTTAGTACTTAGCACAGGTAGGGCGGTATTTTCACTATCCAAATGTATTCCTTTCCCAGTATCTAAATTAGAGTACCCCCTACTTGATATATCGAGTTACACGCTCTAATTACACTCGCACCAAGCAGGCCCTAACATTTGGGAAACCGCTCTTGCCTTTGCTGAGTGGGCTTTGATAGCTTGGCGCGGATGCTTATTCCTACTCTTTCACCTCCGTGGAATGTCGTGCTTACCTTCAGAGCACCGCGACCAGCAAGGATGATATTCAATTGGCTATCTGAATATTGGACATTGATTGCGGGGTGGTCAGCACGCGACATGTTCCACCCATATCTGTGCCTCAAGCCCCAAGGGAACGTAAATGCACCGATCCCAACCAATTTGCCAGAGAAAGAGGACCAATGCTTAAACTACACTGTGTATCAAGCTAGACCGCGACTGTCTGTAAGCTCAATTGATCTATATAGGTTCCATCAACGTGTTGGAATGACGATGGGTTGCGCACTACTTATCCAGTACAGCTCCAGAAGAATGGACCAATACCACCTGCTATTCGCCACACTATTTCCAACGATTCGAGATCAACGAAATTATTTTTGAGGGCAAAAACGCTGAGCTCTGATTACTGACATGGTCGACTATGTCGGCCATCATGCCATAACAGGTTTGCCGCCCGTCCCGGAAGCGGGCGGCAGGTCACCATACCCACGGTGGATCCCAGTCAGCGGAGCACGCCATATTCAGGAAACTAGTCTCAGTTAGAACCTGGGGTGCGGAGTTCGCATAGCTGACAGCTTAACGTTACCACTGCAGTTGAAGCAAGCTTTTGTTGAAGCTTGATGTGGGTTTGTCATTACGCCACTCCCGCTCTACCATCAATTCGGTAGAATCCATGGACAGCAATCGAGATTAAGATTCATGAGCTCTAAAGTTTCTCAAGGGTCTCCATTTACCAATCAAACGCTTCAGTCTCGGCCGAGCGATGTAGCTGGTCTAAAGTCTTATGATGCAGCTGATCTCCCGCAGCCGCATACACAGTACGGCGACCCTGCCTTCCGCGTCATCCGTACCACCAGATCCCGAGGGTTCCTGCCAATGAATCTGAGCGTTCATTATTTGCTGATCTCGTGGCCGATGTTTCTAGTACCTGCTGGGGTAAGAGGCTGCAGCCACATTTCGGCGTACCGGCGCACGTATAAGTCTGCGTCGCCCGGACAATGGTTCCAGCACACTTTTGCGAAATTAGGAGATCATTGGGAAAGCACAGTATGAGGCTCTCCAGCCCCATCAAGAATTGGAGACGGCGCAGTTCCGTTGAGCAGAGCTCCAGATGGGTCGGCCAGCATGAAGGCTATGATACAAAGCCACTGCCTCGCTTGACATGGGTCGGCCTTTCCATGGGTCTGTTGGTGTCAATGGGTAAATACACTCTTTACGCTCATGTAGAAGGGGATACCTTCGAAGGTAGATATGCTCACATCTTTGTCCAGGTGGCGCTGTCTTCGGTTACGACACCGGACAGATCTCAGGTTTTCTCGCCATGCCTGACTTCTTGAGACGGTTTGGCCAAAGACACATGAATGGGGAGACTCCCGAGTACTACTTCTCCAATGTTAGATCCGGTCTAATCGTAGGCTTGCTATCCATTGGCACTCTATTTGGAGCACTCGCAGGTGCACCGATTGCGGACTGGATCGGGAGGAAGCCCAGTATTATCTTTTGGTGTATGATTTTCTCTGTGGGAATCATTGTCCAGATCTCAGCGACGGATAAGTGGTACCAGGTACGTTTTCGTTCCTCCCTCTGTGCATAGTGAGACTTATGCTGCACACAAAAAACAAAAGAAATTTTGTTGTTTACACAAGTTTTACAGGTAATGCTCGGTCGACTGGTAGCTGGTCTTGGTGTAGGCGCACTGAGTCTCCTCGTACCAATGTACCAAGCCGAGACAGCTCCTCGCCACATCCGAGGAGCCCTCATCAGCACATACCAACTCATGATTACATTTGGCATCTTTCTTGCCGCCGTCTTCAACTTTGCAGCAGAAAAACACCAATCTAATAAAGCAGCTTCGTGGCAGATCACCCTGGGCTTGTCCTTCGTTTTCCCGGCAATTCTTGCCGGTGGCATTCTCTTCTTCTCCGAGACACCGCGCTTCCTGTTCCGGCATGGGAAGGAAGAAGAGGCGAAGCAGACGATGTGCAAAGTCTATGGAGTGGGCGAGAATCACTACGGCGTCCACTTGGAGTTGGAAGAGATAAGGATGAAGCTTGCAGAAGAGACCAACCGGGGAACCGCGATCCAAGAGTGGTTTCGAATGTGGAAAGCGCCCAAGATGGCTTACCGATTGGCCATTGGGATGGGACTGCAGATGTTTCAGCAGCTTACTGGGTATGTCAACATTGCCTCCGCCCTGACATCTCTACCGAACAGGCATAGGCTAACACTTCGCAGTGCCAATTACTTCTTCTACTACGGCACGGTAATCTTTCGTGGCACTGGAATAAACAACTCATTCGTTACACAAATGATCTTAGTAGGTTCACTTCCATCCGCAGACTATCGACCATGTTACAGAAGTTCTAACTTCATTCAGAACGGAATCAATTTCGGCGTAACGTTCTATGGCCTCTACATAGTGGAGCACTATGGCCGTCGAAAATCCCTCATAGCAGGTTCTGTATGGATGTTCATCTGCTTCATGAGTACGCAATGCCGGGGTACAAAGTGGGTGTTCAGGCTGGGCGACTGTCTAAGACCCCAGGCCTTAAACCTCTAGGTCTGAACCCTTCAGGCATTCGTAGCAGGCTAGAACATCTACTTCACCCGCTCACCTTAGCTGTGGACATTACACTGACTTTATTACCCCCACATTTAGTCTTTGCGTCAGTAGGCCACTTTGTTTTAGACCGCAACACGCCGGAGAACACCCCTCACGCTTCGGTCGCCATGATTGTCTTTGCTTGCTTCTTTATCTTTGGTTTTGCGACGACCTGGGGCCCGATGATATGGTGAGCTCACACAGCCTGACATGTGTGTGCGCATTGAAGTAGACTGATTTACGGTGATAGGACAATCTGCGGCGAACTCTATCCCAGTCGCTACCGCGCAAAGGCAATGGCTCTCAGCACAGCCAGCAACTGGCTTTGGAACTTTCTTCTTGCTTTCTTCACACCATTCATCACAGACGCCATAGACTTCCGTTACGGTTATGTCTTTGCTGGGTGCAATATACTTGCTGGCTTTGGTGAGTTCATCTACCAACCTCTTTCTTCCGTTCTCCTGCTCCACACCACGGCGATGCTTGCTAATTGTTCTGGCACTGCAGGGATTTACTTCTTTGTCATAGAAGGCCAGGGCCGAACGCTGGAAGAAATTGACACGATGTACTTGCTAGGCGTGAAACCATGGGAGAGTTCGATGTGGATTGCCCCAGACCTTAACGAACTAGATCCCAAGACAAGGCGGGCTCTTGAAGAGACCAATCCGGAGATCATGGCTGCTGCTCAGAGGGACAGTAATGGAATGGACCGAAGTGAAAAGGTGGAGAAAGAAGAAACAGAGGCTTGACATTGACCCTATATGGTATGGCGGAGACTGGTAGTGGTCTATTGGGCGCTCAATGGGGCTGTAAGTTGGAAGAGAAGGGATCAATGTAATCTGTACGTGAGAGGAGACTAAGTAGATCTCGCTCTTTGCTTGATCTGTTGCGTGAATTTGATATCCACTGTAATTGTATTTTGGTTTCTCATCGAATTCGAGGATGACTTGTTTTTTTAGTACTCCGAGAGACACATTCCACAGAACCACAATGTGGTGATGTAGCCAGGAAAATACCCGTTTAACGATCTGCTACACCTAGAAGAAAGGTCTCTCTCTCCATAGTTAAGAGCATTAGAGTGCGGAGAAGCGATTTGAAAGTTGATGTTTTCATTGCTCATTTGAAAAGGGGATTGCGAGGGCGGTAAGCCAAACCAGAGAAAACGAGGTCCTGCATTATGAAGCACCCAGCTTGAATATTCCTGCACCAATAACAAGGGCGCATCGATGTAACACTAAGCAGACGTATCCTCTCCATCTTAGCAGCAGGATGGTGCATTTAAAGGCTTGAGATAGTCCTTCCGCGGCTGACGGCGAGTTTGAGATAGTACAATTAATTTCGAACGATACCAATCGAAAGCTACAGTAGTACAATCATGTCAATCCTCCCACCCCTCCTCGGATTCGCGCAGGCCACCCCTCTCAGTCTCCTATCCAGCCCCAAAACCCAGCTTCACCTTCGCAAGAGAGACCACTGGGGGCTCATCCTCCTCCTTCGGCAAGCGGCAACATCAAGGTTGTCTATGCCGCCATGACAACATACACCCGGCGCCGCACCACCAGATCCCTAGGTGACATTTCCATCTTGCCTGGCGTAGGGGGTACCACCGATCTATCACAGGCCGCTCCATGGCTGGCGAATGGGGTGTGCCGCAGGGCAGTTGGTGCGTGCAACCGTATGTGGCGGGATCGACGTATACGAATGGGCCGAATGATAGGATTAGAGTTAAGTATAGGATGCCGGCCGACAAGATAGGTACCTGTTACTCTAATATGCTTGGTGGCCTCGCTCACACAACGGTTCATGAAAACCCTGGATCCAGAAAGCTATGAAATTCGTTACAGGCAAAGTCCTCGCCAGCTTGACTTCAGATCCCAGAAACACGCTTCGGAGTGTAATAGTGATTGCCAGCCTGTGGCGTCGACATCGATCTACGAGGACTGGGAACTGCATCTCAACGCGGCAGATCCGGCATTCGTAAATCATTTCGTTATAATGGAGACGTGAAGCATGAGGAAGTCACGGACGAGCAGGGTGGAAAAGTGAGGAAGATTTTGAAGATGACGACTTCACCTATGGCGTAGTGACGAAGTCTACGTTAACAGACACTCGACTTCTTGTCGATCCTTTGGCGTCAGCTAGGAATCAGGGTAAATGGAACTCTTGGAGTGATCGGTTGTTGGACGTGGTGGCACTCCATCCATCGTCTGCCTTTTGTCCATGGCGACTTAATTCCGATAGGTAGCGTTCTCCAATTCCTAGTGTAGCACAATGGAACATGAGTACAATCCTGTAGTGCCTCTTGTGAGCGATCTCTTCAGTTAAGAGCGTAAACTATCGAGCTTGAGGTGGACTTAGTCCACAATGCATCATCGTGCTTACCATGCAATAGCTTCTCGTAGGCCAGTGGAATATAGCTTCTCCAGATTGCGCAATCTTTCTCTGACTCCATCCTAGCCCACCCCTTCCCTGGATATCGCACAAGCCTTTGCCTCAAAACGTGGTCGATCAGTAAATGGCGAATGTACCCTATGATGACTTAACAAGCAATGCGGCGAGAGGTCAGTCGCCTAATTCTGCATCTCGATTCAGCGTGGCTATTGTTCCTCAGCAGCCTGATATTTGAACGGGAGAAACTTCTCTCGTCGTCCAAATCCCGATCATGTGTGATCAGTCATTTAGCGTGTACAATGGAATACAAATGGGTATCTTTTGAAAACTAAGACAGATGGGACAAGGTGCACTTCAAGAAGAACCAATAGCGGCAGTCTTCATCTTTTTCCTCTCCTCCTCCCTCCGTGCTTCCACTCCAGCCAAAAACTCCATACGTCCCAGATACGCTTCTTTTGTCTTGCCATGCGTATCCAATTCCTCTGCGATGCCCTCCTTGTCGACGAAGCCAGTCCAGTCCAGGCGCGACTTGTCCACCACGTTGAGTTTTTGTGCCTTCTCGGGTCGCGCAGCCTTTGGTGCTTCTGCAGGCGGGACAATCCTCTGATGTGCAGACGCAGTAGCCGTAGCCTTCCGGGGCCACGATTGTTGTCGTTCAGGAGGTAAAGCGCGTACGTAGCCGGTGGGATTCGCATCGAAGCGGGAGGGCCGACGGAGCGGGCGCCGAACCTTGGGCCTTTCTTCCTTGACTTCAGACTCTTGGTCGCGGATAGTCTGCTTCCTTACTGCGGGGTCTGCTGCCTTCCAACCGTCTGATAGGAAATTTTCCAGGGCGGAACACGGCACCTGCTTCTCTTCCTCTGTGCGCTGGCCGGCGAATGTGTAGACCTTCTTCACTGTCACGGATTCCTCTTCTTCAACAGCCTGAGGCGCAAGCGCCTGGACGGCACCATGTTCAATTTCCACCGCATCTGCGTCCTGCGCTACGGGCGTGGGCACAGGCTTCAGCGGCGTAGCAAGCATTTGCGTCCATAAGGCATCGACGTCGACGGTCGCTCCGTCTGTCCTCGCGAGAGGTTTGCGCTCCTTCTGCCTGTCGATGCCATGTCAGTCGCGGCTCGGTATCCCAGACAGATGCACATACTCGACTCTCCTCTGAGCCCGTGTCTTTACCAAGCCTCCGTCTCCACCATCGTCGGATAGGAGTAGATCGTCTTCGTCGTCTGTGTTTGCCCGCTTGCGCTTTTTAGCTTTGCGCTTCCGTGCTGTCTCTATCGTCACTTCGTCCCCAGAGTCCAGCTGCCCGTCAGCAGCCGCTTTGCGCTTCGCTCGTCCTTTGGCTGGCTTTGTAGGCGCCTCTTCTTCGGCGGAGGAGCTCGAAGGATCATCGGCGGCAACGACGGCGGGATTGAAGTCTTCGTCAGACGACTCGTGGTAATCGGCTTCTGCGTCTGGGAGGTCGTCAACGGGGTCTATGGGCGCCATTGTGTGAGTTTGGTGGATGTCGGAGTTTGGGCGCAGACGCGGCAAGTGGAGACGACGCGCCCAGAGGATCGACGGCTAAGGATGCAACCGGGACGGACTAAGAACCCCCCCGGCTTCTAGCTGCTAGTGACGTGACGGTCGCATACACGGGGCGCGTCAAGGGCATACACACGAGAACAACACAAGCCCAAGTGCAATGCGCATATCCACCGCTTCCTGATACTCATCCACGTTTCGCCATGGCGCCTCTTGAGTCAAGCGCTACGGCGCAAAGCAACAGGCTACCTTACGTGCTCTTTGCCGGCCAGACGGTGCTGGTTGCTGTCCTCACAACAAATGTGCTCCTCAAAGCTCGCCACGCGGCGCGCGCACTCCCTCCAGCGGCTACAACGCGCGCTCAAGTAGAAGCTCGACGTCGCCATGCGCTGATCTTTTCTGTCCTCGCATTCGTTTCGCTGACTTCTGTCACCACCTTTGCTGTCCTATGGCGCGCTCTGTCGTACCTGGACTGGGCTCATATCGGCGGTCACGAAACACCGGGCACCATCTGGCACGGCTGGTACGGGACCGGAGAGGAAGGAGTGGGCAGATGGAGATTGGGCGACTGGCTGAGCGACACGGATCTCGTTCGTGCCTCTGACGAAGTGGCAGTCGCAAAGCCTGAGGCCTTCGTCTACACGACCCAGCACTTCGTAGCACTCATTGCCAATGCCATATTCATGGGCGTGGAAGGTATGTTTTGCCATGTGGCTAGCGTTGGCACTTTTCCAAATGCCGGGCTTGCATGTCTGGTATATATCCGACTGACACTGGACAGGCCGCAGACGAAACCTCTCAGCCTCTACCATTGCGTCATTTGTCATTTTGAGCGCAACCGGCAGCTTGGCATATGCTCTGAACCTTTTCTTTACCATCATGTTGTATACTCCTCTGGCCGAGCACAGCGAGGATAGCCCGCGCCGCGATGCTCTGTTTACGCCCAAACCTGCCGTTTTCTACATACCGGTGTGGATATCCATCTTCGCCCTGCACACATTGCCTGGCCAGTTGAAAGACAACAAAGACATTATCCTCCTGCGCTGGGGCTATGTGTTAGTGCCTTTGTTCCTTGCATTTGCGCCGCAGGTAAGTTCTCACAATGTTGAGCTGATACAAATCCTAATACTATGACAGATTGTTTCCAAACGATGGGGCGACCACTACAAGTCGAAAGCTGCGGCACACCGCTCATACGCCCGGATTTTCCATCGCTTGTCTATTGCTGCCCTCATCCTGCATTGGAAGGTCTTCGGTTTTGCGCTCCTTGCTAGCACTCCCTTGACCGAGACCTCAGTCTACGACAGACTGAAGCACAGACTAGAGGAGGCAGCCGGCAGAGGTAGATCAACTCCAAATCGACTGCATGAAGGCCTCAGCAACTTAGCACAGAAGCTCAAGCCCGTCAGTATACATCCAGCTGTCACTGTAACTACCTCAGACGTGTTCTTTGCCTCCATCAGCTTGCTCGTTTGGGCTTTCGTTCGAGATCTGGACGTCGTAGCCATGCTACACAATAGCGTATTGTCGTTCCTTGTATCACACGAGGACGAGCAGCCCGTAGCATTCAACGACACAGCCAAGGAGAGAGCTTTTCTCGCGGCGGGTTCCGAACAGCTGGAAGACCCTGTGCCAGCCGCCACGCCCAAGAGACGGGGGTCGCCCGAGGAAGGGCACCCCTCACCGACGGCACCGCATCCTCCTCGAAAGCTTCTTATTCGAGTGATCCGAATGCACTCAAGAGGCCCACAAGGAGAGGTCTCCGAAGTGGTGACTTCTCGGACCAAGACGCGGACGATGTCTACGAACCGAGTGCGGCTGCGAAGCGAGACCTCGATCAGACGGAAACGGACGGAGAGCACATCACTGATGACATCGTCGGGCCTGCCGAGTCAACTGCGCTAGCACTTTTCCTAGGCTTCCTTGGTGGACTGGGTCAAGTGTCTGCGAGCGTGTTAGGGGCAGAGGTGACGGACAAGTAACCGCACATGAGATCTAAATGCAAGGAGTTGGGGTTGGCAAGAGGTTGGGAGGCGTGTTTGCGCATGATACCTAGTGTCTGTTTAGTGTTGTATCAGGGTGCTGTGGATTCTGTTCCGCTGCGCTGAGAGCGTGTAACGGCAATCTTTCTACTAAGTTGGGATACAGCAATCGAATCGATTCAATGGGACGTTTGCATTATCGTTGCGTGCCTCTTCTGGACAAGAGTGGATCTTCGCGCCGTCCCAACCGTGGCTCTGATTAATGAGGGATTCGAGTTTCAAAAACATTTAGTTTAGGTTCCAGCTAATCTTGTTCCAGCAACGAGCTGCGAATTTTCCGCTTGCTATTTCCTCATCTCAGCTGTAGTGCCCTTCTATGATACAGATGCGCTTTTTGGATCATTGCCCTTCAAAAGGCCGGACCCCTTGCTCGTGTAGGTGAAAGTATGTCACGGACTAGAGCCTTGGAGAATCCATATCGATACCTACCGAGCTATCCGAAGATGCTACATACTTTGGCGAAGAAACCGCCTAGGTCAGGCGGCTGGCGCTTCTACAGCGTCTCTCTCGGCGCGAGGGAAGACTTGTTTGAGCGCCGCCTGGAAAACGCCCACGTTGTAGTCTATGACGGCCTTCTTCTCTGCGGGGCTGTCATCACCCATGAGGCAGATCAAGGCGAGATATCTATCTGGTCGTTGGCACCATTCACAGTCCTTGGGGCAGTCTCTTGGGTTGACGTACTTGTTGATCTCCCTGAGATAGAGATAGTTATTGCCCTTCCTCTCCATTGTAATTAGGCTCTCGGCGTCATTGTTGCCTGTCTCGGTGAGGCTTTCATCATCACCATTTTGCTCACCGCGTGGCCAGCCATAGATCTCACTAACATCTATAACGACATCGATGTAGTCAGAGCAGATCTCATAGCTTCCGATGTCCGTGGGGCTTGTGTCGGTTGCGATGTAGATCTTGCTCATGATGTCGAATAGGTATGCCTTTTCGATGTGGCACGTGCTGCACAGGCTGTTGAGAAGTGCTTCGAGTGTGGGGAGCTGTGGAATCAGCTTTTGGATTACTTTTGAGAAAGCTTCGAAGATGGAATGGTCATAGATGCTGGTCTGATAGAAGGAGACGGGCGCGTTTTCATATCCGTGATCTGAGAGCTCATCTTGAACGCGCTGGATAATGTCGCGGAACGTGTCGCCCTTATAATCTTCTGAAAGACCGTCGACCTTGTGCACGAAGACTTCCACGTTGATGTTCGGGTAAGAATGCTGTAGGTTGAGTATGGTGGTGTTGAGACGCATGATAGCTTCGAGATACTCATCTTGAGCGTCAATGACCCATATGAGCGCTCCGATCTCCTCAAATATATTGTCCACATCGAAGGCTGGATCAAAGTAGTCCAGGTGGCCGGGAAAATCCCACACCTGGAAATCCATAAACGAGCTGACTGCATAAGTACTACATAGAGAAACTGCACGAAGGCGACTCACTGCATGGATTCTTTCTTGATCCGAGTGGTTGTCTCGAGATACAATGTCTCGCTAGGCGGCAGCTTGTGGAAGACTACGCTGGATATTGACGACTTGCCACTCCTGTGCCAGGATCAGCCAGGCAGCATCAGACGCAAAACAAATGTGACGCACCTTCGCTGGCCCATGAGCAACAGCCGTGGCTTTCCATCGCCAGCTTTGCTGTTAGGAAGGCGGCCCGTATGGAAACGAGGCGGCACAGGATCCGTGTGGGGGACTTCGGCGTCTGGAAGGTCCTGTAGATATCGCATCAAGGTCAACTGAGCTCCGGGTTTCAAACGCGAGTGGTCCGCCTGCGAAGGATCCTCGTGGACAGACGGCAACTCTGTGACAGGGGAATGCTGAGAAGCTGACAAAGGCGGTTGGGTCGACTCCATGATGATGTGAGGTAGCACGGGGTATCTTCGCTGGAACGAGCAGAAAACTGACAAGGCAGGGGAAAGAGAGATTGAAGAGGATGAGTCCACGGGCAAGACGCCTTCACCGCGGGCGAAATGAAGTGCAACAGAGTTCCCGCGTCGGTGCGCCCGTTCACCTGGCGGGCATGGCGGTGGTGAAGCGTGGTACTCGTGTCGGAAGTGGCAGCGGCGGTGGGCTTGACAGGCCTGACGGAGCCAACGGCTGGCAGCAGACAGGCAGGGTGGCTAAGCAGAAGCGTGGCAGGCAATGATGGGGAGCCCTCGCAGCGTCGAGGTTCTACAAGCTTGGTGGGTGCAGGCCTTTCGCGCCAGGTGCCCGGCTCGAGCGAGCGAGGTCAGGTCAAGCCATGGTGTGGGTCGCGACGGGCCCGGACGACGGAGGGTTGAGGGAGGAGCGAAGGAGCAGCGGCAGAGTGCAAGGAGAAATATAGAGAGCGAGCTGCGGGAGGAAAAGGAATCGGATGCTCACCTCCATGGCCACCAGGCGGTATGTAATCGTCTTGTAACGTGTGCACGGCCTGCGATAGTGAAGCCTGGAATGCGGCCCAAGCCAGCAGCACGCCGCCCCCAACCCACGATGCAACCAACAGCCGGCGACGCGCAGAGAGGACGGCTCTTTGGTCTGGCGCGCGGGTCTGAGAGAGACGAAGGCTCCCCGGATGGGTGCAGATGCACAGTGGAGCGATGCCGCGTGTTTGGGTGCGCGAGACAGGCCTGGAGGCTGGCAGGGCGGCCAATGCGCTGCAGCAAACACAAACACGCAGGTGTAGAGGAAGAAAGCCGGTGCCACGCGGGTCGAGTCGACGCGGACTGAGGTGCAGATGAGGCTCCAGGCTTGCAGCCAAACCGAGTCCTCTCCTGCCTCTCATCACGCCGCGCTTGGCCGTTTAGTACTGCATCCGTCGCCAGCACCCAAACACCACCAACGGCAGCCGTGACGACAGCCCGGGCGACCGTCTGCCACCCGCCCGGCTCCTTGGGACTCGACCAGGCTGTTCGGAACTGTCCGTGGGGCCGCATATCGCACAGCATGCTTCGCTCCCGGACAATACTCGCGGAACCGTAGCACCTAGACAGGAGCGGCACACCGCTCCCTCACGCCGTGTTTGGAGTCTTGCAGGACAGTTGCGAGGCCACGTTCCGATGGCTGGAACACAAAAGCCATGCGATTTGAGAGGACACCGTTCATACAAATTGTAGGGCACGACTGACGTGGGCTATGCAATGACCTTTCCAAGGCTTCTGGAGTGTCACGTGCCTCCCATAACGGCAGGTCCAATCACAGGGCCCGTAATCCGCGGACCGTTGTAATCTCGCCAATATTGGCCCGCAGCTTTCACCCGGGCGCCGCGGTCCGCTTGAACCTCAGAGGCCACCATGTTCAAGTAGCCAAACTAGGTCATTCCACATTGCAACGACAGCTTCAATGTTCAAGTAGCATCGTCAGCCCCACCACGACAAGTATCTGTCCGCTCCACCATGGCAACACGCAACCGGCGCCCCGCGCCTACCAAAGACGAGCCCGCCGAGCCCATCAAGAAAGTCGCAACGGAAACCACATCCTCAGCGTTTTCCGTGCTAGACATCCTGCGTGTAGCGGGCGGCATTTTGCTCTTCAGCAGCGCGCTCTCATATCTCACCACGAGCGGCACGAGTCTGACATGGGGCTATAACCCATGGTGGACACGCGCAAGAGAATGGAAGAACATCATGGTGCGCAAAGTCTTGAATTCTACCTCCCTACCGTTCATTCCATACTAAACGTGCGTAGAACTCTCCCGTCTCCCTCACCGACGAAGAACTGAAAGCGTACGACGGAACCGACCCTTCCAAACCCATATACCTCGCTCTCAACGGCACCATCTACGACGTTAGCATCAGCCCCGCGACCTACGGCCCCGGCGGCTCCTACCACTTTTTCGCCGGCCGCGATGCCGCGCGCGCGTTCCTCACCGGCTGCTTCGACACGGACAGCGTGCCGGACTTGCGCGGCGTTGAACAAATGTACATCCCGCTCGAGCCTTGGGAGAAGCCTCCGCCGCCCGATGCCCCCGAAACAGACAAGCAAAAGCACGCCGTGCTGGAGAAGAGGGCGAGAGAGAAGCGCAAGGCGATGAGCAAAGCCGATTTGAAGAATAGAAGTGCGCAGGAGCTGAGGAAGGCGAGGCAGAGTGTGAGGGATGGGCTGGAGCATTGGCATCAGCTCTTCAGGGGGGACAAGGGGAAGGCGTATAGAAAGGTTGGGGAGGTGAAGAGGGAGGAGGGCTGGTTGTCGAAGTTGCCAAAGAGAACACTCTGTGAGAACGCAGAGAAGGGGAGGCCCGTGAGGAAGTATGAGGTTTGAGAGTGGGCATATTTCGAAGATGAAGCATATGCAAGCGTTACATATGTACACTGTTTATAATATCATGTGAGCGAGATGGACTTGATCGCATACGCATCTGGCAGTTTGACGTGTGGTCAGTGTTTCTTCCGATTAGAATGTGAGAGGTCGAATTGATTCAAGGTGGCACAAGCTGTCCATGTCAAAGAGTGGAAACATTAGCAAATGCATGTAAAACAGTAGACAATGGTGAGGTTTCAATCTGAGACTGAACCTTGGGTGACATTTTCGATCCTTCGAGGGACACAGGCGGTCGACAAATTATGCCACTCGATCACAGCCAAAGTTGATGTGAAGATCATCACGGCTTGTCTGTCATGGGGGAACCGAGTTGGTTTCAGATCCTTTTTCTCATTCAATGCATAATCGACTCCGTACCGTCAGCGGACACTCAGATCTGAGCCGAGCCTGCCGCATCCTCTCATGTCATATCCCACGTGAGCATGCCCAAAGTAAGGATTTCCCTTACGAAAACATGCCGACCAATAGTGGGGTAAGAGGAATGTCGTTGAAATGTCGAGATTGAAGACCCGAGTATCTCATCCAGCCATCTTTTGTTCGTACGAGCCGCTTAAGCCTCGCCAGCAACGTCACGGGCTGTTGCGAGTTAGTCACAGCAAAACCTCTGTCCAAACGACGGCCCGAGAGTGTGAAAACGTACTATAGATGCTCAGCTTGGAGTGGCCGACAACCTTCTTGATGGTACCCTTCTCCTCGAGATCGGCAAGGGCTTGCCGGGCGAGCGAACCGTTGATCTTGAGACGGTCGACGAGGGTGGCGACGGTGATGAGGCGGTAGGACTGGACGTCCTTGTTGAGCTTGTCCGCGGTCTGCTTGTCGAGGACGACGGCGTGCTGGGCCTTGTCCTTGACTGTAACATTCGTTAGTGGCGTTCTCAATATGCAATATCCCATGTGCGGGGAGGTTCGCGGACGGAGCGCTGCGGAAGAGGTATGTATCCCTCCAGGGCGCGGCTAACGACGCCGTGGACATGAACGATGCGCGAGGAGATGCCGTGCGCATGTGCGCTGGTGGAGGGGCGGTGTTCACGTACCCTTTCCCTTGGACCACTTCTTCTTTTGCTTCTTGCCGCCGGTCGCTGCAGGTGCCTGAGAGAAGTCAGTTGTGCCGTTCTGGATGTCTCTTCAGCGAGGTCGCCGCAACGCAACGTACCATGTTGTCTGATGTGGTGGATGTGCTGAAACAGTGTCTGCGATCAGTCAAAGGTCAAAATGGAAGTGCGGGTGAAGCTAGTAGAAGCGAGCCACTCCAGGCTTGGCACAACGTGACGTTGATCACGTGACGCGAACGCGTCCACGGGTCGCCGCACGGCCGTCAACGTGTCATAATGCATACAGTGTAAGTGACTTCTGCAGCGAACAATCTTTCCGGTGCACACACCGTCAGACTTGACCTGCAACAATCATGAAGCAGCCCATCGACGTCCCGAGGTCGGCACCATCTCGTCTCCTCTTTCAATTGCACCGTCATCAGCTCCTTTCCCCTTTCCACACTCGCCCACCGTGATCTTCCATGAGTATCAATAATTGTTAGTTCGACGCCTAGCCACGCTTGGTAGCTGCCAGAATGTTCGCATGCCAAAGGGGCAGGCGCAGGCCCGTCAATGTGGGACAACCTACAGACCAGCCGATAATATTTTGCATTGTATTGTCATGCATTAGCGGGGATCTTTCCAAGGCCGCAACTACGGTTGCAGAGACAGCAGTGCCCTGATGCTCGAAAATCCAGCATGCATCGCGATAGCCGATGGGACTGCTGTGCTAGAGAGGACCTCGATGGTGAACCACTGGCCGTGCAAAAGTGTGTGTGGCCCTCGCGCTGTGGTTGGTTAATCGCAGACACACACCACATCTTCTTTCAAGCGCGCGATAACGCTAGCTGTATACCGTTGACCTGAAATTTGAGGCAGGGCTCCTCAAGGCTCGGCAATCTTCATGCACTCGTCTCGCCTCGCCGCAGATACAATAAGCTGCGCGTCACATGCGCATGTTTGGGCGAACACCGGCAAGCGTGGGGATTGGCCTGTTGCAAATCTCGAGGACTGGTGCATGCAGGAGCGAGGAAGCAGCCAGTCAACCATTCTTTTCCAATTACACTCAACTAAGTAGTGCCCGTATCAAAACAAGACTTCTCCACGTACGCGCCTGCGCCCTGCAGCCCATCCAACCTTCGCTTTCTTCTCGCAGCTAGAAATAAGGAACAGTAAAGGAGACTGAAGGGAAGGAAGCCACGCCAAGCCACGCCGAGAGAGGAAAGACAGATGATGGGAGAGACAGGAAGGATCCTCGACAGAGTTGCTAAAGGAACAGCAAAGATAGAAAAGGCGATGTTAGATCAACGGCAAAGAAAAGTGAAGCGTGTTCGCTCAGCTAGAAAGAACTAAGAAATCTTCCTCCTTCGCTTGGTACTTTTGGTTTTCCATGCTGTCGAATGCATCGTTCTACGCGTGCCAGCGACCCTCTGCTAAACACGGCGCAGCCTTCTCTATCTGAGTGCATATGCTCGCTAAGACAGAAGAGAGACAAGGTCGTCGTTAACCAGAAAATGTGACTGAGCTAACAAAAAGGTCGACTCGTAAATGCTGTTTTGCTCCAATTCCTGAAGTGCTAAGTTGGAAACGTTTCACCAAGACGCCAGGTCCAAATGGATGCATAATCGTTAGAAGAAATGGGTGTGAGGTTTGGAGAGCTCGTGAACTTCCATCTCCTATTACAAGGTTAGCAGATACTTTCAGCGTGACCGCAAGTCCCATACCATCTTGAAGGAGTTCAGCTCTTCCTTGATCTGCTGCGCGAGCATAGGAGTGAGCCTATTGCACGTAGCAATGTCTCCACGGCGGTCGTAGTCAGAAGCAGACCATGCGTCGTAGAACTGGAGGCGAGGGCTGAACGAGATATTACCACGCGACCCGTTGGGCGTGTTAGGCAAGCTTCGGGTACTGGGGTTCGCGAGACGTGGAGGTCGCGTAAAATAATCGTTCCGCTCGTTCACGGGTGTGCTTGGAGCACTGGACTTGGGCGACTCTGTGCGAGCATCGACAGGCCGAGAGACCGGAGACGAAGTCTCCGAATTTGTGTCCGTTCCTGAGCTATGTCAGCATATTCAAGAAGCTGCGTCATAGCGTACTCACGTTTTAAGATCCCCTTCTTGATGGAAGAGAGTACCTCAGCACGCTCGCGATCCCCACCAATGATGCTCTTACGAGACAAGGAATCACTAGAGGGTGCACCCAAGCTGCTGGTATCTGTGCTTCGACCAGCGTCGATAGAATTGCGCTCCAGACGAGGATACCCTGTCCCGCCACCAATTTCGTGCGGGTTCGCGTTCACATTGACCTTTTGACGCTCAGCTTCGACGGTGACACGCGAAACCTGTGGCTGCATGACGGGACCATCGGCTGCGGGGACCCCAATGACTGATTTGGGCCTAAACAAACCCTTGATCGACCTGGTGCCCTTCTTCATGCCATGGCCCATCTTCCTCAACATCACGGAGGCCGACGAAGCTGTGGAGGATATCGAAATGTTATCAGTCGAGCTTGTGAAGCCGCCCTGTCCGTTGTATATGCCTGCGCCAATGCCGGCTGCCTCTTGCTTTGCTATAATGGCCGCTTGTTCTGAATCCTCTTCGTTTTGGTACCGATCTTTTCTCAGTTTCGCCCGTTCAGCGCTCAGATTATTCTCGGCAGATGCGCGACGAAGCTCAGCGGCGCTCCCAAACGAAAAGGCTCGGCGTAAGCGAGATTTCATCCCCTTGCTTCCATCTTTATCGTTCAGAGCCGTGAGTTGCTTGACCGCCGGGCTTACAGATGAGGTTTGAGGTGCAGGATTCGAAGGCTCAGAAGGCGAGATGGGTTGGGACAGCGGAGAAGGTGCAATGCGTCGATTCGGCTCTGGCGTCTTGGAAGCAGGCGCTGACGTCGTACCCACGGCGGCGCGAGAAGGGGTAGACTCGTGGCGCGACTGTTACGATTAGAATGGTACGAGCCATTGAGAGATATACTTACAGATGGTCTGGTAGACGCATGGGAAGATGTCGTGCTACCCGAACTACCCTGTCTCTCGTGGCTCTGACTCGAACCCGGTCGACGACTTGAGCTGGAAGCAGGCGGTGTCTCCAAAGTCGGCCGCTTCGATGTAGCGACGGTTGTGATAGCCGTCACGGGTGCAGAGAGAGGTGCTGCGGTAGTTGCCATAGCCTCGATGCTGCTCAAGCTGCGTCTCCTATAACGCTTGGCCTGCTCGCTGGTGCCTCCTCTTGGCATGTGCATGTCATCGACGCTGCTGGCGCGATTGTGACCTGGTCTTGCGGGAGGCAGGAGGTCCGTGGTGTTCAATTGAAGGCCAAGGGAAGGTCGCGTATTTGATGGCGGGACCGTTGCACCAAGTGAGGGCGATTGTTGTGTCGGTGTAGTGACCGTAGCACTATTAGAAGAATCGGTCCTGCTCGCACCTCGACGATAGCGACCGGGCGAAGGCTTTACTGGAGCATCCGGAAGGGATAATGAGAGATCGGGCACGGACGCGGAAAGACCTATCGAGGCAGGAAGGTTATCAATGACCGACTTTCTGAAATCGCCATCTTCCCGAGTAGTGAACGAAGGAGCTGCAAGCGAGCGGCTTGAGGAACCCGACGTGGACACGGTTGAGTCCGAAGATGAGGATGCATGTGTAGGATGGCCCAGACGGGCAGGATTTGCAGCCTGAGTCTGCTGTGGCAGAGCCTGCTGGTGCTGTCCCGACGTCGACCGGGTATCCTGTCGTAGCTGAGGTGTGCTTGAGAAGGCATATGGAGCTATCGGAGCAGAGGTGCCCCGGTATCCTGCTCCCGCCGCCTGAGCGTACGATTGGCTTCGTGGCATCTGTGACGATCGTTGCTGTGTATGGTGGGGCTGTGCCGAAGAATTCTGGAAGGCATCGGAGGAAGAGTGCAGCATCGTAATCGGAGTAGAGGTCTGAACGATGGGCGCGAGTACCGTAGCCATCGGGTGCTCTCGCAGGACGACTGTGGGTAGGTCGGTCGTGGGCGACAGAGGGTGGTCGAAGGCTTAAGCGACGACGGTGCGACGAAGCAGTCTGCGCGGCAGCGTGTTAGCAGATAGCCATGGTTGTGGTGTGAGGGTGCAGCTGGGACGAACAGAAGCTCACAAGATTGCCGTTGGAGCAATTGTGGGCCGGGTTCAGGAGGAGAGGCGGCAAGGGCACGGTGGACGACGTACCCCTTTCGCTGGACGGAAATGACGGCGCCGAGGCAATTACAGGAGAAACACCTGCCGTGGAAGAAAACGCGAGAGAGTATTAAAACAGAGGGTAGAATGCAACAAAGTCGGCGGAAGCGCTGGAGAGGCTGTCGTGGATCGACGGAGCTGGCAGCGTGTACCAAGCCTCCCGAGCAGGACGGTTAAGCCTGCATTGGAGGGGAGCGGGCGTCGGGGTCACCTGGGGCGCTGGAGGGGTCGACGGGAGGGTCACAGTGGCACGCACAAGAGAAAGAATAGAGGGAGGGAGGGTGAGGCGGCGTCGGTGAAGGCAAAGCGTGGGTTTGGTGTGAGGGCGCGAACACTGAAGTAGGGGAAGTCGAAGTCCCAAGGTGGCTTAGGCTCGCGCTCGGCCCATGAGCAGGCTCGACGGCGGGCGGGCAGGCAGGGGACGACGACGGCGGACACTGGCACAGATGAAGCAGAGGCGGGCTATCGAATGGTAGATTTAAGGCTGGCAGTTGCACGGCAAGTGCAGATTGCTCTGCCCGCGAGCATCGCTCTACATCAGACGGTGTGTGATTGCGAGCTCAGTCCGTGGGCGACGTGCCGCGTCTGGTCTGGTCTCTGGTCCGGTGCACACAGTACGAGGAAGCGCGAGCTCCTCCCACCGTCCCCCTCCCCGCTGGCCGCAACATGGCCTTTGGTTTTGGGGTCGACGGCATGGCGAGGACTGGCCCACACGATGCTGCATCTCGACGGCACACGGCAGGCTGTTCGCGCTCGCCGTCACCGCCTGCACGCTGGCTGGCCCATTCCGACGCCCCAGGGCTTCCGTCCGAGCAACCAGAAAGATTCCGAGCGGCGAGCGGCTGCTGCATGCGTGCGCATTCCAGCGTCGCAAACAAACCGAACGCCTCCAGGAAATCCAGACATGAAACTTGGGCCAGGGTGCGGGTACGCGAGCGGCCGGCCAGCACCTCTCTCACGCTGGCCATGACGCACATGCAATCTGGCAGAGAGATACGCTGCAACACGAGCATCGATTGGATGGGCAGGGCGGCTCGACGCTCGACGCTCAGGTGGGTCGCAGTCATGATGCGGCTGAGCGGTTTGCACATGGCGAAGAGCGGTGGACGTGGCTCGGTGCACATGGCTCCATGGATGCAATTGCTCCTGGACAAGCACACCGACAAGCTCTGGTCTACCTGTCGATGCCCCGCCGCGGTCCGACCGACCTGCTTCGGCGCCGCCACTGTCCAGCTGCATCCGACCCCCCAGCACGCGCATCACGACCGTCTGCCTGCCTGCCTGCCTGCGCTTGGCGGCGGCGCAACTGCAGCCAGGCCGCCAAGGCGTGGGGAAATGATAGCATGCACCCGAGGGCGACGCGCACAATTCCACCTCGACAACATGCGCTACCACCTTGTTGAGGACAGCTCCAGTCGCAATCATAGCGCTCGACGGCAGCAGTGGCCGGCGTCGCACCACAAAGCTCAAAGCGCGCTCCGCTCCTCTGCAGCGGGTCCCACTCGTAGCTGGATGCAAGTGTTTGGCCAGCTCGCCATCCAATGGGCCCGGTGGAGTGAGCGACGATCATGCTGCGCGGGGCAAGACCATCCGAGTCGCCTTCCCAGAGCGCATATTCCTTCGCCGATGCTCGACTGCGGTCCCGCCTCGCCTCACATACTACAGTACTACTGTTCTGTACTGTATCCCATGATTGTCGTCGCCTGGGCCGTCCGCCCGCCTCGCTAGACCCTCCAGTGCCATCGAGCGCGCCTTCCCAGCACCAAAGTCGTGGAACAAAGCCCACCGCGCCACCACGCTGGTCCCCTCCGCGATGCGCTGCAAGAGTCCGCACAACGTGAGCCTCGTCACCGCACGCGGGAAATTGCTGCTGAGTCTGCTCGCAGCGGACCCATCGACACTGCCAGTGAAAACCTCCATCGCCTCTCGGAACAGCCCATCTCATAGGTCATCTTCGCACGTCACCTTCGTTGCAACCATTGCTAGCTTTGTAGACGCTGCCGGGATGCCCCAGCGATGACAGTGCGCCATCGCGGACAGATCCCGCCATCTATCACTCAGGGTCGCGCCGTTCTCCTCTCTGCACGCAGCCCTCGGCACTACACAAATCTACCTATTTGCCGGGACACGCTGTCACGTACGCAACGCTTACGGCGGCTTCGAACAGACCTTCTCTCCTAAGCCGTCCATCCTCTTGCGACGCGTCCATTCTCGGACCTGCAAAACATGTCTTCTTCTTATGCCCATGGTTGTTTGCTCACGGCGCAAGAGGCCACTATGCGTCCAATCCAGTCCGCACGTCTGCTTGTTCCTATCTCTAAAATCTTGCAGTTGCGTGTCCTCGGCAAGAATCCACCACCACCATCTGGAGACCGAGAAGCTCCGTGTCACCGAACGACTGGCTCACAAGCGTGGGCGACCTTGAACGCTTGAAAACGGTGCAGTGACTAATGAATCGGAGCTGAGCTTATGTTTCAGATCTCTCACCGCGCCTCGTAGCACAGATCTTGCAGCCACCATACCCCCTTCGTTGCTAGAACGAACCACTGTTCACCTTGGCATCTTTGTGAATGCAATTGGTGACAACTCTCGGTGGTTGTCTCGTAGCTGGCTCTATAAGATGCACCATGCCGGCCAGCCGGAGCAAGTGCAGTAGCTCACAGCATCGCGCAATCGCATCCTACTCCACCTCGAGTAGGCGGTGTCACACCTCCGAAGCTCATGCGGCGTGTCTCGCTCTCGCCAATCAAGCTACTGCACCGAGACTTGGTCGTGCTGCCGCAGGCTACCCCATCAGTGACGGGCAATCCGCTGACGGTCCGTCATCATTGGTCAGATTGAGACAAATCCGTACATATAACAGTTGCCCTAGTATTTGGATCTCATCAAGCTCTTGAGCAGACCATTATGCCACATGTATATTGCCACCAGAATACACGTCGAAGCAAAGTTGTTAACACTGTCCCCACGCTGCGACGGCTTTGGATATTTACGTGAAGTTAGTCTGAATTTGGCTCTCAACAGAGCGCTAGTCGAACGCTAGAGCAAGAATCACGCCAGCTCTTTCTTCATGTTGAAGACTCTGTTCATGGGACGATGACCGGAACTGAACTTGCAGATACGGACCTCACGTTCTCAACGTTCGAAGTCTCTTGCAGTCAGTTTGAAGACATTCTCCCTTTGGCGTGAGAGTGAAGGAGCATTGTCGACTTGCCTTGGTAATCATAGTTGGCTTAGTTCCGGCTGAGACACATCGACACAGTCCCACATAGAAGCTTCCTCTGGCGCAACGGTGTCGAAACGACCAAAAAACAACGTTGGTCGTAATCTCGCTTCCCCAAGACTGTGGCAGCCTGTTCTCCACACAACGCCGTTTCCCCAGATCGTCGATTCCGCAGATCTGACATCATCCGCTCGTGTACGTTTCATCTTGTCCGAGTTGTCGTGCGATGCTGTCTTGTGGATTAACTTACGTCGGGTGGCACCGTCTCGCTGATCATAATAAGGAATGCGCGTCAACAGTATTTCGAGAACACACAGTGACAGAATATACACGTCATGCACATGAACACAAGCACAGATAGAGCTGCGATTACGGTCCTCGAAAATGTCACTGATCTCTAAACCATTTCCTATCACTTGCACATGTCATTAGTCATCCACCCTCGAACAACGTACCGCTTTCCCGCGTCTTTTGCCCGGTCTGATGAGACGCCAGGCTCATTTATGGCGCTATCTAGACTTTCCATCCATTCTCAAGCATGCCAATTCTTGTCACTATTGCTTTGATCTCACAATAGCGCTCATATTCAACAGGCTCGCGATGGCTTCGAAAATGCTTGAGGATATCCTTCGCCAGGATAGTCATTGGGCAGAACCACCAACTCCTCAACTGTATCGCAGTATACGAGAATCACAACTTGCATTTGAGTGTTACTGTCATGCCATCGATACGGCTATGACGGCAACGCAGGCTTGTCATACCACGCACCCCACGTCGTCACCGGCCTCGAGCGTACCGCCGGTGTCGCAGACGGCGAAATTTCGAATACGTCCGACTCCGGGCTTGAAGGTAAGCTCACATTGTCCTGGCCATGAGCATTCTGTCCCGCGGGAATATGGCGATCGGTCGAAGTCCTTGGAGGCCTAACGTCTGTATACTGTCCAGCAGTATGCGTGTCAGGCTTACGGTATGCCCCATAGATGGTGGGCATTGGGTGCAGGCGCGGCAGCCTGTTGATGCTGCGCTCCGCAACGGTGGGTGGACGCCTGTTAGGAGTGCGCAGCGGGTCGGGAAACAAAGATAGGCTACCGGACGGTGCCCGTAGGTTGCTCAGAGACACGTTGCTAGCAAAGGACGAGGCGATTGATATACGGTTCTGGGTAGACCGATCGAGTATCATGCCAGACCGCCTTGCCTTGTCACGTACCGGGGTGGCTGGAGGTTGGCAGCTCGTTTTCATCGTCGGAGCTGGGATGAAAGGTTCCGAACTATCGACATCGACCAGTATGGTCCCGTCGCTGTCACGGTCCGTGCCTCGAGCGCCTCTGTGTGGAAGGGCCTTATCTTTGCTAGGAGATATAATTTCACTGCGTTCTGATGACGGCGGGAAGGAAGGCTCGGAGATGACGACAGCGGTGACTGATTCTTGATCAGCGGTAGCATGAGCTTTAGGCGCTTGATGTGTACTTGCCTGGCAGTACTGCGGTGCATGAGACTCGGAGGTGTCGATGCTGACGACGCTTGGCCTGGGGTTGGCCACATCTCCACCGGAAGCTGGCCTGTCATGCCTGTGCATCCGACGATGCCCAAAGCTATCGAATCGTATCTCCTCCTGTCCGTGGGCTCTCTCTCCACGATGGATGTCGTCATCAATGACTTCACGGGGTTTCTCTTCACAGGCTCGCTTCTTCTTCACCCACTTGGTGTCTCTCGTCGCACCACCTAACCTGTAGAAGTGCCTTTTTGAACGGCTATTGGGGCTTTCATCGTGGCTGTAGAGGCCGGTAAGGGCAGCTGATCGAGGTGCCATCGGGTTGACACGAGCAGTGTCTGTGGTTTGTATTCAGTTGTCAATCGGCTGTGATCTTGGGCTCAGACAGTGCTGAAAAACAATACAACGAAATGTAGGCCAAGAGACGACATTGTGACAGTGCGTGTGTTGTGTTGACATAGCCGCAATCATTGTGATGAGTGTATTGGACAAAGAGTGCTTTGTTCTAAACGTTCTGCTGAGCAGATACGGCCAGCCAATGAAGCTGGAAACATCAAAGACATGATTGGCACAGCCTTCCAAGTAAATTGGCCCGAGACATCTTGAGGCATACAATGGCTTCGTCTGCCTGCAAACGCAGGTTTCCATCGAAGGTGACCTGCGTAACAAATTTGCAACATCGGTCAAAAAGATCAATGACGGTTCGCGCTTGCCAGTCCGGTGAAATACCCCGTCATTCTCCAGGGTACGTCTCGATGCCAGAAACGTGCTCGCTCAGCGCAATCTTCGTCACTTTTTGACTCGAGGCGAATGCTCGGTCTGACAACCCACAGCGACAATGCTAAGAGAGCGTGCCTAGGACGAATTTCATGTCACAGCTCCTCTAACAGTAACTTGCTACAGGTTTTCCGAGCACGTCTAGGTGAGGAGTGATGCCCAGACCAGGCTCACGCGACGCCGTAACATTACCATCATGTAGTCCATATTCGCATCTTGCAACCTTAACCGTAGAACAGTCCCTCACATCCAATATACACCGTAGATTGCGCTCTGGAATCGTCTGTGCGAGATGTACAATCGCCGCAAACGAGATATCCGAACCCCAAGCATCCTGCACAGTCATAGTGTACCCAGCAGCCAAGCAGATATCCCTAATCCGGCGACCTTTCGTCAACCCTCCGCACTTGGCGATCTTCAGATTGATGCCCTCAGCTCCGTCTTCAGCTATGAGCTGCACGAGGGACGCGGTATCTGTCACTAGCTCATCGAAAATTATCGGGAAGCCGGTCCGCCGCCGAAGTGAGATGGTCTCGTGCCAGGTAGCGCAGGGCGATTCGAGAACAAAATCTAGGTGGCTGGGCAGCAATCTCAGTAATCGTAGTGTGTTTTCGACCGTCATTCCGCAGTTGGCATCGGCAAGGAAGAATTCGTCGTTCTTTTGATCAGCAAGAGAAGCAGTGACTACCAGCGTAGGCATCCAGTCAGCGCGCATCGTGAGTAGAAGGGCATGATATTTTAGTGGTGTCCCAGCCATGAGAACGTAATGAACTCTGACGCTATGATGGACGTCGAGAAGTTTTACGTCCCACTGCCATTTCCTCAGCGTCATGACTGGCACCTGCCTCGAGTCTTGAAAATTCAGAGGCTCACAACAGCAATACAACCACTTCGTACCCGAGCGTACTTACTAAGTGCCACGTCACTTGCAGGATCTTGCCCAATTTTGATGGAATGTCCTCGATACCCTTTCTCTCGATAGCCGGCTACTATCTTGCGCGCTTCATCCGGCGCACACACACCAACGGAACTTATCCTGGGTAGACTAGTTTCGGTGCGACCGCCCAAGAGCTCACACACAGGTAAGCCAACAGACTTTCCAAAAATGTCCCAACATGCGACATCCAGAGCTGTCTTTGCGTATTCATGGCCAAGAAGAGCAGCGTCCATGGCATCGTTAATGCGGTCGACCATTCGCGGATCCATGCCGATGAGGTGAGGCGCGATCTCCGCTATTCCTGCTCTTACACCAAGAGCATGCGCAGCGACAAATGTAGCTCCGAATGGGGTGCTCTCTCCCCATCCTTCAATACCAGTGTTGGTGGTTATTCGGACTATCGTGGCGTCGAAGCTAGTATAAGTGCGGCCGCCGGACAGATGGTATGTTCCTCCAGAATAGGGTAAGTCCACTTGGAAGACATCAATTCCTGTGATCCTAAGTTCTGACATTGGTGCGTGGGCTATCGATGTTGTATGGGTTACAAAGAGGTACTGGAAGATGTCGTAGACGCTGAGAAAATTGCTTCTGTAAGCATGATTGCGACCATCATATACATCTCTCTACGGATAAGCCATCCGATTTACGAAAGCTTATCAGAAGCTCGATTGGTCAACGAGGCAGGATAGATGTCGCTGCGTTCGTAGGACTCCTACCCCACCAAGCTTACCTTAGCGTCACTTTCGCTCGTATCGACTTGCCAGACAGCGTAGAATCTTACGAAACATCAACGAAGTACAAAGTTACGGTCGGAGAGTGTAGCCGATGGCACACATGTTGTCCCAACATCGGCGAAGCAGACTTGAATTCTTTTTGGCGACGAAGCATACTAGCTAGGGCGATGTTGTTACCTTCGAGCACGTTCGTGTAAGTAATCTACTTGGTTGCAGCCACAAGTAGAGCCAGTGGGTTCATTCTTTTCGAAATTCTAGAGTCACCCACCCAAGCCTGCTAGAACCTTCCCTCTACGTACTGTGGTTGCAGCTAAAGGTAGTTCCAATTCGCCAATGTCCCACGCCCCAGGTATCAAGTGTTTTCGACCAACGTGTGTTAGAAAACTCCCATGAGAAGCTTAGGCACACAGGAGGGCGAATCAGGATTACTTCTGGCAGCAACAGAAGCTCTTTTATACCCAGAGAAACTATTAGATTTCTATCTCCTTATTTGACGTTATCTCTGCTCTGGAGGACCCACTGGCTTTACTTGTGGCTACAGCCATAGCACTTACAAGGTGCTGCTTGACTAGCAGACTTTGGTTTAAGACATTTTCCCCTTAACCCCTATCTCGATCAGTTCGATCATGTCTTACTCTGCAACGATCAACAGAGCCGAATCAATAAGTATCTCTAACTCGAGAAGCTTACCGTGAAACAGTCCATCGCATCCGGAAATCTCTCAAGGCGGCAGTCATCGAACAAACGCTAGAAACATGCCTGCACTTGACTTCCGTCTTCTTCAAAACCCTCGCCGTGGCTTCAAATCGAGACGCCATCATTGCAAAAGGAGCACCTTCCAACGCTTTTACCATCGTAGACGTGGTTGGCGAGCATAGCGTATCCGCTGACCACATCTTCGAGAAAGGGAGAGTGAGGGGGTTTTCAGAAAATGTAAATCGCATAGGTGCGAGTATCATACCTTGCAAGGGCCATGTAGGGTCAACAAGAGACGAGAAGTGAAAGAGTTAAGAAGCAGTTCCTCAGTCCGCACTCGTGGACAGTGCTACAGCAAGACATTGGATTGCGTAGGAGTACGTTATGTGACCAGCAGCAAGAACAACGATGCGGTTACAGAAGTCGCCCACGCGTTTACGACAGACGAGATTCCAGACTGTACGCAGACAGATGGGTTTGACAGTGTCGTAGGGTGTGTGAGCGCACCGAACATGTGCAAGAGATAGATACAGAGTTGGGAAAAAGTACATTTGAAGATTGACTCGTTCCTCATCCCGTGACGATAGTTGGTAGATTTCCTAGTGCACCTTCGCTTGGGGTACACTGCTTCGTGAACAACAGCTGACACTAACAGGCTATGGCTTGGTATACCACGACAAAGCCATCCTAGATTCCGCAGTCTTGTTTGGCATGACTGGGGACCAGATGGCATGCAACTTATACCCAATGGCCATTAGGCTCGGCCGGACATGGTCACCATCTTAGTCAGGGCTGCAACGTCGAGGAGGCATACACGTTCCTTAGCAATGGTTGTGCGGGTCCGAGGCTATGTTCCGGTTTAGCTAGGGATTGAAGACATGTATGCAAACTATCTGCAATCCTCGATTGCGCTATAATTCGTTGTCGTTGTAGCGGACTTCAAATGGCGCTTCACGTTCCGGGACATTTCCGGTGTGCGGGGCGGAGGAGCGATGATGAGGCTGACATGGAAAGTGCTTGAACGTGATTTGCAGATCGCCGGCGCGCCCAGGCGGCCCCGTTCCGAACGTGTGGTTAACGGCGCGCTGCAGCGACCATTCACCGGCGTTAGTAATGCGCCCTCCCTCTGGCATTTCCCTCTGTCCTCTTCCTGCACTCTGTAGCACCGCTCCTGTATCGACCTTCCCTTTGCGTCTGTCGAGTGTCCCTATCTGGGCTGAGCAGCCGCGCTCCCGCTGGTGCTGTTCCCCACCCACAACCATCGGCGCGCCCTACGATAATCAGTCAGTCAATCCTCTCGGGTACTCGCAAGGGCCGTGACCCGACGAGCACCATGGCCTCTCATTCCTCGACGCCGCGCTCGCGATCACGCTCCTCCACCTCGAGCGACTCCTCGGACACGACCATGCACGACGCCCCGCCCGTCAGACCCGTCCGCGCCCGACCCGCTTCGCACTCGAGTATCTCTCCCGTCGTCATGTCCAAGCCCTCTGACCCGACCTTCTCGCTCCTTCTCGCGCTCCCCCCGCGAGCTCAGGGACAAGGTCTACACGTTCGCGCTTGTCTCGCAGTTTCCCTTCTGGTGGCCCTCCCAAACGACGCCGAAGCACAACGTCGCCTTGGGCTTGCTCTCTACGTCGCGGCAGATGCATGATGAGGCCGCGCCCGTCCTCTACTCACAGAACAAGTTTCTCTTCACCAACCCCAGCGACTGCACCATGTTCCGCGTTGTCGCCTCGCCCTTCTCAGCAAACATGACGTCGGTATACTTCCGGATACGGGAAAAGGATGTGAAGCTATGGGCAACCTATCTCGGCAGCAAGGATCCATCGCGGAGCATGAAGTACGACCTACCCAAGTTGAAAAGCTTGTGGATCTTCCTGCGATGTGGCATGATGGGGACGCCGGGCGTGATAAACGGCATGGCTGGTGGAGGAGGATTGCCCGCTCTACTGGCGGCGCAAGCTCAGGCTATACACCAGGCTTTGGGAACACAATTGCAGCAGCAGGCCCAGATCAATATACAGGCCCTGCAACAGGCTATGAACCAAGCTCACGCTGGGGCGCACCTGAATGCGAATGCGAATGCGCCCGCCAACGGACAGCCGCCCATGCCTTTCGTGCAGTTCGCCCAAAATGGACTCCAGAATCAACATCAGAACCAGAACGCCGCGGTCCCGCATCCCCACGGTTTGCAGAACAACCCTCCAGCAAATCCATCACCTCTAGCTGCGCTCGCAGCTCAACAGCAGTCGCAACATCCACACAACCCGCCACATCAGCACCACCATCATGCTCCTGGTCACGCTCATGGCCATCACCAGCACGGCTTCTTCGCAACCTTTATGCGCTGGGAGCGTGAGATGGGACTTGAGAACCTATGCCTCTCGCTTCACGAGACTCGTCCTGTGGAAGCCGATATCAAGATCGTGTGTATTGTGAAGCTGCCGAGGCCCGAGCTTCAGAGATTGGTGAGGGTATACGCGGATGAGCTGAGCCTAGACAAGAATGGGGACGCAAGGACGAGGTTTCGGAGGGTGCATGGCGTGGACGTGAGCTTGGAGGTCAGTGGGTATGATGTTGGGGTCTGATGACGACTTGGCATAGGTTGCAATTTTCCAGGATTTCCCGGCGGGAGCGGTGAAGAGACCATGAGTATGGTGAGCAAATTCACACGTCACCTAAATAGCTTACATGCTATACATCGAGGATTATATACGAAACTAATAATACCATTTCCTAGATACACTAATTACTACACTTATTATATATAATAAATTATTAAAGTATAAGTATAGGTCTTTAAAATAACTATTACGAACCAGATAGCGGTAGGGAAGTTTAGGCGCTTATAAAGGTAGGAGATGCAATAACTAGGGTTATAATAAGATAAAGACACGCTAAGTTACTTAGATAGTAGTTATATAACTTACTTAGCTACTTAGGGTTCCTAAACACCTAAATAGCTAAGAGCTATTATATAACCTACTTAGTTATTTAGGGCCCCTAAGTAACTAAGTAGAATCCCTATATAGAAATATAAGAATAAACCTTTATACTTATATTTAACCTAAGTTTTAATCTATTATTTAGATTTACTTAGGCCTTCCTTATTAACTTATTATACTTTATAAGATACTTCTATATTAATAAAAACCCCTTCTTCCTTCCCTTAGTAAGTCTTACCTAAGAACTAACTCTAACCTATTTAGGATTAGCTACCCTTTCTAGATTTAATAGAAACTAGAAGCTATATAACGTTAACCTAGACTTTAATAATTATATAGTAGAGGCTAAAAAACTAAACTAGAAAATATTAAAAAATATCTACTCCTAAGCTCTCTAAGATAATCTTTAGAACCTTATAATTATAGTTAAAGTTAATTAGAGCTAGGACCTTATACGCCTTTAGAATAGAGTAAATCTTATTAATAAGAATATTTACTATAATAAATTATATACTTTACGTGCCCTAGTAAGCTCTAGTTAGCCTAATAATATAGACTAGGAACCTACTAAAGCTTATATAAAATATATCCCTAGTAACTAAAAAAAGCTAAAAAGTACTAAATTTACTACTAGCTAGAAATAGGCTATTTAGGTCCTAAGAAAAAAGCTAGAGAAAAAAAGGTATAAGAGTATATACTTCTACTATAGAGAGACTAGGTACTAATTCTCTTAGTATAGGCTTCTTTTACTAAAGAAGCCTACCTAGGTGCACTTAGTAAGGCTAGCCTTATTAGCTAAGAATAAAGAGGAAAACCTTAAAGAAATCTCTAATAAGTTAGAAAACTAGAACCTCCTAGCGTAAGTTATAGTTAGGAGAATAAGGTAGAAAGAAGCCCTTAGAAATATTTTAATAACTTCTAAAGATTATAGCTAGATTTAATACTAGTAACTATATACTTATTAGTTAATAATATTAAGTTTATATCTACTTTAATTAATTTAGGGTGCCTAATATTTAAATTTATATTAAATAAGTTTATAAATAAAGCCTACCTATAATATATAACCCTACTAGCCCCTAGGGAGGTAAAAGGGATTAGAGGTATAAGCCTCTAGATATAAGAAATAGTTAAGTTTAAAATTAACCTAAAAGAGTATATATAAACTATATAGATTTATATTTTACTAGATAATAATACCTATAACCTTATCTTAGGGCTCCTATAGATAAAAGGAAACCTTATAAGGTTAGTCCCTATAAAGAAGTCTATCTAGATTAGCTACTTAGGTATAAAAATTAGAGACTATAAAGGAAAGGAGCTAAAATATAGCTTAAAGGGGGTTATAGTAATAGCCTTTATAGCCCTAGATTAGTAAAATTAGAAGCTAAATAATAGGCTATAAGCCTTTATAGCCTTACTAAAAAATATTTAGAAAATACTAACCTTAAAGCTAAAGGTAGACTCTTAGGAAGTTCTCCTTAATACTTTTAAGAACCTATAGTAGGTTTTTAGCTACCTTTCTATAGAGCTAGGGTAGACTACGCTATCCCCTTAGTAGAGGTAGATAGAAAGTAACCTAAAATTCTTTATAGGCCTCTATATAATATATTAAAGAAAGAGCTACTAGTATTCTATAAAAAACTTACTAAGTACCTAGATAAAGAGTTTATTTAAGTAAGTAAGTCTAGCGTAGCTACCTTAGTACTATTTATATAGAAGTTTAAAGAAGGTTTATATTTCTATATAGACTATAGAGCTCTTAATATACTTTTAAAGAAAGATTAGTACTTATTATCCTTAATTAGGGAAACCCTATAACTTCTTATAAAAGTAAAATAGTTTATAAAGCTAGATATAATCTAAGCCTTCTATAAGTTAAGAATTACTAAAGGGGAGGAGTAGAAAACTACCTTTTAAATATAGTTTAGGCTCTATAAATAGCTTATAGTACTTTTTAGCTTAGCTAATATACTTAGTACCTTCTAATAGTATATTAACTAGACCCTAAAAGAATACCTTAATAACTTCTACTTAGTCTATATAGATAATATAATTATTTTCTTAAGTAAAAGTCTCTAGAACTATAAGAATAAGGTCTAACTAGTAATTAAAAAGCTTAGTATAGTAGGATTACACCTTAATATTAAGAAATTAGAGTTCTATATAAAGAGAACTAAGTATCTAGGATTTATTATTAAAGTAAATAAGGAAGTAAGTATAGACCCTAAGAAAGTTAAGGTAATTACTTAATAGAAGGAACCCTAGTCTATAAAGGGGATTTATAGTTTTATAGGGTTTACTAACTTCTACTATAGATTTATTAAGAATTTCTTAATAATTATAAGCCTACTTATAAAGCTTATAGGTAAAGCCGTAGAGTTTACTTAGAAATAAAAGTAATAGTAAGCCTTTAATTACTTAAAAAAGGTCTTCTATATAGAACCTATTCTTATATACTTTAACCCTAAACTTAAATTAGTACTTAAGGCTAACGCCTTAGGCTAGTTAACTAGGGGTTACTTCTTATAGTTTAACTATAAGGGTATACTAAGGCTAGTAGCTTACTTTTTAGCTAAGAATACTCTAGTAAAGTGTAACTATATAATATATAATAAGGAGATACTTATAGTAAAGCACCTTACTATATATATAGACTATAAGAACCTTACCTACTTTATATAATAATAGAAGCTTAATAAAAGATATATATAATAGGCTAATATTCTTAGTAAATAAAATATAATCTTTATATATTAACCTAGAACTATTAACTCTTAAGCTAATATACTCTCTTATAAGGCTAAAGACCTCCTACTTAATATAGATGTTACAAACTAGATAACAGTAGGGAAGTTTGGGCGCTTATAAAGGCAGAAGATGCAATAACTAGGGTTATAATAAAATAAAGATATGCTAAGTTACTTAGATAGTAGTAACGTAACTTACTTAGCTACTTAGGGTTCCTAAACACCTAAGTAGCTAAGAGTTATTACGTAACCTACTTAGTTATTTAGGGCTCCTAAGTAACTAAGTAAGATCCCTATATAGAAATATAAGGATAAACCTTTATACTTATATTTAACCTAAGTTTTAATCTATTATTTAGATTTACTTAGGCCTCCCTTATTAATTTATTACACTTTATAAGATACTTCTATATTAATAAGAACCTCTTTCTCCTCCTCTTAGTAAGTCTTTACCTAAGAACTAACCTTAACCTATTTAGGACTAGCTACCCTTTCTAGATTTAATATCTTAAATACCCTTAATATAACTATAAGGACTCCTACTTCTTCTATAGCTTTAGATAATAATGCTATTACTCTAATAGGCAACTCTAAGAGTAAAGTATATAAACCTAATTTATATTATAGTAATAGAAAGTATACTAATATATAGCTTCTTTAGTTAGACCTCTATTTCTTTAAACTTAATAAATAACCTAAAGATAAACGAAAGGTTATCTTTATAGCTACTTATATATAAGGTAATACTAGAGAATGGATTTAACCTTATATAACTAAGTATCTAGAAATAGACCACAATAATAAAGATAAGGAATATATAGATAACTATATAGACGCAGTTAATATTATTAAAGACTATACTAACTTTAAGAAGTATCTTAAGTAGATGTTTAGAATTACTAATAAGGTACCTATTATAGCACGAAACATTTAAACTATAATATAATAATAATTAGTAGCTAAGTACGTAGTAGAGTTCTATAAGAACGCTATATAACTTAACTAGGATAATAAGTCACTAATAATAATATATAAATAAGGTCTTAAAAACCTCTATAAGAAAAACTTCTATATAGTAGGGGAATTGTTAGGACCCTTAATAAATTATATAATAAATTAATTAAGATTAATAGAGAATGGTTTACACTATAATAGGAATTTTAATATAATCTAAGAAATATTAGTTTTAGACGACTAGTACCTATAGTCTATAGGGTAATACTAAAAGGACCTTAACGCTAATTATAAGACTCCTATAGATACTAGCTAATAGAAGATGTCTAGTTTAACTACTTAGGTAAAGGAAAAGGAAAAGGACTAGGCTTTTATAAGCCTAATATATATATCTTAGATAGAAACTAATACTAGGGGACTAAGACTTACATATATTTTATATATAGTAAACTAGGCCACATTGCCAGGAACTATAGATCTAAGAATAAGGTTATTAGGTAGTTAAATATACTTACTATCCTAATAAAGGAAATTAAGGACAAAGAATAGACTATTATAAATGCTATTAATAACCTTATACTTAATAATAAATCTAGATTAGAGTTATTAACTAATTCGTAACTTTATAAGGACACAGAAGAAGAATAATCTAAAATAGTAAATAAGGAAGTTAAGTAGACACTAACACCTTACCTATAGTTTAAAAATAAAGAAGTAATCTTTACTAATAAAATAAATGTATAGGAATACTTAGACGAACTACTAATCTAACTATAAGATAGAGATATGTTATTATTACCTATAATAATCTTACTACTATTCTCTATACTACTAGAAGCTTACAACAAACGCCGACTAGAAATTATTATAAAGGAAGATAGATAATAGGTAGATTATAGATATATATAATAAAACCTAGACTAAGATTTCTATAATAAG